TCGGTTAGGAGTCGGATAGCAATCGTGTGAGTAGTATGAGGAAGAAACGGTTGGTACGGTTCTTACAGTCTCGTGTCGATATTTTTGAGACAGGGTTGAGCGCACAACCTTATGTTTTTTAGCCAGCGCTGTCCACGGGATCTTATCGCATGGTATCATAGAGTCTATCTCTTCAAAGGCAGATTTCATAGTCATTGTGGTGTTGAGTAATTGTACAGTGAAGTATGGGTACAAAAAGGTGGTTCGGCGCATTACGCGAATCCGCGCATTACGCGCACGGACACAGTAACATTGTCAAAATATAACCTTGGTTCAACTCTCGCGTCTACCATGGAACAACAGTATATTCAACCACTACGTGCGCACCTCTTATTCTACACATATTAAAAATCAGAAGGCCGCAGTAACAATATTCTCATGTGAAAAGTGCCGTGATGCCCACTTCCTGTCCTGTCTCATACCTCTCACAGTACTCACATCCTGATACCCGAAGCGCGCAGCGCCCGGAGGTGAGTACACTACTACTTCGTCATCAACACATTCGGCTTACTTCATAGTGCTAAGCTTTTGCGGTTGCCGCATATGCTGGCGCAGATGCAGGACCGACTCTTCACCTTCACCTTCACCTTCACGCCCGTTAGCGTGGGATTAGCGAGTAGCTTCCCTCGCTGACCCGAAGTGTCCTCTCAACACCAACCTCAAATTCCCACACCCTCGACTGGCACACTCACGCCACTCTGAAACTGTCACAACGGGCACTGCAGACGCTCTCAACACCATGCCTGTCCTCAATCTGAACTACAGGGGTGTTACCTTGGAACTGCGTTTGCCAATCGTCACTCACTTAATCAAATGCTTCAAGCAAATCGAATGCAAGCCAGAAGTGTGGATGTTCGACACGGAGGCTCTGGACGTGTTCTACAACCTCCGTCGTCACCTTGAGGTGTGTGAGTTCGAATTTGTGGGCGCGAAGATAGTGGAAAGTGTCTGCCAATCTGCTCCAATTGTGGGCCGGTCGAAGTTTCAGAGCTACTTTGAGAAGGCACTAAAGGAGGTCGCTGAACAGCTTCTGGGCGGCAAGACGGTCTTGAGTGTGGAAGGATGTCCCAAAAGTGCTCGGGGCTCAGTGCTGTGCAAATTTGTGAAGGCTCTGGATTGAACCACAACACCGATCTGATAGCCTTGAAATAATGTCGAGATGATAGAATCGCGGGAAAGAGACTACAGTATCCGGTGGTCTACTCGCTCTCACATTGGATTGTGTTGCAGCGTGGGCCACTGTAGAATACTGATAGCTACGGTGAACGATAACGTAGGACTATCGGGTCGATGTAATACTGCGCTGAATTGCTATCTAGCTGGGAGATGACGACTATATACCTGACCTTAGGCCAGTGACCTGTCTCACACTAGACTAGGGTAGTCTGTTAGGGGTACAGTCAAACCTTGTACAGACCGACCGATACCGCAACAGATTGTCGGCACCAGCACAGAATGGGTGGGTACCAATAGAACAAAGTGACGAGTACGAAGAATTTTCATATGAACATTGCAATACACTTGCCCATGAAGCATCCGGAGACCGTCACGGCCCCTTTTGGGAACGTGTCTTCTACCTACGAGGTGACCTGTTGTGACTTCTGGTCAATCAAGAAGGTGTTATGGAGATGCAGCCGTGTTGATAAGGTTGGGATGGCTCTGTACTATCAAGCGAAGACCACAAGAGCTGCTGATGTATATGTAAGGTCCTGCACGAAAGAACAGATATTCTTTGGCTGCAACCATAAGTAGAATGTGCGTGCCATGGATGCTCCTACTTATCACTAGATCTCAATGATTCCATGACCTGGAAACCTTGGGATTGTAACCCAATGTTGGTAGAGAAAACGATGACATTGGTCGCCTCGCTAGTGAGGGGAGGAGACAATTTTACTTCCCTTTGGTCCGCAACCCTTTCTCAAACCAAAGTCAAAAGACCCCGCCACGGCTGCCCGAATCCAACCACAGGGTCTCCCGATCTTGCATCAATCAGGATAAGGTAGTCCGAGGACGTTCTGATCAAGACGTTGTTACGGCGATATTAACGATTCATGGATGCTAGGATTACGACCTATGTATTTTACCAACCAAGTCTCGACAAGAACATCATTGTTGGAAGACGTGAGTGTCAGTGCTAAAGATGTGTGTATATCGAAGTACAGGAACGTTTTCCTGGTTTTACGATCATCTTTCCATTCTTTCAATATGTTGGTATGCTCTCTCCCATGGCTCGAGGCCGCACCTGACCTTTCGCTTCACATAAATATATCACCACCTTCCTCTCTAAAACCAACTCACAAAACTCTTCAGACTTCATGTTCGGCTAGCAATCTTACTCCAAATCTTTGATATGTGTCTTACTCTTCAAACCAACGTCAAAAACAGCGCTATCCTGGCACTACCTCGAGAACTGCGCAACCAAATCTATCATGAGTGGCTACGTTCCACACCGAGCATATGGACCCATTATCGTTTGAGTCCTGATGGTAGCTCCGTACCCGTAGAGCTGTATCATCGACATGTTGCGCGGGATCCCGACGCTATGCCTTCCATAGGCCTGCCGCCATGGCTTCTGGCATGCAAGACTTTCCTGCAAGAAGGCATGGCAGAATTTGACTCCGTCTTCGATTCGACCATCGGCCCGCATTATGATTATCTGAGCAAGAAGAAGCGCGCAAAGCTAGTCGAGGTGCGTCAGCTGGTCAATCCCGCCTCGAGAGGCACCTTGACGATATCGATCGACACCCTGTCCACGTCCGACAAACCTACATACGACCATGGAGCCTGTTTCGAACTCGGCGAAACCGGAATACGCACGATCGATCACGTTCTCCACACAACGGTAGTAGAGAGAGGAGAAAGCCTTTGGGTGATCCGTCGAGAAAAGCTACACACTTTGCGCGTGAAAGCTGCGTTCGTTAACGTATGCACCTACTGCCAGCGGTACATCAGACGCTCAGAAGGACCGGAGGTATGGGAGCTTGATCTGAGTTCTTTGGAACACTATGAAACCGATCTCGACGTCTTCGAGCTCGAGGTCACTCATGTCGATACGAAAGCTGTTAAAGGTGGCTACGAACATTTAGCAAATTGTTGGGATCGGGCTCAAGGAGCTTTTAAGGAGGAAGTAGAGCGGGTTGGCAAAGTGCTTACACAGGACTATCACGGAAACGTTCAAGTCAATCCAACATCAACTTCGCCGAGGACTACGGTGTTTCGGTTCGAAAAGTCGGAGGAGTGTAAGCTCGCTCAACGGAGCCTGGAAACAAGGCCTCGTTGAGGTACCTCCAAGGGACTGAAGCGCAGTATAAAAGGTAAGAAGAGGAACCTTCCGGCAGTAGTTATTAGACTATAACCCAGTCTTACAAGAGCAGGGAAAGGAATGGGAGCGATCAGGGGCTGCGACGAGAAGCCGCGGAAGCGAAATAGGTAAGGGCGAGGATGGCAGTGGTGGCGCGTACTTTGGTGCGGTCGAAGTTGGGATTGGAATTGGAATTGGGTAAGCTGGAGGATACTGTTTGGATCAATGAAGATCCCCCGTGGATTTTGAGATACTCTGATCGCGGTTGCCTTCACCTTCACTTTGTTAGCGCGTGGCCCTTACTTGTCCTTCAACTTACCTTCCCCCGGTCCCACTTCGCATCGACCGTCCCCCATCACAAAGTATTCCAACAAAAATTAGCAGTCGAAATGGTAGACACGAAGCTGACTAAATCCTTCATGGAGGTGGTAAGTTCAGGTCTTGCATTTTTCGCGATCAATACGCTTACCAACGCGAAGTCCAACCCTCCTCCCGCAAGCTTTCCGCCTTCGGTCGCCTCCACCACATGCAACTTCACCGAGATACCTCGAGAGTTACGAAATTCCACATATCACCATCTTTGAAGCGCTACACCTGTCGTGAAGACCCATTTCGAAGGCCGACCAGTGGTGACGCGCTTCCAGGGTTACTGAACATGACTACGACTGGATGCTCCTGCAGGCCTGCCATCTTGGCTCTTGACCTATACCACACTTCTCCATGAAGGATCGGAAGAGCTACGCTGCAAGTCCACAACGACTGTCTGGCCGAATCACGGACGCGTTGAGGACGAAGATTCCCACACCACGTTGATTTACCCTACAACGAAGGACGGTCAAATTTACTTCAGGGTCGATACGATGACTATCGCGCAGAACGATCTTCACCTTGAGAATCGCTTCACATCTTGGTTGTCCGATCTTGTTGATAGCGAGCAATTCTGAGTCGCACTCGGACACGCTTCAGGATTCGCACACGGCGAGAGGACCAGATCATGGTGGGGAGTGAGGGTACCAGGAGCATCAGCACGTCTGTGAACGTAGGTTTGCGAAGGTTTAGCGAGGCTTTGGAGGAGATGCCGATAACGTCAGTTCAATTTAAGCAAGGCACTTGCATCTTGTTGAGCAGGACATTGAGCGCCAGTGCGACTACATCTGCTGTTTTCATGGTCTGGAAGCAATGTTTAAGACACCCAAGAGCTTTTGGTATGTCGTCGGAAAGGGGGCGGTGTCTATTTTAATCAGTGAAAATGCTTACCTTGGACTTTCACTTATACCGCAGAACCTCAATGGTCCAAGATGCTAACATTCTTAACAAGCATACCTTTTTCTCCCAGTTTTGCACTCGTGCACCACGGACCGTGTATACCAACCCTACCAACGCACTACAACCTTACAATGACACACACCTCTTCTTTCTTCACGTCTCTACCGCGTGAGCTGCGCAACCAGATCTATGAGCACTTATGGGAAGACACACCAGTCTTAGGCCTCAAGTACAAAGGTACCTGGATGCAGCTCGGCTTCAAATGTCTCCGGCCGGAAGAAGAAGAACACCACACTCTAGACATTCCCTGCTGGCTGCTAACGTGCCAGGCAACATTGTGCGAAGGCCTTGATGAGCTAAAGCGCATGTCCATCTGGGCAATTGGGCCCTTCCACGAGCCGGAAGAAGATTTTAGCTCTGCTGACCATCCACAAAAATGGATGTCCAAGGGAAATACGGAGCTTCTGAACCCAGCCACGACAGGAAAGATGACGATCTGGATGAACACCCTGGCTGTCTGGGATCGATCAGAGCTATGACCATGGCAGATGCCTGAAGTCAGGAGGCTCATCATAGACACTGATGCTGTCAACATGATTCACACCTTACGCATTAAGACTGCCATTAAACCTGGCTTTGACACCACGTTCGATCCAGAAAAGGTGAACCTCCACATGCAGGCCTTCGACAATATCCAGTTCCGACTACGTAAATTCGAGGTCGAGTTTACGTGTGTCGATATGTACTGGACTGGAAAAGCTCTGAGCATAGAGGGCTGGAGGCGGATTCAGACGCAGTGTGAGAACGAGGTGGGGCGACTGGGCAGGATGTATGTAGGGGGCAAGGGTGTGCTTAGCGTGAATACTTGTGAGGCATCTACCACGATGCTGTTTACTTTCTCGAAAGCTGATGTCTAGAGTCTCGATGAGATGGAGTTAGCATGAGTGGAAAGCTGCCGTGAGAATCGACAAGGCCACAAGATGTTCTCCTGCACGAATAAAAACTCTCGGACCGAAATTATTACTATAGACATATTGTAGAAAATGATGTATTGAATGAAAATATGGGAGCAAGTCCACGATGGAGGTTAACATGACATGGTTGTGAACCTTGGAATGGTTATGTCATGGTCGGCGCGTCGGCGGTTTGGCAGCTGCCACCGATGGCCGTGGAACATCCTAGAGCTCCGCGTGTCCGTCATTCATCACTTGCCTCAACTTCAACAATGGCGTCGCGCAACAGGTTGGTAGCCTTTACGGCTTCCAGATTACTTCGAGGTTCAAGGCCACTGGCTTCCAGAGCAGCACCGCTTGCTGCGCTCTTGAACGCCCCTTCCACGCGCCACTTCTCGCAGCTAAACTCTAACTCCGCCTCATCTTCGAACCCCGCCAGCATCTTCAATCTGGGACAGCTCAACTCACAGGCTGGACCTCCCTCATACTTCGACTCACATAAGCGGTTACCAACAAATACTGTTGTGCGATTCGTACCACAGCAGACAGCATGGATCGTCGAGCGCATGGGAAAGTTCAACCGCATACTGGAGCCTGGTCTAGCTATCTTGATCCCCTTCATCGACCGGATAGCCTATGTCAAGAGCCTCAAGGAGAATGCGATTGAGATCCCTAGTCAGAGTGCCATCACAGCAGACAATGTCACATTGGAGCTTGACGGTGTGCTGTACACCAGGGTGTTTGATGCTTACAAGGCAAGGTAAGCACGGTCAACGGCTCTATGATAGGCGCATATACTGATGATTACTAGCTACGGCGTCGAGGATGCCGAGTACGCCATCTCCCAGCTTGCGCAGACAACAATGCGTTCTGAAATCGGTCAGCTTTCGCTCGACCACGTTTTGAAGGAGCGCGCCAACCTGAACGCCAACATCACCGCCGCAATCAACGAGGCTGCCCAGGACTGGGGTGTTACCTGCCTGCGTTACGAGATCCGTGACATCCACGCCCCCGAGCCTGTCGTCGAAGCCATGCACCGCCAAGTCACCGCCGAACGATCCAAGCGTGCCGAGATCTTGGAGTCTGAGGGTCAGAGGCAGTCCGCTATCAACATCGCTGAGGGAAAGAAGCAGTCGGTCATTCTGGCGTCTGAGGCGTTGAGGGCCGAGCAGATCAACATGGCAAGCGGAGAGGCAGAGGCTATCCTGCTGAAGGCACAGGCTACCGCCAAGGGTATCGATGCTGTTGCGCAGGCTATTGAGCAGGGACAAGGCTCAGCACAGAATGCCATCTCGCTGCAAGTTGCCGAGAAGTATGTTGATGCTTTCGGCAACCTCGCTAAGGAGGGCACAAGCGTCATTGTCCCTGGCAATGTTGGTGACATTGGCGGCATGATTGCCAGTGCAATGGCAATCTACGGAAAGGTCAACGAGTCGTCAAAGAGCACAGCGACAAAGCTGGTCTCAGGTGGCTCGCAGGACTCTACAGGAGCTGCCAAGAAGATTAAGGAGCTTGAGAACCGTCTTAGCGAGGCAGAGAATGGCGCAAGCAGCGTTCAGGATGAGATCAACAAGGTTATGGACCAGAGGCTGAGGAGGTAGATGGATTAAAAGGGTTGAGATTGTTCAACAGGATACGACACGATTGTATATTATACCATGCTGTACCATTAGCAAAAGTCAGCACGCAAGCGAAGCATTGGGTTCATTGGGTATGGCTCTAAAAGCGCACACTTTCAGCTCGATTCTCTATGTCTATAACTAACTCATCTACTTTACCAACCTCCTCACAACATCAGCAAGCAACTTCGCAACCTGCTCCCCGTCTTCCCAAATCCAATCATGCCCACCCTTCAAATCCCTAACCTCCAACACCCTACTCCCCTCCCCAATATCCGCCTCGCCATCTCCCTCCTCCATGACGATCCCCCATCCCTCCCTGTCAAGCGCAACACACATAACATCCCTCTGCTGCCTTTCAATCAACTCATCCTCATAGCTATGCGCGAGCACCATCAACTTCCCATTCTTCCACTGCCTTGTCCCGAACTGCCCAGCTACAGGCGAGACATCACGGTACCTGTACTGATCCTCGCCAAAGGCGCCGGCGATGAACTCGTAGTATATCTTGCTAATATTCTCTGGGCAGGTAGGCGGGTTATGGTTCTGCAGCAGGAGAGGGATATTGTATATCCCACACAACAACACCAATCCCTCTGGTCCACCGTGCACTTCTCTCTGCTCAGCTTCGCTGAGACCAATACCCGCCACATACTGAAGCAGCAGTGTTGCACCGCAGCTGTGCCCCGCGCCCACCCAGCGCTTCATTCCATACTGATTCGTCAGGAATCGGAGCGCGGACGCAACGTCGCGCACGTGGTCGGGATGCGTTGCGTTGCGCGAGGCGTCCGAGGGCGAGCTGGGGCTTGTGGGGTGCGAGGGGTAGGGCGAGAGGCGGTAGTTGAGAGATGCTATGCCTGCAAGTTTGGAGATGGTGCCGGCGTGGGGGGTTGTGAGGTGTGAGAGTGTGGGACCAATGCAGTGCGAGTCTTGGGTTGGGTCGCGCCAGGCGCCGCCGTGGACATAGCTTTGTTATGTTAGTATTGATCTTGTGAGTGTGAAGCTTGAAGCCGGTTTCGGGGGTTAGGGGAGCTTACACGATCCATATTGAGGAATTGGGGTCAGATTGCTCAAGAGGGCGGGGCAGCCATATGTCAAGGGTCTGGAGGGGATTTGAGGGATCCGCGTAAGGGACTGAAGGGATACGTTTGGAATGTTGTGTCATATTGCGCGGGGAGAGCAAATGCTGGAGATTATTTGGTGGAAGGCGGGGTGTTCATGTACGACACGACACCTGCATGGTGGAGACAGAACTGACTCAGGGGTGATCAATTGTTCTCATTCAGTCTTGCAACGATGCTATATTTTGGATCGTGTCCAACCTTTTTCAGCGCTTCATCATCATCAAGAACGTGATGAGCGATTACTATTACTTCCAATTCAAATCGAAATCCAATCCTAGGCAATTGTACTAACCGGCGCCAATTGCCATGCAATGCAATGCAAACCCAAGGTATCTTAAGGACAGTGGGGCGTCAACTGACAGCCCTGTTCGAAGTAACAACCAAAGAACTCCTCGCCACGCAACATGCGCGACGCGAGTGCACGATGCAGTGTGCCATGTTTATCACGTGCGACATCAAAAGCTTGATGCTATGACACGCTTACAAGAAAGCGGCAATGAAGGCACCGAAACCGACCATGGAGCCAGCGGCAACCTTGAGGTTGGCGGCGGCACCAGGAGAGCTCTGGGAAGCACCAGTGCCAGAGGCAGTAGAGGAGGCACGGCCGGTACCAGAAGCAGATGAGCCAGAGCCAGATCCTGTGGCGCTGGCGCTGTTGGAGGCAGCGGCCGAACCAGAGGTGGGCTCGTTCAGGATGATGGTGGTGGAGTTGTTGGCGCTGACAACGAGAGTGCGGGTGGAGTTACCGCTACCGGCGACGGGGATGGTGTAGATGCCAGGGGCAACAGCGGGAATGGAGGCGGCAACGCCAACGCTGGTGTCAGCGGCCGGTTGGGTAGGGATAGCAGTGTCAGCGGCTGGCTGGGTGGGGATGGAAGTGGCAGCAGCGGGCTGGCCAGTCACAACACCCAGAGAGTTGGTCTGCTGGAGGAAGCTGGTCTGAGGGAAGGGGTCGACCGAAGACTGAGCAGTTGTTAGTATTGTGGGTTGATGTACCATGGAGAGATAAACATACAGACTGGGACTGGGCGAAAGCCGCAGCGGCGAAAGCAGTGACAGCGAAGGCGGTACGCATTTTGATATCGTTGGTGTTGTTGATTTAGAAATTAACGATTGATGTCGACTTTACGATAGGTATAGACGGCAAAGGCTCAGTACTGTAGCGATAGTAAGTGATTGATGGAGGAGCAGATCAGCCTCCAGCAGGACCAGCGCATTTTATAAAGCGACGCGTCCCCCAGCCCAGCTCGGAATAACAAACCCCTGGTTGGCAACGCCACGGGCAACCATTGACTGCGCTAACTCCAGATGTTTTCGATACCCTTGCTAGTGGCCCACTCGCCGAGAATAGCCACCACCCAGACGTCCAGTGCGTGCGCATCCCTTCCATTCGTGGCCCAGACGTTTGTTCACGCGAATTTTCTGTTGAATTGCACTCGTGTTGACTAAGATTTGGCATGAGTCGAGGCGATGGTGAAGACGAAGCGTGTGTGACTTGGTCTCAGAGGTTGCTGTGCGATCGGGTGAGTCTCCGTGAGACGGCAGTAATGGACTGGTGGCTGGTGGTTGCTCGCCACCTTGGTTTCAGGCCCAGCAGCAGTTCAGCCTCTCGGGTGGTTCCACACGCAGCGAACACTGCAGGCATGTTTCTATGGAGATACGGAGACGAGAGCACGTCTTTTGATGTCATGATCGTTCACCTATGGTTTTTGTCGGGCTTGCCCTTCTCGTCTGGAGCTCCGGGAGCGACTCATCACCCGCCGTGCAATTTCTCTTCCCCAGGCCAATTTCCCGCACAATCGATACCAACGGCATGCAGGTGTCAGTCCCCCACGAGGGCAAATGTTTCGCAGCTGTCAGAACGCCCGATACCGACGCGGCCAATACATCTCGCAGCCAGCTAGCTAAAAATAAGCGTTTGCCTGGCGATGTCTCGAAGATTCGTGAACATGTGTCGTGTTTATGCGGGTGGGTCCACCGTTTAGATCGTAGCGTAGTGGATTCTGGAGCGGGAACAGCTGCCGGAAACAAGATGGTGATGGGCCGTGTGATCGGAAGATCGCAATTGTTCTCCAGGACTCCTTTCCCAGTGATGCAATGTTCACTGTTGAAGCTGGGAAGACCTTCACATCTGTTGCTAAATACGACATTCCTTGCTGTCAATCCCCCTATCGAGATTTTCATTGACAAAGTGTGGCCTGAATCCTCAAGCATGAAATTTGATTGAAAGCGCGCACTGCTATACCAGCACAGACAACGTTGACATATATACAGCGTACTCTCGTGCCATCAAATTAGAGGCTCGTTTGAAAAAGTCAACAGGTAGCCTCGGAGGACCTGCGGTCACTGGATGATTGGCACAGACAACAGAAGGCCTGTGGTGCACTTCTGTCACACGACTGGCGTTGTCCTTCGAAGCGGAGGGGCGGCACTTAACGTTCTTTTCCTCGAAAGAAAGCTCTCAAAATTCGGATGTATTGAAGTCGCAGCAGGCGCCAAACCAGTCGCGAAGTGCCCGCATCCATCACAACGTTAGACCCATGAGGCAGCTATTACCTATACTTTGCAGAATTGAAGTCGAGCGGAAATTCAAACTATCACAGCATGCCATTGGCGTCCGCAAAGATTCATCTTGAGATGCTTGGGCCTAATGCATCAGTCCCAGAGTAAGCCGTGGCTTGGATCTGAGATCAGATCTTAGTCGTGTTCTGTCGTACCCAGATATGGCCAGAGGAGATCTCCGTTGTCAACTGCCAACGGGACCCTTTGATCATCCGTAAGAGACGGGTTCATCAAAGTATCCGATGACATGTTCTGGTGCAAGCCCGCGATTGGTGAAGACATTGGCGCCTGAGCTAAGGAGTATATTGGCTCATCGCTGTTCGAACGCTCACCTCCAGGTACTGGTCTTGCTCTGAAGTCCACCTCGACCGCAGCTTCTTGACGCGACAGTGGAGCATTTGGTTCTGTGATGCTTCGGAGCATGCTGCGGATGTCTTCGACGTATATGCTGAATCTCGGGAAGTACCGAAGCAGGCGAGCCAGAGTTTTGATGAAGACTGTGAAGTATCGTTGCGCTGTTGCCGGGCTCATGGTGAAAGCAGGGCTGTCACGATGGCACGCGTACAGCATGGCGCACGAAGCTTGATATAGTATGATGAAAACCGCGGCGTAGCTGACATACAGCTCATTACCTACGAGTTGATATGTCGTTGCAATTATTTCACCAATTGCTATGGCATGTTGGAGGCACTACGATTGCGCATAGACCACCAGATGGGGATGTGTTGGGTTGATGACCGACTCGTGGAGGGCTTCACGGTACCCAGGGGCCAGTAGACGATACAGCTCACAATGGCAATGGTGAAAGTAAACGTGAAAATTGACAAAGGAAGTCCTTTCCAGTGAGAACGCGCGGTGCTCGAAAGCACGAGCATTGAAGTGGAATTTTGGTGGAAGTGAGTCAAAAACATTTTGGGACCCCTCTTCAAATTTCTTAAACTGTGCTAAAGATAGCTCAGGACTTGTTGACGATTCAAGGTGCACCTTCGCGTATCTGGAAAGCATGTTAGCTGGGAAGATGTCGATGTTAAGTCAATGTTGCCGACTGGAGTACTCGGTTCCGGATGTCGAAAATGCGAAGCATGAGGGCGGAGTGAAACTGCTCAGAAGGTGGTTTTGCCTTGTAGTTCAGAAACCTGGTCTTGATGGCAGTATCGGGCTCGAAGTACCGTTCATGGCAAGGAAGCTGTGTATGTAGAGAGGCGGTCGGTAAGACAAGGTACTCCTGATCGTTCATCAGCACAAGTGCGTACCCAAGAAGCCTACAGAGACATGAGTCTTGGCCGGCCTGAGCTCTTTGAATAGCAGTCGCAACCGCAAATCTACAGTCACGTACTGCTTACAGGTGGACACTTACTTGTATACCTCCAGCACAGAACCTGTCCACCGTGAATATGCACCAAACTAAGCGCCGCCGGCGTTACTGCTCCAGGAACGGTAGTTGTTGATTCTCTCTGTGTAATTTGAGGTGGTACGCCATCCTAGCTGCAAGTGAGATTGTAGCGGTGTGGACCGCTGTAGAATACTGATAGCTACGGTAAACAATAACGTAGGACTATCGGGCCGATGGAATACTGCGCTGGATTGCTATCTAGCTAGGAGGAGACGACTGTACACCCAACCTATAACACACTAGTCCAGGGTAGTGGTCAGGGGTGTAGTCAGACACTATACGGACCAACCGATACCGCAACAGAGATGAAGAAGAATGTCCTGCCGCTTTGATGATTACAACGGCGATTGAAATCTAGGATCATCAGTACCTCGGCATGATATGGTTTGGCCTCTCCAAGACTCTCGAGCACTCTTGACTCAGCGATCTCGATCCAAGGTTTTGCTCAGTCCGTGGTCTCCTTTGATGACGATAGAAACCGTGGAGCAGCGCCACAGATTGCAAATAGAATCACTGGTGGTAAGCTCCTGGAAGAGTACTGGCGGAGGATATCCGATCGATGGAGAAAACTATATATCGGTATCGGGTAGATGAACTCGGAGAAGGCGTCGATATGCTGCTTTCCAACAGCTTTGTCGCAACCGAGTACGCTAAGATACGTCAGCATGTTGACGACGAAAAACCATTGCAGTGAACTCACTTATCAATTATGGCTTGCTAACTCGAAGTAGGGAGGGGTCAGGGGCTTGATCGGAGGATATATATGTGGGCTTCTCCACGTGCTAGACCCTGAACCAGACCTTCACCACCACTCGGAAGCCACGGACATAGCAGAGGTCAGATCAACGTCACTGTTCTGTCTAATCTCTTCCCTCTCCACCACTATTCTTCTTCTCAATTTTGGCTGTTCCTTAACGTGCACCCATCTACAAGCATCACCAGCATACTCAGCTTGACAAGGCGATTAATTGGATACCCACATCACGTATTCGCCCCCTCCTCTTCTCATAGTTGCCTATATGGGCATATTTCTTTCCCAAAGGAGGGGGCCCAATACTTTTGCAAGCACCGATAGCCGGTAGCCTATAAGCTGATACACACCTGCAAGACAGGCAAAATGGAAGGCCCTCAGAACAGCGCGCGCAACACTTCGCTCGACGAGAAGGTTCCCTATAGCAACGAGAAGGATATCGATTCTACGAAAGATGCTGTATCCGTTGATACCGATGCGGGCTCTTGGCTTCCAGCAGGAAAAGGGGATGACTATCAGCAAAGCATTTTAGTACTACCGTAAAGCCGTGTGCTGGTCGATCTTGATCTGAGTTGAGCATCTCAAGGCTGCTTGTTCACTCCTTACTGATGGTTTAGTAGTGTTGGTCAACATCATAGAGTCTTATGATATCCAGCTCATCAAGGCGTTCTATGCGTTCCCTCAGTTCAACAAGAAGTACAGCTTTCGACTTCCGAACGGCACTCATCAGTTCAATGCCAACTGGCAGTTGGGCTTGACTAGCACAATTTTGCGGATTGTTTGTGATTGTCTTTGCCAACGCTTCCCTTGCCGAACGCTTTGGGCCTCGGAGAGTGATGATGGTGGCATTCGTCTTCCTTGGAGGTTTCATCACGATCACATTCAACGCACACAGTATCCCAATGCTCTTCGGTAGCGAGCTGCTCTAGTAGGCTCTCGTTCCCCACTTTGAGATTATACAACCCTGACCGCTTTTAAAAGCGCATTAACCTGGGGTATCTTCGCAGCGGCAGCACTTACTTATGCCGCAGAAGTCGTTCCTACCTCTCTGAGAGGTTACGTTACGACTTAAGTCAATCTCTGCTAGGTGATGGATTGCATCCTCTCGACCGGCGTCCTCGAGGCACCTTGCCAATTCAGTCTCATCGCAGCAATATAAAAAGGCCGACCTTTTTGACCCTGGGGTCCTAAAGGTTATATACACCGCAACAAGTCTGACTGGTCTTTCCGGATACCATTCGCTATCCAGTGGGTCTGACCGCCGTTCTTGATCGTTGCGACCTACTTTATTCCTGAGTCCCTATGGTATCTCGCACGCAAGGGCCGCAACGATGAAGCCAAGAAATCGCTTGATAGATTTGTTGCTACCCCAAGGAATGTCATCAACACGAAGCATACATTTTCGATGATTCATCACACCATAGAGCTTGAGCGCAGCATAAAGGTTGGTGGCTCTTACCTCGACTGCTTGAAGGGCACCAATCTGCGCCGAATAGATATCGCTACGGTCCTCTGGGCCTTCCAGATCCTATCCGGTTTTGCCATCCAGAAGTACACAACCTACTTCTTCACGCTCGCTGGTCTGTCTTCCGAGAACTCATTCGACATGTCCATGGGCACATTCGGCATGGCATTTGTCGGTACCTGTCTGTCATGGGTGCTCCAACTTCACAAAGGCCGCCGAGCCATATACCTTTAGGGCCTCATATGCATGCTGCCCACCATGTGGATCGTTGCAGGCCTAGAGTACGCTCCAGATACACCTCTAATACGAACATCAGATGGGTCCAAGCTGCTATGCTGATGATCTGGTTCTTCATTTACGGTAAGCTTCCTACATATCCTTACCCCAAAACATACTGGCAGCCTTCAGAACGCACAATCGGTCCCATACCTACGTCATCGCCTTCAAAGTCGGCGCAATTGAACTTCGCTCCAAGACCATCGCGCCCAGTCGTAACGTATACTATATTCTGTCGATAGTCAACTCTGGTATCTCGCCGTACATGCTCAACCCTAGTAAGTGGGGTCTCAAGGGCAAGGCTGCGTTCTCTGGAGCGGTATTCACTGTGTGCTTGATGGTGTGGACGTATTCCAGGCTACCGGAGACGAAGGGATTGACACTTGCGACATTGGATCACTTGTTCCATGAGAAGGTTTCGGCGAGGAGGTTTAGGGGGGAGGCGAAGCGGTTCCAGTAGTATGCTTGAATAATGGAAAGGGATAACGGAAGAATGGAAGTGCAAACACAAGAAAAATCCATGGGCTCAAACAAAAGAGTACCATTGTCTCTCTATGTCTATGTGCTTTAACATTCTCTCTTTGGGGACCGACACACTGAAAACGGCTAACCGGCATTCCATATGAGTCCACAGCAGTCCAACCGTCCAAACTGTCCATTAGTTCTCCACCTCAGACCTCTGGAACCTAATCAAGAAGGTCCATAACATCATTAGAACTCCCCTTACCCTTCGAGACAGGAGAGCTCGCGAGACCAAGACCAAACGGGTCGTCAGAGTCGAGGTCCATGGCATTACCCGTACCTTGCTTCTGGCTCGTCACACCCGGTTTTGGTGTCTCCCACGGCGCAGTGTATGTCTCACGCTTTCTAGCAGCGAGCGCCGTCTTGACGCGGTACTCGACGATATCTTCCTGGATGGCCTTGACTTCCTCGTTGCTGAAACCGAGAGTGGGGTATATGTTGTAGAGTTCGTCACCGGGTGGGAAATACTTGTTAAAGAGCTTGTGCAGACGAGTTTGCTTTCCGTCATCGGTCTCGGTAGTAGAGTGGGCGTCACGAGAAGATGGAGTGACTGGAGCGGCTGAGGGGTGGTCTCGAGGAGGGTTGGGCCGGCCGTACTTTTGGTACAGGATATGCTTGCTGAACGTATTTGAGCCACCCTGGAGCTCATCCATGCGCTTCGCAGCGGCTTTACCGGCTACTTCGGCCCTTACTGGTGGCTTCGTGGCTGGGCGAGCTGTAGTAGGCCTGCTGGTAGAGGCACTTGGAGCGAAGTAGCCGAAGGAAGGAACAGAGACGTGCCTGTTGTTTGTGATTAGTCTCCACTTTGGCCTACTAGCCACTGAGATCTTACCTGTCAGTAGCTACCCGGCTGCCGTTATCTATACGCGCCTGTTGAGCGGAAGCGTCGTTTGCTGGCTTTGAGTCCCAGTTGCTGTCACCGAGACCAGGCATATTGATCGGAAGAGGGTCAGAAAGTTGAGATTATCTGACTGTAGGAGGAAGAGGTAGAGGAAGCTGTAGATGATGATCGTAATTTTAGGCTACGAGAAGAAGAAAGTAGCGTGCTATCTCGAAATGAAGGAACGCATATAAAAGACGAGGTGAATGTGACTCCGATCTCGTGCTATAAATCGAAGTTACATTACAGCTTGCACGAAGACACAAATTGATAACTGCTTCTTGTGTATGCATTTTCAATGGTCTTGTTTGCTGTCAGCATATGACCATTCTTTGTGCCTCTTGAGGCTACATACCTCATATTGCTCAAGTTGCCTCTCCGACATTGCTAGGATCCGCAACACCTGTGACAAATCCCATCCCAGCATCTGCTCCTGGGGCTTTAATTACCCCCAAATGCAGTCCATCAGTCACCAGTTCTCCTTGGTCCTTGTCGGCCCCAACGTTTTCAACATCATGCGTCACCTGGTGTTCGAAACAGACCTTCACCTGCGGAACTTCCGAACAAGACAAACTACTACAGCGCATGGTACATCCCGTGTACGCCGTATCCACCCAAACAGTGAGCTCTTCGAGACCGGTCCACCCTCGAGCCATGGGTATGTTGTTGGCCGGTTTCCATCCGAGATTACACTGACAGTAGTTTCGTAGGCATCGCGCATGCGGTCCACAGTAATCTTTGTTCAATACTCCGCTGCTTTGGCACTGACTGATGGAGCAAACGCTGCTGCCTGCGGTATCGTCGTTGTTGCCGGAATCGTCCTCATCGTCATCGAAGGGATAGAATTGTTGCCCCGTGAGCGTGTTCGTTTTGCCGTTATTGGTATTGGAGAGCTTCCACCATGGTATTGGCTTCTTCGGCTTCTGTAGGTCGGAAGCAACTGTGACAGATGGTTCAGTGAGATCATTCGAAGCCTACCGTTGTGTTATGCGTTTAAGGTCTCTCGATTCGGCGTTGCGCGCTTCAAGGCTGATATGCAAGGCGTGTGGTACTTTCAAGACAGCAAGTAGGGTAGGTGAGAGCTGCATAACTACAGACGGGTGGCAGAAGCTGTAGAGATGACTTGGAAGAAACTGGAAATATTATCAGCGTCCAATCGGGGTATACTGATTGTGAAGGAATGAAGTGGGACGTGACGTCTGGAATGGAGGGCAGGAGCTTGTGATATTCAATGTGACACAACGGACAGACTCCGGTCTTACATATCTGCCTTATCGTCCATCGTACCCCTTTACACCACCCTTTTCAGGTCCACTGGCTTCGCCCTTGGCCGTTTTGACTGCACCTGCAAACGCCGCAGTAATTGCAGGGAAGTCAGTGCATACGCTGATGAAGTCGAAGCCCCTTTGTGCGTAACCTTGCGCCTGCTGACCATCCGCACAGTAGATGCCTACCTTCTTACCCGCTTCATGTGCTGCCTCTTGAATCTTCTCGATGGCGTCCTTCAACTCCTGGTGCATTTCGCCCAAGATCGGTCTTCCAATATTATTGCCCAAGTCGAAAGGCCCGATGAGCAGACAATCAACGCCCGGGATTGCAGCGATCTCCTTGACAGATTCAAGCGCTGACTTTGTCTCGATCTGAACAATCGTTTGAAGTGAGGAATTGGCGTTTGTAAGGTACTCTGTGAGCGCTTCGCCAGTGAAGGCATGAGGCGAGAAGGGCGACCCAAAACCTCGGTTTCCTTCGGGTGGGAACTTCGCTGAAGCAACAAGGCGTTTTGCGTCTTCCACTGTGTAGATCAAAGGAACAACGATGCCGTGAGCGCCCGCGTCGAGGGCACCTGTGATTGTATCAGTCCAGCCTTAACGAATCTCAAAACGATGTGCGGCCCATGATGGCACTTGATTACTGAAGAATCTGAAGGGTAGGTAACATGTTGCAGATTGTCATATCTTTCGCAGTTGATGAAACTCGACTTACGCTTGACCATCCAAGCCTCATTGGCAGGAATGCGAACTATGGGACTGACGCCTTCGCGGGCTATGGCGATGACGGCTTCATGCATCTCTCCATCTTTTGAAAATCAGTCCACTGGTCGTCACTTCGATCAGAAATGCCTACCATCGATGTTGCCATGTTCACAGTCGACACAGACCCAGTCGACACCCGAACGGGCAATTGCTCGAGAGTGGTTAGTCCCAGGTAACATCTAGTCAGGAAAGTTAGTGTTGATGAAGTCAACAGTGAGATGGAACCTCTGACCTGCCATCCTCCGAAAGCCGGGCCTCCCTTCTTGAAGGCCTTGTAGATGGTGCTTGCTTCTTGAAGAGTATTCATGTTTCTGATGCTGAAAAATGGTCGTAGACTCGAGTTTGTATGTGTGATCTTGAAGGCAAGTACTTTGGTGACCGATGTTGAGCAGAGCGTCTTTCTTAAGGAAAGAGCCATCGTCATGCTTCGGAAGTGCAGCCACCCCTCTGTAGGGAGCTACCCCACGTCTAACTTGCGCTAGTGGATAACATCACCCCGAGGTCCATCCAGGGCGTTGTAGGGCGTGATTGATGACCACACAGTGACCTCTGTGTACGACAGTACTTCAATGTTTGCTCACAAGTATCGGGCGAGTACGCTGTCGAACGCCTCCAGATCATCATCTCTGTTGCATGATTACACACATCCATTTCGAGCCGCCAAACATCTGGGCCTACGACCGTTCTGCTTCGTCCATCAACTTTGTGACTTCTTCCTCCTTGAAACGGTGCATGAGCTTCAGCGATGAGGTCGTCGTTTCGGTAGCGCTTGCTTTGTCGATGTGGATCTAGACGACCACTCAGGTACTCGACAGTCAAAGTACTTCAATGCTAGCTTACCACCGGAGTATCAAATTCGTACACATCTTTCCACTTCTCCTGGCCTGGCTCCATGACATTGATTTCCTGATATTGCAGCGGTCTAGTCTTGTTCACATTCTGCACCACAGCTTTCGCGGTGTCACAAAGCCCACAGGGACTCCGAGTGAAGAAGGTGATTCGACAGTCAAGCAGACGAGACGTAGCACGGAACATGGCTGATTGATGCAGCAAGCAATGAAAGTGATCGTTCAGAAGCTCAGGCGATTGGACATGGAAGACAAAAGCGGAAAACCGCAGCAGCTTCACCGCCAAAATAGCTGCATCGTTATCGATAAGCAATTATGACATGTGCGGCCAACGGGGGGCTTTGCTTCTGGAATATTCCGCCTGAGCATAAATCTGGAGAAGACACCAACGCACGCTGCGACGGAAGCACCCGCAAAAACACTCGTTACACCTCCAATCACGCTCCCTAATCATGGCGAAAAAGTGCGTTCACAAAGGCTGCGGCAAGACGTACGAGAACGAAGACGACGAATGCGTGTACCACCCTGGTCCGCCAGTCTTCCATGAGGGGCAGAAGGGTGCGTACCACGGAATCGAAGCTGTTAAGAACGAGCCCTAAGCTAACATATGCTCACAGGCTGGAAATGCTGCAAACCACGCGTTCTGACATTTGACGAGTTCCTTGCAATCGAGCCTTGCACAAAAGGGAAACACTCAGATATAGATGACACACCCGAGCCTGAGAAGGTCGAAACACCTGATGTCCCCAATGGAACCTCTGTCAACCTTGGATCGATGTCAGAGTCGCTGCCGGCACCTGCACCTCGTCTGCCCGCCGCCCAAGCTGCGCAGCGGACAGCAACCCCTGCCCCACCACCAGAGTCTGAAGACGATGACCCGAATGCAACACTGAAGGAGGGCATGACTTGCAGGAGAAAGGGCTGCGGAGCGACTTTCGAGGGCGGAAACAGAGAGGGAGAGAAGTGCGTGCACCACCCTGGTGTGCCCATTTTCCACGAGGGAAGCAAAGGGTACAGCTGCTGCAAGCGGAGGGTGCTGGAATTCGACCAGTTCATGACCATGGAAGGCTGCAAGACAAAAGACAGGCATCTGTTTGTGGGCAAGGCGAAGAAGGAGGGCGAGGAGGAGAAGGTCGACACTGTTCGGTAGGTCAACACATACAGCACAAGCACCAACCAGGAACTAATGACACAACAGACACGACTTCTACCAGACAGCCGCTACCGTCACCGCCTCTCTCTACCTCAAAAAAATCGACAAAGCCAACGTCATTGTCGACTTCCAGCCCGACCACGTCAACCTCGACCTTCGAACGTCCGACAGCAAGCGCTACAACACTAAGTTCCCGCTGTTCGCGGGCATCAAGCCAGAAGAGAGCAAGTTCAGGATTCTGGGCACCAAGCTGGAAATGACCCTAGCCAAGGCGGATGGAGCGAGCTGGCCAGTGCTGCGCAGTGACGACAAGTTGACTGGTGAGATGATCCAGGTTGGCAGGGCAGGAAGGGCGTAAGATAGGAAGTGTTACACGACGAGACGAATTACGAAGTTAGACAAAAGATCAATCAATCAACAGAACCAACACATGTCAAATCCGGGCTTTCATTGATCTCTTTGGGGTGACCGCAATCTCGCCATTTCTCCCCATTTTCAGCATCGTGACACTTTGGAGTGTCAGCATACCTACCACTTCTCAACCGCCGGCCTGGTATCCAGTTCCCACGTGAAGTTTGTCGCAGGCTGTGTGTGCAGGTACCAATAATCATTCGCAATCTACAAAACGATGTTAGTATTCTCATACTCATATATTCAGCACTTGTAATAGAGTAAGAACTCACCCCATCAGAGCTCAACTTCGCCTCAGGCCCTAGATCCTTCAACCACTCCTTCGTCCTCGGGATATCAATCACGCCATCAATAATCGCATGAGCGACATGAACCCCCTGCGGCCCAAACTCCTTGGCCAGACTCTGACTTAGAGCTCTGAGCGCCCACTTCCCCGTCGAGAAACTCGCGAGTTGGGCGCTGCTCTTAATACTCGCGGTGGCGCCGGTGAAGATCAGGGTGGGCGGGTGCTCAGACCCTGCTTCCTTCGCCTTGAGAAGTAACGGGAGGAAGGTCTGGGAGAACAGGATGCCGCCGAGTGCGGATACGTTGATGGATTGCTCGAACACACTGGCGTCGGTTTCTAGGAAGGGTTTGCGCAGGAAGCCACCGCTGGCGTTGAAGATAGCCGCCGCGGCGCTAACGTCATTGCCGAACTCTTTCTTGATCTGTGCGAGCGCGTTTTGAAGGGATTCTTGAGACGATACGTCTGTGGAGACACCGAGAGCTTTTCCACCGCTTTTTTTGATCTCGTCGGCGAGCGATTCAAAGTGCTCTGGTTTGCGTGCGAGGAGCACGACGGGGTAGGTTTTTGCGAATTTGCGAGCTACCGAGGCACCGGTTCCGGGGCCGACGCCGGCGATGATGGCGATGAGTTTGGATGTCATGCTGATATCTTCTTTGTTAGTGTTTTGGTATGGCCTTATGGTGGAGAGGTGTTCGGCTATACCCGCAAGTCGTGAAGAAGCCAGAGTCGGAATGTTGGTGCTTTTAAGGTCGACTTGGAGGCGCTTTATATAAATGCTATGTAACCCAATCCTTGTTTACTAATCGTTGGTGTTGTAATACTGGAGCCGAAGCTCACAATTATGCACGAGACGTTGCTTATGCGGAGTACCCATAAAGCCGAGTGACGCAATTGATGATTAGTCAAAGTACCCCTCTCACGCGAACACCCATGTGTTTTGGACGTCAATGGCAGTGTCAACAGGGTTTTTATTACTATCGAAAGGGTCTGAAAGGATGTACTCTTCTCAGTACCGTAGAAGACACCAATGTGCTTGCCGTAGATCAGTGAATCTGCAGAGTTGTATCGAAACCGAGACGCCGGAGCACAAATCCACCAACGCTATGCATAGGGTATAGAACTGGAATGCTGAGGGAGTATGTCGGAACAGGATATGCGGACATGAAATGGAGATCGTAGGTCGAGAATCGAGGTGTAAGAGATGCGAAACCACTTTTGGAAAGACGGACCACTGCCAGTTCAGATTTGAAGGCGAACGCCAGGCTACCCGACCTGTCGCTGGCGTGGCATGACTTTCGTCCTCTTGCGAGTTTTGTACGACATCAGGCGACCACCTTGAGCGATTTGTCCGTTGCCGTTGCTGCGAGACATGGTACACTTGGGCACGTCATCGTCTGATGACATGGAGGCCAGTGCGAAAGAGTCGGTGTTGTGGCCGTAGAAGAGCATGATGCCGGTGCGCATCTTCTTCACGCCCAGAATACCGATGGCACCCGCTGAGTTGCTGTGCTGGACGCTGGAGTGACCCATGAACTCATTCTCGATCATCGATCTGAGGGCCTCGTCCTCAGTCACTTCTGCGTATTCGCCGCCCTTTTCCTTTCTTACACTCTGGTACAGTCGTTCTGCGCATGTTGTTGCTGCCATGGTCGTTGCCATATGCTCGCCCGTACCACTGGTTACGGTCGCAACAGAGGTCTGTTCGATATCGTCAGGGTCGAGAGGGATCACGGCAGCGCCAACACCGACAAGAGCCGCAGGTCCTACGCGACCACGGTACTTCATACCAATACCACCAGACGATGCACCGCAGGCGATGCGGCCCCAGCTGTCTATGGCGATGGCTCCAACGGTATCAGTGATGTGGTCAGGTTTGTCTGTGGATGGTGGAGGGGCTCCGTTCGGAATTGGAATGTAAGGGTTGTCCTGCCTGACGTAGTTCAAAGTACCCTTTATGCCTGTTGACACATCTTCGCCCAACGGAATATCAACAAGGTCGTCATCGACCGCGCTGGTCGAAGTAGCAGCGGGCTGAGGTGCATTGACAGTCGTTGTGCTTGTAGCCGAGTCCGACTCCTCACCTGAACCGTCACCCCAGGTCTTGCGCGCGGTCAACCCGTTCTTCAGCACACGAGACACATCCTCCATCTCGGCGTCTTCGAGAACCTGTTCAGATGTAGTGGCTCGGCTTGCTCTGAATTGACTGAGTGTGGGCATCTTCTGTGTGCTGTTGATAAAAGCGCTACGCGAAGACTCCGCAACTGTTGGTGGGCCAAGATTGGCGGGTATAGGTGATGGGGCAGATGTGTCAGGCGTAGGTATGCGGTCGTCGCTAAGCCATGAACCAGAAGAGAGTCCAGACTGCGCTGTCGGCTCAGAGTGTGTGCTTGAAGCATTCTCAGTAGAGTAATATAGCGACTCGTCGGACGGCTCCGGTGAGGACGACTGTAGCAGAGATGGGTAGTTTCCAAGTAAGCCATTCGTGTGCCTTTGTCGAATTTGGCTCTGCTCGATCTCGTCCTCAGGTGCGACGTCGGCTCGCAGCCTGTAGCATGACGGATGTTGACCCGATTTTTTTGCCTTCCGTTCAGCATTCTTGAGGTCGGCTCTCCAACGAAGCCAACGTTCCTTTGCGGCCGGAGAGACGAGTGCATCATGAGGAAGGACGGGCATACCCTGCTCCGCCGCAAACTCAGTCGCTCCCTGGGCGCACAGAAGATTCGGTGGAACGCGTCGAAGAGTCAACGGCTTGCTAGTATGCTCGTAGACCATGCGTGCTAAGGAAATGGGGTTTTTGATTTCTGGAAAAGTTAGTAGACATGATGCAGATGCTGCATAGTACTCACGAGCTACAGCGCCTACAGCGCCACTGCGTCCGAAGTGATCTACAACCGACGCATCGCACTCTACCACTCCGTCCATGGCAAGGTTGCTTCCATAGCCAGCGTTGGTGATCTCTCGGTCCTCAAGCAATTTGATAGCAGCCTCTATGGCATCTATCGCGCTGCCGCCGTTCTTCATGATGCACATGCCAATTGCAGCGGCACTGCGAGATGTCAGCCTTGTTCTTTTTGATAGCCTCGGGTGAAGCTCTCAGCGAAGAAACCTACTCGTTGCACGCTTCTAGGTGTATCCTCTCGTTCTGATGGCTGTGATAGCCGGCACCTGCGTGGACGTATATGGCGCATACTTCGTCCGCGGGCAGCAGGCTACGCGTCGCTTTTCGTACAAGTTGCTCAGCAGGGTAAGCACCATCGTAGTGGCGAGTGGAAGCCGACATGTCCTTGGAGAAGGAAAAGTGTCGACGGAAGTTTCGGAATCGCGAACCCAGGTCTCAACGAGGTGCTCTTGTGGAGCTTTGCACGATCGAGCGGCGGTGTCCGTGAGGACGCGAACTCGACTTGAGTAGCAGTCTTGTCGCAAAGCTTTGAAAGGTTCGCGAGTGTTTTGATGATTTTTGCGGTGTGGAAACGGTAGTCAAGTGCTCATGAGAGGCTCGAGTAGGCCGAAGTTGAGAAGATGGTAGGTGAGAGGTAATTGGCGCTAGGAGTGAAGTGAATGAATGAATGAAAATGAATGAAAGTCGCGTCCACGTTGTGAGAGAAACTCCACTGTTTGAGCGGCGTGGTAGTGAGCGGATGGGCTCGGTGAGCGCTGGTGGTCAGTAAGAGAAATCAATAGCAAGGCCGTGTTGGCGGTGCAAACGGGAGCTCCTTCCCCTTGAGCTACTCAGGCCATGTGGCAACCGAACATCATCATGTTATGGTGTGTGAATATGCAAACCGCAACATTGACACGAATTGAAGGAGGAAGGAACGAGCTTGACATGCTCGAGCTTGAAATACCTGAGGAGCTTCCCCGCCATCTCTTTCGTCCGCTCCGCCCCGCCCTTGGCGCGCATCAGCGGTGCCTGATTCGGAGCAGCCAACCCACATCCTCCAACCTCCGCCATCCCACCACTGACGAACACACCTCCGCACCTTCTTTGCGCATACGAACCATTGCCAGCGGGCACCTCCTGAACAGCCCGAGCTTGTGAGCGTACCGCACACAGCAGCAAAGATGGCGTCTCAAACCCCCGCCGTTGTCATGGACAAGTAAGCTCCTAGCTGCCTGTGGGCCCTTGCATTGCGATTGAGTACTGACGGACGCCTGCAGCGGTACGGGATACTCGAAGCTCGGTACGAGACACCTCGCCAGTACATTGCACCACTCGTAGTAACAGCTTCCCCCAGGTTTCGCCGGCAACGACTCCCCCTCCTTCGTCTTCCCTACCGCCATAGCCACGCGAGGGCCAACAGGCGGCGGCGGCAGCTCCGGCTCTGGCCGCCCTGCGGTTGCGAACAAGCCCTCTTTCCTGACCGGCGGTGCTGGCCCCAGTGGTCACCTGTCGGGGAAGCGCGGTACTGAGGATTTGGACTTCTACATTGGCGACGAAGCTCTCTCCGCCGCAGGAGGCTCCGGCTATGGCATCAACTACCCCATCAGGCACGGTCAGATCGACAACTGGGTACGCATGGACATATATATATGGGAAGAGATGGTGTACTGATAAGTGGCAGGATCTCATGGAGCGCTTCTGGTCCAACTCGATATTCAAGTACTTGAGAGTCGAGCCGGAGGACCACCACTTCCTCCTGACTGAGCCTGTAAGCAGAGCCGTCGTACTAAGCAGAAAGCCTGAGCTGATATAAGGGTAGCCGCTGAATCCCCCGGAGAACCGTGAGGCCACGGCCGAAATCATGTTCGAATCGTTCAACGTCGCCGGTTTGTACATTGCTGTGCAGGCTGTCCTTGCCCTCGCCGCCTCCTGGACGAGCTCTAAGGTCCAAGACCGATCGCTCACTGGTACCGTCATCGATTCTGGTGCTGGTGTTACTCACGTTATCCCCGTCGCTGAAGGCTACGTCATCGGCTCTTCGATTAAGAGTGTACCAATTGCTGGTCGCGATATCACGCAGTTCGTTCAATCGCTTCTCCGAGAGCGCGGCGAGTCGGACTCATCCCTTGCGACCGCTGAGCGCATCAAGGAGGAGTACTGCTACGTTTGCCCGGATATCGTCAAGGAGTTTGCGCGCTACGATCGCGAGTCGGACGACAGGTTCAAGCAACACACCGTCACATACGCGAACGGAAAGACCACCACCGTCGACGTCGGTTACGAACGCTTCTTGGCGCCCGAGATCTTCTTCAACCCCGAGATCTACTCCTCCGATTTCCTCACTCCTCTCCCTACTATCGTAGACAACGTTATCCAGACCTCGCCCATCGATGTGCGAAGAGGATTGTACAAGAACATTGTCTTGTCTGGTGGTTCGACACTGTACAAGGACTTTGGTCGCCGCCTGCAGCGCGACATCAGGCATCTGGTAGACGCCCGCATCAAGGCTTCGGAGGCACGTAGTGGAGGTGCGAAGAGTGGTGGTCTGGATGTACAGGTCATCACACACAAGAGGCAAAGACACGGCCCATGGTTCGGTGGATCTTTGCTCGGTCAGACACCTGAGTTCAGGAGTTACTGCCACACGAAGGCAGAGTACGACGAGATTGGTCCCAGCATTGTCCGACGATTCGCACTGCTGGGTGGACCGGGCAGCACCTAGACATACAAGGCAGAGAGTACGACGGTGCGGTGGAAGGAGGAGAACCTTGAGCGTGATTGCAAGCATTGCAAGAATCTAAGAAATCAAGCCATATGATCACACATGCTACAGTTCATCGAGCGCAGAGAACACGCAGTTCAAAGCTCACCCCATGAAGGTGATTTCAGCAACGAGAAACCCTGCAGCTGCCAATAGAAATTTTCTTGACAGCGTCACTATCACTAAATGCGACCCCAGCTTTGATTCCATCAAATCTCATTCGGATATGATCGCACCGTAAGAAGAACGGTAAAACAATAGTGACAAAGTGTAGCTGGACCTGAGTGGCCCCGAGGCATCACACGTCCCCGTTTCCCATTTATGCAGCAGCGTCCCGCGCGACTTCCTCCTTCACACCATTCTCCGACTTCTCCTCACCAGCTTTCCCCTCCTTCTTCCTCAACACAGCAACACCCTCCACATGCCCCGTCTGCGGGAAAAAATCAAACCCCCTCAAGCTCTCCAATTCATAACACCCCTCTCCCGTCCCACACCCACCATCCACGCCCTTCATACCTCCCACCAACACCCCGATATCACGTGCTTGCGTGTGCACATTGCAGCTCACATACACCACCCTCGCGGGTCCATACTGCACCAACTGCCTTAAGAAACTCTCATCACACCCCTTTCTCGGCGGATCGAGCATGACGACTGTTTCGGAGGCGGGCGAGGTGATGGAGGCGAAGAGTTTACTCGCATCCGCCGCAATAAACCGTGCACGATCGGGTGTCAAGCCATTGATCTCCGCGTTCTCCGTTGCGCTCTTGATACTGCTCGAGCTCACATCGATGCCCAAACTGCTCTGAAACAGGCTTGATAGAGTGATGGTGAATAGCCCGGAGCCTGAGTATGCGTCGATTAGGTAGCGTATTTTGTGACCAGGGTTTGAGGGAAGGATATGCGAGCGGATGTACTGTGTGAAGGGAGGCAGGATGGAGTTGTTATTCTGGAAGAACGAGCCGGCCGGGTTGATGAAGCGGAAGTCGTCGATGTACTCGACTGTTCGCGCGTTCGGGTCTGTGACGCAGGTTTTCCGGTGGATGTGGGCACCCCTGTCTTCATCGACGGCGTCGGGATCTTCCTTCTCTACGCTTGGGTTGTATTCTTCTTTCGGTATGCGCTGGGTGTTTTCACGTAATAAGATCGTGGCGCCTTTGTGGTAGGAGGAGAGCGTGTCTACGACGCGTTTTCGTTCGCGTTTGTTGCCTGCGCGCACAGCGTCGGTGCCGATTGGGCAGTCTTCGATGTCCATCGTTATCCGGGTTCCTTTCTTCATGAAGCCGATGGTGGGGACTTCTTTAAAAGAGCGCTTTATTCCGTTGCGGCCGTCGCTGCGCCGCGAGTCTGGGGGGCCGTCAAAGTGAGGCGTGAGCTTTGTGCGGTATCCGTATTGCAGCGGTGAGCCGATGGTATCACCGATTGCGGGAATGAGCTCGGGGGCCAGGTTGGAGAAGTTCTTGTATGCGCGCTCGACGATGGACTTCTTGTGTTGAAGTTGGTAGTCGTACGGCAGCATTTGGAACTGGCATCCTGAGCATTGCGAAAAGTACGGGCACTTGACAAGTGATTCGTCGCGGTGCGGTGAGGGCTTGCTGACTTTGACGAAATCGGCCATAGAGTACTTTTCCTTCTCGAAGTGCTTGAAGATCTTGGCTGTCACGGTGTCGCCAGGTGCGGTGAACGGGACGGCATACACTTGGTCCGAATCGGAAGCTTCCTGGAACCCAAGACCGTCTCCCGTAGACGAGAGCTCCTTGATTGTGACTTGGATTTCGCTGAACTTTTCAGGGAGTTTTGTCGAGACGTCTTTCCCTTCTCTTTCCAAGTTGAACTTCTTAATCAAAGCAGTGACGTCTTCCAGCAAAACTTCTTCAGTACTTCCGTTCGTCTTCAAGACCTGACTGCCCACAGCATGTCCGTTCTTCATCCTCTTGTTCTTGAACCTGTAGCTTCCCCGTGACCCTTCTTCGCTCCTCAATGGGGTCTCGAACTGCCTTTTTGCGCCATTGCTCTCGATCGGCGCCACGTGATCTGCTGAAGAAGCCATGCTGTATCGTGATGTTTGGCAAAGCCTCCGGCTCGTCCAAAGCGTCCGCAGCGGTCGTGTCAAAGCCCGGGTGGACATTCCAGACTCTCACGCGGTCAAACAAAAAAGTTCATGTTAGTCACTCAAAAGGGAAAGGCGGCGATTGGCTAGCGCTGGGGACGCATGATTATGTCAGCCATTTTTCGCAGCGGAGGGTCGAACTTCAGCAGCGAGGGCAGGCATTGCAGCGCGCGCAGATCTCGCCCTCCCACCCCCTCTATACACCCAATTGGCCTCCATCGGGACGGCTCCCAGCACAATGAGCGTCTGCCGGCCTGCGCGATGCCTCTTCGCCAAAGCGACGGCGTCGGCGCTCCCTAAGCCGACGCCGCAGCGCTCCTTCCACTCGTCGGCGCCGCGAGCAGCTCGCAGGCGACGGCCGCACTATCCCTCGATCAAGGCGGAGGACTTGAAGCAGCTGAGCGAGTTCGCCGAGGCCGAGTACCCCAAGTACGACACGAGCGAGTTCGGCCTGCTGGAGAAGCAATACACGCCCGCCCAGATTGCCGCCATCAAGGCCGCCGAGTCCGCCATCGACACCCGCGACCTCGTCACGCAGGCCTCGCAGCGGACAGACCCATGGCGGCTGCCCTATGAAGACAACCTGGCCGAGGTCGATCCCGTGACCGACCACCCGGAGAAGCTGGACGCCAGTCACATCCCCGGCAAGCTGTCGCTCCGGGAGGCCAACGAGGTCGAGCGCGACGCGAACATTGCCCGCATCGCCTCGGAGCAGCTAGCCAAGATGTACCCCGACGGTGTCCCTGAGGGCCAGCTGGACCCCGTGGAGCAGCAGAAGCTGCAGGAGGCCATGGAAGCCGCCCTCACACAAGCCACGCTCGACCCGCGCTCGACATACACAGGCAAGAACCAGGCCGCCATCGACACCCTCGCCGACCCGCGCCACTCCATCATTGCCCCGGACCTGCCGCGCCTCGAGAACCGCATGGCCCGCCAGACCCGCCGTCTCTCGACCGAGGAGGCGGAGGACCCGCGCCAGAAGCGTCTGCTGCAGTACATGGGCTGGGACAAGCAGCAGCTGAAGAAGATCCGCACCAAGACGCTCGTCGCCCACGGCGTCACCAACCAGACGCGCATGGGCAAGATCAGGAGTATGTACTACCTGACTATTGCGGGCAACCAGGACGGTTTGCTCGGCGTGGGCGAGGGCAAGAGTGTGGAGCCCGAAGAAGGGCGGAAGCAGAGCATCATGTCTGCCATCAGGAACATGAAGCCCGTGCCGCGGTACGAGAACAGGACGACGTTTGGCGATCTGGAAAGGAAGGTCGGCGCGACCAAGGTGCAGCTCTTTGCCCGGCCGCCAGGTAAGCCAATACTCTGCTCGCAATTTGGAACTTTCATCATGTGCTGACATGGATAGGCTTCGGTCTCCGCGCCCAGCACCTCATCTTCGAGCTCGCCCGCGCCGCCGGCCTGCAGGACCTCGCAGCCAAGACCCCGCGCTCGCGAAACAAGATGAACGTCATCAAAGCCACGTGGGAAGCGCTGACGGAGCAGAGGTTACCGGACGAGATTGCCCGCGCGAGGGGGAAGAAGCTGGTCGACGTGCGGAAGGTGTACTACGGCGGCAGCGTGCATTAAATGTGTATGATATATTGAGCAGGGTTAGGGGATTGTACCATGTGCGTCGCATTAGGGTTGATTGCATTGTGTTGGGCAGCGTAGCACGCGTAGCATTGTATAAATTTGTATTATACGTCTACTCCTGCGAATTGTTATTGGGGTATCATGTCATTCATGCCATCCTCTGTCCTCTAACACCGTCTCTTCTTGCCATTTGAGAATTTCCCCTTCTCCATCTCAGAGACCTGCAACCCACCAAGGCCTGTCCACTCCCTCTCCTTTACCTCACACGCTCACTGCCCCCATCCCTCCTCACTCCCCTGGCCCTCCCCTGGCTCTTGCTGCCCATGATCCTGAATCTGCTGATTCAGGACGATACTATACACACTCGCCTTCAACAGCGTGAAAACCAGACTGGTCTTTCTCTCCAGGCCCCTCAGCCCATCGAGCATCGCTGCGCTGGGCTTGTCGCTGAGTTCTGCCAACAGCGTAGACATCTACATCATGCATTAGCCACCCAGACGAGAAAGAGCCTCCTAGACGAGAAGGAGCCTCCTAGACGAGAAAGAGGGGGAGCGCACGTCGTTCAGATTCCCCAGCAACCTTGCATACTCGTCCAGCACTTCTTGTTCCAGCGGGCTCAGGCTCTCTTCGTCTTCAAAGTCGCCGCGGTGCGAGGTGGTGGATGCTTGGAAGTCTTGTGTGTCGGCCATGTTTGCTCACTCCTAATTCCTTCTCTTCTGAACCCGCTCCGGGTCTTGCTCAGTACGATTTGTTTCGAGACGTGCGGCCGGGTGTGAACGAAGGTTGTGAGGCGCGTGCGAAAGTGTCGCGTAGGACGCCTATTGAAGAGCTGAGAAATGCGCTGTGGAGTTGGAAGAGTTTCAAATTCTCGTCAAGGTAAGTCTTGTGGCTAGTTGCGTGAGGTTGCTGTGTTTGGCGCTGTGTTATGCGAAGTACACAAGGTGGTCGCCGCGGCCAGCGCGGGGAAGACGCGACTTCCGATTGCTCGGTTCTTGGCACAGTGCACCGTCACAACTCAGTCAAGTCCATCATAAGCACAGATCATTCACATGTCTGCTATTGCTATCTATCGTGCACAATGCGTCCCCCTCCTCGACCTCCCTTAAGTATCTCATCCGTGACTGTAATGAAATCGACCAACCATGAACGCTCCTAATGATAATCAACGCCAAAGAATTTTACGAGACGCTCGTTGACTCTCGTCTGCGAAGAGTCTGAGGTCAATGCTCCAACAAACGCCGTTGCCGTGAGAAGTGTCCAATATCTATCAGGTGTAGTAAATGAGTGGAGCTGAGAGTAACGCATCCGAGCGTCTCCCATATCGATATGTAGAAAGTAAAAGGCAAGTTCTCTGCTGTCGAGATGGTGGTCAGATCACGCCTGATACTACCGCGAGCCCTGGTTTTGTTGTGCGAGGTGGTCGTGGTCGGTTGCTCCGTGGCTGTGGTCATCACCATCGTGGTGTAGGGTGACGCTGTTGAACTCCTCGAAAGGATCCGCAATCTCACCCATGGGGGTCGCAAGGCCAGAGTCCAGTGGCACACCCTTGGTCTTTGTTGATCCAATGTCGACACTTTGACTCTCCTTGACATTTCTGAAGTTGGGTGTCTCGATTCCGTGGCCCTGGTGAGGAATGATGGGGGGTTTCGAGTGACGCAACAACGCCCATTGCGTAGTGCGGAAGAAAGGTGCCGTCTTGATGTCAGAAGCACCAGCACGAGATCCCAGTCGTCGAGTCTCGTCCTTGATCAGGAGCTTACGAATGAGCGACTTGCAAAGGCTGCTTGTTGTCAGTGTCTTGGAGGATTGTAGACCATGCAGTACTTACTTGGAGACTGGCGGCGCGCCAGAGCCCTCGGGGAATGGCACCTCATCCCTCAAAATGTTGGCGAAAGTTGCATTGCGGTTCTTGCCCTTGAAGGGCGTTGTCCCGTAAAGCATCTCGTAGATCAGGATACCAAGTGTCCACCAGTCGACAGCACTAGTGTGTCCGCAGCCCTTGATCACCTCAGGTGCAATGTACTCCTCCGTCCCTACAAACGAGTTCGTACGGAAGTTGTTAATACACGACTTCGTGTCTATCGTTGGTAGGTTGCTCGACGAGGTACCATTGCGGCCGCTGAGGATCATTGTTGGGCGACCACCAGGTTCTGACTGTTTCGACAAATCGAAGTCTGACAACATGATGTGGCCGGACTGATGCAGCAAGATGTCTTGGATCGTTAGCGGAGAAACTTGCTAGGTAGGGTATGAACATACTCTCTGGCTTCAAGTCGCGGTAGATGAAGCCCATCAGATGCAAGTACTCCAGTGCAGCCGTGACTTCAGCAGCGTAGAAGCGCGCCGCATCCTCGTCTACGCACTTGTTCGGTCGGGTCTGAAGCGCTCTGAAGAACTCACCACCGCTGCAGTATTCCATGCAGAGGTAGAGGTGGTCCTCTGACTGAAACGAGTGGTACAGAGTAACAATAAAAGGGTGGTTGCTGGTAGCCAGGATCTCCTGCTCGGCGAGCGCACGCTTAATCTTGTTACGTTTAATCATCTCCTTCTTGCTCAGCACTGCCATCTGTCAGCATAGTCATTCACGTCGGCTCGTTGCGCTCACCCTTCATAGCATATAGCCTGCTCGACTTCTTCTCTCGCACCAAGTACACCTTGCCGACATCGCCCTTGCCGATCAGCTTGATCTTGTCGAAGCTACCGGGTCCAACTTCTACGTTGCGGACCTTGATCGAGTTGGAGCTATATGTTCTCCGGAAAGCTACCGATTGGCGGATCTGACCGGGTGTGGGAATGCCCTTCGATGTGTCTACAGGTGCCAGGTGGTCTGAATCTTGCTGGACCGTCTCAACCATGCTGAGCGTCGAGGAACTGGGGTGGAGCAGGACGGGCTGCTTGGCGAGCTCTGCGGTCTGCGGCCTTTCAGCGGACTTGCCAGAAGAGAAGAGGCCTTGCGCATTGGGTGCAGACGCTACCCTTCGCAATTTCCTTGCCAATTCCTCCTTGCCAGCAGCGGTGGCCTGGTCATTCGCTCCACTGACTGCTTCTACTTTGGTCGTTGGTATGCCTGGCGTGTCGGGCGGGGTCGACGGTACGCTACCTTCATTGTGGTGGCGGAGGGCAGGGGGACCCTGGTGCTGGAAGTAGGGGTTGGCGTGTGCGGTTGGTGACACGGCGTCGTCCAACGGATTGCCCTCGCTCGTGACGGTCGTCGAGCGATTACGGGAGATGTGCGGCAGGAAGCGGGAATGGCGCGACCCGGACTTCTCGTTCTTGGGGGTGTGGATGCCATTGGCCTCGTCCGAGTGTTTACGCGTGTCGGTGCTGCTGTTGATGCGGAAGAAATTCTTGATGCGCTGCGAGACCTGGCCGTCCTTGCCGTTGACGGGCTTGTTGGTGGACAGCGGGTTGCCGGAGAAGGTGCGCTTCTCCGTCATGGTGGTGTTGGTTGACGAGTGCGAGGAGCTGAAGAGCTGCGTCATAGCCGGTGCGAGAGGAGCGTTGTGCTGCTGCAGTCAAGAGGAGCAGCGTCACCAGACCGTAGTCGGGGAAGGGCTGCAGAGGTCGGCGGCGTGGTATGTGTCGTGAGTGGGTCAGTGGGCCATGGCCAACCTGGGTGATGTCGATATCAGGGCTCGCCGGGGGCGTCTGTGGCTGGAGCGCAGCGGAGCGTTGTGGCGGCCGGCTCGAAAGAATGTCGCTCACGGGGCGGCGAGCGTGCAGGCGGGAGGAATGTGGGCGAAATTTGGGGGGGGGGGGGGGGGGGGGGGGGTGGCAGCGGTGCAGCGGTGCAGCGGTGCAGTGTGTCCTTCACTGCGGAACAGAGGGCACAGCGGAGTGAAGTAGTCCTCCTAGCTGCGGTAGATACTGGGTGCTGGCCAACAGGGCAGCCAGAGCCGTGACCGCGCCAAAAGTGCAGCGGCGAATGATGGATAGGGAAGCGGGGCCTCTAGAACCCTTGTCGACGAAGGCTTGCCTAGGGAAGCCGCGTGTGAAGCTGCACGGTCGAACAGCGGAGAAGAAACGAACAGTGTGTCTCGATGCAGTCTGGCGAGCTGATTGATTGATCGCTCAGTCTACTGCTGCCCCTCTCTTGCATTTCCAAGCACTGCGCAAGCACCGCGCAAGCATCACTGCGCTGCTGATGCACCGCGACGAACAAATGTCTCTCTGGTCAACTTATCCGCCATCCGCGCCCACTGCGCCTCACCAAAGCCTCGAACCGGCATCTCCCCCACGATGACACCAACCTCGATTTATCAGCACGCAGCAACACCCAAACGTCATGGTGCGCTTCCGAGTCGTATTCTGTTTTGCCCGTGTTGCATTGCTGCGCTTCCATTCTGCCCTCTGACTTCACCTTATCTCCACCATCTGTGTCTACCGTATGTTGTTCAGCTGCGTTGGCGAGCATGTCTGCCAATTCACCGGGGTCACTGCCGTTCAACGCTAGATTCGTTCTGGAACCCTTGCTCTTCGGGGAAGCTCCACCAGGCTCCCCGTGAACCTCCGCTGACTTGAGAACGTGCTCACACTATCGTTACAGACCAAACTCACCACATCGCAGAAGCACGGCTTTCAAACACTATCTTATTATACTATGCAAAAGGCTGAGTATACCAACCATATAATCATACAATCGTCGAAGACCTGAGCCAGGCGTCGAAGCACAGGAGGCAGGCCGAAGTCTGAGTACAAAGAGACGACTTGAGCCAAGTCCAACTGCCCGCAACCACCAGTTACCAATACTCGTATAGTACACTGCCCCTGGACAACGCTGTAAACCTTGTATGCAATCTGCAATATCTTGCTGAACTCCGTAGGAAAGATGATCGAATGGTAAACCCAATGGACACGCGTTCGGCTGCAAGCGAGGCAAAGAGACGCGAATGACGACGTGTCGAACTCAGTGCAAGACGAAAGAGATATCGATGCTCGAAGCGAGTCAGACATCCAGAATCTGTCCAAGTCGTGACGTTCAACGTGTGAATCGCTCAGCGTCGGCCGCCGTTTCTGCGACTCTCCTCCTCGCGGTACTCCTCAATCTCAGCCTTCTCGGTCTGCTTGATGTGGTCGAAACGCCTCCTCCACTTCTCCGAACGCTTCACCTTCTCCTCCGAGGACATGCCACGAGGGTCTTCCTTCTTCGAGCGCCTGAACCTGTTGGTCACTTGCTCAAGCTTCGCCTTAGCAGGAGAGTGTTCACCAGACTTCTTGGGCGAGCTTGGTGCATTAGCGGGCGAAGATGCCGCCGTGTCTTGTGCGGACCCAGTAAGCTTAGTTGGCGAAGAAGTCATCCTCTGCTTGCCCTTTCCGCCGGAAGGCTTGAAGCAAGACGCACCCGTCTCTTCGGCATCGACAGACGTGGGCGCAGCAGTTGATTGAGCGGGACGACCGACAGGCGAACGGCGATCATCGACGCTCGTCTCCATCACCAAGTCAGCCAGATCATCCATGGCACCATCTAGCCCTGAGACGCGGTTGTTAGCGAAAGGCCGAGCTGCGGATATGCTGTTTCCACCGTGTCCGCTGGGGCCGATTTCCTTGTGAACTGGGTAGAAGCGCTGCATCGTCTGAGGGTTGGCGTTGGTGCGATTGGCGAACTGGTTGCCAGAGAACTGACGGCCGAAACCACTGTTCGCCGCCTGCAAATTCGAGCGGGGTGCACTACCTTTCTCCAGTATCTTGTTCATCTCATTCTCGGGACTCGGATACGATGAGACGTGTCGATAACCATTAGACATCCTCTCGGGGAATAGGCCGGTAGGGTTGGGGTACTTCGCGCTCAGATCGTTGAGCTGATGGGGCTCCTGCGTGAACTCGATGCCCGGAGCAAAGGAGGCTGGAGCGTTACGAATAGTGCCTTGTGGACTGTAGGCGGAGTCTCGACGAGAGCTCATAGTCCCATTCCCCTGGCTGGTACGCACATTCTCTTGACTGCCCACTGGAGCCTCATTGCGACTGAACGTCATGCTGATGGCGGAGTCGTGTGGGGTAGAATTAGCGACAAGGCCATGTAGCGATGGCGTGCGAGAGTCGGCAGTCTGTGGACGTGAATCGCGAGCAGACGCGCTGCTACGTCGATTGTTCAAAGAATCGGCTAGGAAAGTCAGCAGACCTTGGATGTATCCTTGCAACACTTCGGGGCTGTCAGGCATGCCGACATGGTCGTAACCGGCTTGGAAGCCTTCTTGATAGGTGGAAGGAATGTGTGCCACGGCTTTGGGCACGTTGAACGGCCAGATCTCCTCTGTCGCGGTTCGCTGTTGAGCGTGGTCTTGAGTAAGCATGGTGTTGCTGGAAGCAGTGTGCAGGCTGCTACTCGTCTGCAAAGCACGGTTCTGTGCTGGCACGGAAAACTGGTTGGATGCTTCTTGCTTCAGAGGTGAGAGGGATTGTGGCTTCCCAAATGCCTCCGGCCAAGATCCGATCTTCGGTGCCGGCTCGTCATTCCTCGATCGGCTTGTGTTGTCCTCATTCCAAGGGCTCGCGGGCCAGCTCTTCTCTGGAGTCGCCGGAACGATTCTGTTCTCATCCCGGGTTGGCTGGGGTGCACTAGTCGTGGGAGCCACTCGAGTGGATGAATGCTCATGAGTGTTTGTGGGAAAGAAGTCCGTAGTGTCTACGCTCGATAGGCTAGGCTTGTGGGATAGCGTGCGGCTTGGCTGTGCACCGGACTGAGAAGCTTCTTGTTGACGCCAAGGCGAGCGCTTGTTTGGCGAAGGTGTAGGAGGAACAGTGTCCTTGACTGAACCGCTCTTCGGCTCGTATGTTGGGCTCTTGGGGTCTAGGGCAGACGATGCTTGCTTCTTGGACTCCTCGTGTGGTGGCTTGATCTCGATGGCACGCGAGCGTCGATTGATCGATCCAGGAGAGTGCGGGAGTGGGTTCACAGGAGGTGGAACGAACGGCGCTGGATCCACGCTCGGAAAGCCTGGGAACGTACCGAAAGGCGGTGGGTACATCATCATTGGCGCGTACGGGTTCGTTGCAGGGTACCCATACATGGATTGAGCGAGTGGCTGCTGGTATGGAGGCATGAACGAAGAGAGAGGAGCTGGTGCCGCCATCGCGCCGACTGCATTCGTTGAAGCATTCTGTTGGTTCGCGGTCGCAGGATCCGACTCAAGGGCTGAGATATGCTTGCGTAGCGCGTCAAGCTCAACGATCAGGCCCCTCTTTTTCTCGATCATGGAAGCTCTCCAAGTTTCGGTTTGGTGATTGGATTGCAATACCTCGGTCTGTTCAACGGTTCGAAGCTCTTGCTTTTTGACTGCCTGCTGGGCCTTGAGCGTTGGAAGGTCCAGTCCTGTGAACGGTGTCTGAGAGCTGGCGCGCGATGGACCGAACGACAGCCCAGGCAGAGCACCCTGAGCTGAGAGAGGGGCAGTCTCATTGACCTGTTTGGCAAGTGCCTCATCGGCCACTGGTGTCGTTGGGGGCATTGTAGGTCCGCTGTTCACTGCTGGAAGGGCGAACATACGGTCGCCAACAACAACAATAGGCTGACCACCGACGACCTCAATGCGAGCTCTGTTGTTCGAAGACACCTGTGACTGCGCAGCCATGATGTTGCCAGGCGCGGCGCGTAGAGCTTGAGGGTTGTAGATGTTGAAGCTGGGTCGAGCACCTAGCGGTGGAAGATCTCCAGGCACAATACGCCCACCTGCTGTCACTCGCAAACCGGGAGGGCTACCGTGTTCTTTGAGAAGTCTCTCCGCCTTGCCGCGCTTGACCGATGGAGATGGCGATGGTCGCTTGTAGGTCGCTGTAGGCGCAGTCGCTGGAACGACTTCTGGCGTGACCTCGCGAGGCGCCTCGGATGCAGCCGCCCTGGGTACGAAAGATCGTAGGCTTCTATCGGACCTGCGGCCGATCAATTGCGCAGAAGCGGTAGGACGTAGGACGTGTTCTTGTAGACCAGTTAGTGTTGATGTAATGGACAACACAGATTGGTTGAAGAGAAGGGCTGAGTAGTGGGAGGAGGCAACCTATAAGCGAGAGAGTGTGCTAGGGGGAACGGTCCGCGGAGGCATAGTGGTAAGCCGGTGAGGTGAACGGTGAGGGGTGAAGGCAAGGTCAACGCTCACCTTTGATCACATCCTCATCTGCAAACTTGTCCAACGACACGGCCGATTCAGAGACCGAGTCGCGTAAGGCGAGCAGCTCTTCTACCTTGTATGCGGGAGCCATGACGGATGATCCGTTACCCTATGCGGGTGTGTGGTTGATCGTTGCGTTGGTGTCCTGTTTAGGTGTGGCCGGCAATGAAGCAGTCGATGTTTGTCCAGAGGAGCAAGATGTGAAATGGTGTGATGCGAATATCCTAGAGTGGTTGTCAGTAAATGATCACTGCTTGAAGCGCTCCAGTGGCGCTGGGTTCCGTGGCGGCAACGACATACCTCAAAGCTGATCTAAGGGGGGGAGGGGGGTGCAAAGCGAACGAGTGGCAGCTATCCAAAAAGCCGAAGAACAGCAATGCGAAAGAAGACAGAGAAGAAGATGGAAGACGAATGAGTGCGTTGTGAAGACGAAGAGAAGAAACAGGGGACTGGAGGTTATGAACTGCATCCTGTTGCACCTCCCTCGATCATTGCGTAGTGATCGTGCTGCACAGGAAGGCATGAATGAGATGGAAAGGCTGGAGAAGGGCACACCGTGAGGAGGTCAAGCTCGAGGCGGGTGGACGCAACTGCCCTGGAACTGGCAACAGACGCAAGCCAGGAAGGCGCACTGCCAGCAGAAGGACACGACACATGGTGGAAGAGAACGAAGGATACAGAAGACATCGCGAACATGCAGATGGAATTTTTCGCGCCTTCGATGCGTCGTTTTGAAACGTATTGGAACGAGAAGTGCGGGTATCATTGCCTTGTCTTTATGGGAGCCTTCGCTATGCAGTTTGGAAATGGACCATACAACGCCGAGCTAAAATAACACGCCTACAACACTGGTCTTCAGTATGCCGTTGGATACCATCAGCTCACCTCCTGCGGGCAGCCCTTGTGGTCGGCGCAGGCTCGAATGCATCGTCATCATCGGATATCTCGTCATCGCTCTGCAAAGGAGTTAGTTCCACTACGTCTTAGCTGGTCCGGAGGCGTCACTTACGGGTTCAGCAGCCTTCTTTCTTCGTGACGCAGTACCTTGCGTAGGCTGACTGCGTTGTGTGGAAGGTTGGGAGAAGTTCAACGCAGTCTGCTTGCTCACTGCTGGCGCTCTCGTCCGCGCAGGTACCGGTGTCTTCTTGACAGGCGACTTCACCCTAGCTGGTGCTTTTGCAGCTGGCGCCGCCTTCTTTGCAGGCGCCTTCTTCGCTGGCTTTACGAAAAGGTCTTCCGCGCTTTCTTCGTCGTCGTCACTAATCATGATTGCATCGCCATCCTCATCTTCTTCCTCCTCTTCCTCCACAACCTTCTTCTTGCCACGTGTGCCCTTAGCAGCTGGAGCGGCCTTCTTCGTCGCTGCCGTTTGACGAGTGGCTCCTGTAGCTTTTGCACGGCCGCGCGCAGCAGGTTTTCGTGTTGGTATAGAGCCCAGGTCGTCATCGTCCTTCTCAGCTTCGTTGTCTGAACGTATCAGGGCTCCAGGTTGGTCGTTCCATGGCCCGTCTTCTTCGCTGTCCCACGTTACTGGCTTTGGTTTGGTTTTGGACTTGCGAGTCTTCTTGAGCTGCCCCGAAGCAAAAAGATCCTCTAATCGCGATCGGTACTGCTCCATTTCATTTGCGATCTCGGACTCGTCGACTTCGTTCGCGTCCATCAAGTGCTTGAGCTGGTTTTTCAGGCTCTCATTCACGAACTGTTCCATGGCATGCTTGTCATCCTTGTTGACGAATTGCGACACGGCATCTCCAAACGAGTTCTGCGGCAAGATTGTCAAAGATTGTGCTGTGAGAAATTCTTTGACAAGTTTGTCCACTCCCACTGTACTTAGTGTGATTTCCGCCATGACCTTTTCGTCAGGCATTTCAGCGCTGTTCTTGAGTGTGCCTTTGCATCAGTTAGCTTGTGTCCAGCTTTTTGCAACGTTAGCACACTTACGAGTAGGTGCCTTCTTCTTGCGGTGGAATTGAACGATATCGTTCACGTTGGCGACGCGGTCCATAAATCGATTCGAGAAGCGCTGTGGGTTCTCGACGTTGAACTCGCCCGGTTGAGGCGCTGTGTATTCCACGCGCAGGCGCACCAGAGGCCGAGGAACTTCTACTTCCTCATTCTCATCGCGATCGTCCTGAAGCTCGAGCCACTCTCTCTTAGCTTCTTCGATAAGATCCTCGACAATTTGGTTGAGATGTTGTGTAATCTTTGCGCGATTGTCCGATATTCGCCAAAGCTCTTTTTCCTTGATTTCCTTCTCCTCCGCCAACACGATCTCCTTCATGATGAAGGGACGAACCGACTTCAGGCGTATGCTTTCCGATGTAAACTCCTTTCCAGTGATACTCAGAATAGCAACATGCTTCGGTACGGCTTCTCCAGGCATCAATGAGGTGGCAACAGAGGACCCTGGCTGCATAACATGAAAGCCCATTTCAGGGTTGTAGCGCGGGTCAATCAGGCACTCGTGCTCGTGACCCCAGACGACAAGGTCCATGAAGTCAGGCAGGAAGTTTTCCGGCAAGTAGCTGGTGGGTGTGTGCGCATGATGGTTCTGATGGACACTCATGATGTTGAACCACTCATCCTTCTGTATACCAGGTTGGAAGAACTTGACGTTGCCGTCTCGCCATGTATGAAACAATCGTTCGTCACGGACGTTACTGAGTCCATACAGCGCGAGCTTTGTACGACCTTTCTGAAGGAGCACTGGCTTGACCGCAATCTTATCAACTTCTGGAGTTCGTCCAAAGTAGTTGACCAGACCAGACGCTTGCAATAGGTCCAGTGGTGAGAACGATCCTTCACCGGAAGGATCATCGTGGTTGCCGTGAATTGCGAATACCGGTATGGCGACATTTATATCCTCGTCTTCGTAGTTCACATGGTCGAAGATGCCGCCGAAGTTCTCGCTTGCGTCGCTCAGCATTTCCAGCTCGCAAGGCTTCTCTCCCAGACAATTCTGACGAATCGAGCGCATGACATGGTACATCGACTTCCGTGACGGCTTGTTTTCGTGGAAAAGGTCTCCAGCGTGCAAGACCATATCGACGTCATGCTCCTTCGCCAGAGACATCACTTCGTCGAAGGTCTTCCAGCTGTCGTCCTGGCGGTACGCATCGCGTTCGTTGTAACCGACATGACTGTCTGTGGCGACAAGTATACGAATGGTATCAGCACCTGTATGTTTTGTCAGCTCACCATCCATATATACTGTCTCAATCACCTACCTCGCTGGGTGCCCCGCGCTCGTGGGGGCATTTTATATGGCGGAAAGTGCCCAAACTGTACTCTGGATTCTACGGAAAGTTTCCTGACCTCAAGACAGACCTGACATTCACTTTTAAAAATGAGTGACAGAAGTTGGTAGTGTGCTCACATCGTTGCGAGCAAGTTGCTGCTTCGCGACGCGACTTCCGCCTGAAGCTAGCCGCTAGCGTCTCCGCGTCTTCATGTGATACAGAACGGGAAGAAATCGAGTGCAACCTCCGACCTCACATCAGAGCAGCACATCACAATGTTTCCCACAAGGGTGCTCTGCGCGCGATCGGTCTGGAAAGGTAGGTTGAATTGCTGTCGAAATATCTGCGCCGATACTAATGATAGTTCTTAGGCCCCAACATTCTCCCGTAAGCTACCCCATGAGTCCTCTACTACGCATCGACTAAACGTACAAAGCCTCCCCATTGCGCGAGCAAAGGCCGGCGAACGACAGGCCCCGATTAAAACACAAGCGCGCTCGGCCACCATCCTGCCGAACTTTGTTGGCCTGAAGTTTCAGATCCACAACGGCAAGAAGTACGATGATATCACAATAACGGAGGACATGGTCGGACACAAGCTGGGAGAATTTGCGCCGTACGTCTACACTAGCCATTTAAATTGTCTGAGGACGGCAAAGTATGGACGAATGGCTAACATGGCGTTGACAGGACACGGAAGAACTTCACATACAAGCAGACCAAGAACAAATAGAGACTGGGTCGCAAATGCATCATATGGGAGTTTGGGTATCATTTGTGTTTATCTAGATGTACTGCTACTTGTACAGAACGGGCAGCCTCCCACACTGAGGCTGTGGTTCTTCAGTATCGATTTGACTTCCCATGCGCCTGTGAGACCAAACCAACGCCAATAATGCATGTCCTTCGGCACTCCAAGAATATCACTCTACACACTCGATGCAATGCGCTAGCTGTACTTCGCCAAATACGCAAGCATCACCGGTAGAACTCGCCGCGCTTGATGTTGACGCCGTACTCCCCAACCGCCATACCAAGGTCCTCCATCGTGAGCACTGTCCGTCCTTGACTACCACCCTGACCACCACCGCCGTAGCCTGGCCTCTGAATGCCGAGGTTGTAGTCTTTGGCCTTTGGCCCACTATCCTTACCGCCTTGCGCAGGGGCTGCTGCACCTGGTGCTCCTGCTGCGCCGCCTAGTCCTCCCATAGGATTGTTACTTGTGGTGTTCGACGATCGGATGCGCGAGAACTGGTACGCGTCGGCTGCGATGTCTGCGATGAACTTCTGTGTCGCGAGGGCTAGGAGGCGGGCAAGGTGCTGCGATGTCTGTGGTGGAGGGGGAAGACCAGCGCGTGTCAGGTAGTAGTTAGTGACTGCATCAGGTATCTATAGTTTGTGTTAGTACATAGTTCGTGGGTTTGGTAGGCATGCACTCACTATGGGCGCATACTCGTCCATCTTGCCTAGGAATTCGCGCAATGTGGCGTCCTTCTTTGCGGGTATGCGCTGCTCGAATGCAGCGGTAGCTTCTGGCACTCCATTCGCTGTGGGCGCGTCGTCGTTTGCACCGTTGAGGTTCATGGCATCGGCTTGTGTCGCGTCATGGTTGATCTCGTTCTCCACGGACTGGTCGAGGTCCTCGTTCACCTCCATATTGGTGTCAGGCGGTTGAAATGTGCTGTCGGACATGTTGTGGCGCCCGGCTGCAATGTACAGACGGGGTAAGGAGCGTGAAGTGGGGGGGGGGGGACAGTGAGTTGCGGAGAGCGTGCGGGCGGGCAGCAGAGTGAGCCAAGGCCACAACGGAGCCAATCACCACCGTCCATGCTCAGCGCAGCCTTCACTCTCACCCCAGGCTTGGAGGGTTCAAACACCAAGGAATTCACCGCTCAAATTATTAGTACTACCCTAGAGGCTAATGGCACAGCAAGTTCGTCACCGCCGCACAGAAAGCTACGATAAGATAGCCACATATCATTCACCTGACGGAGCCTCACGCGGCTGCCTAATGATTCATTCGGCAATGCAGCAAACGAACAGCTCCCATGACGACGCTTGACTGCATGCATGTGTGTTGAGGCTAGCGGCTGACAGTATCGAGGGCGAGGTTCGTGAGAACCAACCTACACCTGTTTGTTAACCAGGTCAACCGATCAACTGCAGCAGTGGTTCACGAGTACCATTCGTTCACTCGATCACCTTCTGTCTTCATACAATACTTTGGCCTTTAGCATTGAACTCTCTATGCATCAGCCTTGTGGCCCTGGATCCGCACGCCGGTAGCTAGCACCACCACACCCAGAGTCAGCCCTGGAGGCATCCTGTACAAGGGCACCGAGTCTGAGACACAGCCCAACAACATGGAATCCAGGGAGCTTCTGAAAGTCCAGATTGTGTCACTAGAACCCGTTTGCAGAGTGTATCAAGAAGGAAGAGCTTGTCGTGTGGGTGAGCCAACCGCGAAGGGACTAACGAGCTTACCACCAGAAGTGCTTGAGTTGGTGTACCATCACCTCGACAGCATTGACGATGTGCATAGCTTTGGGCGTGCTCACAGCAAGACCTACCATATCATCAAACGGCAGACAGTCTACACCGAGATTATGCGGTCCATCATTGGGCGATCGTGGGCGCATCGATACGACTTGCAGCTATGCAACATCATCCAGCTTCATCGAGATGTTGTCCGACATTTCCAGCAACACGGCCAACCATTCCCAGTATCTTCTGAGCACAGCGGCCAGGGCTACAATGAGTGGGAATCGAGACTCGCGAGTACGACCATTGTACCAGAATGCGCTTATGGTCCCTGTGCGGCATGCATACCTGACGTTCTAGTCTACGATATTCTGGCACGGTACCAGGGCATGCGAATGCTTGAAGACATATGGCTTAGCAGACAGCTCGAAGAAACAGATCTTCTAGCAGCTGATGCTACCCAAGATGAGAAAGAACTCGTACGCCGGTATGCGTGTGTTCTCGGTCGCGTGCAGGATTTTGAGCAAGGGGACCTTGAAGCCCGGAGTATGAAAGTCCCTGCAACTCATGGTTATACCAAGCTCAATTCGGACCAAAGAGGCAGGTTCCATTCGGCTGTCACGTTCGTCTGGATCCTGAATGAACTTCGCTGGGTACTGACGAATTTTGTATACCCCTCTCGAAGCCATCGTCATATCCAAATACTAGATCGGTGCAGAGCAGACTTCACGGGTCTATGCCACAACCCTTTGCTGGACCAATTGGACCAGCACGCTGTCTTTGCCTTCATGTACCACCACCTGTTGCCTCTGCATAGCCCTGTGTTGCAGGACCAGAACTCGTCAAAGCTTCCGCTTACATTCAACACCGAGTGGTTGACGGATGGCGCACAGTCTTCAAAGTATGCATATCTTCTAAGTACTCTGCGCTTAACTGTTTCTTTGCTGACTTTATGCTTACCGTACGTTAGGTTCTTCCAGCTCTTCCTTCTGGCTGGCCAAACATACTTCCAACCACCAGACCTGATCGACCTTGTCGTGCGCCACAAGATTTCTCAATCAGCTCCATACCCCGAGATGACATTACCAACGACGACTGAACAGTGGGTCCGTCCTTCAAAAGCCTTTACCTTCCCCGCCGACGTCGTCTTCGATGACTACACGAATCGGTTTACACAACTATTCAACACGCACATTTCCCTCATCAATCGCTCTTCCTTCATCCAATCCCAGGCAAACAACATCAACCACGCCTTCCGCCGCTCTCCACCGACATCATCCAGCATTACAGACCTTGCCGGACGCTACTTCATTGACTCTGCTGTTGCTGCGATTGAGAAGGGCGAGAGCTACAAGGAAGGCAACAGGCCTGCACGAGATATGTTTTCCGGAGAGTGGCAAAATCTGGGGATGTGGAGTGTGTGGTGGTGGGCTAACAGCGAGGACAAGGCTCGTGCCATCATTGCAAGATGGGGGGAAAAGCCCAAGACTTCACGAGATCGTAAAACCAATGTGCTGCCTGGCATGCCTCACGTTATGAGAAGTTTCCAATGAGGAGTTTGAGAAGTCTCGATCGTTGATAGTGCGGGTGCTTATTGTCCTAGTACTCACTTAAATTACTGAATCAAGAAGACTTTCAAAGATCGATAGTACCAATCACGATTGTAATCTATTTGAGACGTTGGACAAAGTAATGGTGTGTCGACAACGCAGACCCTCCGCAAGAAGACAACGTGTTCAGGTCGTGTGCTTTCACACAATAAGCAATTCAGGGTTCTTGCAATAATGTGGGGATGGATGCAATTGTCGAGCCCTGGAGGAAGTCGATGAACCCTCGACGTGGGAACACCGGACTTCCTCAGATCGAATGACAGAGAGTAATATCGCTCGAGCCATCGCGAAGGAGTCTAAATAGAGCAAATAGACGAGATTGGAATCGACAGCGTATCGTATCATCGTGTGAATTGGCCAGCATCAATTGTGTAGGAAGACATGGCGGTGCTCTCAGCCGCTCAATGCGGGTAACACATGTCAGAACAAAGTTGGGCAAGCTGCTACACTCGAGCAAGCGCGCCATCAAGTCCCATGCACTTGCACCGAAACAGCATTTCCTACGTTCTCAGACAGAGGCACGCCTTGCCATGTGCTCGGGATCACTCGGAAGGCTCAATGGCCGTCTCCCGTTCTTCCGTGGGCACAGGGATGGCTCGCGCGGGCATGTTCCGAGATTTATTCGAAGGAAAGGCCATCAGCAGCCCTGCACTGAAGCACCAATGATATGTCCTGACAAATTGTGTGCAGCATGCCCGCGTTGGGCTCTCCAGCTGCACGACACATGCAGTTGAGGAGAGCGTGGAGTAGGCAGCAATGCTTCAAGTGAGGGGTGAAATATGTGAGGTCATCACCAAACGTCGCGAGCAAACAATTTTGGTCGCTGAGGGTTCACATCACCGTGCAAGCAGAGACACGCGATGTTCGAGCCTGTCGGGCAGGCGACGATGTCATCTAGTAGGGATTTGCAGCGCGTTCCTCGGCCTGCTGGGCGTGGATTTAGTGAAAGCGGGCCATGCGTGGGTTGTTCTCGGGTCTGCTAGCGATTTTTTTGCGCTTGAAAGTGACCTTGGTCCCCTCATTACTCTGCGCTTGTAGTACCTTTCCGCACACACGACAGTCAATTTTGTCAGGTCAACTGGCTTTCGGTCTGCTTCGATCAAGTCGCCTTTGACACTCGAGACCCTCAGCTGGCCCGTTGTTGTTCCTCGCACGCCAAATATCGCTGCGACTTCGACGCCGAGTGCCTGGAGCCCGCCGTACCTCGCTGCACGTTGACACCTTCGTTCTCCGCACCGACAGCTCATACAGCTTACAGTATCGCCGCCTGCGTGTCTGCTGCTTGTTCGCCGTGAGCGTCACCCAAACAGCCAACCCAGGCTTTGCCCAAAGGTTAGTCCTGCTCGCTACCTGCTTGCTACTTGCGCCCGAGGCTTGTCTTGAGCCGCAGCACCTTTCCACCCAGCCTGCCGTCTTGTCGAGAGTTCAGTCGAGAATTCACTGCTGCTCACTGTCACGTCAACTCGGTTGTAGTGCTTTGAAGCGCTCTCACAAAAAATCTTTAAATTTTGTACATTTGCCGGATATCCACCGCAAACTTCTTTTCAGTGGCTCAATTTGGCTATATGACCTAGACTCTACTCTCGACACCTCCTGCCTTCAGCCACTACGTCAGCATCCTTGCTAACGTCTTTTGGCGCAGAGCTCGTGCGAGTGCTCCGGAAGTTCTTCCGAACTTAATTCATTCTTCGTGGTTGCGCTCAACTCGACCAGTCCCGAGGTGCCGATTTCGAGTCCGACCTGTCACCGCACTGCACTCTGCAGAGCAATCTCTCGGAAACTACGAACCACGCGGAAACCAACGCCTGGCCACATTACCCGGCATAAAGTGCGGAGAGGTCAGTTCGCCTCTCCGGACACACCAGCGCCAGCACTTGGCCTGGCTAGCAAATTCTAGCGGTCCTACCGGGGATATTCAGCGCTCACAAACGTCTCTACTCTCCGCACAGCATATTTGCTGAAGCATCGACAGTCTTCAGAATGGCAGCAACTTTCTCGTACGCGCAAGCCGCGAAGGGCATTTCGAGCCCAGTCTCCGTCAGCAAGCCAGCTTCTGGCTCCGCAACACCGGCCAAGGACGACGCATCCAAAGCCCCAATTACCTCGATCGCCCAGGTAAACAGCTGGGCCGACGACGCCGAGACCGAGTCTTCGACTGACCAGCTCACGACGAACGGCGAGTCCCGAGTGATTTCCTCGAAGCCCACAAAACCTGCCGAGTTGCTCGAGGCGTCTACTCCCGACCTAGATTCTCTGTCTGCTTCGACAGTGACCAAGGACGACGACGTGTCCTCACAGCCCAACATGTCTTCTGAGTCGACATGGGACAACAAGTCTCAGGCTTCTACCTCGGTTGACAAGTCCGTCGAGCCCGTAGAGAAGACCTCAGAAAAGCCCGAGAGGGCTGAGAAGGGCAGGAAAGGCAAGAAGGGGGACAAGAGTGAGAAGAAGGAAGCTGAGAAGGAGAAGGAGCCACCCAAGCCCCTCAAGGAGGCACCTCTGCCAGCCGTAAACATCTGGCAACAGCGCGCAGATCAGCAGAAGACCCAGGCGAAACCCGTAACATCGCCTCTCACAAACGGAGCGCCTAAGAAGAGCAACCCTGAGGGGAGACACACAAACGCTGAGAACAAGCCCAAGGGCCGCGAGGAGGACAAGGCAACTCCTCTGCGAAAGGACACAAGAGGAGATGCAGAGAAGAAGGGTGCTAAGGGCAGACCCTACGAGAAGGACGTAAAGCCTGCGTCAAGCGCTATGCCGCTACCGCCCAACCAGGACCAGGAGTCATGGCCAACACCGGAGACAGCGGTCGACGAGGACCGCAAGAAGGCTCAAGAAAAGGGCGAGAAAGAGCGCAAAGACAGCGCACCAAATGGAACCTCCGGCAAACAGGAATGGGTGAAAGTGCCATACACACCGTCCGTCGTCTTTCACACACCGCTGCCCAATGCCGCAAACTCGCGCAGGGGTGGTAGGCCTGGCGGCCGTGGAGGAGCACAATCTGGTGGCAGACCTGCTGGCTTTGCTGCTAACGGTGTCGCGACATCTGAAAAGGATGCATCAACCTCAGACACTGTACTCAACGGCGAGCAGCCTAAGCGCGAAGTCAATGGTGTCGCTGGAGACACGTCTCCCAAGTCAAAGCGCTCAGGCAGCGCTACTTCGCCAACCCTCAAGGAGCAAGTGCCAGCAGTCAACGGAGAGAAGTCTTTGAAGGGACCCGGCGCTGCACCTTTCGAGCCTGAGGCACCCAAGCGAGCCTCCACTATGACAGAAATGTCCAACCAGAACGGCACATTCCCTCGTCAGTACTCAAGCAGGCCTGGCAAGGGCCGAAGAGGCGACTTTGCCGGCTCTGAGCGAAGAAGGGATGGTGATGTCTCCCCTACTAAGGATGCCTCTCAGGCCGAGGGCTCTGAGAACGAGCGACGACCCTTTGATGGGCCTAACGGTGTCCACTCCAAGCAGAGCCGCTACAACAATTCCTATGCTGGCGGACGCGACAGGCCTCGCGGTGGTGGTCGTGGAGGACGAGGTGGTTTCACCAATGGCCACCAATTCACTAACGGGCATGCTCAACAAGGCAGCGGGTCGTTCTCCATGGGTTCTGGCTCGCCTACTACCTTCAACCCTGGAAACAACGCTTTCTTCACAGCGCCTCAGGGCAAGTTTGGCCGCAACAGCCATCGCTCGCAGTCCGTTGCCGATTCATACCGTTACCCTGGTTTCCAGGGTGCTTCTCAGATGGCTTCTCTCAACACTTACAACATGTACGACTACAACATGGTGGCACCTGTGAGCGCTATGCCTTACAACCCTTACCCTGTCGACCAGTTTGCTCTGTTCCAGATGATCACAACCCAGGTGTAAGTGGTATACTTTCAATGTCCGGAGTTCCGGCTAACGCTATCAGTGAATACTACTTTTCGGTTGACAACCTGCTGAAGGACATGTATCTGCGTAGGCACATGGACTCTCAAGGTTTTGTGTCTCTCGACTTCATCGCTGCCTTTAACCGGATCAAGAACTTGACAACCGACGTAGAACTTCTCAAGCTTGTGTGCCAGCAGTCGAGTCACGTCCAGTACCGCACTGGCGAGGACGGCTGTGACAGGCTCCGTCGCCGTGAGGGCTGGGAGTCGTGGGTCCTGAGCATGGCTGAGCGAGACGAGTCGGCGCAGAACGAGGGCCCAAAGGAGTTGCACAACCCTCCCGTCCCTAACCCTGCTGGCTTTGACCAGTCAAACCCTCCCCAGTACCCGACTATGCACACTGGATATGGCAACGATGTGTCATACCCCCAGCATAACCCTTTCGTCCCGAGCGCTTCTCAGGGCGCCGCTGCGACGCCCACTGAAGACTTGACCAACGGTACATTGCCGGAAGGCACGAACGGCACTGCCGTACCGAACGGTCAACCGATCGAGGAATCGACCAAGGCTGTGAGTTCAGAACCCGATTCATTTTTTGACGCGCGAATGGAGAGCTTGACCGTCATTGTTCGCAAGCAAAACAAGTCAATAGCAGCGTTGCGCCCCTCAGCTTCACGAACGTTTTCTAATGGTTCCCTCGATAGTAAAAGTGGCGGTGTAGATGAACTGGACGGTGTACTCAGCTGTCGCTCTAGGGCCAAGGACGCCATTATTTCGCATGAGTAAGTCCGCACGCTGAAAAGATAATGTCGAAACTCCTGCTAACGAACCAAGTAGTGCTGAGCGCCTCCAAAGCCCGAAGAGCGCAGCAAGCTCTGTCACACCTCCTGTTGGCCTCTACTGGGTCAAGGATCAGGAAAACCCTGTCGACTCGGTGCCTTCCGATATTATACACGAATCTTATTTCAATCTTCGATCGAAAGCGCTTCAGCAGCGTCAAAATACCCCTTTTGGCTCAACTTGCTACGACATGGAGGTCCTTTACCAATTTTGGTCGCACTTCCTGATACGAAATTTCAACAGCCGAATGTACGAAGAATTCCAACATCTTGCTTTCGAGGATGCCCTTCACAACATGACCGATGTTGGTCTTCTAAGTTTGATCAAGCTCTACAGCCAGTCCTTGTTATCGTCACAGACTGTGGTTCGACACCGTGTGGCCTGCGATTACGTTGCTTTGGTCGCATCAGAGGATGAGGATCACTGTCCAGCATTCGACCAATTACGATCAGATCTCAGCAACAGATGTCTCCATTCCGGCAGCCAGCAACGCCTGCAACGACTGTTGACTGACGACCTCATGACGTTACTCAAACCCTGATCAAAACTCTTCTCCTTGTGCGGCGTTCGATCTTCGGTTTTGTTGCCCTTAATACCACATGGGGCATCCGTTAGGGCGTTCCACGCATTTTCACAAAAGTTTGTGTTTCGGCGTTAGTACATGGCTGGCGGTCAATCACCTTTCCAATAGAAGTTTTGCGCATATCCCGGATCCCTCGACGTTCACACGACATGATTCCCATACTCAAAGTACCTTTGGCATCCTGGAATACCTCCTGGACCTGGCTTCCCTCTACGGAACTGGGGATCAGGATGGGCAATGGTAGTGGGTGGGGCGTCTTCTTGCATTTCAATTCATCATATACGAACCCAGTTTCTCTTCTCTTGTGCGTCTCAGCATAGCGACATTCGGATCTGTTTTCAGCTGTCACATGTCAAGGCCCGAAAGTACATATCGAGTGACACGCATAATGGAGCCTGTGTCATCTGGCATAGGGTTCTGCTTGTAAAGTACGAAAATGAAAGCTGGTTGTGTTTCGCAAGACTCGCTCGTCATGCAGACAAGCTCCAGTGTGTTTCCCCCACTCTCCCAGGATGTTTGAGTACAAACTGGAGCCCAAGTAAGCCCAGTCGTGGTTCGCGCAGATGAGGCTGGTCGAGAACGTCATCACGCTTCGGCAGGGTCTAAACGCCGAGGCCGCGGTGGCGAACGCCTGCGCCTCACAACCACTTCCCCACACCGTGTACCCTCCATCTCTCTCCTCTCATCTGGATACTGGTCACGGAGCACCATGGCACCAACCGGTGCTTTACATACGTTGGTGGTCAGGAATGCGAAAGCGTTCAAGTGAGTATCTTGTCCTGAGTTTGCAGCCATTGTGTTAACATGTGATTAAGGGCTGCCTGGCATCATGCTGCGAAGCTCATACAGAACCAGCTGCCTGCAGGCTCACGGCCCACACAAGCACAGCTTCAACCAATCCTCGCCCGAAATACTTCCACACACCCTATCCACCGCATCGCGTACCTGAAGCAGAGCAAAGGTCGTTGGTACACTACCCACAGCAACATCTCGGCTGCCGTACGACGGTTCACCACCTCCGCGTCTCGCTCCTCAGGCGTCAAATTTGACAAGTCGTCGTTCCCTAAGTCGCGCATCGGTAGCATCGTCAACGCCCAAGCTGGCCGCGCACCATTCGTCTCGACCCTACGACCGAACCTCACCGGAGGCACACTAGGCCGCACAGCTGGAGGCTATGGCTGGGGTTCTGGTCGAGCTGGAGGTGCCAGGTACTTCTCCCATGGCCCAGCGGCACCCGCGCAGGTCATCAACAATGTTTCTCAGGCTGTCCGAGCTTTCTTGATCTCCGGTCAGAAGGCGCAATTCGACGGCATCGACCCACACCGTGGTGAGAAGCGCTTCAAGGCTGTCACTGCCCTGCAGGACCAGGTCAACCGTACCCTCAACAAGGTGCCCAAGGCTACACCCGGCTCCTACGTTAGTTTCAACATCAACCCTACTATCACCGCCCTTACTCCTCTGAAGGCCGTCAAGGGGTTTGCTGCATCGCAAGAAAAGGATTCGCTGAAGAGCGAGGGTCTTCTTGACGTCCTTTCGGTTGACTTCACTCGTGCAGTCAAGGAACTTGCTGCGGTCTTGAAAGATCTGCAACGTCTGTCTGAGCTCGGTGATCTACCCATCACCTACGAAGACTCTACACTCAAGATACACTTCCCTGGCTGTGATCGCGACACCGTCGAGACCATTTGCAGTGACTTCGAAGTGCAGCGGGGCGTAGTCCATCAAGACGAGGATTTCGATGCCTTTGTTGGTACCGAGATCGCTCTCCTCTTCCCCTTCGCCTCGAGCAGGACACCATCCGAGTGCTCATTCTTTGATAAACCAGTCACCGGTCGCCAATACGTTCAGCCAATCGACTGGGAGCAGATGCTCTCGCCGTCTGTCCTCAGCTCCGACGCATGCTCGACGCACTCCGAAGACGGCTTTGACAAGTGTCTCGACATTGAAGAAGACATCACTAACCCATGGCTGTCATCTTCATCACCTTCAGGATACGGGTCTTTGCATACGAGTGAGGCCGACGAGGTCAATCATAACGCGCCGCTCGAGTATCAAGGTATCGAGGGTATGTACAGATTCATGTCACACTGCGAGACGACTGTGCGATAGCGAGGCAGAAGAACAGCGTTACGAAGGGATGTATGATACCATTTGGCTTTAAATTGATGGAACGGCGTTACTCCAGTAGGACCACTGTCGTTCTCAGATTCTCCTATCTTTATGACACAACATACAAAATTCACAATTCAATCCCATCTTGCATAATCGTGGCTTCAGGGTATATGTGACTTGCCCGTGACTATCCGCCGTCCCCAACCCACTTCATGCATGTCTCTTGGTGAATGTTGCGAAAACGCCAGACTTCCCCCGAAACCCTTCCAAGCACCACAGTCCTGAATGACACAACAGCAACAGCCTAGTTCTGCGCGGTGTCCTCGCAAAGCATTGCCTTCTCTCCGTATCTTTGAATAACGAAGACACCGGTAGGGCGCAGCCAATGCTGTCCTCCCACTGGCCGATCGCCTGCAACGTGCTAACCGCATTCCAGTGCCGCGGTAATGGGTGTCACGTAAAACTTTCTACTCCGACATTATATCCGAGCTAGCGTGTAGGATGAAGGACAACTCCGCTCTTCGTGAGTCTGTCCACTTTTGCCTACACTTCTCCTTAGACTATGGATTGCATATAAAGAGCCAGGACCGCTACACATGGTACCAATAGGTGCATAAGTCGTTCGAAGGGATCTGCGACGCAAGAGCGGTTACTTTCAACCTCTTTATTCCCGGGGCGACGGTCCGAGGTTATGAGCGCGATGACGACGAGTCATCACGATGGAGAAGAAATGGTGGACTCGAGGGAGGACATGGGAATTGAGAGTAGCGAGAAGAGCTATGGAGCTGCCGATATGTCAAACGCACCCAGAGCTGAGAAAGAGCAAGGAATCATTCAGGGCGAAGATCCAAACGCAGATCAAGACAACACCGCAGCCATCGAGAAGAAGGCAGATGTCCCTCCAAATGGAGGGTATGGATGGGTGTGCGTAGCAGCATGTGCCACCATCAACGCGTACGTCTGCTCGTTCCCCCCCATCGCACACATTATTTTCGTTGCTTGTTCGTTATACTAACTCCCCCAGCCACACATGGGGCCTCAACTCCGCCTACGCCGTGTTCCTCGCCTACTACCTGGCCAACAACGTCTTCCCGGGCGCCTCACACCTCTCCTACGCCTTCATCGGCGGCCTCTCCATCAGCCAAGCGCTCATCGTCTCTCCCATCGCAACCCTCACCACGCGGCTCTTCGGCACGCGCACCACGCTGCTCATCGGCGTGGCGCTCGAAACCATCTCCTTCATTGGCGCATCTTTCGCGACTGAGATCTGGCACCTGTTCCTCTCGCAAGGCCTGTGTTTCGGCTATGGCATGGGCTTCCTGTTCGTCGGCAGCGTAGGGATCAGCGCGCAGTGGTTTACCACACGGCGCTCGCTCGCGAACGGAATCGCCGCCGCCGGCTCTGGTCTCGGGGGCCTCATCTACTCCTTATCCGCACAAACGATGATCAAGAACATCGGGCTCCCCTGGGCATTCCGGATCCTAGCCATCATCGCCTTCGTCGTCAACACAACCTGCTCGCTGATCATCAAAGACCGTAACAAACAAATTGGCAGCAGCCAGTTGAGCTTCGACTACCGGCTGTTCAAGAAGCCGCAATTCTTGGGGCTCATGGCGTTTGGGTTCTTGAGTATGCTGGCCTATGTCGTGCTTCTCTTCTCCTTACCGAACTATGCGAGGACGGTGGGAATGACGGCGCAGCAGGGTAGTGTTGTTGGCGCGGTGTTGAATCTGGGCCAGGCGATGGGGCGACCGCCGATTGGGTATTTTTCGGATTCTTTTGGGAGGTTGAATATGGCGAGCACGATGACGTTTCTTGCTGGCTTGTTCTCGCTGGTTATCTGGATGTTTGCAAAGTCATTTGGAGTGCTGGTCTTTTTTGCAGTGATTGGCGGCAGTGTTGCCGGCACGTTCTGGGCTGTCGCCGCACCCGTTACGACAGAGATCATGGGGCTGGTGGACTTGCCAAGTGCGCTGAGTCTGACGTGGTTGGTGTTGGTGTTGCCTACGACGTTTTCTGAACCTATTGGACTGGAGATTGTAGCGTACAACGGCGGTAGCTACACTGGGGCTATCCTGTTTACAGGGTGGATGTATATCGGTGCTGCTTGTTGTTTATGGGGTGTCAGAGCCTGGAAGATTGGGGATGTAGAGGAGAAGGCTGCGATAGCAGGGAAGAGCGTGTCTGACGTTGATCCTGTTGGAATTACAAGCCAGGCTTCTGGTGGTGTGCCGGAGGGGTTCAGGAAGAGCCCGTTCCTGAAGAGACTGCTAATGTGGCAGAGGGTGTAACCGCTTCTCAGAAACGCATGTTGTCCAGTGTTCTTGGCATCAGATTCAAAGCATATTCGAAGCATATGGATTTCTTCATCGTTGGCTGTTGAGAGCACTGACATGGAAGTTACCTAAGGAGAAGTGTTTTGTCCAGCGTTGTCGACCTCATGTTCAGAGCATTTTCGACGATGCATCAGTGCTGCTTCTGTCACTGCCTCGGTCCATGTGCCGGTGGCTTCCAAATGCAATGCTTCATTCTCTGGGACCCATGCACACCATGCTCCGTGGCACGGGAGCTAGTGCGCGCTAGCCGAATCCCCTTTTTCGCGTTCTGCACGCGTAAAGTGCTTGTGGATGTGAAACAACTGTCGATGCATTGTTTGTTGTCCGTCAACAGTTGCGAGAGAAAATTGCAACGGCCTGGCTGAGCGTTGTGACAGCGACTGACAGGTTTCAGATGCGGTGCGACAGCGTGCAGCGATTGGCCGTGTTCGCGTGCACAGTGTACGCAACCGTGCTTTGGCTGGTGGTAGGTGCAGTTACTGTTTGGAAATGAACCGCGCCGGGACACGATGATTCGAACCGTAATGCCTTGGAGCCCCATTATGTGTGGTCTTTCCCTACTGTTCCCTGATGGAACTGCAGAGTTGTTGAACACTCAAAGTCCCTCTTGTTGATGACTTGACGTGGGCCAGGCGCAAAACAGGCATGGCTGCATGCGTTGTACACGCTGCAGGTGTGACGTTCCCACGTGTCAGGGGCCAGCGGATTGGTTGCGGCCTCGCTGGGGACTGGCGTGCAGGGACGTCAAACCATCATTGCCCGCAATAATTGATGCTCGCGGCCAATCGGCGGGCGCTGGTGCGGGCCATCGTAGCTTGGGCCAGCTCCCCTAAATTCTTAACGACGTTGCAGGGCTGCACACCTCCATCTGCATAGAGTCCGTATCACTGCTGCAGTGTCAGAGGATGAGTGCTCGTCCTGTGTTCTCCAGACCAGTGCTCTCCACCCTCATGCCGCTCCTTTAGCCGTGCGTAGTAGTCTTCCTTTTGTACATGATTATACCAGGCCCTATTGCATCACCGCCCAGCGACGCATGCTGCCGTCCCATCGCTCGACGCGTTGATTTGAATGCACGCTCGACGCACCTCAGAGTCCTCGCTTGCGTTACCTTCATCCCCGCCAGTTGCTGTCCAGCCTCTCGGTGAAGCCATCGATCCGTCCGAAGAGCGCAGCGCAGTGTCGCCCGCGCAGACGCTGTGGACTGCATTGTCCCCGACCCTCACGCTCGCCAACTCTAGCCCTGAGCTGCCTACGCTCCCTACCCTCTCTGCACTCGGACGCATACCTCGTACCCCCTCTACTGTTGCGAGAAACGATCGGCCCGACGACACTTCCTTCTACACGGCGAGCTGGGGCAGTCCTTACAGACACCCTCCCCCAGTCTTCAACCCTCAGCGCCAAGTCTCGACCACCTTTGGTAGTGACGATCTCGAAGAGGGTTCCTCTGCTCTTCAGTTTGGTCTTGGGCACCTGCTGCCTCCTCGGCTCGAAGTAGAGGACGACGCTCCCGGCCGATTCAACCTCGAGCATCTCATCCCTCGAGTGGATCCAGACGGTTCGCCGAATCAGTTCACGCTCGAGAACCTCATCCAGTCTCGGTTGCCTCGATCGATAACGCCGACAAGGGAATCGCAATCATCTGGTTTCACACCACGAGCGTCTGACAAGAACCCTACCTCGGAAGAGTGGGTTCGTTCCTTTCTGGAAGAGCGCTGGAATCGGGAGAAGAACAGGTGGAAGAGTGATATCAGCTTCGACATCGACTCCAATTCGGACTCAGACCAGGACCAGGATTTCCTCTTACCAGGGCCGCCGAAGAGAGGTCACAAGGCAAGAAACAACAACAAGACCCTGAATCAGCAGGACTTCTGGCGTCATATTAGCCAGGATCAGAAAGAAGCGCTTGGAAAGATGATGGCCTCAAAGTACGCCGATGCCGAGCCAACGTCGCATCCGCGAGAGGCCTTGGGCTCTGGTCCTGCTCCCCCACAATTTCCTCCTCGTACATCGAGTGCTGCCAATCTATTTGCATCGCCAGTCTCGGCTCAAGATGGCACTCCCTCGCATTCGCCGAAACCAGTAGAGCAGACGCCCAATAAGCCTCCAACGCCTGTTGAGCCCACACGAACACCTGTTCCACGTATTCGCAAGAAGATCATGGTCAAGGGTAAGGGCTGCGTCATTTCGATACCGCACGATATTCCACGAGGAACACATGGCTACCCACCGAAACCGATGAGCCCAGCAGTAGTGGAAGCAAAGATGCAGAACCTGCAGCGTCTGGGTTACAACACAAGTGGCTTTGGTCACTGGAATGGCGTAGGTGTTGGAGATCAGCAGGCACATAACCGAGCTATATGGCCCACTGAAGCTGATATATGGGCAGAGCGGGCCAGCACAGGGTCGAATTTCAAAGTTTTTGTGCCAAAAAAGAGTGAATGGGACAACTACGTGAACTCACTCATGGAGGCGAAACTCGCAGCCTTGGGAGTCAGTCTGGGTGGAGAAGACGAAGTGGCAGCGCCAATGTCACGGCAAGTGTCAGGACAGTATCCCGGTCTACCTTTCTCTCCACCACTGCCAACACCGTCCGGAGGCAGTCACCGTGGAAGGCAGGGGAGCGTCGTAACTGGGCCTTTCCCATTCGGACCATCGCCTGGCCATATGTCTCGCCAATCGATCGCATCACCGGCTGCATTTGCAAATGCTCGACCAAGCATGCACATGCACCGTCACTCGACCTTCGGCCCTGGAAGCTTCTCTCACCATGGTGTATCGCCTTCTGGTACATGGTCTCCTGGCGGCTACTTCGGCTCTCAAGACGGACGTGGTGGTTCGCCAGCGCTACCTGCCTTGCCACCAAGCAGACCTGATCTTGCCGGCATTGCCTCCCTACACTCTCCGTTCGGCAGGAGAGCGAGCCAGCAGTTTCCTCATTCTCCATTGGCGCAGGACGACCTCATGGTCCAGATGCAAATGCAGCAACAACAATTGCAGGCGCAGATGTTCCAACAGCAACAGCAGCAGCTTATGGGTCTGCGACCATCATCTACACTTGCAGAGGTACCGGAAGATGAGTCGGAGGAGGAGGCGCTGCCTCCGCTGAAGAATGCCACCAAGCCCGCACCGGAGATTGCTCACCCAACTCCTCGCAATCATCGTCACAACCTTAGTAAGAACATGGAGCGCGAAGCTGCCGATGCTGAGTATCATCTGGAAGAGGCGATCGATAAGCAATTTGCTGAAGGGGGTGACTTCAACACCGAACCCGAGATCACTGGACAGCGTAACAACGTTACTAACAATGCATGGGAGAATTCCCGCCCTATTCTGCACCAGCCTCAGCCGCACAACAGAGCGCACTCACTCACAAAACCTCAGCAACAAGTGCCTTTTGCATTCCCTGCGCAGCAATCGCACAACCCCCGCGACGACAGTAATGGAGCCAGGACCAACCTGTCAGAGAACACAAACCCCAGCTTGGAGGATGGAGAGATCCGCTCGAACCAACACTCTCAGGCACCTTCGCAGGCCAGCAACCCGTGGAAAGATTCAAAGTTTGCATACAACAAGCCTGCTTCGGCTACACACAGCAAGCATGCTTCCAAGTCATCACTCTCGAAGCTCAACGTTGAGGCGAAAGAGTTCAAGTTCAATCCTGCTGCTTCGTTCAATCCTGGGGCAGTGGCGAACAACATACCCAGCATCGATGGATTGTCGAGCTTCAACGTCACAGCTCCTGCGTTTAAGCCGGATGCTGCTGCATTCAAGCCCACAGCTCCCGCATTCAGGCCTGTGGTGGATGCTTCTGTGTTCAAGCCTGCTGAGCCGAGACCAAGCATGGAAGCGCCCGAGTTCAAGCCTGCAGTTCCTGCATTCCCTTCCAGTGGTTTCAGCTTCTCTAGTCCGCCGGCGTTCAAGCCTGAAGCTTCAGCGTTCACCCCTGGAGAGGTCTCAGCATTTGACCCTCAGAGGCCAGCACCCGCGCCAACAAGCTTCTCTTCGAAGATCTTTGGTGATGTCAACATCTCGGCCAGCGACATCATTAAGCCGGCCATGCGCTCTAAAGCCGTTGCTATCGTACGTCCTGACACTGCACGTGAGTCGTCACCGGAGACGGTCAAGGAGGTTGAGGATCGTGAGGACGCAGAGGGACGTCCAATGCAGGCTGAAGGTCGCGAGAAGCGTGCTCGCAAGGTCCGGAATGATGGCGATGAGGTGCCCAAATTCGCTCTCCAGCCCATTCTTGCCTCGCAGCCGCTGGCAGAACCCGGACCGATCTTTGACGAGGATGCAGATCTGCACGAGGGTCCTATCGAGGACAAGGAGAACCGCTCACCTGACGGTCACAAGCCCAAGCCGAAGTCGAGCAGCCCAGAAAGAGTCCAGCCTGCGGTCGAGGCTAAGCAGCCAACGGAGCGGGTCGCGACTGCGCCTGTTGCAGCACCCGCTACAGCCGAACCTGTCGCTGACCCAGCCAAGAAGCACGCACACAAGAAGAGCTCACTGTCTGCTGCCGCCAAGCCTTTCGAATTCAAGCCCCAGTATGGCAGCGCCGGCTACGACTTTGGCTTCCACGTTACGAAACCATCTAGGGCTGACGATTTCGATGACAAGCCACAGAACTCGCCACCAAGAGGGTACAGCAGGAGCCCAGCAACGACTTTCCGACCCAGCGACGACGGCTCGTTCAAGACAGCACTTGGCCATCATGTGCCCTACCCTGAGAGCGAGAGCGTCGACTTTGATCCGTCTTTCAACGACATTGATGCTGTTATGAAACAGATGGATGAAGGAGGCTCAGACTTTGGTGTTGAGCGCGACGACAACTCGTGGGATCAATCCTCTCCTCAACGAACTCCTCACGAGTTTGGTCGCTTCAACCTACGACCCAACGTCCACCTGCGCAGTGACGCACCCAGCCCCAGCCCTCGCAGAATCTATGGCAATGCGCCAGGATCTGCGACATCGCTGCAGAACCCCTTCGATGATGAGCGCGCCGCCCTTGTGTCTACATCTCCTGTGCACCGCCTGAATCATGCTGAAGACCTGCCCGTGAGCGACTGGGACGATATTCTCACAGAAGGAGAAGAGCAGGTCAAGATGCGCAGTTCGTTCTTCGACAAACGTGTTGATGACCTGATGGGCCGTCTCTTGCAGAACCGCCTGGGCCCACTGGAGCAGACCCTGCAGAACGTTCAAGATGCGCTCACGACGATGTCATCCCGCCCCTCGCGTGGTCGTCGCAGCATGTCCACGGCTGGATTGGACAGCGATGCAGATGACGAAGACGATGACATTGGTACTGATGCGCACTACCGCAATCGCTCCCCCAGAAAAGACAGGAGGTTGGAAAAGATTCGTGCTGTTGTTCGAGACGCGCTCGAGTTGCACCAGGCACAGGCCGCTTCCATGGTGGGAGCCGCACCCGAGCCACTGGGACCTGAGAAGATCCGCGAAATCCTGGCTGACGTTCTTGTGTCACACCAGCCACCGGCTGTGCCTGTCGAGCATGTCTCTACTGAGCAGATCCGCGCCATCGTCGAGGATGCGATTGCGTCTAACAAGCCTCCAGTACCAGAGACGGTCGTGGAGCCCCTCAGACCGGAAGACATTAAATCCATGCTCACCGAGACATTTGCGCTCTATGGCCCTCAGCCTACTGAACCCATCAAACCAGATGACGTTCGCTCGATCGTAATGGAGGCATTCGCAATGCACGCTCCTCCGCCAGCTCCCGCTGCGGAACCCCTTTCGCCAGAGGCCATCCGCTCGATCATCGCAGAAACTCTTACAACGCACCAAGTTCCAGGCCCTGTCCCATCGATCGTCGAGCCTATGCAGCCTGATACGATTCGTGCAATCGTCAACGAAGCCCTGGCGTCTCAGAAGTCAAGCGCATTGGAAGCGCCCATCGACATTCCTCAGCCTCAATTCGACATCTCTGAGATGTACCAGGTCATTGGTAGTCTGAAGGCATCCATTGCGCAGACCACGAGTAATCACCTGCAGGCTGATGATGTCCGCGAGCTGGTCGACGATGCTTTCAAGCGCCAGAGCAGGGAGATTGCCAAACGTGATGAGTCTGAAGCTATCCTCAAGCGAGATGCACGTATTGCTGAACTTGAGAGCATGGTGGAGGATAGCACTCTTCGCCACGAGGCAGAGGAAGAGGCACGCAAGGCCCTTGAAGATCGCGAGTCTGACACAGCACGCCTGCTCAAGGTTACTGAGGAGGAGCTCACGCTACTCCAAGCGGCTGCTAAGGACGACGAAAGCAGGATTCGCGCCTTGACGGAGGAACGCGATGTTCTGCGCCGCAACCTGAACTATCAGATCGAAGCTGACGATCTCCGCGAAAAGCTCGCAGTTGCTGACGCCAAGAATGAAGAGCTCAAGATGAAAAACATAGCCCTAGAAACCTCCGAGGAGGACTTGAAGCAGAAGCTCGACGCTGTCACTGCAGAGAATGAGGCACTTACATTCACCCTGGAAGAGCACCGCAAATCAGCCAACAAGTGGCGTGGCGACATTCAGGAAGCCCACCAGGAAAACGAGAAGTTGCGTGCAGCTATCGACCAAGCTCGCTATCAAGCTGAAGAGGCAGCTCGCATTCGTGAATCGATGCGTGGCAAGTTCGAGAAGCTGCAGCAAGACATGGTCTTTGCTTCCCAGCAGATTGCTGCCGAACGCTCTCAGTGGCAGAAGAACGAACAGGCGTCTCTCGAGAAGTATGAAGTCCTCAGCGCACGCATCGAAGCCGAGGGACGAACACGTGAACGTCTTGAGAGAGAGCTTGAAAGGCTCGAGATGCAAGAAGGCGAGGGCATGAAGCTACGGATCCACTTCGAGCAGTCTCAGAAGCACAACGCCAGGCTTGAGGAGACGATTGAGCAGTTGAGAAGAGAGTCCATCGAGCACCAGAACAACGCTCACAGATACGAGCGAGACATGCGCGAAGCTAGAGAAGCGGCCCACGTCGAGATTCGACGTACCCGTGTACTCATGGAGGCCGATCTTGACGCAGCCAACAATCAGGTCAACGTCGTCCGCCACAACCTCGAAAGTGAAGTCGCTCGTGTCCGTGCTGAGCTCGACAGCGTACGCATGGAAGCAGAAACTGCCAGGGAAAAGCATGAGCTCGAGCTTGAGGCCGCATCCGATGCTACGAAGCAGGCGGTTGAAGAGGCGCTTCAGAAGAGCAAGCGAACCCTTCACGAACAACAGCAGGCCTTTGAGCGCGGCTTTGATCGTCTCAAGCAGGAGCACGCTCGTGCTCTCGAGTTCGCGCGGGAAGACAAGGAGCGAAACGACGCTTTCCATAACGACAAGCTTGCATTGGCAGACTCCAAGCTCGACCATTTCAAGGACAAGATCGCACTGCTCGAGGAAAAGCTTGTTGTTGCCAAAGAAGCTGCCAGTGCCGCTGCTGCTGCTGCTGCTGCTGCTGCTGCTGCCGCCGCTGCGAAGTCGCCCACAGCTTCTGATCCGTCCACTCTAGGTAGCCACGAGAAGATATCCCCTCAAGCGCTCCGCGAGTCGATCTCCGTCCTGCAAGAGCAGCTCCAGGAGCGTGAGTCGCGTATCGAGTCTCTTGAGCAGAAGCTCTCCGAGGTCGACACTGAGGCTCCTGCTAAGCTGAAGGAGCGTGACACCGAAATTACTTGGCTACGTGAGCTTCTTGGCGTACGTGTTGACGACATCAACGATCTTATCAACGCTCTCGCCCAGCCGACTTTCGATCGGGAGACAGTTCGTGATGCGGCGATCCGCATCCGTACAAACCTGCAGATGGAGCAGTCGGAGAAAGAACGCTTGATCTCTGGTGGCCAAAATACCTTCCCAACACTCGCCTCCCTGTCCAATTTCGCCTCACCCAAGGCCGTCCAAGTCGCCGCCGCCTTCGGCAACTGGCGCAAAGGTCGTCAGAACGCTGCTTCCGCCCTCGCAGGCGCTTCCGCCAGCACGTCGCGCAACCAAACCCCCTCCCGCCCCACTCCTCACTCCGCCCAGTCATTCCTCTCCGGTCTGATGACACCCCCAACATCCAACATGCGTCGCACACCGGACTTCTCATCGTCTTCCAAGCCCAAAGATCTGCGCTCAAACTCGACCAGCTCACGCGGCTCAAATGGAACAGAGCAGGGCTTCCCGGCGCTCGGCAAGCAGCCCGCTGCGCCCCGTACACCGCCGCTGCTGCGCAAGACGAGCTACGATCACGATGCGGCGGTCGAGGAGTTCAGCGACAATGGCCTCGATGATGACAGCGCGGTTGATGGAGGTGAAATGACGCCTATTGCGCTGAATTTTGGGCAGGAACTGAGATCACGACGGGACCGTGACTAAACGGTCTGTCAATACCATCTTACACAAAATAGTTTTCCTTTGTACTCGCATTGTTTTGGCTCGAAACGAGCATCCTTTCGCTACTAGTTCTTGTACCTAATACTTGCTTGTTTCTGTATGTTCTGTTTCCTAGTTTCCGGTTTTTTTGGTTTAGAGCAAGCATAGCCTGCGGACATGGTTTGGTTGGATATACCCCAAGGCCACTGAGACTATATTTTATTGGCATCTAAATTGTATACTTGTGTACATACCCCCAGATCACATTTGTTGGTTTGTTGAGGGAGATTAGAAGATGGGGAGTACCGCGAGGATGTATTAGTGATAAGTGATATATCAAATTTTTTTTGGATACATTCTGCCTGTCATACTCCAACGTGAAATCCTGACACCCCCAAAGTTGTCCCTGCGCTCTGTCACCGTCTAGTCTTTGATCCGAAACGTATCGTACGGGAACGCAAGATGGAGAAAGTGTACGTCCTTGCACCCGGACTCGCTGCTCATCTGTTGCTCTGCCAGTCTTTGAGCCTTCCAGATCCCACTGCGCTAGTAGAGCGGCAGTTCATAGGCGTCGAACTTGTACATCCAGGTATCGATCGAGGCCTGGTCGTACTCACAGCTCATCTCAGTGCCGCTGTTGGCCCAAATGGGACGGAGCGGCCAGGCGCAGATTTCTGCATCTTGACCCTCATAAATTCCCTTCTCATACGTCGCCTTCAGCGTCGTCGGCACAACACCCTCCTCCACCCACTTAATCAGCACCTCGAGGTTCGTCGTCGGAAACGGGCCGTTCGGCTGCAGTGTGTTGATCGAGCAGTGCGCTGCGCCCGGGACCAGGAAGAGGCGATACCACTCACCCATAGCGGTGGTGGAAGAATTGAATGTCAGGTTCGGGTACATGACACTGCGCACGGATTCGTGGTAATGCACCGAGGAGGCGGCGGGAATCGAGTTGTCGGATTCGCCGTGATAGGCGAGGATTTTGCCGCCGTGCGAGTGGAAGGTTGAGAGGTCGGGGAGTGTGGTTTGTAGAGTGTCGCCGTAAGCAAGCATTGCGGACTTCATCCAGGCGACTAGTGTGTCGTAGGTGACGTTGGAGAGAGAGGGAAGGTTGGATTCGTCGAGGGTTTGGATGAATTTTGTGACGAACTCACCGCCAGTGCTGGCGATGTTTAGTTCGTACGTGTCGGTCTCGTTGTTGTAGGTCGTCTTTGCATCTTCAAAAGCAGCAGAAGGTTGGTAGGAGAAGTAGGCAAATTTGCCGTCGGTCGTGTAGAGCCCGTTCATGATAGTTTGGACGAGCTCAATGGCTTCGGAGGAAACGGTTCCGTTGGTGGCAGGTGTGGGAGATTCGGCAGGTACCATCTGGCGCTTTGCTTTGCGGCCAAAGCTGAATCCAAGGCTGGACTGGCTGGTGGCGGCGCAAGAGAAGGGGAGGCCAAGGGTGGATTTGACGTCAAACTTAAGCTTGCAAAGATCAGTGCGAGAGACGACACCGTCAGTCCTGCCATCGAGAGGGTCGCAGAAAGCAATGGTCTCATTGACAATCTTGTCGAGCTCGCACGCAGATGGGTAGTAGTCGAGAGTCTTCTCAACGACATTGGAGTAAAGGTGCTGGACTTGTTGTTGAGCGTAACGGATAGCTGGGGCGCCAGGAATGACACCGTCATACTCGTCACCATAGCGCTGGACCTGACTCCAACCCTCGCGACCACCCTCGGAGCACCCTTGGTAGTAGGTGTAGATTTTCTCATTGGCGCTCATGCCATAGAACGACTTGGCGGTGGCTTTGCCAATCTGAGTCATCTCGCCAATTGCTTGATACCCAAACATGTGGATGGCATCCCAATTGATCGAGCCATTAGCTTTGAGAACAACGGCGTCAAGATTGGTACCAAAGCTGCCAAAGCCACCATCAGTAGACCCGGCGACAGCCCCGTACTGAACACCTCCTGGGAAACTCTGAGAGCCAGAGTTGATCGCATAGCCTCCTCCACCGGTGGCAAGGTATCGCTTCTCGAACTTCTCCGGGGCTGGGAACCAGTATTGGATGTGGGTGATATCGTCGCGGCCATCGTGACTATATGATAAAGTCAAGTTGCAGTAGTCGTATGTCGCAGCCGGGAAGAAATCGCCGCCAGTGGTGGAGGCGTTATAGACTGGGTTGGCAGTGATGGAGGATGCGTCGAGTGTCAGGCCGAGGAAGGTGCCAGTGGCTGGAAGCGAAGCTTGAACATGCTCAACAGTGCAGACATCGGCGAGGGATGCTGCTTGCACAGCTGCGGCGCAAGCTGCTCCAGCTGCCAAACACTTGTTAGAATGCATGTTGAATGATGAACGAGTGAAGCGAATGAGATACTGACCACTTCTAGCAAACCACTCAGATTATATTGTCCATGAAGGCCCTTCTGTGCATTGACACAGGCTATGTAAAGTGGAATCGGCGAACAGTCTGCATGTACTCTACACGCGTCCTGAGGGCCCTGATCTCATCTCTTTCTGATCGCAGTGTCCGCAACAGAGTGTTGGTGTGGCAGTGTTGATAGGAAATGTAGGGGTGGTTAAGACTTTATCCAGACGGCACCCGAATAGTGACGCATGCAACACCGACTGACCAATCTGATGCGCTTGCGCCGCGATTCTACGACGAGCTTACAGAGCAAAGCAAGGCGGCGCGAGCTTACGACTACGCAGATTCTGATCAGATATTTGTTTCGAAACATTTCTTGCGACTCGGTCGCTGGTGGCTGCGAAGCCGGTACTGCCTCCGCCGCCGATCGAGCCCGATTTGTGTCTATTAGTATACTCGGAGGTTGGGATTAGTTTGGGGTTTAATCTCTTATGATGACATACATTTACTATCAAAGTCAGTGTGTTCGCTTGACAGTATGAGTGGCTGTATATGACAAGGGGATATATTGGACTGCACGAACCATAGCCCTACGTGCACTTCCAGCTCTCTGGATCTTTGAAATTCGCACCGACGAATGTGTTGCGCAATGGATACTTGCAGTGCCGCCTTGTAAAGTCAACACCAAGAGACACGGTATCGTTCACAAACTTGGTACCTTCGATGTACGGTGGCGCTACTCCTTGTTCGACCCAGTCCACGACAGCTTTGAGGACGTTCTTTTTCCGCTCGAAGGGCACGCCGGCCGCAGCAGCATTACCACCCTGGCCCAAAACCCACGCACCTGGCCCTGAGTTGCAGTGGTTCATGCCTGAGACGCGGAAGAAGCGGATCCATCTGTCCATAGCCGCTGTGCTACTGTAGCCTTTCAGGTCGTTGTACCAGCGGATCGTGTTGAACGTGGTGATCTGGTTGTCCTGCTGGCCATGGTATGTCACGATTTTCCCTCCTCGTCGTTCGAATCCCGAGAGGCTGATAGGATAAGTGCGAATGTCGCCTGGGTTGAGGCTTTCCGCCGCTCGCACATCGTCAAAATCAAACGTGGATGCGTTCCAAGCTGGGTCGTTGTATAAAGCGTATTTGAACCAGTTTGCAGAATATGCGAAAGGCGCTCCAGCGTACAGTCGGTCGACAGCAAGAACTTCGCTACCTGGCTGCATAGCTGGGAAGATTAACTGGCCGTTCGGGAACCTGTAGTCGCTGAAGATCTTCTTCAGCTGCTGGACATGTGGACCTAAGAGGCAGTTGCCGGTGCTGTTTCCCTTACAGAGTAAAGTCGAAGGGTTAAAGTTGCACAACATTGGGTCCTCAATGATGCCGTCTTTTGCCTTGTCGATTGTGTCGCACTGCCTCAGTACTTCGTCATGGATCCACGTCTTCCACGCTGTGGCTGGTATGAAGTCTGGTGAACCGACAGCGCCAGTGATGGTGAAGAAGCGTGCTCTCCACGACACCAAATTGTTGAAGTCCACAGCTGGCGCTCCTGCGACGATACCATCAAAATCATCGGGGAATTTTTCAGCGCTCTTGATGCCCTGTCGTCCTCCGAGAGAACAGCCGAGGTAGTATGACTTTGAGTGTGACTTGCCATATAGCTTCGTTACGAGTGACTTTCCAGCATCTGCGCTCGTGTGAAGTCTGTATGGCTCATTGTTACCGTTAGTCCGTGTATCTTTGCACATGTGTGCGACTTACGCTCTCCAAGCAAAATCGATCACCGTCTCAGGGTTGTTGAAGAAGGGCAGTCCATCTGTACCTGTAGGAATAGGTCAACAGAGATCAGATGAGATGATTTGCATAATCTATCTAATGAGAAGGCTGGCTGCCTATTATAGGCAGACAATGTGAAAGACACACATACCATTCTTTCCATTGTTCGAGCCGACTGCTGCGAAGCCGTTGGATGAGGTATAAGCTATGTCCTCATACTTGATGCCTAGTAACGTCAGTCTGCACATGATAGTCGCACTGCAATATTAAGATACGCACATCCATCAATACCTCCATTGCCAGTGGCGAGAAAGCGCCCTGACCAGTCCTCAGGCAGCCAAGCCTCGAATGTGATGTTCGATTGTTTGGAAGTGTTGATTGACAGGGCTACACGGCAAATGTTGGCTGTTACCGCCTGAGTCCCACGGTTACAGGCTGCAACATTGTCCGGAAAGGTCAGTGTGGTGTTGGCGGCAACATACTGAAGAACGTTGCGTGTTGCTCCAGGAACAAACTTCTCAGGCTCGAACGCGAGGCATTTCTTCTCGAATGCGGTTGATCCTGTGACAGAGGCTGAGAGCAGAAGGAGCGACAAAGAGATCAGGGCAGCGAGCATGATGGCTAGTGAACTCTGAGCTGCTCTTAAGTAGCTTCAGCTGCTTGAAGGACTTTTAAGAACTGGAGACAACGCTTTGAGGTGTAGGAAGCATGACTCGCACAGTACGCGCAGTGATTGCAACCGCGCTCCTGCCATGTTGCTTTTGTCGTTTGTGATACAACACCCCATGTCGCGGGACGAGCGGGGAGCGGAAAGGCAGCCGCGCCACGATTTAGAGTGGAACCACAATCTCCTGCTTCAAACGGGAGGGGACCATCAACCGAGCGTTGGCTTCTGATGGAGAATTGTCGGTCGCTTGGCTTGAACAACTGGAGACTGAACGGGATCCCTGCCATCCTTCGCATCCGTTGGCATGGCACTCTGCATAACGGATCCCACACTCTACCCGGCAGGTGAGCCATGATCGACACCTGTGCTGAACATTCGGGCGAAAGCGCAGAAGACTGTTGAGCGATGAAAGAGCAAGGGTTTCCTTTGGTAAGAACGACTCAGGGTCCACGATGACGTAATTCGCAGATGGCTACGAGCTACAGGGACAAGATCACTAATTCTACACTTACATTCATGAAGTGTATCTTCGAAACGATTGCCTCCTACACTTGACGGCCAGGCTCAAAACAATCACCACCATCGCCAAGGACCGGCATGTTGTAATTTCTGTTCCCGGAGTCAACAACGGCGGTACGACCGAGGAAGGAAGCCACATATGCAGCACGCTCTTGTATGCCTGCCAGGATCATGAGCACCCAATCTGCTGGTGCACACCAAAGCAGAAGATGCAGACATTAACACGGCTTTGACGACCACATGATTGATTGGTTTAACGTCTTATCTGGGTCTAAGACTATAGAAGACGATGTTGTTAACTGCTTTGATGTTTGACGACCACATGGTTATGTGCCAATGCTAGCTTTGATCCATTCGAACAACAACGCGATGTTGGATCTTCCGCAAGATGTAGGAAAGGCGCCTAATTACAACGCATGTAAACACTGCATTAAGCTGGCCATGCTAGAGTTACCACGCTAACACTCAGAGCCACTAAATCGCAGCGGTGAGAGACATAATTATCGTACGAGTCTGACAGTTCTGGTAATACAAGGCTGACATGACCGTGGGGTTGTTCGCGATGCCTACGAGAAGTTCCACTGCCGCAGCCACCCAAGACATTGGATCGCGTGGACTCTATAAATGCGATGAACAGCCTGACCATACAAGAATAAACTAGTCTATAGCAGATTGAAGGCCTCCAGGAACAGATTTGTCGAGCCGCTTTGTGTATGCTCCTGCTTGTGGTCGCTCCACGTTCTATTGTCCACTTTACGATTCCATTTAAAAGGCTTTGAGACGCAGCGCTAGCACTCGTTGCTTGCGGAAGTGATTTGAAACAAAGGATGCAAACTCAGGTGAAAGACCATTGTATACAGTAATTGCGCCGAACATTCGACCAAGGCTGCAAGGTACATAGGCTGTGCTAACAAGAAGGCAGATGGTCACTGATAAGTCGGCCCTACGAACACCTCCACGCTTCAGTATCGAGTAAGCAAAATGGCAGAGCTTGAACCTGTAGGTCACCAACTTGTCATTGTGACCTTAGTCTTTGGCATCGTAGCTTTTGTTACCTTGTCAATACGCATAGGATTCAGGACCCGGAGCAGAAAGTACGATGTCTCGGATACTTGCTTGATCGCAGCTATGGTATGCTTTTTCATCGATTCCCTTCGACCTCCGCTCACGAATCTTGCAGGTGTGCGGCCTCGTTCAGAGTGCCATTCAAATCACTCTCGTCGCAGCATTCGACTACGGAAAAGCAAAAGCCGACATCCCGGTCGACCTGAGGACCTCCACATGGCCCGCAAAGCTGGCATACATCAACCAAATCGTCTTCAAGCTTACGACACCTCTCTGCAAGCTGTCACTCTGCTTGTTGTATCGAACCATGTGCTCCACATCGACTGATCGCATCATCCGAATGACCAGGCTCGCCATATGGGGTACTATCTACCTCATTGTGGGAGTCTACACCTCAGCCTTCTTAATCAGCATCTTCCAATGCACACCCATCAGCAAGACCTGGGACAAGAAGGTGAACGGCACCTGTATCGATCTGGTAGCGTTCCGCATGAGCACTGCTGTATTCAACCTGATCACCAGTGTGTTAGTCATCACCATTCCCATCCCAACACTCGTTAGGCTCAAGAAACACCGGCCAGAAGTTAAACAACTCATAGGTCTCATTCTCCTTGGATCTGTCCATACAGGCCTTTCTATCGCTCGATTTGTGATAATGTTCTACCCTGGCCCACTTACAAAGACTGAGCCTCAGTACACGCATATCTTCAACAACGTACTTGCAGTCATCGAGATGCACACTGGAATACTCGTCGCAACCTTAGTAGTCATGCGCCCGACATTTCAGGCCATGTACAAGCTCATCAACCCCTCGTATCAACTTCATGGCGATGCAATGTACTATGGAAAACGGAGCAGTCGAGGAGTGGGCAGCTCGTACCAGATGCAGTCGCTCAAGGCAAAGAATAAGAGAAAGGACCAGTTCAGTATACTTGAGACGACTGAGATTCGTATTTTGGAGGATGTTGCTGAGCCGGGTGTTGGTGAGCAAGTGAGCAACGATAGAAGGGAGTTTCAGACACACATTCACGGGAAGGGCTATGGACATGTTTGAGAATGTACGAGAGTCGACGAGTTAGGTTGGAAATATGAGAAAGTATGAATTACTCCAGTACTGTCAGTACCGTGCAGTGACGATTGGCTTGCGTGAATTTTTGGAACGAGACGCGATGAGGCGTGGTAAGCGCCAAAAAAGGTTTCTTGAACTCAAGCTTGCGTCTTGAGGTGGACAAGTCTCTGTTCAGACATAGAGAGGTAAAATGACGACACAAAAATTCTCATACGTGCTTGCGTTTCTTGCTGTTGACGCTGAGCTCGGTCGGTTCATGATCGATGTGGAGAGTCAGCTGCTTCGGCAAAGCGAAGTCATGGACTATAGTAGAGCCTGTATGGCGTGCCTGGCCGCACAGATTGCAAGTCTTGCGTGGGAAGCCGAGATTTGGTATCCTACCATTATGTCTCTCTGAACGGCTCAGACAGAGCCATGCTGGCTTCAAGCCGCATTCTGCTGTAATGTTGATCTTGTCGAAATTGCAGCTAGAAGCGTCTTTGACCGAGTCTGTGAAGGCGTGTTCCACCGATAGAACTTGTTACCGTTGGCAGCGACTTACCATGTCTTCGAGGGCGGAGAGAGGTCGATGTTGCTCAAGGCTGTTTCGCTGGTAGTCCAGTTGACATTTCGGGTTGAGCCAGGATCGAAGAACTCATTGCACGGAGATAACAACTCATCGGGAGTATGTTTCACACCTTCTTGTTCTTCGACGTCCTCGATGATGGCGATGCGCTCATTCCTTGATAATGTTGTGTCGACTTGACCAGAAGTTAAGCCATTGAGATATGCTGAGCATTCTTTTGCCTTCTATGCAATAGCTAGCTCGGTTGCTAACGACTCCATGCATGATTCGCGGGTACTATCGTTTGATGCGATCTCATTCATGTCATGCATCTCTGGGACACCGTCAATTGTATGCGCCTTTCTCTAGTTTCGGGAAGAAGATCCTTCCAGGGTGCTGACAGCCCTCGAGAGGCCCGAGATGTGAGAACAACATTGTATCAAATTTACATACGCCTGATCTGATGCTGTCGCGACATATTGGGGCACTCTGGTCCCCAGGATAGCGACATTGAATGTCTCGGACCTTAGTTCTATTTCCAATGTAGTCGCAGAACAAAGCCGTTCGCTATAATTGCCGTTGCTGTCTTCGTTCAAGAAGAGATGAGGTAGGCAGAACAAAAGTCTCTTCACATGCGCTCCAAACCCGCATACAGTCAGTAATACCCCAGGAAGTGGTATAGAAAGCGTCTCTCATCTGAGCATTGGTTCAGAGCAGCCGTAGAAAATCGCAAACACGGCACAAGCGTGGTGATAAGGAAGCACAGAAACTGGATTGGCGAAAGTGAGCATACATATGTCTCTGTCAGGAAGTCGTCCCGAGAGACGAAGAGAATAGAGAGAAGATAGTATGAAAATAGGCTTCGTTGTAAGCCATCAGAGCCTACGTGGATGTTCATGCAAGCAGAGGCGACACTTCGCTTACCCCGAAAAAAAAGCGTTCGTGTTTCAAAGTCTCTCGTATCTGCTCCTTGGCCGACCAGCAGTACAGCTCTCGATTTGTGTCGCCAATCATCGCTTTGCCTGTCGATCGTCAGATCGCACCCCGAGTCACATCAACTTCACTTACCAAGTAATGGGAACTTTATTAGCAGCCATAGGAAGCAGTACATGACATACTCCTTAACAATTCCGACGCTAGCTTTCCGTCCGGCCAGTTTCTTTCCGCGTTCGACGATCTTGTTGATTCTGGGAGAGCGAATCTTGTGGAAGATCTCGACAGCCTGATCGATAATCCATTTTTCTGATGCATTACCGTATCGTTCATCATCGAGCAATTCAGCAAGTAGCAGGACGAAAGTCTGGGAGTCTTCCAGAGCCTGGCTGGCACCTTGACCTGTCGTCGGATCCATTGCATGCGCTGCATCTCCGACCAGTACTATGCCTCGCTCACCCCAGTGTGGGAGCTCTGGCATAATCCAGGTCGGGTATATGGATTCGACATCTGCGTTCTTGACGATGTCCACGACGACCGGGTCTTTCCAGTTCTTGTGTCGTTCAAGCAGAGCGTGTTTAATGGCTTGAGGATCGACATCCCTGGTGTCAGGCAGGCTTGAAGTCTCGAATGTGGACCACCACATGAGCTGCTTGGCAGATACCGGCCCACCTGAAGCGTAACCGAAGAAGCCATTGCCACCAAACTCGAAGACCATGGCTTTTCTATTGGAGATGATGGGAGGAATCGTGGTGTTGTGGAAGCCTCCGACACCAGATTGCCCGCTGTAGGTTGTCAGTGGATGACTTGAGGTAAGATCTGACACATGATCCTCACCTGTATACCGGATTGTATTTCTCGCTGTCGCCAAAGAGCGCCTTTCGTACTACGCTTTTGACGCCGTCGGCACCGATGACCAAGTCTGCATCGTCTACCTCTTTTTGCCCTTGCTCATCGAGCATATGCACTTGCAAACGCAGCCTGGGCTTGTCCGTGTTCCTGACGACTTTCAGAACCTTCTTGTGCTTGATTACGTCCTGTCCATGCTTCTCAATCACGTACTGCCTGAGCGTGTGCCAGAGTCCATGTCGCGAACTTGCAATGCACACCTCTTCGGCATCGCCCTCCGCTCTTACAGCTTTGTCGCTCGTGCTCTGGATGCCCAATGTCCAGTCATTAGCTCCTTTAAAGAAAAAATTCTCTGCCGGAAATCCCTGCGCAACAACTCTGTCGTGAAGATCGAGGCTCAGGTCACGTAGTACGCGCATGCCATTAGGTGAGACGCCGAGCCCACCACCTACAATAGCTGTCGACTCGGATAAGGCATTGAGGTTGACTGACTGATTGAGACGATCTAATGAAGAGGTGCCTGAAGCTGTTGAACGAGGTTTGTGTGACTCGTATACAGTGATAATGTGTCTTGAGGAGTTGGGGAGGCGTTTGCGGAGATGCAGGTAGGTAGATAGACCTGCTATGCCCCCGCCGACGATAATGATCTTCATGGCGACCTGCGAAAGAGAGCTTTGAAGCTGCAAGTAACTAGTGTCATCGCAACGACAACTCGCTCGAGCTGCAACTCTATACTAGTAGTGCCTTAGGCAACAGGTACTCAATCTGAGCCAGCTGAAAGAGCACGCGATACAACAGACGCGTAGTCAATACGAGAGACACGAACAGGCAGCAACATTTGCTGCCTGCCATCCAACAAATCAAACATCCAGCTGCACCGCAGCCATTACGCAATGCAAAAAGACGATGTAAGGGCAGTAAGTAGTAACCTCCCTCCCTGCGGGTCGAACAACCCCCCACGCCGCACAAAACCACCGATACTTCCACCTTGAACGCTTCTTACTTCCGCCGCACCTTGGAAATTGCTATACACCGGTAGCAAGAGTCTGCTACGGTTATTCCTACACGTGTGTGCATTATTGTAGCGAAAAATTACCGCTGTGTTGACGCCTTCCGCGCCCGTTCCGTAAAGTGCATTGTCTTGCTGCGAAATATGCCCCTTCCTCTGCAGCAGCACCACGACACTCTTACTGCTTTTTAAAGATACAGACATGTTCCAGTAAAGCCCAATAGCGTTGTAGCACTATGCAGACGTCGCTAGAAGCGTTGTGGCTGCAGTCCCGCAAAGTTCTACACAATCTCGACGTGCGATCTGGTACCTCAAAGTCGAACGCTGCTAATACTAAGTGACTGCTTAGGGTCGTCAGGCTGTAGGCTGAAGGCTGTCAGGCTGAGACCAAGCAAGCGCTGTGCCGCAGACACCATCGTCGCAGACTCTGTCACTGTAAACACACCACCGTTGGTGCATGCTCTTGTACAGCAATGCCATGGCCTCTACAGCATCTAATGTAGCGTTCGGCAACGCATATTCCAGCGTCCAAGCTCGCACTATTAACGGCTCTGTCCACATTGATACGTTGCGGGACCGCCCGAGGGCCGTCAAGCTGTAGCAGACACGTCAAACAGGACTCAACGATACCCTCGGTCGTCTACCGCACGCTGAAGATGCGCCTTTCAATTCGTACACTAAGCAGCACGAGCCTGCGTGCCTCCCCGACACGCGTGTCGACCTCCTCAATGAGATACACAGCTGGGCCGATGGCCAAGATGAGCGGTGCATCTTCTGGCTGAGCGGGCTGGCGGGCACGGGCAAGTCGACCATCGCCCGGACGGTGGCGCGCAGGTACCACGACAGGCAGCGTCTGGCGGCGAGCTTCTTCTTCTCGCGCGGCGGCGGCGACGTTGGGCATGCGGGCAAGTTTGTGACGAGCGTCGCAGTGCAGTTCGCGCAGAGCGTGCCAGCAGTGCGGCAGCACATCAGCGACGCTGTTGCCGAGCGCAGCGACATTGTAAGCCAGTCGCTGCGCGACCAGTGGCAGCACCTCGTCTGCCGTCCGCTGTCGATGCTGCACGAGCCAGAAGCACGGCCAGAAACATACATCGTAGTCGTCGATGCGCTCGACGAGTGCAACAGCGACAGCAACATCCGCATCATCGTGCGGCTGCTGGCCGAGGTGCGGTTGTTGTTGTTGTTGTTGTTGATAGGCGTCCGGCAGGTAGCGGACTCGGAACACAAGGACGTTATGTTGCACTGCATATCGCCGTCGATTGTTGAACACGACATAGGACTCTGGCACAGACGAGCACTTCGAGATCCTGCCCGAACAGCGATTGGACAGCATATACCTTACAGTGCTTAAGAGCCCCATTCGCAGATACAGGAAACAGGAAAGGAAGAGATGGTACACGCTGATAAGAGAGACACTCGGGGCCATCGTGCTTCTGCAATCGCCGCTTTCTGCATCTTCGCTGGCTCGGCTACTCCGCGTTCCTGCAGAGGATGTGCATCGAACGCTGTATGAGCTGCACTCGGTTGTAGATGTCCCATAAGATTCGAACTGGCCAGTGCGCTTGCACCACCCTTCGTTCCGCGACTCCTTACTCAATAGAAAGAGATGCGGCGACGACAGCTTTTGCGTAGAGGAGAGGAGCCCACATGAGAAGCTGGCGTCTCGCTGCCTTGAGCTCATGTCAGCGCCTGGCGGCCTTCGGCAGGACATATACGGTCTTTCGAAGCCCGGGATGCTGAGAAGCGAGATAGGAGAGGAAGTAGTGGCTGACAGCCTGCCGCCCGAGCTGCAGTATGCGTGCCGCTACTGGGTCGAGCACTTTGAGCGCAGCCAGCAGAGAATCGCCGACGGAGACACAGTGCACATCTTTCTACAGAGGCATCTTTTGCACTGGCTCGAAGCGATGAGCCTGATGGGAGAGACAGGCCAGTGCGTGCGCTTGCTGGCAAGGCTGCAGGCGTTGGTATCGGTAAGAGTCAGTGCGTGGCAGACGCCATAAGACAGACACTGACTTGCGACGCAGTCATCTGGAAGCACGTGTGCAGGCTTTCTCCGCGATGCAAATCGATTTGTGCTGCGCTTCTGTTCAATCCTAGCAGATGCACCCCTGCAGGCATACTCGTCAACCCTTGTATCTAAACCTCATGTCTCCGAGGTACCTGCTCGCACGTTAAGGCTGCATGAAACCTTGTGCGACAGCAGCCACCACGCTTGTAGCGACTCTTGCGTAGTGTTGCAATGTTAGCAGGTCTCAGTAGAGCTTGTTTATATGTTTTGGGAGCAGCAATACTGCTGTGGTGCCGCTATAGTGGAAGAAGTGTGTTTTGCCGCCGAACCGGTCACTGCACAGAACAGGCACAGACAACGTCAACGCGGAGGTAATTTTTAGTTGCGAAGGCCTTCGCAGGTGTAGAATTATCGAGAGCAGAGTATGACGTTCAGTGTATAACGATAAGTGGGGTATGGTGGAAGCACAAGTTCGAAGTACCACCGGTGGTTTTGTTCGGTGCGGCGAGGCAGGGAGGGCGACGTCGTTAAGCGAGAAGCAAAAAGAAGGTCAGAAATGCAAAAATATCGGTCGAGCCACCAGCCCAACACACGCCCTTCAACCCAAACGGGAGTATTCCAGCGCCGCCGTCTCATGGTGAATACCTGACTGCTGAATTTCTTCACTCGTCGATTGCATTCATTGCTTAGGTTCGTCCAGCATCCCGAGTTACCTACGGGAGTGAAGCGAACACCACAAGACTCGAACTGGGCTCCTGCCAAGGTGTGCACTGAAAGGTGTGCGTGGATAACGGTGAACCTTCCGATGAAGACCCATTACAGGTAACGTGATTTCCAAATTATAATCTTATATACTCAAATTGAACTTTCGGACCTGAGCAAGTTGTATTGTGTTCGATGAATGTTGCACTCGTCTTGTAGGCCCTCGCTCGTGCTGGAGTGGGGTCAAGCAGTCAGCTTTCGATTGGTTGGTCACACTTCTGACATCGCAGCTTCCTGGACTTCAACTTCCCCGAGCCATGACGCGATCACTCCTGACATCTCCACTTGCACTAGCCTTCGCGGGGCCCTGCAGGACGAAGCCGAGGGATTGCCCGTGGTGCTCGGTGTGAGCTCAGTGCTTTGAGCAATTTCCCTTACTCTCGCGTTTGCTGTATCTTCGTAGTTGGTCACCACTTCGCACGCAGTCCAAATATTGAATGCACAGCAAACAGTCACTCTGGCCGTCACAAACATGACCAAATTGTGTAAATACTATTGCGACAGCGGACCATTGTCGCCAACGCGACCGGACAACAAGGTACTCGATTGGTCGCGATCATCCATCATGGTCTTCACCCTTCACGCGTCACATATATGGACTACAAGATGATGCAACGACAGCAGCAGCGTTTGCGATTACTTCAACAGCCTCCAAGGCTTACACTGTACCTACCCTGGATACATCGATCACGTCAAAGACGCTACTGCCAAACAATACACGATCAGCCAGTACACCTCTACCTACCTATTCTCAAACCATCTCACCATCACATCTGCAACATAGCACACTCTTTACGTTGATAGCACATCATACGGACATATACCTGCATGGCTACTCCAGCTGCTCCTCCCAAATTAGGGCTCAATCTCGTCTCGGCTACCGTACCTCCAGAGATCATCCTCAAGATCATACAGTATCTCCCGTTTGACAACGGCAAAGATATCCTCAGACTCCAACACGTGCATCCGCGACTACGAGACCTCCTCGGAAATTACGAACGATCGCTTACACGGACTTTCATGAACCGAGAGCTACCGCACGCATCGACAGACTTCCCGTGCTGTGCCAAGTTTGGGTATCGATGTCTGGCGGAATGCGTAAAGAGATACGATGTTGTGGATGATGTGATGGACGCGCTGTCGTCGCGGCAGAATTGCTACGCAGTGGACGAGCACAACATGGCCTTGCTGAATGCCGGATTACTGCTCATATATCGCATAGCGTCTCTGGGTGAGCTTCAGAAGCACATGTTGGGTCAAGAACAAGAACGCTAACACCTGCGCAGAAGACCACAACACCAAACTCACGTTCATCAAATCCCTCCCTCGCGACCCCCTCACAGCGGTATACCTCACGCTCCATAACTCCACGCTCACAGCGCGCTATCATGGTTCGGGCTGGATCAATCAGCGCACATACGGCCGCTTCATGGACGCGAACCAGATTTCGCTGCGCAACGAACTTGAGTTCTGCTTTGCTGAGGCCGCTCTCACATTGGGACCAGAGTTCATCTCAGACCTTCTGCTGCGACCAACGAAACCAGGCGCTGAAGCTACATTCCTGAACTTCTACCACGATCATGGGACGCATGATTGGGAGTGGCCAGGGTGGGGCGAGGGGAAGGGTGAGTTCAACCCGCCTAGGACGCAGGGGCCGAAGAAGCAGTCTTGGAGCATGGGAAGGAGCTTATTTACAACCCTGTTGGAGAGGCTAGCGGAATGCTTAAAATGCTCGTTGGATGAAGTGCGGACAAGAATAGAGGAGCAGACCAACGACCCAGATCATCCCTTATCATACTTGAACTTGTATGGCAAGGCGCGGCTGATGGAGGGTCGGAATTGGGACTGGGCAGAGGAGGAGCAGCAGAAAGGGCGGCGGGATTCAGTCCATTCCTAGCATATGTACAGCACACAAACACCAAGTCATGCAACCCCATCTAGTCCAGCGCAGCATACACATCCGTCCTCCTCGCCAACGGAATCTCCCTCCTAATCTTCTCCACATACTCGACATCAATCTCCGCAACCGCAATCTCGCCCTCATCCGACCCCCTCCCCTTCTCATCCACCTCGCCTCCCAACTCCGCCACCACCTTCCCCCACGGATCAACAATCATGCTATGCCCATAACTATGTCTCTTTCCCTCCTCGTCATGCTTGCCCACCTGCGCCGCAGCAATGACATAACTCTGCGTCTCGATCGCGCGGGCTCGTAACAGCATATGCCAATGCCCCGCCTTTCCTGTCGCCGTGGTAAATGCAGAGGGGTAGGTAATGATGTGCGCACCGCGCTGAGCGTACGCTAGCCCGGGCTCAGGGAAACGCATATCAAAGCAAATTTGCGGACCGATCTTGCCCAGCGCGGTGTCAAAAGGTTGAGGGAGTTCGGAGCCGCGCTCTACAGACTTGGATTCTCGCAGGCTGGGCCCGTCCTTGATGTCGACGTCGAAGAGATGCAGCTTTTGGTAGCGGTTTGTGATGTGGCCCTCTTCATTGATCCAGATCAAGGTGTTCTTCGACTTGTCTCCGGACGCTGGTTCGTGGATGCCCACGTGAATGGGCAGTTTATACTGTTTTGCGGAAGACAATAGACCTTGGACGAATTCGGAATCTTCGACGGATTTACACAGCTTGAGCGAGGGGTTCGTGTTGATGTAGTCTGAGGCTTCGGGCAGGAAGAGCGCGGAGGCACCGGCTTCTGAGGCTTTTTTGACGAGGCTTTGGCATTGGTGGAGGTTGTGGGTGAGGGAGGCTGTGGAGCGGATTTGTCCTACTGCCTATATGGGTGTTAGTTTGCGTTGTATCAAAAGACTCCATCATGCATTGTAGTTGGTCTTGAGGTGTGTCTTTGGGGTTCGTTGAGGAGACATTGAGTGGCGAAGACCATTGCAGCGTTGTCTTGTCCTCGGAGTACGCCACCATAGGTTGTTGAGCCTCGAAGGACCAACGCAATGCAAGATGAAAGAATCCGTCAAGGAAGACATGAACCTACTGCTAGAGGCATCTTGATCGCTTTCTATGTTGATAGATATTTGGTTTTCTGTAGCTGTCAAAGTATACCTTCTGTGCTTGGAAAGAGAGACCGATTCAATCACGTCGTCACTGCGATCGATGGACGGCGTTGCACTAGGAAGACTAAGACCAGATTAGGCTCACGCGTCCATGTCCGCTGCAGCGCCTGACGATCTGTTGACATTGTTTGAGCATGCATTGTCATTTCCGCGGATACAACGAAGTGACTTGAAGCAATCGTGAAAGCCGTGGAACGATGCAAGGGCCGAAGCGCTCTTGCCCTGCAGGGTAAACCGGCCCAATCAGGTATTCTGCAAGGCTGCGTAAGTTGGCCGGGGCCGTGCTAGGCGCATCATTTGGCAGCGCGCCATGGATCTCAGCATTGCGCGGCTGTCAGAAGCCACGACGACGCTGTTGACACGTTTCGTGGAGTGGAAATTACGACGAATGCCAGCTCCTTCAAGTCTACCCACACGCCCATCCATAACCCTAGTCCCCCAAGATTGGCGCTCGACAAGGTAACGATCCCCATCTCACCTCCGAAGTCCCCGCAACACGCTACTCGGCGTACCACGTACACATACTCCACGCTGGCCTTTGGCGCACACAAGCAATGCATAGATCCAGACGAAGAGCGAGTCCACGGTGAATGCTAGTAGGGCTGCCTGCGTGTAGGCAAGCACAACATCTGAAACGAGGAAGGAACCATCAAGATGAGCGGAAAGAACTGGTGGAATAGCGCAATATCGGGCCTGGAGTCGCGGCTCGACACCATCTTGGCTGAGGACGGCCAAACGAGCGCAAAGCCGGCAGACGCTGCCACGAAGCCTGATGGCAGCGAAAAGGCGGCTGTAGACAAGAAATTGGCGGTTGAGCAGGGCGGATTGTCGCGCAATTCGTCCCGAAGCAGGCCGAATTCAAGACTGCAAGATCGTCTAGCGAAAGCTGTGACTAAGGGCACGGAGAATGCGAGGTCATCGTCAGATTTGGGGTCGCGACCGGAGAGCCCAGCTTTACGAAGCCCAGGGATCATGGCTGCCGCCGATACTGAGAGGACAAGCATAGACTCGAAGGTCTTGGAGCTTGCAGCTGCGCCAACAGCAGCTACGGAGGCAGAGCCGGCCGAAGTAGACGAAGAGAAGAAGGATAATATCACGCAACCTTCAACTGAGGCGGCAGCGCCTGTGACTTCGCCTCCTGTAACATCACCGCCGACCACACCACTCGTAGCCGAACAGCCAGCGGCCACTCGCATGCCTACCATGTCCATACCATCCATTGTTACACCGCAAACGTCCTCGCCACGGCAATCGATCGACAGCAACCCTTCACGGCCATCGATTGACCTCTCCACGCCCGTCGAGCCCGAGCTGCCTTCTACACGAGACCCTGACGTCCTTGCATCCGAGCTGTCGAACTTGCAAAGAGCGCACGAGGAGACTGTCCGCGGGCACCGGGATGAGCTCAACTCACACTTGGAGCGCATTGATGCTCTGCAGTCCAAGCTCACGTACCTTTCTCGACAGCTGGCCGCTTCGGCAAAGGCAGCTTCAGCAGAGGCAGAGGCAACACCACAGGACAAAAAGCTGGCAGAGAAGGACGGCCAGATAGCAGCACTCATGGAAGAAGGGCAGAAGCTGTCCAAGACTGAGATGAAGCACATGACGACCCTCAAGCAATTGCGTGCAAAGGGGCAAGAGCAGAACAAGGAAATCAGTGCGCTAAAGCAGCGGTTGGCAAAAGCTGAGAAGAGCATCACGGAACAGTCAGAGCGAGTCCAGCGAGCAGAAGCCGGTGAGAAGGCTGCGCAGGAGAAGCTGAAGGTCGTGGACAAAATCGAGAAGGATATCAACACTGTTAGGGCAGAGCGAGAGGAGGCCAATTTGACGATGACGGAACTCCGGAAGCAATTGACTGAAGCGCTGTCGCGGGCAGAAGATGCGGAGAAGAGAGTCAAGACTGGAGCTTTGGAGGCCGAGAAGAGGGTCACCGCATCGCTGCAAGAGGACCTTGATAATCTGCGCATCGAAAAGAAGCTCGCTGAGGATCGCGCAAAGAAGGAAATCCAGGCTGCTCAGGAGCAGGCGAAGAGCCAGCAGGAGAAGGCAAACGTCACCGAGCTGGAGCTACGCGGCGAGATTGCTGTACGTCAAATCGATCATCTTTTGCCGACCACTACTGACTTCCCTAACAGAACCTTGAATCTAAACTCGAGCTGCTCCGCAGCCGGTCTGAGGAGGCAACTTCATCCGCTACAGGCGATTCGCAAGCCAAGTTACTACGACAGATCGAAATGCTGCAGACGCAGTACTCGCTTGCTTCAGAAAATTGGCAAGGCATTGAGTCCACTCTCACATCTCGAGTAACAGCACTTGAGAAGGACCGTGATGAAACGGCGAAACGCGAGTCGGACATCAGACGGAAAGCGAGGGATGCCAACTCCAAGGCCAGACGTCTTGAGGATGAGTTGGACAATATCAATGAGCGAGCCAGGGCTCTCGAACACGATCTGACTGAGCAACAATCAGCAGCACAGAAACTGCAAAGTCGCCTCACGGCAGCGGAAACAGCTGCACAAGACGCCAAAGCCGATCTCGAGCGCGAAAAGAAAGTCTGGGAGGCCGAGTCCCAACAACGCCTCGAGGAAGAAAAGAGCAGATGGCAGCTAGAAACCCAACAACACAATCCTCTATCCGTCTCGACCCATCTCCGAGCCGACTCACCCTCAACATCGAACCGTCAACGCTCCCCCGATCCGCTGGCCATCTACAACCGACGAGCGCTCCGCTCCACAGCATCAGCCATGGACACCACCCTCTCGCCGATCGACCGCATGCTCGAAGACGCCCGCCGGCCTTCCATAAACCGCCAGAAATCCTCTCCAAGCGTCCGCACCCCTGAAATCGGCACGCCCCAGCGCCAGGATTCGAGCCTCTCTGGTCTGTCCAACCTCAGTAGCGGCGCAAATGCGCCGTATACGCCCTCCATCCATACGGTCGACTACGATGAGCCCTTTGAGAACATGTCATCTCCTCGTAGAACTATTAATGACATGATATCTGTGTCCACCGTTGGCGCGGGCCCAAGCGTGCAACTCGTGGAGCGCATGAGCGCGGCAGTCCGGCGCTTAGAGTCGGAGAAAGCGACGCATAAAGAGGAAATGGCGCGCTTGAGCGCGCAGCGCGACGAGGCACGTGAGGAGGTCGTCGCGCTGATGCGCGAAGTGGAGGAGAAGCGGGAACAAAAGAGAGAAAGGGATGCGTTGCAGAAGGAGTTAGAAGAGGTCAGGGAAAGGTACGAGACGATGCTGGAGATGCTGGGGGAGAAGACGGAGAGGGTTGAGGAGCTGGAGGGGGATCTTGTCGAGGTTAAGAAGATGTATAGAGAGCTTGTTAGTACTATGGGGCGGTGATGAGATAAGCCTTCAAGTTCAGCTCAGGCAGAAACTTGGCATGTGTGTTGAGAAGAGTAAATGCAAGCTATGCTAAACGCCGACAATGCTGGGTATATCTCGACTCTTGCGCACCTACTCTAAATCAATCCCCTCCCTCTCCGCACTCTGCAACACAAAACTCCTCGTCTTCGCGTCTGGCGCATAATCCAGTGCCACCTTCTCCCACACATCCTTCTTATCCCACTCCGCGCCCCTCTGCAACAACAACATCGCCGCATCCCCATGCCCCTCACTGATCGCGTGATGCAGCGCCGTCTGCCCATCGACATCCGTCGCGTTCAGCGGCGACTTGCCTGTGTCCAGCAAAGCCTTCATCATCGGCACGTTCCCCGCTGCGGCTGCGCGGTGCAGTGGTAACTGGCCGCGCTTGTCTTTTACGCGGGCGCTGGCGGGAGGCTTTTGGGACATGAGGGTTCGTGCGATGTCAAGGTTGTTTTTGGAGGCGCAGAAGTGCAGGGGGGTTTGGCCGGTGGAGGTTTTGGCGTTTACATCTGCGTCTTTGGTCAAGAGGAGCTCGACGACCTGTTCGCCGTCTTTTCGCGAGCAGGCCATGTGGAGAGCGGTCCAGCCGGAGCCGTCTGTGGCGTCGACGTCGAAGTTCTTGATTTGGACAAGGACTTGCACGATCGCGAGGTGGTTGAAGGAGGCGGCCCAGTGAAGGGGCAGGCGGTCGTCGGGATCGCGGAGGGAAGAGAGCTTTGGGTTTGCAGAGAGGAGTGATTCGACTTTTGATGCTGGAGCGTGTTAGTATGGTGGAATGGGGTATGAAGGTTATTGGGGTGGCTAGCATACTTTGGCCTTCGCGGCAGGCTTCGTGAATGGCGTACTTGGCCTTGTAGTCTTCTAGAGCGGCGACGGACATCTTGGATTGTGGCAATGTCGATGTGGGTTGGAGCTGAAGCTCGAGAGCTGGGAAGCTCGAGGCGGGCCGGACTTAAAAATTGCGCTAGTGGTATCTCCGTGAACCCAACCATGATCTCACTTTCGAATCTTTTCGACACTGATTCCATCAACCCCACGAAAGCCAATAATTGTTGCCCACTTCGATTTGCGATGAATGTTGCACAAAGTAAAAAAATCAATATCATGTACCTGGCTTCGACGTTGCCTTCCCCACGGGGTATCTTTTGCAAACCCCGCATTCGAACAGGGGGCCTTTCGAGATGAGCTGCGTTTCTGCAACTCAAGATGTTCTAGCGCAAGCGACAGCCGACGTCCAAGGCCGAGATACATGTTGCAGCATGGAGAAATTCTGATTCATGGATCTCGATCAGTCTGCAGATGAACATTCGCGTCTTCGGGTTATGTTGATCCAGAACCAATCCTGGAGGTACCCAGTACATACATAAGTCAAGCCACCGCACCAAAGATGAGCCGTCGTTGGTCGTTCTCTACCGGGCCTCACGATGCGTCAACAACTTTGGGCCGCAGTAGCCATTGCTACTCTGTCATCGATTGTGTATGCTCAAGCACCTCCTTCACCAGATCAGTATTGGAGGGTATCGCCGCCCATCGACTACTCCGACCCAATCTACGCAGGCTGGCCACAACTCAAGGTCGACGCTGAAGTCCTAGTCTACAAGGGAACAGAGGTCAATCGCACCTATGCTCACCACCCTGAACTCTACCATGACGGGAAACGAACGTTTCTGATGTACTCGACGGCACCCATAGACGAAGATTCGATCGGCCAGGACGCTTGGCTGTCAACATCCACAGATGGTGGCTTCACATGGTCCAGAGGCTACTCCATCTTACCAGACGCGCTGCTTCCCAATCAGACAAGCCCGGCAAACTACACCTACTGGTGCGACAACCGCATCTGGCAGCGAGCTCATCATCCCGTGGCATGGGTTCCTATCGACAAGAACACCTTGTACGCCGTATCTCAGACAACTCTCCGCTACTGCTGGGGCGATGACGCAAAGGGCACAAAAGCAGCGGGTCGAGTCGCTCGAGTTATTGACAAAGCCGGAAAGCCAGTAGGCGATCCATGTTGGACTTCGCAAAACAACTGGACCGAAGTGGTTCGCTTCAACGAAACCGTGTACGGCAAATATGGAATGAAGTTCTGCAAACATGCCAAGCAGATCGAGGCCTACCTCAAAGAGCCGCCGAAAGTACCAGCCTGGGGCACTTGGCTTTACCAGACGAAGCTCTTCGCCGCTGACGAGGTCCACGACATGCAGGAACCGACGCACTCAGTCTGGTTCGGCAACAAACTCGGCGGCTACTGGGAGCGCTTCTGGCGGGATATCTCGGGTTCGGACATCATCAGCACGGCTGTCTGGGTCGAGCACACCAGCTCTCGTACAGGCGACGACTGGTATCCGAAGGTGGAGAAACAGCATGGTAACCAGATTTTCAAGACCAACATCCCGGATGTGGGCAGCAAGCAGCATCTGGGCCTTCTGCCGAACGGCGATCGGTATCTAGTGCACAACCCGAGAAACAATACCGAGCGGTATCGTCAGCCGCTCACCATTGCTACATCACGCGGAGGTAATGGGTCATACACCGCCATCGGAGTGCTGAGAACGAACGCTAGTACGGTCATTGCGCCGGACACGAGGAAGTTAAAGAGGCTGATGTTCAGCTACCCTACGGCTATCATGGTGAACGGCAAGCTTGTAGTCGCCTACAGCGAGAACAAAGAGAACATATGGGTCAGTGTGGTAGATCCAAAGAACCTGTTGTAAACTGCAGCTTCAGAGGCTGTGTTTCCACTCGTTAGCCAGTCACTATACCAACGCTGAGCTTGCTCGTCGTGCCACTGTTGATCTAGTCCGGCTGGACTCTTTTAGCTTGCAAATCAACAGTATTGGGGTCCATAAGCCACGTACCACTTGTTGGCCACGCACAAGACCATCTTCGCAGCTGATCATTCCAGAAAATTTCCTGGTTCTTCAAAAACTCGACCCAATCAGCTTGAGCCTGCGCCTGGGCCTGATCGTGGTGGTCCTTTGTCTGTTGCTTCCTCTGGCGTCTTTGTCTTTTAGTCTCTTTGGGTCCTATTACTCCTACAGTCTCTTGCCTGCCTGATTCGACATTCTCGATCTGTTTCTTCGATAAGACCACACATCGCAGTCCGGTGTCTTGTCGGACATGGTGACCGAATCGGTCCAACTAAGCGATTTTCCGTTCTCATACCAATGCAATTGGAACGATGAACCTCAAACGTCTGCTGACATCGGAACAGACCAATGTCTCCCTCAACAGGCTCAGCTCGCAAGATTGGGCAGAGTGAACAAGCACGGCCTGAAGTTACTCGTCAAATGGCTTGAGCACGAAGAAGGAGGCAAAGGCTTTCTCCAAAGGTTCGAACAGTTCATATGGGATGACGCAAATGTCCTAGATCTGATATCGATTTCGAGTCAGGCATCTACAGATGGCTTTCTACGGCTGGAGGTCTTCAGTGGAGTATCAAAGAAATTCATTCTTGGGTATCATGCTGTTTTGAACCTTGAAAATAACGCCATGCTGCTTTCTAAGCATCGACCTCTGCCCTCAGCCGGCCTCTCGCGATCGCGTCGCCTAGACCCATGTTCGACGATCCCATGCCAGCATTGAGACGCCTGGAGGTATTCAGATTACTTTGGACACGCTCCTCCTCCTCAGCATCCTTGCGCGTTTGCTCGCGCACGCGCTCAGCACGCTGCTCCTCTGTAGTCGAGGCATCTGCTTGCATCTTCGCCAGTCGCTCAGCTGCGCTCTCCTTGCTATCTCTATCACCGCGACTACCTCCACGGTAGGGTGAACGTGACCGTCGACGATGGCTGTCTCGGTAGTCTCTGCTCTCCCGATCCCGGTGGCTGTGCCTGCGATCCCTCCTGTCGCGGTGGTCGCGGTCTCTTGAGCGCGATCGAGAACGGTCGCGGCGGCTGCGGTGGTGCCTGCTGCGGTCTCCATCCCGGTCTCTGTGCCTCCTCTCACGCTCCTTCTCCTTTGTGCGCTTCTCCTCGTACTTGGCCTGCTTCTGCGCATCCTTCATGGCCTTCAGCTGCATCTCCATCTTCTGCTTCTGGATCATGAGAAGAGGATCCTCGAGAACTTTCTTCTGTGTGTCGCGTGCTGAGTTTGCGTTTGCGTTTCCGAGTGCATCGATGCCGACGGCAGCGCCCTTCTGCAGGTCCTGGGTGTCGTTCGACTTCAGTAGCTGATCAATCCTGCGCTTGCCAAGTAGATAGCCTTCGCGCTCCTCGGTGACACCTGCGCCGTCGCCGCCGGGGCCGGAGTACATCCAGTCGACGCGCCTTGTGACAGTCTTGCCGCCTGCGGCTTCCTGCAGCCTCTGTAGCTCTTCAAGCGCGCGTTCCTCCTCTCGCTCTTTGCGCAGCTTCTCGATCTGCTTGCGCTCCTCGAGCGCTGACTTCTCCTCTTTCCATACACGCTCTTGATTCTTGCGCAAGTGGGGATGCCAGGACTTCTTGAGGTTGAGATCACCACCCATATTTGCGGCGTAAAGTAGTTATCGGTTTGTAGACGTGATAGGCGGCTCCGAGCCTGGATGTGGGTGAGAACGTGGTGGTAGTGTTGGCGCTGAGGTGAGATTATGGGGTAGTGTGATTGTTGTGGTGAAGTGAGGACGATGTTCTGAGGAAGAGAAGGCGGGACGCGCCACTTGAACCCATGCCGGCTTGGCACGCTAACGCAACCGCAGTTCGGCCCCGCTAAAATTCACGTCTCTCTCAAGCTCGGGCGAGAACAAAATATTGCATCGTCCAAACGTATGGAAAACAACAACCCCGAACCACAATCGCGAACCAGCAAAATAATCGCCTCGAAAGCCTGCGGTGCACGCTCGGAAGTCTAGAACAAGGGCCGGAAATTGCACAACATGTCCACACGCAAACGCAACGAATGGCTCGACGCCGAAGAAAGCGACGACGATGAGCGCGGCTACAGCTCGGAAGAAGAAAGCAGAGCGCACACCCTGCCCTCCGCCAAACGCCAGAAAACCGACCACTCCTCCGGCGCCTCAGACTCCGAAGACGACGCAGAACCAGACGACTCGACCTCGGACCCCATATCCAGCAAGAACGCCGAACTCGCACGCCTCGAAGAACTCGCCGCTGGCCTCCCCCAGGACCTAAAGCTCGCAGCCGACAAACTCGGCGGCAAACCCATAGACCTGAAAGCGCCCAAGAAAGACAAATCCGGCGTAATCTACATCTCCCGCGTCCCGCCGTTCATGAAGCCCACGGTCCTGCGCTCCCTCCTCACCCCCTACGGCGCCGTCGGCCGCATATTCCTGACGCCCGAAGACACAACGTCGCGGCAGCAGCGCCTGCGCGGGGGAGGCACGCGGCGCAAGCTGTTCCTCGACGGGTGGGTCGAGTTCACGCATAAAAAGGACGCAAAGTTTGTCGCTGAGAACTTGAATGCGCAGACCATGGGCGGCAAGAAGAGAGGGAGATGGCACGATGAGGTCTGGAACATCAAGTATCTGACCGGTGTGAAGTGGGCGCATCTCGTGGAGCAGATCCAGAATGAGAATGCGGAGCGCGCGGCGAGGTTGAGATTCGAGATTCAGCAGAGTAAGAAGGAGAACAAGAGGTTTTTGGAGAATGTGGAGAGGGGGAAGATGGAGAGCGGGATCAAGGCGACACGGCAGAAGAGGGGCGAGGATACGGATGGGTTGGAGGAGCGTGGTGCAACAGGCGAAGGGAAGCCGAACAAGGCAAAGAGGAGGCTGGAGTTTAAGCAGCATGCGGCGACGAGTAAGAGTGAGAAGAAGCCCGAGCCGGGGCAGGATGTGCATAGGGTGCTCAGCAAAATCTTCTGAGCGAGTGCGTGGACGAATGATACCAATGTGCGATACCAACAAGTCTAATTTCAGACGTGCAACTCTATCCATGCAGCCACTGTGCCTTTCAAGTCATGCTTTCCTGGTCTCAATAACGCCGTTTCCAATCATACAATGCCTGGGTATCTCCGTCTTCTTCTCCAACAACATCTTCCTCCCCGCCAAGCTGCTATATGGCCGTTCCTCTCTCGAAGCTCTCCCTGATCTCCGTCGTGTACCTGTTGTAAAAGCGTCCCAGCTTGTCGTTGAACTGCTTGTTCTTCTGGTTGATGTAGGTAACATCGCCCTGGTCCTGCTCATCTCTGATGCCTCGCTTCCTCCTCGCCTCCAGCCTCGCCTTCTCGCCCTTTTCAATGTCTCCAACGAGTCGGTCGATTGCTTCCTTGCTCGGCTTGTGATCGTGACTGTACTCCTCTTCGACTGCCGTGTTGATACGCCCATTCGGGTCGACCGTGTAGATCTCCCCCGAATCTGTCTCCACGAGCTGCAACAACCCAGATTGGACTTGTCGCTGGAGCTTTGTCGCTTTCTCCTCCGCATACGCCGCAAGGTCAACTTTCGACATCTGCCCAACTTGGCGTTTGTACACCTTATTCGCCTCTCCTCTATAATCCGCAAACGCATTGTTGTCCCGCGCCCGCGCCTTCTTCGCTAGCCGCTTGTCCCAGCTCTCGCTTTCCTCCACAGTGTAGTCCCAGTTTCGCTTGCGCTCGAAGTCCGGGTCGTCGGTTTTCAGCAGCTTGTAGGATGCTTTGGTGTGCGCGTCGGCCAGCTTGGAGAGTTTCGCTAGGCGTTCTGAGCGGTCTTCGGCGTCGCGGACTTCGCGCTCTGTCGCTTTGCGGCCGCTTTCTTTTTGCGCTTGGAGCGTCTTGAAGCGTGCCATGCGGGCTGCGAGGGCAGCTTTGGGGTCGGTGGAAGCTTCTGTGGATGTGACTTCTGTGGCGGTTGGCTTCAAGTCTGAGGGCGCATCCTCGGAGGGGGGTTTGGGTTTGGCCATGGTGGCTTGTGCGGGCTCTTGTTCTGTTGTGTCGGCCATGTTGGGTTGTGTTGTGGGCGTTGTTGGCAATGCTCGAGAAATGTACAAGTGGATTACGAACGCCAAGATATTAGCGCCTTTCGTGCCTTCCTCCGCTCTCCAGTTTTGTCAACGTCCCTCCGCTACACCCCACATTTCTCGATGCAGTGCTTCTAAGCTTGGAAACTGACTAGAGTTTCCAGACTGCGCCTCTCCGCTTTTGCAAAGTGACATTCATCTAGTGGCGCAGGGACTATGGCAGCAAACTAGAGCTAATGCAGGCTCCGAGGCAGCCTGGACCATAGCCGTCTGTTCAACCAACAGCAAGGCGACGAGGCAATTAATTGTGCAACAACAAGCCCGACCTCAGTGTCCATCACATGGATACATTGATGCAAGCATGACCTGATATCTAGGAAGGTCCACGATAGCGTCCGCCTGAAGTCCATACTCTCGTTATGGATTTTCTCTCCCTACTATTTCCTCTTCCAAACACCCATGTTCACCACTGCGAAAAGACTCAGTAAAGCCTGGTTACATCTCTACGTCCACTGAAGACACTTCCAAAGGATCAACTCAAGTGGTGGCGGCGAAAAGTTCCGAAGGCTCACCACGCATTTGTTAGTCGATAGGAATGTTAGCGACACAAACAGCTACAGCATTATGGCGACCACTTCCACCGCACTGTTGATACTCGTATCTCTGGCAGCTATCACGCTCCACGAGACTGTCCTTCGACGAGTCGAGATCGATCATCTAACGCTGCCAATTTTGGCAGTCAGCAGCACCGTGTATCTTGTTCTCGCTTGCTATGCTGGCTTCCTTCAAGCTACCACCTTGTTCCTGACATTCTGGTCCACTCTCTGGATATACATCGGACTATATCGTACGCTCTTCCATCCTCTTCGACGCTATCCTGGACCGCTAGGAGCGAGATTATCAAAATACTATACTGTCAAGAAAGTGATTGCTACAAGGTGGCACTGGCATCGAGTGCAGCAGGATCTACAGAAACAGTACGGGGACTACGTACGAACAGGTCCACGAGAGCTGTGCATCTTCGACCCAGAAGCGGTGCAGACCCTCTTGGGTTTCCAGTCAAAGACGAGCAAAGGTCCATTTTACGACGTGATGGAAAAGTCACTGCACCTTAATCGTGACAGACCTTGGCACCGTCAGTGAAGGAAGATCTCCATCTTTTTCGCATCTCAACGCGTTACGCCGTCAGAAGGACTCACGATAAACGGTCACTTCGTCCCGGGCGATATGATCGTGCAGATGCCACTATTCGTCCTCAATCGCGACGCTCGGAATTTCGTCAGACCCGACGAATTTCTGCCTGAGCGATGGACGACAAGCCCAGACCTTGTGATCAACCGAACAGCGTTTTTCCCGTTCTCCACCGGGCCGTACAGTTGTGTCGGCAAAACGCTGGCGTATATGGAATTGAGAAGCGTAGTTGGACGGGTGCTCAACGAGTTTGATGTCGTTTTGCCGGATGATTTCGGGGCGGAGTATTGGAACGGGGTAAGAGATCACTTCACTGCAGGGCCGCCAAGGCAGGAGGTGAGGTTCGTGAAAGTAGAGGATCGATGAATCGAGTACGTGGCTCTAAGGTCTTCATGTTGTGCATTGGCGGTTGACAGCGGATCGCGCAACCATGGTTCACGTTCGATGAACTTGCCATATACGGCACATTTGCAGTATCGTCGATTACGGCGGGATATGCTGCCTTGGCAGTGGAGCCTCGAGGTCTCTGTTCAACAGCCTCTAGTTCTCTATCCGACCTACCGAATTCGGGAAGTTTTGAAAATGCCATCGATCGCATCGAAACCTCGAGTGATAGCTCTCAATCCCATCCCTCGGTAAACCAGCCTTCGGAAACCGCCGGTGAACCTATCCCTCCACTAAGCGCAAATCCTCCACGTCATAGCGTACTGTGCCTTCCGATGGCGGGGACATGCCAAGCCGCGCTGTGTCGGAACTTCAACACTTGTCTCTTCGTCCTTCCGACAACTTCATCCGCATCTGGGGTTGCCCTTTACGTTACACAATACGGAGGTACGATCATTGAGCAACAGAATTGATCCTTGTGAACTGACGTGAAATTTCACAGCATCTGAAACTTATGCAGCCCCATGAGAGATCCGTAATTTTCTCCTGGCTGGTTCTTGAGGTTCAATCGATCCAGCAGTGCGAGATTAAGCGAAAGCATTCAAGTCGCTGTGCAGCGAATTAGTGCCAGTTCTGTAAATGACCTCATATCACGTAGAGCCTCCAGAGAAGCGGCGTCGAGTCGATCGTGTTACGGCAGCATGTGATCTTTGCAAAAAGCGAAAGGTCAAATGTGACGGTGAACAGCCATGCGCGTACTGTCAACGGAAAGGTCGCGCAGATACGTGTACATTCACTGCGCCGAAAGTGCGCGGCGTACGATCTGCTGGACATACTCCGAACGGTCCCACACCTTCGCACGTGTAAGTCTCGAAAGACTTGTTGCCACGATTAGGGAGGGACTTTCCTCGAGAGCAACAACATCCGAATCACGTCGAAGCTGACCGATTGAAGTGATGAGCAAAGAACTGCACATTCGACCCCCCGTCGAAGAAGTGAGGAGGGTCTTACTGCTATCGGAACATCACTCTCCCCAACAATAAGCAGGGATGAACACCCCGAAGATACAGCTGTACCTTTGGAGGGTCGTATACTACGTGACGCGCAGGGGAAAGTAATCTTTGTAGGCGATTGCGCGCCCCTATCCTTTTTGCAGACCGTCAGACATCTGATCGCATCCACTGTTGATGCAGATGCTTTGCCCGCACAATCTTCTCGGGATTCTATTATTGAAGTTGCTCGACCAGGATCAGCCGACCAACAACAATCCTTATCAGTATCACTCCACGAAGTGCGGCCACTGGTTCAGCAATATACTGTAGCTGTCAGTGGCTTGGTAGATCTGTTCGAGCACGATCAGCTACTAAGCGAGATAAGCTCATGGGCCACAGGTGCAATTGCACGTCCCCACGAGTCTGCAGCTGCAGTGTTCTATCTTGTGCTTGCAGTTGGCGCGCAAGAGAATCAAGATGCCAAAGCAGAGGCATGGTTTACTTATGCTCAGGATTTACTACTAAAGCATCTGGCTAACAGCATGAATATTTCAACCGTTCAAGGATTTGCGCTCGTTGCGATCTACATGCTTCGGGCTTTCCAGCCCAACGGCGCCTATCTTTACTTCTGTAAGCTTTAAGGGCTCAACAACGGCCCGGGAAGGTTGCTAACAAGTTGCAGCTTTGGCCGCTCGTACTGCTTACGCAATTGGCCTACATCGAACAGAAGTCAACGCCTCATTCGGAGAGTCCATCAAACTTGTCAGAGATCGTATATGGAAGAGCGTCCGCGTTGTCGACCAGCTCATAAGCAACCTGCTAGGCCGGCCGCCATCAACTTCGGATGTGGATTGCACCGTCAAGTACAGTGTTGCAGAAGTCGCCGATGACATGAACGCACAAATACTCGACACAAGCGTGCAGATCTTTATGATCATCGAACGCGTCGTCGTTGAAGTGTACTCTCGCAAACGGATTTCTCTACGCATCGCAAACTATGTTTCTCGCCAACTAAGGACTTGGGCGTCAAACTGGCTTCAACCTTTGCACGAAGCCACCAGTCGAGCAAATTTAGGTACTTCATCGCCAGAGGCAGCTGTCGGTGCTTGCTCTACGCTATGCTCCTACTACTACGGCATCATGCTACTAACACGACCGTTCCTGATTTACGAGCTGTACGAGTATATGGGCGCTTCTCTGAAGGGTAGCGGTACGCAAGGCGAACATGAGGAGAAACGAAAATATGCCGACGCCGCACTCGATGCCGCCTCGTCTTTCGTGGACACATTACAGACTGTAATACATACCGGCAAAATGCCTCGTAGGATGCCACTCATAGTGTAAGTTGCCCCACGTGCATATCGCTATGGTCAATCAATAACTAACTGAGACAGGTCTTGGCTTTTCACCACCTCACTCGTGCTGGCAGTTGGCGTGCTAGGTCACTCAGGAATGACCCTCAAGGACGACTGTCAAGCTTCAATTCAATGTCTCGACTACTTCGGCAAAGTCGATCCACATGCTCGACAATACTCCCTCACCGTACAGTCCTTGCTGAGGACGACGACTTCACATGTCAGACAACGAGAACAGCGCTTGCGATCGCAACAAAAGCAGGCCTCATCACAATTATTTGGATTGCTACCTTCAGCTACTAATACGCCACGACAAGACATCATTCATCGTCGCCGCCAATCTACTGTGCAACCTTTCACTTCATCCGTTCCGGAGCAGGAAAATGCCATTGCTTCCGCGCCTTCCGACTGGACTATATACGACGCCGACTTTTTCTCGATGCCTTGGATGAACGAGAATGATCAAGGTTTACAAGGCTTCCTGCAACCAGGGACACATACCTTCGACGGAGCATCCATTGCCGATATACCACTCTTCCCTATGTACGATCAACAAAGCGGTGGAAGCTTCCTATGAGCGAACAAATCAAACATCTTTACCAGATAACGCTCAGAACGTCCAAAAAAGAAAACTATAGCTGCAGACAGCTTCGGACCGTGACATTGGATATAACGTCCAGCCACGAGCAGATCGTCTTGTCACACGTGGCGGCTCGTGCTATTGCACATGACCTCTCATGTGGTCCCAGATGACGACGCCTCACGAGACGGTAGCCTCGTTCGTCTCGTCTCTAGATGTGCGCAGGAACGGAATGAGCTTGGTTCCACCAGTGCCGACTAACTCCTGCGTCTGCGGCTTTTCTGACGCCATTTTGGTGCTCATAGATGCGATGTCCTTGCGGTTCGAGAATTGTGCTGGCCTACCCTGACGGGCAGGAATGATAATGTACCTCGTAACAAGAGCGATGTGGATGTCTCGGAATCGACTCAGCGCGGCGACAGCCTCGTTGTAAGCCTCCAGAAGTTCGGTATCGTCTTGGTGCGAGTCAACATAGCTGCGAATGTTTGCGATGGACTCAATTTCGTCCAAGAACCTCTTGTGTGGGCCAGGCATGTAGTTGCGCATCTCAGCGTGGAAGTTACCACATCGAGAGTGGTTGACTGAAAGCGCGGCATCGAAAAACTGCAAGAGCGAACTTTGTCCGTTGCTACCACCACGGTACTTCCTCCACTGTCCCTTGCCATTGCCTTCATCGTAGAAGACACCGTTCAACAAACCAGCAGCCTCCATGTTCATGCTACCAGCCAAGAGTGGCCGAATGGTGTAGTAAAATTTCTGCGGGTTGCAACGCTCGTCCATACGCTCCAGTAATCTGCCGATATCCTGCATGCTCTCGGTAAAGTATCTCAACCCAGAGATGATTGCAGGAACATCGTCATGGTCGACTGCCTCCATAGCTGCCAGCATGATGTGGAGTAACGGCCCTGCCCTGGCTTCCATGGCGTTCGAGATGATGAGGAACCATGACTCGTCATCGGTCCCTGTGGCTGTGTGTAGCGCTACCAAATTATCCGGTTGAGTAAGATTGGCACCCTTCTCGAGTGGCCTCCAGTTCCAGAGGTTCAGTGCTGCGTATGTCGCTACCGGGTGCACCTCGAGGCGCTCAGCTGCTTTCAAGAAGGGAACGGAGATGGCAGGGGGTAAGCGCTAAATATCTTATCAGCAAAGGGCGGCCCTGGTAGAACGGATATCGACAACTCACTTCTGATGGCTCTGGCCCTTGCCATATGTAGCCTTGGGTAATGACTGCCAGCATTGAGTATGCTCGTTGCCATTCTGCCTCAGTCCCGAGATATCTTGTATCGAGAACAGGCAGTTCGTCAACTCGTCGGCGAACGTGTTGTGTCTCGATGAGAGTGGGCAATACTTCGATGATAGATTCCCACGGTTGGTAGTAATCGTTCGGTAGGCGGGTCAGCGGCGCACTTGCAGGCAAGAAGCCATTTTTTGAGATGCCGTACGATGGCAGGGCAGCTGCAGAGGGAAGAACTTCGACTTTGTGAGGGCTCATGGTGGATGGTGTGCGTGGTTGCAAAGGGTGGATTGGCTTCTTGGAGAATACATCGCTACTTAACGGTCTCTGACATTGCTTTTACATGCGAAAAACAGGATCCACTTTATTATTACCATCCATGAATCTCATGCTCGCAACGGTGAAGGCTTAACGTCGGGACCTTAGTTGAGCGTCGGAACGGATGCTCAACGGAACCACGTCCGACTACCTCCGAAGACGGAGGGTGCCCTTCCATCTTACCTTAGTGGCGATGAAACCGTCGGATGCAGTCAACGGAAGCAACTCCACAACTTTTGCAGGACGTAATGTATATATATCAGCGATGTATCACCCCACCATCTGCTCATTCACATCCTACACTCCTCCGGCATTGCGCATTTCACATCGACTTCAAGTGCTGAATCATGATGGACGCGACTTCCGCTATCAACCAGCTCCGACAGGGCCAGAAGCCAGCATGGCCAGCTAACGCCGACTCGCTGGAGTTCGCACAATCTCTTGACAACAGCAACGAGATCCTGAAGACCTTCCGAGAAGAGTTCGTTGTCCCCACAAAGGCCCAGCTTGCGCGGAAACAGCTCAAGGACGATGCGAAGACCGCGGCGAAAGCGAACAGCTCGGATGACGAAGGCATCTACTTCTGCGGCAACTCGCTCGGCCTCCAGCCGAAGGCCGTCAGGGAGCACCTGAACGCCTACCTGAAGACTTGGGGATCCATTGCCGTTGGCGGCCACTTCACAAACTTCGAGGACTCGCCATTGCCAACGTATCAGGACCTTGCTGCACAATGCTCGCAGCAAATGGCCGACATTGTTGGCGCATCTCCCTCGGAGATCGTTGCCATGAACACCTTGACAATTAACCTCCACCTGATGATGGCTGCATTCTACAAGCCCACAGAGAAGAAGCACAAGATCATGTGCGAATGGCGACCTTTTCCCAGCGACTGGTACGCCATCGAATCGCAAATCGAATGGCACGGTCTGGATCCCAAGAAGTCCATGTTGACCGTCGAGCCAGATGAGGGCTACCTGATGACCACTGAGCACATTTGCAAGCTCATCACCGACAACGCCGACGAGATCGCCCTGGTCCTGCTTCCCGGTATCCAATACTACTCCGGCCAGCTCCTCGACATCCCCACCATCACAGCCCACGCACACAAGCACGGCCTCACCATTGGTTGGGATCTCGCGCACGCCGCCGGAAATGTCGAACTGAAGCTGCACGAGTGGGACGTCGATTTTGCATGCTGGTGCACGTACAAGTACATGAACTCCGGCGCCGGCGCAGTCGCAGGCGCCTTCGTGCACGAGAAGCACGGCAACAACGAGCACAATGTTGGTCTCAAGGGATGGTATGGACATGACAAGTCTTCGCGCTTTTTGATGGACAACAACTTCAAGCCCACACCCGGTGCCCAGGGCTTCCAGTGCTCGAACCCCTCCATCGTGGATCTGACATGTCTATCTGGGAGTCTGAGCGTGTTCAACAAGACCAAAATGGCAGATTTAAGATCGAAATCCCTCCTCCTGACTGCCTACGCGGAATACCTGCTCTCCGCCATCGCAACGCGAAACATCAAAGACGGCAACTTCCCGTTCAAGATCATCTCGCCGTCAGACCCCCGCTTCCGCGGTGCGCAACTCAGCGTCCTGCTGCAAGAGGATCTGATGGAGGATGTATCCGCGGGACTGGAGAAGAACAGCGTCATCTGCGATAAGAGGAAACCAGGTATTATCCGCGTGGCGCCTGCGCCCATGTACAACACGTTTGCGGATGTGCAGAAGTTTATGGCTATTTTTGAAAATGCGCTGCAGCCCAAGACAGAGCAGCAGAGTGAGGCGAAGGAGGAAAGTGTCAACGCGAATGTCGAGGCGAGGTTGTAGATGGTGATACGATGGAAAGTCTTTGCATAGTTTAGCGTTCATTAATGCATTTGATACCACTCATCTACACTTCCACACACATCTCTGTCTAATCATCCGCCTCGCTCGCAGGAATACAATCCACGCCAATATCGCCCGTGATATTCTCGCACACGATCTGCGGCGGGGAACCCGCAGGACTCGTGATATTAATGTTCTCCAGATGAATGCCATCGCACGTCGCGCCCGGGCTGCATGTCAAATCCGCCACAACCCTCCCATTTTTGCCACTACTACTGCCGGAGATGTTAATGAAGTTTACATTCGTGATATTAACCTTGCTCGGGTACTTCGCACACGTGGTCTCATTGATATTGAAGTAGCACTGATCCAACACCACAGGCGCATCGGTGTTCTCGATGATGATGTCTTTGTACGTCACGTTGTCGATGTATCCGTACCCAACGTCCGGGCCCGCCCACGCCTTGAGGCGCGCACCGTTCTGGCCGTTCAAAAGGGTAACGTTCTCGATCCACGCGTTGCTGATGTAATCCTTGACACCGGGGTACTGGCCAATGCTGCCCATTGATACGCCGTGCGTGCCGTTGCACCACAGGTTCTTGACGAAGATGTTGGTGGTGTTGGGCTTGGGGGAGAAGCAGTCGTCGCCCACGTTGACGCGTGTGTTGGTGACGGTCAGGCCGTCGACGTTAAGGGAGTCAAAGCCGTCGGTATTCTTGGGCAGGGAGGAGGCGTTGGTGGAGACGGCGTCAATGTAGATGTTGTCGAAGATGACGTTCTTGGTGCGTACAAGGAAGGTGGTCCAACATGGAGAGTCTTTGAGGTGCAGGCCTGAGATCTCGATGTTGGTTGCGTTGTCGGTGAGAAAGAGAATCGGGCGGTAGAATACATTGTTGGGGTCGAGGATTTCGGCGCCTGAGAAGCCGTCCCACCAGGCCTGACCGTTACCGTTGATCACTCCAGTGCCAGAGTCAGAGTATATCTTGACGTCCCTAGTCTTGGTTAGCTTCTGAAGGGGTTCAGGATGTTGGAAGACTCACTTGCCGCCCCAGACTGTGAACGTGATACTCTTCTGGAATGGGTAGTAGAAGTTGTTGGCCTGCCAGTACTTGATGTCATTGGTGTACTTCAACTCTCCATCAATGTTGACATAGACATCCTTGAGGAAGCTAAGGTCAAGCTTCTTTCCGATGACATACTTGTGGTTCTTCTTCAGATGCACAAGGCCGCCATTATTAGCCTTCTTGAGCGCCCAGAGGAATTCATCACTAATGTCGTCTGTGTCGTTCTTCGACGCCCGAATGGTGATCTTCTTGCGGTCGTGTGCGACAGCGTTGCCCCAGTTGTCCTTCTCTCTAGGCTTTCTGGGCAGAAGTGAGTCGGACCGAGCAACCTGGACGGAGGCACCAGCGGGGATGAAGTCATTGTTGAAAGTAGATGCAGACACTGAGGTCAGAGAAGCCGCAAGGGCGAGAAGGACGGAGATGGACCTCATGGTGCCGAATTAATCTGGAACGGTTTCTGATCGCCTGCCATAGACCAGAGTGTCACTCAGACTATTTTATAGTCCCCCTCTGACCTCATTCATCGGTCCTCTGAGTCTTGGCTGTTCTTGGCCCTGTGATGATGTTGAAAAATTTCTCCGCCGTGAGTGTGATTTCTTGTCGTCGGCCGCCGTTCATCTCCACGGTGCACCAGAATATGCGGAGTCCCCGCGCACTAACCCCAAGAATTCCAAGCATCCTTGGATAAAGCTTGGGGCAGCTTGGGGTAGCTTGGTGGACAGGGATGTTTTTTGGAAGATCATGCAGGTTGGCGTTCGTGCAAGGTGTTGCGGTTCGTGGACAGACGAACGGCTAATCTCCCACGAATAGTGAGTAAGACCAACAGATCTCCCGCGGCGGCAGGTGAATTATCCAAATCTTGGTGTTTGCTTGTTAAGACAAGGTCGATGATAGAGCGAGAGGTAGAAGCCGGGACAAGTCATAAGAGCACGCGTGTCCGGTGTCCTGGGTAATTGAGACGCGACAAGTTCACTCCTTGCGAAGTGATGCATCCTTAGGTCACTCGATTACCTGACTACTTCTCAATCGAATTCGAACGAACAAACGACTGATTTAGAGCGTGAAATCGAGCCATGGTCTGCCGTATAGCTGATTGCTGGTATCACGTTTATTCGGCCACTCGAGGATGTTGTGGGTATGGGCTCGCGATTGCATCCAGAAAGCTGTCGAACAAAGACACCGTTCGTGAGATTACTGTTGACTGGATTTGTTGGCAGAGATACCCACACGATTGTATGAGATGCAGAACTCGAGCTGGAAGACCTGGCGGCCGTCGCGACTTGTGGTAAAAGCGGGGCCATGACGCGCTAAACATATATCGATAGCGCACCCTCTCATCGAAGGCTTCACTGCCATTCAGACTTCATGCGTTCTGCAGCCGCGCTTTACTACCAGCCTAGAGACTGATCTGGGTTTTCCACCTATCCATACTCCCAAAGGAGTCATGCCGGGGCAACGACACGCATCTGTGCTGGACATAGTCCACCTTGAGAGTGGCGAGATGCATGACATAGCATCTTAGCTCCATCCCGATCAGACATGGAGCAAGTAAAGTGTAGCCGATGCGGAAGGCTTGGACTGCCCATACTCTAAGTAACGTGTACACACAACGTTGAAACTCAAGGGTTACCAGTATTTTCGGTTGTGTAATTTGATCGATGCAACAGTTTGTATCCGGTGTAAGGATGGTACGTCATTCGCACGATCAGTCGCTTCGATGCTGCTGCCTAGACAAGCCTCAAATGAGAGAAGGGCAGGCCGCCACTGGTTGCGTCTGATTACACGATGCTCAGGCACGTTTGTGCAAGAGCAGACCTACTCACCGACATCTCCAATGTGTAGCTGAGTGTAAACGTACAATTCTCCGCTTGCCAAGCCCAGCCACTGCTGCCTGTTTTGTATACGAGGCTGAGCACTTTCTCCACATCAACTGCGATCTCGCAACACAAAAGACACTTACTTCGTCTTCCCAACTCGTACTTCACACCACAATTCTCTTCTCTCCCGCTTACAAACCTCTTTGCCACCGTTAAACACACCCAAGTTGTTCCTACGTACATACGTACCAACTCATTTACGAACCACCATGGCATCCGGTAGTGTGTTCTCAGGAACGCTACAAACGATCACTAGTACGAAACTCGAGGAACTCTCCAAACAGCGCACAGCCTTCAACAAGCAACACGCGGCTCTTCTATCGGCGGCGAAAGCAGAGCAGGATCCACTCAGGCGCCTGAATCTCGTGGTTGATGGCACAAAGTTGTGTCTGGGTGTAAAAACAACTGCACACAGGGATGAGGGTGACCGACCTGGGCGTGTGATCACCGGTGGAACGCGCAATGGCCGGCTCGAGACTGACCTGAAGAATCTTGACCGCTTCCTTGACCAGACACGGTTTGACCCTTCAGTATCTACCGACGTATTAGAAGACTGGGAGAACAAGTTGCTACGATATGTTTCTATCCAGGCTACCAAATATGAATACGCTGACCTTTACGGAAAGCTGGTCAGCGAGTGGCTTACCTCTGAAAAGATGGAGGGGATCGCGACTGCTGATGGCGATGTTAAGATGGGCGAGAGTTTCGAGGAACTTCCCGGCGCCAAGAGGCTTGAAGCCCGGACTGAGTGGGAGAAGTCTGTCTTCGAGCCCGCTGTTGTTGACTTGTCTGCTCTGAAGGCGTACCTTGAACGCCTATTCGTCACCGACAAGAAGAAAGTTGCATCAGCACTGCAAAATTTGCGCAAGAAAGTCGAGGAGTTCGAAGCCAACTTGACGAGCAACTCACAGTTCAACACTCATACCCTGCGTTGGGTCGTGAAGTCTCTTCAGATCTCGGACTTACTCTCGAACGAAAAACGGGAGGTACTTGGTGATTTCCTTAGCAACGATGTTATCTTGGCAGAGATTGCAGATGTCCTCAACATGCGTATGGGAGCGCTCGATCGGTGGAGTTGGGGCAACCATATCCTTCTTGAGCAACGACGCCAGATCAATGGTCAGTTCCAGATTCATATGCACGAGGACATACTACAAGCGATCTTTTTGCACTATATTGGGATAAAGTGGTCGGTATTTTTCAAGGCAGCATTCCTCGCGTTACGCAGCACCTCAAAAGCCTGGCGGAGCAATCGTCCAGACGTACCAAAACCTGACAGGATGCGCCGCGGTTACTTTCTTGGCGACCAGGGCCAGAGTGTTCGTGGCAATCTCGACAACAAACGCAGCAGGATCCAACGCAAGCATTACTTCATCAATCAGCTCTTAGATCATGTGGAGCAACAGGTTCAACACAACGAAGGCGAAGAAGAAGCTGACTTTGCCGACTTTGTGCAAGAGCGACCCCGAAAACGAGCTATGCAGACAGCGAGAAAGTCGGCACCTATGGTACAAACATCGGTATCGGCCATGCTCGCATCTGCACCACGGCGAACGGCACGTCAGGCGCAGCCAGAGGAAGAGTGCGAAGAAGAAGATGAGGACATGGGGTACGCCCTCTTCGATGGCGTCGATTGTCGAGTTGGCCAGTCCGAGTCGGATGATGATGATGATGATGACGAACCAGATAAGAATCCAATGGAAGCGAAGCAAGGCCTCCTTCATATTCTGGCTACTGAGATCATACTCAACATTCGCCTCAATGGCGAGATAGCTTGCTTCCGCACCATCTTCGAGTCGTGGAACCCGCTGCTGCCTCACAACACTACGTTAACGGTTCTCGAATTCTTTGGTGTGTCTGAAAAGTGGAGAAATTTCTTTAAGACATTCCTGGAAGCACCATTGAAATTCGCGGACGACAATCAGTCCACCGAGCCACGCTTGAGGCGCCGAGGTACTCCAGGCTCGCACGCCTTAAGCGACGTCTTTGGGGAAGTTGTACTCTTTTGCATGGACTTTTCGTTGAACCAAAACACCAAAGGCGCTTTACTTCACCGCTTGTACGATGATGTGTGGTTTTGGAACAAGGATTATGAGACCTGCGCTACAGCTTGGGCAAGTGTCCGAGAGTTTGCTGAGGTTACTGGTACGCAGGTATGTCGCTTTCTCCGAATCGTACTGAGATCTACGTATTGACCAGCGCTTCAGATCGACAACGTTAAGTCAGGTAGCATACGTGTTGGCCGGGACGGCGAGATGGAGATTGATGACCGCCTGCCTCAAGGCGACATTCGATGGGGCTTCCTTTACTTGAACCCCTCCAACGGTCGCTTCGACATTGATCGAAAGATGGTCGACTCCCATGTAGCAGAGCTCCGGAAACAATTGCAAGGGAAATCGAACAGTGTCATTGACTGGATCCAGGGTAAGTGTATTCTACTGCTCATTTTACGGATGATTGCTAACTCACTCTCTAGCCTGGAACTCCTATGCTGCTACTTTCTTCAGTGCGAACTTCGGCAAGGCTGCAAACTGCTTCGGCCGTGAACACATTGACACGATGCTTGCTACCCATCGCCATATCCAGGAGAGCGTTTTTGACGGCGGCAATGTTGTGCAGCATTTGAAGCAGATGATCAAGGATCGATTCGATGTATCAGATCTGCCCGACGGCTTCCTCTACTTCCCTGTCGAGCTCGGTGGCTTAGATCTCAAGTCTCCCTTTGTTGGTCTTCTGCAGATCCGCGACTCGGTGAAAGTCAATCCGTATGACTTGCTGGATGAACATAAGGAGAACGAGAAAGACGACTACACCGAAGCAAAGCGTCGTTTCGACAAAGGTGATCTCGAGCATATGCGCTGGAATACTGAGAAGCCAGATTTCCGACCTGAAGACGCAGATATTTTCTTCAGCATAGCAGAGTTCACACGTTACCGTGAAGCACTCGCCAGTATGGGCAAGGCCGACCTACGCAACGTCTACCTTGAGCTGCTCAAGCGTCCGGAAGAGGAGCCTGTCGACCTAAGCGCTCAGGTTACACAGGCTCTGCAGGAACTAAGACAGAGCAACTTGCGCGGCATACATGCGAACTGGTACAGCATGGATGCGTATTGGAAGTGGATTGCACAGATGTATGGTCCAGACATGATCACTCGCTTCGGCGGATTCAATATTGTCGACCCCGGCTGGCTGCCCATTGGCATGGTAAGCCAGTTCCGCCAGAGGAGGACCAAATGGCAGGGTTAGGTCGTGCTGAAGAAACCACTTACAACATTACGAGCCTCTGAGGTCTGTCAGGAGGCGGTACTGCATGGTCGTCGTTAGCCTCTGGATATTTCGTGGCTTCCATTTGGTTTCTGTGTGGATTTGAGGTCTGGAGCGATGATAAAAAGCGGACAAAGCCTGCAAGAGCCTGCGATTTGTGTGCATTTAGCGAAGATGATACATTAACAATGATTTCAGCGAAAGAATACGAGCCAAAGGTGACTATGCCACCCAAAATCCCCAGCCCCAATATTAACCTATAGGCCTGATCGTTTTGGTATCGGACTCCTAAGCTGTGGTAGCTCGGAAATGGCTGGAGTTCCAGTACTCGGCAGCTCATGACTCACATCCTGCGGGCTTTGCTGTTTGCCAGGAGACTGAGAAGGCTCAGGAGGTGGGGGATAGTATGGCTGCGGTTGGTTGTACCCACCCTGTTGATGTGGCGACATTCCTTGGTAGTAGTTGGCTTGCTCGCCGTTCCAGGGATTGGGTGGTGGGGAACCTTGCGGCGAGAACGCAGGTGCTTCCACCAAAGGTGAATGCATAGAACTGCCATGTACAGAATAATTCGCACCCATCTTCTGTGTCATTGCAGGGCTATGCGGGCCGACTGTTGGGTTGTGTGCCAGTTCGACTCGGTTGGGCTCGGCTTGCTTGCTGCGACGTCTGCGGCGGAGGCAAAAGAAGACTATGGCAACGATAGCGGCTAAGCCGACTACTCCACCAACGACTCCGCCTGCTATGGCGCCAGTATTCGATTTGGGCTTTGGTTGGCTTGTTGGATTTGCCGTCGATGTTGCTGGTATGGCCCTTGATGCAGTTCGTGGTGCTGCGGAGGCTGTCGTTCTGAAGTACACAGATAAGTCCCGTACTGCAAAGCCTTGCGCTGGTGCTGTTGCTGTGGCATGCCCATCGGTACTGTCGTGATGTCAGTTTGGAGAAAAACATTGCTTCGTATATTGTCTGGGAGATACGTACTCGCCACCGACGAGAGCGACAATTTTATCGGGCACCCTATACCCCGTTGTGTTGTCCTGAATCGCATGCCACCAAACCCCCTGCTCGGTAGCCTCCTGTCCAAGTAGAAGACCGTGCTGCCCACCAATCTTTGGGACATCGCATTCTGTTAATGAGGCATTCGGAATTTGGCCGCCGATGACGAGCATCTGTGACTCTCGGATTACGTCGCAGGACATCCATCCTTTACCTCCAAAGTAGTTTGGAACAGATGCCGGGTATGCCTGAGCGGGTCAATACACAGCAAATTCAAGTATAAATGATGTAGAGAGACATACCAAGGTCCACTGGAATGAGGGCAGAGTGAGTATGTACAATTCGTCAACTGCTTTCTCGTTCGAGGTAATTCCGCCGTAAACATAGCTTCAGTATGTCAGTATCAGCATACCATTGCGGTTGTCACCCTTACAAGTTGTATGAAGACTTGTCTTTTGCCCAGATGACGCCTGCACAAGAGCCGCGTCTTGGTGAAGGAACGTCTCCAGTAGCTGTTTGAGTGAACCACCTATTGTTAGCAATATCAAACAGCTGGATGTTCTACGGCGGTGTCAGTCCAGCTTAAAGACGACGTTTCGCAAGAGACCACTTACGCTCATGTTTGCCTACGATGTGTTAACAGGGATGGACACGAGGATGAAAGGACGAATACTCACGTAGCTGGTCACGCCGTTGTTCGTCTCTAGACCTCCGAAGTAGACAAGCATCCCTGCATCTGAAGCCGGAATGAAATGCAGCGATCCTTCAGCTCGAGGTGTCTGATCATATGTGTTGTTCTGCCAGCTTCGAGTGTTCATATTGAAGGAGGTCAGTGAACTCAACATCAGACGATCACCATTCCACTTCGGCATGGATAGGTTGGTCAGGTATCCGCCATAGTGATACGCTGTTCCTGTATCCGTGACGGCACCAGCGCCCAATGTCGGCCACTTTATACCAGTCAGGGAGCCATCAGAAGCCCCTGAGCGATTCCAGGTGTTGTAGATAACGTCGTAGAGCCACAGCGTGGTGAAGGACTGTACGTCGTTTGCATTGTCGTACTCACCACCAAACAAGTAGAACAATTTGTTGGTAGTGTCAGGCCACAGCACCCCTCCGCTTACGGAAGGTACCTCTGGATCCTACAGAACAGTCAATTAGTATTAAGAAGTCCGACGCCGGGACTATGAGCATCCTTAGAGGGAATGTACCTTGGTCAAATTGCTGTATTGAACCGGGAACTTGTAGTCATTTTTGGTGTCCAAAACGTTCTCCCAAAGTAATCGAGTATCTACGCCGATCAGCTATATCTCTGTGCTACGCTGCCACAAACTCACTTTGCTCAGCGACACTGCCGTTATCCACGGATCCTCCATAGTATACTCTCCCGCCATCTATGTATAACTTTGAGTCGATTATGCATGTTTGATGCTGATGACGCCGACAGAAGTCGTTGATGGGATCCCCAACGCTCTGCTGCGCGGCCGTCATGGCCAGTATTGCGCTGAATAGCACGGACCGCATGTTAGTATTGAAGGGAAGTCCGGAGGTCGTCGAGCAGGTAGGAATACCGGAGTGTCAGGCTTTTGTCTACGTCTGACCGCGCGGTCTCGAACAAGGAGCTGAGAGGGCCCAGCCGAGAGGCGGAGACGAGATTGGGGATCCACTGGACCATGTAGGTCTGTTCTCGCGCAGCAAGGCCAACATCGATGTAGCTTGTCTGTGCTTAGGCGCATATAAGGCCCTTCTCTCATATCATTGGTTGGTGCCACTGACGTAGGGTGTCGTGTGCCGGGGCGTGCATATTGTGGCGATCAGGCAATGAGCAAGCCTCTCGGTACGAATTGTAAGTAGCTTGTCGTTCCGGCAATTCATTTTAGCAAAGCCTCGTGGTATCCGTACGTTATGCCTCTGATCAGTGTCCACGGTTCTGTTGAGCGTTCGGCCATACTTTCCTGTGACGGTGTTGTCAAGTTCCCATTGGGTGTCAGCTGAGTCGAAAGCTGCAGGGATCGCTCTTACGTGGGGGCTGACTTTCAACAGATTCACAGGATAGACCGGAATGCGCTAGCATGAGGCATTGCACAAATTGGGAGGCCTTGCGAGGATCCCTTTCACTTCTTTAGCGAAGCCTATAAAGAGGTCGTTGCGGGGTCGAGAATCCATCGGTGTCGCCTCCATGAGCAAAGTTCGACTATCAACCCCACAGCCTCATTTGCGTGGTTTGAGGGACTCTTGAGCAGTTCCGCCGCTACGGGAGGCTGAGGTCGAAGTAAGGCATGTTGTGCAGCCGCTCAGCACAGCTTCGCAACGTTCATGGGGTTAAGGGCTCGCAAGTTGCCTCGTGCTTACAGCTTTCACGACGAACAGTCTAGTGATTGGCTATAAATAAAAACGTTTACCTCCAACCCTGATCATTCGTGTGAAGCCGATATCCATATGCTGTGTGTATATTAAGCAAGAGCTTGTGTTCCATTAGTGCACTGAAGCTGTGGCACCCATCCCCATCTCTGTGCTCTTCTTTGCATACAGTTGAGTGTCAGTCATGGCTCCTCTTGAGCGTATGTTGATTGTAATGGATACCCGATGGATCGACAAACACGTGTCACTGGTGAGACTGCGCGGGGAGGCTGGGAAGGAGGCCGTCTGCCGTAAGTGAGGCACGTGACGTCACCCCATTCGGCGGCGCTTCGAGTCTGCCTATAGACAGCGTTCGTTCCCATTACACTCAGTCTCGGGCTTATATCAGGAGAGCTCTTCGTTATCTTTCATTTTATCTCTGATGCAACTTCTGCAGCTTGGTAATGATGTAGGCGACGAGTTCAGCCTTGTCGAATTCATGGGCAACGACATCCCGCCATATGCTATCTTGTCGCATACACGGGGCCCAAATGGCAGCGAGTTCACCTAAAAAGACTTCGTAGAGGGTACCGGAAAAACCAAAAGTGGTTATGAAAAGATACGCTCATGCGGAGAACATACCGCGGATGGAGAAGGGGCTTCGACACTTCTGGGTTGACACCTGCTGCATCGATAAGACAAGTAGCGCCGAGCTATCAGAAGCAATCAACTCGATGTTATCGTTGGTACCAAGAGTCAAATATCTGTTTCGCCTACCTAAAGGATGTTACAATTGAATTCCCATATCGAAATGGTCAATGGCCAATGTTCGATTGTTCTCATGGGGCTGGACTCTTCAAGAACTCCTTGCGCCACGGGAGCTCGAGTTCTTCGCGAATGACTGGACACTCATTGGTACGAAAGCTGATTACCGTAATGCTCTGTCGTTAATTACAGCGCATCCATGCTCAAGCTCTTGCGCATCGACCCCTGGACAGCGTCAGCGTTGCTCAGAGGATGTCTTGGGCTTCTAGCAGGATGAAGACAAGGCCAAAAGACATCGCATACGGTCTTCTTGGTCTCTTCGACGTAAACATGCCACTATTGTATGGACAAGAAGCAAAAACACCCTTTCATCAGGTTGCAGAAAGAGATCATAAAAGAATCTGATGACCAACCATTGTTTGCCTGGAGCCAAACCCGCACACGCAGCGACATGCTATGCGGTCTCCTGGCAGACTTCCCAGCTAACTTTGCTTCGGCGAGTGCTATTGTTCTAGTCCGAGACCTAAAGATCAGCAATCCATACTCAGGGCGTGATATGCAGTTCCTGGCCGTCGATGAGGATCGGACTTGAGAACTCCGGTCTTTCCCCGACATAGGAAAGGGCCGCATATGGTGGGGGCTTCAGAGCGGTACCCGTATCGGACGTCAATGCCATACGACGAAGCGTACATCATAGAGTGGGTTCACCTTCTAAAGGTGGATGGAGGGCTAGCAGGTTTATCTCTTCTCTGCTTGCATTGAGAGGTTGATATATTGACGGCTGGTGTGTTGACCGAGCTAGCTCGTTGAGTGAGGATTGTGTGAGATTGGCGGCCGCCTCCAGCGTGGTCGGCATGATCGAAAAACCTGAGTCGAGCAGGAACCCGGGATGAGCTACCCAGGAGGTGTTTATGCCTAGCATGTGGGTACTCTTATCTGCACAGCCGAGAGCCGTCCAATTGCACAGCCATACAGGCGCTCTGTGCTTGGCGATTACCTTCACTCTGCGGTCACTGTAACCCCAATCTATTCTCTTGGGCAAGCTAGATGTACGCGTCAGGCTGTAGTCTTCGCGGACGGAGGATTGACGAAATATTCGAATAACGGGTTTGATGTGACATTCACCCATGCAGCTTTGGTTCCAGCTAGTGTATCAATACAGCACCTTCGCTGATATGCTTTTCCATGTCCACACGCGCCATCACAACACCGCTATGCTGAAAGGCAGCATCGCTCGACACACCAGCAAAGCTCATGCGCTTAGAACCGCTCTACTTGATGAACACATTAGCCTCGCTCCACCGGCTCGCAGCCTTCGACCTGTACTCGTCCTGAACCTTCTCTTCACTCTTCCACTCGCTCAACAGTGCCAGCCCCTGCTCGGCCTGCTCAAATGTGATGGTCGAAAGATCCAGTGTCTTAATCAGGTCCGTCTCGTTCTGACTCTTGGTGCTGTTGTCAAGGGCGTAGCGAGCAGTGTACGCGGCTTGGAGGTGTCGTGCGCTCTCAGAGTGCTTCTTGATAAACTCGTTGTTGTAAGCTGTCAGGTCGGCGTCGGCGGCCGGTGTGGTGAAGGTGTCTTTGACGACCTGAGAGACCTCGGCCGGGAGTTCGGAGACTTTGCTGACTGCGATCTATTAGAACAGTGACGATGCGTTCGATGTGAAGGTAACTTACGAGCTTGGCGGAGACGCACGCTCTGCTCGTGCGCCATTGGGTTCTCAAGGTCCAGTTCTCGTGCAGCCTGCAGACACTTTAGGGCAAGCAGGTACCTCTGACTCCTGAGGTAGACCTCAAACCCAACGTTTTGCGCCTGGACGATCTGGGTGCTATGCTCAAGCATGGGCTTCAAGAACCTTTGAGCGGCTTCCAGCGGTTCCTTGGTCTGCAACAGCTTCTCGCCGTTGGGATCTGTGTCCTCTTTCTTCTTGTCTTCGTCATCTGCCTTAGCAGTTGCCTTAGCGGCAGCGGCCGCTTTCCTGTCAGCCTCCTCCTTCTCTTTCCTCTCACGCTCCTTCTTTGCCTTTTTCTCGGCCTTCTTTCGTTCTGTAGGGTCGAGCTTGCTCAGGTCCAACTGATCAGGGTTCGCCAACTTGGGGTCGTCTGCTAGCTTGAGGTAAATCTTTACTGCGTTGATGGCTGCTCGTGTGAAGAAGGGATGGTTGCGGAGATGATCCTCCCATCTGATCATGTCGATGTAAGCGCGGATCTGTCCTTTTCGAAGCGAGAAGCTGTGGAAGTCGAACTGGTCCTCGTGCCAAACGTCAAAGATATCTGCGATCGCGGTGAAGCGCTTCAGGGCTAAGCCGTACTTCTGCTGACGTGCATACGCCTCGCCGTCTTCGATGAGATACCACATGCACTGCATGTCGTGTAGATCACCGAGGGGACCGCCAACCGCCTCATTTCTTGTAAACTTGCTCATGGTCGCTAACGCCTTCTCATTCTCGTTGGCGCGCAGCTGATACTTGGCGCATTTCGTGTTGATGTATCGGTCGCGCTCGTCAAGCTCGCGTGCGTGGTTAATCGTCTCTGCGGCCTTTTGGATGTCGCCGGTATGCTTCTGGATACGTGCCTTAGTCTGATGATAATCAACGGACTTGGGGTCGAGTTTGATAAGTCGGTCAATGTACTCGTTAGCCTTCTTGAGGTCGCGGCTCAGAACGTAGTTATAGTGTTGCGCCAGGAAGTACAGCACGGACTGCTCGAAACGATCTGACTTGTCGCCGTTTGTCTCCTCCTTAGCAGAACCATTTGCCTTCTTTTCCGACTCGTATCCGAGAACCAGCTCTTCGATGATGGCCTTCTTCTCAGCATCGGCGTATAGCGACTTGATGTTGGCGAATGTCGAAGGAACACCCTTGTTCAGCTTCCAGCGGAGGTACGAGTCTGCAGCGGCCTTGAAAGCGTCGCCAGACAGGAAATCCAGAGGTACGCGTCTGGTCGCATCATTGCGACTGTTCTCCTTGGCGTAGGATTGGTAGAGCTCGGCCAGCTTCTCGACATCTGCCTTGTTGTCGCGGCTCAAGCCAAGCGCCCTCTCGAGCCCATCGAAGTACGCACGGTACTCGCTGTTCCTCTCCAGCAAATTGCGGTATGCCTGCTCAGCCTCCTCATTGCGCCCAAGATCCAGCAGGTATTTAGCCCTCAGCTCCAATGCAGATGTACGGTCCAGGTTGCTCTTGATGATCTCATCCAAATGCTTCAGCGCGCGCTCGGTATCTCCTGACTCGGCAATGATCGTGTTCTTGTAGAGGACGGCTTCGGAGTGCTCGATATCTCCCTTCGGTGGTGTCTGCTTCAGCGTCTCCTCGTAGGTCTTCAGAATGTTTTCTGCCTCAGTCAAGTTGCCTGCCAAATGGAAGGCCACAGCCAACGCGGTCCAGTTCTGTCGCAGTTGAGGGCGCTCCTGCATCATCTTCCGCCTGCTCTCAATGTATCCATCGTAATCGCGAATCTGGCATTGTAGGAGGGCGAGGTCGCGCAGAATGTTCAGCGAACCAGGTTCTATCCGCAGCGCGAACTTGTATGCCTTGATTGCTTCCTCATAATTCTTGACAGATCGCCATAGCAGACCGTAGACGTGCCAGCAGATGTGCGACTTCATGTCGTTCTTAAGAGCAGCCTTGCAGAGAGTGAAGGCTTCCTCGCCGTGTCCTTGCGAATTGAGGATGAGCGCCTTCATTGCCTGTGTGTCGCCATGGGTGGGGTGCTTCTTCAGGATCTGGTCGGCGGCTTTGAGACCTGGTGGGGTCAGCAGTGCAAGTTGGCGCTGTTGTATGTTGACGCACCCTTCTTGTATTGTTTGCCCTCATAGTACTTAACGACAGAGCGAAAGAGCGTCTGCTCCTTGCTGGGCAATGGCTGCGGCATGGTGGTGGTGGTGTTTATGGTAAGGTGGACGGTTCGAGAGCTGCCACACGATTGTTTCGTTCGAAATCAAATCGATCAATTTGTTGCGGTGATAGGGGCAGTATTGGCGAATGAGGGAATAATGCAAAATTAGCAACAAATCATTGCGCCATGGACATAATACAAAGTGGAAGTGACCGTCCGAAGCCGTGAGTGCGTGAGGTCGGCGATGTGGGGAGCTCGAATTTCGAAGGTCGGCGCTGCAGTAGCGCCCGCCGTCGAGGCACGTGCTGTCTTCATTCACCCCACTATGAACAGGACTATAACTACGGTCAAGACAACATTATTAGATGAGTCGCTGAGCAGCTCTGAAGTTTTCTCTTTTTTTCTTCTGAGAGAGCAGAGGCTTCACGCGTAGTGAGTTCCAGCAATCCTTTGACAATCACTCCCGCATACGTGAAAGCATGTTTTTGAACAGTCGAACAACATTTGATATACCTCAAGCTCTGCTATTTCTATTGGGAAGGGCATACTCCATAGAGGCAAGTTCAAGGCAAAAAGATAACACAAGAAGCACACTTATCTCAATGTTGTCCACATCTCGAAGGTGCCAAATAGTATACAGGTCGTGAATCATATACAGATCATTATGTTCTCACTCCACCGTGCGCCCTGATCGCCGCAGTCTGCTTGTTGCTTCACTCTTGATCTTTTCTTTGGGTTCTGTCTTCTTGCCCTTTTTGGGCGCTGCGCTGGCAGCCTTCTTAGTCTTGGTGGCAGCTGGAACCTCTTCGGACGCCTCTTTGAACTCTTCCTTGACTGCTGCTGTTTCCTTCTCTGATGTAGCCTTCCTCGGCGTTGCCTTATTTGGTGTGGTGCTTGTCTTCTGCTTCTTTGGGGCAGGTGCCTCCTCCTCGCCTTCCTCAGACTCATTTTTCACCCCGTAATCAGCCTTCTTCCGCCCTCGCTTTGGTGTGTTTGCTGCTGCCGTTGTCTGGGCTTGCTCAAGCTCTTTGTCTTTTGCAACCTTAGTTTTTCTCTTTGCACTCTTCTTTGGCTCAACTTCTACTTCACCATCCTCGCTCTCATCTTCGGCACCCTCAGACACATCGCCGGCAACAGCTGCTGTCTTCTTCTGCACACTGGGTACTACAGCAGATGTGCGCCCGCCAACCGTCAAGAATGTGATCTTTGCGCCATTTGGTAACTTGCCGCCATTCTTCTTGCCCTTGTCCCATCGATACTTCATCAGCCAGTCCTCTGGGAACTTGTCTGACTCAGCAAGTGTGTCCACCGCCGTACCGCATACATACATGATCGCGTCATGCAACCTCTTGGTCTGTTCGTCGCTGAAGGTATTGCTGTACTGTTCCGGATGTAACTTCGCCTGATACATCGTTTCGTCCGCGACCCAATTCCCTATCCCGGATATGTTCGCCTGATCGAGCAACAGCGCCTTGACTGGCACTTTCTTTCGCCTCAATAGTTGTGTCAGCCACTCCACAGTCAGCACATCTTTATCAATCACCGGATCAGGCCCATTCTCTCTCAGCGGCGATGTCTTCCTCATCTCATCCGCCTCAACATCGATCAACCTGCATCTCCCCAACCTTCTCGGATCCACGAATGCAACCTCACATTTCGGCTCTCCCTTCAAGTCCAACACGAACTTCCAAAACCTCGGTGGCCAATCTGTTTCCTCCTTCTTCGGCCTATAATACGCACCCGTATCATCATTGCTAAACTTGATCCATCCAGTCATTCCCAGGTGCATGAGCGGATGCGGTTTCGAATCCATGACAAGCCAAAAGTATTTCCCTTGTTGGCGGGCGTCGAGGACCTTCTTGCCGGTCATGGCGGTTTTGAAGGCCGATGCTGAGGTGCCGACTTTGCCGAAGAGGAGGTCGTCTTCTTCCGCGCGGACGGAGGCGATTGTGCGGCCGACGAGGTGCTTTTTGAGGTAGTGCACTATGCGTGCTACCTCCGCGATCTGTTGTTGCTAACCGTTGATTGTATGTCAAGCGAGTATGAGCTCTAAGAAGCTTACCTCAGGCATGATGCCGGTCTGATCAATGGAAATGTGAGATATGTAGAAGGGCGCAAATATGCAACACCCTGAGGTGCAGGAAGGAAGAACAGGTGACTGAAAGCTGTAAGATCGTTGATCGAAATGACTACTCGATTCGAGGTCATAGCTCTCGCGACGCGTCCCGGCGCGTCCTCACGGGATTAGTGGCCGCACGACGTCATTGGCCAATTTGAGATCCATCAATCTTCATCTAACATCCATTACATCAATGTCTTCTAGAGCGCGCCATGTCCTCATCACAGGCGGCAGCCGCGGCATCGGTCTCGCGATTGCCCAAGCCTTCGCAAAACAATCCTACTGTTGCACTTTGATCTCCCGCTCCACGGAGAACTTAGAAACCGCACTATCAACCCTCACACCGACTGCTTCGTCAACATCAAGGCATCAATACATCGTAGGATCTATCACATCTCCAGACTTCTGGACGACCACACATTTCAAAGAGCGCGGACTCGGCAAAGGCGAAGACGCCTCGAAAATCGACGTTCTCGTCAATTGTGCCGGCATCACACAGTCTCGGCTCTTCACCACCACACCAGCAGAAGACATCCAATCCATAATCGACACAAACCTCACAGCGCTCATGCTCGGCACCCGTTTCCTGCTACGGAACAAGTATCTGCACTCGACCACCAAATCCCGCTCAGAAGCAGGACCAGACTTCACGCCTTGCATTGTCAATGTGTCAAGCCTGTTGGGCGTGAGTGGCGGCTACGGTGCAGTCGCATACGCAGCGAGTAAAGCGGGTGTGTTAGGTTTCACTCGGGCGCTGGCAGCGGAGTATGTGGGGCATGGGGTGAGGGTGAATGCGATTGTGCCGGGGTATGTGGAGAGTGATATGACGAAAGGTATGTTGCGGCAATTGCACTTTATGTGGGTGACAATATGAGCTGTACGAGATGTTAACGGCGAGCAGGTCTCAACACATCACAACTCCAAGACCGAATCCTACTCAAGCGATTCGGCAAGCCAGAAGAAGTCGCACACGCAGCGTTATTTCTTGCGGAGAATCAGTATGCGCATAATTGCGTGTTGAATCTAGATGGAGGGTTATCTGCGGTGTGAGACTGTGCGGTGGTAAGGGCTCAAAGCCAAGCTCATAGAGAGCTGCCAATTGCCTCCTGACTTCTAGGTGGGAAAGCTAAAGCAGATGTGATCGAGGTATACCCATTTGCAAACGCCGCCGAAGTCGCGCCATGCTGATATAAGTACAGAGGGTATCCAGAAGGATGAGGGAATTGATGCGCCTGAGGTCGTGGGGAACCATGGAAGTTGGCCAAGGAGGAGAAGTCAATCCGCGGAGGACGTGTGGGGTGGAGATGCAAGCAGAACAGGCGATCTTGTCGCGACTCAGTCGATCTCAATGACCCCATCATCCTTCTCGTCCTCGATCACCAAAATGTCATCGGTGTCCATCATCTGTTTGCCCTCCATGACCTTGCCCTTCTTCCTGACAATGTCATCTTCCAGACTGGCCTCGTCGGCTGTTCGCTTGAGACTTCCGTTCGTAGTGCCATTCGCCTTAGCATGCCCGTTAGTTGCGGGTGCTGCGACAGGTACTGCGACCTTCGGCCTCGTTGCGATCCTGAGGTCTTCGAGCGGATTAATCGGCTTGTCTGCAGAGGACAGGTCCTTCGCGTCGATGGTGAGCTGTACGTTGACCTTCTTGTTCTCGTCGGCATCATCAATGATGGTCAGCGAACTGCCTGCCACAAGACCGAGGTCGCTGAACGTCTTATCCAAGTGTGCATCCTCGTCCGCATCGTAGAGAAGGTCGCCATCCTTTGTAATGCTGAATTCCTCACCATAACCCAACTGTCCCTTCAATATATCGTCTACTAGATCACTGAGTTTCGCACGCGCTGTGTCGACAGTCAGAGTGACGTGGGCGACACTGCAGGTCGGGCATTCTGGGTTGGGTTCTCTCAGTTTCTCAGCAGTGAGCATTCCGTTGGTTTGCCGATTGAGGAAGACGATCTTGGCTTGTCGCTTCAGCTGCTCCGGGTCGGAATAACGTAGGATCTTGAATGCTTGAAGAACACAGAGCCCTGCAGTCATTGCGTTGGTCGTTGCGATTGCAGGGATGATGTTGCCGGCCATTTCTGTGAGAACGTGTCAGCAATATTCCGTTACTCATCTCGCAAGCTTGCTTACGCTTGATATCGAACTTTGAACGCGGCTCGATACCGAAGATGGCTGCTCGCAAGTTGGCGCTCGCAACAACAAAGTCCAGAGTGTCTACATCGTCCTTGTCGAAGCTCAGAATGGGAGCCGAGTTCCCGACCTCTGTTTGCGCACGCTCTGTTTCCAGACGCTGGCTAAGCCTGTGTAAACTGTCCACAAAGACTGCGAAGTTCTCTGCTGTGGTCCACGTCCTCTGGTCGTCCTGCAAAATCGTTTGCGCCGGGGCCGTGGCCTCTTCTGACAGCGTATCGAAATCCAGCGCAACTGGTGCCTTCTTGCCCTTCCACATGTCCTCCATGCTCAGCAGCCGCTCGATATCATCCTTGAAGACCATCTCGAAGACGGCACGTGGGAAGTCTTGCGAGCCCATCTGCTCTCGTACGCGCTTCAATTTTGTCGCCTCCTTGCGCAGTTCAGCAATCTCCTCTGCGTTGTTCCCATCCTTGTCTAAGCTCTGGTCTAACTCCGGCGCATCGTCCTCTGAGATACCGAACAGCTCTGCGAACAGGTACGACTTGCCCCATACTATGCAGTGGATGAGCTGCGAGGGCGTGCTTCGAATCGTGCATGTGGCGAAGACTTTTGGTATGGGTTTCTCTACGCAATCGTAGCACTCGGTGTCGCCCTTCTTGATGACCTGCACATTCCCGTTGAAGCCTGTGGTGCCACTCTCGATGAGCGGTACATTGGCGGCCAGGCACATCTTGTTAACATGTCGGCGTGCATCGATGTTGTCGAGAGCATTGAATATGATGTTGAAGCTCTGAAACCACGCGACGTCGAACTGCGGGTCCTTGATGTTGTCGTGGTAGGCTTCGATCTTGACGTTGGGGTTGAACTTATGCGCCGACTCCTTGGCAACCTGCTGTGGTGTCAGCGCATGCTCTCTCACCTCCTCGAAGACGTGATATTTTCCATACCAATGCCTTGGACTTCTTGATGTGCTCGTTGCGGAACAGGAACTGGCGATTGAGGTTGCTGAGGTCGATGGTATCGAGGTCGACGATGTGGATTTCGCCGAAGCCGGTAAGAACAAGGTTCTTGAGCAGCTCGCAGCCAATGCCGCCAGCTCCTACCATAAGAACGCGCGACTGATTCCTGTCAGTAATCCAGAAGTAACATGTTATTGGTATCTCAATCACACCTTCTTGACCAAGCCGTGCAGCGTGCCGCCGAGGCTCTGCTGAGCAAACTTGTCGCGTGCCATTGCGGTGACGGTGGGGGATTCGGCGGATGTGGTATAGGAGTGTAGGTTGTCACGACATGCGCGAAGAGTAAAGGCCGCCGGCGCGCGGATAATGGAAGATCTCAAGGTGAGAGAGGTCGACGTCACTCCGTGCTGCGATCTCTAGCGCTGATCCACTGACCCCGGTCTGCTAGAGCCTCAAAACTTCGCGCTAGTGGTGCCTACGCGAGCACTCTAACGTGTAGGTTGTGAAACTCAAGCTCATCAAGTCACATGTTCGATATCAGAAGTCGAAGGTGACCGAAGATTAATCCTTCGTCTGGAGTACGCGAGCCGATTCACGGAAGGTGAACGCAGGTCGTGCCTTCCTTCACCGCCACAACTCCATCTGGCTAGCGCGAAAACGGTTTCCCTTCCAGCAGGCAGCGTCAACCATCACAATGTCAGACGACGAAGTCGACCACGAACTCCTGGACCTCCTCCGAAAGCGTTTCGGCATCGGCATTCGAAATGACGGCCCTCCAGAGACCAACGTGCTCGAAAGTGCTGAGTTCATCTACGATAACAGCATCGACGTAGCATTAGACATGCGCTCGACCAAAGTGGCCGCCCAATCAGTCCTTGACGAAATGGAAAAGCGCAAATACAGCACCAAAACATGGTCCTCCCATGAGTTGCACCCCAAAGCCAAGGACGAGAGTACAGTCAATTTCATCTTCACTATGGATCTTCTGAACTTCAGCTTCTGGAGTGAGAAGAGCGAAGATGAGAGGTTTGCGGTTGAGTATAAGGAGAAGAAGTGGACGGGGTACTGGGGTTTGGTGGCTGTTTTGCAAAGAGCGTTGGACGAGGATATCCCAATCACATCCCCCGAGTCTTGGATCGACGAGGAGAAGTGCACAGATGAGGTGCTCAGAAAGGTGTTTAGATCGGCAAACGAGGAGGAGCCGCCGATGCTTGAAGAGCGGATACGGTGTCTGAGAGAAGCAGGAAGGGTGCTGGATGAGGAGTTTGACGGTAGCGTTGTAACACTCATCGAAGACGCCAAAAACTCAGCAGCAGGTCTCGTGAATCTTCTCGCCGAGAAGTTCACCTGTTTTGCTGACGAAGGCACCTTTGAGCGCAAGCATGTCCGCTTCCTCAAGCGTGCACAAATCTTCGTCGCCGATCTATGGGCGGCATTCGACGGCGAAGGCTACGGGGCGTTCAACGACATCGACAAGATTACCATGTTTGCAGACTACCGCGTACCACAAATGCTGCACTCGCTCGGCGTAATGTGGTTCTGCCCGTCGCTGGAAGCTAAGATCCGGCGTCTGGATGTCATAGAAAGCGGACATACGTGGGAGATGCAGATTCGAGGTAGGTTGCCTCTCGTTCTCTTCCCCATGTCTATTCGTTAGCTAACTTGCGGGTAGGTTGCAGTATATGGGCTGTTGAGCTTCTTCGTCGAGAGATTCTCGCGCTCAAGCCTGATGCGAAAGTTAATGCCATCCTCATTGACTTCTTCCTATACGATCTGGCGAAAGAGAGGGAGAAGGAAGGCGTTGAAGCTATACCTCATCATAGGACGAGAAGCATATGGTACTGAACAATATCGAAGGTTTGACCTCATAAGCCTGAGCGCAACTGCACCCTACAGCCTTCTCCAGGAGCGACCACGAGCGTCAAAGTCTGCTTCTCCTTGCCTACCTCAACTATCTCATCGCCCTCTGGTACGCTGATAGATGGGAATCGCTGGATGATCCTGGTGACAGTGTAACCTGCCTCCAACAGGGCAAAATCCTGACCCAAGCATACTCTTGGCCCACCATTGAACGGCAAATAGCCATACCCAATTTCCTTTGCCAGCCTGCCGTCTTCCCAACGCTCTGGAATGAACTGCATAGCATCTTCTCCATAGAGGTCTTTGCGCCTATGCATGGCGTAGACACAATAGCCAACGGCCTCCCCCTTCTTAATAAGGATCGGGGATTGGCCGTCTGCTCCGCCACCTACAGGCAGCGTAGTCGTTTTGACAGCGGCACGTGAATTGACGGGTACCGATGGATAGAGTCTCAAGACTTCCTTGAGGACTAGATCGAGGTACTTCATCTTCTTCAGCTGCTCACGCGTAGGCTGTGGAGCATCTTGACCGAGGCCAACAACCGACTGTACTTCTGCACGAAGCTTATCCAAAACGTTTTGATGGCGTGCAAGAAGATGCAGTGTCCAAGTCAGACAGCATGCCGTTGTATCTCTTCCAGCCAAAAGCACATTCAGACATTGATCTCGCAAGACCTTCTTGTCTCGAGTTTCACGAACGAGGGCATCGATGAAGACATACTGTTTGCTGGACTCCGCTGGTTTCTCACCATTCTTCTCAGCTGCATCTAGAGCTCTTTGTACAGCAGCGTCGACGAAGGCATGCGATGTTTTGCATGCTCTTCGGAATTGAGGTGTGTTGGCTATCCAGTAGAAGAGGCCGAGGCGACCACGATGCGATAGGTAATCCTGACCAATGTTGAAAGCCTTTGCGAATTCTGACTCCTGGCCGGCGATCTCACTCGACGCCAATGATGACATTGTCTCACCAAAGAGGAGAAACGTGGTTGTGTCAAAGGTCAGCTTAAAGAAGAGTGGCTGAAGGTCAACAACGGCACCTGTCGGCACTTGCTGTAGCAGGCTTTCGACACATTTCTTGATCTCTTCGAAATTCTGAGAGCGGTTCGAAGTGAACTGAGGCCTCAATAGCGCACGAGAGTGTTTCCATGCTGCGCCGTTCTGGGTGAAGATCCCACTTCCCAGCAAGGGCGCAAAATGGAGAGGACGAAGACCCAGGCTGAAGTCTATGTTACTGGTCAGTACTTGTAATGGTGCAGTCAGCCTATTGGGTTTCTGAGACCTTCAAACTGACTGGACAGTATCGCCTCGATGTTTTGCGGCTCAATTGTATTGACTCCACGGCTGCCCACTGCGTATGTATCAGTAGCTGGCTCCGAACACGATCGATGTTGAATGCCCAAGTAGCTCACATAGTTGCTGCTCGTGAGTCGTTCCTGACAACTCAAGTATCTCCAGAAAGAACTGCAGGATGGTGCCTGCCTTCGCATGACGGAAGACTGCGGTAAGCAGATCTAAGCCTTGCGGCCAGCGCGCTGCCCATTTGCGAACCGGCTTGCAACCCGACCGTGCTGCAAACTGCTCATCGTTCTAGTTACATTAGCTGCAGGCCCACTTGCATGTCCTCCTCCAATTGCTTCTACTTACCCATCGATCAGCCCTGTACTGCCAAAGCCAAGACCCGACGAAGTAGCACACGGTTCCAGAAAGCAGCAGCTTTGCGCTGATTACACAGAGATCTATGGATGGCATTTCTGGAGCAGATGTCGCACTCTGGCGTTCAGATGAAGTGTAGAAGATGGGGCATGGACGGGTGGCGTGAGATACTCCGCGGCGAGGTCAGACCCATGAGGCTCTGAGCGACGACAGATTTCGGCCCCCATCGTAGGATCTTTATTGGGGATGGAAGTGGACGCAGGGCCTCTGGGAATACGTGCTTAGGCGCCTAGCTGATGAGCCAATGACATAATGTGAATTGCACTAGCGCCCTAAGCCCTGGCGAGGTGCGGCACCACACAATCCCGCAACACCTCGCTTGAGCGTGCGATAAGGCAACAGCCGTCCGTGCCATTCCATCTGACATATGGCAAGCCGAACAATCGATCGCGTTCTCGTTTTCAGAAGGCTGCATCATGGACGGGTGGTGACGTGTTTTGCCGCGTCCACTCGATCGTGGACATGCAACTGTAGGGGGTAAATGTCAGCCTCAACAGTGCTCTCCTCTGATGGCTACCAATCGTGCGGACGAACACCTCTCTTGGAAGTTCAATTTTAGGTATCACTATGGACGACTTGATACCAGTTTCAGCTTTGGCAATTCTCACCCCAATGAATTATTTAGCGGCATCGCTGCTGACATCGCCGATGTCGCACTCATGTCGTTTGCATGCCACGGGTATGGTGGTAACCCCAAATACCTCGATTTGGGATATCGTGGCTCTCGTCGAACACGTCGAGATCGTTCAAGAAACTCTCAAGAGATTCTCAAGAGATGACAAGAGTTGGAACCACCACATGTTAGTACAAAGACTGAGGGTTAAGTGATTGAAAAAAGGAGTCCCTCTGAAGAGACTTTATTCGAGTGGTGAACCGAGATACGTGTCCATAACCCCCTTCGATGGCGCTCCCGCAGATCGTGGAGTTGGAGGAGGTAATGCATGGGTGAAGATAGGAAATTGCAGGCGAGAAACAACTCCCAATGTTGCAGCGATGCACGCTCAAGAGTCGTCAACTGCGACAACCGCCCCCACACACTCTTATATTCTGGCCCGCCTCATGTACAATTGCAGGAGCAGGAGGTCGGTGCAGCCTGCACCGAAATGGCCATTCGCTCATGTGAACGTAAGCGATGTGGACTCTGGGCAGCCACATGGCTTGCGTGGACAGAACTGATATGTCGTTGCTGACTGCCAGGGATTCTGTGGCGCTTTAACCTTGAGTCAGGTATTTGTGGAGCGCACCGAACTGCAAACGCCCACACTGCGCTACATCCTGACCTGCGAGCAGGAGCGTTAGGGGCCATGCGTGCTGTTGCAGAAGGTTGTACAGCCTTAAAGATAGATAAGCATGCGGCTTCTCCGCTTCAGCTCTAGTTTAGTCTGATCAACCTCCTCGATGTCGTTCACTTTTCTTCCTAGCCAGCTATGCCTCTACTAAAAAACAAAGCTTCTAGCAGCTCCTCCTCGCGTCGCCTGTATGATGATGTAGCTTTGTCGGATATTGAAAGCTTGAGGCAGCCGGGGATGTCAACTAACTTAACGGGTTCGAGTAAGTATACACCACTGAAAAGCAGTGCCACACTCAAGTCACTAATTCATGCAGCGCAAGCTAATGATTTCGATCCTTCTGCCTTCCGGTTCAGCCCTAGATCTAAGCTCCGCCAGTACGAGTCTGCGCACGAAGAGGCATCGACCAGTGCCCAATACGCGAGTGCTCCCCTGTTCATCCCTGCCTTCACCGGTCTTAGACGGACGATAGTTGAACATCTGACCGAGTCCTTACAACGACTAGAACAAGAACTTCAGGTGGAAAGATCAGAAGAACGTGTGTCAATGGCGGTGACGCTCCTGAGACAAATGGGTAGGGCTTATCACGATGTAGCCAATCTGATAACCGTATGAAGGCTAACGAGAGCTTGACAGACCACGTCATTGAAAGTGAAATAAGACTGTCGCGCCTGGAGAATCCCATTCACGCTGATTCACAAGGCCTGAGTGTGCTTCATTTCGATATGCAAGATCGCGCTCAGTTCCAGCCTCAGCCTCAGCCATGGCTTATGGTCACTCAGAAATGGGGCGAGCAAAGCGATACCATTGTGGATCCGATCGATAACGTGCGCCTCAAGAAGATGCTTCCTGGTCACTCCCGAAACAAACTCAAGGTACCCGAACATCATCGCTCCTTTAGCTCCGACCGGGCTCCTGTTAATCTTGTGCAGATACACGCCGATGTGAGCGACATCAAGGAGCTTCGCCCTTGGATGATACGAACAAAGACCGTTACAGAGAAGCAAAAGTGGACTCTAAGATACGAGCCTAACGGCAAGGTCAGATACCGGTCGAACGTATGGCTTGCATGGCAGGTCATATTCCCAATCGCCATAACGACACTCGCGTGCTTCTACGGAGTAGGCATCATCGCCACGAATACGACTTTTAGCAAGCCATTCCAGAAGTACTTTTTCTGGGTCGCAATATTCTGGTCACTTATATCGAGTACATTGCTGAGTTGGTTGACGTTAGCATTTGGGGCTTCACGTCGAGATGCTATGGGTGCTTTCCTGACTGGAATTGGACTATGGCTAGTGGTCATTCAGATTGGTCAAACACATCTTCTCGGTCAATTCCAGGACCAGGCGAACGGAGCTTAGTCAGGTACTTGAGTTGCTAGGATTAGAGGGTAGTGATGCACCTCACTCGTCATCGAACACGTCTTTGAAATACCGACGGGCGTCGATTCAGAGCGGTAATGGCAGAAATCATATCAAGCCAGATCTGAGCGCAGCCAATCATGCACTTGACGTTGTTCCGTCCTTCAATAGTTCCTCATATATGCCTGATGCCGCTGGGCATGAGGACGATACGGCAATACTCGCGGCGGCCGAGAGCAGAGGTTGGTTGGATGTATTAATCTATTCAAGCTTAAACCCATTTGCGAGAGACAACTTTCGATCAGTAACGCTCCTTGCATTGTGCAATTCTGAACTACGACATCGAGCTGCAGAATGGAAGTGTGCGCTTGCTGCATGATCATCGGCAGAACGATACTGTCACAGCCCAAACGTAAGTGATCAGTCCAAACAGAGGAAGTTGGCTCCAAGATCTGACGACACACAGCCTGACGTGGATCGACGAGGCATCGTTGGGAGTTGTATGGGGCCCTACCTCGCACTGGCTCAGGTCATGTGAGCTAGAATTCAACGAAGAGGGTGGCTATAGACAGGAATTGTGGCAGTAACGTTGCTGCAGGCAACGTGCGGCAGCTCCTTGCAAGGCGCTTCGTTCACGGATCGGGAAACGTCGATGAAGCAGACTGCAACACTACCTTCAATGATCCTACCCAGGTACCTATTGCCCAATTCAAGGCACTCTTCTTTGTCTACGTTACTGATAATGTCCAGTACGTGCTTGACAAACTCCGGAGCATAGCATTCCATACAGCTATCGTCGCAGCCAACAACACAGACAATGAAACCTTGTTCGGGTCTGCCGACCTGGTCGAGCAGGGGTTTCCCCGCATCAAGGATTGGGCACAACAAGTGGCCCTTACTGGCGAGAGACGCGTAACAGTATTCGGCATCAGCCTTCCTTACGTGTTCTGCGCGGTCGTGTTCAGTCTTCTCTCTGTGTTCGCCATGGCACCGACTTATTGGTCCTTGTGGAAGAGAAGGACTGCTCTACTGACTTTCAACCCGTTCGAAGTCGTACACATGTTTGGTGCGCTACTGCTTCACGACATGGAGACCGAGAAAGCAACAGAAGCTTATGTCCGGGAGGAGAGTGGTCTGCGAAGAATCAAGCGTGTCACAGAAGACTTAGACGGTGCACCAGGATTCCAAGTCGCGAAGATGAAGTCAAATTAGGCTGAACGAATGGCATCAGTCCAATATTGTGACCTAAGGTATTTTCTCTTAAGCTTGTGTGTGACTTCATTCAAGCTCTAGACGAAGGAAAGCATGTATGAATGAGTATCCGTGAATTCCCTGCAAATCTTGGTAACGACTGTATCTCTCCTTGCTTTCACAACTCATCCTACCAAAAATTCCACGGTACCACATATTCCCACGGAATAGTCAACCCCCCTTCCACCATCATGACAAGAGGATTGACCGAACGAAAATTCTCGGCGTTCAGCCGCGGTACGAGGCAATCGCATTCGCACTCGCGCCATTGAAAGAGTAGCAAGTATTCAGCTTGAAATCGTTCGTAGTAGAATCCACATAACCCGACTTGATAGCGTCGGGAAGGCTGCCGCAGTTGTTGGGCGCGAAGAAGTACGCGTGCTGATGATTACCGCCCCAAGTCCTGATTCTGAAGGATTTGAAACCTTTCGGCCAAGTCGCACAGGTGTTGTCCCAAGTATTGACGTTGTTTTCAACGATGGTGTTGCAGTTGCTTCCGCTGTAAGTATCGATGACGAAGGCGGAGCTGCTAGCGCTGAGGGTGGCCATGATGGCGATGATGGAGGTGAAGGAGAAATGCATTCTGAAGGAAGATTTCAAAGTTGATATGGTATCGTAGAGAAGTTAGAGTCGAGATTGTGTATTCTGATGCTTGAGAGTCATGAGCTGAGCAGTTGCAGAGGATAAATATGGGGTTTATATACATGAGCGGCTGCCACTTCTATCGACGTTCGCTCGGTGTCTCTCGAAATGGCAGTACTTGCGGTAAGCACCGAATGACCCCTAGGTTTCAGAGAAACAAAAGCATGTACAAAGAGGTATAGTAAAGTGGGTAGTGTGCTACATCAGTAGCACTAAACGTGCGATATGATGTATGCCAATCTTAATCTGACTGTATGTATTACTCCGGTCCTCTGCTCCAGAGTACCATCTTCAATGACAGCGAAGGCCCTAACAAAAAAGATCGTTTGAAATCTCTCGATGCTCTTTAATTGCCCAGAAGAGTATAAAATTTGTGTGTTACTTGAGTCTAACCTATTTGATGGTGACCAGTCATTTGGTCTGACCTTACGCGTGCACCATGACACATGACAAACGCGACTCCATTCATCAGCCTCCTGTACTACCGGTAAGCAACCAATCTGTACACCACAGCATAGTGTGAACCGATTAGGCAAATGGACGATTCATGGTTTGGCTCTAGGCTTAGCGGATCCTCTAGCCGGTTTTATGCTCTGCGGGTTATGAAACACATCATCAGGATTGACCTGTGCTTTGATACCCTCCAGTATTTTCACAGTTCCACTCCAGTACAGACTCGCCCTGTTTTCTCCTATCCTCAGATTGACGTATCCAGTATATGGACCTTCGTCATGCTCCGGCAGAGCGTCAGTCACAGCATCGTTAACGACTGTCCAGAACCTCCTTGTCTTATTTCTGACCCTCTAAAAAGGTTCACAGCATATGCTTGATGGTAGAACAGCGCATTTCTGTGGTCGTAAGCAGTAGCGTTCGGGGCAACATCGTTGGTGACTCCGCCTTCGAGATCCCAGATGATGAACCAGGTTGCTTCGACTTTGTCAGCTTTGTCAATGTAGTCAAAGAGCTTGTCGACTCCATCGTCTGGGATGATGTCGTACTCTGTGTAAACGAGTGACTTGACGTAGAAGTTGCTAAGAATACCCCAACGATATCAAGAGCGACATCTTCGGCCCAATGGCCTACTACACCGAACCAGTCCTTGAGCTTGATGACTGAGTCGTCGCTATTGGGTAGACGAGCGGATATGTTGAGACTGTCATACTCCTGATGTGATCCAAAGAAAGTGCCGGTAACAATGGCGCCGAGCTGCTCGGTAAGTATGAACTGACTGGCGAACTTGCGTGAGAGGTGTGGGTCTGAGATGAGCTCTTGCTACTTCTTGAAAGCCTCGGCCTTACCCGCACTGGATCCGCCCTGGGTGTTGTATGTGTAGAGGACGGCTTCTGATGGCTCGGTTTGTGTGCGCACTTTAAATTCGGTGACGATGCCGAAGCCTGCTGCGGCGCCCTTTACAGCGAACAGGATGTCTGCGTTCTCTTTTTCAGAAGCTCGAACGACTGTGGAATTGGCAAGAACCACCTTGACTTCCTCGACATGGTCAAGTGCTGATCCCCACATGCGACTGCTTCGATCGAGTTCACTGATGGTTGCGTGACCTCCAATACCGACCTACGAATAGGTGCCATGCGCCATCGCGCGGTCTCGTTCTCGTGAAGCCGTTAGTGACGTCGCCAAGGAGCGTGCCGCCACCTATCGTAGCTTGCCAGGTTGAATTGTCCATGGAGAACTGCTGAAAGTACTTTACATCAACTACAATCGTGTTATACTGTCCACCGATACCTGTACATGGGAGTTTGAGGAGTTACAGGTCTTGAAGAGGCCTTACCATAGTTTGCATATGAGTGCCCACCGAAATGCGGTTGCACTTTAGCTTGTTTTCAACGGCGCACTTGACAATCGCAGTAATGTGTTCCACAGTCTCAGAGTAAGTGACCGCTGCAGGAGTGACTGCTATGCCGAGATTGCACGGTTTGACGTGCGAAATCTGGAAGAGGGGCGTGCCTTTAAGGGCGATTAGATCCTGGTTCCCTCCTACGGCACTCTCAAGGCACTTTTGCACCGGCGAGCTCGATGTATTGCCCATTGACGGATGGCTCGAAGCGACAGCGAGAACGAGACAAAGTTAAGACACAAATGAAAAAGCTGAAGGATACGACCACTGCATCTCTTCTCGGAGTATGTACACCACATCTTGGAAGTACGTGCGCCGAGAGAAGGATTGCAGGTTGTCATAAACAAGCCGCCAATGAAGGAAGCGGCACCTGACTGCGAGTGCCAAACTTGAAGCGTAGGCGGAAGGATTGCATGATTGATAAACAAGGAATGCCAAGCGTTTGTACACATTGTTGGCTCGTTGTAGTGGCGAAATAATACATAGACCAGGTAGCCATAGCGAGGCTGTGCCCATGGAGCCGGCTAGTGGTGTGAATGGCTCATACTCGCGCTTTGCGCCCTGAATGAAACGTGGTAACGCAACGGCTCTTGGCGAGACCCCGGATACTTGTTCATACGTACTGTAGTATACGATAGGTCTTGATATTACTGGCAGACCATATGGTGCCAGTACAAAGGCATCTCGATAAAAGGAAGGGAATCCTGCGACCGTTGATGCCCGTGACGTCATCGCACCTCTTCCACCTCTTTTCAGATTTGCAGTTCTCCAAAGTCGTCTCTTGAAATTTATGGATAATCGCGACATAAAAGAAAATCGAATTGAGCAGAAGGTGATGTCGCAACGATGGGGGGACAAGACGTGCTCGCGCTGACACCTGCCTCCACGCTAGCGAGGTGGGCACGCGGTAGGAGAAAATATGCCCACCGCCAAAAGTCCTTCACAACAGCACCCTTAGGCTGCAACAGCCCTGCTTGAATTAAAGAAGTAAATAAGCTAGATTGTAGAGGATTACACTGGCTTTCCTCTTCAAGAGAAAGTAAACCCTAATGTTTTGTTGTTATTATATTATAGTCGTGCAACAGGAGGCAAGGTGTTGGTGTTCGCAGTTTTAGTAAGGGAAAGTAGCTGTTCGCGGTGGGCTTATTTTCCTGCACCGCGTGGTGGGGCATCTCCGCACTGAGTGTTCTTATAGCTTACACCCTACCAAGCTTCACTCTCAAAGCTTTTATCATGCCTTCAATCAAGGCCGAGATGCCGGTTTGTACATATTGGATGCTTCCTGTCAGATTTTAATACCGGCCCTTTGCCCCATTCAGCAGCCGTGGAGGCGCAGCAATGTCATCAGCTGCTCGTTTGTTTCCGCTACTCGAAGTCTGTTCGTGACTCATCACTGAATGTCACTCATCCAAAGATATAATCACCGTGGTTGCCACTTTTAGGAGTAGTAAGGAAGCATAGTTTCGAGCCAGGACTACATACCAACCACAGTCATGCCATTAGAACTTCACCCGCTTAAACCCTCAGACGCGCTGTCATGGATCCGCACTCGCGCACTTGCATACTATGGACCAACACAAGATTTACTTCACAACGGCCCTGTCAGCGAAGTATCCATACGCAGTGTAGCTGAAAGTCGCAGACACGAAATCGGCTCCCCTAACGTCTGGCACTGGAAGATCGTCGATACCTCCCTCCTGCCCAGCGAAGACGACCCAGAAGATAACGGCGGCCGAACCATCGCAGTTGCGGTCTGGAAGATAATGAATGTTAAGGACCAGGCGAAAGGAGAAGGACCTATCGAGCACGCATCCATCCCCTCAGAAACTGAGCCATCAATCACAAGTCTCCTTGGTCCGCGCTACCCATCGTTCCTCCCTCCCGAACTGCGCCTCGATGCTCTAGCATCCATTTTCGATCCGCTTGACGCGGCTCGCGATGCGATCGTGGGTACGGAGAGACCGTTCTTCATGCTGAACAGCTTAACCACGCATCCGGACCATCAGGGTCGTGGAGCCGCTACACTGTTGTTGGATTGGGGAATTAAAAAAGCGGATGATGAGGGTTTAGTCACGTATTTGAATGGGACGCAGGTTGCGAAGCCGATTTATGAAAAGAAGGGGTTCGAGGCGAAGAGAGTGGTGGAGTGGGATAGGACGGTGTGGGGCGGGGAGGGAGTGGATGTGCATTATTGTATGGTTAGAGAGCCAAGGATTAGGTGAAAGGAGTGAGTTTAAGAATGTGGGAAATGATGTGGTAAGTAGTTGGAAGCATTTGATGCGTCTAAACACCGTAAAGAATCTATTTGCGTCTATGGTTTGTATGAGAATATCTTATCTCCCATCTTTTCTCTAAATTCGCATTCTAGTTGTCGACCTCTGCTCGCCAGTTCAACTACTTCCGCTCTTGGTGCAAATCCTGCCTCTCTGTATGCCGAAGACCTCCAGAACTACGTCAATAGGCCATGAGTATATGAACTCGAAGAATGTTTCTCGGTCCAAGTATGTGGTCTTCAACCGGATGCCTGGGAACATCTCTCAAAGCCAAATGTCCTAAAGCCGGCGTAGCTAGAGTGTCTGACTGAGATCGGCCTTGAGGTGGGCCCTGCCCTGGCGCGTCCGGAATGAGCTTTTCGGAAGGCACATCCGTGATGTAGAAGATCAGGTCTGACTCTTGAATGATTTCTTCTGCCTGCATGTCGTTACGCAAATGCGTACGCCACTCACGTATTTGTTCATGAGATTCTTTTTATGCGACACGAGAAGGTACCCAGTCGTCGCAATCAAGGCCAGTCTCGATTTCGGCCTCGTGCCAGCCCACGTGTACAGCTGCTATACGTACCAAGGTCAGTAAGACGTTCCAAGAACGTGATGAAGCCAACAACAGTGTTTTAAGTGATCAATTTGAAGCCCATCATGGATTTGGGAGACTACAGGGCCTAATAAAGGATGAGAACGATGTGCTTCCAGGAGGTGTGATGGCTTCAAGACCTCTCGGAGGAAGAGGGGACCTGAAAGAATCTTCCTGGAGGCTAATGCCCCACTGATTTTGTCACGGTTTAGGGTGCTACTGCCTGTCATACCTCACCTGCCAGATCGGGTCTGACCCGTACTGCATGTAGCCGTGATGATTACAAGGCCAAGAAGGAGCAAGAGGAGGAAGTTGAGCTGCATCTTGGAGACTACAGTCGAAGTTGAGGTTGAGGTGGGTAATGTGACAGAATAGTGCGCAGGTATCCGAGGTTGTAGAAGGTAAGCCCACGTGCCAAATGACGTTAGAGCGGCGAAAGGAAGTGAAGGTGCACACGAAAGGCGCGCACATTGACCAAGTGAATGAACTTGGATGCTTGAGGCACCGAGTTCCTCCCAGCCCATTCGCCCAACCCCCCTCGCAAGACACATCACAGGATTCGTTGAAGACCTCCACAGTCCTCTATCTGATGTGACTTGAGATGCATGTATTGTATGGAACCCCTCCAGACTCTACTATAGTTTGGCCATAGCAGCTCTTAACGTCGATGCCGACACCACAATGCTGTGGTACCATGCTCTCAGCAGAGCATTTTGAAACCCTTCATAGACATGTTTATTCGTTGTAGAAGTCCTTTGTCCTCTCCTCACTTGCCCTCAACACCTCCCTCCCTAGGTCACCAGTCCCATCTCTTGGCGCCAGCTTGATCTTGAAGTCCCTCGGGATTGCGACTAACGCGCTTTGATTAGATTGTAGTCGATATAGTCCGTGCTCGGCGGGTCTGATACGCTAGCCTCGTCCCTGTACAGGCTGAGCAAACGGAAGAGTGCCGCGTTGAATAGCTTGCTGGCGATCGTCGCACCCGGGCATGACCGGGAACCGGCGCCAAACGAAAGATGCGGTGTGCTGGAGATAGGCTTCTCGGCGTATAGTGAGGGGGGCGTGGTGGGCGCATCGAGCCAGCGCTCAGGATTAAAGGTGCCAGCGTCAGGTCCCCAGTAGTAGGTGCCTACCAAGTCAGCATGCTGTTGCGGCGGTGGATGTTTTAGAGACTCACCGTGATTGCCCGCTTGGGCGCTGATCAAAACCAACGTGTTCTTGGGAATCACTGCCTCACCCCAACGTACATCACTCATTGTCTTCCTGGGCAGGCTCATGTTGCTGACGGTGTAGTATCGCCCTGCCTCCTTGACGATAGCATTCAAATACGGTATAGTCTCCTCGAAGTCACTCGCTCACGCGGCATTCAAGTCCGGATAGCACTTTTGATCTCCTCGTACGCGCGATCTCAGTACTTTACACTCTCTGGTGTACAAAGCGAGCCAATGCAAGACACCAAGGTACCAGGGATAGTCTCGAAACCTCCAGAGACCAGAGAGGCAGATCGAGCTCACTTCCACACCAGTAAGACGCGTCTCTTCGTCTTTCAGTATCGCGGCGCTGATGCAAGGTTTCTCGGTGCCATTCTTGATCATGGCGCGCACCTTGTCGAGCAGTTAGTTCAAGTACTTGTCTCTCCTTTTGCGGAGATCTTTCGAGCGAGCATTTTTGACGTTTTTAGGCAAATGACGGAGGATCGGGATGTAGTCCTGGTAGTTCTCGGACGCCAATCGAAGCAGAGAAATTGCAGAGCCAACATGAAGGATTTCACGCAGCAGGTCGACGTAGGCTTCGTCCATTCTGATACCGTAGCAGAGGGTGAGAGTGGTGTTGAGCGCATAGCGCTGGATGTACGGTCGAAAGCTTGCCTCAAGAGCTCCACTCTCGGTGTCACAATGTAGGTCAGACACAATGCAGTACGACTCCAAGTCGAACATATCATCGTAGTTCTTCATCATCGCCTTGCTTAGTGTGGTAGATGCAGCTTTCCTCTTGTTTCGAGAGCTCTCATTCCATGGTGAGCTGCCAATTGTGAAACCCTGTATCGAGGAGAACAGTCCATGAAAGGTGCAGAGCTTGGGACGATCTATCAATCTTGAGAGTTCTTGATGAGATTGTTCTTGCAGTCTTCGAAGGAATTGACGATAACTGCGCGAGTGTTTACAAGGCGGATCTGGAAGACTGAGCGGCCGTATTGACGCCACCACTTTTCACAGACAGTCGTATGATCTTCTCCTGGTTGGGTCAAATGGCCAGTGACAGGAAGTGCGCCTGGTATTTTGGGTATGCCGCGAATGTAGAGTATGTCAGTGTGAGTCAATAGCTGTGGATGACAAAGTCAGCTCAGACACTCAATTTATCTAACAACGCACCTTGTAAAGCCCAAACAATACCGTCACAGAAACAAAGAAGACCGTTTCCAGACCAACAGGGCTCTCCCGGACAAAGTGAACAAGATTTGAGAGCGGGTTCATGGTTTTGGGAAGCTACAGTCACGGCTTGCTGTGGACGTATGGATACTGAATGGTCGTAATGACCACTTGGATACAAGCACTTAATAAATACCAGAACCCTTCAAGTCGGCATGCTGATCTTGAGTGATGCTGTCGTACATACACGTGAGGGGTCGCGCGGATCCCGGATCGTTTCCGTTATCTTCACGGAACTGGTGCTTATCAGCAGTGTCTCCCATTTTGAGCCTACAAAACACACTCCTCTGCTGCAGGGAGGCAATCTGGGGAAACCTTGTTCATGAGGTGCATGATCCTTCGGGTGTACCTGCCTATCCAGTTGCCATGCCTACCGCTCTACACCTGACTACATCAATTCCGGCCAAGGGTTGTGAAGTAGTAAGAAACCTGGAACTCTTTGCGCAAGCTAGATGTCCAGGATGCGAGCGTGCTTGATCTCCGCGCCTTCGATGTGCTCACGTATATTGCCGTACTTCGCGAAGCCATCTGTCTCAGCAAATGCATGGTGCTGCTCGACGCTCGTCCACGGCGTCAACAATACCCACTCGTCCTTGTCACCTTCCTTACCACCTTCCTTACCACCTTCCTTGTCAATACGCCAACCTCCGCCAATCTTCCCCTCGGACACAAAGTCCTGCAGATGATGCTTCTCTGTATCAAACCTCCACTGAAACAGCTCCCGATGGCCGTCCTTGACAAAGTGCCTGACGATGCTATAGACTGAAGCCTTCTGCTTGCTCGTACCTGCTTCCGGTAGCGGTAGGTCTGCGTGTGGCACATTGATATGCAGCAGCCAATCCACGCTCAGCAGATTCTTGAGGCTCTCGAGCAGCGCCAGGTTGTCCGTACTTGGAATGAAGTCGTTCATGTGCCGATCCAAGGATTCCCACTCTCCAAGTATGTATATGTACGTGGGGTCCTCGACCTGCTGGAGGTAGTAGAAAGTCCGACCGGTGTAGTTCTGCATGACGGTCTTTGCATGCGCGAGCTTCGAGCGGAGGTCTGCGTCATCGATCGTGACATATGGCGAAAGATGCAGAAGGGCGATCTCGGTGATGGTCATGTTGAGTGTGAAAGCTACGTTGTTGTGCGCGTGAATCGGGAGGCTGGACCTGGCGTTAGTAGGTTACTGTCATAATACAGTCAATTTATATGGCCTCGAGGATGAATGGTCGATGCTATGAGCGATCTTCAGGCCACCAACACCAGGTAGACGTGCTTGCGTGGAGGTGTGTCTATGCATTGCACCATCCATCCCAGACGCTCGATTTTCTGACTAAGCTCCCTAGCGTGACCCACCATTCCGTAGCCTCGCGTTCACCACGTCCTAGCTTAACGCAGGTCCGATGCTACGACGGCTGATTGCATCTCTCAAAGAACAAAGAGGACCCTTGCCGCCACCAGAATCTATGAGTAGGTACCACTTCGAGAAAATCAGAAAGATCCACAACAACACAAACATCGGTTAAACCAAGCCCCTTTTCCGCAGCAGAAACTCCAGTCGCAGCATATCTCGTAACAGAACCCATGTTTTTTGTTCTGCTTCCCATTTCCTTGCGTCTGATCAGAGATTTTGTACTGTGGGTGATTGTTGGTATGGCATAGGATGTGGCTGATAGAATTGTTGCTGAGATTGGTACTGCATCTGGGTTCGTTGATACGGCTGGTAGACTTGAGCTTGGCATGGTGGCTGTGGATGATGCATGTTCGGATCAGAATACCCTTGTGGATAATAAACCTTGGGTTTCGGCGGTGCATATGACATGTTGTTTGTGTAGAGTGAGCGACGATGGGTGTCAGAGGTGAAATGTCGTGAACATTGATTCTATCGCATGAACCTGACAAGGTCTTATAGGTCAAGTCTAATCCGCAGGTGTGCTCAAGAAAGTTCTGCTGCGCTGACGGATCCTTGTAGGAGGCGCTTCTGCACAAGCAAATTTGTTGTACAGGTCCCACCACCATGCGGCTGAGTGAAGCCATCGTCGTTCGGCCAAGACACTATGCGCAACCTTTACATATTCTCAATTGTCGATTGCACTACTGTGAGTTCCTCCAGAACATGTTTGTACTGTTCTTGTACGCTGCAGCAGCACTTTCCTCAACACTGATACTCTTCAGCCCTGCAACGATCAACGCCACACCCTCCAACTTGCAGCTCTCGTTCCTCTCCTTTACCATCTCACCCATAACGAACTTGTCTTTCTTCTTTGAGCCGTAGGGTAGCTTCGTCGCATTCTTCAGGTATGCTTTTGAGACTTCGCTCGTAGCTTGGATCTCTCCCCAAGGCGCATCGGTCTCGATCTGCAGCTTCTCAAGTGGAATGGCGCGCACCATCTCTAGGCTCTCGCGATCGCGGAAGCTGAAGCCGTTGACGCTGACTTCGAGACCAAGGTCAATGAGAGTTTGCATCTGAGATTTCGAGCCAACAAAAGAATGCACCAGTCCGGAACGCAGAGGCAGGCGATCAAGGTACGGAGTCAGGATAGATACGAAGTCGTCAAATGCCGCTCGGCAATGCAGAAACAGCGGTAATCGCCAACCCTCAGCTACTATCATGTCAAGCTGTCTCTTGAACACGCGGATCTGGGCTTCCATCGATGCAGCAGCAAGATGATCGTAGTCCAGCCCCAACTCTCCGAATGCGGCCAGCAGTCCGGGCTCCTCCTTGAGGGTGGTGTTGATTGCCTGTGTAATTTCCTGGTAGTATTGATCGCCTCTCTCATCAGCCTCGGCGGCGTGGTATGGATGCACGCCGATCGTGACTTTGCATTGCTCTTTCCTTTTTCTGGCGATGTTAAGGTTGGTGGGTATGTCCGATAACAACATGCCCGTGAGCATCACTTTGTCAACGCCCGCCGCTACGGCTCGATCCATGACAGCATCGAAGTCGGGCGCGTGATATTGCTTGCCGCGATAGATGCCCGCGAAGTCCTTGGCTGTTGCTGTGACAGCGACCTGAGTTCGATAACTCAGCTAAGGGTGTTGTTGTAGGAAGGGTAAAGCCGTACATCTGCATATTGAAGCTTCTGTATTGGAGGTGCAGGTGCTTTGGTCGGGAATCCGTCAAGCATTGATGAAGCCATTGCGATCAGGTTGGTGAACGTCTTCAGTCTCCAGCAAAGCAGTTCGAGGGTGTCTTCGATCAAAGCTCGGCCGGACCGGCTCAGCAACGACCGAGCTCCGACCTCGGCCTCATCTGTATCTTCTTACATTAACGGAACTCTGCTGCCTCACAACCCACATTGACGAGATGACCCATTGCACCTGTTAGTGCCATGGAGCTCGTTCCCTACTTTGATCACGATGAAGATCTATTCCATCATTTCCATCATTGGACCGAAATGCCGACACCAGGGAACCAGATTGCGACTGTTGCAGTGTTGCACATGTCGAGGTGCGATGATATACTGCTCCAGACTTTGGTTTGGAGCCGACCACAATGTCAACAAAGCAAGTTACGCCTTAAACCGGATCTCGGTTGATTGTGTTGGCAGCTAGTTGTAACAAGTACTCAGATCTATAGCAGACAACAGATATCATGTGCCCGTCCCATGACTGAACGACACTACGACATGTATCGTTTGATTGAAGAAACATTTGCTGGAATTCGATTTCATGGACATCAAACAGCTTTGCTACCGAAGAAAACTTGTGCAGCTAACAGCTTGCTCTCTTACTACTTCCCATGTATTTTTCATCCGCGCGCTTGCAGTTCTCTGGCACCTTCCGATCTTTCATCGTCTTCCTGCGTTGTCGCGCTACCCGTTTCCTCTAGCGGCAATGTCAGCACTAAAAATGGAGTCCGCTGTGATCCCAGATTGCCGGCAAAGTCACCGGGCAGGAAGCCCACCAGACTTTGCGGACCTTTGCGTGGGAATTAGGCATTATCTCAAGTTTTGCGATGAGACTGAGCAAGCGGTGATGATTCAATCACTGCAGAGATACGTTGATCAGTTGGAGGTGCCAACACCACACTAAGCAGATGCTGCTCCACCTAGCGAGTCTTACTTCGAAACAAATCCCTCACGCGCACATGTCGTTGAAACTACATACACCCCTGCTCGACAGCTCGTCGGCTACACTAACGTCCCTCGCTATCCTGACAGCTCGTCCTAACAGTAAACTTGACAACATGGCTCAGTCTCCGCAAGGTGGACAGGATGAGCATGGTTAGACTCCGCTATGATGGCGTCCGATGAGAAGCTTCCAGTTCTCAATGCATGCCTGGTAGGAGCATCCCTGACTGAACTCTCTTTATGCTTTTAAGGTAGCGCTATCGACGAAGGTAGAGTGATGGAAACGTTCGATCCGCAGGAAGAAGATTCTACACCAGACCCCTCCATTCTTGCGAAGACTGACCTTCGACAGCTTGACGTGGCCACTGCTCTCGGCCGAGCCCAGGCTCTCGTATACAAATACATGAGCCAACAATTGGAAGATGAGCAGACCAACGGCACGCAAGAGGCGGCTAAGGAAGAATACGACCAGGACCGTCTGGGGTAAGGAGAAGCTCGCTGCATTCAGGAGCCGACTCGCTGGTTTTTGAAGTGAACACAATCTGCAAGTTTGCGTCTCGACTAGGTACGTGTAAGATGCTTTTGTGGTCACTGAAGACTGACCATCTCCTAGAGGAAAACTCCAAGGTATATAGACGCAAAACACCGTACGATTCGACAATGGTGACGCCCGTAAAAGAGAGATACTCGATACCCTGCTGAACGACCGCGACGTATTGTGAATCGCCTTGAACGATCACACAGTCCTCTTGCAAGGACTTGAAGAAGATCTCAGAAGATCGTTGCAAAACAGTTGGGTGTGTGTACAACGAGGTGTGTGCGACGCCGTGATACACTCAGGGGCAGTGATTTGCTATGAGCATGAAGAAGCACGAATCATTGTCCGAGGGGAGGGAGATCGAATCGTACAGATAAATGCGGACTCCATCCGAGCGTTGTATACACATATACAAACTACGACTGAAGTCCAGGTTCAAGAGAACGACTCTCAGCACCAGAAGTACATTGCAGACCTGCAGAGCCAGTTGTTGCAATTGACGGAACAGATCAAAGACCGCGGCCGTGAGTTCCGGCCGACCCTGGAAGCTTTGAAAGAAGCTAACTTCACAAAGAAGCGGAAGCTGTTGTATGAACGTAGTAACGCAGTAGCAGCAACGCTGCTTGCCTTACAGATCATGTACAGCCACGTCAAGATAAGTTTTTGTGACGATGGAGCTTTGGTCCTTGCTCACCTCTCTTAGGCAAGGCTTGAAGCACTGAACATAAAAGTCATAGATTGGGCTCAATGGTCACGAGCTTGGCCAGAAAGTCGACGGAGAGAAGCTTCTCTGGCCATCGAGATGAGCATTAGACCTGACCAAGAACAGGTCGATCCACTACAATTTGCACGGAGAGTACTTCGCGAGTCGCATAACTTATGGTTAGAACTGGCTTACGGAACATCGAACTCTGGTGGATCCAGAAATACTGCGCTAAATATGGTCAATACCTGAGATACAAGCGAACCTCGGAGACGGGCGATACAACGTACCCATGGACTGCCAAGAGGTCTGGCTTCTTGCAATCGTCAATGCGGTCATTGTACGAAATTTCATTCAAAGCACAGCAGTTTCTAGCCTTCTATCAACCACTTTTGGACCTGAACCCAAATCTGGTGGTAACCGCATTCTTCCAAAAGATCTAGAGTACCTCACCAACTTTGCCGATTTAAGGAATACGCTACCAGTTCCCACAACCATGACAACATACACAATAGTGGGAAGTCTCGAGCATCTCTGAGATCCGCAGGTCTGGATAAAAATTGATTATGAGACGCTGACTCCGGAAGACATGGGTGAAGTGGCTAAACTCCTCGATTGGTTGCTTAGTGAGAAATAGGGTCATTGGATTCAAGCAGACACAAGCTTACAATTGCTATCCAACGGCACAGCTGTTTGTCTTGTGCGTGACCCCATTGCCATGGGTTTGCAGCTATCACTCGATCCGGCTCCTGGTACTGTGACATGGGAAGGTATCCCAGACCTTGAAAGCGTCATTGTTTACAACAAACCTCCAAAGGCTCGACCAAGTCTAGCGAATATTCCTTACACATCCTTGGCTCCAAGGGAGAGCGAACTGCTCTAGAGTGGGCCTTTGGCATCGCAAGTTTTGAGACTGGTTACGCTAAGATTGGGGTTGCAGCATGATCATCATTCCGAGCGCAGTCGCGGTAGATGTTTGCAGGTTGGCAGGATGGATAGCTTTTTGGTGTAATTCTCACACGAATGGATAGACTACTGGACGCCAGATATGCAATTATATACCCAACATCTATACATTCCCCCCACGAATCTGTTTCGCCCGAAGCGCAAGCATTTAGCACTTGAGCGAGAACTTCGTCTTCCTGTCCGCAGTCATAGCACCCCAAGCAGTCTCATCCGCAGCCTTGCCGTTGTCACCAATAGAAGCCGGCTTCCAGGGTTCATCGAAAACCTCAAAGTAGAAAGCGTTGAAGCCCCAGTCAAGCAGCGAGCAGAATCCGTGCTGGTAGAAGTGCTCAGCATTGCTCAGTCCACCCTTAGCCTTGTCGTAGTCAGTTCCCTCAACGGTGGGCCATCCAGTCTCGCCGTTCCAAATCTCAGGCTTCTTGTCTGGGCCACCGGCAACCTTCTCGATGTGTGTGACCGCCTGGTACATGTCGTCGAGGTAGACGTGGGTAGCGTTCTCGCGCGAGGCGCCCTGCCAGAAGGCAAAGGCGTTGACCATGATAATGTCTGCGGTACCAATGATGGCGTCGCCGGTGCCGTCGGCGAACTTGTTCCAGGAGTCGGCGGTTCCGACCTTGATGCCCTTCGGAAGCTTGCCCTTGACGGTGCTGATCTTCTCCTTCAGCTCGGGGCCGGTGAAGTTGCCACGGTAGAGGGTCTCGGAGCCGACGGTGACGGCGTAGATCGAGTCAGCATAGGTGCTTGCGACGTCGGTGATGGCCTTGAGGTCCTTCTGGAAAGATTCTTCGACGTCGGGCCTGAATATATGTTAGCTTCGCGGCTGCCAAACCTCTGACTTTCGAGACCAGGACGTACCAGATACCAAGGACGACCTTGAAACCCTTGCTCTTAGCAGCGGGCATGATATTCTTGGCAGATTCGCAGTCAGAAGCAGAGTATCCGCGAACAATAGTCGCACCAGACCTGCTCTTGATGGCATCAAAGTCGTCCTCGTAGTCGGTCTGTGTTTTGCAGTCTCCGGAGGGCTGCTTGGTGCCGAGCGCGAAACCCATGGTGCCCTTGGCGGCGGCAACAATGGCAGGGCTGACCGCGAGAGCGGTAGCAGCGACGGCGGAGAAACGCATAGTGTAGTGAGATTTGAAGGAAGTGTTGACAGGGGTCGATCTGGGGAGGTGGAGAAAGTGTGGGGGTGGGTAAGGATGGTCCGTCTAGAGAATGACTTGATTAGGAATAAAGGCACACGAAAGGAGTGACTGTACAGCGATTGCACTGACGTAGAGTTGGAGACGAAGGAGTGATAAGGATTCCTTGGGAAGCTTGATCAAGGGGACGGCGCGCTAGCATCCCGTTGTTTTCAAAACGTCCGATTCAGGAACACCAATCAATCGAATGCGCTGAAACAAGTGGGTCAGCGGAGGGGGCTGCATTGTCCGGCATGATCGATGCAGGAGACCATGCAGAGGATCTTGTAGGACATGTTAAAATCTGTGTTGTATATGAGTCAGGAGCCGCCAACGCCTGCCCATGCCTTCGGTCCAGTGCCATACTACGCCCTCGACAAGCGAAATGGATGTGCCTCTGTGTTCAGCACAAACTCATCCAAGCTAATGAGATCCGTATCCGCAAAACACAAGTAGAAGTACTTGAGCGTCTCCGCCATCCAAAAGCTCTCCATATAGTCCTCCTTTTCGCCTCCACCAGATGCATTCACGTCCGTGATCGCAGCGTTCGCGTACGCGGTATCTGTCGCCTTTGCCACCGCCTGGAACATCTCCCACGCTGTCGCGCGGAACGACGGATCGCCGGTGATACGCCAGAGGATAAAGATGGACTCTATAGCCTCGGGTCGGAGGATGTACCGAGGATCTTTGGCGGTAGTGAAGCCCTTGGGGAGGTCTGTTTTGTACTGCGGGCGATTTGCAGCCTCCGCGGCGAAGGCAGCTTCGTCCCAAATGCAACCCTGTCTGTGGTTCTCGCCAGGACAGAGAGCCATATTGTAGCGTTCTGGCATGATGCCTGTAGGGAAAGACTTGTATGCGTACGCACATCCACGAGCCAGCTTGGCTCCCACATTCAAGTACTCATCGTTGTTGAATAGTCGGCCGCCCAATGCATATAGCCCGCCGATGAAGCAAGAGAGGTGTTCGCTTTCTGGATCAAGGTGTGGGCCGTCCTGCAGGACATCGCAGTTGCCAGATATCAGAATGTCATCATCCCCTGGTATCATGGGCCGGAAGAAGAGGCTATCCATCGCTGTGTTCATGAAATAGCGAGACATGATCTCGTACTTCTTTGAACTGGGATCTGACGAACCAAGTAGTGCATGCGCCTTGGGCAGATACTCGTACAGCGAGTCTGCATTACCACCGATAGTAAACTGATAGCCAAACACCACGTCTTTCTTGTTCATCGAAACCATCATCGGCCACATGCCCGGCAGCCTCGTCGCATTCTGGTTTTGGTAGAACAAGTCCATGACCTGCGACACCGCTGCATAGTACTTGTTGTCGCCCGTAAGCTGGCTCAGCCTGCTGAACTCCAGTGTAATGGTCCCTGGACTCGCGCTGACAACCTGAGTCTCCACTCGCAGACCCGTCCCCTCTTTCGCGCTCTCGAAGTTGATGAAGTCCACAGGCATCCCATTCTCCGTGTTGAAACCAGCATAAAGCAGATCGCCGACCTCCACAGCCTTCTGTAGCAGCACCTCATGCCCGCTCAGGTCATACGCCGCAATAAGCCCGCCGAGGTATCGAATGCACGTCTCAAACGTGTTCACCGTAGCTGCCGTGCTCTTTCCGAAATCGATCGTAGCCACAGCCTCCACAGCCTCGTAGAACTCCACTTTCATACCCATCATCCACAGCGTGTCCAAACTGTCCACCAACGTAGCAGCCCAGCCCGAAAACTGGTCCACATACTGTCCGCTTATAGGCTTGAGCGCATCTTTCATCCATGCTTTGGCTCTGTAGCTTTCCCAGCTCTTCTGGAAGACACGCTTCACTTCCAAGCGCCTCTGCTCTTGTACTGCGGCGACATCTGCGCGGTCTCGCTTGAATCGGTGCTGGATGCGGGGCCGGTGGGCGACAGGTGGAGGCAAGTTAGGCGTGAGCGGAGGGGGGTACGCGAATTTGACTGAACTCCAGTCAAAGCTGCTGTTCTGTGCGACGATGTTTGGAATCTGGTCAGGGTCGTTCATGTACCGCGCGAGCGCGTATGTACCGGTTCGAGAGGAGGAACCATAGCTGAAGTGCGGGAGATAGGATGACGGGTCGTCTCTAGGTAGAAAGAAGAAGATTCCTAGAATGAGAATGGCGCATAAAGCAATGTGTCGTGTGCGGAGTCGAGCCATGGTAGCCACCGAGCTCAGCTATTGGTGTACAAGGAAACAGTGACTGCAGCACTCATTGCTCCAAATTGAAGCATTGAACGCTAGGCAGTGTGAACGAAAGGACGAACGAGGTTGAACATGTTGAAGGGCCAAGGGACGTGCAATGTGTCTCAAGATGGTAGGTGCTGCTAGTTTAGTGTGGGGGTTGAAACATCCATATTGCTTTTAGTCAGCAATCCGATTATCACCACTCACCTGTGCACATCTCCAACCAACTTATAGTACACACACAGTAACATGATTTGATCGCTCCTTGAAGGCATCTGAACTTTTGAATATTATGAACTATAGACGAAATCGGAGGGTATCTAGTGCAGGTATCATATCAATCTTCCCACCACATGCGATGCGACCATAAATGCGAGAACGCTCAATCAAGCCAAGCAACATGCAAGACAAATCTACTTCATCGACTTCTTGCTCCTCGTGCTGTTGGCCCTCGCCCGCCCCACGAAGCTCTCCCGTGTGTTGACACGGTCGATCTCGTACGGGTTGTCGTAGTACTCCTCGATAGGGTTGACTGACTTTCTGCTCCTTGTCGATCGCCCTGTTGCGACCTTCTTGAGAGCATTCTCGGTCTCCTTCTCGGTCTTCATCTCAGCAAAGTGAGGCGAGGCGTCAGATGGGTAAGCGTCATTCTCGGCCTCCTCCTCAGCGGCGAGGGTCGCAGTGCGAGAGGTGTTGGCAGACTCGCCTCCAGCAGCGGCCTCTTGCTGTTGAGCGCGTGCTGCCATCTGCTCACGGATCTTCTCCATGAACGCCTCGGACTGGGCGGCGTACTTGCACTTTTGGCGGATAGTAGCTCCGTATTTGTAGAAGAGGAAGGGCAGCGGGATACAGGCGACAGCGAGGAAAGCGGGAACCGAGGATGCCCAGTGGATACCAATGCCGTCGTACATCTGCTTGGTGAAGAGAGGGAAGGCGGCACCGAAGACAGATCGGATGATACCGTTGCCAGCCAAGACGGAGGCAGCGAAGATGGTGTAAGAGTCGATGAGGTAGTTCATAATGGACAGGAAAATGAGCACCATGCCGAAACCGAAGGGAATGGCGGCGCAAACGCTGGCAGCCCAGGGAAGGTTTGGTGAGTTAGTCCAGGCGAACCCTACATGTACGTTAGTAAATGACCTTGCGGCATTGTGCATGCTTGATGAAACTTACAGAAGAGACCAATAGGCAAAACGATGCCACCGACCAGACACATAGGCAGACGCGCCTCTGGAGTAGTGTAGCCTTTGCCAGACGCTTCGACCTTCTTCATGTACTGCTTGTTGTCGACAACAATGACATAGGTGATGGCAAGCAGGACACCGATGGCAACCGCAACAAAAGGAAGACCGCTGATACCCTCGTTCCAGCCACGGCCCTGGCGGTAGACGATGGGGAAAGCACCGAAAAGCATGTAGAGGATACCGTAGATGATGGCGTGGTAGAGCGACAGAAGCAGGACAATGGGCTCGCAGAACAGGAGGATCCAGGGGCGCTTGAGACCAGTTGAGAATGCCTCGCCAAGGGAGATCTTGCCTTGGTCAATGTCGGTGCGGGACCTATAAACCTTTCCAGTGATCTTGGAAAGCTTCTCGGCACGCCTTCGGAGCAGAACAGGAGGATAGGTCTCTGGAACAATGCATGCGGTGACAACGAGTAGGACACCAGCCCAGATGGCCATGAGACCGTTGACCCAGCGCCAACCCTCGGTCATGCCCAGGAAACCTCCAATGATAGGACCAAGAACAGGGCCCATGAAGGGCGCAGCAGAGAAGATACTCATCGCCAGACCTCGCTCGTTTGCATTGAAGAGATCAGCGATGACACCTCCAGCGTTGGTGAGAGGGCTGGATCCAAAGGCAGCGGCGAAGAATCGAAGAATCAGAACGGACCAGATGTTCTGACCACCGGCCACGGCAGCGTTGAAAGCCATAAAGCAGAGGTAAGTACCGGCGAAAACAACCTGGCGACCGTACATCTCCGAGAAAGGCGCCCAAAGCAGCGGTCCAAGGGCGAAACCGAGAACGAAGAGCGATACACCTAGTGTAACGATTTCCTGGCTGACACCAAATTCAATCATGATCTGCTGGATACCTCCAGAAAACGCTGAGGAACAGAATGATACGACGAGGACCGAGTTGGCGACAGCGATGGCCATGATCCATTTCTTCGTCTTCGCAAACGTCATTGGGTTACGGGGGTCGTTCGGTAGCCATTCGACGGCGTAAGGGTCCTCTTCTGTGCCGGAACCTTCGTACTCCCAGTTCACGATCTCATTGGTGACGACGCCCTGGTCGAGGATCATCTTCCAGTGCGAAATGCCTTCTCTTCCTGACTCCACATCCATGTTGGATTTCTGCGGCTCGGCCGCTTTCTCAGACATCTTGATTGATTTGTTTGTATTCGATATTTCGTTGATGTGTTATAGTGCGCGTGTTTCAGAGCGAGGGTACGAAGGGCGTAAGGTGGTGATGGACAGTATTAGTAGGCTGTAAGGTAAGGGAAGGTACGAAGCAACAACAACAGACACGACGATCACAACGGGACACGCCCACATATAAACTCGCACACACGAAAACTTACACCCGCCTTGGGCACGTGCCAAGCGCGCGAGTCTCCTATTCCCAGCAACAGAACACTGCCGAAGGTCCGGCATCCATGAGGCGATGACACCATAAATTGAGCTTGTCTAAAAGTCATCATGTTGTTCGGCCGAGGGACAAGACTAGACCAGTCAATCCTCAAAACATTACAAGATGAGCCAATGGGAGAGCGAGAAGCGTGAGGCAGCCACAGAGAAAACTGGATCTCAAAGCTCTTTCTCGAGCGTTGCTCAGACTCCCGGTGCCGATCGTAGACCGTGCGTTATAGGGCTTTTCGTCAAAGTAGGCGTAAACGTGACCTTTGTACCGAGGTGCCGAGGCAGCGCGACTCGAGAATTGCTGGTTCTGTCGAGCGTTTCAAAGCGGATAACGACGCGCAGTGGAGGATCGGACCTGCGTTTGGGCCTTTGAAATTGGTGGGGAGCCATGGCTTGCACGATGAGGGGCTCTCGTACGTGCGCGCAATGCTGACCTGTCAACATCAGAATCTACGTGGAGTTTCGATGGAGATGCAGAAAGCTTGGCGCCGTTGGGCAGTGATTCAGGAATTTTGAGTCTGCTTTGACTCGCACACTCGCCACCTTTGACTCGAAGCTTATCAACCATCCATCAATGCCTTCAAGCTTTGACAAGGCGGCTCGAATAAGGTCCGGTTAGCAAGCCACGAGCGAACGGGGCTCCCGAGCGAGTGGAGCCTCCTACGATTCATGTGTGTTCTGGAAGACGCGTTGCCGTATCATGAAATTGCCAATCCCAGAAAAATCACTGTGCTGAGGCTTAACAATGTTCAGTTTATATTTGCAGAAATTCGTGTAGGTTGTTTCGCAAGGTTTGCTGCTATCGTTTCATTCTCATATCCAAAATACGTATCTTATTCAAGCTTTTGTAGATATCGTTACCCGTGGGTGCCCTACAAGTTTTCCCAAGCGCCGTACACAATGCTAGTTAATCTTGAATCCTCCAAATGCGCCGTAAATCAAGTCACAACATGGTCCCTGCCCTTGGGCATCTTACACCTCGTTGCTGGGGTACTGGACCTTCTCGGTAGCAACAAACTCCTCCTTGATCGCCCTCATGTTGACGAAGCGGGACAGGAGGGTAGCGCTACCAGCCTTGTCGTTGGTGCCACTGGCCCTTGAGCCACCGAAGGGCTGCTGGCCAACAACAGCTCCAGTGCACTTACAGTTGAGGTAGAAGTTACCAGCGGCGTTCCTCAGCTTGTTCTCGGCGAAGTTAAGGTCCTTCCTCTCCTTGGCGAAAACAGCTCCAGTCAGAGCGTACTCAGAGGTCTCGTCGATCTGCTTGATGATCTTCTCGAAGGCATCGGAGGCACCATCGTCATAGACGTAAGCGACGAGCACTGGACCAAAGAGCTCGCGGGACAGGAGAGGGTGGTTGGGGTTGGTAGTCTTGTAGATGGTGGGGTGGATGTAGTAGCCCTTGCTGCTGTCGTACTTGCCACCAACAAGGAGCTCAAGCTCGCTGTCGTTCTTAGCCTCGTCGATAACACCAGAAAGCTTTTTGAAACTAGCTTCGTGGATAACAGGGCCGATGAAGTTGTCGAACTGGGAGGGCTCGCCAATCTTGAGAGCCTCCGTCTCTGCGACCAACTTCTTCTGGAACTCAGGCCATACAGACTTGGGAACGTACAGGCGCGAGCAAGCACTGCACTTCTGACCCTGGTATTCGAAAGCACCACGGACAGTCTGGATGGCGGCGTTGGTCACATCGACATTGGGGTGAACCAAATGGAAGTTCTTGCCTCCAGTCTCGCCAACAATGCGAGGGTAGCTCTGGTACTTGCCATCGGCAACACCGTTGGCGATTGTGCCGTATAGCTGACGGAAAACTGCTGTGCTACCTGTGTAGTGGAGAGCAGCGAACTGCCTATGGGAGAGGACCTCCTTGGTGACTTCGACCGCATCGCCAGGCACCCACTGGATGACGTTCGGAGGAAGGCCAGCCTCAATGAGGATCTGGTACAGGAGCCAATTTGAGGCAATGGCGGAGGGAGATGGCTTCCAGACGACAACGTTGCCCATCAGTGCCGGTGCAGCTGGCAGGTTGCCACCGATGGCTGTGAAGTTGAAGGGCGACACGGCGTACACGAATCCCTCCAGAGGTCGGTACTCGACACGGTTCCAAACGCCGGGCGAGTTGTGTGTAGGTTGGTGGCCATATGTATCCTCGGCGTACTTGACGTTGAACCTCAAGAAATCGCACAGCTCGGCTGCCGAATCAATCTCAGCTTGCCATGCGTTCTTGCCCTGGCCGACCATAGTCGCTGCCATGATCTCGTATCGGTACTTTCCAGACACCAAGTCGGCCGCCTTGAGGAAGACCGAAGCGCGGTCGGCGAAAGGAAGAGCCTCCCATTCGGCCTTTGCCTCGAGTGCTGAATCGATAGCCTTTTTGACATCCGCAGTGCTGGCGTTGGAGTACTTGGCGACTACATCGGCATGGGAAGAGGGATCGTGCTGGGTGAGGATCGAGGAGTTGTTGATCTAGGGTTTTGTCAGCATTAGGAACTGAGATTTCGTTACAATAACAATACGTACGTGCTCGCCGCCAATAGCGAGGGGGACCTGGACAGCACCCTTCTTCTTCAATGCTGCGATAGCATCTTGAAGCTTCTGTCTGTCTACTGAGCCCTTGGTGTAGTGTTGCTACAGTCTCTAGTTAACTACCACTACCTAGCGATACGTCTTTAAGCTCGATACTTACGTTAGGCTCGTTGTTAATGGTAGGAATCTTGAAGTTTGCAATTGTTCCTGCATGCCTTCTCGACGCAACTTGCGCACCAGCGTACGCAACTGGAAGTGTGTTGAAAGTCCTGGAGACCGGACGAATGGACTGAAGACCCCTTGAAGAACTCATTTTGAAATTTGCTGAGAGACTGCTGCTGCTACGTGGGCAGCTTTAGAATTTGTATCTGGAGCTGTCAAGCTCCCAGTGACGATAGTCAGTAGCTTATCCGCATCTAACCGCAGTGTGGGGCGCCGAGCGGAGAAGCAGCTGGGGCGGAACGCCTGCTCTGAGCCTTTGCAATCGCACCATGACACGAGAAAATGTGCGAAACGCGTCCGATGTCGCAGAAAATGGCACGCGGTCAGAATCGGATGAAGAACTGCAACTACTCTCGAAGCTCAAGCCGTGTGTAGGTCAGACATACAGCTCGGTACATACCGTGAACAATTTGGCGACCTTAGAAACAACATGCATTGGTATCGTCGTGATATATACCTATAAAATCCTGACCCAGCAAATGCGTAAAGGTCTATCAATGCCAAACGCCTCTTCGCCGTACTGCCATTTTTCATCAAAGATGTTTTACTCCTCCATAGCCTCAGTCGCCTCTGGCTCATCACCCCAAAGACCGTCCAGCTTGAATTCAGTAGCCCATTCCTTGACAATTTCCTTCTGGTCACCAACAAGACCAGCAGTCTTCAGCGCAGGCGCAGTTTTGTTTGCTGCGATCGGCTCAGCAGGCTTGTACTTGGATGGGTCTGTCCAGCCCTGAATACGTCCATCCCTCCAGTCGTTGATGACAGTTTGTGCCGCGCTGTGAAGGTTTGGGACACCACCCTTGCCCAATCTCCCCCTCTTGCGTGCAACTTGAATCAGGAAATCTGTTGTCTTCTCGTTGCCAGTGCCGTTGAGAGCAGGCAGATCGTAGACTTCCATGAGCTTCCCAAAGAGTTCCTCCGATCCTGATAGCCTCTTGAGCAACAAGGTCACAGCTGGCACGGGATCTGCGATCTCCCTGGGTGGCACAGCGTTTAGCAAGATACGTCGAGCCTGTTGCTGTACCTTGTTCTCCTTTGTGCCTTCTGGATCATTGGGGAAAACAATACCGGGCGAGTCGAGCAGTTTCAGCTTGTTGTCCAGCTTGACTTCTCTTAAGCTTGTAGTAACACCAGCCTCCGCACCAGTGGGGCAAGCGCCAATTCGACCGCCCATTCTCTGAGCCAATGCGTTGATGACTGAAGATTTACCAACGTTGGGGTAACCAATGATACCCACCTTAATCGAGCGCTTCAGCTGTCGAGACTCAGCGAAGGTCTTCAAGGCCTTGAACAGCGTCTCCGATGTACTCTTCATGGTAAGGTCCTTATGCTCGAAGGTCTTCGCGTTTGGCGCGGGTTTCGAAGCGCGCAGAGGGAGTGTGGGGAACGACCGACGCAAGTTAACGAGCCACTGACGGAGAACTGGGGGCGGTACCAGATCGATCTTGTTCAAGATGAAGATCAAACGCTTGCTTCCACCATCCGCCGACATAACCAATTGCTCCACGTCCTTCGACCGTGTTCCTATGGGGTCTCGAGCATCCAGTACGTAGAGGACGACGTCCGCGGAGTCGACCACTTGTTTGTAGATCTTGTCGAACTGCTTCCTTGACGAATCCTTGCGAACGCCGGAAGCGCCTTCCTCCTCGTCAGACTCGTCGTCATCCATGGCGTCTTCGTCGTTTCCGTTCTTCGACTCGAACTCGGCGGCGCGGGCCTTTGCAGATGCAAGCAGTGCAGCCATAGGGTTTGTGTCTACCTGCATGGAGTCCCCATCGTCGCTGTCCTCGGCTAGAAGCTCGTCGCCCTCAGCATCGAACTGCTCGAAGTCCTCGTCATCACTCTCCATAGCATCCGTGGCAGCGCCTCCGCCCGCCTTCTGCTGCTTGGCCAGCTCACGGCGACGGACAGCATCCTCCTCCTTCTGCCTGCGCTGCTCTTCAACCTCTGCGAGAATCTTGTCTTTGTATGGGAACAGGTTCGGAATACCGGGATCCTTCTTTGCCTTTGAGCGCCACTCTGGGTTCTGAAACTATATCAGAAAAGTGCGGTAGTTCATGCGCAGTAAATGTACCTTCTTCGCCAACTTCTTCGCCTTCTTCTGCTTCTGCGCAGACGCCTTCTCGATCTTGTGTCGCAGGCGCACGGGCTGGCGCTTCGATTTTGGCTCTGCACGTTATGTCAAGAGTGTTCTTAAAGCACGATTTACAGTTTGTACATACTTCCGACCTTCATTGTGTGTGGCTGTTGTTGTGATGGTTTGCCTCTGCTTGCGCCCAATATTTTCGAAATTCCACTCGAAATCTTGGCGCTAGCAAATTCTGCCCCTGCCTGCCGCCTAAGAACCCTGTCGCCTTGGCCCTCGGAGGCACCTGCCCCTCAACTCTTGACAGCAACAGCTTTGCTTCAGTGCCACGCCAGACTGTGCCGATTATTCACACCGAGAGCCGTAATGCATGCGCTGCAAATTACATCACACAGATCAAAACGTGCACTCCGACTTTTAAAGACCCTCAAGTTCAGCGTCTTCATTCACGCTTGTCGGTAACTGGTCTGATTGGCCAACAATTCGAAATCGTCGGTCGGAATACCCAGTGCGGTTAGCCTTCTTACTTTTACTGTCGCCATCTGACCTTCACACAACGACATATATCGTGGTCACGTACACTTCTTTCTGCTGTCGAACAATAGTCTGATACTCAACTAATTCGATCACCATGACTGTCGCCGAGCCCAACTTCTCTGCGCCCGCGCAGACGATCGAGTGTCATGGATTGGTGAGTGACAGAATGAAGCTCTCAAGCAAGATAGTAAACTGACCTACGTCTGGTTGTTCGATATGGAGTATGTGTTTACATCCGCTGGCTGTCTACGCTGCTCTTGCTGACTTAGTCAGTGGCACCATCATTGATTCAACACCAGCAATTATCAAGCACTGGCAAAGGTAGGTACCAACACGTCAACACGCGGAACTTGGACTAAGATTGGCAGAATCGGAAAGGAAATTGGTGTCGACCCGGAAGTGATTCTTGCTACGTCACACGGCAGACGTTCGATCGACGTTCTCCAAATATACGAACCGAAGCTCGCCAACTGGGAGTGTAAGTGGTCGCCAAACTATACTTGGACAACTACGACTGATCAGTATTGCCAGACATCAGCCACGCTGAAGGTCGGATACCAATTGAGTTCGGTTCAGATGCTGTGGAGATTCCTGGTTCTCGCGCCATGTTGGATCGACTCGACGAGCAGTCTGCTCCTTGGGCCATTGTCACCTCAGGCACGCGACCACTGGTTACCGGCTGGCTGGACGTCATGAAGTTGGCGCATCCTAAGAACATTGTCACTGCCGAAGACGTGCCGAATGGTAAACCAGATCCAGCGTGCTACAAGATGGGCGAGAAGAAACTGCTTCTCCAGCAGCAGAAGCCGTCCATCGTTGTCTTCGAAGACGCTCCAGCTGGAGTTCGATCAGGAAAGGCAGCTGGCTTTACTGTCATCGCGCTGCACACCACACACTCGTTGGAACAGTTGGTCGAAGCCGGCGCTGACTACATCGTCAAAGACATGCGAAGTGTAACTCTGAAGTCTTGGGATCAGACCACTGGGAGCGGACGACTCGAGGTTACCAACGCCCTGGTGTAGGCGCGTGTTAGCTGTCAAAATAGACGACTTATCAACATCACTTCTACGTGTCAGCCATGTGAGCAATTGCCGATTGCAACCTCCAGCTCGAATGGCAATGCCCTTGCATACCTGTCAGTGAGTTAGCTCCAGTCAAACGTCGAAACAAGCGGCCTTTGACGGCGACGCCGAGTCGGCCCCCGAGTGTGCGGCGATGCATGGACGTCTAGACCGGCGAAACCTTGAACATATGCTGGGCTCGACATTGTCAAACTTTTGCCAGGTACAGTCTTGCTAACCTCTTCCTGTTCTTCAAGAGTCAAGACTACAACTAACCGCCAATTGGCATCGTGCGTCGCATGGCATGAGGATGCCATGCCCTCGGTAGGACCCAGTTTCTAGAATGATCACAGGCACTGCACACAAAGACGTCAGTAACTAGTGTCCTTCGGTCTGGAAGCATTCTCTGCTCGTGGGGCACCGTCGCTGTGGTGCGACCCTAGATTTCTTGGTATGTGGTGCGGTCGAAAAAACAGCAAGTGACATTCTAGAATATTTGGCAGGATACGAACGTCAAGACTCAGAATTGACAATGTCATGGGAAGACAGAGCCCCCGTACTGCCAGGGGTCTACAGCTTTGAGTAATTATTGTCGATGCAAGTGCGCATCATACTTCACAACTGAGTTTAGGTCAACGTTACGCCCAGTTTGTCGATACACGAACCTTGTAGACGAGCTGGGGTCTATTTGAGTTCTTTGTGTTGCACCGCGGCCAAGAGCGACTCAGCGCTGCAAGGTACGGTCAGGAACAAGCTGCGCCGCTTTCGAGAAGCGAACACAAGGCGCACGATGCCTCCTTGAACATGCAGATCTGCAAAGGCCGTGGAGCAAATACCGTCACACAGATGCTAAGCAGGCACCAGAAGCAGTTGTTGACAGGGGTGCCCTCGGCGACTCGTGAGAGGGCAGAAGACGCCAACACCTGATGGCGAGCCTGCTGTTCGCTTGACACTGTACGAAGCTTACGATGGAGAAGAGCGGAGCCTGCGCGGACTTAGTAGCCGGCGCTTCGCGAGTGATGGATCATGATCGGAAGGAAAAGGGGCGGCCGAGTTGGCGCCCGTTCAGGCAGCCTTATCGCCTCTCAGGGTAGAGAGCCACACTTTTGAAGATCCCCAGGGCTGCATCAACAACTGAAATGGCTATGTGGGAATGTTCAACGGGATCGCCAGAATTTACCGCTTTGATGATGTTTCTCGAACTGGAGGCCCAGGCGACGCTCCTCGTGCGTGTGCGTTGTTCCCGGCATGACGATGCTCGTTGTTGTCAGGCGCATCGACATCCTTCCACACGTTCCTACCTTAGAGTGGGCCAAACGCCGCTCCAATGAGGCTCTCGCGCAGCGACCGCCTGTGCCAGCTCGCGAGGCGTTGCAGACGTTGGACTGGCAGCGAGTGCGAAGCCGGCGGCCCTTGAAGCGGGAGAGTGACAGCTCGAACATGTGCGTCAAGGCGCTATCGAGGGCGAGTGTGCTCTGAGGACGACCAGTGTCACAACCATGCAGGTTATTTCTGTGCCGGGGATGCAGGCTGGTCCAGTGGCTTAGCGGATGGAGGAGGGGAAAGGCCCGTCGCTATTCGCTGTGGCCGCCCTGCTGTAACTGGACCTCATCGGTCGCTCCCTCCCACACCTCGTTGTGCCTCACGCTTCAGGGGACCGCGCTTCCACACTTTCACACCTCGCCCACCCACACTCGTTTTTGGTTTGCGCGCCCACTGCAGTCACCTCTGTCGCTCGCTACCGCTCGACTCCGCAACACCACATTATAGCATCGATAACGACGATATAATATCTCCGTGCCGTATCTTCATCTCGGTGCAGCCCGTGGCCCCGTGCTCAACGACTTCCCGTCCGACCCTAGAGGCTTACTGCCACCTCTCGACAACACCTGTTCCCACGCGATTGCGCGCCAGCATCGTGCATCGCAGAGCCTACAAGCGGCCGTGACCATCTGAACTCGCTCCAGACAGACGACGCCTCGCCGTGTCGCGGCGCGCCGAGGATGGACCCTCACAACCCTAACATGCAGCACCCCTACACAACGAACGGCGATGAGCTCCCACCGCCAGACGGCGCAGCGGCAGGACCGAAGCCTGCTGGCGGCGATGTCAAGCCTCGCCTCACAAAGGACCAGCACGACATCCTTGAGCAGCATTTCCAGCAGCAGCATAAGCCCACGACCGGCGTTAAGAAGGCCTTCGCCGATCGCCTAGGGGTACCCCTCGACAAGATCAATGTCAGTCTACCAACGTGCTACGAAGACTATTTGGCTAACACTGCACAGAACTGGTTCCAGAATCGCAGAGCGAAAGTTAAACAGGATCGCAAAAAGGCCCTGAACCAGTACAACATGACGATAGGCATGGGGATGTACGCCCAGCAGGTTCCAGTTATGCCTGGACAGCACTTCGTTCCTCCACACCACCCAGAGATGTACCAGCACCACCAGCACCACCAGCAACACCAGCAACACCAACAAGTCCCACAGCATCAGCCTCACATGCCTATGCACCAGGAGTATGGCCCCGTGACTGCTGACATCAGCCCTGCCAGCTTACCCGTGCAAAGTGTGGACGGACCGTCAGCCCTAGACTTGGCCCCCCCAACCTCACTGCAACAGCCCTTCGACATGCATCAGTACAATCTACGGACGATCTCGGAGGCTGACCGCTCAACTTCTTATCCACCACAGATGATGATGCATTCGGCACTTATGGCCGCGACTGCTGGGCCCAGCTACATGCAGCAGAGCATGCCCGGCAACACCCAGGAACAGGCGTTCCCTTACAGCCAGTCCCTGTCCAGCCAATACGCCAACGGTGTTGCCTTCTCCATGCCCACAACGCTTCCCAATGAACCTGCACTGCCACAGGACACATTCAGCGGATTCCCTGACTTCGGCAATTTGGATTACAGCACTCTGGCAGCGACGCACAATGATCAATCCGGTCAAGTTGAAGCCCAGAACAGCACAGGCACGGGCTCGACAGGACAGTCACCGTACTCAGGCAATCAATCCACGGCGACTCCTCAGTCCTCTAACGGTCCCACACCTCCGGTTGCATCTATTACATCCATGTATTCTGGCTGGAAAGAAGATCCGGCTTCAGAAGCACAGCTGGAGCAGGCCAACGACAGCAATGACTTTGCGGCAACCTTCAATTTCGACCAAAACACCCCTTCTGAAAACACTGTACCCTTCTGGGACCCGAACGGTAGCGTTCCTTCATTCCCGCAGTCCAACTTCTACCAGCAACTCAATACTTCATCCCAGGCCATCCTCTCTTCTCCGGAACAGGATCTGACAAGGAAGCATAGTGCAGCCACATCAGACTTCGAGATGCCTCCGACCTTCGGCGAAGACATGTTCAGGCGTAGGAACTCTTCAACTAGCAACCTTGCAAGTAACATGGACGCAATACAAATCCGCAACGGAACACCCGACGATTTTAAGCAGCTCAATCAGACTTCCAGCATTGCCGTAAGGAGACAAAAGCGACCCGTCGCGTTGAGCTCAAGCGCGATGAGGAGCGCTTCTTACACCCCTGGTATGCCCTCCCCAGCAGGCAATCCCGATCACACCCTTAGGAGGATCCGGTCGACAGGTATACCCAATGCTGGAGGTCGTGTTCAGAAATCGCGACCAGGCTCAGCACAGCCGTCGCCCATGGTTTCCAGCTTTTCAGAAGCTGCTGCATCACCAAAGTTTGCAAGAACATTCTCATCTTCCAGCGCAACGACTTTGGGTAACAACGGAAGCCTTGCACCACCTACACCCCTCACTCCTCAAGACATGGGATTCTACTGGCAGCCGCACGGATCTGTCAGACCCCACGGTATGCCTGAGCACAGCAGTCCGGAGAGTTTAAGCACAAACTGGTCCGCTGAGCCTTTTGCCACGAGTCTGAATGTTAAAAGTGGCTCACCACCTTCGACACCACTGGACTTGCAGCGATTGAATCAGGCGCGTCTTGCCAATGAGAGCATATACCGTGACACGCCGCCGCAGTCAGCGCCTCCAACTCGACAAAGCTTCCCCCGTAACGGCTACATGCAGCCGCCACAGATGCGTACCGGCTTCCATTCGTCCACGGATCTCACCCTGGCACAGCCAAAACCCTCGCATTTCCGGAGGCCCTCGCTGCCCGACACAGCTCAGAACCCAACTGATGAGGTCAATCTTGAATACCCGTACGGTGGTAACTTTGCGTACAATGAGATGTCATTGCACGGAATCTCGCATAACGTCCCGTTCGCGCCTCCTGTCTCATCGATGCCCGAATTCTTGGTCCACCAGTACACACCCTCACAGGGCACAATCGACATGCATGGCAACACAATCCGCCGCATGGACCAGCCGAAGAGCTACATCTTTGCCAACCAAAGTGCTAGCGACTTTAAGTCGTAGACATTGATATCTATGCGCGAGCGCGATACCCCCTTCAATGCTTGCGCTCGATTCTCTTCGTTTCGCTGTTTGCAATAGCCGTCCCGTTGGATTTTCTGAGACGGTGACGTTGATCTTCGTAGCAGCGAAGCGCTGATATCGTATTTTCTTTCTCTTCACATTGTTTTCGTTCAATATCACTACTGGGTCAGCAATGCACCTTGATGTCATTGGCTACGATCCATGTTACTAATACTAATATGGTCTGTCGGTGTGTTTTTCTGTCGTACCTGGCGCAGGCGTTTTATTGCAGCGAGCAAAAACATGGGATGAACGCATGGCTTTGGCCAAATCACGAACTTTCTCAACGTCCATTGTTATAGGCTGGATCTGTCTCATAATTTCATAATGGTCTCTGGAGCAGGACATGGATCTCTTGCCCTTCATTTCTAATAGCATCGCCAGCTTACCTGGCTGAGGAGAACCGAGGGGTTTGTAGTGTAGGAGAAGCAGTGCTACGCATCTTTCGTCCCAAAGGAAAGGGTCGACGCGTACACGCAAATACAAAACGGCAATGATTGCCCAGATTACCACATCTCTCGTCCTTCTCCGAATGGCCGTGTTTCGAGTCCCCGAACATTACGCGTACTGTGCAACACAACCTCAGCCCCGTTCACGTCGCAGATTGCATGCTCGAGGAACCATTTTCCGTCCACTCATCCAGCCCGGCCTTTGCTTTTCCCTTCCCAAGCAGACTGATCGACACCCACAACGTTTGTGGCTGGCTGCCACACGGTTGTTTTCCCACCGGTCCGCATCGTACCCAACACGGCATGCAACGTGCATCTGGGCCCTGCAACAATGAAGTCGCCCAAGCCAAGTTTCTGAAAAGATGCATACACTCAAGCTGAAGTCTACCAAAAAGCCAATCGGAGCCCGTCCATAGAAGCGGTGAATCATAAAAGTAACCCGCTAGGTCTACACATTCTCCTCTCCGTTCTTTTAGCGGCAGCGGAGGTGATGTGGTGCAACTGTGTGGGTGGATGCTAATGCAGGTACGCGACGCGCGGCGCAGCGCACCGCCACAGGGCAACAAGCAATCGAGCAGGCAATTCTCCTCTTCTCTCATCCTGGCCAACATCCCAAATTTGTATCAAAGACATGTGGCTCGGACTTCAACTTTTGACATTGGGAGATGAGAGTGGATTCGCAAACGTCCGCGGAGTGACCCGCAATGCTCGTGCGCTACCATGTAAATTGGGAGTAAGAGCTCAACAATTGCAAGAGCAGCCGAGGTCGAGATGGGTAGGTTTGATGAAGCGCTATGCTAGCCCCGAGGCATCGGGACTTGTTGATGTGAGCTGGAGAGATGTCCGCAAGCCCATGCAGATCGTTGAGTGTTAGGCGGGCGGTGGTAGGTCCGGCGCCGGACCCCGTACTGAAGATGTGAGTGTGCGGCTGAAGAAGAGGATGGAAGCGGAAAGAGGTATGAAAGGAAAAAGCACGTGTGCAGTGCGCGCCGATTGGTATGCTGAAGGCGATTGTGGGAGTTTCGGGTTCACATCTGTGAGCCAAAGGCAAGCTGATGAAGATCTTACGGGTCAAACTCGTGCCAAAAGGCAAAGTTGATAGCGACAGGCTCAAGTGGCACGTGCGACTAGTGGTGTGAAGGGAGTGTTTATCACCTGTATGATCTCTCGGTGGATGCAATGTGGAGGCGGAAGTGGACACACATTCAAGAAGTCGACTGTGCATTGATGCTTGCTCGAAACCGAAGCCGACTTCCGAGGTCGTACGCTTCGTCATACGATCGCTGAGACCAGGGTGACTTTGGCCACATCACCGAATATCCTAACATACAATATCAGTTTATAATCAAGATACAAAAGAAGCGACATCAGCTTGGAAAGCTATGTTGCCGCGAGCAACAACAAACGAACATCCACTGTCTGCGAAAGCCATGAGCTAGGTGCAAGCACGTCTGAATGTTTGCAAAAGCACTTACAGTGCGTGTAAGATGACCGAGCAGATGAGATGGCCGAAGCGCATACTTGCTCTTGAACAGGGCCTCGATAGAGACGTGATCGTCATGCTCAAAGAGACTGAAGAACATGAACAGGTTGTAACTACAGAGGGCTATGTTGCTCTATCACATTGCTGGGGTTCCAGCCAGATTTGCGTCACTAACAGGAGTAACTCGGAACTTAGAAAAGCAGGTATCCCCTGGGAAATGATACCTAAGACCTTCCAAGATGCTATCCAGCTTTTCCTCCAGCTTGATATAAGATACAATTGGATCGACTCGCTACGCATCATACAAGACGACATAGAGGACTGGAACATCGAATTCGCAAAAATGGCGGACATTTACCAGCTCACTTCATTGGTACATCCCCACGTTGCGTTAGTGGTCCGCCCTGTCGGTACAAAACACAAGCGAGTCTGGATTGCAAGGCTGTCCGATGATCTCGTGAACTACTACCACATCGACTGGATGCGAAGTTCGAAAGGCAGCTGGTTTAAAATCATCTAATGCGTTAAGTTACCATGGCATGTAGAATGGGTTGAACAGCTACAGGCTCGGGAATCATCCAATCCTTCAAAGCAAAAATTATCGATCGAGGACCTATAATTAGCGATGTGATTTTCCCTTCCTCTAAAGTCATTTTGGTGAACGTAACGTCAGCGTTCTTATCATCATCATCTCCGTGAACTCAGAGCAATGTCACCCATCAACTTTTCGAAGCCGCTTAATAATTAACGCCATGTCTGACCTATTTGAGTTGCATGTATCGTGGCTCGCAAGCTCGCTGACCGCGCCTTCCGTAGATCCAGTGGCTGTGTTGTTGATGCGGTCGGCCGAGTGTACGGGAGTCAGGCTCCAACACCTGAAATGCCACAAAGTATTCTCATGGCTATGTTCGAAGTAACGACTTCGCGTGGCTTTGATAGTAGCGATGTAGATATTTAAATGGTTGAAGGTGAAGTAGCAGTCCGCACCTCACAACTCAAGCAAGGCTTTTGTAACTGCGTGAGCAGTGTCGGTTGGAGGCTGTGGTCAATGATTGTATTGCTATCTGTGTTATTGTTCGGTGGTATTCTTGTACAGAATCTCTCAGCTCAGAGGTAAGTGCGCTTGCACTCGGGCAGTGCCTTCTACCATAGGATATCATGTGACCTAATCCACGTAGTTACAGCTTTCAACTCATCCGCAAACACATCCTCACATATTTGTCCTCTCAACCGAGCACCAAGTCTTTCTCAGTTTATGACCACATAGGTATTACCAGCATCCTATTTTCGAATTTGACAATATGGGATAACGCGGATCGAAGATGCACAATGAGGAGACACGATACGCAAGAGCTTATTCGCACGGCAACTCAAGCAATCCACAACATCATCATTACGGTGCCGAGTGAAACACCGGAGAAAAGAGCAGAAAAAGAAGCGAAGTCGCATGACTAGAATCGTTGCTGCAGCGGCAGGTGCGGCTTAACAAGGTTAGAATGCTACCACAGTATGCAATTGGGAGGGTGCAAGGTGCACTATGTCTGTAGAAGATCAATCCGTTTACGAATTCCGAGTAAAAACACTAAAACCATTCACAGCCACCTACTCAGCCTTGTAGTGTCGTCACGGTCCGAGAGCAGTGAAGCCTTGACAAGCATCGGTTAGAACGAACATGCCTCACGAACGTGAAATGATTGGCGGCCTTTTCGACACCTTCAGGCCTCCCGTCGGCCACCAGCGCTCAAAGGGGCTTGATCGGCACGGCAAACGGTACAAAGAACAGCGAATCCAATCTTTGATGCTGCGGGGAGACGATGCAACCTTGATCAGAGGTCGCCGTGTGGTGGCTTAGGTTTTCACTGCCATACGCTTGCAGAGCCCTACCAACGAGGCGGAAACATTGATCGAGTCCACAAGGAAGGGCAGAAGTATTGCAGATAAATTCACATCACGCTCAAGCTTCAGCGAGTTCTAGATCAAACTTGTCGATTCCCCAAGATCATCTCTCAGAGCATTGTACCAACATGACAAGACCCTCCGAACTTTCGCACACGACCTCCAGCGCCGTTCACGCGACTACATCAGACGCGCAGAGCCACCAAGCAAATTCTCAGGATATAGTGCAACATCTCAGAGATCTTGACGAGCAAGCAAAGATCAATGACCCGGAAAGACAGGCTAGGATCGAAAAAGGCAAAAAGAGGAGGACTTATGGGTTTGGAAGGTTCGCGTGCTTTTGTTTGAGTGGTGGTAACTGAGTAGGCTGAGTGTAGATAAAGAGGGGTTGATAGCTTCGATAATCGTCACACGCAATACGAGAGTGTACCGTACAAGGAAACAGGGGCCCAGGGATGTCAAATGGACGGATGTACATGGGGACGACTGCAGCAAAGTAGGCGAGAGATCTGTAATTTCTCAGGAGTTTTGGCATTCACAGCAGTTGCATTTCGCCGTGGATGATTGAACACAGAAACACCGATTTGTGAGAACAACTTGCGTTTCCGATCAACCTCATACTGGAGCTCAGAGGCGTTGAAATCTTGCGAGAGCCCTGCGCCTCTATTTAGGAATCACCTACGGGTCTTAAGACTGTATGAGTATTGGAATAATAAAACTTGGTTGGAGACGCGAATGTATGTGCGACGACGATTTACTTGATGCAGTAGTTTTCGAAAAAGAAAACTGCAGAACTGGGCAGTTACTGCCATGCAGTTGCTTGAACTGGTGCGCTCTTTCTTCGCACTAAACACTTTGTGACCTCTTCAGGGCTCCTTGCACACTGTCAGCCAATACCGGCATGTTATCTTGATGGCCCTCGATGTCATATCGAGTCAGACGTACGCTCGTTATTTCTATCCTGCAAATAAAACAAGAAGCCGATTTGGTGTGCTGGTGTGGTCAGGAACTTGAGATGCAGCCAGTCGAGTCTTGCTCCGTTGTTCACTCTCCATTCCTTTAGCTTCCAGTCCGCTCCATGTAGGCCATGCAGGTTTTGTGAGGTATGAATCCACAAAATCGTCGGGAGATTCCTTCCATGGATAGCAGGATCATACGCCGGTTCGTCGGCGTATACAAACCCTGCTTCCGATAGGTACTGCAATGTCTTCCAAGATAAGTCTGCATCGTGCAAGAACGTAGGCAACTCTGAACCCGCCAAATTCTCGAAGCTACCGGGTATCTGTCCTTCTCCGTGAGTAATAGCTCAATCATACATCTTCTTGACAGGTATGTACTGTTGCTTCGTAATCTCCTGAATGCCATGTCTGATTAATTTCTGCCAAAAGGCAGATCCGCGCAGAATCCAACAAATCTGGTATCATGCAGGCTCATAGATGATACGATTGATCTGCGCAAGGACAGGTAACAGGTCGAAATTGTGGCTCTTGACTGCCTCCTTAGCCATGACGGAGACCGACATCCCATCCACGAGGTTAAAAGCGGTTGCCCATGTATAGAGTATGCCGGATATAAGAGATTTGACGCCTTCAGGCCATTAATGAGTTATTTCGAGTGTTCGAGTTCGAGAACTGCAGAATTCAGGCATTTCACAATTTCCGCGTGAATGCATGCATAGGGCCTCGTTCAAATCGGTTGTAGACCTTCGTTGAAGCACTAGAATTAGCGAGCAGTCATAATCGTACTCTAAGATCACAATAAGGACTTGAAATACTAGATGGTACGTCTTAACATACTCAGCAAGCTTTGTTCGGAACAAAGCAGGCGATGAATTACCGCAGATGCTGCCGACGATCTTACGTATGAGTAGCGGCTCCACCGGGTATTGGTGAGCTGGATGCGGTGCGATTGCACGGAAAATATATGATCAATCCGCTGGGGCTCCGATGTATAGGGGTTAAGGTCTGTGTGATCGAAGTCAATGCGTATTGCATTGCTGGTACGTATCGGCAAGAGGCTGCACAGGATCTTGGGAAACGTCACCTGGAATACAGAAAGTGTCCGTCTCGAACAAAACCATCAAGAAATCTGCAGGCCCTTCGGCCGTCTAGGTCGTCTTGACGAATCATCATGATAGACATCTGATACGCAAGCTATAGCGAATCAGTATGTGTCTTATCGTAGTTCAGCAATGATACTTACCTCAAGAACGGATTGCTCCCACCTGTATTTCTCATAAGTGTTGTCGTAGCGGGAAGCCAGAAATTTGTGGAAGCTAGCAATTATCTCACTTAGTGCTGTCTCCAGTTTCGGGTGTCCCGCAACCACAGTATAGGCCCTTACTATAGCCGCAGTGACAACCTGTTCTGTTTCTGAGGTTAGAGAAAAGGGGCAAAAGCAGGCGGTAATCTCGATACGATGGACTTGATAGTCAATGTCAACTGTATGCTGTATCGTCCGGCTGACTTCATACATGAGATACCGGTCTGGAGGTCAAAGTTGGGGAGCTTTTTCAGCCGTCTGTATTGTGCTTACCGTACTTCCATGTCGAAACACACGTACTCCTATGTTCTGTCTCCCAGAATATCTCGATGTAGAAAAAGTGTCGGGGATCGTGAGTGATCCGTACGCATGTGGGAAGAATTGCAGGATTGAACTGAGGTTGTATTGGGTGAAGCTACGGACAGTATGTATATGTGAGTAGCTGTAAACAACGCTGGTGTGACGTGGCAGTCACTCTCATGGCAGGTGAGGTTCGACAGGCAGGAGCACCCTGAACCGTGACAAAAAGCCACCAAAACTGCGCGACCAGAACATGGGTTTCTGTGAACGATATCTGCACCTGGGTATTGCTGCCACCCTGTTTATGCCCTGAGTAGTGGGATAGGCCACTTATAAAGTTGTATGGACTCGGCACTGTTGGGACGTGTTCATGAACAATAGCAAAGCCAGCCTCTGCTCCACATTTGCGAGTTGCAGAAAAATCTTTTGAGACTGATTCAGCAGCATTGAGGCCTCATTGTTGCTGCACCGGCCATGCGAAAGATCATTTATACCCTGCTGTATAGTGAATAAGGCTGTTCTTTGATTGTCCAGGCGTTGTTCGATTCGCGCATATGCAACGATAAGAGTGGACCTATTGGCTTCCAGCGATGGCAGGGCTCGCTCACCTATATTACTATGGTGAGCGCATTAGCATCATGTGTATGAAGTATGCTTGGGCGGAATTCTCACATATTGAGTGGTACAGCTAGCTGTACATTAGCATGCAGCCCATCTAGAGTGCCTGCAATTCTGCTGACCGTCTCTTGTCTGAACGGCCACAGCAGTCTTTTCTTCAAGATCCGCCTTCTTTCTTGGAAGGACGTTGGGATCTTTGTCTCTCCGCATTTTGACGCCATTGGTTTCAGGTCTGATAACCCGATGGTGCAATCTTCAATGGCGTTTTGAAGCTGCTTCGGCACCGCATCGCCATGGATTTCGACCTTAGGCCGAAGAGATTCAAGCACTTTCAGTGCCCAAGCTAGCCCCTCTATCCGCTTGACGACTTCGCTGATGTCATCATCGAAACTCTGGATCTGTGAGTAGTATTGACTGAGCACCTGATATGTTTGTATTCCGAGGGATGTAACACCGACCGTGGTGCCTAGTACCGATGCGGGATCCGCCATTGTCGAAGATCTTCGTGGGAAACATGAAAGACAGAAGGTGGACCTTGAGGCACAAGAGAGATGGGTTGTTCTTTCGAGTTGCGCAGCATGAATGTCGCAAGACTGAGAAGTTGGCAGCCGCGACCAATCAAGTATTCACAGAGCACTGTACCTACGTTACACAATTGTTCTAGAATTTTCGAAGATCTCTAAACTTAAACAGGTCCACGTCCAATCCAGATCAGCCTCCAATTCCTGACCGACGACATTGAAGACCTGAGGGTAGGCGCCCTTGGTGTATCCTGGGCCAAATGGACGGAATTCACCAGGAGGCGTATCAAAGTATGTTTGCGCTAAACAGCAGGAGAGATCTTGCCATTGTGGACGAACTTTTTGGATGAACGAACTGGCCGCTGAGAACGACGGACAGGGTAGACACCAATACTTCTTACGTTCGATGACGCCATGGCCACTGTTCGATATTTCCAAATTACCGTCAGACTAAAATCTGACAATCTGGCAGGCTAGTGACTGTTTCATACTACTCTACTGTGCTGTCATGATGTAGCTCGAAGATGCACGAGTTGCCATGGTGCGTCCAGTCTCCATCAGGTTCAACAGGCGCTCACACTCTCACGGAATTGCGCAGTCTCTGTGGCATAGAATAGCCTCGTGCATGCACGGATATAAGAGAGACAGTACGCTGAAGCCGAAATGCGAACTTGAGCGAGTGAAGATGGGGATGTTGGCTCCAGGTTATAGGCGGTTCGAAAAGACCAGATACACCCCGTGACCTGGACAGCGAACCAGCTCTGTGCGTAGCTCTGATCACAGGCTGCGTACAATAGCCATGAGACTATCCTTTAGCGCCCTCATCAAGGTGAATTAGCTGCAACAAGGTGTGCACGTATGCGCACAAGAGATACTATGCTAGCTCCTACATAGATCTTCTCTACGTAGCCTTTTGCATAGTCCTGTCGAATCTAGAAGTAGAAGATCATGTCTTGGTGATGTTGGAGAATGGTTGGCTCACATTGCTCTGGTCTTTTCGAGACAACTCATATGCATGACGCACTAGCGCGGTGCACGAGCCCCTGCGATTTCGCGACTCGATAAACGCGTACTGATGCGAGAACAATTGGAGGGTCAACAACACCATTCTTGATACTTTCCACGCTCAGGGACGCCATGTACAGCTTCGATGTCCATTTACGCATTGCAGACGAAAACAATGCTTAGTTCCGTATCAAACAACCCCGTACATATCCTCGGACTTACCGTGACACGCGACGAATCGAAACCGCAGTTACCCTTGAAGCGTAAGAGGGACTCTCTCAGTAGTCTTGGCCCTTACACCACGCCCTTCACGATCAGACTGTACCCGGACTCGCCATACACCAAGCCTGCCACCTTCAAGCCAATACGAGTCATCAGCCGTTCTCAGCTACCGCTTACCTTCCTCGACACCACCGCTGGCGAGCAGTTTCCGCCCAACGGCCTGTTCACGGCACATATCGACGTACTGGAAAATGATGGAGGCGATCGCGAGCAGGAGATTGCGACTCCTAAAGTGCTCATCGCACAATACGAGACAAAACGCACACTCTATGCTATGGAGCGAGTTCAAGCCCGAGTCTACAGCATTTGCAAGCTTGCCCTATGGTTGAAGGAGAAAGAGGTCGTAGAATTGTGGGACCCGGCCAATGTCTCATCGTATCCTGCGTGCTCGATACTTGGTACAGATCACAATGCTGGAGGGCCGTGGTGGCAGCATGCTGTGTTGGAGGCACAGATAGTCGAACGGCCAGTAAAGCGTGCAAGGATGTCGATGGTTCGACGGCCAGCAGAGGCAGTGCATATCAAAGCAGGACCCCAGCAGGAACTTGGCCACGTAACAACACCCTCGGTTGAATTGGAGGGTGCTATTGCGCCTGAAACTACCCAGGAGCCTACTATACAAACTCCAACCGCGTATGAGCAACTGGATTCATTGGTCCAACAGTACCTCGACGCGCTGTACACATCGAAGACATCACTAGCATACTTTGCCAAAGGACCCATCACACGAATACGCAATACTTTCACTTCGCCAGACGAAAGTGCCCCACCGACACACGAACTGGTTACATTCCTTAGGTCGATGCTGTTGAGCCCGAAAGCTGGCGAAAAGAAGTACCACGAGAAGTTGCCTGCCGTGATCAAGTCCATACCAGTAGGCATCGTTTCGGACGAAGAGGCAGTCACGAAAACCAACAAAGTCAAGAAATCCAAGAAGAAGATGAAGCTCAATCGCGACGGCGTCTACCCTTCAGAAGAACCGTTCATCAAGAAGTGGTGGAGATCTGAGATGCCTAGCGCAGAGAATGCTGGCCAAGAGACGATTGAAACAAGAATCCGGCGAAGAATCGGAGACTTGCGAGTTCGCGAGACACTTGCACAAATGATACTCATGCTTGAAATCGTTGCGCTCGAATCGCTGGCGACTTACAAGGGACCCTCGGACAATGGACCATCCGTTGGAGAGACGCAGGACAATTCACAGAACCAACCAAGGAAGCGTAAGAAGAAACTCGACGACATCGTGTTGCAGCTGGATCTTTTGCTAGACAAGTTGAGCATTTGGCACGCTACAGAGGAGGCCGGCATTCTAGACTTCGACACCAAGGCAGCCAAGCAGCAGGACAACGCTGACGGAAACGGAAACGGTGGCAGTGACCGGCTGCATGGTTTTTGCGTGGAAGTGATTGTCCCATTCTACATGAGCCGGCTTCCGGAGCAGGCACTTGCGATCAACAAGAAGCTCGGTGGACCTGCCATCGCATCGTCAAAACGTAAAGCGATGAGACCGCCCCTATCATCGAAGAATTCTGGAGACTCCAAGGAGCCAGAGACTAAGAAGTCACGTCGTTCACTGGCAAGAGTGGCCACTGATACTACTGGCAAGACAGGAGACAGGAAGACCCCGTCTCTAGCTCGCTCTGCTACGGACACTGCGCTGCTGAGACAGCAGAGCGTCAAACGAGAAACAAGTGAGGCGCCATTGTCGGCAATACCATTCCAACGCAGCCCTTCGCGAGCCAGACAATCGATGTCTCAACTTAGACATCTTCAGGGGCGTGAGATGGATCTAACGACCACCTCAGCTGCAGTCGCTGCGAAATTGAAACACAAGGCACGGGTAGAAGATGACCTCAAAGAGGCTATTGCGACCTTGAAGAAGCCGAACCGTGACCTGGCTGCTGGAAGCTACATGGCTGAAATCGAGAAGCGTGGGCTTGGCTCTGCAAACCGATCAAGGAAGCCCGCCAATCCTGTGCGAAAGGTAGTGAAGGACGTTCAGGTCACTGCAACACCTCGAGTTGGTCGAAGAACAAAGAATGTGATTGAGCAAACACCAGTCCACTATTACCAAGACCCCTTCGTCAGGTCAACCGCGACTGCAGTAGCGCCTCTGAGCGACTTCTGCATCCCGTCCTCTGGCGTCTGTCAACCATCCTCCGTCGTACCGGGTACGATTCAGCGTAGTGCAACGGCCCGAGAACTAGCGCAGCCAGGCGTTGCCGAAACACCTTCCAAAGCGCCGACCACGAAGTTGTTCACCTCAGGGGCAGCTCGTAGGACGATCTTCGTGACCCCTGTAAAAAGCTCGACTCGACTTTTCGAAGCAGATCTTCACCCAACTTCAAACATCTTCGAGACTCCTGTCAAAGCTGTAGGCAGCTCACCACACACTGATACAAACATGATGCCGCCAGTCATTGCGGCTACACCTATTAAAGCAATGTTCTTAAGTGAAGAGACTGCACCAATTGCTTTTGCGACTCCCGCAAAGCAGGCCGAAGAGCCTTCGATATACGATGCATTGGGATGGAACGATGATGACGACTTTGCATGAGAGACCGCTGTTTTGTCTTACCCTTAGCATAGCGAGCATGGAATGGAGTTTGCATTTGAACGGTGCATTGGGTGGCGCAAGGACTTGCTATATCGCAGCATGGCATCTGGGACTTGTACTACAGCTGGACTCTCGCCACAATATAATAGAAGTATGCAGCTGGCACTCAAGATATTAAGATCAAACCTACGTCTTCGATCATCGTCATAACTTGCCAAGCATGGCATAGATGTCTCAAAAGCCGCTCAGGCCTCTCAGCCTAGTATCTACCTGCTTATTTCGATGTGGCACCCATGGAAGCGCAAGGCGCCACTTGACGGCTGAGCTCTGAGCAAGCTGTCTGTACGAAATGAGCTGACGTTAGGTGTCATTTCCACGAACTGTCGCTCAACAGCTGCGGAACAATGAACTGTAGCGAACTGTAGATCTGACGACAGTGTGTGTTGATAGCTGCACAGTAGTCCAAACCTTGATGTTTGTTTACTGCAGCTTCGGTTGAGCACCAATCTAGACGGCTAGCTTACAGTTCCCACACGGAGATTTGAAGACGAGTCAGGTAGGCGTTGAGGGTGCCTTCCTAAGACAGCGGCACCTTGCACGGCACAATCCCGCGGCTATATCGAGTCGAGGCAGGCACGCATAACTATGTGCAAAATATACTGACAACTTCTCTGCACAACCAGAACCTCCCCACTGACATTTGAGGCTCTGCAGCCCGCTCTGCGCCCTCGAACGTTAGACTTTCCCAATCTTGAACGCTGCAACCTAATGCGAAAGCTGAACCCATTGGTCAATGACACAAAGATCCCCTGGCACTAGTGATTAAACTCCAGTCTGCCACGTTTTAGCAGCAAATCAACACATCAGGACAAGGTGGAGGCTTTCACAATTTGCCGGGGTTGCTGATCCTCCCGGCGCTATCATCCCCTAAAAGACGCGTACAAGAGACCGGTGGCCAGTGCAGCCGTGTTCGCAGAGCCTAATGGAGCTGAATTAATGAAAGTCGCACGCGTGTGCTTGGTGTCTCTCTTCTGCTCGAGTCCTGTCTCACTTCCAGACATTCTTTCGCGACTCAACTGCAGGGGCAGGATTGCGTTTCAAACAGCGGCCACCAGATCATGTTCAGATCCCCGGAGAGTTAATATAGCCGAACTCTCTCGAACACTCGCAACTATGGTTCTCGCAGCCAAGCAGCGCATGCCATCGAGCCAGCGCAGCCCGACCCTTTCAGATGCTGGCATGATCCTGCCGGGCTTCGAGGCTGACCAGGCTCGCAGCACGTCGCCTGTCTTCGAGCGCCCGCCTTCCGTGTCTGCTCTGTATGATGCATATCAGAGCCACAAACTAGGTTTCCCGCCCCAGAGCCGGCGCCACGCTTCGCAACAAAAGCAGTCACCTCCACTCTCAGCACAGTCCTCGCGCTCGACATTGCGCGACATGGGCGACTCAGGAGCCAATGCTAAAAGGTCGCCTCCGGGCATCGACGTGCTCGCGTCTTCGCCTACCATTGACGCCAGTGGCCTCAAGAGCTATCCCGCTGGCAGCTGGGAGGAGCAGGAGCAGCGCCGACTCAGCACTGCAAGCTCGATGCTGAGCGAGGACTTCGAGAATTGGCCTGGGTTTGACAGCCACGAGAACTTCGATGACAGTGGTGTGGACCTCGAGGAACAGGAAAAGCGCGATCGAGTACCCCGCAGCCTTACCAAAGACGGCGACGACATGGAGAACGAGCAATGGATGAACGGGCGGACGAGTGGTAGCGACGAGGACGACATAGATGACCTTCAGTCCTCGGCAGCACTAAGCAGGAGAGCTGAACTAATTCTGGCCAATGCGAAGAAGCGACTTAATGTATGCGTAATCCTTTGCAGAGTATCGATTCGACGACCGCTAACTGTGACAGGTTATGGAAGGTAACCTCAGAGGAGCTAGAGAGTCGCTGGTTGTGTCTCCTACCTACAACCCAGTGAGAAGCACGTCTGAGCTGTCACAGCACATTGTATCTACGCGAGAACGGGACCGGAGACTTTACGCTGGCATTGGACCGATTCCCCCCCGGACACCCTCATACCACCGCAACTCGCTTCTCTACTCGAACAATAACAACAGTCCGGGCCACGCACGGGGTGCGAGTGAGACATCTATACCACTGCCTTTTACGCCGTCTTACACATCGAAGATGAGTACGAGCAAGCGAGCATCGAGTGCAATGGGAGCCACAAGCGGGCCATGGTCTCCAGAGGGGTTTGGCCACGGTCGATTTCCTATCAAAGAGTCGCGCAGTCACGAGGTTATGCGCGATCCACGAAACACCTGGAATTCTACCGACTACCAGACTCCCCGAAGATCAACTTCGAGAAGCTCAAGATCACCATCTGCCCTGGAAACATTACGCGAGGATGACAACGGACACACGCTGCAGAGATCCGCTTCCGCGACCAGTGGACTTCGCGACCAAATGAATGACTTGAAGGGCAGAATATCTAGTCTCAAGCAAAGAGCGCAAGAGGACCATATGCGACGTCGAAGTCTTCAAAGTCTGCGTACGCCGAGTTCGTTTACTTCGTCTGAGGTGTGGTACCATGGGAAGGATGGCTACCAAGCTGGCGTATCGCCGGTTACTCAGAACGCAGGATTGGGTATCAAGGCCGAGTCTCCAACAAGGAAATTATTGTATGAAGACGGTGACTCGCCTACAACGACTTTCTCGCAACGACAAGGAGAAAGAATGCTTGTTTCAAGAGATCGCAGTCCGAAGGGATTGGGCATTCAGCAAGCAGGCGTCAACCCACCAAGCACGATCGACGAGGTCACAGAAAGGTCAGAATCGACGCATGGAATTGAGGATGCGGACGAAAATGACTTCGTCTCTGTGAACAGGGACGACCTAGGGCCCGGAGGCAATAGCGTGTACGAGGACGCTGTCTACGAAATGCCCGCTACCGAACGACACGAGGATCGCGTCGATGCATTTGACTACGAGCACTTCTTCCTGCACAGCGCCATGGGAACATACAGCCTCGAAGACCGCCGATCAAGCACGAGCTCCAACAGCTCCACCGCGACCACCCGACCCGTAACCGCCATGCAGACCAGCGAAGATCTCAGTAACGCAGAAAAGCGCATCTCGATGCACCAGAGAAACCCCAGTGTAGACTCCGTCTCGACCGTTGCTACCTTTGCTACAGCTGCCTCACACCAGTCTGACGACGACGATGACGAAAACGAACAAATGGACCAGTTCTCTCAGCAGATCATCTCCCATAATCAACATATTGCCGCTCAACGCCCATCTCTTGTATCCCTCCGCTCCGACTCCGCCATCAACATGCGCCGCGGCAACGGCATCTCTCCCACGCAGACCGCGATCTCTCGTGGATCGTCGCGCACCTCTTCATCTTCAGGTTCTCTGGCCAGCGGACTGCAGACGAGCAAGATCTACTCGATTCTTACGGAGAGTCAGAGCAATGAGCCGCGTTTGGTGCTGGGTGAGGAAGAGAAGCAGTTAATCTACGGTCTGGCTGCCAGCTTCCAGAGCGTCTGCGCGAACCTGCAGAACACGTATGGAGAGCAGCACGACCGCAAGGCGTGGCGCCAGCGCCTCGACGACGCACGCAGAATTCTAGCAGGAGAGGAGATCGAGGACTGGTCGTCCTTCTGAACGATGACCGACACCACGTATACATAATGTGTATTAGTACCACTGACCAGCGTTGCAGCGTTGCTTCTCTGTACGATCTAGAGACCATGATCTCACTATACGACGTCGACACCTACGTATATTCCCTACTACATTCAACGACCACCATGAGCTCCACGCCATAGTACCTATCAGCATTTACTCTAATCAGCCTCGGCTTTGTTTCTGTTTAATTTTGTATCACTTCTTTTCGACTTGGGAGCACATTTACTAGACATTGTATTGATACCCTGGAGGACGGTGGAGATGGGCGCTCCGGTGTAGGTGGGCTTGTAGTCTAGACTTAGCATATAGGTGTGACATGGCTGCCACCTACGTACTGGGGCGCCAATGTCGGCAATTGCATGTAGTCATTCAGCATCTGCGCACATTTGCCCAACACCTTGCTTCTTGGGCCTTACCGATGGAACGGCTAGAATGGGGGAGAACGTTGAGGAAGGATGTGTGGAGTGGGCCTTATATGGCACCCCTCCTCGAGGCTGCCATGAAGCCTTGAAGTCTGGTTGACACGCAGTCGTTGGCAGCTACCGGGTGTGTGGAAGCGGTGACGATTGGTTCAGGGTTCGATCACTATTCTCACCATCATCACTTCAGACTCTGGTTGACACTTTGTTGACAGCCGCCCCACCTCACATCGTCATACTCGAGCAGCCGCAGAATTGGAACTGCGTGCGTTGTCTTTGTGCTGCATTCTCGATGTCTCTCACAGCGATCGAAAGCGGCAGCCCTAATGCACGTTCGACTGAGGTGCCGCGCCGATTCTTGCCGCTGCGTGTCATTGGGCGGGCGAGGGTGGTTGCGGACTGGCGGTGAAGCTTCACACCTCCAGCCACCGTCGCCAGTTCGTAAAGGTGCGTGTGGAGGGCCAATTGGAGGATGATCTGTGGAGAATGGGACTTGTTGGCAGCTCATGGCAGATGGACTAGGCAGAGAAGAGCAGTGTTTGGTGCAGGGAGCAAACTGTTAGCAGCATGGCACTCCCGCGGCCACGCAAATAATCGTGAATTCACTCACCACACGCCAGCTTGCGGGTGTCTCATGCAATGCACTCACGGCCGCTAACTTGTTCAGACTTTTCGTGGGCGGAACCCTCTTTCCCTTAACCGCCGGCATCGCGCATCCTGTCTCCCTGCATTGAAGTGCTGCATTGTTGACATCTCACGCAGTCACGACTCGTACACTGTGACGCTGCACCCTGGCGCGCCTCCCGCCGTGTACAGTCGCCCCTCCTCACGTACCTAACTACCCCTCGATCGCTCCCCTTCACCCCTCATTTTTGGAAGTTTGCCAGCTGGTCTGGGCGTGTGTGTGTGACGAGTTGGATGAAACAGCAATTGGACGCCTCTGCCGGCTAAGAGCGCGCAGGGAGACAGCGCCGATAGCGATTGGCGTCTCGGGAAGAGAGTCGCTGGAGGGCACCTGGGCACCACACTTTCCGCCTTGTGACCACTCACGCATCGACTGCGCTTTCCTCGAATCTGACGCTTGACGGTCCTGCGCCCCTGCATCAACCTGCATCGCCCATTGTTTCCGCAGCCTCGGGGCTTCTATCGACGTTCGCTGTGTGCGCGCATCTGAGTTTGGGAGCGTGATATTGCGGCTTCGGCTGTTTAACTTGCGCCGGAACGCATCGCCAGATTAGCTTCTTGCGCGCTGCAGTGCTGGAGCATTTGCCCGTGTGTACCACCACCGCTATCCAGGCGCACGCTGTTTCGACAAGACCTGCAGACCAAGTCACACTCCGCGATACATACCCGCGAACGCACCGCCCGCCACAGCACCGCACCGCACCGCACCGCACCGCCCTCGCTCTCTGCCCACCTGCCGCCCAAGTCTTGCGGTTTCTGCGCGCGCTCATGTGCCCATCTACGCCGTGTTCCCTCTGTTTGCGCATCTCGAGATACCCGCACAATGTTGCCCACCACAGCACCTCCCGCCGCCGCCGTCGCGCAACCACCGCGGCGAAGGACCCGGCCGTCCACGAGGACTGGTTCGGTTGAAGGTCGCAGGAGCTGGACGGGGGAATCGCACTCTTCGAAAGCTTGGGAAGCAGGCAGCTGCACGTCTGCAGGCATGGCAGCATGGCCGTCTGAGAACGACGAGCCCATTGCGTGTCTGGTGGAGGATGTAGTCCATGCGCTAGAGCGGCTGGAATGCCGCAGCGCTGGACAGGACCAAGGGGCAAACAGATACGCTTTCTCGGTACGGCACGCTTCACTTGGTCGCTCTTTCCCCGGTTTTGGTTACAACTTCCCCACCGTACCAATCTGACAACCTATCATGCACCAAACGTCATGTCTACTCACTCTACGAAGCTCAACATCTAACGACTACCAGTTTCACAATCTCGCGGCCCAGCTCTCACAGCTTCTCCCTCCTACACCAGTTCCCTCTCCGAATCTCTGGATCGAGGCGTCCCTGCGCAACGATGGAACCCCACCACCTTCCTACGACGACAGCGTCGCAGACCTGCCCCCGGACTACACGTCCACGGACGCGCTAGCTACAGCGCAAACGCCTGAATACACACCGTTTCCTTCTCTCAACGCTTCTCTCTGCTCTGATGTGTCAAATTGTCTGCGTATTAGTTGCAACATGTCGCCTGCTTCTTCTTTGTTCATAGACGAGAAATCGCTGTATGTGGATATTGGCTTTGGCTTCACCGACGACGGAGTCAGATCTCATGCGAAGAAAAAGAAGGCCGCAGCGAAGAAGACCACTAATACGTCCAATGCATTTGACGAGCCACCACCAGCGGAAGAACCCCCTCCACCACCAGCTGACGATCCTCCACCTCCAGCGGACGGAGGAGGTTCAGGGAGCGGTGACGGTGGCGATGGCGGCGATGGCGATAAAGACAAAGACAAGCCCGAGGACGACTGGGCAGATGGTTGGGGAGATGCAACGACGAAGAAAAAGAAGAAGACCAAGAAGCAGGCGCAAGAGGAAGAGGCAGAGCGCTTGAAGAAAGAGGAAGAGGAAGCAGCAGCGAAGGCAGCCGAGGAGGAAGCAGAGCGCATTAAAAAGGAGGAGGAAGAGGCTGCGGCTGCTGCCGCCGCGGAAGCTGAGAAGGCCGCAGTCGCAGCTCCAGATCTCAGCTGGGCCAATGATCCGCCTGCAACTGATGATTGGGCCTTTGGTGGAACAACGTCCAAGAAGAAGAAGAAAAAGGGGAAGGTTCGTCGATTCGGCTACTTTATTAATGACATATGGCAGGGCGCTAACTAATGCAGACGGCGGAGCCATCGCCTCCACCCCCTCCCGACCCACCAGCCGCGGAAAGCTTCAGCGATGTGAACCTCGACGACGGTGCACCCACAATCAACATGAACTTCGGTGGTTCTGGAGATAAACCGGATCTACTTGGCGGAGGTGGTGGGGTTGGTGGGTGGTCAACTGGTTGGGGCACGTCTAAGGGATCTTCAGGGTGGGGCTTCGATTCGACATCGAAAGACGCGTCGAACGACAACCCTTGGGACTCGACAGACAAGAAGAAGGAAGGCAATGGCTTCGACTTCGATTTCGACGCGTTCAAGAGTCCAACGGAAGCTGCACCGGCACCTGAACCCGTAGCGGAGGACGATACCTGGGGCTTTGGTACAACTAAGTCCAAGAAAAAGAAGAAAGGCAGCGCTGCTCTGCTCGAAGAGTCAATTCCAGAATCACTACCAGAGCCAGTCCCCGAACCTCCAAAAGCTCAAGATGACTGGGGAAGTTTCACGTTCGGTGAAAAGAAGAAGAAAAAGAAGAAGGGAGCTGTCGAAGAGGAAGCACCTCCTCTAGGCCCCGAAACAGTTGTCGAGCCAGACCCCGAACCAGTCGTCGAGCCAGAACCCGAACCTGCCCCAGAACCAGAACCGGAGCCAGTTCCTGAAGTTCCAGCTGTCGATCCGTTTGCCGGCCTCAGCAAGTCGCAGAAGAAAAAGCTTGAAAAGAAGATGAAAGAAGAAGCTGCGGCCAAAGAAAAGGAAGAGGCTGAGCGCAAAAAGCTTGAAGAAGAGGAAGCTGAACTTAAGCGGATGGAGGAAGAAGAGGCCGAAGCCAAACGACTTGAAGAGGAAGAGGCTGAGCGCCAACGCGTTGAGGCAGAGGAAGCTGCTGCTGCTGCTGCTGAAGCTGAGGCCGCTGCCGCTGCTGAAGCTGAGAAAAAGAAGGCCGAGTCTGCTCTGGACGATTGGGGTGCTGTCGCTACTACATCTTCTAAGAAAAAGAAGAAAAAGAAGGGCGCTGTTGAAGAGGAAGCTCCTCCTCCACCCCCGCCACCGCCTGAACCTGTACCTGAACCAGAGCCTGAACCGGTTGTCGTTGTCGAACCTTCACCCGTCAAAGAGGAAGAGGACCCCTGGGGCGGCGGCTGGGGTGCAGCTGTTGGCACCAGCAAGAAAGAAAAGAAGAAGAAGAAGAAAGGAGCCGTTGAGGAAGAGCCTCCACCACCGCCGCCGCCACCACCTCCACCAGAGCCTGAAGTCGTAGCGGACCCCATTGAGGTTGTCTCACCGCCTGCTGAAGATGACGGATGGGGCGACGATTGGGGCATGCCGCCGACAACAAAGAAAAAGAAAGGTAAGAAGGGTGCCATCGTCGAAGTCCCTGTACCTGAGCCTGTTGTTGTACTCCCTGCCGAGGAAGCTGTTGCAGAACCAGAGCCTGAACCAGTCGTTGTTTTTGAAGAGAAAAAAGAGAAGAAGAAAGAGAAAGAGAGTAGCAGTGACTGGGGCTTCAGCTCAATCTGGGGCGGTAGCAAAAAGGACAAGAAGAAGACGAGCAGCAAAACCCCCGAGCCAGAACCAGAGCCAGAGCCAGTCGTCGTTGTGGTCCCTGACGTTCAGGAGCCTGTCGCAGTAGAAGAGCCTCTTTTCGATGACGATGATGACTGGGGTGCGCCATCATGGAGCAAGGGCAAGAGAAGCTCGAAGGCCGATGTGCCGGTTGAAGTTGTCGAAGAGTCGACAGATCCTGTGCAGAAACCGGACGAGGACGATCCATGGGGCAGCGCAGCTTTCAACATTGGCAAGAAAGCCAAGAAGGGCAAGAAGGGCGTTCTTGGAGCACCCACACCTCCAGAACCTGAGCTTCCACCCCCTCTCGAGATTGAAGCACCTCCCGCAGTCGTCGAAGAGAATGATCCGTGGGACTTCGGCACTACTTCATCCAAGAAAAAGAAGAAGAAAGGTGAGTCTGCTAACGAGCTTACCAAGGCGACTTCGAGGGACTCTGCGACCAAGTCCGCCACCGAAGACCTGCTCGGGCTCGATGACCCACCTCCAGAGGTTATAGAGGAAGCGCCCGTCGAGGACAAGAAAGAGAAAAAAGACAAAAAGAAAGAATCGAAGTCCACGAGCATGTGGGGCGCTTTCGCGTCATCCTCGTCCAAGAAAGAGAGCTCTTCCGATAAGAAAAAGCGAGAAAAGAAAGAAGCTAAGGAGGCTGAAGAGGCCGCAGAGAAGGCGCGTCTCGAACAAGAGGAGGCTGACCGTCTTGCCGCTGAAGCTGCTGAGGCTGAAACTGCTGAGATTGAAGCTGCTAAGGTTGAAGCTGCTAAGGTTGAAGCTGCTGAGGCTGAAGCTGCTGAGGCTGAAGCTGCTGAGGCTGAAGCTGCTGCTGCCGAGCAAGCTCGTGTTGAAGCTGAAGAAGCTGAGCTCGCCCGCATTGCGACCGAAGAGGAAGAGCGGAGGAAAAAAGAGGAAGAGGAGGCAGCAAAGAGCTCGGGCTGGGGCAGCAGTATCTGGGGTTCCTCGAAGAAGAAAGAGACTACGAAGGAGCGCAAGGCCCGGGAGAAGAAGGAAGAGCAAGAGCGGCTGGAACGAGAGGCTAAAGAGGCTGAGGAAGCGGCAGAGAAGGCAAGGCTCGAGCAGGAAGAGGCTGATCGTGTTGCAAACGAAGAAAAGGAGAAGCTTCAGAGTGAAGCCAAAGAAGCAGCGGAAGCAGCACTGGCAGCTGACGAAGCTCGACTCGACGCCGAAGATGCTGCACGAATGCTCCGAGAAGACTTCGAGGCGACATCCGGTCCACCATCCAAGAAGGAGAGTACGAAGGCTAAGAGAGAGCGCGAGACCAAAGAGAAAAAAGTGAAGAAGCAGATCGAAAAGTTGGAACAGGATGCTGCTGACGCTGCAGATGCCGCCACGAAAGCTCAAGAGAATGCTGACAACCTCGAGGCTGAGTGCGTCGTGGCCGGAATTGACACTGCGTTCTTGATGGAGTTCAAGAGGAAGCCTGAACCTGTCGCTGAAGAGGCACCACCACCGCCACCTGAGGAGGAGGCACTACCACCGCCACCTGAGGAAGAGGCGCCACTTGCTGACGGGCCTGCACCTGCGCCAAATGCCGATGACGACCTTTGGAACTCCGTCAAGGACATCCCCGAGGATGAGCTTCTTGCCGAGCTTGGTGAGACCAAGACCACATTGCCAACGAAAAAGGATGACGGTGGTGGATGGGGAAGCGCGTGGGGCATCTCACTGCGTAAGACGAAGAGAGAACCTGAACCTGAGGTCATTCCAAAACCAGAACCAATCGCTGAACCTGAACCAGAACCTGTGGCCGAACCAGAACCGGAGCCCGTCGTGGTCGTTGAGGAGCCTGTGTTGTCCGCTAAAGAGTTGAAGAAGCTGGAAAAGGCAAAGAAAAAGAAAGGCAAGCTTGTCGAACCTGAACCTGAACCTGAACCTGAACCCGTGGTTGTCCCTAAATCTGTTCCTGAGCCCGTTGTCGAACCGGAACCGGAACCTGTCTTTGAAGATGCTCCTGAACCTCCACTACCTCCGCCAGTTGAGATAATCGAGGCTACACCCAAGAAGGACAAGAAGAGCAAGAAGTCCAAAAAGTCGAAATATGAGGATGAGATCGTCGCCATCGAAGAGCCTATTGCTGTACCTCCACCTGCGGCCAGAAGGTCACCCATTCCAGGCGGCTTCCCAATGGATGATGATATGCTGATCGATCTTGGCAGCTCTGAACCACCTCCACCACCGCCGCCGCCGCCAGCTGAACTGGAACCTGAGGTCTTCCCTGAGATGATTCCCGAACCTGAGCCGGTTGTCGTGGAAGAACCAGTTGTGGTCCCTGACAAGAAATCGAAGAAGTTGAAGAAAAGCAGCAAATCCTCGAAGTCAACGCCGGTGGTCGAAGCACCACCGCCTCCACCGCCACCGCCGGCGGCTGCTGAGCCTGATGAGTTCGTGGATGCTGAAGCGGAACCAGCAGAGGTTGTGATCCTGGACAGTGCACCTGTCGATCGTGAGGTAGTGCTGGACGATGATCTGCTAGATGCTGAAGATGCTCCAGCTAAGCTTCCCACGCCACCTCCTGAGAATGATCCGGAGCCGGTCATCATGGAGTCACCAAAGAAAGAGCGTGCAAAGGTCGTTCGCAGCGGCACATCTGGTTCATGGGGAATGTGGGGTGCAGCACCACCGTCTAAGTCAAGAGGAAGCAGGAAGAAGTCCCGTGATGACAGTGCAAGTAGCGCTGCTAAGCCGAGCATGAGTCGCTCGAAGTCTGCGCGCACTTCATCGACCAGGGATCGAGATGTCATGTCCAAGTCGTCTGGTTCTGACAAGATGTCAAAGACGCCATCTGCCACGCGAAGCAAACCTCAACGCGCGTCCACAGGACTCGGCCAGCTGTTCGGTGCCTCGGCCTTTAGCACTGCACCAGCACATCCAACAGTGTCTCGCTCTAAGTCACATCGAACGTCTGCGACTCCCAAGATGCTCTCTCGCCGAAACTCGATAGACCGCGACGCTGCAATGATGTCGCCGCCGCAAACCGACACCGACATGAAGTACTCGTCGAAGGCTGACAAAGTATTGGGCAGGGAGAAACCATCTCGACGGTCAAGCACCAGAGACAAGGGCAAGTCCAGAGGTAAGCATTTCACTAGCAGGTTTGGGCGCCGTTGGTCGGCCCGCCGTAAGCAACGGTTGGACGGAACTAACCGAGAGCTCAGCTGTGCCCGACCCGTACCCTCTTGAGGACGACCTCGTGATACTCGACGACTCTCCCACACCTGTGCAAGAACGGCCAGAAACAAAGCGTCGCAAGTCGAAGCGCGGCTCTGTGCAGCCCGAGGAACCCATCACAGCGCCGCCTAGCGCCGACGACCCTGTCATTGTGGATCCCATGGATGTGGAGCCCGCCCCAGTTGAGGCTGAGCGCAAGCCCCGCCGCGAACGCGAACGCGAACACTCCCGACGCGAACGAGCACCGTCCATGGCGAAGGACGCGCTGCCCACGCTGGCTGGCGTCGCCGGCACTGCTGCCGCCGTCAGCGGCCTGAAGAGCATGTTCGCCTTCGGCCGCAAGAAGAGCGCGCCGACGCCTGACGAGGACCCGCGCGACCGTCGCAGGGCCTACGAGACCGAAGATGAGCGCAGACGGCGCAAGCGGTCCACGATGCGCGGTGACGTTGACGACGACGAGGCTAAGCGCCTGCGACATGAGCGCCGCAGCGTCCGCCGGGAGCGCGATGAGGCTGACTACATGGCCTCGGGCGCAAATGGCAACGGCAGCACCGAGTACGACGCTGAGCGCGAGGCACGACGAGCTGAGCGCAGAGCCCGCCGAGAGCGAGATGGCGACAAAGGCTCTCGCCGGCCTGAGCTGGAGGAGGTCGATGCCAAGGCCGAACGACGCCGCGAGCGAGAGCGCGAGAACGAGGCAGCCATCCTCGCGCAGAAGAAGGCGCGCCAGATGGCCGAGCTCGAGCGACGCAACAAACAGGCCGAAGAGGAACTGCGACGCATGGCCGAGAAGGAGGAACGCAAACGCATACGCGCCGAGCGCAAGATGAGCACCGACGACCGCGAGCACCGCTCCTCCCGCCGCAAGGACAGCCAGCGCGAGCCCTCCCGCCCGCGCAATGAGCGCCGCCGCTCGCACCAAGCCGAGACCGAAGAGGAGCGTCGTCGCCGCCACGAAGAGCGCCGCGCCGCCCGCCGCGCCTCCGAGTACCCAGCACCGCCCGTCAACGGCACCGGCGAGCCCATCACCGACTACTTCGACGCTCGCAACGCCGACGCCGGCGACTCGGGCCACCGCTCGAAACACCGCAGTTCACGCCGCGGCGCCGACGACGAACAGCACCAGCCGTACCTGAACAAGGGCCCCGACAAGACGTCCTCGTGGGTCCAGTCCCTCTCCGACGACAACCCGCTGCCTCCCCCCATCGCAGAGACGATCCTCGATCCCCCGCCTGGTAGCCGCGATGCCCCCGGGCTAGATGACGAGGAGACGCCGAGCCAAGATGAGGATATCCGGCTGCGCATCGCCGGGCGCAGGGGTCCTAAGCGCGATCAAGAGCGGGCTGAACGACATGCTGAGCGGAACCGCGAGCGTGATCGTGAGCGCGATAGGAAACAGCATCGCAGACGGTCTTACCATGAAGAGGACGAGGAGCCGCGGAGTAGCAAGAGAGATGGTAGGAGGAAGACGTATGATCAGTATAATGAGCAGCCGGTGCGGACGTGGGATGGGAGGCCCGAGGGCGAGACGCCGAGGGGTGTCAAGAGGGGGAGTTGGTTGAAGAAGATCGCTGGGTTGGGTTGAGGGTCAGGCCGTCAGGGTTGCCCTTGGCTGTTGTTTGATTAGCTGATTGCATCGCGCGGCGTTTTTGCTTGTTTGTTTGTTTGTTTGTTTGATTTGTCTGTTCTTGCATACCACTCAAGCGGCACGGCACTGGCACTGGCACTGGCACTGGCACTGGCATTGGCATTGGCATTGGCATTGCGTGGGCTGGAACTTTGTGGTAAGAGTGGGTGGTGCTGCTGGTCTATCCTTGTCTGTCAAGTTTGTAGCGATGAAGCGTTTCGCAACTTACGACTTCTACGATCTGGCGGATTGCGATACATAGGATCGAGATAGATACCCCTTTCGTTTGCTTGACGTTTTGGAGCGAGCTTTACATCTCTTGTGTGCTGAAGTGATGTCGTGACTCTGACATGTTGGGCATCGTTGCGTCGACTCGTGTGCGCTTGCTGTTGGTTGCCTCATCTACTTAGTACATGCTCATCCATTTCCGGCCGCGTGATGTTGATCTATCCGCTGCCACATGCACGCACGCGCTCCCATACATAGTGCGCACTCTGGAGCTTATTCATGGCGTGTTGATGATGCGTTGTGGTATTATTCAGAGCTGCCCAACCCAGCCATTACGCCTATCGCCTTCCCAATGCTGGATGCTGTCCCGCCCTCCGATTCCGTGATATCTCATAGCGTCAAATCCACGCTCAACTCCTACTGCTGCTGCGGTGCGACCGCGCCCTGAAAACCCTCGCCGCCCTCCATTTCCTCATCTTCCTCGTCGTCCTCCTCTAGCTCCTCGTCCTCCTCTTCGAACCCCGTCTCGATCTTCAGCCCTTTCAGGCGGTCTTTCATCGCGTCTCTCTGGTCGCCTTGCCATCTCGACAATGCTGCGGCTGCGTGTACTTTGAAGCCGAATACTCGTGGCTCGTATCGTCGTTGCGATTTGGGTGGGAGCATCGCGGGGTATACTTGGAAGAGGATGTTGTGGAAGGATGTGCCGAAGTAAGCGCCGTCGATAACGGCGTGTCGTGAGGATTTGGGATTGTAGAGGTCTTCGCAGCGGGAGCAGTAGAGCTTGACGGGCGAGGTGTTGGCTACGTCGGACTGGCCCATGGGCAGGAGAGGTTGTGATTCGCACATGACGCGCGGGCATTTCCCAAAGTCTGACTTCTTGAACTTCTCGAGCTGTGTCTCCTGTCAGCATATTTCCGGCTTGTCCAGCCAAGCTCCATACCATCTTTGCCAGCCCTCTCGTTGTCACAATGTATCGTGCGTGTACTAAGCCGTATAGGTGTCGCGCCGACTTCTCAATCTGTTCCCGCATCTCATCGTCGCAGTCGAAGTCAAAGACATCTGTTACGAGGTCGAGGGCATATTGGTAGTATTGAACCTCTGTGTTTAGCCCAGTAAGATTGAACCGGTCGGTAAGGTACTCTTCGTCGATCTCACAGAAGTACTCGTTTCCCCGTGATGATATGAACTGGCTGTATGTTAGCCTCGTCTCTTCCATGGACATGTTTGGGCAGTGCTGGACGTCTGTGGGCCTCTTAGGTTCAGGCCAGTGCTCTGCGTGGTAGAAGTGAACAGCTGCCGAATCAAAGGTACGTAGTATGGCTGGAGGTGAGACAATCGAGTGGGTGTGGGCATTATTTGGGTGGAAATGTTTGCTGCCGGTGCTGGTGCTGTGCCAAAGGGTGCTCTAGCGGGGAGCAGGCTGCACGTACCCGGCGTTCTTGGGGTCGCAACGTGAGAAATACTCGCGTGTGATCACATCGAAGGGCCAGTGGGATTGCAAACAATGACAGCCACAGGTGCACCGGGGTGTGAAAGCAAGGTACCTACCCAGTCGCGCCAGTAACTTGTGTAGTCGCTGTCTGTGTCACTGTTGAAGTCGTCCATGCTGCGCTGAGGCGCCGTGTGCAGCGAGTGAGAATATGCAGGTGTGGTGGTGAGCGAGGCGACGGTGAAGGAGGGATTTGGCTGTTCCTGGTTGTCTACACCGGCCTGGGCCGCGGTTGCTGTGAATTGACGATGAGGTCTCAGGTGCGACTGCCATGCGCGGGGTCTTGCAGCGGCAGCCTGACGTTCGCTTGTCCGCTACAAGCTAACCTCAAACAGTCACTAGCTTGGTCTCCTTCGTCCAGAACGCTCGTTGCTCTTGACTTTTCATGCCTTCGATGCTCTTTGTAGCTCTTTGAGACGCAACTCGCGAAACTCGACGTGACATCCTCGTCATGTTGCTCAAAGTACATCGTAGTGCCTGCCATCATGCCGTGAGGGCAGTTTACAACGTCAATGGCTTCGCTACTGCATCCTTGGCCGATATTGCCGTTACAGCACTCTCGTACATGGGTTTGAGAAACGGCAGACATCAAACAAACATGATTTAGTCAGCTGATGTCGTTTCCTCACACGTCGGAAAACGACTTCACGAGTACACGCCATTCTCCCGAGCGTCCGAGTGGCAGACCAGCTCTCACAGCGATTCATCCAACGTCATTTAGCATCCTGCATGGCGTTTTCAACATTTGACCACACAAACTCCATCAACATTTCCCGCACTAGCAACCACACCCGGAGCAAGTCATCGCCAGCGGGCTCGCTCTGGCCCATGTTCTCCGGATGACGACCCGCAACGTCAGCTTCCTGACTTTGTATGTCTCCGCGCTGTTGGTACCGTAGCTGGTACCTGCATTCGACATGTTCGAGACGGGTTGACTCCTCAAAGCCGATCGTGCTTGCAAACGCAATCATCGTTACTCAGATCAAGGCCGTCGCTGAAGCAACCAGCAACATGACCTTGAAATTTCCAGCATCTATGCTGGGCACGTGACCAGATCGATAGTTCTCGGTCTGCTTGCCTGGAGAACCTCAAGCGGCGATGCGATTCGTTGTGCCATGTTCTTGCTGTGACCCTGCAACCCTTCCAAATCCCAACTCTAACGACACTAACAAGTAGCTCGATCTACCTGCAGCAATACGCGGGTCTATTGCAATCGTGCAGCTCCGCTCAAGACGACAACCCCGGGTCGTTCGCGTCATCTAGGATCTAGCCGGCGGTGACCTGGAGACATTGAGTGGGCCCGGGGTTTTGGCCATATACAGCGGCATGGGAGGTCTGCGACCCTCGATCGTGCCATTCCGCTCCCGCTCCCGTACCATGGACGAAGACCTGAGCGATGCCCTTACGGACGGGTAGACGCGCTGAGCTCATGGCCGAGCGTCTATTCTCAGTCGACCACCTGAACGTCATCCTCAAGGACAATGCCCAGCTCCAGCGATTCACCACGTTCCTTATGCGATATCGCGCACATTGCGTCCCAACCTGGTGCGGTACCTGGACTCGCAGAAGGCTCTCAAGGCGATACAGTATGCCAATGCGCTGGCAGACCAAATAACACAACAACCGAGCTGGCCAACAAAAGCTAGTGCTGCTTCTCTGGATCCAAGGTTCGAGCAACTGTCTCAGCGCGCCCTGGAGGATCTAGTCGCCGAGGCTTTACCTACATATATAACCTTCAACGTGGTGGATGTTGTCACGGAATTGCTCAATAAGGAGATTGTTGGGGGGAAATACACCAGTTATGCGTGAGCTTGTACACGGTCTGGCCGAAGTTTACTGCCTGAGCGATGCTACACAAGCGGGTAATCCGATCGTGTTTGCATCAGAAGGTAAGCACGATTGCGATATCACGCCTGCTCGTTGATGAATGCGACTGATCGTGTTCCCCACAGTTCTACAACACTACTCAACATGGAAGTGGATATGCGATCGGAAAAGCTTGTCGCTTTCTTCAGGGGCCGGAGACCGACAAGCGTGCCATTGCAAGGATGGACAAGGCTTTTCAGGAGCAAAAAGAGGTCGCTGAGACTATGGTGCAGTAGTGAGTACCGAAGGATTGATTCTTGGCCTTGAGGCTGACAGCACACAGTCGGCAAGATGGCACTCCTTTCTAGCACTCGTACGGTTGCCTATCTCCAACACCTGTCCAGCGCTAACACACCCAGGTCCGTTCAAGGACAACAAAGGAGCTGTCCGCTACTTCATCGGCGCTCGAATTGACGTAACGCAACTGATCGAAGGGGGCAAGACGATCGACTCTTTCCATCAGCTGTTCTCCGGAGATCGCCCTGTACACCCATCGTGGATCCACTTGATAACCGACCAACATTAAAGGCACTACAAGATTTTGTTGATCTCTTGAACGATGAAGAGAAGGGATCCATGAGAGACAGTGAGACAATGCGCATCGACTCTCGACCGAATACCCCAAGAATACCACACAGTCTTACACAAAGACGCTTCGTAGGCATAGAAGAGTGCATATCTCAAGACGGTCTCCGCTCCCACTACTCCGGCCAAGTCCCGGGAGTATACCAAAACGTGCGTCCTTCCCCCTCCACCCCCTCACACAACTGACAGCTTCAGTACATCCTCGTCCACCCCTATCCCTCACTGCGCATGATATTTACCTCCCCCTCCCTCCGCATACCTGGGCTCTGCCAATCCAAACTTGAAGACCACATCGGTGGCCCCGAACACGTGCGCGCATCGCGCGTCGAAGCACTCGCCCAAGGTATCGGCGTCACGGCCAAAGTCTCCTGGCTAACGCGCGTATCGCGACCTAGCACACACACACAACTCAAAGTTCCCACGAATGACAATAGACCCAGCATCGCCACAAGCGACATGGAGATCGTCGAGGGCAAGGCACGGTGGATACACTGCACGCCGCTGACGGGCTCGGACGGGAAAGTCGGCGTGATCATGATTATCGTGGTGGATAAACAGGAGGCGACGCACCCGCATAGTCTGCCGAATCTTAGCAGCATGCCCAGTATGTGGCCTACTGGCACCGGACTCGTTGGCCCCGTCCTCCCTCGCGCGTGTGCGAAGACCCACAACAGTTTCCGTTCGCTGGACCACACGCCTGAGCGATGGCAGCCTCGCTCCAGTCCTTCGAGCGTCGCGACGGCTGGGACGTCGCCGCTTAGAGGCAGCACTGTTCATAATCTGCCGCCGAGGTCGATGGGTGGGAGTAGGCTGTATGCGGATTACATAAAGGAGATCAGGGAGGCGCAGAAGAGGGTTGATTCGTTTAGTACTCGATTAAGGGATCATCAGGACCAGACGGCTGGGTTGGGATTGATGGCTACGGCGGTGAGTGTTAAGGCTGTGAATGGGAGGGGGAAGACTAAGAAGGTTGGGAACACGTTTTGATGTTTGGGTTTGTTGGAGGGGTTTTTGGAACTAAGGGGAAGGATAGGTTGTACGATACGATGATAATGATGACGGCTTACATAAGTGCGACTGATCAAATATACGATTAACGTCTATCTGGGGTTCTACACTGTCATGGAAGGAATGTGTTTGTCGTGTCATAGCTAGTTCTGAATACATGAACGATGGTTTGGTTTGACAAATAGTTGTGAAGCTCTAACACATGCATACTTTGACCAAGGTTCAATGTGTAGTGAGCGATCAATTTATCTCAAGCAGTCGTAACAAGGGCATCCTGTCCTTGGTTTGAAGTGATGATGTGTGTGTCTGCACCTCACATCTGGGTGATGCTTTTGATTGCTTAGCATTCGTTGTTCCGGTGCACAATACTCTTACCAGCCTTGTTATATAAGAAGTCGGCCATGGTCTGCAATTCCCCGGTTTTACGGCGTCAGACAAGACAAAGTTACGCAAGTTCTGGGCAATTGAACGTGGAGAAGACCTAAAGAGAGATCTGAATGTAAGGAACCGCGAAAGTCCGTGCATGGCCAAGACGAGTAATCGTAGCTTCCGCCCCTGTACAATATGAGAGCTTGGTCACTGGAGAGAAATACTTCGATCTTGCGATACTCAATAGCAGATTGGCAAGATGTATGATGCCTTCCGTGCTATGCGTCCAAACGAGTACCCTTGAGCAGCCTGACTAGGGTCAAGCAAGCAAACTGAAGTAACGTCCGTTGTGCTTGGTAAGAAAAGGTCAAAGACTCTTGAGGCGTCAAGTGAGTCTTCGTCGCGCCACGAGGCGTACGATTCGTATCGGAAGAGTGGGATCTGTGGTCTGGTATGAGACACCGCCGACATGTACGTCGGCTACACAGCGGAAGCGTGACTGAATGCGACGTGGGCGTACGGGAATTCGTAGGCATCTGAAGCGGTCATCATGCGGCAATGGCCTTGACGTGGGCTTCTACGAAGAAATCAGTGAGTGCAGTGTTGTTGAGGTCCTTCGCGCTGGCAAACTTGCCGCCCAATGCACCGCGCTCTTCGAACATACCATCTTCACGTCACTGGTGGACCATCGATATCCGTCTTGCCTGACCCTTCTGCGACTTGAAGGGTAAATCCTAGAAGCAAATGTGGTATCACCTCAAAGTTTTGACCCCTCACCCAAGCGCGCGTTCTGCTCACCGCTCCTGATGTTCAAGAATTGCACGACTGCGTTGCACAGCATGGCCAAGCGGTTGCAAGGGCGTAAGCACAACGTCTGAATTTCCACTCCGCGCAGCTAAGGCGGACAACGAAATAAGCGTGGTGGAAATTGTCTCGATAGACTGAGGGTCGTGTATGTAGGCTGCAGGGCGCCGTGTGTATACAAAGGCCAGGACCAGGACAAGGACCAGGATGTGGACCAGGATGCCACGAGAACATCCAGATATCTGGAAGAGGGTCCTTGAAGTGCTACGGTAACAGAAGAATCGAAGTCGACAGCCGGTCCGAGAGCCGGTCCCGTACGATGAGTGGTGGGCGAAGTTGCGAGCTTTGAATGATAGACTGTGTCGTGCCTTTCGTGGGTAAGCACGAAGAAGCAACGCGAACGCGACGTTGAGATCCTCGCCAAGAGCTAATGCATGCATCAGTATCTCGACTTCGTAAGGGCCGGCCGTTGAAGAAGATCACTCGACCGCTCACCCATGTGTGTATCTGCCAGGCACACCGTATTCACCAAATCGCCGACCATGGCTCACCGTTTACTGTCGGCTCTCGTCTTGATAGATGCAGCCTTCAACATCCAGCGCAATCAATAACAGACCTGGTCGCAATAAATGGGGCTCGCAATTGTGCGCATATATCGAACTACCGGGCGGCAGCCGTGCAACAGGCACAAGAATAGCATGACGGATAACGGGCGCAGGTTCGCGTTGCGAATCTATTCTGCTCGCCTTGTCGGTCGCATCAGATCTTGCAGGTCTGGCCGTTGGTTGATAGGTTTGCTGATTTGCATGAAGGTGTGGTTGTGCAGCATACGCGTGGTGCAGGGGAATGTGAAGTTGAAAGGTTTGTCGCTGCAGGTTCAAGGCAGTTGCTGTGCCGTCATTGGTAAGAACGTCGCACGAAGAAGCAATATCGAGTTGATGAGATGGCGCCGAAAGCAAGAGCAATAAGGAGTCTTACTATTTGCAAATTCATTTTGCGACGGCCTCATGCATACAACGTCCATTCTTGCTTCTCCGGCTGACCTCGCCAATCGACATCTCTTTGCTTCTTATACCAGAGCTTGACAAAAAGCAAACAATTCTTCCGAAGCTTGTGTCCGTGACCTGGACCTTTGGTAATTCTGCGACTGAGCAATGAGTTCGATGCTGACTGCATGGGAAAGCTTCTTCATGATAATGCGGCTTTCACTTTAAGCATGGTGTCGGCTCTACACGGCCGAACCTCAGAGTCCAGGCTCATGCTTGATGCCTGTTCGAGGTCGCCGCAGACCTCAGGCTGTTCGGCGCGTCAGATAGACGAAATGATTTACGAACAGGTACCTGATAACGACGAGTAAGTTGCCTGCTGTGCGTTTGCGGAGTCAATTGAAAGACAAGGAACTGAGAAAATGGGTTGTAATGGTGAGGAGGGCTACATGTATACTTACTCACGGGTTCACCGGACGGGAAGGCACGGCACGAATGGGGCTAGAGAAGCTAGAGCTTCGTGTTCAGCCTCGAGTCAGGAAGAAGGTTTGATGAACAGCCACAGTGTTGATCTCCAACACTCGAGGCTTGGAGATAGATGACCATTGCCAGAACACGTGCCATTGCGGTTGATGGCGTATATGTCATTCAGGCTGGACTTCGTTAGAACTGCAATACCGTCATGTCTTGACCATATATTCGATGTTGATGGAAGGCTTGCACTGGATGCCTAGAAAACATGGGCAGAGGGTACCTTGTCTTAAAGGTTGATCTTAGTGGCCGTGATGTTTCAGCTTCGTGATAGTGGTGAAGCCGCCGCCAGCGGAAAGCGCAGTCGCTTAAGCTGGGAAGAACTTCACGGAAGGCATCGATGCCGAACCTGAAGGTTAAGTCACCCTTGCCAGCAATGTGTTCAACAGGGAACTTGGTGGTAAACAGCAGGTATCAGCGCTTACAGGTGAGATATGCAGTTGCTTTGAGATGATTATGTATGACCCCGCTATTTGTTGTTTGAAGATGTATCGATATGTACAGTAGACGAGTAACATCCTTGCTGTGAAGCTCAGAGCTTCCGCAATACCTTCTCGAGTCTTGGATCCGTAGGGTCATTTGGCTTGATGGTCATTGTGTGCATTTCCCGGTTGGAGCTTTTAGATCCGATCCTCTCGTGGTGCCAGGATGAGGCGCCGCTTCTGACCGAAGAGCCGTCATTTTTGCGACCGCCATTGAAACGGTCTGCAAGGTCCTTTCCAGCCTTGAAGAACCAAGGGCCTCCGCCACGTGGTTTGACTGAGCGGTTTGGTTAGTTTCATAGCTATCATGTATGATCACGGGGACTTACAGGACCAGTACTCGCGAGCATCTGCATCGTCAGGGACAATGCAGCCACCAGAGATTAGCTCAGTGAGATAAGCCATGCCATTGAGTGCAGTATAGGTCATAAGACCAGCAATCAGACCGTAAGCTGCACTGTAGCTGAACGGAATGAACATGAGAGTAACGAAAGCGGGAATGGCATCTCCAATATATCGCCAGTTGATGTTTGCGACTTGACGCATCATCAAGCACCCAACCTATGGTTATGTCAATATATGTAAAGCAGACGATAAAGAGAACTCACAATAACGAGTGTGCTCCCTGTTGCCCACGGGGGAATAGATGCGAAGATAGGAGCAAAGAACATAGAAACAATGAAGCAAAGACCGGTCGTAATCGCAGTCAAGCCGGTCTTGCCACCCTCTGCAATACCAGCTCCAGACTCAATGTAGGCTGTGACCGGGGAGACACCCAGAAGAGCGCCAACAGAAATACAGAAAGCATCTGTACAATAGGCCAGTGTTGACCGAGGAAAGTCGCCATCCTCTGGGTCCACTGCGCCACAAAACCGAGCCAGTGCGTATAATGTAGCCGTACAGTCAATGATATCCACGTAAAGAAATGTGAAAAGAGCGAGGACGAATTGAGAGGTATGTTGCCCAACATTCCAGTCCAATGTGTTCAGTGTGTGGTCGATGGGATGGAAATAGGCAACCTTTTTGAAGTAGTTCCACCGGTCATCGCCGGCCTCAGTGTGAGGAAAGTAGGTCACATTGGTGCCGCGTCTACAAAAATGTAAGTCACGTAACTCAGAACAAGACGCCTGTCTACTTACGGCCATGCGGTTATGGAAACGATCAAGATGCCTACAATCATGGCACTTTTGACCTTGAACATCATCAGATAGGAGGTGACAATACCACCGCACAGAAGTCCGATCCACAGCTAATAGTCCAGCGTTAGTGAAAAAGCCAGTACACATGGAGTCTCTTGTCGACTTACTGTTGGAGATGTCATTTTATGGCTCGTACAGATACCTAGCTCGTCTTTGTACTGATCCGCACAACCCGCAATCTCCAGTGGTGTACTCTTAGCCCCGCTGATCGCCCCAATACCAGCATTGTTGCTCAAGCCGATCAAAGCAAGGAAAAGTCCGATACCACAGGCCGTGGCAATTTTGAGTGAATTTGGAATGACTTTGACGAGCCACTGCCGCATACCAATCAATGACAGGCCGATGAAGATAAAGCCCTCGATGAAGACAGCTGTAAGCGCGAGTTTGTATGGTACAATACCACTGCCGTGGTAGCCGACGACTTGATAGGCGAAGTATGCATTCAAGCCCATACCAGGTGCGAGGGCAACTGGCATATTGGTAAGGAAACCAAACAAGACGGAGCTGAAGCCTGCAATAGCCGCAGTTGCTGTGATAAGTGATCGGGTCAGATCTGCCCATAGTGAGCAACGCTGAGCTGTAAACGTTGCTATGACACTGACCTTGAACGCAGACTGTATATTCAGCGTTGTTCATACATAGTGGATCGACAGCATCGTTGCATACGCAGTTACCGCCTGTGTCAGCTAGAATCGAGGCCTTCGACTGTCAGTCACGCTCTGCTCTTGCTAGGTAGTGGTCCGCACATTGACAGATATGACGTATGCCATGGTGAAGAACGTTGTCAAGCCGGCACGGATCTCAGTAGTGATCCGTGAGTTTTTGATCTCTTTCTCCTGCATTGCTTGTGAGTGGCATACACGTTTGGCGCGAAAAGAAAAACACTTACATGTCCACAGCCCTCGAGTCGGAAGACTCGCCCAAATGTTGAAGCGCCGATGAAGGTATTGACCCTCTCAAGGTACAGCCAAAGAGACTCCATGTTGTGAATGATGCCTTCAAGGAAGAGTAATCAAGGAACTGAAAAGAGATAAAGTAACGAGTGATGACGAGACGGCGATTTCTGATCTATCGTGACAGTGCCGAATTACGCGTTGTTAACAAAGCTGCAAGGAGGTTGAATCATAGAAGGATCGAACGACAGTTGTAGACAACAGGGCAACTCGAAGCCGGAGTTCAGTCCATGTGCGGAAGTTGCACTGAGGTGTCCAAGGCTATAACGTCTTCTGACGATCAATGAATGTTGCAGGTGGGGGCGAGTTGCAGGTACGCATGCATCGGATGCCAGCAACAATTGCAGCGCCGATGAACCGTCATTTTGCAAATAACAGCACGGCCGCAGCGCGAGGCGCGCACCTGGACGTTGTACAAGGGATGCCCACAGCGGAATAGCGTTGTGTCGCAGTGGAGATGCTCGAAGTCGAACTGGGATTGGTGAGCTAGTGCTGTGCTTTTGTGGCTTGCCGAACCGAGTCAGGGGTTGCCCAATCGCCCTAGTCATGACCCTCAGGAACAGCCGATGCAGATCAGAGCTGCATTGTGACTGGTGGACGAGAGATCAACTCCATGTTTCTTGCTCCGCAGATGCATCTGTTGTGAAACGAACAGCCCGGTAAACCTCTGTCCATCCACCGGCCTTGCCGCGGAATCCTCAGTTCACACCGGTCTGTTCCTCCCGCATTTATTTTGCGATTGTGTATGGTGTAATCCTCGAATTTTATCGTGGAAGATAAACTTTGTAATGGTGCAGACTAGAGCGATCATCCGCCACAGTTGCCCACTGGCTGCCTTGGGTAGGTTTGACAGTCTCAGATTCACTTCCAGCCGGCCGTCTGACTGTTGTATCCCCGGCCCAACTGCGTTTTGCTATGAGCCAAGGTAAGCCACCGAAGATGACGGCGACCTGGAACATTGTGGTTTGCGGCGCAGATATGCTAGCCACCTGTCCCTGCAGTACGACATGGGCGTTTTCCCTTCCCGACAGACGTCTTGTCGGTGCGAGAGTTTGGACACGCGCTTACCACGTGTGGATCACAACCCCAGTGACATGGGTAGGATCCCGAGGCCCATCACGGTCCAACAATCGGTTTGCGCGCTGGCGTTCTGGTACGACAGCTTGTGCAGAGGGTGGCTCTTCCTCAACCTGAACTTGACGACTCTCTCTGTTCTGCTTGATTGAGCCAATGAAACCACGCCGCAGGCGGAATCTCTTAGCCTCCCTAGCGTGGTGAAAGGACCCGTTGCGCAATCCGCTGTGTCGGCTGTGATATCTCTGACGTGCGATTGTCATAACTTGTGATACTTCTTCGCTCATTCTCCTCCGGAGCTGTTGGAGTCTAGCTTGGTGACTGCCCCAGTACACGACCCCCAGAGGACGATTGACAATGTTCGCGGCCGATCTGTCATGGCAGATAGGAGAAAGTGTTGGGCAGCGGAAAGAACGCAAAGCTCGGAAAAGATCGTCTGGGACACCCTCAGTTAGGACCTCGGTGACCTCCAGGAGCTCCAACTCAACTGATAGACAGGAGTGGTGGACGTCTGGGCTGAACAAAATCAAGGCGAAAGCTTCCTCAAAATCTTCAATCAAAGGGCGATCAGTAACGAGTCTAAGCTCGACTTCCCAGCAGAGATCTGGCCCAACACCACTTCAACCCGTCCACGAATCGGTAGCGAGAGACTTTCCAACATGGGAGCTCGAGCTTCCACACCAACTTAAGGATCCTGCTCCAAAGCCGACCTACACATTCTCGAAATCGCTGTCCCCAAACCTACCCTCTGGAGGTTCTATGGATCTTTTGGAGTGTGATGTCCCAGAGCTTGAAGGTGACATATCTTCCCGCTACACACACTCCATTGTTTCTACATCTTCGCGTACGTGAATCACAGCTTACAAATGAGGTACATCTCTGAGCTAACTCGCATGATAGGCGACCATCACTGGGAAGTGAAGACGCCTCCGACCGAAGCTCTGAGTGGGGTCGATGAACTGCATGGATGCGAGCCGTACTCCCTTGCTTCGACTGGTACACGGACGAGTGTTGGGTTTTGTGAACAGCAGAAACTCGCAACAGTCCCGAGAGCTGATGTACTCAGCAGAGAGAAACGGTCAGCAATCCATGTGTGTTTGTGAACGTGCCAACTGACCGATTGTTGCAGGAGGACGATGGTCCCAAGGATCGAGACTCGTATGGATGAGGAATCTTATCTTCAGGATGCGACTCCGGATACTACGAAGCAGAATGAGCTGGAGACGAAGATAATCGCGTGCAGACCACTGGCTCAGTGGGACAGTCTATCGCCAATGACGGTGCCTAAAGGCTTTCGCAAAACGTCAGCATCTCAATCAATCAAGGTCACTGGTACACAGAACAACACATTCGTGCGAACGCGATTTCAGCGTTTCATTCAGAGGCTGGAGAGCGCAGGTCCACACCTTGTCTTAGACAGGCTGAAGGAATCCTTGCAAGAACCTGCAGACTCGGAAGAAGAACTGCTCGAACAACAACTCTGGCTATTGACAGGGTTCCAACTGCAAAGTTTAGGCAAGGCCCGGATCATTCCGAAACCGCAGTGTGACACAGGCAAGATCCTGGAGCTCTACGGTAACCTTTGTAAGTGGACGGTATGCTCGAGCTGTACTGTTGTGTATCGTCTAACAATGATGTCAGCTGAGGTCTACCAATCATCTGCAATGCACCCAGGCCAAACGGTGCACTTCCTTACTACCAAACCGCAACGCACTCTTTCCCTTCCCAGCAATGTGTCTTACTTGACAGTACGAGAGTTTGGCACAGTGCCTTTACCATACCCGGAAGACTATTTCTCGCATATACGCGCATCGACTTTGCCGTCTCTGGTCCCTTCTGCGAAGCTACCGGAGCTGTTCCGCGAGTGCTATAAGCTACTCACCCCAGGCGGCCTGCTTGAGATCAGAATCATGGACGCTGCTCCCGTGCGCAGAACGGCTGGTCCCATGATGCGAATGTGGATCGAAGACAGACTATCGGTGAATCTAGAGAAGCTTTTCCGTTGCTCGAAACCGTGCTCGCTAGTCCCTGGCTGGTTGGCGGAGGCAGGCTTCGAGCTGAGTGCAAACAACGATCAGGGACTGGCGTTGCCATGCGCTTTCGATCGCAGCTCAGATGACACTGAGAAAGAGCTTTCGACCATGATTGGCCAAGCTCTGTGGAAGGATATCTGGGGTCCGTTCGTCGAGGATCTTCCTGACGAGCCGAAATGGTGGTGGGAAGAGGAGATCATTGTGCAAGAGTGTCTGAAAAGGAAGACGGTATTGGAGTGTCGCTCGTTGTATGCTTACAAAAGGTGGGCCTCTGTAGGGGAGAGTCTGCGACATGAACGACCTTGAGAGTTGATGGGTGGCTGAGCTGTGATTTCTGGATACCCTTTTCGCGTTTTGACACTGACACTTTCGGTCTAAAACTAATGTTGAAGATGAATCAAGCTATACGAGCTTTGCATACTGTCAACATGTACGCGTTTAGTTGTCTGCAGTTGTTCATGATGGAGAAGGAAAGACCTCCTGCCGTTCACAGGGTCTTTCTGCAGTGACGGCTAGCGCGTTTCCACATGTGACCCTACGCGCCTTCCTCGAGACTTGTGAAGGTCCATCGTCAACGCTAGCATCAACAATGCGATCTTCCAGGTCATGGCAACATTGGGTCATGACAAGGCTTCACGTTCAAGTTGTCGCGACTTCAGTCAGAACACGTTCGAATGTTTCTAGATCTTTAGCTGTCGCGTCCGTGCGACAGCCCCCGTTTCAACGCGCTGCACGCTTTAGACGCTTCTTTGCTACGCCTCAAAAGTGAGCCTCCCTGCATAGGATTCGGTAATCCCGATTGCTCGTCGGCTTTTCCAACTCCTCTGTCAGCTAGCCACGCTGTTCGCCCCTTGCTCTTGAGCATAATACAACCCTCGTCCGCGGCTTGAATCAACTCCGTCCGTATCGCCATGCTTAGCAAACTCACAACCCAAATCGCACTGCGAAAGGCCGGACTGGGCGGGGTTAAGATACCAGACCCGTTTGCTGCCAGTGAATCGAAGAGCACAAAAGGTGCTCAGGACTCAGAAGGAGGTGGTCTGTCGAATCCCTTTGCCAACGTCAAATGGGGACCACCTAAAGCCTTCGCTTCTTGGACGACTCCACCTCCAACTCAGAATTCAGTACAACCGGCGCCAATTGCAGGTGACAGGGCACAGTCTGGTGTAAAGCTCCGGCTTCCTGCAGTCGACGGGAGGCCTTGTGTTGTATTGTTCCTGAGATACTGTGGCTGTCCTTGTACGTAATATCTGCTGGGTTTCGTCGTTCGCAGAACTAACTGAGTGTAGTTACAGAGAAGCTCTTTCTTCACCTGCGATCGTTAGCGAACCGACATACCTCAATACACTTCATCGTCGTATCACATTGCACCCAGGCCGCCACCAACGAATGGGTCAAGAAACTAGGTGGGCCGTGGATGTTAGACATCATCGTAGATGAGAGTCGGGAATTATATGCCCTGTGGGGGCTAGGTATTTCGAATTGGGGCCATCTACTCAATCCGCGGAACGGGTACAACCAGTACATGCTCGGCAAGAAGGAAGGCGTGTGGGGACAACAAGTTGGGGAAGGGGGTTGCAGATGGCAGACTGGAGGCGCATACGCCATTGACGGGCGAGGCATCGTCAAATGGGCTTACCCCATGAAGAGTGTGGATGACCAAGTACCAATCGAGGAAGGCATCAAGGAGCTTGGCTTCAGTCGTTGAGAAGATACCCAATACCAAAGCACTTCGATTGCAAGATCGTGACATAAGGGTATTTGCAAGGTGAGTGTGAAATATGGACTTTGCTTAGGATAATCTTGAAATCGTCTTCCATCCCAGATTTGGCTCCCACCACGACATTATCCTCGGCCCTAACTATTTATCCTTCTTTGCCTTTACCTCTTCGGCCGGTACAAATCTCTTCCTCACAGCCTTCACCATCTGGCTGAACCAGTATATGCTCAAGATACTCAACGCTGTGTTCCCCACCAGGTAGATCGTCACCAACCACATAGGCAGTTCGGTTATCTCACAGCTAACGGTCCGCCGTATGCTCTGCCACTCGCATTACGTCCACACACATCGTCGTCCAGGAGCGGACTCGTCAGTTGGGACGTCGGCGTTGTCAAAACTTTGTAGATGTCCGAGTAGATCAAGACCAACTAGTAAGTACCCCATACAATACAGCAAGCAAAGAAGGTAAAGAGCAGTGCAATGCCATCATACAGTTGGGGCTTCGATCCGGTAAGACCCAGCTTGTCGCAAAACCAGTGGACGTTTAGAAAGGGTGTCGATAATTCATACAGGATGAACGATAGGCCGTAGTAGTTTCCAAAGGGCTTCTGTTCTAAATGAGTGCAGTTCGGGCTAACCTTTCCATGTATACTTACGAAGCCAATGCACGTTATAGCCAGAGCACCCTGTGGCGTGTACCAAGGCACCAGCTCCGCAGATGCGGAAGTGTTGTAGGCAGACTTGGAGATCCCACAAGAAGTAGCCAGCTGCGAAGCCCTAGACCATGCTGCTAGCTGGTGTGTATCCCCACAGCCTGCCTTTCCAGTCCATCTCCTTTCTCTCTGGGTCTAAGAAGATCACATACAGAGCAGCACCATTAATGAAGAGCGCTTGGATCTTGGAAACCCAGTGAGTATCAGAGTTCAGTCGTGTGCACCAGTTGAAGCCTGTGTAAGTCTTGGGGCACACGAGTTGAGAAATGGCTGGCGAAAGTCCATAAAGGATGAAGTAGTATGCAAGAAAGCCTAGTAGGATTTCATGGACATGGTAAGGCATAGTCCTCAGGTCCAGTTTGTCAGCCAGAGGTTGACTGAGGTGGACCAGCATCGTTAGCGGTGGGATTGGGTCCCGCATGACGTGAAAGGTTGGAGGTATGAAGGCAGACAGTGCGAAAACAAGCTCGTAAGCTCAAGTCAACAGCTGGAATGGAGGGCACACTAGCAGCGGCGGTAACCACATGTTTAATAGAGCTCTACCCATCTTGAAGGGGCAGCTTCACCGGCTGCAAGGTTTACTCGTGAGTAGTAAAAATCCGCTCGGAAACGCTCGATGCCGCAGTCGCGCCTCATCCGGGAGACAGATGGTGCCCAGGTGGGGTTTAGAGGGAGTTGAAGATCGTAGCCTGTGCATGCACTCAGAAACAAGGGTTCAATGGGCCGGCTGCATGCGTAAGCGAGTCCGGAGCTCTTGCATCATTCACCGGTCAGAGCTTCATTCATCCATCACGCTTCACCAACAACGAAACTACTACCTTCCACAACGTCGCGACTTGCTGCTGTTACAAGCATCTTCAAGGTCATCGCTACATCTCGCCAAGCGCTGTGTAGGTCCATCCGCGCCCTCGAGATGGCGGCATTCAAGGGCAGGCCCTTTCGAGAGACTAACGAAGGGTATCTCAAACAGCGGTCCTGACCACACTTCTGAAGGCCACCACTTCCTGAAATCCTCATCTGGACCGGAAAAACGACGTCGTCATCGCCAGTCACGTGTTCTGCCGCCTAGCTTACCGCCGGGCTTTTCTGCCATTGTCGATAGGAACGAGCTCTGAAGTTGTCTACCACCACCAACCGCGTCGCCAGAACATTGCGACGCGCTGTCGTAAAGCTTCGCCGGATCACTATCTGTCTTGGTGCCTCAACCCGTCCCTTACTGGCTGAACCAAGCAGTATTGCGCCGAAGTTTCTTGACCTCGACGCACTCTTCCAAGCTAGCACTGATACAGCCCGTCTACGGTAGCTCCTTCGCACCGTCTGTTCAATTGCTTAACCAGGAGGAAGTCAAGAGCGTCTAATTGGCTTAAAGTTGTCGAGTATCACAGCAAAAATGACTCATGAGATCGTCGACAACCCTCTGACCGAGGCTGACATTGTCACCTCCGAAATTCCTATGAATGTACAGACTGACCCTGCCAGCAAGAAGCGTAAGAATGTACAGGGATCTGAGGTAAGTCACTTCCCAAGCTCAACTGCCAAACCCTCTGACGAACACGATCAGGCCAACAAAAAGCCCAAGGTTCAAGAAAACCGAGCGATTTACGTCAGCAACCTCCCGCGCGACACCAACGAACAAGAGATCGAGGACGAATTTAAGAAGTACGGCATCATCGACCAGGGCGCAGACGGCAACAAGCGCATTAAGATGTACAAGGATGACGAGGGCAACTTCAACGGCGACTGCCTGATCGTATACTTCAAAAAGGACTCGGTCGACCTGGCAATCAGGATGATGGACGAGTACTACTTCCGCATCGAGGACCAATCGCAGGGCACGATCCGCGTCAAAGAAGCAGACTTCTCGTACAAAAAGCACAAAGACGGCGACGAGATCGCGTCAAAGCTGACGCGCAAGGATAAGAAGGCTTCGGAGCGCAACAGGGCGGAGCTGAACCGGTACATCCAGACTCCTTACCTGCTCCACCGTCTTAGATACACAGTGTAGCACGCTAACGCGAGGGACAGCAAACTCGCAGAATGGTCCGACAATGAAGACGAAATCGCCGAAACCTTCGCCCCGAAAAAGAACAAATGGGCAAAAGTATGCATCCTACGGCACGCATTCACGCTCGCCGAGCTCGACGAAGATGACGCCGCGATCCTCGAGATCAAGGAGGACATGCGCGAGGAAGCAGAGACATTTGGCGAAGTCACAAACGTCACGCTATTTGACAAGGAGCAAGACGGCATTATCGCAGTGCGCTTCAAGGAGTTTGAGAGCGCGGAGAAGTTCCGGGAGGCTAATCATGGGAGACACTTTGGTGGAAGGAAGCTCGAGGTTACACTGGCAGAGGAGAAGCCTAGGTTTAAGAAGAGTGCAAAGGGCGAGGAGCCAGATAGTGATGAGGAGGAGCGCAACCTTGAGCGGCTGGCAAGGCAGCAGTAGGTGCCGGTTTGGGCTTGCTTCGTGCGGGAATGGTGCAGAGACATAGATGGAGAGGTCGTGAAGAGCTTCGCCGGCTTTAGTACCATACGAAGACATAGAGACGTGGCGAACCCCAAATATTTCGCCATCGTCTATTACTCTTCAAATCAGATTCAATTTGGGCGGACAATCTCGCGGTTCACTGTCGTAATTGGGACTTTGTTTTGCAACTGCGCAGTAATCAACATTCACAGTATGAAGGGAAACCCATGCTCAAAGCTATGCTCAAATTTGGTATCTACTTTTAATCTCCATTACACATTCCAACCCATTATCGTAGCCGAGAAACTGACCATGTACAAGAAAATGCCTTTAAATCAGGCGCGCCATGTAGAAAAGAGCCAATGCAGCTCAGTGGTATCGATGCCAATCGTCCAGAACGCCAATATGCACAAACATCCCTCGTCGAGACATCCTTTCCTCATGGTGTCACAGTGCAATACTCCTAATCAGACGACACTCGTGTGTCACGTCGCTCAGAGCAGAAGAGCAGCCGCAACGGCGACGACAGCACCAGCAGCGCCGCTAACGAGCTTGGGCGCAGCGTCGGTGAACTCAGCGGGTGCGGACGACAAGGCCGAGCTAGGCGAGATCAGGACGCCGGTGGTAAGAGTTGCGGTACCGGTGGGCGCTGGGATGCTGCTGTTGTACTTGCCGCTCTCGGTGGGTTGAGCGTAGCCGGAAGAGGGACCGGTGCCCAGGATTATGCTCGAGGTTGGGTAGCCAGACTCCTCGCCGAGCGAGAGCTGGGTGAAGTTGGCGCAGGCAATGCGTGTCTTGTTGGACAGGTGAACGACGACGGACAAGTTACCAAAGTAGGCGTTGCTGTCCGGTCGAGTAGACGAGTATAGGTCAACGTATCTGGGTCATTGTTAGATCGATGCCTCTTGATGCTACTCGGCTTGAAGGTCTCACTCTTGTGACCACTCCTGTGCAGTGATGTTGCCGAACTTGCCGCTCAAGTCACCAGTCTGGCAGGTCTCAGGCTTGCTAGAATCGCAGATAGGCACCTCGCCGCGCTTGTACGGGTCGAGATGAGCGCCGGTACCAGTGCAGTTGCCGTCAGAAGGGACAGGCTTCTCGTGAAGGTGGTACATGAAAGGACCGCCCTCAGCAGGGAGACCAGAGATCGAGACGGTGAACTTGACGCCGTTGCCATCCTCGGCAGAGACTGCAGCGACAGAGCCGCGAACTGTGTACTTCTTCTGCTCGGGCAGAGTAGCAACGTACGATGCGCCCTTGGGGTTGCCGCTGACTACGGGAGCAGGGACAACGGTTGAGGACTGGGCAGTGACGGCCGAGGCCGCAGCAATGAGCGAGAGGATGTGGACACGCATGTTGGGAGCGAGTGTTGAGTGATGTGCAAAGAGTGAGTTACTGCAAAGGGCGTTCAGCGAATGTACACAGTATCGAGGGTGTGGGTTGAGTGAGAGTTGTTGATAGGGTTGCAAACGGGGCGCGGAGGTGTTCAAGTAAACAAGCCAAGGGTTCGCTAATGAGGTGAAAGTGAAGGGGAAGGCGCAGTTCTTACCTCTTGTTTAAACAAAGAAGTGACGATGTCGATTGTTTGTGGAAGGCAAAGCGCAACCAGCGGGGAAAGCACTTATTACTGAAAACAGGAGTGACCTCACATCCTGAAGCGGGCGCATACCTGGCTATATACATCGCAGGCGCAGTCATATCCGCGAACGAACCGACCAGGAGGTTGGGGCTAAGTCACACACAGCACACAGCTCTACCGCCGCCCCGCGCCGCTCTTCCTGGAGCAAAACTTACCGGGGGTGGCACAAAGCCCGAGCAGGCTACTCGTTCTTGGTGAATCACTCATTCAGTCCCGAGCCTACTACTGGGCGCCAAAGGGGAAAGACTACACTCCAAACCGCTTGCTTTGTTCCCTAGATTGGAGGGACGGGGTCGTTGCATGTCGTCCGGCGACCGAATGTAAGCTTGTGCGCACGGCCACAGGGCTGTTTTGAAACGCCCAGACATGTTGGCGGTTGGCGTCCAATTAGTTTGATGTTTGGCGCAGGAACACGGCCGGGGCATGGCCAATGGAGAGACCTGGGCGCACAAAATCTGAGGTGCGCAAGTGATGGGCACAGAGGGAGGCTGGTGAACTGTGGGCCACGAGCTTTTGACGCTGCTGTGTATCTTCACCACATGGCTGCAGCTGCTGCACTGCGCAGCACAGCGCTGCGCGGAGGTACTCACGATGCCCTATGATCCTTCCAAACGCTGTGTTGGTGTTGTAGACTACTGTAAACACTGGACTCCAGCAAAATGCTAAGCTTCGGCTAACATGGGGTTCCAAAAATACTCAGGCGGCCCGCTGGCGTTGGATCACGCGCTCCAGTGTTCCTTTAGGACAAAGACAAAACCAAGACAGTTGACAGCAAACATACCAACGTGTCAATGTCAATGCCAGAACCGTGGCCGTTTCGAATAAAAGACGCAAATAGTTGACAACTTTGCGCGTGCCGAACTGACCGGACTCCAAATCATTGCACGGCTGCCAACAGCCGGGTAGGGTGATGCGGGTTCGAAAGAGACGGGAATGGGAAATAAGAGTAAGACAGACGATATTGAACTGACATTGAGAGCGGCGTCGAAACAGGGAATACGCATCTATGTGATGCAAAGGCAATCTACCAGTACTTGTGCTAACCACCAGAGGCAGGAACCACGCGTCGCATTCTGGGCTGAAGGGTAATCACAATCTTCGGTCCATGCTGCTGAATGACCCAGGGTTTGCGTGTTTGACTACCTCCATGGTCAATGTGCTACGTTCCTCACCTTGTAGCTTACCCTGGCCCTACACCAGCCAACGACGGTGGCGACGCCTGCGTCTACCAAATCCTGACCCACGGCCTGAACGTCCTTGCAGGCGTCAGGAGCTTCCTCGAACACCAAATCCTTCTCGTCACAAATCACCCAAGTACCCTCAGTCTCTCCAGCTCGTGGTTGGAGGATGTTTTGTTCTTTGTACTTCTGGGACAAAGATGAGAGCGCTTTCGCTCGAGACATGCTTCGTCCAGCACCATGAGCTAGAGACAGCGCACTCTTGAGTCCCCACGATGTAGATGCTGAGAAAAAAGGCTGGGGAATGAGGTTTGGTGTTCCTCGAGATCCTGGGGGAGGCAGGAGCGTGAGGGGCAAACGCGTCTCCGAATCATAGGTTGGCGCAGCGCCTTTGCGATGGACGTAGACGTACTCCTGGAGGCACTCAGTGTCTTCGATCTGCAGGTTACTAGTGGCATCATCCATTGTGGATGCGGATGGCGGTGGTGATGGTGGCTTTTTCACTCGCTCAACGTTGTTATGCCAGATATCGACAGCCCCTGTCATGTTTCAAATACTCGACTGCCTCCGGGCTGCCTTCTTCCAGAATGACATGCGACTCGGCTGTATGCTTCTTGAGTACACTACCACCATAGTCGCGTGAGCCTGAGTGTACTAGCACACAACGTCGTCCTGACGCAGAACCCCAGGGGAGGCGCTCATAGATTCCTCGACCACTTGGATCTCCGTGAAGTGGTTTCCCGCATCAATTGTTCCCAGTGAGCTGTCCCACTGTTCACCTGCAGAGCAGCTGCCCTTCTGGTCTTGCAGCCATAATTCCCTATAATCTCTTGTGCGCCATGGTCCTTCGAGACCACGCAGCTTCTCGGCCACTCTCTTGCCTTTGTCACCATCAACCTGACTTCAAAGTAAAGTGAGCCTGTACCAAGCCATCCCACAACCAATGTCTCCGCCGCTGAGTGGTGGATGAATGCATTTCTTCGACGCAAAGACAGCGTCTATAGGGAACTTGGTGCCTTGGTGGAGATCTGGCTGACCTACTGCGTGAACGATTCCTGGGAGCGTGTGGGCTGTGGTGGTGAGCTGCGTTATGGAGAGCGACTCAACTGGTGCATTGGAGGTGAGGACCTTGACGGGACAGTTGGGGTTTACATCTTCTGTGAGAGTCAGTGACTGTAATAGTTTTCTGTAGCATGCAGGGATCAACATTCTCAAACGTGCTCATCGAAGTGCACTTACCATGTACGATCGTTCCCTTCTTGACACTGACATACTCTTCTCCGGCGGAAACAAGCAAAACAATGTCGTTCTTGATGTTGGTTTTCCAGTGTTCCTCGTTCACTAGCTCTTGCCCCGGTTGCTTGACGAAGACTCGTGATGGCTTCTTCAGCTTCAGCCTTGACTGCGCAATCTTGAAGACCAGGGATCAAATGGAGTTTGTAGCTGCAGGATCTACGGCAGCAGATGCAGGAACAAGTAGTGGAGCCCTTTGCGACTGCTTCGCGTTGTTTGCGATTGTCACGCGCATCGCCATTGTAAGGAAATTGACAAGGCAAGATGTATGAGACTTCGACAGTTTTTGAACGGGTGTTGACGCGAAAGCTCAAATGGTGGATTGGGCAACAGTCAAGTGGGGATAGCGTTTGTTTGCAGTTCGAGGTGACGCAAGCAGTATTTGTGCTTTGTGATCAAACCGTAGAAGGTGATGATGGTCACTAGCGCGGTTCGATTCATCTTTGCTCATTCAGCAACGCCCTTTCACTACGAGCAACCATCGTGGCTGTACCAATGGCCCTGTGTCAAACACTGTATCCTTCGATGATTCGGGGACTCAACCATCGCACTATAAGTTATACATCTCTCTATGTGTGATTGAGTGCGCTGAGCGTGGCTCCTGGATTCAATGCCTACCATCTACGAGCAGCATCCTCCCTCGCCCGCTCTTCTCGTGCCCTTAAAAGACGTTCCTTGTTCTGCGCCTCAAGAGCCATCAACTGTTGCTGATAGTCCTCCAGAGTATGTCTCCCCTTTGCCACTGGGTCGTGCCCAGGCAAGGCGTAGCGCCAGCGGTCCTCGTCTTGTTCATCGGCTAGTATGAAGCCTGGTTGTTCATCTGTGGTACGACGAGTTAACGTTGTAACTTCGGAACTGATCAGAGATCTCGTCAGCCATCAACGACTCGCCTGTGACGGGAGACTTGTCAGGGGAGGTTTCGTACGTTTCGTAGTAGGCTGGTAACTCAAAGTCGGTGGCTGCGTGGTCGAGGATGTGGGGGTCAATGCCAGGGATTGGCGTTGCTGTGTTTACTGGGTCGGGCCCAGATCGAATCGTGGACGATTTCCCTGTGCTTTGAGGTGCATCGGGAAGCTGGCCGTTCGTCTCTACCATTTTATCGCCTTCGACTCGTACTTCTCGATCGCGAAGCCGTCGCATGAGCTCGAGGAACTGAGAGTTTTGGAACTTCTCACTGGTGTTGTCCGCAACTCTCTCTAGCAGGCGTCCGGCGGTCGCCGCCATCTCGTCATCGTCGGTCATCTTTGGCTGTTCCTCCTTCTGCTTGGGCTCTTGCTCGGCCAGCTCGTTCTGTGGAGTCTTCATGTACCCAGCCTCGTCCAGGTCCTGCCATATCCGCTCTTGACTCATGGGTACCCGAGCACCCAACGGGTATTGTGACATGACCCTCTGGTTGATTGCAGCAATCAGGCCCTCTGCGCGTGTCTTCACTTCTTGCGGGGCTCCACGGTTTACGATGCGTTGTAAAGAATCGACGATCCACTTTGCTTCGTTAGCGTCTTGTACCAGGTCGCCGCTTCTCTCCAGTATGCCCATATTGTCCAGGTACGATACAGCTTCTTCGGTGCGGCCGAGGCCCATTTCGCTCCAGACTTGGATGGCCGAGTATACAGCTAGGAATGTGTTAGTAGACATGGCACAGCTATATGATACTACACACCTGGCCGTGTTTCCCGTATCCGTATAAGAAGAGGATCCTCACTTGGCCGGTCCACGCCCATCACCTCGGGGTTCATGGCTCGAGACTGCGCTCGCTTTGCCTCTGCCTCTGCATCGGCGAAGGCATCTTGTTGCGCCTGCGCAAATGCCTGCTCGAAGGCTGCCTCGTCAAATGCTGGCTCCTGCACTGCCTGCTTTCCTTGAGTGACTTGTGACATCTGTGCGCCAAGTTGGAAGCTGTTCTGCGTGTATGAAGGTCCCGCGAACCCGCCCATGCCGTAACCTGACATGCCGCCAAATGTGGTCTGCTGCTGCTGCGCCAGCGCCAGCGCCGGAGTAGCTGTGGCTTGCTGCCTCATGAAGTCCTGATGCCATGCTGACGCCGCGCTCGCTGCCTGAGGGCGCTGCTGCTGGAAGGTGTGCGCAGGCTGGGTCGTGATATTCAGTCGCTGAAAGTCCGAGGCCCAGTCGGGTGCTTGTGGAGCATGCCCGAACTGTGGAGGAGGCGTTGCGAACTGCGGAGGGAAATGCTGAAAGTCAGGCTGCGGCGGGCCCGGGCGACCTTGCTGGAAGGCATCGAACTCAGAATCCAGTGCACCGGCATTTGGGCCTGGCGACGATCTAAAGCCCTGTCTATTGTGAACTCATGTTCTCTTCGCTGTAACATCCCAACGGACCTGTGCTGGAGAATGACGACCGACCAGGCGGTCTTGCTGCAGGGTCCGATCAACGGAGGTATGCTTCTGGAAGTTCTGCAGAGCGTTTGACGGCCCGCAAAGTGCGTCCGCCATGGCTGCTGAAGAACAAAGGGGTATCACCGCAAGAAAGCAAAAGACAAGAACGCGGAGGAAAGAGTGTTGCGGCGCGGCGTGATGCGTCAGGACTTCCAAATGTCCCGCGACGCCAGAAGCCGAGGCTTGCTCAATCGCGAGTGGGCCGAGCTGCCACGATCAGATGTCGACACCGAGCACGCGTGGCGCTGAACTTCGGCAGCCCCCCCCCCCACCCTCCCAACATGCAGTCACTGGATAGCAACACGAGCGTCATGTGGGAGGCTGCTCGCCATATCTCAGCTGCCCAGTATTGAAGCGAGGGCTGCTCGCTTCTCAGAACTTACCAGATTACTTCATCGGCGAGTGGCGAGAGGCCGGCATGGTGACACACGACCGGTGAACAGCTGAGAGGTTGTTGAGATAAGACCTTGACATCACCGTCACGCAGATATGCAAGAAGCTGCAACTGCTTGGAGTAGTTGCATACAATACCTGTATATTGTGAGGAACTCAGCTGCACTGGAGCCCAACGCTATCAGTGTATATAGTGAAAGAAATATAGAACCTGGTTTCGAACTGACACGAGTCGAAGGTGTGGAGAATGGTATACGCGATAGGAAATAGCAATAGCAAGAAAACAATGCTCCAACGCAAACGTCAAGCCCTCATCGTGATGCATCTCTATCTGAAGAACATGTCACCGATCGTTACGTTCCTTGCCGGGCGGGAGACGTCGCTGCGGGACCTTGATCTAGACTTTCTGCGCACAAATGCATACTCCTTCTTGCCACGGCGATCGCGGCCGTCCGCCTCGATGAATAAGCGGTCTCCGTGGTTCGAGCGAAGTCGTCGTGTGTGCTCGAAGAGGATGTCAGTCTCCTTCTGGCTCATCTCTCGGAGGACGATGACATAGTTGGGATCCTGTATCTGTTAGCGCTGAATTGATACATGAGAAGCTAGTGGTTACTTACAGCATCGTACTCGTAGGGGATGTCATAGTAATGTAGCGTCTCGATGTCGAGATACTCCCTCTTGATCTTTGCGTACGTGGGCTGAGGCGCAATACGCAGTGGGTTATGCGGTGTCAGTCCCACCTGCTGCTCCAGCTTCTTCTGCTGCTCGGGGTGTACCATGGCCTGGATCTGGTTTTCTTGGAACCCAAACTGAGCCAGGCGTTTGCGCATGGCAGCCTCGAGTTCTGCCTCTTCCTTATCGCGTTTCGCCTTCTCCGCAGCTTGCTTCTCTGCCTGCTTGCGCATGAACGCTTCGTATTCTTCTTTATCCTTCTGTTCTCGCGCCTTCTTTTCGAGCTCGATCTTGAGAAGTAACTCCTCGCGCTGCTTCTTTTCTTTCTCTGCGTCAAGAACTTTCTTGCGCTCGTATTCGTAGACAATGCGCTCGCGCTCAGCATTAGCTTTCGCCTCGTCCTCAGCCTTCTTCTTGTTATACGCATCTACTGCCGCCTGTTGAGCCGCCTTTGCCTCCTTCTCTTGCTTCTCACGCTTGGCTTGAGCTTCTGCAACAATTCTCTTTGCCTCTTCTTCTCTGGCTTTGGCTTCGTCTTCGCGTTTGCGAGCCTCCTTCTCGAACTTTGCTTTTTCCTCCTCGACAAGGCGTTTACGCTTCTCACTTGCCTCCCTCTGGTCCCTTTCGGCCTCGGCTAGGATCCGTTCGCGTTCTTCTTTCCTCTTACGCTGATCTGCTTCTGCTTTCGCTTTGCCGTCTGCGAGGATACGCTCTCTCTTTTCCTCCTCGTCCCGCAATTTAAGCTCACGTGCTCGCTCCTCCCTCTCGCGCTTGAGATCCCAGTCTATACGGAGCCTCTCTTCAGCGCGCTTGATGCGGTCCTCTTCATCTTCACGCTCTTGACGATCCTTGATGTGCTTCAATTCAATCTTTCTTCTTGTAATCTCCTCCCGCCTCTCCGCCTCCTCCTCTCGCCTATCTGCCTCAATCTTCGCCTCTGCCTCTCTCAGCCGCTGCTCGGCCAGTGACAGCTTGAGCTTATCTTCATAAGCACGGTCAGGTGAGTGGCCATGGTGATGATGGTACTCGCCTCGAGAACGGGATCGCGCCAACCGCTCCCTGGTGACCTGCAGTCGCAGTTCTTCTATGTCATCTTCCAGTGACCATTCGCCGGGCATCCTTCGAGTGCGGCCGCGGCCATCAGCGCTGGGCTCACGGCTTCGCTGATCGGTAGTGGTGCGCACATTGGGGCTGCTCTCGTTCTCCATGCGAGTTGTGTTATAGATAGTCACATTGGGAGTGACCCCGTGACCCTGGGACTTGGTTCGGTGAAGGCCGCTTGTATAGTGAACTTCGGGATTCAGGTACTCGGTGGTGTGGCGGCCAAAATGCTCACGCGGTTTGGGGACATGTCGAGCGCCGCCGTACACATCCTGTCGGTGATACCACTCATCCTCTGAATAGTCGTCGAAGTAGTTTGCGGGTGGCATCTTGGAGGTGTGGAAAGATGTGTAGGGAAAGATGAGTCGGATATATAGAACGAAGAGAGTTTCAGGTCCTGCAATAAATGCAACCAAGAGCAAACAGTGCTCAAAGGTGTGGGTTCAGGTGTCAGCTTAGAAAGCGGGGCGGTGATGATAGCTTGCTGGGGGGCGGCACAAGCTGACTGACACAATACACAAATGCGACAGACAAGCAGGTAACGTAAGAGCGCAGGAAGTTTCTGGACGAAGAGCGGACGCGTGAGAATTTGAGAGAAATTAAGCAGCCGTCATTTTGGGGGCCGAAAGCACCACACTGCACCACGATGCAGCTAGTCATCAGGCAGGCAGCTGCATCTTGGGGCTGAAGCCGGGCACTTTGGCATTGGTCTGCTGCCCGCCAGGCTGCATCTGCGCGAATGAGTGGGTGATTGGACACCTGGTCACGTTGCGGACTCCTTTGAAGACTTTGCTTTGGAGGATGACAGCGACCTGCGACGTTTGCGACGTGTTTGCGGGTACATGGCAGCATACAAGCGCGTTGTCTTGCGCGACTCGATGGAGGGGTACAATACTCTATATTCGTCGCTAATGCCGGGCGGCAACGCGCTTTACCGGAGAGGCGGCGGTGGCGGTTTGTAGAGACCTTGGATATGCTGTCAGCCTCGTCGATCGATGTCTTCAGACCGAAAAAGGATCCGTTGGTTGCCGTCGTACTCTCGCTGCCACTCACGAAGGTACTTCTCGCCTCTATCGAGATGTGGCCAGCACGGGAGCGCTTCGTGAAACACTGCACTCGTGTGGGTCACTACGAGCATCGTGACCATTTGCTATTCTGGACAAGCTTTCATGTGCCTGGCAGTCCCAGTTAGCGGAGGCACTGCAGCCCCCACCCGGACGTGCATTGGCAGCCCAGCCGCACCCTTTCATTTCGACGATCGACGACTGGGAGTGAAGCAGCGAAACGTGACCTCCTGACCGATGAATGATATGCTCCCACAGAGCTTGAGCTGACCAATGTTGTGTAATTCTTTGTTGGATGGCCCTGCGAACATTGGCATACCCAACGGTTGTAGACACACGAAGGCGCGATTAGCGTGTTTACCCCCTAAAGCTCCTTCCGTCGTCGATTTGTACCAAACGGCGATCGAGTTCCAGCAACATACACACAACATGTCGGTCTTCCCAACGGATGTTCAGTTGCTCGTACTAAACTTTGTTACATCAACAGCTGATCTCAAAGCGCTATGTCTAACATGCAAAATCACACAAACCATTGCGACACCGCGTCTGTATCAGAACATACGCCTCCGTACCCAAGCCCGCAATCATATAGTCCGGTTGCTCAAGAGCGTTGTAGCGGGTGCTGGCCGTCACCTACGCCACACGCGAATTGACTTTCGAGTTTTGTCCGCCTCCACCGGAGCCTACCACTGTGCAAACAGGTCCACCCAACGTGAACCAAGAATCCCATTTGACTATCTGACCACCGATGCATTCAACGAGCAAATGTATATGGTACTGGAGGTGCTACTAGATCGTTGTCTTTCAACCTTCGGTCAGCTAGCATCAGTGGGAGCTATCCTTCCATCTTGTGGCTCGACTAACCGTGAACTTCGCAAACTTTAGGGATTATCTCAGACTGCTCGGTGCCCTAGAGATTGTGCGATACATAGAAAAGTCACAGGAGAAGTTATGACGTTGTTCTGTCTTCTGGGATGATACAGAAATTGCCAGGCGGAGCCCTTTCCACGGAACCATGATGCCGCCAAGTTCGCTCCAAACTCTCGACATTCAATTCACAAGCACAGTGGGCCTATCTGAGTTCCTCGAACAAGTTTTCACAAAGAGATACAGTAACCTCGACCGCCTATCTCTAAGTCAGCTACCTGAAGAAGCCCCACATGCATTGACACCCATTTGCAAGAACTTCAGAGTAGTCCTGTGTGCTCTCAACTACGTCTTGAGAGCATTCGAGTTTTGCTTCAATATTGAAGAGTCCTTCGAACCCATACGAGCTCTGGTCTACCTGGGCATGTTGTCAGAATTGTACGTCTCTGAGTGTGTCGGGGCTGATGGGTTCCTGCAAGATCTTGGGCGTGAATTCAAGGAGGTCCATGCCACCTCGTTGCTGCGCCACTTGTACGCGCATGTCCAGTCCAGCAGCTGCCTCGGAAATATTCTAGATTGTTCGGAGAATCTTTCCTAGATCAGCCTCGTCACAGGGAATTCTGATGCCAATGCACTCTGGCATCGGATTGACCGTATCGGTTGTTCTTCTGGGAGCCTTTCTTCAAAGCTTGCCTGAACCTGGAGCAGATAGGCTATCAACTGCAAGAGCGTGATCTTAAATTGCACGAGTGGGAAAATCAGGGAGGCTTCCTCGAGCGATGGTAAGTATCTGAATTGTATCCGACGATCAGAGTATGCTAATATTGGTGAAGGAAGACATCAAATATTTGAAGAACCTGCGCATACTACATCTCCGAGTCTTCCGCTGTAGGGAGCTTGTAGACGAAGGATTGAATGAGCACAAGCGCCTGAGGGAGGTCTGGTTGGACTTCCGGTGCTTCGCTAATGCGTTCTTCCAATACTTGGGGAAACTCGGGATCTGCCCTAAGCAAAATGCTCTGGTCATTGGTACATACTGGAGTTTTAACAAGGCTGAAGTGACTGACGAAGTCACCTTGGCGCCTAGGTGTTGCTATATCAAAAGCTACCAGACTGATATTCTTGTACGGAAAAGACCTGTTGCTCTATCTGTTTCAGGCTCAGACCCTCGTCAAGCACATCCAACATCCAATATCGAACATACTGGAGCTCGATACTGAGTGCGATTGGATTGGGAGCAGTCAAACGCGTTGATTAGTCATTCAAGAGATTGTAGTTAGCGCGAAACTGACACGGACGCGTCTCTCACCACCCAGATCTTCCTTTAATCACAACTCGCCCGTCATGCCTGATCTCCCAATTGATGTTCAGCTCCTCATATTGGAACATGTTACCTCTAAGGCCGACCTCAAAGCATTATGCCTGACCTGTAAAGGCGTTCGGGCTGTAGCAGTACCCCTTTTGTATCATACCGTCTATCTGCGCACATGGGATCGTGATGGGACCAGTCGCTTCGTTCGAAGCGTCGCGGCAGGTGCTGACCTTTATCTCCAACATACTCGTTCCTTGATTTTCGAAGATGAAATGAGTCGAACATGACTGCGCGTGGGGCCATTTGCGGTATTGTTTCGTCAGAGAGCAGCAGAACTGTTGCAAGACTCTTTTCAGAGTATGAGTTTCACCAGCTGGATTTTGAGTGCGAGCTGCTTGATCACGATCCGAAGAATGAGTGGGAGGGCGGACCGATGGGTCGGTTTCAGGGCGCATTCCACCAGCGCTCACCATTTGAGCTTTGGCTGACTGTAACACGCCCACACTTTGAGGCCAGCTTGAAGAGCGCAGCAACCTAATTGGGTGTCTGGGGTAAACGGACGTTCCGCACGGAGCCGCGTGTCGCGAGACAATATATCATTCTGTATTCCGTATAAGCGCAAAGGGGTATTCGCAAACAATGTAATGTTACGTCCAGTCACTACTGTGCGTTTTGCCTGAGCTTTGGCATGCCCTCCTTCTTGCCCCATCCCCAGACCTTGCCGTTAATATCCGGGAGCATGACAAGCCACACGATGGACACAATCCATGCCATCAATGTGTCGACTATGATATTGTTCCTCTGGCTGCTGCCCAGCGAACCCCAGCGTAGCAGATCTATCATCCAGTTCGTTGTCGGCATGTAGTTGCCATTCTCCAGCCCTCTAACAGCGGCAGTCGCAGCTTCCACCTCAGTCTGCTTGGGGTCAGACGATTCGAGCAGACGTGTGACGGGGTGCTTAGTCTTCTCCTCGTTCTCGAACCCAGGTGAGAGGATTGTACCAGGGAAGACAGCATGGATGTTGACATCAAACGGTGCAGGTGTCTGCCCTGTCGCAGCTTGCGAGCGGCGCGCTCCGTTGTACAGCAGGACTTCCGAGCGCAGACCGTCTGCCAGTGAGCGCAGCGCAGCCTTTGCAGGTGAGTAGGGTGTGTAGCCCGCCAGACCCACAAACGCAACTCCCGAGGATGTGAGAATGAAGTGCCGTGTTCCTTGAGGTACAGCGCTCTTTTCCTGCGACGAGTACGGCGTGTCAGGGTACCACCAGGCCGTCAGTGTCTTATGTGCGAGGTACGCAGCTGAGAAGTAGTTCAGATCCATTTGCTTGCGCATGGTCTCGGTATTGGTCTCTACGAAAAGCCCTGGTATCGAAGCTCCGGCAATTGCCCATACGACCTCAGGCATAACGCCATCGTTCCAGGCGGTGGTTTCAGCAAGTATGCGTGCGTTCTCTGCCTCAGAGGATACATCGGCGGAGATGTAGTGGAAACGTTGGCTGGAAGGGTTCTTTGCATGTGATCGCACGTATTCGACGGCGGCTTCGAGGTTCTTAACGGTTCGGGCAACGAGGACAAGGTTTGCGCCGCGGGCAGATAGCAGCTTGGCGACTTCTCTGCCCATGCCTTGAGAGGCACCAGTGAGGAGGACTGTCTACAACGATACATTAGTGGAGATCTGCTTAGTGTGGACTGGGAGTGCTTACCTTCCCCTCCACCGGGAACTGGTTCCCCTTCCAAAATGCGAAGCCCATAGTGTCCAGACTAACTATTCCCACAAGTGCAAGGACGAGTATGGTCGCAGCAAGAAGCCATTGAGACATTTGAAGAGTAAAATCTCAAAGCTAACGTCTGACGGATGCCTAGGACGAAAGGGGAGAGACATGGATCTTGTAAGCACTACAAGATGTCAACAAATCAATAGCGAGCAGTGGGCTGCTGCAAGTGGCATTCGGAACCGGTAGAGGCGCCTTCCCTATCTCAGACTAGTGCAGACCCTAGCGCGAAGGCTGATGGGCCGTGCTTTCCCGCGGCGGCCAAGATTTTGAAACTTTTTTGGACATCATCTTGAACATCGTCAGTTCGGCGCCACGGATCTCGACAACAGCAAATATGGCCAAGAAGAGGAAGGCTGGCGGCCGCGCATATGGCGACTCGAAGTCGTCCAAAGACGACGGTTCGAAACTCGCCATCAATTCTTGGGAAGATGTTGCTGATTCGGAGGATGAGTTCCTCTTGAACCGCGAGAAGGTCTTGCTAGACGAGGGGCCAGCTGCGAAGAGGTTAAGGAAATACCAAGAAGAGGGTGAGCAGCCTTTGAAATCGTTTGTCACTACAGTAATTAACTCCAGCAGATAAGTTCCTCGAAAACTCCGAAGAAGAGATCCTGGGCGACAACCTTAGCGACAGCGACGACGATGACGACGATGACGATGCCAGCGATGTTGCCGAACCCGACGGTCAGGCGCCTGAAGACGAGGATGAGGAGATGGACGAGGCTTGGGGTACCACAAAGAGAGATTACTACAATGCCGACGCGATCGAAACAGAGCAGGATGCTCTTGACGAAGAGAAGGAAGCACGTCGATTGCAGAAGAAGCAGCTTCAGGCCATGTCGGAAGCAGCTTTCGGTTTCGACGAGGACGAGTGGCTAGGCCAGGGCGAGGAAGAGGAGACAGAGGGTGGCGCGAGGGTCACAGAGGTGCTACCTCAACTACAGATCACAGACAGCATGTCTGAGGAGGAACGGCTCAAGATCATGAAGACACGATACCCCGAGTTCGAGCACATCTCAAGAGAGTACCTACGCCTGCAACCGCTGCACGACGAACTGGCCGCCGCCGCCAACGCCGCCGAACGACTGCTCAAGTCGCGCGCCACAAAATTGAGCAAGTCCACCCAGACCACCCCCATCGCCGTCACAAAATACCGAGCTTGCGCAGCATACCTCGCAGCCATGGCCATGTACTTCGCTATCCTGGGGTCAACCGCGAAGGATGATGGCTCGTCAGTAATCGCGCTGGACCCGAAGGAGCTGCACGAGCACCCGGTCATGGAGAGTTTGCTGAAGACACAGAGGTTATGGACAAAAATCGAGAGTCTACCAGTTGCCGACCCCATGGTTGAGACGGACGCGGACGAGCTTTCAGTCATCGAGGAAGCCAGCGCTCTGTCAGGCGCAGAGCCTGATCAGGCACCCAAGAAGAAGGCACAGAAGCAGAAGAAGACCAAGGCAGAGCGTGCCGCAGACACCGCTCGCGCTGAAGCTAAGGCTCGCCGCGCCGAGAAGCTGCTACAGACCGAGCAAGATCTTGGATCACTGTCAGCACTTACTGACAGAGCCGCACTCAAGAAGGCGTCGAAGAAAAAGAAGGCACCAGAGGGCAAGATCAACCTGCTCAACCCCGACGATTCAGACTTTGGCGAAGAGACCGATCTCACTGCACACGAACTGGCCGAGAAGGCGCGCAAGAAGAAGTCCCTGCGCTTCTACACATCCCAGATCGCCCAAAAAGCCAACAAGCGCGACGCAGCCGGCAAAGACTACGGCGGCGACGCAGACGTCCCACACCGCGAGCGCCTCAAGGACAGACAAGCCCGCCTGCAAGCCGAAGCTGAGAAGCGCGGCCAACACAAGGACGCCGGCCCCGGCGTCGCCCTCGGCGAAGGCCCAGACAGCTCCGGCGACGAAGCCGAGCCGTTCCGGCCAGAAGACAACGACTTCGAAGACGAAGACGGCTACTACGACATGGTCGCCGCGCGCAGCAACACCAAGAAGGCCGCCAAATCCGAGCGCGCAGCCGCATACGCCGAGGCCGCCAAACAGGGTGCTCAAGTCATCGAAGAGGAGATTGTGGGCGATGATGGGCGCAGACAGATCAGCTACCAGATTGCGAAGAACAAGGGGCTTACCCCGCACCGTAAGAAGAGTGTGAGGAATCCGAGGGTTAAGAAGAAGGAGAAGTATAAGGAGAAGCTTAAGAAGGAGAAGAGTATGCGGCCCGTGTTTGATAAGGCGAAGGCTGCGTCTGGGCATGCGAATTATGGGGGTGAGCTTACGGGTATTAAGAAGGGTATGGTTAGGAGTAGGAAGTTGTAGTTCTGGAGATCTGGAGGTTGTTGTTAGAGTAGGAATCATACCCCGTGGATCTCGTTCACACATCCTCACTCTTCCCTCCTCACATGCCGTTGTGATTTGTTTAATCGAAAAGTGTGTCGCATTATATGTCATATCGTTATCCTAACCCACAGCAGCCAGACGCCGTAGCAGGCTGCCCATCATGTCATATAATCGTATCTCATAACCTCGCACACATCGTGGTCGTGGTAATCACCTAACCATATCGGACGTTCTGCACAGTCCCATCCTCGCCAACGTGAATGTTCAGCCTCTCAGGCTTGTGGTCCATCGTGCTCATGCTGTCGGGCTTGAGTACGCGGTGCTCTTTGGGAAGGTCCTGCTTTGCGAAGGTCTGATCGAACTTATCAGCACTCGCTTGTCTAACAAACTGTGACTCGCCTCCACTGCGCGGCACTTGCATGCACAGGGTAGTGGGAAGAGCGGACAATAGGCGATAGTATGGGGAACGTACGGTCTCGTTGTGCGTGTCGCCGAGAGACTTGCCCATGAGCTTGCCCATCCAGTCGTCCTTGCCGTCCTTGGACTGTAGACCGGGAACTACAAGAGGCATCTTGTGTATCGAAGTAGTCGTAAGGGTGCGTGTGAGAGTTCGCGGGAGTATCGTGGTGGATCAAATTGTAGGCTGAAAGGTGATCTGGTGTATGTGTGTGAGTCTTGTATCGGAGAGAGATATGGGTATATATGCTGATAATATACCCTGGCAGGAGGCGAGAGATTACTTGGTCGAAGCGCGTTTGTCGGTCGAGATCGTAGGCTGCAGTCATGCGATACGCGGTATTTGGAGGTGTGACGTCACTTGCGTCTCGCTGCTGCCAATTGAGGGGTGGTGGGCCCATCACGGTCGTCAGGCTGAGCAGGGGCGATGGGCCGACCGAACTTCGTCTTGTGAACGCTGTCCACGCGCAATGATCGTTTTGGGGACTCGAGTCGTTGATGGCTGACAGTCTTGCGAGTATTCATCGTGTACGCAAAGTGGCTGTCGTACTAAAATGTCCGAATATTGGAGATTCCGACCGTACTGATCAAAGCTCAGAAGGTATCGCGCATGCGGCATTAGTAAGAAGGGGTTTGCACGTCATACTGCGAGTTCACATGATTTGTATGATTTGATGCAATTGCTGTATATTGTACACGCTCGGCTGTTCATGATGCTCAAACCCTGCCTGCAACTCTGATGCCACAAAAAGCTAACACAAGTATATACATCGAAGCACAGAAAGAACATAACGACGTTGTGAGCCTCAGGCAGCCTTACACTGTCAGCCTTACCGTGAAGACCCACACCGGGGACGCCGAATGCTTTGCCACTCTGGGGAAGCTTAATTGGACGTCACCCTCTCGACGTCCATGGAGTCAAGAGAACTCCTTAATGTTCAATTTCATGTTCTCCTCTTCTTTCCATTTCCAGGGGCCTCGCTGTCCCTCCTGATCAGCGCCCTTGTAGCGTTTGCTGTGCTAGATGAGTCCGGCTCGCGCAGCGTGTCGACCAATCGACCCATTGTTAGCATTGTGGAGTGGATGGCTTCCGGGTATTGGAAACATAACAATACGCTCGCTCGCATGGACAGAGCAGAGTACCATTTCTCCAGAATCCTGTTTCCGTTTCTGTGACTGGCTGCACCGACAGTGAGCCCGATCCAGAGCAGTACGCCAGCCATGTCCTGCCAACACTCTGACATGTTTGAAGCGTCAAGAGCGACCTTGAGCTTGAGGAGAAGAGCGGTTGATGTGTTTTGTGTCGGAGCGGTAATGTAGTCGGCGAATGGATTACACTCGTTGGGGGAAGACGTTGTCAATAGACGTGACGGACGGAAACTCGAAAGGTGGTAAGATGGACGTGAATCTGGCATCGATGATACGGAAGAATGCGACGTTGCTATTGACGATGAAGATGGGTGTGATACAGTTGACGATATGGAAGGGTGTGATGTTGTCATTGAAGAGAGTGAGGACCGCGATGCATCAAAGTATGAGCTTGAAGACTGAAAGGTGAGACTGTTCGCATATGATGAGACTGTGCCGGGACTAGTCAAAGAGTCATGGCGTAGGTTCATTGGTGACAGCGGTGAGGTTGGGGAGTTAATCGAGTGCGAGGACGTTACGAATGAGTATGGTGTCCCCAATACTGTCGTAGCAGCATGCGGAAGAGCTTTGGATAGAGGTATGCATTCCACGATCGCAGTGGCTTGAAGAATAGCCGTAATGCGGATAGCCTCGTATTTGTAATCATCTTGTGTTGGCCTCTGGTTCTGGGACACTGGTGGGTACTTGGTCGTAATGTCTCTGTAGAAGCTTAGAAGGGTCCTTGAATCTCGACGCGATGAATTTGTTGGGTTGACAAAGAGCTCGATCATTGATTGAATATCATTTAAGAGCTCAAGTGTCCGTTTCTTGTAATATCTCGACCTCCTGAGAGTTTCGAATTGGGGTCGCGGACGGTAGATAGGCGACTCGGGGATGATTGCAGTGACAGGGTGTCTTTTAGTCGATCGTGCTGTGCAGTAGTTGGAGAAAATGTCTCGTGGTCTTTCTTCGCGAAGTATGGCGGACTCAAGCAGTACCCACGAGCAGGTAGATGCGAGGTAGCCGCGCATTCCCAGCTGGTTGAGACCGCCACGCAGGCTAATCATCTTTTCGAGGCCGGCTTCGTGTATCCTTAAGGAGATCTCCTCACGTCCGATGACCTCGCTGACGATAAGCTGGATTAACGCGGTGATGTTGAGATCCCCAACTTGCTTTCCCGGGTGCACCATATTTTGACCAATAAGGTGCATGACTTCTTGGCGGAGTGAAGATGTCTCAACACTTTCAATGTCGCGTTCGAATATGGCATCCAGGTGTGCTGAGGCACAACACAATGTACTCAGGAACGTGTGTGGTGCGCTGAGAACAGTAGGAATCCAGTGCTGGCCCATCGCGTAGGTACCAAAGAATCGTGCACAGAGAAATTTCATCCTTTCTACCGACACTCGTGGGTAGCTTGATTGAAACATCGTCTTGAAAGGATCAACGCCCTCACCAAACGAGACGAACAGTGGGTATGCTTCACGATCGTAAGGCAGTGGCATACCGTGATCATTTGTTCTGGGAGGGGCAATGAGTGCTGTTTCGAGAGTATCCTCGTGTGCTCTCTGCCCCGCGGGTCTGTGAGCTTCGGGCCTTGAGGGTTGCTGACTTGGATGTGAATATGTCGATCCTGCTGCAGAGCTTTGCATCCCTCCACTTATGCCCTCAAGCCCGTTCGGAATCGTCGATTCTTCATTGGCGGCATTCGCGATGGCTGCATATTGACTTTCAATGTTTGACTGTGAACCAGCAGAGTCCTCACTCATAACTCGTGACCGCTCAGTGACTAAGTTCTTGGGCTCCCTGGCTCCTTCTTTGTTGGCCTCTAGGTAAGCCCGCATCGCTCTCTTGCGCACAGTAGTCATGTGCTTCTTCGACTTCATCTCTGCAGGTGTATTGCCCACGATGAAAGCAAATCCTCCGTCTCTATTGTTGTTGCTGGTGACGGTGGTGGTGGTGGTAGGAGTGGCTGTTGTCCGTGGGCTGACCGATCTGCGCGGTTGAGGAGCTGAAGACCGCAGGTATTAGTGGGCTGTTGACGTTGAGTGAGAGGTATGAGATGAGAAGCGATGAAAGTAGAAATTGCGCTGGATACAGCAGACACGTAGGAGAGTGGAGAAAGAAAGTCATTGTATAGCCGAGCTAAAGAAGCAACTGCGATTGATGTGCTCCCAACAACGAAACTGTACTGAAGTCAATGAATTGATATGCTCACCATTCGGATTCGATTCTGTACGCGGCGCCATGTTCCAAGAGAAGCTCGAATCAGAGATGATGGTTGAGGCAGGTGAGATGTAGGAGGATGCGGCGTGCGATTGTTGATCGGTGTAGAAGAGGGGCAGTCCCGTAGCGGCCATCATCAAACGTTCAAGGTCTGGAGAAGCAATGTGATCGTGAGGACTACACCATGCTCTTCTGCAAGGCTTGTTGCATGGGCTTGATTGTGGTAGCGATCGGCGAACTGGCAATATAGGGCTGAGGAAGTGGGTCGCTGGCTTATATATCTTCGTATTTGCGAGTTGCACGGGTCTTCTAGAAGACTTGTCTCACCCGTTTGAATGCTTCGCTTCGTGCTAGAGGCGACTAACGGTAGGAGTCATGCGTCATGCAGCAATTAGCGAATATGCGCAGCACCCGTGAGTACGGTGAAAGGTCGTTGTGGAGACAGAAGGGCGGGTTGAAGTTTTTGGCAGTGTGAGCAGACGATGCACGTAACAAGGGGCGGGGCCTTGCTAGGCTCTAACCCGCGATACGTACGGGTCCACCAGCCGTCGTGCAGGCGCCAGCAAGACAGCCAAGCGTCGTTAGCGATGCTCTGAAAGGGATGTTGTGCAAACCCATGGTCTGTTCAAGACAGTGGATATGCTGTATCACCGCCATGAAAGAGGCAATGAAGGGAAGGGCCGGTGTCCCGGCTGCGCTACCACGTAAACTATCATGTAGAACTAAAGAGCGTTTTTGTGGTATCGTTTGCAGCATCTCAGCATTCTCTGTACTTCGGTAGAAAGATTCCGGGTGCAACACGTGCGATGCTGACGCCTCAACTGACCAGGAATCACACCGCCGGCCGAACTCCCCACTTCGCCAGCAGAGACCTGTCAGGTCGCACCCATCGTTACAACAACCAATCAAATGGGCCTGGAGATTCGTGTTCGTGCATGCTGCGGCGGTGATGACAGATGGTGAGGGGCTTGCTGCAGAGCTGCGTTGGCTTCATCGCTACACCACACCATCAACATGTACTAGACTAGGGTCATCCTACCAGGCGATCTGTTTGTCGTGCTAGGAGAGGCGCGGAACGAGGCGCGTTGTGGCTCACAACATCACTGAGATGGCCGCATCAGGCTATATGCTTGTCAAGGATTCACATGCGTCCAGAACAATGCGTTTGCATGACTTTTAGCTCTGCATGATGTGGGAGCTTGTTAAGAGACTTGACTTTAGAGCTGGGGCGTGAAGGTCTGGATCACTTCATTGCGATATTCACTTTTCCCGCTCGAGCACCCCGCACGTCTTCGGTCTATGAGTCCCGCCGATCTTACGACTCGGCTATGGAGAATAGCCGAATAGTAGTCGTGCCAGATTAGATTTGAGGTTGCATCTGTAGTACTCAAGGATCACTGTCGACTAAGCGAGCTCCCAAGCCAACGCCGAAATAATCGGTCGGTTCCTGCGCAGTAGTGTTCCTGCGACTTGGCCGTCGTCCACCAGGACTGGCGTTACTCCCTGCTGAGCTTCTACTTCCACTTGATCCGTCGCGGTCTTTGCGATATCCATTCGTACCGGCCCGACCTCTTGTCGGGATGTTTAGACGAGTCGTCTCGAAGGTGAAATGAGACTGCCCATATCCTGGTTCTGCTGACGGCGTCTTAAGCTCCACGAGCTCAAGTGTCCGTTGTAGGGTTGCACCCGTTTCATCAAGGGCCATGAGGAAGCGTGCCAGCTCCTTGCACAGCTCCCAATCTTGTTCTTGCTTTGCGCGTTGCAGTAAGCGGACTACTTGGTCGCCTGTAGACTGTAGTTCTTCGAACGTATGAAGCACAAGTAGATAGCCTCCCGCAGTCTTCAGATTGCCTTTTTGAAGTGACTCCTCGAACAATTCTTCCGGTGGTGGCAAGTTTGCGAATAGTGTCCGCCAAGATCGGACTTCCGTCTTGCGCGTACATTGGACGACGATATCGAGGTATTGCGGAAACGAACTCAGAAACGACAACACACTTGGTAGTAGCGCCTGCTCTGGCGGTGGCTGGGTATCAACTTCTTCGTCGAGTACCTCATGCAGTAAGATCTCGAGGGCATGCGGAAAATACAGCAGATGTTGGTAGTGGTGGCTGAGGTATAGGGCTGCAGGGTGATTGTACTGCGCCAAGTGATACCGTAGCGTTGCGGGAAGGAAGAGGTGTGTCTGCAATGCATGTCAGCATATAGTCGTTCGGCAACGTCAGTGATTCGTGGTTGTAGCGCGCCAACGTACCCTCGTTCCAAATCGCAGGTAGGCAAAGTTAGTATCCCTGCGCTGGACGAGTTCTGATTCTACACCAAAGATGATTGCCTTGTTGAGCAAGGCAGACAAAGGGTAGAAGTCGACGGGAATCTGGACGGGTGTAGGCAGATCCCTACCAAGCTCTGGGGATGCAGACGCAAGCACATCTTGCATGTCGATCCATACTTTCATGTCCTGACCATCGAAGTACCATAGAGAGTCTCGCAGGTCGTGACCATGACCGTGCACACCATTGATGGCCAACCCTACCGAAGGACTGGGTGGAAGAGAATCCTCGTGAGATTCTAGTGCAAAGGCAGGATGGTCACGCATCAACGCATACGTTTCCACATTGTGTGCGATGACCCGCATCTCATACTTGAGTTCACCGCCTCCAGTTGTCGTGGGCTGAAGCAGTACAAGCTTCCCATCGACAAGGAACAGAATCGTGGCAACGGATACATCTTGAGACGGATCGCCGTGATCTAGCCAGTATCAGAGAGTCGTTGAAGCTGTAATGCGCCGGAGGACTTACGAATCTGGTCTTCTGGTAGGATCCAGCTGAGTGCTCTTACCCTCGTGGGTGCGCGAATGATGCCATGTAGGGCGATCTGACCGACCTGGATCAGATTCACCGTAGCATCAGAGACACTCATGACATAGTGATAGAGAATGTTCTCATAGGTATAGACAAGTAGGGAGTCCTCTCCGGACGGTGCAATAAGTACGATCGGAGCTGGTAGTCTCTGCACATGCATGATGTGGTTGTTGTCGAGTGCTGATTCTCGGGAGTATATTCGAACCTAATGAGCCACTGTCAGTACACATCGGCTCGGGACGCAGAGGGAAGGGTTCTTACTTCATGAGAGTTTTGCGACTCAACTGCCGCAATAAGCACATGCTGAAACCAGCACATACCGCCACGAACGGTGAACTCATTCTCTATGAATGGATCATCAAATGTTTTCCAGCGCCCGCTGTTGACGCTGTAGTGTGCAAGCCCTCTTCTTCCGGCAATCGCCACATATCTTCCGTCATTCGAGATCACTACGCTTTTGATGGGCCACTGGTCTACCAGATAGTATGACGGCACCTGTACATTATGCCACAGGGATAGCTCTGCAGAGATTGTCGTCAGATCGGGCAGATCATAGCCCCGGTAGATCATGAATCCTGTGCTTGTTTGCATCAAAGATCTCGACACATTGGATGACAAGAAACATCCAGTCACAGCGCTTCGAGCCATTTCGACAACGAATAGCCGGTTGTCGTTGTTGCCAAGTATTAATAGTTCAGCGCCGCCGCCAATCCAGAAGGCATCCTTCACGCCGAGTAGCCATCCCTCGCCGTTCGTCTTCGAGATGGTTCGGTCAGTTGTGAAGCTAGTAGCGCCTGGTTTGCCATACACACTCCACATAGCCCAGCCGTTCTCATAACCAGCGAAAAGGCAATACCCATCTGGGGAGTACGTCAAGACGTTCAGCTTGCCGGGAGACGAAGTATTGGGTTGCAGTTTGTGAGAGATGGGGATGTTGCCGGTATAGTCTCGAACAGTGTAGACGTAGATATCACTGTTCTTGCAGCCTACGGCAAGTAACGAGAATCGGGCATTGATTGCAGCCTTCACTCCGTTTTCGCCACTTGTTTCTGGTGTATGAAAACCATATCCTCGGAAAAGGTTCTGTGGTGCGCTTCCTTCATGCTTGGGGTCTGATTTCGATCTTTGAACAGCGAACGCTTGGCCTTCTTTGGTGATCCAGCACGACAGGTTCATAGGTCGATCGTGGGTCATATCAACTAGTGCAGGCTTCTTCCCCAGCCAGCTCATCTTGGTGAGCACCTCGGTGCTTGTTTGGCTCCCTTGGTTGTCTGGTGCCCATCGTATGCACTGCATCGCCGCAGGCTTCGCAGTCGCCACTACCAGCTCATCATCCAGAGCTAAAGCTTTCACAATCCCAGCATCGACGCGTATGACCATGCGGAAGCGAAGACTGAGCTCTTTGAGTCCACTGCCTTCTCCAGGTCCAGCATTAGTGTCATGCTGACGCTGTATCTTGAACCCAATGGCACTGCTCCTTCTCGAATGCGTTCCATGTGTGTCTGTGAACTGTGTCTTGTACACGCGGGACGAGTGATCTGTTGCGAGAGAGTATGTGATCAGGAATCCGAGTGTGGTCTGAACGACGAAGATCTGAGAGTCGGGGCGGAGTAAGATGTCCGTGTTCGGGCCATATGTCTTCAACGACTGCTGCGAGCGTAGAACTGAAGCCAGGATGACGGTGGGCTTGACTTCACATTAGTAACGCCTGGTTGCAGGGAAGTAATGAAAGTACCTTCGTCTGCCATATAGTCAAGGTCGTTCGAGTGAGGGTTGCGAACGATTGTCCACTCCTTGTCACTCGAATGGCAACAATCTCGCCATGGACATCATCTTCCGCAAACTGATCAGGACTGCCCTTTTGACGCGCTTTCTGCTCTTTCCCTTCCTCCTTCACCCCTTCTGTCCCTGTATTCGACGTGTCATCGTCGGTCTCGTTTGTGGATCCGGCCTCAGACGCGCCATCCCGTTCACTCTGCGACGCTTGATCGGTACCATCATGGGATATAGGCGTGCGCTCGAGATTCGTGTTCTTAGCGGCCGCAAAGACGGAGGGAGAGGAGATGGGCCAATACGTCATGGCGGTCTACGGACAATTGGATGCTTCATTTGCGCGTGCCCATCTCACTGTGGGGTGTGAGATCATTCACGATGCGCGTATTGGTGGAGCTTCTGCAGAGCCGCACCTGCAGTGCGGCGTTCGTTGGAACGTGGAAGGCGCTGGTCAAAGCTTCACACCATGCGAGCTGAACATCTGAACGATCATGGATGTATGGATGCTCATAGCTACACTGACCTAACGTGATTTGTACGAATAGCAATCGATCAGCTTAAAAATTGAAGGGCCTTTCCTAAGATGGTAGTTATTGATCCCTTGTCGGTTGCTGTGTACAATTGCGCATTGAGTAGTTGCATACTTACACATATTTTAGTCACAAGCTGTCATTCTTTGCAATAAGCAGATGCGGGCTAGTCTCTCTTAAGATCATATCAAACAATCTATCGCAATGCGTGGAGAATCCTTAAAGTTGTTTAACCCAAGACCAATGCCAAGACTTGATCAGCTCATCCATCCACCTACCAAACTGTCTCAAGTCCCTGCTATCATCACGATCACATCTACTCCCCTCAACGCCACGTACATACCGTGTGACCACCGAAATATCGCTGCCTCTGTCGCACACTCGTTCCGTAGAAAGGAAGCTCAGAATAGATACCACAATGGCTTTCTTCGGCACGGTGCTCAACACCATTGGCGCATTGTTCCTTACACATGCGTATGTTTAGAATACTACCCAGCACATTAGCTGGACAGTCAGTAAAAACAACGGCTGCTAACATTGCTTGCAGTATCTACTCCGCCCACGAGCACACCACAGCCTTCGCCAATACCCCGCTTCCCCTCGACATCACCCTTGAGCTCCTCGTCGGTGTCATCATCCTCTCTACCGGCATTGTAATATCTGCCGATAAGCTAAAGCCAATCCAATACGCCAAGTGGGCAGGCCAGATCTCTCAGGAGGGCAGGCATGGAGAGGGCAAGTACACAAGAGAAGGAGAGGAGATCCTGAGCGAGGGAGATCCTTACGCCTTCCTAGGGCTTGATGGCGGTATTGGTGGGAAGGGTGAAGGTAGGCGGGGCTTTTTCGATGTCAAGGGCAAGAGGAAGGAGTATGATGAGTGGGTGCGCGGAAAGCAGTAGGAGCAGGAACATCTGGCGACAAGAACCTCGTAAATCGGGCGATATGAGGATCGCTGTGTTGCATAGCAGCAGCAGAATAGACAGGATATCATTCATCAGGTGCGATTCGATATACATTGAATGGTCGTTTCAGAACAAATGGCTCAGAAGCTCAAGGCTTGCCCAGCTTCGTATATACCCAGGAACGCCAAAGACCCGCTTGAACGCAAAGCAATGCTCCCATCATGCATCATGACAAGTATGCGTCCTTTTGTCGACCTTTCGCTTCCTATACGTTTCCTGTCATCTTCTCCACTCCGCCAGCACCACATGCATGAGCTTTGCAAGCCCAGCACTCATTCCCTTCCATCGCCTGACCAATTGCCGCAACGTCGGCACTCCTACGTCTCCCTCTTGCTTCAGCGTCTGCGTTGACGTCAACTCCACTGACCCACCAGATACTTGCAGCCACAATCTGCATAACAATGTGGAGGTCCTTCTCCGTTCTCGGCGCATAGATAAGGACGAACTCCCGCGGCACGAACCTCCTAAACCAGCCTCCTTTAGCCAGCGGATGTCTCTCACCCCATCCGTTCTCGAGCATGATCTTTGCGTCCGCGGGGTGCAGCGTGAGGTGCAGAGAACCGTCCGAAGGATGAGCGTGGCAGATCTCTCCACCGCACGTGCGCGTGATAGGCACAGACGCGAAGAGGCCGGAGCTGTTCTTCTCGAAGCAGCTCGTGCGTTCCAGGAGCATGTTCGCTGGCTCCTGAGCGTAAGCCCTCATTCGCTCAACGAGCTGTTCGTACATCTTCTCATCGCTCTTTTGTGCTTGTTGGCGTTGTGGAGCAATGCCTTGCACGAGTGGCCGTTCTCCGGAGCGAGTTGGTAAGGACTCCAGATATCCCTTCTGTGGGCGGAAATGCGATGGAATGGGCAACGGTCGGAGTGGATCTCGCAGGGAAAGGAGACCGAGCGTTTTAACTTTCAAGTAGCCAAGTGGTGTTGATGGAGTACCCCCAGGGCCGAGCGAGAGGAACGCCTTGTAGTCATGGTAGACATAGAAAGCCGTCAAGATGGGGAGGGTGAGGACCAGTAAGGTGGTCAGGACGCGAAAGTGACCCTCTGATGTGAACGACTTGCTATACAAGTCGAGATCCATTGTTGCGTCGTTATTTGTCTGGTTGTGGTGGAAAGGTATGGACAGGACCAATCGAAAGTTTTGTAGAGTGACGATCGTAGGTGTTGGCCTGAAACAAGCTCCTGCTGTTGCAGCGTTTACTCTGGCTCAAAGCAGTGGAAATTGAGGTCCGCGGACAATGACACAAGAATTACAGTAGATGCAATTGTTTCAATTCTTCAAAATAAACACCCGATGATATTGAAAACAGTCTCCGCGAGCCCAGAAACAGCAGACATTGTTAGTCCACCACCCTTTGCTTACCTCCAAGGTTTATATACTTCCCCTCAAGTCCTCAGCCAAAACACAACCAATGTTCTCCGCAACGTCAAAGGGTCGTCGTGCAGGTACCACGTGCGATACCTGTTCTGTGCTAGCGCCCTCTCTGATTTGTCCACTTACGACTCTGTGACGCAAATTGGCGAGGTTGGGTGGAGTACCCGTTTACGCGGAGGCACAACGCAGCTTGGTGCAGGATCACAGCTCCGTCACAATGCGTTTTTCGTAAAATAGCCAATCGTCGATGTGGAGTTTCAAGGGGATGCTCAGGGATGGACCCAAGGATGGTAAGGTGATCTTCCCGCGGACTTGAGGCGGTCAACGGGCATCGTCAACCTCGTATCGAAGTACTCTCAAGAATTCATAGAGCAATTGAGCTGCTAGTTTTCTCAGCAACAGTACAATACTCTGTATTTACAGCAGTGGTACTCACAGATGACCATCCTTCAGATTCTTGATCATGGTGATGGTTCCCTTATGAAAGCCGTCTATCTTGCCGTCGTGCCCTGGATGGTGGTAGTTTGCTACGATCCGGTGGTTGTTGGATAGCTCAAGAGACGAAAGTTGAGTCAACAACGACGACTTCGTTGGAAGAGAAATAACTAACGACTAGTCTAAAATATCCAACCAGTTTCTCAAAACGGAAAGAATAGCTAGCTTACAGAGATGAAGGTGAAAGTTCAAACAGGCGGTCTGAGATAAGGACGATAACTCAAGTCTGATTCAAGATCTCACGGAAGTACGGAAGGCAGCTTCAAAACGACGTTTAAACTCTCCTTGTTTCTATCTAAGTTCACAGAGTCTTGGAACACGGTTGTCAAATCAGTCGCTGTCCGAGCTGCTCTCTTCAGAATCCTCACTCTCGTCGGCCCGCTTCTCCACTTCCTTCCCAGCCTTCTTCTTGACCTTATTTCCTGCTTTCTCATCTGCCTTTTCCTCCACCGTCTTACCGTTCCTCACTTCCTTCTCCTTCTTCTCCATTTTCACCCCCTTCCCACCCTCTGTATCTTCTCAAACCCCGGATTAAACTTCCCCTGCACCTTCTCCCACAAGTCCTCCAACGTGCCCAGCACCCCCTCCTGGCTAACCCGGTTCATCAAGACCTTATAACTAGTCTCCAGCCCGTCCCTACTATCGCACTTGTACACGATGACGCGGGCAATGAAGAGCGACTCGCTTCGAAAGATGAAGATGTCGAATTTGCTTAGAGGATAGCCGCTGATGCAGAAGGCACCGATTTGCGCTGGGAGTGGTTAGTGGATGAGGGAAGTATTTGCAAGAGGGGGAATGGAGAGGGAAAGGGTATATATGAAAAGGTCTTTGAGGGCTTTGGCTGTGCTGATTTGTGAGCGGGGGAAGCCGGTCGTGTTGTCTTGCATGGTGATGGATGGAGGAAGACTCTGGTAGTTGGAGGATATGCTGTTGCCTGAAGAGCGCAGTTGCAGAAAGCTAAATCGCACATATATATTCGAGAGAGGGATGCGAGCGTGCTCGTCTAGTACGTCCGTGAAGGCGCACATTGGGCAACGCACGCGCATCAAACGAGTCGAAGAAGCCGGTGGTGCCATATGAGCACCAAGGTCCAAACGAAGAGACCTTGGCAGTGAATCGCAGCCGCCTCGTATCTGTAGCAAGCAATACAGACTGGGGAAGAGTCTGGCTACGTCGTGTCTTGTGCTTGGTTTTGAATGAACTCCAACGGTGAAAGTGAATACATTGCTGAATTGCTGGGGTGAGAGTGACTTGCAAGTCTGGTGCTGATGTGTACGCGACTTCCCACCGTGTGAGGAAAGCACTACTTCATCAACGTCCACTCACCAATATGAACGCCACAGACCAGTCAAATCTGCTCTCGAGCATCAAGCTCATAAAAGATCTCAAAGACCTCATCCTATGTCAGTATGAGTTCATATGGCGTTGTGTGCCTCCTACTCACCCCAACATCAGGCGAAGCCCGCGCTCTCTTCGATGCCCAACAGTCAGCGGATCGCGAGTACGACGTCATCATTTCCAAGATCCATGGTGGTACCGGCTACGAGTACGAAGCGCGCCTCATCATGTACACGGCCGAGTCCGCCGCACAAATGTACAATGAATGGCAACTGCTGCAGGTGAACCCTTGCCTTTGTGAGAGCCCTGTCGACGCCATGGCGGATTTGCTGGAGGGCTTGTATGAGCGAGCTGGGAAGATGGTAGAGGAAATGGCGGAAGGCGCAACATATCGAGGCGTTTGAGCTGACAGGAGCTTTTCAGTAGCGTTGGGTGTCGCGTGTCCAGAGTCTGATACGGCAGCGACAATTTAAGGCTTGTGTGCCATCCATTGCGATTAAAGCCGTCGTGGAGGTGTTCAGTAACCGGATAGCCCAAGAATATCAAGGCAACCTAGCTCGGAGAACCTAGGTCTAGTGCCCCCACCTCTTCTGATACCCCCTTCCGCAGTACCTTCCCCAGCCTCTAGGGTTCCACGTGCAGTCACCGCCAGACTACCAGCCACGTGCACAAGTGTACTGACAATCGGCATCGAACCCCCATCGCCAACCTCGACCACCTCATCCGCTTCAACAGCACCATCCTTCATGTACGGATCCTTCCATACCCGCACCTTCCCATCCGTCCCACCAGCCCAGACCTCATGCGCAATGCTCTCAACATCATAAGGTGAAGCCCCAGCATTCCACACATCAAACCCCAGTTTCTGTCTCGTAAGTGCTTTCCTTCCTGCACAGTACCCCAGCGCAAGCGAGAAGTTCCGCACATCGTAGATGAGCAGGACATCGGACTGGCGCTCCGCAACGTACAAGTACCGACCGCATGGGCTCCATTTGAGACTTGAGACCCCTTCGCCCATGATGTGTGTTACGTTCTCGTTTCGTACTTTCTTCCCGTCAACGGTGCCGGGGAGCGAGAAGTGCGTCACTTCACTGCCGCTGATGCAGTCGTAGATGCCTACGTAGCGTGTACGTGCGCCTGCGGCTAGGAGGCCTTCTGAAGAGGTGGTAGTCGGCGGTGAGACGGATAGCGCGGAGATGTAGCCTTTGAAGCCGCGACCGCCGCCTTTGAGTTTGTTGCGCTTGGAGGGGATAGTGGGAATGGTGTGGATGGGATCGTCTGTGTTGGTCAGGTTGAAGATGGCTATGCCGTTCTGCCCGCCGGCGAAGAAGTGGGTTCCAGAAGTCGAATAAGCGAGGCTGAGTGGTGCGGTGACGGCTTCGTTGAGGTGGTTGATGAGCTTGTAGGAGGCCAGAGGTGTGTGGATGTCGACAGGAGAGCTTTGCGATTCTGGACCAGTGTTTGCGCCAGACACATCCCAGAGTGCATTATGTAGAGTGATGTATCTGTCCCGCCGACTGACAAGTACATGCGTACTGCTGGAATCCTGCAAGTTGAACAGAGGGTTAGCCGCAAACGCCCAGATGGGATCTGCAGACTGGAATTGAGCATACATCTTCAGAGGTTGTGTAGCGGTCGATTCGAGTATGTCAGTACCGATGGGATAGACGGAGAACGCGCGATTGTAATCGGAGGTGAAGATACATGTCCCGTCTGGCGACAGTTGCGCTTCCTGTATGCAGCTCGTTGATGCAAGCGGTCTGACAGGTGTTGAGATCCTGGAGCCGGCAATGCTACTGTCTGATTCAAAGTCGCTTTCTTCGCTTGAGCCTGATGATCCTGATGATACTGGTGTTACAAACCCCTCGTGATATAGGCTGTCATCGTTCTCATCTTCAAAATCCCCAGCACAGTCACTACTGCCCTTGCTATCCCTAAATCCTTCTTTCACTCGTCGCTCTTCAGTGATAGCCTCATCATGGGATTCTACATTTCGTTGCCTGTTTCGATCCGTCCCTTGCCGTGCGTCTGCGACTCTTGTGCTCGCCAGACATCGCACCGTCAATCCAGGCGCACTCATCATTCACCAACACTCAATCTTTCCATCTGCTCTGGTTCTGCTCCTCTTCTCTTCTTCAAATCTCAAAAGTCGTGTTTGGTGTCAAGTCGCGTGCCATCGCGTGAACTTGATAGGGCTGACGCACAGACTCCCAAAAAGTTCCATCTCGGAACTGACGTCGGCGATCGAGCTCAAGCTTCACCTTCCCACTCCACCATGAGTGTCCTCGAACCCAAGCGCAGACAGGCATGGGTTGAGTCGCCGTATATACGGTCGCTGTTGGTAAGCTCCGTCTTTCCTTTTAGTCATACGTTAATTCCAATTGCTTCGAAACTTCAATTACAGGACTGCCGCGCAACCTCTGAGGTCGCACGTCAATGACAGCTTCAACATGAGCTTTGATAATGCCATTGCGCGCCCACAGTTCTCTCTCCGGATTCCTTGGAGCTTTACACGCTAATTCTCCCCGTCTATTCTTTCTTGATACATCTAAGCAAGCTAACATTCCCCAGGCCGGCGGCCTAGCAGGCACAACAGTCGACATGTCTCTCTTCCCTCTCGATACTCTAAAAACGCGCCTCCAATCCTCCGCCGGCTTCACCGCATCCGGTGGCTTCAAGGGCATGTACAAGGGCGTAGGCTCCGCGTTCTGGGGCAGCGCACCAGGCGCCGCACTCTTCTTCATAACTTACGACGGCGTCAAGCGCAAGTTCGCGTCGCGCACAACGACCGCGCGGAACGCCTCAGGGCAGGAGTATACGGTGGAAGTTGATAGTGGAGCGGGTGTGCACATGTTGGCTGCGAGTCTGGCAGAAGTGGCAGCGTGCGCGGTCCGCGTGCCGACGGAGGTTGTCAAGCAGCGCGCGCAGGCGAGCCAACACCCGTCCTCGCTCTCCGCTCTCACCCATATATTAAACCAGCGGAGCACACACGGCCTCGCACACGTATGGCGCGAGTTATACCGCGGCTGGAGCATAACCATTATCCGCGAAATCCCCTTCACCGTGATCCAATTCCCGCTCTGGGAATCCCTCAAGCGGTGGCGGCAGTCGCGAACCGGTCGTTCTCAAGTGTCTGGACTGGAAGGCGGGTTGCTGGGGAGCGCGGCGGGCGCGGTGGCCGCGGCGTTTACGACGCCGCTGGATGTGCTGAAGACGAGGATGATGCTGGCTAAGGAGAAACAGCCCATGTTCACTATGCTGAGTAGGATTTTGAGGGAGAGTGGGCCGCGGGCGTTTTTCGCGGGGATAGGACCTAGGGTCGGGTGGATTAGTGTTGGGGGTGCGATTTTCTTGGGGAGCTATCAGTGGGCGAGTAATTTGTTGGGGGGAGAGGCTGAGGCGTAGCCGCAAGCGTAGATGGATGGACGTGGTGGCGAGTACATTACTGGTGGATGAGAATCTGGGGAAATGTTGTAAGATAGATCTAAAGTGTCGACGAGATTCGACTACATATCCAAGAAACCACCCCTTATAGACAGGGTGTATACGACCCCACATCCATTCGCTATATACAATCCAAAATGCCAGCCAAGGAACGTCGAGAAATCTCCAACTCCCATATCCAACTCCCGCCAATGCTTCGTGCTCACGTGGCCACCTCCAAGTTACCTCAAGGGCCAAATGCAGCATTCCTGTCGCCCTGACTTGAATGCTGACTCCTACCTGCCTCGCTACTCGGCTTGCCTTCACTCACGTTGCTGCTTCCTAGACCCGATGAGAGACCGCCTTGCTGCACCGCGAATGGCAGTCCGGGATGCTGGGGGTGCTGTTTGATCTCCTTGCGCCCGTTGGCTTTGTAGTGCAGGAGGACGTCGCCGCCGCCGCGCCAGACGTGGGCGCGCATCGAGGCGAGGGTCATACGTGGGTCGATAAGCTGTACAATGTCAGTATACAGATAGTGATGGGGAAATGAGTTCCGGCGTACCTGGCCATTGCAGTAGAGCTCGAGGTACTCGTGCGGTCGCAGCGCTGTGCCCTCTGCTTCTTCCTTCTCCTGCTCTTCCTTCGTAGGGGCAGGTTCGATGCGCTCAGCCACATAACCAAGGATCTTGCGGGCGCGCAGCATGCGGTTGGCGTTGAGGCGGTTGTTACTAGATGTCGTCAGTATTGCAATGTCGTGGGTGTATGAGATAGAAGAACGTGACGTACCCATCTGTTGATATGGCAGGAAGCGAGTTCTGGTATGGTTCGAGGACGAAAGACACCTTTACAATGTCCTTCGGTGGAAGTTGGTTCTATGGCAATTAGTTAGCAAAGATGTCCCGTAGAGTTAATCACAGTACATACGCGCAACAATACCTCACCAAGCCACATAGGCGCAGCCTTCTCGATGAGATCGGCCTGTAGAGCCAGCGTAGCGACCTTGCCCTCAAACAGATCCGCAACACCACCAGAGCCTGGACGGTCTTCCTGAATGAGGATCGTAGTCATAGCGGGAGGCTTCAACACAGGCGTATCGTTGGGCAAGCTAGGCGCAATCGCGGAAGCCAAGTCAGTCACGCCTGTACCCAAGGCCTCTTCGTAGCCGTGCCGTATCCGCTGTATCGAGCCGAAGAAGTTGTCTTCGAAAGACTTTCCGTTCGTCTTCGTGGACCGTGAATCGCTGTCATCCGCCTTCTCATCGACAACAGGCTTGGGTGCCTCAGTGGCGATGGCAGTGCCAGTGGCGAACATCTTCTTGCTGAAGCCCATGTTGAACTTCTTGCCAAACATACCCTTGCCCTTCTTCGATGGCGTATCCTCTGCAGTAGGTGACGACACAGTCTCTTCCTTCGTTTCTATCGCGCCTTCCGCAGGCCTGCCATTCCCGTTGCCGTTGGTCGAAGCCGCTCCAAAGTAATCCTGGCCATCCTGAGTCGAGCTTCGCTGTGACTTAGTGGGCTCAAGCTGGTTGCTGTCTTCGTTTGTCGGTGTCAGGTACGCGTTGCCATGTGACCCTCGTCCTGCGCTGTGAGGCGGTATTTGGGGAGTCGCCAAACCAATGCCCATGCCACCAGGTGTGTGTGGGAAGTGGAAGCCATTGCCCTTCAGCGTAGAGCCAGAAGTAGGCCCCGAAGCGTTCCAGCCGTTGATATGGACATTCGGCATCTCAATGTTCGTCGGTCGACCCGTCTGCGCTTCTTGCTGCTTCTCTTGCAGACGCTTGGCTCGATAGACTTCATCGCGCTTGATCTCCTCGTCGATGAGATTCGAAAAAAGATACCGCAGTATCCATTTGCCAAGATTGATTCTGTGATCTTCGCGGAAGTCGATTTGCTCTTCCAATTGCAGCTCATCCGCATACATCTCAGCGTCGAAGCAGTAGTTTTCTTCAAGCACGCATGTCAAGGTCCCTATCCTGGTGTCGACCGCGCACCAATGTGCAACGCTTTCTTGTGTGTTGACCTCCGGTAGCACGTCCTCCATATGCCTTTTGCCGAACGACTTGATCGGGGCACATTGTAGCAGATCCCATAGCATGCATTCTCCCGCTGTGTCCATAGTCAAGACTCGCCTGCGATCATTGAGGAGATGGTGCTTCATGAGTCCGTTTTGACCTTCGATGCAGAAGTCTGGCGCGCTTCTCACGGGAACGATACCTCCATGTTCTGCTGTCGTCAGAGCTTCTGATGGCTTCCGCGTGCTGGCCAGTGTCGACGCGTCTGGGTCTTTAGTGCACAGTTGCGGGTAGGGCGCGGTGTTCGACATGCGTAGAAGCGCCTTCCCAGGTATCTTCGGTGTGGCGCCGGTGGTGGGTGGGCTCGATGCGGGAGGCGACGGGTAGCGTGAACGTGTGGTGGCCACACTGTTCCGGTGCCACCTGTAAGATTCCGGTAGCTCAACCTCTGCGCTGGTGTCGATGTTGCTCCATCTGTTGATGCTGGAGCTCGAGGTTGCAGTCCAGATGTAGTCGCCGGCGCTGACGACTCTGCCAACACCCTCATGCTCCTGGCATACGGCGACGGAAAGACCCTCGTCCCATTCAGCGCAACTGCGCACATCGGTTTTCGCGACGGTGCCAGATCGGTCGGAGGAGTAGAAGACGGAGAGCTGAGGATCCTCGGAGAATAGCGACCATACGCTGTCGTTGTGCATGGTGAGGGTGTGCATGCAGCGACCGGCCGTCATGGACCACACCTTGACCGTTTGATCGGACGAAGCTGTCAAGATGGTCTCTCCATCCTGCGCAACCAAGATGTCGCGCACGTTATCTGTATGTCCGACGAACTTGGTGATGCGCTTGCCCGTTCGAGAATCCCATACACGTACGACGCTCTCAGGTCCACCACTGGCGATGATGTTCGGTGTAGCAGCCAGGGCGTAGACTGACCCCTTGGCCGAGGAGTTGTCGTCCTCACCCACATGAATTTCCAGCCTCCTGCCGCCGCCATTAAGGTCCCACAGGCTGATCTTCCGGTCCAGTCCGCCTGACGCCACCCAGTTCTCGTGCTGGCCGGGCGAGGCAACGCGCTTAACGTAGTCGGTGTGCAGACCAATGGTCTCTGGGGGAACGGATTCGTGGGCGGCCGGGCGCCATACCTTTACAGTGATATCGGACGAGGCGGAGACGAGGGCGGCGCTGTTGTTGGCGAGGACAAGGTCGTTGATCCAGTGGGTGTGCGCCTGCACCTGGGAGCGGAATTGAGTCGGCGGTGGCTTGTAGTCGGCGGCATGGTGGTCGGCGAAGGGATCGCGCTCGTCTTCGCCGGCCTTGATCAGGTCGAGTCCCAAGTCCCAGGCGCATATCACGCCGTCTCGACCGCCCGAGTAGCTGGGGCATTGGGTTAGCTGGGGATGTGTGTGCACCGCCGACGGGTACCTACAGCGTCGAGCTCTGGGGGTCGACAGCGAGGCCATTGACACCAAGCCTGTGGCCGCCCGCCGAGTTGGCCAGCGGTAGCACTGTGCGCGTCAATAGAGTTTACGGTAACGGTAGTATGGCGAGACACTGCAACGGCGGAGACACCGCAGAGACATGCAACGGCCGGGGAACCCACCATAGCTGATGCGCTTCCGCGCGCTTCTTGCCATACCCTGCGCTTAGTCTCGTCTTACCATGGGACGGCAGGCAGGCAGGCAGGCAGGCAGGCAGGCAGGCAATGAACAGCGAGTGTCGTGGACGAATGCAAGTCTTGAGACAGTCGAGGTCGAGGGCGCCGGACGGGTGATGGCCAAGTCCCTCCTGCCCTGGGCCGCGCTTCACTCGAAGGTTCACCTCCGCCGCCCGCTAACCACGGGATCGCTAAAAGATGACATCGCGTGGGGAGCAGGCAACGCACGCAGATCGCTAACGGCCGCTTGTTGTTGCTGCTCGGCATAGCACTACGTCACCGGTAAATGACGCACCCTGCGACACAGAACATGTGGGTTGCAGATTGCTTCTTCGACAGAACTCTGTGTTCACCCGGCTCCATGGCACAGAAGGGTGGGGTCGCCAGCACGCAGCCCTCAAACATGCGGAGTGCGCCATTTTTGGGGCCTAACCGGCTCATCTGGTTAGACTCTGATTCCAGCCCAGCCTCGTGCTCACGCCTCAGTACTGAAATAGAATCCCTTTCCTGGATATCGATAGCTGTACTGCAGACATACCCTTACTCCAACGGCACAGAGGTGGACATATATCGGCCGAAAGCTTTCCAGCATGTGGCCAAGATGTTTGAGAGGGAGACGGCTACTGTTGACCTCAAGCTTGAAGTCAAAGCCCGGTAGGTTTGGAATCTTCTGGAGAGCCAAGAAGCATGACTTCCAAGGTGGTCGCTTCCAAGAATCAGGCCTGTACGCTGGATCTCGTAGATGCTGATAGTCATATGCGCGGATAGTTGGTTCGAAGCTCCAGAGGAACTGCGCAGGCAGAACCCCAGTAGAAAATCTGTCTGCCTCTACAACGTTGTACAGTAGGTAGAGGCTCTACCCAGAAGTACAGAACGTGGTGAAGGCTTTTCGGTAAAGAAGTTCGAGTAATTCTTTGCATGCATGTGGTCCCAATGAAAGCTTCGGCGGCAAGCCATGGATGACTTTTCCTTCTCCCATGGTCATACTCAGGATTGTCGGGATGGCTAAGGAGCTGAGACTTTGCGGTATGGACGTCCACATGGCTCCAATCCAGGATGTGTTTTCAGGTCATGTCTCGAATCTCACGCGGGAAGGCGGCGTAGACATCCTCCACGAATGGTCGACATTGCTCGCTGGCGTAGAGCGCTAGGTGCTTGTAGAACGGGCAGTCAAATATGACGTAGTGGTCCTTGTCCTCCAAGACATCAGTATCACTACAAAGGTTGCGAGGAGCTACCTTACCGGCTCTTGCAGGGCATACTTTCAGTTCCTGCGCTGCAGTCCGGTCAGCTACGCGCTTCAGCCATTGTGGCGTACTTACCAATCTCTCTGCGGGCATTATTTCCAGCTTCACTGAGTGCGTGCGTTCGCTATAGATCGCCATGGCGGAACATCAGCTGTCGGGTCTGTGTTCGTGGTAAGGTTGGCAGTTAATGTGGTGAGGTGAGAGGAAGTGAATGGAAGGGAAAGAAAAAGGAAGGCAGCAACAACAAACAGTCACCCGTCCTGTGACTCCCTCCCCCAGCAAGCGCATAAACATCCCGGAAACAAGATTGCCCAGCAAAAAAGTTGGACGCGGAGCGAATCGAACGCGCAACTCTGCCCAATCTCAGTGTCCTAGACTTCTCCAGTTACTCGCAGCTCACAGCTATCAGGGATGCCAGTAAACGTGCTTGGATATAACGGCGAAGGTAACAGCCAACCACACACATAAGAGCTCTACACGGGCAAAAACTTTGGACACGGCGCGATTCGAACACGAATCTCACAAGTTACCAACACAGATAAGGCCCTGTATTGTTTCAGACTCCCTACGCCAGGACCAACGCCGCGGTAGCTCCCGACAGAGTTCGCAAGGTGTGAGCGTTATCCCATCGAACTACGGGTCCTGAAGCTATTTTGATGGAAGAGCAGCTGAGATCAAGATATATATGGCAATTCAGAATGAAATAATGCGGAGGGAAAGGCCACGACTGGGTTGAGGATCCAGCAGACAGTAGAAGTAGGAGCGAGTAAGATCGATATGACGAAACGTCTTTCTGCAAAGGACTGCAGACGATCTGATAGAGAGCTAGTAAGGCTTCAAAGAAGAGTTCTGTACACTACATAGCAAGAACTTCAACAGTCACTCTGTAAGGTTGTGTCTCATTGCATTCATCGAAATCATTGTGCCATTGAGCGAGTGCCGTAGTATATTGTAAAGTAAGAGACAAGAAGGCTCGAAGCCGGGTATCATGATCGTATCGAAGTGAAGGTCAAGCCGTAGTACATCCATTTCTTCCCTCCCGCTCCAAATTCCCATCCCAAACCCAGGTCATATTCGTAACATCGTAAAGACTGTAAGAAAACTCACTCTCGCTCTCACTACCTCAGACGCTCTCCCTCGGCTGCACAGGCCGACTGGCCACAGTATCAATATGCTCAAAGCTCTCCCTCGGACTCGGAAACTCTTCCCCCATATCCCCACTCTTATAGTTCCCAAACTCCTTCTGCCTGAGCTCCCAACTACCCACTCTTTCATGCCTCGCCCTACCATCCGCACCAGCAGCAGTGTTCGTAGCGCCAAAACCCACAACCCCAGCAGGCAAAGCGCCACCTTTCGATAGATTAGCGACATCGGGATCAGATGCGAGTTTGTTCGAGCCCTTGAAACCGCCTAGTTCGGATTTCGGGCGCTGTTGCACGCGGCGGAAGCGTATCCCGCCTGCCAGCATCGCGAGCGCAAAGAGCAAGCCCGCAACAGCGAGCGTAACGACTGCACCAATGACGCCAGCAACAGCCGGTGAGATTGCGTGTCCCTTGCTGCTCGTCTGCGCCTTCGGATTTGACACAACAATCGTATCCGAATCGACACCAGTACAAAACAGCGCCGGCGAGCTGCACGTCTCGCACCAGTTCACAATAGTATTCATCATGATCCTGCTGAACATCAAATTGAAGTCGTGCCACTTCATATCCGTCTGACTGGGCCCCTGGTTGAACATCGGGAACGCGATGAGCTGGCCGTTAAAGTCGGTGGTGCCATTGTGGAAGTAAAACCGCACCCACAGGTCGTCTTCGTTTTGCGGGAAGGTCTCGTTTTGGCCAGTGGAGAAGAGCTCGAAGACCATGGCGGAGGCGTAGGGGGGGATCGCGCGGAAGTTTTTGTCGCGGGCGTCCATGAGCATCAAGCTCATCAAGCTGATCATGGGGTCATTTCCGCCGAAGAGGAGGGTGAGTGGGCGAGATACACCGGGGGTTGATGTGCTATGGTTTTTGCGGTCGTTGACGAGGAGCTGGAATTGGTGGAGGATCTCTGCGGCGAGTGCCTTGCCGCCAATAGCTTGGTTGTCTGTGTCGTTTCGGGAGGATGCAGTGTTGCCCCAGAAGTTCCAGGCGTATTCATCTGCGTAGTAGCGCGTCGCATTGTAGACACCGGTGTAAACAGGGCTGCCAGTGAGCCTTTCGTAGATCGTGCGATTGTGTGTGTACTGATACGAGAGGTAGTCGTAGATCTCAAGGGCGTGGTCATAATCTCTACAGGGCTGTTAGCTTTCGCTAACCCAATCGCTGAGCTAATAACTTGACATACCTCTGATCGTCCAATAGATGACCTTGGAACCAGCTTGTCTGCAACTTGTCGTATGTCTCTCTGCTGGCAGCTTTGGTGTTCTTAAAGCCGTCAGACACCGTATACTGCAGGGACTTCAGCTTCGCCGAAGGACAATTCTGGCTTCCAGCGATGTAAATCGAATTATACGTAAACGGGCTGAAAGATTGAACAGTCGCATATTGATATCCATTCATAGGCGCCTGAACAGTCGTGCCATCCGCAAGTAGACCTGTCGAGTCCCCAAGTCCAGACGAGTTGCCGAGAGCATGCGGGGGGTACATGCCCTGCATGAAAGCTTGCGCCGAAGACACGAGGTACTGCGTGTCCAGCGTCTGAATAGAAATTTGATCGTTGTTCAAGATGTCGACAGACATATTTGCAATATTCTGTCTACCAAGTCCAGCATTGCCGTCGCTATCGATCCACCTAGCTCTCAAATTCTGGCCCAGTTGGTACATCTGCTGCGCACCCACCGCGGTCAAAACTTGGGTGTCACCTGTCAGAACCGGTGTGCGCTCTCCCGATCGAATGAACGCGAACGCGCCATGAGGGTGGTAACTGTCATCGTCCAGGCCGGCAGCAAACCAGGCTGAGGCCAGGATTGTCAGCGAGAGCGCGAACATGGTGGTTAGTCCGTGATGCGAACGAGTCCCGAAAGGCGGCGGCTGGCTGGAGTCTGGAGGAAATCCAACACAAGGCTGAGAGCCAGGAACAGGACGGAATGCGACTACTTATCCATTCGGTAGACCACGAGCTCGCATGCAGCAATCCAGGCTGGCTTACCGGCTAGGAAGCTGACTGCCAGCACAAAGAGCACGCTTCGCGAGCTTAGGCCCATTCCGTGTGATTTCATCGGGCATAGAGCGCTAATGGCTCATACCTCCGAGGATAGTCTACTGGAGGTGCAGTAGCTGTGATTTACCTTGAGACGCGCACGTCTGAAGCGACAATGGCGTCGTGATGTAGCTGTTTATGCTCGTTCCCTCCTATGCTCGCCTTGTGCTTTGCAACTCCCGTGATTGAACAAAAGCTTCGCAAGCTCTAATAGCTTCGAGCTCTGCATCTGTAGCTTGCGGCGGGGTAGTTCCAAGGCTTCCACAAAGCTGCAGCCCACCAAGTCACGCATCCTCTCACCCACAGCCGTGCTTGCCTCTCCCTCATAACCACAAGCAGGCGCAAGGTTCAGTTCCTTGCTCACCAGCTGCAGCCATCACGGCAGCGCACTCGCTTCTTTCGTATCCATCGCGAACGGGCCTTAACCATGGACGTGGTTGACGAGCTGAACATCAGAGCTCCAGAAATAGGAAAAGTGCATTCGTCCACAGTCGCACGGCAGGAAATTAAGCCGCGTGCAACGCACATGGCATGCCTTCTTAGCTCCCCAACTCTCTGAAGCCGTCATCCAAACTGCACAAACGAACTTACTTCGCCAACATGAATTGAGGAGGCTGGGGTCGGCCCTCCACCCATCCGCCAGTTCACTCAGGCGCCCACTAGCCCTTTCGAGCTCTAGCTTACACTTGCATCCGTGTGGCCCGTCAGCAACACTGGGGCGCATTCCTGTCTTCCATTGCAGTCATGACGTTCTGTGGTACAATTCGATAGCGCAACATCCAAACCATGCCAGGCACGCTTCAGCAACGTGCAGTGCAACCCCTGCAGCCCGGATGTACCTGCATCCATACGCACACAACTCCTTTACGGCTGTTGTGGCTTCGATGCTGTGCGTGGTGAGTTTGTGAGAGCTGAGAGGATGGGTGGGGCGTGTGTAGAAGGGATCGTTTTGATCGATTTACATACCAAGAGATTCGATCTGAGGAGGTGGGACTGTCTATTGGTAGGAACATTGTCCATGCTTGTTGTAAAGACGGCTCCACACGTGTCGCAAGCTTCCCGGTTCGCAGCATTAAGAGAGTTTGCTTGAACCGCGCCGACGAGGAGCAATGCACTAGTGTGCCGTATCGAGTCACTCATAGTAGAAAGACAAGGAGCAATTCGTACGTGTACTTGTCGTATGGCATTAAAATATTGTATCTCCGCCCACAGCTAGCGGATATTGCTACAAATCCCACAATTCTGTGTAAAGAATCTGTCTACCACGCTCAGAACGCCTGTTCAGGTCAAACATCGAGCGACCAGAACTGCATGTAACCTTCCTTTTTCCGTTCCGTGAATCTACAAGCTAACCTCAACACGACCCTCAGCACCCGGTGCACCACCCTGCTGCAGGGAAGGCAGGAGGTAGGTAATGTCATCCCAGGGATGCCTGTAGAGACCGGTCCTCAGCCTCTTCTGGTCGAGGAAATGAGCAATCAGACCGATCGAGCGGCCGAGCACGAACAGACCGTTGAGGACACCCATCTTGAGGTAGTCCTCGGCCTCCTCGTTAGTGAAGGCACCACCGTTGCGGACAAGGTCAACGAAGCAGACAGCAATGCAACCGTCGACGTTGAGGATGAGGTTGTCCTTCTTGGACGTTGTGACGCTCTCGACGGCAAGGGCGTAGTCGAGCAGCTTTGTGCTGGGGAAGTTCTTCTTGACGTACTCCTTGACGAGCTCGACACGGAGATCGGGGTTGTTACGGGACTTGATCCTGTGGCCGATACCGGGGACTGCGGGGTCGTTAGAAATTGCGAAAAAAAAAAAGAAATTATGAACGTGGGTAACTTACTCAGCTTGTTCTCCTTCCTCATTGTGTCGACGAAGTCACGGGGGCTGAGACCCTTGTCAAAAGCCTTGCTGAACTCCTCAGCGGCGCCGTCAAGAGCACCACCAAATCTCGAACCAATGGTCAACAGACCAGAGACGAGCGCGGAGATGAGGTCCTTGCCAGCACGGGTGGTGATGATGGTGTTCATGGCACCAGACACAGCAGGACCGTGGTCAGCAGTCAACATAAGGACCATCTCGAGGAAACGGCTAGCGTAGTTGGGCAGGCGGCGACGGAACCACAGGAGGGACATGACACCACCGATACCGATCTCTTCCCTGAAGACATCGGAGATGGGCATACCAGCGTACAGCAGCTCCTGACCACGGTCATCAGAGATGGTGGAAATGAAAGCAGCAGGCTTTCGGATAAGACCAAGCTCCTGCGCCCACGAGTAGTCGATGGGGATCTTGGGTACCACGGGCTCGGGCTTGGGCTTGATTGTGCCGTCCTTGACGAGCTTCTGGTAGACCTGAGCGAGGGTAGCGGGCATCTCTTCGAAGGTCTCGGGTACGTAGATACCGGCCTCGCGCATGGACTTGTTCTTGGTCGAGGCAGTCTCGAGCTGAGAGTTGGCGAAAGAACCAGCGTGACCGAACTGGACCTCAGTCTTCAGCATACCAGCAACGGTACCGATGGCCCAAGCAACAATGGGCTTGGTGATCTGACCAGACTTAACGGCCTCAACGACGCGGTATTCCTCAACACCACCGACTTCACCGAGAATGACGATGATCTTGCAGTCAGGGTCGGCCTGGTATCGGAGAGCGTGGTCGATGAAGGTGGTACCAGGGTACCTGTCACCACCAATGGCAACACCCTCAAGCACACCGTCTGTGGTGTTGGCAATGATGTTGTTCAGCTCGTTGGACATACCTCCAGACTTGGAGACGTAGGAAACGGAACCGGGGCGGTAGAGCTTGGAGGCAACGATGTTGTCCATCATACCACCAGTGTTACCGATCTTGAACGCGCCGGGCTTAATGCCACCGACGGTAGCGGGACCGATGATGGTGACACCCTTCTTCTGGGCAACGTGCAGGATCTCACGCGCACGGCGCTCGGGCACACCCTCAGCAATGATGGCAATCGACTTGATCTGAGAGAACTCAAGCAGCTCCATGGTGGACTGGTAGACGGAGCGGGACGAGGCGAAGTTGACGACCGTGTCGACGTCACTGTGCTTGGCCATGGCCTTCTCGACCGACTGGTAGACGGGCAGCAGAGTTTCGCTGGTTCCCCAGTACCTACACACTCAATTAGCACTGCAATGGAACGCTACGAAACAGTGGCTTGGCACGCACATTTTGCTGACGAACTGGCCGCCGAATGTGTAGATGATACCGGCGACCGAGGGCTGCTTGCGCTTGCAGATGAAGTCGAAGTCAAGCATGCCCTGCACGGCACGGGGCTGCAGGCCGCTGTGCGCACGCTGTTAGCGCTGCCGTCCTGTGTATACAGCAGAGTAGCGGGGTCCTTACTAGACGAAGCATCGTGTCTTGGGGTGGAAGAGCGTGTGCGAGGGCGGGGGAGTCAGTGCACGGCTGGGAGCCTCGAAACGACGGATGTTGTCGTTGGCAGACAGGCCCTCGCTGGTGGAGGTGCCTGCCTGGTTGGGGACAGAGCCGTTGACAGGCGCGGCGGAAGGCATCGTGGCCGTGTCGTGTGTCAATTGAGGAATGGAAGGGTCTAACGAGGGACGACCGTCAGTATTTGTGACTGTGCCGGCCAGAAGCAATGGTGGTAATGGTGGTGACAATGCAGTGCTGTCAGTCTGACGTGAGGGCTGGAGGTGTGGGCGCCGAAAAAATAGCTGCACGCAGCAGTAGGGTGATGAGACTTGGGGGAGGGGAGGCAGAGGAGAAGTCGAACTCACCTTATGGATGCAATGCCAGGGCGCGGGCACAGCAGTCGAGGGCGGCTTGGGATGAAAGAGGAAGAGGTTGCGAAGCTGGGCGAGCTGGCGAGAATTCCCGAAGAAATGATGGGCCCTCCTGTGTTTCTTTTCGGCGGTGTTGAGGTCCCTGCTCGACTCTTGCGTTGTTGGGGCTAACGCCGGGCGCGGCGCTATCGGGCGGTGAGGAGCCGTGTACCTTGTATGACCGCCTTTCGCAGCTCGGCAGCGGGGGCAATCGAGGGCTGATGCTGCCAATTGGGGGCAGGCAGGGGTCCGGCAGGCTGTTGATATCTCTGCTGGGGGGCCGGCAGGCTGTCCTGCTGATTTTGGGGCTGCTCCCAGATCCGTTGGGGGCTCCTTTGCTGCACTGCACTGCGTGCTCCTCGCAGCGCGTCCGCCAATACCCCTGGGGAGGGGTCGTCCGTGGTAGGCCAACAGCAGGCTAGACGGTGGGCCCGTGGCTTAGCCTGCAGCGCATCAACCCTGCGACCCCGAGCGACGCTCAACGCAAAAAAACATCAGACCGCTGCTCCCAATTACTGAGCTCAACCCCTCAGCAGCTGTCTGACGCCCCAATTCCCCCATCCTCACCACCTGCAACACAAGTCATTCTCTTGCTGTCGCTGTGCACCTCCCCCAAACACAATATAGGTATGTCTCAGCACCCAGGGCCCGGCCTGCGCTCTTCTTCTGCGGTCCCCCCCCCTCCACTCCACACCTCTTCCCGGCCCTCGCTCTTCCTCATAAGGCCCTGCCGTAGCGCCGTCGTCGTCTCGGAATTATCGTCGGGTGTCCACACGGCGTGTTCCTGAATCTTTCGCTCCTGCCGCTGCCCTTTCTACCGCCTATTGACTCTTCCCACCGTCCTCACACGAGCTGCCTACTCACTCGCTGCTGCAGTCTGACTCTTCACATTTGACACACCTGCACAATGTCTGCCAAATCCATCCTCGAGGCCGACGGCAAGGCCATCCTCAACTACCACCTCACCCGCGCCCCTGTCATCAAGCCCACTCCTCTGCCTGCATCCTCGACACACAACGCCCCGCCCAAGCTCGCATCGCTGTACTTCGCAGCCGATGCCGACATCAAGGGCGTGCTCGACCAGGCCGAGGTCACATACCCGTGGCTGCTGGCTCCGGGCGCCAAGTTCGTTGCAAAGCCAGATCAGTTGATCAAGAGGCGAGGCAAGAGCGGTCTGTTGGCCCTGAACAAGCCCTGGGCGGAGGCCCGCGAGTGGATCGAGGCGAGGGCAGGAAAGGCACAGAAGGTCGAGACAGTCGACGGTGTCCTGAGGCAGTTCTTGGTCGAGCCCTTCGTTCCTCACCCCCAGGACACTGAGTACTACATCAACATCAACTCCGTGCGCGAGGTACGTCTCTTTCTTATTTTTCCGTGTTTGTTTCCCTTTTCGTTTGCGGTCGAGGTCAGGGCGTCCAGGGCATGGCCCTTACGTTCGGCGACTGCAGTCGAGCAGAAGACATTTTCGCACGTATGCACTTCGGCGGAAAGCTGCAGCGAAATTGGAAGCGGAAGGCTGGCTCGAAAGCAGACGGGCGCACTGCCTGGTTTTGTTTGACCGCCGGCCGGACGAAGGGAAACCAACACCGACCCACTTCTGCTTCATGCGATACGCACGTTCCTTTCACATGCCAATTCTCCCTGCATTCTTGCCCTTTTCGTTTGCTTAATCTTGCTGAGCACTGGTGTTGCGGCTCATTTGACTTGTGACTACTGCACGCTTGCGCCAATCACGTTGCGATCTTTGCTGACGGTTCCGCTTTAGGGTGATTGGATCCTCTTCACCCACGAGGGTGGTGTCGATGTTGGTGATGTTGACGAGAAGGCTGAGAAGCTTCTCATTCCCGTCGACCTCAAGGAGTACCCTTCGAACGAGGAGATCGCTGCCACTCTCCTGAAGAAGGTTCCTCAGGGTGTTCACAATGTCCTCGTCGACTTCATCTCGAGGCTGTACGCTGTCTACGTTGACTGCCAGTTCACGTGAGTATAACGCATTTCGCAAGGCATGACCGTCGCTGACTTGCTATCCAGCTACCTCGAGATCAACCCTCTCGTCGTCATCCCCAACGAGGACAAGACCTCAGCTGAGGTTCACTTCCTCGATCTTGCTGCCAAGCTCGACCAGACTGCTGAGTTTGAGTGCGGTGCTAAGTGGGCTATCGCTCGCAGCGCAACTGCTCTTGGCATACCCGTTGCTCCCTCCAAGGAGACCAAGACTACTGTTGACGTCGGTCCCCCAATGGAGTTCCCTGCTCCCTTCGGTCGTGAGATGAGCAAGGAGGAGGCTTACATTGCCGAGATGGATGCTAAGACTGGTGCATCCCTCAAGCTCACCATCTTGAACGCTACTGGCCGCGTCTGGACCCTTGTTGCTGGTGGTGGTGCTTCCGTCGTCTATGCCGACGCCATCGCCTCCGCTGGCTTCGCCAGTGAGCTCGCCAACTATGGTGAGTACTCTGGTGCTCCCACAGAGACACAGACTTTCCACTACGCACGAACAGTCCTTGATCTCATGCTCCGTGCTCCTCAGCACCCTGAGGGCAAGGTCCTGTTCATCGGTGGTGGTATTGCCAACTTCACCAACGTTGCCTCGACCTTCAAGGGTGTCATCCGTGCACTGAGGGAAGTTGCTGGTTCTCTTAACGAGCACAAGGTCCAGATCTGGATTCGTCGCGCCGGTCCCAACTACCAGGAGGGTCTCAAGAACATCAAGAACGTCGGCCAGGAGCTCGGCCTCAACATGCACGTTTACGGCCCTGAGATGCACGTATCAGGTATCGTGCCTTTGGCGCTTGTCCCTGGCAAGACAACGGACATTAAGGAGTTCTCTGGTTAAGCGTGCAATTTGTAACATAGGAGCTTATGGATCATGGCTAGACAAAGAGTAACGTTTGGGGAGCGTGCATGGAGTGTTTGTTTGGGCGAACTTGTTACTCACGCCTAAACTATGTCGAGCCTCTATCAGGTAGACAGCTCTGAAATATAAGATTTAATACTTCTCTCATGATGATGATCACGTATGTCTAGTCACTGTAACCATCTGAGTCGTGCTTCAAGCGAGCGTCCGCCAGTGCCCACAGCCAATCTTGCTATTAGTACTGTTTGAGCGCGGCCACCGTTCCTTCTTCTGTGGCATAGACAGCGTGGTCTGTGCTCTCCGCGGTTCTGTCTCGACAACGAAAACATCGCTCGTTCGCCACGTTTCTTCTTCTTCTGCATCAGATACAATTTCTCAGTACACAATATTTCGATTTTGCCAAAATTTCTCACGAGCATTCATTGGAGCTGCACCCACAGCGATGGTCGGTGCCTTGCTGCAGCAAAGTTCGTGACTCTACTTGTTTATCGGGCCAAATCGTACTGCATCGTCAATAATCTGCGCGCAATAACGCCATCCAGCGAACATCGGGCTTCCAATTGAAAGAGTTGGAGACTCTTATGAAGGTCATTCCCCGCAAAGATGACATGCCCAAAAGTCAATGCCGGCATGAAGATAAAGCCTAGGCAAGGGAACTCCCTACGGCTCAGCCTTTTGACTCTGAGGTTGTTGCGACAGAGTTTATCGGGACGAACTCGGCTAGGGGCTGAGAGGAGACTCGCTCAACGTCTTCGCCCTAGGTTGACGACGCGCATGTCAGATGCATCTCCAAAGCAGAAGCAGAAGCAGACAGCTTCCCAACTGAAGTCGCAAGACCAAACAGTAAAAGCACCGACGGCAGCTCAAGCCACAATTGTCCCGCCTGCACATCAGCGTTCATTACGTGGCTGTCATGATGTCCTCCTTGCGGCGGCCGAATTGGGCGCTTTTGAGCAACGCCTTGTGTTGGAGTTCAGTGAACTGTACGCAAAGGGAAGAAGTTGAAGATTGTACTGAGGTTGTATTGGGTGAAGCTACGAACAGTATATATATGTGTGGGTGGCTGTAAACAACGCTAGTGTGACGTGGCAGTCACTCTCATGGCAGGTGAGGTACGACAGGCAGGAGCAGGAGAGACCCCAAACCGTGACACCTTGGCTACCGATTTGACGACAAGCTATTAGGTCTCACTGCTTTCAAGGTTTCCGGCGACCATATGCCGCTCAGCTTCGAGGACGCAAGAAGGCCAATCGAGAATCACAAGCGACATACGCTGCTTGGGGACCGGGTCCTCGATCTGGCTCTGTGTCGAAGTTGGTATGAGAGCGGGCGAACTCGACGTACGTACTGCTGCTATAACTGCTGCTTTGGAGGAGTATCAAAAATACTGACCATCTGCAAAGTGGGCTGGCTATGCTGCGATAGAACGTCTCGTAACACGACTGGCCTTGGCTAAGATGGGTCGCAAAATCAATCTCGAGCGGACCGTTTTGACAGAGTCCATTGTTTCTCCGGACATGCTAGCCGAGGCTTTCGAAGCTTTGATAGGCGCCATTTATGTCGATTCGCGTGACAATCTCGGCACGGTTCAAGATGTCCTCAAGACTGTCGGGTTCAAAACTGTAGCTTCCTCCCTCGTATCACCTTTGGCCCGAGACAGTCATTCGATGACAGCGACAAAAGTAGGAACACAGTCCGGATCAACTGCGGACAACAAGGTCCAGTCAGCCGAAAACGTGGGCTTGAAGTCTCAGTCCGAACCATGTACAGGAGAAAAGCGTCAGGCTTCACCAAGATTTCCTAGGTCCCAGGGGACCGTTGATACATATGTCATTGCTCGAAAAACGACGGGGCCGCCTGATGTTCAGGTGCGAGCTGTCCACATCAGGACAAATCCACATGCCTTTCCTATTTTTGAGGATCTAGCGAAAATCTTCCGCAAAGATACGCGACATGTGACAGTCTTGTGGCGCAAGAATCCTATGTTATGCAAGCTTTTCGATTCTCTAAAGGCTTATTTCGTGTGCTGTGAGGAAACCGTTGATGTTTTGTCATGGTTCCCTGAACTCCAGACTCGGTATATGCGTTTGTTTGACGAAGGCTCTGAGAACAAGTTTCAGAGAAGATCGGGCAGATCGAGTCGCAGAACGAACATCTTCCTCAACTGTGTTTTCAAGAAGAGCGAGGCTAATTCGATTTCAACGGATCATCTTTCACGTCAGCCGAGTTCCACCGCTACATATCAGAGCAGTCTGAACAAGTCACTGGAATAAGCTTCCCAGGCTTTCAAAAGGGAACTTTAGTCGAGGTTTTGCGCAACAAAGCAGAACTTCGGCCACGCGATGCGTTCCTGGCCGCGTACCAGGTCGAGGAGCAGACGCGGGACCGCATAAGAGAGAGGACGGGCCTTCCGGACTGGTATGATTTGCCGGAACACCAGGACAGAGCACCCCCACCATGGAGGGTATTCGGACAGCCTCGGATCGAACCAAGAAGAATCGAGACTTTCGCCGGATGGCGGAAGACATCTGAGCCGGGTTATTCCTCTTTGCAGGATAAAGGGTTGCATGAGGATGAGCTCACTAATAATCTGCAAGAAAACCATAAGCCTGCAGATAGCGGTGGTCTTGAAGTCGAACAACCACAATTCTCAGATAGCTTTGCTCCTGGAGTGACAGCGCAGGGGCAACGGGAAGCAGCGTTTGTGACTACTCCTCCTGGGCAGCACGACATAAGAACGACCCGAAAGAAAGATCGTAAGACACAGGCCAAGATTCACAAAGCTCTCCGTGCCATCGTCTTGAAAACACCGACGCATTCCACTGCCAGCAATAAGACCGAGCCAGACAATGAGTTGGGATACAATGTCGAAGAGGATCCAGACGTATCAGCACCCCGTTCGCACGCAGGGACTATCATACCAATGGAGGTCGAGCACGGGGAGAAACCTACAGTACGACCGTCACTTTTACTTGACAACATTCGGAACTATGAGACCGAGCCCTGGTTTGGCGTCAACTAGCTCCCCAAGAGCTCTTTCTTCGGTTTCTCGCATGCACCAGAAGGAGAACGGCAGCCGTCGCTATAAGCCCCTCCGATCAGTTGCGGGTGCATCCTCTGTATTTTAAAAGGTGGCGGCGACAGTGGGTTGGGAAAGCTCTGTCCTATCTCTACATTGGCGACCCTTTCACTGCTCTGGTACCAGGGCCTAGTATTTTCCACCCCGACGGGTACGTTGAAAAGCTCAATAACCCGAGTGGGACCCATTCTCAAACAGATCTCGGAAAGAGTGGGTTGGAAAAGCACTGCCGTACCTCTACCTCTCGTACGAGTCTCCGCTGATATGTGGAAAGGTATTAGAGCATAGGAAAGTCCCATACTCAAACAGAAGGCTCGAACGGTCAGTCGGGACACATCTGCGGTATTTGTATGCACATTCAGCATCCTCTCTGTTAAGAAGCCACCGAATTTACCCCGACAGCGGCTACAGCTCGCAAATTGAGACAGTGGATCAGGGCAGCCAACCGGACCACGACAGCACGGTCATCCAGTCTGCAAGCGAGCAGGACCATGAGCCTGACAACGCCCCCGACGCGGATAGCGAAGAGAACCACGTGGGTGACACACCCACAAACAAGGTCTCGGATATCACCCTCCCCACTAGCATGGACGAAGGCGGTCCCACTGATACCGAAACCTTTATCCCTAGTCGCAAATTCAAATTTATCGATCTCAGGGACACGTACTACAGCAAAGTCCGGCCACAGTCACCACTCGACATTCACAGCGAACTTCCAGCCAGTGAGGCCACTCCCTCAGCCAGGTGGCGCAGGATCAGGACTCCTCACACGGATTCGTCATTTTCGCTCACCTGCGTCAATCCATGTCGGGTCCCACCGCCTCTCAGTCACAAAACCCCCAACCCTCCCGATCCCCCCACCAAAACCATCAACGAAGATCTCTCTACCTATAACAAGCCCTCCATCTCCATTCGTAAAATCATAGCTTGGACTTTCTCCAAAGAAGCCGAGACAGCGAGCGCGAGGGTGCGGTGGGCTTACGGCAAGAAAGGAACTGGACTCGCGGGCGAAGGCGTCGACAGCGAGGACGCTATGGAAGCGGAGAGTGAGGAGCAGGTGAGCAAGGCTGGGGATGGGGCTGGGGATGAGGATGGTGGGGTCGGGAGGATTGATGTACTTGTTAAGTATCATTGAAAACAAGAATGCGAACACACGGTGTGGGAGTATAGGGTGGAGGGAATCGGTGTAGTATATGAGATTGGCGGTTTAGATCCGTGTCGGTGTGTTGTAAGATACTGTAGATTTGGGCTATGTACAAAATTAGGTTGATTCTGATTTTTGAGAGGCGGTCCAACCACGCCTGCACACTTTTTTGTTGACTTGTACGTGAACAGTGTAAAGACGTGCGTAGTTGAGGAATTCTATGCAAGGCTGGCACACATCCCCTATTTCTACTAGAAAGGTAGGTGCCCTAAGGCTCCTCGCGCAGCAAGGAGAAGAAGAAGAAGAAGAAGAAGGAGAAGGAGAAGACAACCTTCCTGTTTTGTCCTTAGAAATCTGTCTGCTATCATGGATCAGACTGCCTTCTTCCTCTCATTCTTGCTACGCAAAGAGCCTTTCAGCTGCTTCCTTTGTGGTCGCTTCATGCGTTATGGCCTGCTTCCCTCCCCTACTTCACAACTTCTCCTTCCTCCACTGCCACACAAGGGGTCACATCTTGGCACTAATCAAACAAATCTATTATTCCTTGGCTTACGTAGCTCCCACCGGACAGATGTTGCCGCTCTTCTGCTGCAATGAGCGGATATAGTGCTTACTTCGTCGCCTTTCTCCTCAGCTACGCAGCAAGTCGGTCTGGCCTTTCTCTCATGTATACAACCCTTCGAGCCAGTCAGACCTTATCAAAACCGCGATTTTCAAACATACCTCATTTAATGATGTCGGTGAGTTGCAAAAGATACTGACCCCCCGGTTTTTCTGAGTACAATCATCCCCTACAAAACATTGTTGTCCTTAGGGCAGATAGGCTTGGCGAGATTAAAGGCTGTGAATGGTGGTGAAGGTATGAGTCAGGGTCTAGCACTCACATATATACCCCCCCAGTGCCCCCGGTCATCTCTTACTCCCGAAAGCCCCACCTAGTGTATGCCTAGTGTATGTAGTAACTAGAAAAACAGGGGGGTCATGATCTTTTGCAAGTCATAATAATCTGGCTCCTCAGTCTGCATTCCACCTAACAACAACCCTATGCTCCCTCACAATATCCTTCCCACTCTCACCTTGTAGCCGCACCGTTCGCCTTATCTCCGCCTTCCCCGCATCCGGCATCTCGATATCCTCGTCAATCACCTCCTGCGCGGGAACATCAAGGATCCTGAACAGAAGCTGCACTTCAGGTATCTGCGCGCCTGGGTGGGTCTCCGGGTAGTTATCCCTGAAGATCACGATGCTCTCAAAGTTCTTGATGCCCAGAGTTGCTTTGTGCTGAATGAGAAAGTGTGCGATCGTTGAGCCCATCGGAGAGCCTGTAGTTCTCGTTAGGTCGTGCGTGAGAGACAGTGATATGATTTGGGGGACTTGCCTAGGATTGCTTGGGCTTCCTCTGTATCCATCTCGAGCTGCACACCTGGCCAGTACGGCACCTTGGTCAGCTGATGATTCTTCAACACCCTGGAGATCAGCGGCAATGTTTCATCATTCCTGACGTGGTTGACGAAGTAGTTGTGCAAACTTTGTGGGTCAGAATTGCTGCGAAGCCAGTATGACCACATTATATCTGAAGGGCGTGACAAGCGCGGTAGTTGATCTTCCGGGAAATCGTCCTGGATGTGCTTCTCTGCTGCAGTCTTTGGGTTCAGGAAGTCTTGCGCGAAGATCGCACCATCTCGTTTATTCATAGCGAAGCGGTAATGTGCACCTGTTAAGGGTAACTCGAGGCCGTTAATCTGGTATACTTCCTCGCCATTCTCGTCCTCTGGATCCTCGTTGCCGTGCTCAATCGAGTAGCATTCGTTATCTCCGCCACTGCCGAGTGGAAGGAGGCTGAGTCCGAGGGCGGATAGAGCGGTGCCGATCTTGTTGTTAAACTTTACATCCAAGCCATCGCGGAAGTCGCAATTGGATAATGAGTCTAACAAGGCTTCGTGCCAGCCCCAGTTCCGGATGTCGTCTACATTAATGGTCAGGAATGCACAGTAGAATTTTGTACAATGGGTGACATACTCCAAAAGTCACCTTGCCAGACGGACTCAGCAGATGGCGGTGTTCTGGTGTCTTCCATAGCCTTTCCGGCATTTTCGATCGTCATATCTAATAGACAACCATACCAAAAACCTTTTGCCCTGTACTTCTCCCATACTCCGTCAGAGGCGACCTTGTTGATATCGAAGTCGGACTCAGCAGTCTGAACGAGTGAAGGCTCAGAAAACTTGACGCTATCGAAAGTGCCGAATGGCACAGCGATCCGCGCAGATGTGTTACTGAGGAATAATGAAGTGTCGGCGAAGGTCAATGGCTGGACGACAGCTTTGCCAACAGCAAGAGCTGTAAATCCGGCAAAGAGGAAGGCGCGAAACACACACCGCATCGTACTTGGCTGGTTCAGGAAGCGAGTTGAGAAGGGAAAAACGGGCTGCTGCGTGTCGAAGTGAGAGGGGAGGTGCCGTCGGGGTCGGTAGCTTATATAGCGCTCAGCATCTGAGCGGGGCTCCTTGTCAAAGAAATCAGTATAAGTGAAAGCAACTTCCGAGACAACCTCGGTCAGTAGCTTGACTTAGACCCCAGTGAAATTGAGTAAAGGGACGAAAACGAAGAGGGGCCTGATTCACATATAGCGTGACGAGCAGCTTGCTGCAAAACTTTGATTGATCAGTGAGTATTTGTCCATATCCATGTGACCGTCTACGTGTGCTTCAATAACACAGACCAGGATAGTGAAACGCCAGCCAGATGCCTCCCCATGAAACCAAAATCACCGTACACCACGCTATGCATACCCAAAATGCAATCTTGAAGATATCCGATCCTTCATAGCTTGACCTTCTTGACGGGCTTCTGCTCCACAGCATCGGCCTTCTTGCGCTTGAAGATACTCTGGCTCTTCATCTGACCAAGCCCAGCCTTATTTGGGGGTGCAGCTTTCGCCTTCAAACCGAAACTCAACTTCACCGGCGCCGCAGCGACTGTAGATTCCTCTCCATCCTCCTCTCCCTCGACAGGCGAGTCAGCCTTCTTCTCTTCCATCGGCGAGGCGCCTTCGGCAGGTGGTGTGGGGTTCTGCTTCGGTTGTGCCGCTGCGGCGGCTGCCGCCCTCTTCGCCTCGATAGTCTTCTTGGCCTCCGCCTCTTCCGCAGCGCGCTTCGCCATCTTCTTCAGCATTTTGTCTTCACCAGCCCCACTCCGCGCCTCTGCAGCTTCTTGCTCGGCGATCTCTTCCTTGCGCTTCACTGCCGCAATACTTGTATCTCGCCATGCAATCATCAACCCATCCTTCTCGTCCTCCTTGACATGACATATGCCCTCGCGACCAAGATGCTTGACAAACTCAGTCAAGCTGGGCCACTTCGTCGCATTCATATGTACATGCTCCTTATCGCGGATGTACTCGTTGTAAAACTTGTTCGACGAGATCCATTTCTCATTGTGTGCTGTACGTAGCAGAGAGACGAAGTCGCGCTGGAAGTCGTTGCTGAAGTTGTTGATAAACTTGCGCGGGTCTTCGCCGACGACCTGCATTTGGCGAACGTGCGACTCGGATTGAACGTGACATTTGAAGCCGTTGGCGTCGCGACACTGCTTCTGGCAGATTTCACACCACCAGCGCAGCCTCTGGAGTCCCTTGGATTTCATCTTGTTGGCAACCCATTTTGTGCTTCCTGCTTCCGCTTTGCCCATCTTCTCAAGTTTGCGCACTTGCGACTTTTGTTCGTGGTATTGGTGCGATCTCTGCTCGGAACACGAACATATACGGTGTGTTGGCAAATTCAGGGAGGAGTGAGGTATCGAATTCGGCGTAAGTTGTGAATGTTGAAGGGTGGAACTCATAGGGCTGAGCTAACCGGGGCAACGCCACCACGCTAGGCGCTGACAAACCTAGCAACTGTGCACGTGCAATCTTTTTCACCTTCACGAACGAAGCTCGAAATGGTGTACTTGCACATCATTTGACTTGTATAACTTTATTTCTTGTTGAGTTGTTATGTCAGCCTCACACTCTTATTCTTGATGCATTCCCAATCCTTCCTCCCAAAAGGCTGATAACGATCACTACTTGGTGGCAGCCAATACAGCTTGTCATCGCCCGTGATCTTGTCTGGATCCACACCCTCAGTCTTCAGCCTGCCCTTCTGAATCTTCATCGTCCCTGTGTAATCGAGTGCAGGTGTGACCCTGAGGAAGAGTGGCACAGCGTAACCAGGCAACACAGCTCGGGCATGCTTTGCTAGCGCCTGGAAATCGAATGTAGACTCTGTCACTCCTTCCGCCATGACTATAGCTGCAGCGCCTGCGCGGCCATCGTAGCCAGGGACTTGTACACCGTAGACATTGGTCTCTGCAGTCTGTGGAAACTTGCCAACCATATCGGCAACCTCGTTGGTCGATACGTTTTCAGACTTCCAGCGAAATGTGTCACCTAATCTATCAACGAAGAAGACACGGCCGTCACTGTCTTGTCGCATCATGTCGCCGGACTTGAACCACCTAGGTGCTGTCAGTTTGGCTTCGCAGCCCTGTTCGACCATAACTTACATATCACCTTTCTGGAAAACGTCCGTTATCCTCCTCTTTTCGGTTGCGCCCCCATTGTTATAGTACCCTGGGACACCGGGCAAGGTTTCTGGGGTCAACCGATGTAGCACCTGTCCTGGCTCGTTTGTACCACACCTTATCGCAAAACCATTCTCGTCACGCATGATGTCTTCAGTATCGACATCCATCTTCACTCGAACTTCTTCATTGCTAAACCTCCAGTTCCAGATCAAACCTCGAAGACCGATTGCATGCGCCGTGAATGGTCCAGCGTTGCGATTGAAGGTTGCGCCGAGCCCATCAGTGGCGGCATAGAGCTCGTTGATGATGGGAATGTTGAACCGCTCACGGAACGGTTCCCACACATCTGGACGCATGCCGTTGCCCCACGCTATCTGGACCTTGTGTTTGCACTCGTATGGGTTCGGAGGGCCGTTGAGCAGGTATCTGCATAGCTCTCCTACGTACTGGATGTGGTTCGCACCGGATGCAGCAACTTCTGGCCAGAACGTCTTGTGCGAGAATTTTCTCCCTAGCACCACCGTGCTGCCAGCATGTATGGTGGGTGTAATACACAGACCATGTGCCGCGCCATGGTAGAGCGGCATACATGTATACATCTTGTCTTCTGGCTTCAAACCCAGATGCTTTGCCGTTGTGTATCCGACTAGGAGCTCACGACCTGTAGTCATGACTACACCCTTTGGCAGACCAGTCGTTCCGGATGTATAGATCAGACCGCGGACTGACTCGATACTGATGTTCTCGCGACGCGACTCGGGGATTGGTGTACTGTCGGACAACGAAGCAATGTACGCTGGGTCGTAGTAGTGGATTTGAAGACCGAGGTTTTCAAGCTCAGTTCGACTGGCTTCGACGTTGCTCTTGACATCGGTGTCTGCAATAAGATGCTTGGCTTCGCACAGCTGGAGTAAAGTCAGTCACTATTTTCAAGCCCAGAAGCTTTGGGCTGACCTTCGCACAATGCACGAGTCCTGTGCCCGTCAGGTTCCAGTTGATATAGCTTATGCTTGCGCCAATTGCATCCAGTGCAAACCAGAGCAGCAGATACTCTGGACTGTTCCCTCCATCAACCGCGACAATCTCTCCAACTTGCACGCCCAGGTCATTCATAAGCCAATTGCCGACCCTGGTGATAGCATCGAAGAATTCTCTATACGTCCATGTCTTGCCCTCGAAGATCAGAAATGGATGGTTCGGTCGATTGTGCAGAGCTTGTTCTTCCCAGATATGGTAGGTCAAAACTCGCTTTTTCAAGACTCGGTCAGCCATGAAGTCTAGCATATCTTGTGAGGGCGCAAGACCACCGCGAGCATGTTTCAGGTCGTATACGATATGGAACTTTGCATTGAGGTAGGCGGCAAGGGCTGTTGTGCCAGCTGCTCCAGCAGCGATCACTGTAGCTTTTGGTCAGTGGCTGTTTCTGTATGTTTTATAGGACTCAAGCAGACTTACATGCCATCTCTAGAGCTCTTCCGAGATAGTGTGACCTTCTCTACGCTCTGAGATAGATCGAGCAGTGTTTTCTCACCCAAATGCACCTTAAAAAGAAATGAGATCGCGCGAGAAGCAATCATAAGTAGCCGAATGAGGATACATCGTTGCTGTTAGCTCTAGAACGGGGTAGCGTCGATACACCGAGGTTGTTGTCAGTAGCCGAGTCAGCGAATGATGTTTGTTCGATGTTCCTTCCCGCTTCGCTTGTCTGCTTCCCCGCATTTTCGTTATCTCCGGCCTCCGGTGGGGCAGGAACGGGAACCACGTCGCAGCGCCGGAGGAGCAGCCGCTAGCTATTCATCACGCTAAGAATGGATTTTTGTTCCATCTGCAAGTCAATACCTTTTCGTAGCTTTCAGAGGAATAAAGACACGTGGCCGGGGCCAAAAAACCTTACACGCTGGTTCACGGTGAGAGACCTTCGCAAAAGCTTCGAAACATGCTCGCTATGTTCGTTGGTTATTACAACGTTGGACGGCAGCATTTTCGGACAAGATCATGCAGCAGATGAACAGTATGGCGTGTTGATACAGATACATCAGCTTTCATGGACAGACGCCCTCCTGTTGTTCATGAAACACAACGGCCGTTTAGAACGCTTTCTTGGTTATCTGGAGATTTGTGCGTTGTTCGTTAAGAGCTTATGTCTGTTCCTTCAGACCATGACATGCTAAGATTGGTGTCTCCAGGTACATCAGAGGCAATGTTGTTGCCACACATTACATTCGCGGACTCTCCATCCGACAGTCTTGCAGCGCCTGACCAGCTGGGTCAAGAAATGTGATACTGAACACGAGCTGTGCTGGCATATGGGCAGTGTTTCCAACAGGCCGTACTACGACGTAGTACGGCTACGGTTACGGTTATGGTGAAGTGACCGTAATCAAGCCAATTGACAGCCGTAGCCGTAGTAGACCGTATGTAGAAACTCCACCGTAGTGCTGCTGTAGTACGGTGTTGTATAGAAACTTTGGTGTTGGTTGGACTCTCACTTTGCTCGTACTGTTTTTTAAGCTACTTTCACTATATATACTAATTGATGAAATGTTGTTTCATACTACTGTAAGTTGTACAGACTCTGTGGCAAAGACAAGTGTAGTTCCCTGCTGACTGGGTGTATTGTAACAAATTGTCACACAGATAGACTGTATACCATGTACAATAGTGTTTTGCCCCCATTGAGTCATCATTGTACCATTATTTTTTACTATTTTTGGTGTCATATGGCCAGTGCACGGGTTGCCCAAGAAACTCAACACCATGCCTGATGCGTGAGCTCAGCAGTATCAGCACTTCCTGTATGTCCATGTCACAACACAATTAGTGAGTTTTTTCGACTTTTTAAATGCACACAGGCAATATTTGTATAGGTGAGATGCATCTCTAAGCTCAAATTTATCTGAATCTTAAGGCATCTTGGCCCAGGCATGACGCATGCTCTGTCACATAGTATAAGGCCACTAGCCCTTCTGCCTCGGTAGATGTGGTAAAGGTATTTTGCCTTGCCCTGCTGTATATGTAAGCACTTCTGGTAAAAAGGTCACTAGGTGTCACGGGCAACCCTATCCCAACTGCACTGACCTGTCCTGGATCACCCGAGCCTGCCCGAGATCACCCTAGACCACTTCAGCGTGGCAGAGATTTTATACACTTGCCGCTTCCCCTAAAGCGGGTAAGACAGAGGATTGCCTTAGTTATACCGTGTTACTACATCCTAATATGGGATGGCTGGGCATCCGGGTGATGGGTAAGGATGTTTTGCATGGTAACCCTTATGTAAAATCCTTCCCCTATCCCCATTTGTACCCTAATTGACAGCTCCTCTATTTCTATCAATAATGTACCGAACAACACGTACTAATAGCCAACTGCAGGCCTTGCCTTACGCTCTTACATCCATATCCACCTCTTCAAGACGTGCCAAAGGCAAGCAACCCGCCGTACCTATCGAGACTCCTTCATTGTCATCATCCCAAGGAAGCCTAGCATCGTCGCGACTATCTCAGCTATTGCAGCCATCATTGTCACCATTATTGGAGCCGCCAGAGCTGGTGGAGGTGTTGGATGATGAGGACTGCAAGCACCTCCACACGTTACCTGAGAACCCTAATAAGGTGTTTGGCATTAAATTTGACATTGACTTTCACAACGTTTGGCACAACGAGAAGCGGCTTGTGGCATCACGGCTTGGTTACCATGTCAAACACAAAAGCCTGTTTAAAGGACGTCGTCAAGGGTCATCAATATGGGGTTACGGCTTGGAGTTGGAGTATACTTTCAACAATGGCAAACACAAACAGCTGTACTTGTGTAGGGCTTGCCATAAAGACCGTAATTGCAGCAGCTCTGTCCTTGTTATTGACGGCACAACACATATTCGAAAGCACCTTGAACGTGTACATCACATCAACGTCAAAATCGGTGAAAGTACGCTTAGGAATCCCCCCCCCCCCTGACCCTTTCACAAAGGCCAGAACTGCGCAACGTGTTGCTTGCAGCTTGTCAACACCTTCACATACACTTTGTGAGGAAGAGCAACTACAGAACGCTCTTATTTACTGGGTGATTACCCGTGATCTCAGCTTCTCCGATGCTGTTTCACCATCCACACGAGGCATTATTACCTGGAACAAGATGGCTCTTCTGAAGGCCTTACCCAATTCAGTAACCACACTATCAAAGTACGTCAAGAAGCGGCTAGAGGCTTGTAAAAGTGAGGTTATAGGCCTATTGGAGTCAGCTCAAAGCAAGATATCAATCAGTCTTGACATGTCGACGTCCAACAACCACTACAGCTTCTTGGCTGTAGTTGCACACTTTGTTGATGCCACATACAACCAACGAGATGTACTTATCGCCTTCCGTAACCTCTTTGGTGACCATACTGGCCATGCGCAGGCCTCAGTTGTACTTGGTGTTGTACAGGAGTACAACTTTGAGCAACAATTCAACTCTTTTGTGAGCGATAATGCTAAAAATAATGATCTAGAGTTTATGGTTCACATCAATAAGAAGTCTGAGTATGTTACTCTCAAGCCAGCTCACAGCATACGCTGTACAGGCCACATTATCAACCTCATTGTCAAGGCTACACTGTATGGCAAGGTCTCCAAGTCCGAACGCGACCTTGCTGAGGCCGCTCCCTGGCTCAGTTTGAGCTGTGGCGTAAGTATGGTGTTGTTGGCAAGCTCCACAACTTTGCCAACGCTCTTTGTAACTCACACAAACGTCGTCAGTGTTTCAGAAGACCCAGAAAGAGGTGGAGGAGGAGGACCCCCTGCAGAACTTTGCTAGTCACCACTTACAGCAGGATGGTGGTATACAATGGAATTCAGTGTACACTATGCTCAATTGCTGCTGTGAATTGAAGCCAGCTATCAACAAGTTCATACGGGTTTGCCGAACCAACAATGGTGTTGACAACAAGGTTGTTCTTGACCCAATCCCTAGTTACTACTGCATTGCAACAGCCCTTCACCCTCGCCTCCGTCTCACTTGGTTCAAAGATCACTGGCGTGATTTCCCTACTTGGCACCACATGGCTGAACAGGACATTAGAAAGGTGTTCAATTGAGTACCTCAATGCCAACAATGCTCCTGATGAGGTACTGACAGTTGAAAAATCACACCGGAGACCTCCTATAAGTCACTCAAACAGCCTATTTGCTTGTACAATGGCCGTTGATACTATGTTACTTACTGGTAACCACAACCACCAAAGGCAACAGCAGAAGAAGGAGTTGGATTGCTATATTGATGACATACAAGAGGACCTCACAAACGACAGCAAAGCCTATCAGGACCATACTCACGATAGCCTCAAAAGTACCGTACTACGGCCCGTTGGAAACGCTGCGTATGGGTTATCAAGACACCGCGCTACCAACCAGAACTATAGACATAAGCAGTCATCTGCTTACTGAGGCAATGACAATTTCGCAAGCTCATTGGGACACACTCTTCGAAGGCACCACAATGAAGCCGGTCGAGTCAAAGAAGGGTCAAATTGAACGATACGTTACTCTGTTGGGGCTCCACTTTACCATTTTTAACGGCTATCGTGAGCCTTGAAGCGCACAAAAGACTCTACAAGACGCAATTATGATAGCCAGGCACCTCGACATTCGGCACATGTGGATCGACTACATATACATCTTGCAAGACGATAAGTTGGACTGAGAACAAGAGGCTGCTTACATGGCCGTAGTGTATAGTAATGCTTATCTTACGATAGCAGCTGCAGGAGAAGCGCGTTGTAGAGCGGGCATGTTGGCACATCGTCCGTCTGGTTTGGCCGCGTCATTCTTCTCCGAAGCTGAAGATGGTGCATTTGACATGACGATTCGATACATCGGCAGTTTCTCAGATCGTTCACGCGTCTACGAGGTGAGTCGAAGTCCTGATCTGAAGTCACACCTATTGACGGATTTGACAGCATGAGCCCCTTACAGACGTAGATGGGCTTTGCAAGAACGATTGCTGTCCCTTCGTGGATTGCAGTTTGGAGTCGATCAAATAGAATGGCACTGTCGACAAGCCATTGACCGTGAAGATAACGAGCGCGGTATAGATGTTGATCCTTACGACCTCAACAAACTGAGCCATTGCCTGCAACAAGAGCCTTCAGCAGAGGATGCATGTGATGAGTGGTTTTGGTGTATACAAGAATATAGTCATCGTGATCTCACACAGCAGCGAGACAAGCTCCCGGCGTTGGCCGGCATTATCGCTGCGCTCCAAGTAGCTACGGATGTGGAAGGGTTGAGGGTATTGATTGGTGTATATTGCTATGGCGAGGATCGATCGGGACTATATAGTAGGAGGAGATAGCCGTAAACGGGTATGGAAGCAAACCCGAGCTACCCGAACGAGCTGGACAATCAGTGCAGCGGACCGTTAGCAAATACTGCAACGGACCGCTGGCGAACACTGCAACGGGCCGCTGGCGAACAACGGGTGACATCTGTTATGATGGCATGTAGTGTAAGCATTTCTTGAACAGTCTTCTGTGGTACATTGAGGAAGCAGACATAGGACAGCAACGTGCAGTGTTGGATTTTTGGAGAACGCTGTCTTGGTCTTTCACTGCAGTGGTTTCCGGCATCTCATGCTATAGATACGGGCGGCTGGTTCGGGCTGAGGTTGGCGCACGACTGGAGGATTGCGGTGTCACTCCAATGTGCTCTTGGCGAACTAAGAGAAGGATACGCTCGCATTACCGCACCACTGATATACCTCGAGATTGTGACGAACAGCATCGGCTACCCTCGGTTGTGCCGGGCGACTCCAAGGAGCAGGAGAGATTGTTCTCGACACAGACGACCAGCACAGCAGCACCTCCCCATATAAGTACTTTGTCCTGGTGATCAACACTCACTCCGGGACAGACGTTGTCAAAACAACGGCAGAATGCGAAACGTACCTTCGTATTGGACTTGTTACATTTCTCTTAGCCTTACCAATTTCGAATCTGCCTGCACTTCAGACAATTACATTCATGTAGCGGTCCCTTCGGGGATTCTCAGGACAGACAGAAACGCAGGAACAAGACTCTGAAAGGCAACGGGAAACCGGTTGTTACACAAAACCTCCTGGTTCATTATACGCAGCATCTGATCGAAACCCGAACAGCGAAATACTAGCCTCCTACGATACCATAGGTACATTGCGAACTTCCTCCGCTTTCGCCTCATACGCCTTCACAACACTCTCGGCCTTTTCCTGCGCAATCTGCATACCCGCCCCCGCCCCCGCCTTCAGTCCCTCCGCCATCGCAATCGCCACCTGTTTCATTATAACCATCGTATCACCCGCCGCAAACACGCCCCTCACGCTCGTCTCATTGAACATCGGATTCGTAATCTTGATATGCCCGCCCATCGCAGCATCCACCGTCTCAATACCCAACTGATCAATAAGATGCTGTGACCGGTTCACAGTGTCCGGACGATGAACGATAAAGCCTAGCGTCACAGGCTCGCCGGTCTCGAACTCGATGGTCACGCCGTCTTCGTGCGAGGGTCCGTTGTTGATGAGGCGCGTGATGATGCGGGAGTCGACTTTGGCGCCGAAGGCTTTGGATACTTTGAGGCCTTGTTGGACTGGTGGGTCATCTGGGATAGTGCCGTTGCTGAAGATGGTAATTCTGTCGTCGAAAGACTTGGCCACCTGTACGAGATGGGACTGCGAAGGGTGTTTGAACTCGAGGATGCCGATGGGCGTGCCGCGCTGCTCGAAGCCGTCGCATGCTAGGCACTGGTAGATGTGCTCTGGCCAGTTCTCTTTGTAGCCGTGGATTTCCGGCATGATGTCTTTTGAGCCGGTTGCGAGGATTAGCTTTTTCCCGAAGTGCGTCTTGTTATCGCTGTCTCGGACCTCGAAGCCTTCGTAATTGTCTTCTCCGATTTGCTTCTTGGCCGCGTGGGTGATGTTGACGTGCTGGAACCAGACTGTGTCGTAGCGAGACTCGATTTGTTCCCGTGCCGTGCGACGGAAGCTGTATGGGTCCTGGTGGTCTCTGGAAGCGACGGTGTGCATGTGCTTGATGCCTTCGTTACGGTATTCTTGCGAGTCGAAGACCAGTGCTGTTCCTCGAGTGCGTGCAAATACAAGTGCAGCATTCAGCCCCGCAGGACCCGCTCCAATGATCAAGGCGTCGAAAATGTGAGGGCGGAGTGCTGTCATGGCCGTCGATGAGGTGCTTGGTCTCTATTGACCTGGCGGTGAGTTTGAGACGTTACTGGGTATTCAATTTCTTGCGGACGTACCTATGGTAGTCCGGGAAAGTCACAGAGATGCATCTAGATATCCCAACAACGTGGGCACTTTGATCAGCTTAAATGTTTACACCTCAGCTTACATGCGGAGACATTGGCGTAGTATCAGTGCTTGGCAAAATGTATGGACCCCCCTGAATCTGGCTCGCTACTGAAGTCCTCTACATCATACAGAGGCGAAGGCTTCCGAGTGGCTGTTGACTGTCTGGTTGACAATTGTGACAGCTTGATAAACGTCATGCAGGGCATCAACGTTGGTAATAGCCACTCACAAGCTTGTTCGCACGACTATACCACGGTGCAGATGTACTGGTTGCATTACTGTTCCAAGTCCAGGGGGGTTCGTATATTTTGACAATCATTATAAAGTTTGTGTGCACCAACATCTGGAGCCCAATGACCGCTTCGAGCATAATTGAGCAGGTACTCAGCCACCATGGGGCTCCTCCTACAATATCTTCCTTCTGGGCATGTAAGCTTATAAATGACCAGATGATATGTTATCGATCAGTTGTTTGTTGTGGATATGTGAAGTAGTTTTCGGTCTCCAAGCACGCCATGTCAGGGAAGTCTCCGGAAAGTCTCCGCCAACATGCAAAGCTCCGACACACCAATGGAATCCGCGAACAAGAACGTCGCAGCATCTGCATCACCACGTGCAACTGCATCAACGAGTGGAACCGTACCCAATGACTCTTGAGATTATTTCCTGGGTCGAAACCGTCGACCCACAGCCTGTTGGGCAGCACTAGACGCAGTCAGCAACCATCACTTGTTCAAAACTGAGTTCGAACCTACCTGCACGGTGTTCAAGATCTCTCTGTAGCTCATGGATGAAGCTCTCTATGCTCTCGGTCAGGGTGTGGAAACCTCCAAGACCGTGCTTGATAATGCAACAATTCAAACTCCTACTCTTAAGAAAACGATTGCCCTTGTTGCGTAAATTCCTGGGGCGTTCTCGATTTTTGTATCTTTAAGGATGTATGCTGCAGTGCTGTGATTGTGGTGAGTACATCGAAGCGGTAAGTTGAAGGCTGGTCTTCGGCGTGTACAAGGCGGACGAGATCTGCTTTGCGGTTAGAAAGTTATACGATGTGACACGGAGAGCTTAGGTACGGATTGCTTCTTCCCGTAAGATTTTCTCGAGTTGTACACGTAGTAGCGGCTGCTCGACTTGTGCGTGCTTCTGCTGAACTTGCGTGTGCTTCTGCTCGACTTGTACGAGTGGCTGCTCAACTTGCACGGGTGGCTGCTCAACTTACACGGGCGTCTGCTTAAATCGCATGTGCTCATGATCACGACGCCGTATCTTGAAGTCGAGCCAAAAGGACCGGGGCTCCATTCTTGCCCTGTCCTCGGCTACTTTTCTGACTTTGGCTTCTTCCGTGCCTTTGATTTCCTCGCCCTCTTTGACTCCTTCCGTGACTTTGGCGTCCTTGCTGTCTTCGACTCCTTTCGTATCTCTGGCTTCAAGTAGACGTGCAGTACTATCGAGGCTTGTCGCAGATGTGTAGTACTGTCGATCCTTTCGAAAACGTACAGGCGAAGGCTTGGAGCCCGAGATCCTGCGCCCGAAGCGCTTGCTGTAGTATGTGGTAAAAGACATCTTGATATACGAATGTGCTGCTGCAGTAATGATCGATGTGCAGATGTATAGAGAATAGCGAAGTTGTGACTGGCGTTGGCACTAAAATGGCTGATGTGAGGATGGGTCACGATGGAGCATTGGTCGAAACAAGCACCGCATTATGGATTTGGTGCTGTTGCGTCGTCGCGCATCGTATAGTCTTTCTTGCCAACGCTCGGCGGATAAAACCTGCACAGTCTAAGGTTGTTGCTGCTTGCTGGGAGCGGAGACCTCGCACCTGCCCTATACGTTGATGGCAGGTTACGTGCTTTCCCACTGCAGCCTCAACGCCATCCACCGACTCGGCCCTCATCCCATCTCTCTTTACGCTCCGCTCTGAGGTAGGCGATCTTCCGTCCTTCTCTTATACGCCTTACGAAATCGATCACCTCTCGTTCACTAGCGATCGCATCATTACCACCAACGCCCTCGCCATCCAGGAAACTTTCTTCCAGGCCTCGACACAACGCTTCTTGCTCACCGACAGCAGCACTCAAGCGCTGATATAGCGCTGGTGGACTGAACTCTCGCAAAGCTTCATCCTGCTCTGCTTGTTTGGCTCTCCATTGACGTTCTAGGGCTCGAAGAGCAAGCAGGCGTGATTGTGTGCCATCGCGTTGATGCTGTACGTGTGCTTCAAGCTGCTTCAGTGATTCTGCAAGCTGGACGTTCTGAGCGAGAAATGCTTGCAATGGTGCTGTAGATGCCCGAAGGGAACTATGTGCCGTTTCTGGATTGTGAATGATAGCGTGTTGCAGCTCTGGAGTCTGCAATATTTGGTGTAGATCCTTTGTTCTGTCGGTACGTGAGTAACTTGCATGTGTCAAGGCGAAGATCAACGTACGCTTTGTCTTTGACGCATTCAGGCAACCAACCGTCATTGGGAGGTTGGACGGCTAGTTGATATGGATCGGGTTGAGGCTCATTTTGTGAATACGTTAATTGATAGTTGCCATAAGACTGCGACTGGCCAGGCGGTGGTGACGGTAGTGGAGGACCTGAGGGTGTTGCTGTGCCACTTGAATTGCCAGGCTTAGGTGGGGGAGGTGGAGGGGTAGAGGCATCATATTGGTAGAAGCTCTGAGAATGGCGAGGCGATTGGAAAGCCATGTTTGAAGTGATGAAATTAGAAATTATGTGATACTCGTAGACCCATTCAACACGTGAAGCATCACAGTCGTCGTAGGCTGGATCATGCACGTGGTGCTGATGTTCGGCGGGCCGATATTGACTCCGATAACAACTCAATGATTGCGCGAGTCAGCAATGTTGCAATTCGACATCAACTGGCAAAGTGAGGTTGCGCTTCAGGGGCACGTCGTCTTCACAGAGATTGCGTTCGATCCTTAGCGGAGACGTCTACGGTACCGGCCAGGCTGTCTGACATGTTCTCCGCAGCAAGCCTCATCTGTCATGGTCACGGATGTGCCCCTGCCGCTCGCCAGGCGCACTAGCCCTATCAAGATTTCGGCCTCAGGCACATCTCCTTATTTAGCGACGCAAGATTGTGCAACGATACGGAAAGATGAAGCAAACTGCAGGCCATCCACTGGTAGCTGGCTAAAGTCCGATCGAGTTTATGCACACATTGTGGTTGACAGGACGGACTTCTCTCACATGCAGGCTGCGGGAGACTGTCAGCGTGGTGTTCGAACGGTGTTCGGAGACTGTTTCACAGTGGCCCTGCGGCGAACGCGGGAGGCTCAGGCACTGAAGGCATCAGAATCGATGTCAACTGTCGTTCGGAGTGCGCGAGGCGCAGATATCCACTCGAGTCTGGGACTTTTTGCAAGTCTTCGAATCAACAGCAACACCTCACAACCATTTCCCACTCCTCGACTCGCTCTCAGCGTGTGTACCTTGGCCCATCGGCTCATTGGCGGATAGAAAAGTGTTCCTGCAGCGGCGGCGACCTACCCCTGACGCGCGCGGCACGCTCCACTCCACTCCAGCAGCACGACCCACCTTCGGTCAAGACTGGTCAGAACTGATTGATGGGCGCGTGGATAGCGACCAATTCCAGCATTGCAATCCGCACTGAGGCCTCCAAGTGCTCTTCGCCCTGCTCGTGCGGCTCGCTCGGCAGTCACAGTCCCCCTTTACGAGCGCCTCTTCTAGCGGTTACGATTTACAGTGCACACTCGGTCTCTCACTCTAGACCCGCGATTTGTGCAAAGTAATGATCTCCCCCGGGCCATAGAATGGACAATATGCAAGACGCCCAAGCGCATAGCGTGGACGCGCCTTCCTCACAAGTTCAAGCCTCGCCGCCTCGCCAGAAGCAATCGACATTGGCCTCCATTGCCATTCAGTCCTTCGCTGCCTTCCGCTCTCAGACATCGTCACAGCTTGTCCCTATCGCTGTCCAGTCGCCGGTTCGACGCAAGCCTCTACCAGCAGACTCTCCTGTTGCTGCTCGTTTCTCTCAGTCGAACCTACGCGCCAACAGCATCACCAGTAAAGATAATCGTCCTAATTCAGTACTCTCGCCGCCATTGACCGACGAGGGCTTGTTCGTGCCCAGGAACCTTGACAGGTGAGCATCTGGTTTGCTATGCGCCTGCCAATCGTTAACGACAGTCGCAGCAACCCACACGAAACCACCCTTCTGACAGGAACCGCGCCCAAACCATTCGCACCCCACAAGAGCTTCCTCCCTGTTACGACCCTCAACCCATCCGTCTACTCTCCACGGCATGAGAGGTCGATCAGCAACATCCAACCACAGCGACCGACGAAAGCAGGAGATCTGAAGGCCCACGCTCGCTCACCTACTATGCCCAATATGCCTCTATACGCTTCAGAATCACGGCCAGGACCAGACCTCAAGATCAAACTAGACGGTGTTACGGAAGACTTCATGGACGAATACTCTTACGGTGCTGAAGACGACGTACCCCGCGACATTTCACAACAGGGCAAACCCAAGTCCCCGGGTGGCGGGTTCACTTCCTTCTTTGGCTGGAACTCGTCGAGGCCACAGAACGGCGCCGAGTCACCGGCTACCACATTCTCCTTGTCTCCAACAGATTCCCCACGGAATAAACAAGGGAACATGCCTGCCAAGACAAAACCAAATGGTCTGGACATTCCAGCTGCCAACTCGCTATCTTCCTACTTCAACGTACCAGGGACACCACTCCTCTCATCATCGCCTCAAATGAATGCTCACGTCGAGGAGCTCGAGCGCGAATTGCGCGAAGTGAGCTCAGAGCTAGCTGCCTCGATTCAGAGAGAGATGGAATTGGAAGATGAAGTTGAGCGCTGGAAAGCGGAAAGCGCCTCGGTCTCATCACCAGACAACAGGAGAACAAGTGATTACTATTCAGACTCAGGGATTAGCTCGATTCGGTTTCCTATCAGTGACCCTGAGGCTAAGTTGGAAGAAGTAGACACACAACGAAGGAAGGCGGAGCAAGATCGCGCATCTTTGAAGGTGCGCATGGCTGAACGACTACAAGAGGAACTGAGACGTCGCAGGGACTTGGAAGAGCAGGTACAGCAACTCGAAGATCAGGTTAGCGACCAGTCCAGAGTTGGATCAATGGTTGAAGACCCTCGAGTGAAGGAGCTGTCAACGTCATTAGAAGATGCTAAAAGACGTTTGGCTGAAGAGAGACAGGTCAAAGAAAACTTCGAAGATCTGCTGACAGCCTTGCGTGAAGAGCTCGAGAAGCACCGTAACGAAGCCGACAATTTGCGAGAACAAGTGGTTCCTCAGTTACGATCACGACTCGAGGTCCTGGAAGTAGAGGCCGCCGACACCGAGAGGCTCGTGTTCGAATCTACAAGGATGCAGCAAGAGATCCAGCAACTGCGGAATGAGAACCAATCCCTTGTTGCTGCCCGGAAATTGCAGCTGGAAACAACGCAGCCGCCGCAGCCGAACCTTAGTTTCCAGTCTATCGCGGAAGAGGAGAACGATGGTCCGCCCTCTAATCTACGTGTTGGCTTGACACGGTCCAACTCGCTAGCTCGCAGTACTGGATTTAACTCCAAGAGGGGTTCGCTGATGCGGTCAAACTCAGTCAAGACCAGATCAGGTGATGTGTCTCCCGCAGACGTACCAACTGTCAGCAACCCGGTAAAGGAGTTGGAGGAGCAGCGTGATGCGCTCCACAAGGCCCTGAAACACCTCCTACACCGACAAGAGATGCAGCAAAGAGATTTTCAGAGACGTATCAACGAGCTCGAAGCTGAAAGAGATGCTGCTCTTAACCTCACGCCCCGTCGGACCGCATTCCATAGAGAGGTCGGTGATCTTAGACAAGAGGTAGATGCGCTTCGACGTCGCGCAGACGATGCATTAGAGCAGAAGTGGCAGTGCGAGAAAGGACTAGGTGGACTGCGGATGGATCTTGATCGAGCACAACAAGAGACGAGCTCTCTCCGTGAGCTCCTTCGTGAGCACGACATCACCGTTCCCGAAATTCGTCTGGAGAATGAACCTATCTCCTTGGACAAGGCATACAACGAGCTGCAAACGACACAAGCCCTTTCACTCGTACGCATTCAACAGCTGGAGTCAAGCGATGGAGAGTCCTTGGGCGCTGCCGGGGCTGAAGCTGAGAGGACACTCGACCTTTTGAGGCGCAGCATCTCAGATGCTGAGGCAGAGCGTGACTTCGCTATGAGCGAGGCTGAACAGTACCGCAAACAAGCACGGCAGCTGCAGAAGTCGGAGCTTGAACATCTTGACAATGAGCAGAAGCTCAGCACCGAGTTGTTTGCTGCTGCAGGGCGCATGGATGAGCTCTCCAACAGGATCCAACAGCAACTCGAGGCCAATGGTTCATTACGAGCACGCCTGACTGATGCTATCTCTCGTGGGGAGAAAGAGCAACATAAGTCAACAGAGCAGATCATCAAACTAGAGCGGCGTCTGAAGACAGCAGAGGATAAGGTCATGCTTGCTCAGCAGTCGTCTGAGGAGGCTATTGCCAAGCACGAGACGGAAGTCCAAGCTCTCAAGGAGAGCCATAGCAGCCAGTTACGTCGCGTAAAGTCTGGCTTGTTGAGCCCATCAGCCTTCTCGCCTAAGATGCCGTCGTCTCCAGTGTTCTCTCAACGATCACCTCGTCTTGATATGACCACTAGTGGCCCTGCCATGACCATGGCTGAAGCCACCAAGACAGAACTCCTCGAGAAGCGTGTCGAAGAGCTGGAGAAAGCTCTCCGTGACGCTGATCGTGAGATGGAGGAGGTTGTCAGTCGTATGAACATTGCTCAGATCGAGGTTGCTGAGCTCCAGTTTGAAAAGTGAGTCTAACACCCGCTGGTCAATGGCATGAGACTAACAATCACACAGGGATGAGGCCCTTCGTCACACACGGAAACTGCAGGCTGACATCCTCGCCGAGCGCGAGAAGGTCAAAGTACTGATGGCTTCCAACGAATAACTTACTAATCCAAATCACGTTTGCTGGACACGACGTTCTGACCTTACATAATACTAGCCGACTGCATGCACAACACCTGCATATGAGCTTCCAAGCTATCGTCTCGGCCTTTTCTCAGACACTGCATCTACATTTGGCGTCACGACTGTACGCATATTACCCTTCACAACACACACCATTCTGGATTTCTGGACATGTATCAGAAACCTCTATTTTGGCCAGTGCCTTGCTGGCTACTGTTCTATACCCTGTAGCGGTTACAACGCTATTTACCTTTCTCAGTTGGTGGCTGCCCTGCGGACGATCTGCAGGTTTCTTCTTGGATGTCATGGCTTCAAGCCTCTTTGGATATCTTGTGTAGCATTCGTGTACGGATGTTGTACTATAACGGTGTAATGTATCAATGTTGACGCGTGTGTCTCGCGCGTCTTATTGCAGTCGAAGCAATGTCACACTTGTCATACATGTCTAATCTTCTTCTACACGTGGCTGCTTGTGTTCTAACGTGTGATGAGCGAGGCGAAGCGGAAAGAATGCATATGACACGTGCAAAGCAATAGAAGGCAGACCACAACAGTTCAAAGCAGTAAGTCATGGTTTTATAGGCTGCTCGACAGGAGCTTTGGTGAGCTTTCGAGTCTTGAATCACATGACAGTGGCATCAATGAAAGGAAGGTCGAGCCTCCAGAAAAGGGATGGATTCTGGCTAGTAGACCCTGAAACCGCAGCACGTTCTGTAGCGGGTATGCACGATCTATGAACGCGTGCAGTCTGCGCAGAGGAGCTGCGCAGCGGTCGAATGTTTGATTTTTCAACAAGGTAGCCAGAATTCAGACTATCAAGTTCACAATGCGAGCCGGGTCCTGGGTCATTGGCTCGGCCCGTGGGACTGGCTGCATGCCCAATGCTACGCTAAGAACCGACTCCCTGACTTGAGCTCTCGTCGAAACAACCCCCCGTCCGCCTTCCCCTCTCGCCAGCTGTTCGCTGTGATTTGCCTCCCGGGGGTTCGTTCAACGCTCTGTGCAGCCTGAAAGAAAGTGCGCAGTATTGTTCCACCGCCCGCTCGCTCTCTCCCCACGGCCACTGGGCACTCTCCTACACCCCTCTCCTCCGAAAACCTTACGAACCACACCGCCCACGGCACACTTCGATCCACAGCACATTGAGGGGGCTCTTTTAGGCCATCTCAGCTCCACACTCGCTCCACGATGAACAATCAGCAGCAGGGCAACCGCCTGCAGCTCAACTTTGGCTTTGGTGGTGGGGGTGACCGCAACAACCAGTATGCCCAAGAGCAAGGCCGTGCGTTTCCCACTACACCGTCGACATTCCCGCAGCCTGTGTACCCGAACCAGGCTGGTCAACAAGAAGTCTGGGGTGCGCAGCAGCAAATGGGTGGCAATGGCTATGGAGGCTACTTCCAGAACCCTTACCAGCAGGCTCAGTACCAGGGGCAGCAGGGAAACCTTCAGGCCCCAGGTTCAGCTCGCTTCGACCAGAGCCCCAATGGACTAGCCCAGCAGCTTTCCCAGCAGCACCTCGGAGGTGGCAGCAACCGCTCTGGAAGCCCATACGGCCGCCAGCCATCGCCGAACCAACAGCGACCTCGCACTGCTGATAACAGGGGATTTGGATACGGTGGCTATGGAGGCGGCTCTGCACCTCGGCAGCCGTCACAATCATTGTACGATGAGGAGGCACCGGCCAGAAACCCTGAGAAGTACTCAAGCAACGTCGCCCAGCAGGCGACTATGTCAAAGGGTCTGATCAACACCTTCTTCAAGGACAGCGTTCAGCGAGCACGCGACCGAAACCAGAGGTACGAAGGCATGTCGAGGTCGCACCACACGTCACTGACACAAGAATAGAGCATTGGAACTCGAGTCCATTATGAAGGAACCCTCGATCTCCGACAACCGCAAAGCCCAGAAGGAAAACAGCATGCGCAACGCCGAGATCCAATACCTGCGGTTCCTGCGAACAAAGGAGAAGCCAGAGAACTTCTCGACATTGAAGGTTATTGGCAAGGGTGCCTTCGGAGAGGTCAAGCTTGTTCAGCGCAAGAATGACGGCAAGATCTATGCGCTCAAATCACTGGTCAAGCAGGAAATGGTACGAATGAGACCCCCCCATGCAGAATCACAAGAACAGAACACTGACACTGTACAGTTTAAGAAAGATCAATTGGCTCACGTACGATCCGAACGTGACATCCTCGCCGAGTCGGATAGCCCCTGGGTTGTCAAGCTGCACACCACGTTCCAGGACAACACCTTCCTATACATGCTTATGGAGTTTTTGCCCGGTGGTGATCTGATGACTATGCTCATCAAGTACGAGATCTTCACAGAGGACATCACAAGATTTTACATGGCCGAGATCGTCCTCGCCATAGAAGCTGTGCACAAGTTGGGTTTCATTCATCGGTAGGTCCTACTGTCCTGAAAGAGCTTTGGACGCATTTGCTAACACCACCTAGTGACATCAAACCTGACAACATTTTGCTGGATCGCGGCGGTCACATCAAGCTGACTGACTTCGGTCTGTCGACAGGTTTCCACAAGGAGCACGATGCCGGCTACTACAAGAAGTTGCTTGCTGGCGGCGCACACAAATCGAATCGGGATAACCGAAACTCGATGAACATGGATCAGATCCAACTGACTGTCAGCAACCGTACACAAATCAACACATGGAGGAAGTCTCGTCGCCAGCTGGCCTACTCCACCGTCGGTACACCCGACTACATTGCGCCAGAGATCTTCAGCGGCCAAGGATACGACTTTGGCTGCGATTGGTGGTCTGTTGGTACCATCATGTTCGAATGTCTCATCGGCTGGCCACCTTTCTGCGCAGAGGAGCCCCATGACACTTATCGCAAGATCGTGGATTGGCCACGCAACTTGCACTTTCCCCCAGACCAGCAGCTCGGTGCAGAGGCGGAGGACTTTGTGAGGCGGTGAGTCTCCCTTGCGTTTTCATCATTGACTCGTTACTAACGGACCTTTCTTAGCCTGATCTGCGACGCCGACCACCGTCTAGGCCGCATCGGCGGTGCCAGCGAGATTAAGCAGCATCCGTTCTTCCGCGGCGTCTCGTGGGATGGTCTGCGACGCATCCGTGCACCGTTCGAACCCAAGCTGCAGTCAAATGTTGATACGCAATACTTCCCTATTGACGAGATTGACCAGAACGACAACAGCGCTGCTTACAGGGCGCAAGCCGCGCAGTCCGGAGAGGACGAATACGCCACCAGCTTGCCCTTCATCGGCTACACATACAAGCGTTTCGATGCTTTCCGAGGTGCATAGAGTGCTCGTCGACTGGTTGCGACGATACACTGCACAATTGCATATCGTTTTTGCAGGCTTTGACATCGTATACAAGCATCGCCTAGGCGTTGGGCCTCGTTTCTCTTGGTCTCATATCTTACGTTGTCGTTCTGCACATTATTCTGTGGTCATTGGGAGTATCGAGGGCCCGCCGGACTGGGATCATGTGGGCGCCACTCTGCGTCACAGCTAAGGCGTAAGCTGAAGTGTTCGGGTTCGTCCTTTAAGTGTCTGGTGATAGCACTTCGGTCACGGGCACATCTGGGGGGAGACATCAGACTAACTATTGGGATATGGAGGAGTTGGAGAGAATCAAACAACGTGAAACTGCACTTTGTGCTCATTGCAGTGTCTGTGACATTTCGTATGCCCCTATGTCCATCTATGCGAATGGCATGCTTTCTCGTAATAACCATTTGCGAATGCAAATGTTTGTCCCAGTCACCAATAACTCCATGCTCTCAGGACTCGGACTCCCGAGTGGTCGTATCCGTTCTTCGCTTTCAATTAGCTCCCCTCGATCCAGATGCTCTCGCTACCAAGTTGTCACACAGTAAGACCGTTTACCGGATTCATCGCGCCTCAAACTGTACCATACTGCACAAACGTTAGCACTCGTCCACTCAAACACCCTCTCCCCTGCCATATAGCTCTTTCACACGTCTGGCTTCCTCCAAAGCGCCCTTCCAGTCGCACTTCTCTCTGTCCCTCTTCCACTCCTCCGCCTCACACTCCATCGCACCCTCCACCCCTCCACCCAAAAGCAAAAGCAGAAGCAAAAGAACTCACCGGTTCGTCCTCTGCTTGTACAACACGCGGTGGCCACACTGTCTGCAACGAATGGGCTCGCCGCGTTTCAAGGGAACGTCCTGGTCGCAGTCGCCGCACTTGTAGTGCACGGTGCGCGCGTTGATGTCGACTTGCTGCTGCGCTTCCGAGGTGTTGGCGCCGCTGTAGCCGCCGTACTGTTGTGTGGACATTTTGCGGGATGTGTGCTGGGAGCGATCGCAGAGGGGGTGGGAGAGGTGGGCGATGGGCGTGAGGTATATGTGCGACGGTGTGGTGTGTTCGGTGTGGATGTCAAGGTCGAGAAATTGTTCAAGGCGGGAAGGCAGACTGGCGGCGCGAGTGCACGTGCCTTATCGATAATGGACTTGAGGCGCGAGTGCGGGAGCGCTTTCACATGGCGCTTATGTCAGGTAGGGCTGGCTAAGGGTCTTGGCCTATTGATGCTCAGATTGTGCGGAATGTGTTAAGCGCAAAGCTCGTGGTTTGACTCTTCCTGAGCTCCTTTGCGTGTTACCTCTTACCTGACTTTGAGCGCACGTCATTTCGGTATCCAACTGGAAGGCGCCCTGACATGCCTTGACCTTTCGGCAAGCTGTCAGTCTTAGATCGCATTCGCAACCCCGAAACCTCGACCTCGCGTACCAGTTCATGACGTGCCTCCCTCGTACCTTCACCCTTGCCGCGCGGGCAAACAGACCACAATGTTTTCCAACGCGCTGAAGTCGTTCCAATCGAACATCTCGGGCAACTACACCCTCAGCGCCCAGCCCACGTCTTACTCCGGACCATGGAAGATATACGATGCGAAGAAGAAGTCGACAGGCAAGGCGGCCTCCGTATTTGTCTTCGAGAAGAAGTCGTTGGAGCCTTCTGGCGGTGCAAGCCTCGGTGGTCGCTCAGGCGCATCGCAGCTGAAGCGCGCACACGAGGAGGTAGTGGAGAGACTGAAGAAGGAAGCTAGCTCGCTGGCACGGCTGCGACACCCCAGCGTTCTGGAGCTGGCCGAGCCAGTAGAAGAGACTCGCGGTGGAGGCCTGATGTTTGCCACGGAGCCTGTGACAGCATCCCTTGCTGGCTTGCTGCAAGAGAAGGACGAGCAAGAGAAGGCTGGAGGTGTGGGCGGTCGTCGAAGCCGCTATGTCATCGAAGAGTGTGATGGACAGAAGCGCAGGCGAGAGCTGGAAATCGACGAGCTGGAGATACAGAAGGGATTGCTGCAGATTAGCAAAGGCCTGGAGTTCTTGCACGAGAGCGCTGGGTTGGTTCACGCCAACCTCACGCCGGAGGCTATCTTCATCAATGCTAAAGTAGGCAATACCAATTCGTCTCTTCATGTACTTTTGCTGATGGACGTGACAGTCAGATTGGAAGATCTCAGGTCTGGGGTTCTCCACTCCTCCAGAGAACTCAACGAAGCCGACCTCCGTGACGCCCATATCCCTCTCCGAAGTCTTGAACTACGATGCTCGACTACCTAGATACGTTCAGCTCAACATCGACTACAGTTCACCAGACTTCGTTATGGACGGCAATGTGACGCCAGCTGCAGACATGTTCAGTCTCGGTCTCTTGATCATTGCACTCTACAACTCACCGCGTCGGAGTCCACTCGAGTTCAACGGAAGCACATCTTCCTACAAGCGAGCATTCTCGTCGTCTTCATCGGTACCGCACAAGAACAACAACTTCATGAGTTCGCAACCACTACCGCGAGACGTCATAAACGGAGTGCTAGATCGACTCATCACACGGCGACCGGCACAGCGCTTAGACGCAAAGGAGTTCCAGCAAGCACAATACTTTGACAACATTCTTGTCTCGACAATCCGGTTCCTCGACTCTCTACCAGCGAAGACACCGAATGAGAAGTCGCAGTTCATGCGTGGGCTGCCACGAATACTCAATCAGTTTCCAAAATCCGTTTTGGAGAAAAAGATACTCCCAGCATTACTTGAGGAGATGAAAGATCGCGAGCTGTTAACTTTGATTTTGCAAAATGTCTTCAAGATCATTACCGTGCTACCATTAGGCAAGCGGGCGTTTACCGAGAAAGTCATACCAAAGCTGCGTGCAACGTTCTTGAGTGGCGCTGCTGCTACTGCACCAAACACCAAGGGTGTGGCCCAAGAGCGTGACAGCCTGAAGGAGGCCGGTCTAATGGTTTTGCTAGAAAACATTCAAGTCGCAGCAGACAACACAGGTGGAAAGGAGTTCAAGGATGACATCTTGCCCGTCATAAATTACGCCTTAGAGTCGCCGACGCACTCGTTGGTCGATGCAGCGCTGCGTACGCTGCCTGTCGTCCTTCCGATCCTCGACTTCTCCACGACCAAGAACGAGCTCTTCCCTGTTATCGCGACAATCTTTGCGAAGACCAGCAGTATGGGTATCAAGATCCGTGGGCTGGAGGCATTGAAGACCCTGTGCGGTGGTGGTGGTAACGATGACCAGAATGAGTACCCAGGCGATGGTCTGACGGGTATGGTGGAGGCTCCGAAAGCGAAAAGCTCCAGTGTTTCGATCTTGGACAAGTACACGATACAGGAGAAGGTTGTGCCGCTGCTTAGGGGCATCAAGACTAAGGAGCCTGCTGTTATGGTATGTTTTCCCTTGCCAGAGATGACCGACCCTCTTTGCTAACAGTGAAAATCAGATGGCTGCCCACGACGTCTTCAAAGCTATAGCACCACAAGTCGACAGTGACTTCCTGGCTATGGACGTCCTTCCGATCTTGTGGCAGTTCAGCTTGGGGCCGCTGCTCAACCTTCCGCAATTCCAAGCTTACATGACATTGATTAAGTCTACTTCAGCACGCGTTGAGCAAGAGCAGACACGGAAGCTACAGGAGCTCGGTGCAAACAGCACAACTGCGACCTCGCGGAATGAGTTCATGAGCTTCGGTGGCCCACCCGCATCGAACGGTTACGACTCGACGAACGGCGGTGATGACACAAATTTCGAGGCATTGGTACGGGGTGGCAACCAAGGCACAACCGGAGGGTCAGACATGCTTGGAGGCGATCCATGGGCCAATGCTTCCGCAAGTGTCTCAGCATCGTCCTCCACCACCCTACCCTCACGACCTGCCAATCGGGCCAACAATGTCTCGCCTGCCCCAGCAACCTTCTCATGGTCCACACCACCTGTTTCTCCACCGCCACCAACGACCTTGTCTGCACCTCAAGGTAATAGCAGAGCCATCACGCCCGACAACACCTTCTCCTCCCTCAATTCTTCCTTCCCAGCCATGAACCCCACCAACCCAGGTATTGGCAGCCCCACTTTCTCCCAACAACAGAGTAGGTCTGCGATGGGTATGAACAGCATGATGTCCCAACCAACAACGACACCTTCATACACAGCACCTAGTTCCGGTATCGACTGGAGCAAAGCAAACACCTCTTCCACATCAGTATGGGGCAACACGTCCACGAACAACGCTATGTCAAGCGGCCTCTCAAACTTCTCAGCCATAACCCCCTCGCAACCCCAACCTCAACGCCAGAACGACACCGCAAGTCCCTACTCGGCCTTTAGCATCGCGCCGCCACCCTCGAAGCCAGCGACTTCTGGGACATTTAGCATAGCACCGCCGCCGAGCCTGAGTGCAAGCAATAGGAGCGTGAGTGCAACTGGTGGGTTGAGCATGAATAGTATGGGTGGTATGAAGAGTGGGACTATGAATAGTATGGCAGCGCTGAGGGCACAGACGCAGAGTCAGCAGGGTCAGCGACAGCAGAATCAGACACAGACGAATTGGGGAATTGGGGGGGATAGCTTGATATGAGATGCCTTTTCAGCATGGATCAGAGATGCAAAAGAATCAAGCAGCTTGTGACACAATTCACATTGACGTCCATGAGACTTTATTCGATTATAGCGCACGTGCTCATGTGGAGCTGTAATTGTTCCTTGCTTTTTACAATCACGCAATATCGACTTTGAAGTCAGTGGCGTTGCGGTCCTCCGACTTCGTGATGTAAGTTGTAGTGTTGTTGTGCGAGGCCACCAACTCCATCACAAGACTCGTCAGCGCATCACATTGACCTTATCCGCATCCATACGATATCACTTGCGCTACTGATCGGCATAGCAGATCTCCAACGCAGCCAGTCAACCGCGTTAAATGTCCTGTCAGATCAGTGCAGCCTTCCATCGGGATATCCGAGATCATGCCCAAGATCAGGAGACGAAGGCTCAAAAAGAAGCAAAAGAGGATGCGCTTACACCGCATTGGCAAAACCTTGGTGTCGCAATCGTAGGGCGGGATTGCGTGAGAGCGGCCAAGAAGGAACAGCCGAGCGCGGCCCACTTTCTTGGCTCTGATGCTTGCGTGCGGCTTGGTGCGCTTGGTGCGCAATGTGGCGCGCAACGTCATGGTGCTCTCAACCACGCTTTCTGGTTGAGTTATGCGCCGTGAGCGGGTGGCAATCTGGAACTAAGGGGGGTGCCTGGAATCGCTGGGTTACGACGCAACGGAGGCCAGGCGGGCTCCACGATTGCGATGTTGATGTGGGTCGAGGTGACGATACGGCAAAACTCCACATCAAGCTGTGAACTTATTTGCCCAAGGTAGACGGCAACACGCTTTATGCGGCATGTCTATCCTAAAGCGCGCTGGCCAGTCAGATACTTCTAGTCTACGTGACGCCAGTCAGCCGTAAGGCCTGGGAAAGGCTGGGATTACTGCCGTACGAAGCGGCACCAGCGCGTCAGCCGAGATTTGAGAGGCCAACGAAAATTTGAACAATCAATCCAGAGTTCGAATCATGCGCGTACTTGAGCGGGCTTTTGAATCCCTTGTCGAGTCGTGGGGTAATTGTGCGGACGGAACGTTTGCTGTGTAACGTCTGATAGGCCGTTTTCATAACAAGCATCTTTAAACAGAGGTCGATATCCACCAAACCTGCACAATTTCCAGGGTTCCGCCTTCCGGCCACAACGACTTTCACCCCGCAGGGTTCTTCTAACGGCACTAGTGTCGTTTTGCTCGCGCCTCAGCATCATCTCTAGCCACCATCTCTCGAACCGCGTGCCCCACCCTGTATTTAACTATCCCAGCTCTTACGCTCTTTGTCTATCGTTCACCAACAACCGTTCGCCGTCTCCAGATTGCGATCTTCCACGCAGCTTGAGACCGTCTCACCTGCGTCACCCTCCACACACCTTGCACCGTTAATCAACAGCAAGTGGTTAATGCTGCCGGAAACGAATATTCGCCGTCGTTTTAGTTATACTCCCTACAAGAGGACTCTCCGCTGTTTAAAATGGCGTTAGGACTGTTCAGCAAGGCCAAAACGGCCGACAGCAATTCTTCCACCGACGAGAAGTTCCACTCTAAGGATGTCAACTATGATCCCGCAAATATCGGCGCGGGTACCGACAGGCTCGCTGACCCTGGAGCGAAGCGGGATCCTGAGATGGGTGTGGACAGCGACAGCGAGAGAAGCATTATTGGCAAACAGATGGCGATGGAAGCTGAGAATGCTATCAAGTACCGCACTTGCAGCTGGCAGAAGGCATGTCCTTCTTAGCAGGAGTCTCCTGCGCACTGCTAACTAATTGACTAGACTGCAGCTCTGCTCTTCTCTGAGTATATCTGTTTGGCCATTATGTCCTTCCCATGGTCGTACTCGATCCTCGGCCTTGTCCCCGGTATCATCTTGACCGTTGTCGTTGCTGCCTTAGTTCTATACACATCTCTAACTACTTGGTGGGTCTCAATGTTTTTGCGCAATAGACCATTTGTCACTAATTGGATCCAGGCACTTCTGCATGCGCCACCCCGAGATTCGCGATGTATGTGACCTGGGCCAAATGATCTTCTGGAACCAGAAATGGGCATTCTACTTTACCGCGGTCATGTTCATCCTGAACAACACATTCATCATGGGTCTGCACTGTCTCGTTGGCGCCAAGTGGTGGAACACTATTACCGGCCACGAGCTTTGCACTATCGGCTTTTCTGCAATCACCGCGATTATCTCGTTCGTCGCTTCCCTCCCAAGGACATTCTCTACCCTGGCTAAGATCGCAACCTTCTCCGCTCTGTTCACCTTTATCTCCGTCCTCTTGGCTGCCATCTTCTCTGGAATCGGACAAAAGCCTGCGGGTTACCCCAGCGAAGGCGAGCTCGAAGTCTACACTGTTGCGCCCTCTGGCACTACCTTTGTTGCTGGCATGAACGCATTCATGAACATCAGTTACACCTTCATCGGGCAGATCACACTCCCAAGTTTTATTGCGGAGATGAAGAACCCCAAAGATTTCCCCAAGGCCCTTTGGTGCGTCACAATCGCCGAAGTCATAGTCTTCAGCTGCGTTGGTGGCGTTGTGTACGCCTACACCGGTACACAATACATGACAGCGCCTGCATTCGGTTCGATAGCGAATGAGGTGCACAAGAAGGTCGCATTCACTTTCATGGTACCGACCATCATCTTTCTGGGTGTTTTGTACGCCTCGGTGTCTGCACGCTTCATCTTCTTCCGCATGTTCCAAGGCACTCCCCACATGGGTAATCATACTGTCCTTGGTTGGGCCTCGTGGGCAGGTATCCTCGCCGTTCTCTGGGTTCTAGCGTTCATCATCGCAGAAGTCATTCCTTTCTTCTCCGATCTGCTCTCACTGATGAGCTCGCTGTTCGATTCGTTCTTTGGTTTCATCTTCTGGGGAGTGGCCTATTTCCGTATGAGAAAGGAAACCTACGGCCCTAGGTTCTGGGCCGTACGTGGAATTCGAGGATGGGTAGGGTTTATTTTCAACATCATTCTTTGTGGTATTGGGGTGTTGTTCTTGAGCGCGGGTACCTACGCTACCGTCCAGTCCATCATTGACGGTTATGAGCAGGCGTCTTTTGGGGGACCGTTCAGTTGCGCAGACAACGGACTCTAAAGGAGGCGTCAGTGAAACGGTTTCTTGGTTTTCTCATTCTGGGACACGGTCCTTACGATCTTCGATAGATGTTTAATGATTGGAAAGACACGACGTATTTAGGTACAAGATTGGACATTACGGACAGAAAAGCAAGTGTGACATAACGAATGGAGAATGGACAACAATGGTTCGGCAATACAATCGCAAATCAAACATAACCATCGTCCCATACAAACCACGTGGTGACCGTCATTGTACCAGAAGGTTCCTTCTTTCGGCCTCTCCGGCAAAGCTTGAAGCTACAAAGGGTATGACGTCTCGCGTAAGGCACATGCTAGACAAGCTGTCAACATCCCCACCAACCTTCCCCAACTTTCATGCCCTCACATTCTGAGACCTTAACGACTTTCTGCCCCAGCGCTTCTTCAACTTCCGCCATCATGTTCGACAACATTGACTTCACTCAACCCACCTTGTGGGGTAAGTCTCCGCCCTCGGTACAGCTACGTCTCCGGTTTATTAACAGTAACCAGTCTCAGCTGCTAGCATTGCGTTCAACCCCACGTTTTGGAAGTAAGTTGAGACATCGAACCGCTCTGATAGCCGTGCTCAAGCTGACATGTGAACCAGTATTGCTGCGCAATCAGGTACGCCCCCACCAACCACGGTCGTGTCCCATTCGCAACTCCCGCTTGTGCCTGTTCAAGGATTTGAAGAGCAGATGCCTGACAGTACACAGAGTACCACAACAAGGTCATCACCAAGCTCTTCGGCGGCAACGGTCGATACGGCTGCTACGCGCTCGCCGTCACCATCTTTTCGCTCGGTATCTTCAGGGACTACCTGTACGTTTCCCATCCCGCCCAGTCTCGCCAGCACTCTCCATCGAAAGAACGATGCTGACATAATGCCTTCCCAGCTACAACGAAGCCCTTGCCGACCAACCCACATCGCCCCTCCTCCAGAACCCACTCGTCAAATACTCCGCCATCCCCCTCTTCCTCACCGGCAACACCCTCGTCCTGACCTCGATGTGGGCGCTCGGCGTCACGGGTACCTATCTGGGCGACTACTTCGGCATCCTGATGGACGCCCCGGTCACCTCGTTCCCGTTCAACGTATCCGACGCACCGATGTACCACGGTTCGACGCTCAGCTTCCTTGCGACTGCGCTGTGGTACGGAAAGCCTGCTGGCCTGTTCTTGACTGGTATTGTTGCTGTCGCGTACAGCATTGCGAGGCAGTTCGAGGACCCCTTCACAGGCATGATCTACAAGAAGAGGGATGAGAAGAGGGCTAAGGGCAAGAAGGGCTTGTAAGCTCTCTGTTCCTATATTGTCTTTGGCGATGTGACTGGCAGAGATGCTGGACTCACTCTCAAAGGCAAAGGACACAACAGACTACACATGGGTCCACACAGCTCCGTTTGGAGATGCACCACGAGGTGACACAAGATGATGAAGTGGAGTTCAACACGGCAGCTCAGCACAGCAGCGGTGTTTGATGGTGATTTTGTCGAGGCTCAACCGTCGGCAGTAAAAGTAGATACAGCATTGAGAGTACATATTGACACATTTACGACAGCCACAAGCCCAAAGCGACAACTCCCTAAGCGACACTACTCTCTTTTGTACATCTAAGGTAAGACATCTTGAGTGATTCCCACGATTTCATCCGTATGTCATATCTACGCTTCTGTCTTGACTCTCGTTTTTAAGCTTTTTTTGAAAGCGTTACTAAGCACGGAGCTTTTGAAAGCGTTACTAAAAGCGTTACTAAGCACGGAGCTGTCATGATGAGTGACTGTGTCATGACTTTTGGGGCTTTGCAGGCTTCACTTGCGCATAGGACGTTTCTACTGTACTGCGATAATTGCGATAATCTCGATACTTCAATGAGTCACATCAAGGCAACCACGAGAGACAGTTTTTGGTTGAAGTGGATTGATTATAGATTCTTTTGCATTAACAAGAATCGCTCTGGCGCCAACGTGATCATGCTGCGACCTCAGCCAGTCTCGGCAGTGACAACAAGTGCATCCGCCAATGACACGCCAAGACACGCAGCGATGATGCCCCAAGCATGAAACAAAAGGTAACAAGATCGACTCTTCAGCAGTGCTGAGCTATTTGTACAACTCTAGCCTTCATGCCCATAGCCTCGCGAGCCTGGGTAGTCTACTCCTCGGCCTCGAGAGGAGCCTCCTCATCGTACTCCTCCTCAGCATCAGAGACGGAAGCCTCCTGGTACTGCTGGTACTCGGAAACCAAGTCGTTCATGTTGGACTCAGCTTCAGTGAACTCCATCTCGTCCATACCCTCACCAGTGTACCAATGCAAGAAAGCCTTGCGCCTGAACATGGCAGTAAACTGGTCACCGACACGCTTGAAGAGCTCCTGGATGGAGGTCGAGTTACCGACGAAGGTGGAGGACATCTTGAGGCCGCGGGGAGGAACGGAGCAGAGAGCAGTCTGGACGTTGTTGGGAATCCACTCAACGAAGTAGGAGGAGTTCTTGTTCTGGACGTTGCGCATCTGGTCCTCGACCTCCTTCATGGAGACCTTACCGCGGAAGTAGGCAGAGCAGGTCAGGTAGCGACCGTTGCGGAAGTCAGAGGCAGCCATCATGTTCTTGGGGTCGAACATCTGCTGGGTGAGCTCAGGAACGGTGACGGCGCGGAAGGAGTGGGCGCCACGGCTGGTCAAGGGGGCGAAACCGACCATGAAGAAGTGAAGACGGGGGAAGGGAACCATGTTGACGGCCAACTTCCTCAAGTCAGAGTTCAGCTGACCAGGGAAACGCAGGCAGGTGGTGACACCAGACATGACGGCGGAGACGAGGTGGTTCAGGTCACCGTAGGAGGGGTTGTTGAGCTTGAGAGTCCTCATGCAGATGTCGTACAGGGCCTCATTGTCAATACAGAAGGTCTCGTCAGAGTTCTCGACAAGCTGGTGGATGGAGAGAGTGGCGTTGTAGGGCTCGACAACGGTGTCGGAGACCTTAGGGGAAGGCACGACGGAGAATGTAGCCATCATGCGGTCAGGGAACTCCTCACGGATCTTGGAGATCAGGAGGGTACCCATACCGGCACCAGTACCACCACCAAGGGAGTGGGTGATCTGGAAACCCTGGAGGCAGTCGCAGCCCTCGGCCTCGCGACGGACGACGTCGAGAACCTGGTCGACCAGCTCGGCACCCTCAGTGTAGTGGCCCTTCGCCCAGTTGTTACCAGCACCAGACTGGCCGAAGACGAAGTTGTCGGGACGGAACAGCTGACCGAAGGGGCCAGCGCGGACAGCGTCCATTGTACCGGGCTCCAAATCGACGAGGACGGCACGGGGAACGAACTTGTTGCCAGAGGCCTACGGTAGGTCAGCACTCGCAGTCCGTCGTAGGAAAGCATGTCATTTCTAGTACCTCGTTGAAGTAAACGTTCATGCGCTCGAGCTGAAGGTCCGAGGTGCCATTGTAGACGCCGGAGCCGTCGAGGCCATGCTCGCCGGAGATGGTCTGCCAGAAGGCGGCACCGATTTGGTTACCCTGTCAACTGTGAGCTGCTGTCAACAAGAGAAGATTGTAGTCGTGTACTTACGCACTGACCGGTCTGGAGGTGAACCTGTTGCGCAAAGAGCAAACGTTAGCTGGTATTTCATCCAATGTTATGCTGCCTGCAGGAGAACGCGGGGTTTTGTTGACTCTCAGGAGGCGCGCGATATTCGCGACTTGAGGAGTGGAGACGTACAATCTCACGCATGTTGGCGATTGGGGTGGGTAATGGGAGCTACTGAAGCTGAGGATGCGAGAAGCTGGGTAGAGGCTGGCGGTGATGCGGGTGGAGAGCGAGGAGGGAGCAGAAGAGCGGTCAATCCTAGAAGTTGTTGTCGGTTAGCCTTAGCGCCGGTCTGTGCACTAGCGTGTTTACAGCGCGAAGGCAACCGCAAAATAGCACCACAAACACAGTGAGAGAGGGGAAAGAGGGGTAAAAACTTGGAATTTTGTATTTGAATTATACTGTTGCATCCAAGCTCTCCTGGACTGTATCGTATAGTCGTATAGATCACAGCAGCGATATTGGAGGCGCGCTTCGCTAGATTTGGCCATAGCTCAGGAGTTCCTTCCTCCTCAGCAGCTCCGTAGTAGCTTCCTCCCAAACCTCCCAAACACAGCTCTGAGCAGCACCACACCGCGGCGACGTGACAGTCTGTTTATCTAAGCATAAAAGCACTGATTGCGCATGCGTTGCTAAGATGTCTTCTTTGTCGTCTCATTCGCAGAAGCCCTCCCCTTCACGACCTCAGGCATGGTGAACCAGTTTGGCCAGTATAGCTCATACTCGTCATGCCTGTAGTTAAGACAATGTCTTAGCCAGATGCCCCAGACAATGTAGAAGTATGCTCCTGTCCCTGTCATCAGGTGCCTGCAATTGTCAGTCTTGGTAGACTTTGGAGTCTGTCAGAGCATGCTTACCACCAACCATGGCCTTCCAGCAAGAAACCCCAAGGCATGCCGATCTCACGTCGCCACTTGATCAGTTTTGAGCAGTGTACATTGTCAAGGTGCCAGACAGCGAACCCTCCCAAGAATATGCTCAGGCCAGAGGCGATCATCTTCCACATTGTACGCAGAATCTCTTGGTCCCGCAGGTCTTCGCGCTTCCGAACAGCCTCTATAGCTCGATCAGGCCGTGGGTTCAGTGCTATTCTCTCATCAGACTTGAAGCGTGGCCGGATGGCGACCTCCATCATGTACATGGCGCGGAACAAGACGATGGCTGTCAGCAGTGCATATACATTCTGATGGAATGCCGGGTCCTGAATATGGTGATAGTACAGCGTGACGAACAGAGCTAGCGACACTAGGCCTATCGCAAGGAACGTGGAGTATCTCATGGATTTGCCGTATGAGAAGGTTGCGAAGCACATCAGGCAGGTCGTATATATCATCGAAAGTTCGTCTACGAGCTGCATGGGATCTGGGGCGTGTCAGATGAGAATGAGGACGAAGACTCGACGAGGCATTCAGTGCTTACACTTCAGCGTCGCGTGGAAAAGGAAGCTTCCCGTCCCAACAAGGACGTAGCCTATGAAGGCAACTAAGAAGACAGTATCATGACCATGCTTTAGACAGTTCTGTATGCCTTTGCTGGCAAGGTACATGAACAGCAGATTGGTGAGCGTGTTGATGATCTCTGCAGCGTATGTCGTGACAACATAATTCTGCACAACTGTTAGTAAAGTTCAATCATTACACATCGTCTCACTGACCTCTTCACACCAGTCCAACGTTGATGTCACAGGGCTCCAGTAACCGTCCTGCTCCGGAGGGTACGCAAGGCTTGGGAGCCAAGAAAATAGCGCGGCCATGTTGTAGCAGTATGATAATCGCAGAGATAGTCTTCGGTACAATGTATGAGGCTTATCAGCCCTAATAATCTTGGTTCTAGGGCCGGACGTCCCGGATGTCGAATTGCTGAGCCTGCCGTTTGCGAGAGGTTACCATGCTTAATCGATAGGCTAGTATCGAGGCAGCGTGACAGATAACGGACGGCAGTTGATTCGAGCAAGTGAAGAAAAGGCAACAGTTGCAAGGTCTCTTTTTGACTTGAGGAACACTTGTCGAAATGACACTTGCGACCGCGAGTTTGTGAAGCGTAGGACATCTGTTGTTTGTTGTGTCGGAGGCTAGCGGTGTCCTGCCAATCAGAGAAAGACAGGGATGTTGATCCGAAAGGCTTGACCCTTGCACGGGCGTTGCCTCCAATGCGCCCACTCACCATCGCCAACTCCCATATCAAGGAACCAAGTCAAGATGTCGGGACAAAATGAAGCATTACAGAAGGTGTGTTTATGCCAAGAACACTTGTCATAGCGGGCGATAGCTGATGAATGCAGATGCTGCAGGAGATCAGCCAGAAACAGGCCTTCGCCGAGCAGCAACTTCTGATTGTCCGCCAGCAAAAGGCGGCGCGTACACGAGAGGGCCGTATGCTGCAGTTGACATCGGCTGAGGTCTCTTCATTGCCTGCTGAGACAAGAGTATATGAAGGTGTTGGAAAGATGTAAGTTCAAATCAGTATCATGAACGCTGCACAACCCCACTTGAAATTTTCAAGAATGCATTGCTAATTGCTTCAGGTTCGTTTGCACACCAATTCCGGACGTGCAGAAACGCCTTGAGGTTGAAGAGAAGGCAAATATGGCAGAGATGACGAATCTAAACAAGAAGGAGGACTACCTGGAGATGACCTACAAGAACAGCAAGAGCGCTATCGAGGAGGCGCTCAAGAGGCAGGGCTGAAGTAGAGCTATCGATTTGGGAGAGTGGGCATGCGATGTATAGCCCAGTACTTCTACAGTGATCTGAGTAAATGCTTGTCATCAATACGGGCAACATATCAGCGAAAGCATCGACGCAAGCCAGCTCGGCGGGGACAGATGACGGAGCGCACGACTCCGCAAATAGCAGAACCTCGGTCAGGTATTGCAGAACCAAGTACGACAGACTTATCAAGCGAAGCCAGACGATCTCCAGTCCACACTACTCAGAACTACGAATCTTAAAGTCAAAGGCGTAAGAATCTACGAGACACAAACCATTCGGGTGATCATGTAAACAGGACAAGGTACTTGGCACACAGTACGTTGCTGCATCGCAATGAAGCCTTTCTACCGATGATGGACGTTTTTCTATTTTGATCGTCTAGCACATCACCTCATCCTCACCAACATACTCTCAACTCCTTCTATCGACTTCCTCACTTCATCCGCCGCCCTAGCAACATACGCGCCATCCATGACTCGATGGTCTGCGCTCCAGCTAAACACACACTCCTCTCTCTTCACCAACTCTCCGTTCTCTCCAAATGCAGGCACGACCTTTGCTCGGCCAACACCTAGAATGCCAACCTGAGGAGTGACAATGACAGGTGCAACAGCTGAGCCACCAATGCTTCCAATGTTGCTTAGCGTGAACGTTGCGCCTGACAGATCCGAAGATGTTAGCTTGCCTGTGCGAGCAAGATCAGCGAGACGTGAGATCTCTTGTGCTAGTGAAGCAATGCTGTGGTTCTGAACATTCTTGATGACGGGTACCAGTAGACCAGATGGCGAGTCAACCGCTACACCGATGTTGTGACTGCCTTTGACCAAAAGTTGGGGCTTTGCTGGGTTCGTTGTAGCATCGAGGTGCGCATTGAGAAGCGGGAATTGTTGAAGGGCCAGAGATACAGCCTTGATGATTATCGGTAGTGGCGTTATACGCTCGGCCTTCTCGCGGTTGGCGTTGTAGTTCTTGCGCAGCTGTGTCAAAGAGCTGAAGTCGATGCTATCGGTGTAAAGGAAGTGAGGTATGGAGAGCGACTTGGTCATCTGCTTGTACATGCCTGACTGAACCGGGGTCAAGGTGTGTACGCGGTCTTCAAGCTGTTGCAAAGACACTGCAGCCGGTGCAGGCGGAGTTGATATGGAGCTTGATGCTTGCTTCGCCGCCTCTGCATGTCTCTGAACATCCTCTTTCAGGACACGTCCTTCTTTGCCAGTTCCTTTTATGTCTTCGATATTCAGCTTGAGATCCTTGAGCATGCCCCTTACTGCGGGTGTTGCCAGTGATGCATGGTGCCCCGGCTGCCGTTGTGGTTTCGTTTGTTCGGTTGAGGGTTCGGGTGGTGGGGAGATGGATTGTTCAGACGACAGCACGTCTCCGCCTGCAGCTTTTGTGTCATTTCTACCGACTTCCAGCTCTTGCTCTTGTGATTCAGCAGACGTCGAAGCCTCTTCAGCACGTCCCTTGCCTGATCCTCCGTTGAGCAAGGCTTCGTCGGCCGCCGAGATCTCGCTTTGGATGTCGATGTCTACTAAAGGCTTCGAGAGTCAGTCATCTTATACAGTTTATAGCGGAGTATATCTTACCTTTCCAACCTTAGCCATATCGTCCGGTTCATAGTACAGCTTCTTTATGACGCCGTCAAATCGAGATGTAATCTGTAAGGCTTAGTACTGTCTCTCATAGAAGACTGTAGATCGTGTACCTCGACTGATGCTTTGTCTGATTGCACCTCGCAGATTGGGTCAAACTGCTCAACCCGCGCGCCTGGTTTGACAAACCATTGTATGACCTGACATTCAGTTATACCTGGTACAAGTATAAGCCCAAGCCACAAACATAGACACTACAAGTACATACCTTCACCAATATCCGCCAAAAGGTATGGCTTGACCGCCAATCGTGCCCTCGAACCACAAAACCCTCTCCTCTGCCCTTGTTCCCATCTTGTCACGTAAGCCGCAACTGGTGCTCTTTGTGCAGCTCTGGAACAAGACAACAGGCGGGGAGCTTCTCTACACGCGAAAGACTTCATGGTGGGCGAAACTTGTGTAGCAGTTTCGCTCGTAGAAGGATCATAATAAAAGTACTGTGGCCGCCGCGGTACGAAAGGTCTTGGATGGATGGTTAAGCCGAAGCATCTTAAACCGAGTGATGGTTAAGCCGAAGCTGGCGGCCTCGCTTGTAACCGAATGATATCGGGAAGGTGAGCTGGGGTTAGCTCCGCGCTAGGCTATATTGAACAAGTGGAATGCGGGTTAGCAGGAATTCACTACGGAGCTCGGCAGCAACGACTTTCAATCGTTCCAAGATTATATTGATCTTCAAGTATGACCACAACGCTACTCAGTACATTCGCGCTAGACTGCCCTACGAAACGGAACTTCTCGTGACTGATGACGGTTGCGATGCAGGAGATCTCCTCATGGGCACAGAGTGCCCATCGTGCACAACAAACTCATTCCAAAAGTAGCGCCCTCTTCGCTTCACTATACGGACGGTCTACCTTCACGCTAGCTATTGTGTATTAGCCTAGAGTCTCTGGGCATCTTCTCGGAAGGCTCATACCTGCCATGTCATCCATCAACCGCTCTAGATCTTTGGAGAACTCTTACAGAGCAACAGTAAAACTTAAGTTCGCTTTACCGCTACGTGCAAGCAGTTGCCACTTGCGCCTGCCAGGATCTTTGTAAACAATGGCACGAAGCATAATGGTTTCGCGGCTGCGTTCGCGAATGGAATCGAACTCTGAGTGGCAAATGAGAATCGAAACCATGATTGTCCGGCAACTGAGCTGTGTAAAGGAGACGTATGTAGTCTAGCAAAGTTAACTGGGTCGTAGAGATACAGTGTGACCGGCTTACCAAGCAGCACTTCCTTCAACTCGCGCTGAAAGCGGAGCTCCTCTAATCGGTTCGTTAAGGTGCCGTCGTTTCTCTCCATCGTGTGGCCCTGCTTCTGGTTATGGCGTGGCTGGCTTCGTAAAGGATCAGTGAGGATGACAAGTTGTCGAATTGTGGCAGTTGCGCGAGATAAAGCTCCTGCCGCAGAGCAGTTAGCGCAGAGCCAAACCTCCGGTCCTTCACCTCATCTTCACCACTATGCGAATCATGTAAGCTTGATCTTGCCAAGCACAGAGGTAGGACTACCCGTTCAGTTGCTTCCATCTAGAAGAGCCGGACCGATGCTATTCGACACCAGATTTTCAAAAAAAAAAAGAAAAAAAAAAGAAAAAAAAAACTTCTTTGGCCAATCGATACAATGCAACTACTCGTTCTCGGCGACGCCCTCATTCGTGTTCCCTGGAGTGGCAGACTGCTCCGTGAGTCCATCAACTACCCAAGCAAACATATCTTCGCCAAGTCCTCGTAGCCACCATACGTCCTTCTGCTGTAACACAACAGCGTAATGCGCCATGATAAGTAATGCCAAAGGGTGTCGTTGATGAAGGAGCAGCAGGAAATCGTCGTTAAGCCCGTGCAAAACATTAATACCGCACTCAACTCTATCGGCCGTGTTTGTGATGAAGACGTACCTTGCGAACAAGGTGTCGAAGTTGCTGAGTCGGGAGCAGAGGTAACGAACAACGGGAGTAGTGCACGGGCAGGGGATGAGCCCACAGGCGAATCGTGGTCCGATGAGAAAGGACCGTGCGATTCTAACGTATTGGGCGTCTATCCGAAAGGTCACCCAGAGATACGTCGTGCGCAGCGACTGGAGGGCTTCCGACAGTGCGGTCTTCGCTTCTGCAGAAAGGCGTGTGAACGCTGGTTTCAGAGTGCTGGAGTCTCTATCAACATCCATGTCAATCCATAGTCGCTTCAAATTTTCCAGAATCTTGTCTCGTTGCGATTGAGTGTTCGTTTCGGGTACCTTTTTAACAGTCTACAGTTCCGAAGTCAGACGCGATCCGAACTCGGAACTCTGAAGTATATGCATGACCCACGGTCTGATAACGGTCATTCCCCCGGTTATCAAGCGAATCAAGAATACCAGGTCTAAGGAAGGGTCATGTCCCGTGACTTCAAGTCGTCGGTGAAAAGGATTTGTGCCATTACGTGACATGGCAAGTACGTATACCGATAGCCACGAGGAGAACATCAACAATGCTGTACAGTTCTCTTGTGTGGCTTCCTGCAGCGCCAACCGGTATGCAGGAAGGGCGCCGTTGACATGACCTGCCGCTATCGCGGTGTAGTCGATCCCCGTATCCTGTCGGTAACTCTGCAGATAATCCAGATGTAGAGCAGCAAGCGCAAGGACGGCTCGGAGCACGAACTCGTATCGGAAGGCGATGCTGGGGAGCGCAAAGAGACCATCATGCGGCCTGAGACCAATTGAAGAAGCCAGCGAGGCATTGGCATTGATGCAATAGTGGTGCAGTAATTCCAGGTCTTGGGCGCTGTATGCTCGAGCGCCAACAAAGGATGAGCCTCCTTGGTACGGTTCCGGCGTTGCGATGCTCTCATACACACAGCTCAAGCCTCGGTCTGAACATTTGATGCACTGAGGTCGCTGTTCATCACACTATAGGGGCCCATTGTCTTAGGAATGATTTCGGCACGTGGTAAGGGTTGAGACAAGGGAGGAGGGAGGATAGTGGTAGATGGGAAGCACACACCTTGACATGCCGCTTCTTAGAAGTAAGGCAACCGGCCCTCGATTCGCGATGATGTCTTCCCGATAGCATTGAGTTGCTACGGAATGACCATGTGCTCCTAGCAGTTGAAGTTGTAAGAAAAGTGACGACAGGTTGCGAAATTCAAAATACATTCTCGAGATTGCCCCAGCTGCCAGATATGCAGGACCTACCTGGACTATCATCAAGAACGGAAAGTACCGCAGGCCCTTGAATCGACGTTCACCATGGTATACATTCGTCTGTTAGGGGAGTGATTGAGTATCGCTCTTGAAGCAAAGAGCGAGCCCCACTGTTTGCTAGTCGCTTTTTAGTGTACGATGGAATACGACAATCCATGCTCGCTTCTCAGACTTAACTCAACTCTTATCACCGACCTAAAGTTGTCGCTGGGCTTTGCTAGACCATTTGGCTGCAATAGACATCGTTGTTTGATACTGTCAATCGATCTCTGGGGTTGTGATGGGCAGCACCTGTTGCCTTCAGGGCATCTGCGATCCGAGGTCTCCCAACACCGTCAAGCTGTTTGGTACGTACGAAAGGAGTCCAGGAACTTCAGATCCCGTAAGGTGCATGCTAAGAATGATCATTGTGGGTTCCAAAATCTATCAAGTATCTCTTTCAGTGAAGCATACCGATTTCAGCAACCAACAGATCTGAAGATACTTCGAGTACATGGCGTCTTGACCTCTCCACCTCTTATCAGTCTTCGAACAAGCTCTTGTGTAGCAGTGACCTCATATCAAGTTGCTGTACTTTCACGGAGTGGGTCTGGGGTGCCGCAATCTGCTGCCGGCTGCAGACCACAACGAGTGTATGCTCGTGTATGCTCGTGCCCTCAGAACCGATATCAATTGGCAAAAGTTCAGACAAGAACCGCCCCTCTGCTCCTTGCTCTTTCTCTCTGAACGCCATGATGCTCCTGAAGGTACGTGACAGGAAATCTGCGACAAAGAGCGATTATTGTGAAGGGCTTCGACAGACAGTTTACCTTTTGACGATATCAGGACCTGGATAGTTTCTGGCTCGACACCTATGTGAAATAGGGGCCAACTGTCTCCAATAACTTATCGGAACACGGTATTGCATCTCGCACCTATAAAAACCAGTAACCGCGATGCCATCTGACAATAGAAGAATGAGAGCAATATCAGCTATCCTAATTGGGGGATAACCGACGATCACTCTCTCTGCTTCTGCTAACCACTCACACGGAGCATACGTATCGAGAGAGAAGCCCTGGAGTGAATCTTGCGAAAGTCATGATCCAGCACGACCGAAAAAGTAGTCCGATAAGCATGACCTTGCTTGACGAGCAGTTTGACGCAACAGCGCTGAACGTAAACTGCGCGACAACATGAATGGAACAGCCCGGCTAATCGCCGAATCACGACGACGAACAAGCCCACAACCCTCCATCTGGGGAGGAAAGGGTCCAGGGAGCGTGGAGTTGCGGGCTGAAGAACCCCACGCTGTCGATCGCCCTCCACTTCCTGTTCCGCATGCACGTCAGTATGAGTGGGTATGTTCGCCGCCGTCTCCGATCATTCTGAGAACCGCGTTTGCCCTCAATAAACTTCAGTGAAGCGAGTTCACATGAAGTTGTGATGAGAGCTGAAATCAAACTTCAATGTCGATCAGTTGGGGAGCCGCGAAGGTTCCTGTGACTCGGAAAGTGAAAAGTGAAAGAGGTGATGATGCCCCACGTGGGCGCGTCGCAACAGCTTCAATTCGCTGCGGCAGTAACACCAGAGCCCTATGGCAGCAACGCAAATCTGCCTCTCATTCATGAACTTGTGTCTTCGTCGTCAGGCCTTCTGAGCCGAAAGCAAAGCCCGACAGCCAGGTAAGCGTCGCAATGACCATGAATAGGTGCCTTCCGACGACTCCCCTTTTTCTCCTCTCCCGGTCTGTGGCTTGTGATGGCTTGTTGTTGCATCTGACAACTCATACCGACTCGTGATGGATAGCGCATCTCCGACTGCAGTACAGACAAGCTGAAACGATGAGATCGACAGCCCTGTGTCGCACAACACCTGCAGACGGATGTCCTACAGACTTGCCGGTAGGGAGTGCAGCCAGGCAATGAAACGAACAGCACAACGCGCATTCACCGCTATGAATAATAGCCTTGCGACACCGGTAGACCGGATTGTTGAGTATGACTCTAAGAACTGAGCTTTGCAGCGAGTGTTGCTAGTTTCGTTCACTGGTTGGACGTGGACGTGGACGAAGCTGTGTCTACTCGCCTTTGTTGACTGTGACCCAATAGAAATCGAATATAGTCAGCGCGGGGTAGCATCTCCCATCACTCAGGTCCTGGGTCAGCTCGAATAGTCTTTCGCTGGTCTCAATGTTGCACGACTGGCCAGCTGTCAGATCACCGTTGCAGGTTGCATCCTCGCACCGAGGGCTCGTAACTCGCAGCTCGCACCGAGAACCGGACGTCTGTCTTGCAGTCAACCGTAGAACCAATACAGCCACCGATAATTCATCAGAAAATCTTCCGGAGACCGCGCCAAGTCGCGATACGATGGCGAACCCTGCGTTTCACTTGGTCCATCTGTTCGACATCTGAAAGGTGTTTGTTTGCCCGGTCGCTATGGACGGACTTTCTCAAATCACCCCTCAAACAAAGGCGGAGAAATATCCACCGAAGAGATGGGCAATCCCGCGCCTAGACCCCGCGGTCAGCATCCCACGAGGGAGTTCGACGGCGCCTAAAAGTGATGGTCACAGGGTTTACAAGCCTCCCACCGTTCTGGAGAGGCGGATGTACTCCCCCATCAGGAAAGTCAATGTACCTTGGTACCATTTGTGCGTTCTAGAAGTAGCAATGTACTTGAAAGACGGAAATTTGGAAGATTGGATGATTGCCGGTGCGAAACTCGAAGTCAAAGCCTTCCTTTAGTTTGCTTTTCTCTTGCAAGGGAATTTTCTTGGTCGTGCATGAAGTGCGGAATTGCACCTCCACATCGAGTCGGCCGGGAAAGTGAAGCGGAGCAAATTTCTACGCAGAAACTTCGGCCTGTCTCTCCAACCACCTTGCTATACCGAAGATAACCTTCAACACAATCTCCCTGTAAGGCCGCTCTCCACAGCGTCTCATCAACGGATGCTGCCGACCCACGTGTGTGGAACCTCGAACCCTGTGGCTGACGTCAAGGTGGATAACAGATGCTTCAAAGTTACCTTATGGGGTAAATTCGGTGGTAGGAACGGTGGGCCCGCGAACAAACCGGAGCTGAGAAACTCCTCTGCGATGAAATGTGGGTATGCCAGTGCGGCTCTTCATGCACGACATCAACAATGACGATGTCTTCACCAGGGTTGAAGATGTTGAGACATGGGTGTTGCTGGTGAAGCACCGAAACAATCGAAGTTTGGTCAGGCCTCTCACCGGAAAAGCCACATTCTTGAAGTTTGTTGACGGACCGTAGCGGTGTGAGGAATGTTCTGCATGCAGCGTATCAACCATCGGATGCTCCTTTGAGTGCCTTCTTTGAAACGTCTCAATGCAGTTGCCCTGCATTCGGACTGAGCTTCTACGCCACCTTCTAGCAGCATTCCATTCACTGAAACTAGAAACACTGGTATTGTGACGGTTGCAGTAGCCATTGAGCTATCGTGAGTTTCCTATCGTGGCGCAGACCGCTTCGCTCTAAGCTTCCTCAAGCGCGAGTACGCCGCAGTTGGCCGAGTAGGTCGATGCAGGGTAGACTGTCACCCAGGAACACCTTGAAGCGAGGCATATGAACTCGAAACCGAGGAAGGTTTCCAGGCATGAGACGACCAAAGAACACGAGGGAACCTTTCCATGCATTTGTCAAAGTCAAACTGAGATTCAAGATCGAAGAGCACAGATTGGAGAAGAACCCCGGATTTGCTGAGACCCTGTATGTCTGCATGCGGAAGGTTGAGTCAAACAGAGATGACAGAAACGTGGACTGCTGAGAATAGCAAAGACCGCGTCTCAAGGCTGCGTGCGCGTTGCATTCTCTTTACAGCAACTGTTCGAGAGGGTGTGCTGACTGCGTGGTACGGACATTATTGAGCTCTACTCAGCCCTGCAGCGAGCTGCCATCAGCATGAACTGCATGCGGAACCTGATGTTGCAAGGCTGAGGGTGTGAATGGTTCGCGATACCGTATGACTCCGTGATGTCCCATCAGCCAAGGACTCCGTGTGGTTGTCCGAGGGTTGTGCAATGAAGCTGTACTCCACTCAAGATCCATCATCAAAGGCGCAACCGTGGCTTCACATGCCGGATACGACTCCTTCATCCAAGGTTCTGAGGTAGCAACGGTCCTTCAGCCGACTTCCGACATAATATCTAGCCTCCGATACCAAGGTGGAGCGGAGGGTCTTGGTCCACATGGACCCTGAGACCTTCTGTCGCTGCATGTGAATGGGGCTAATGTACCCCATACTCCGCGGTTAAATCTTGTTTCTCTCGACTCGAGGGTGAAGGACAACCGGAAAAATCCCGCGACAAGACAACACGCGGGGTGTAAGGCAGCAGCAAAGTTCGCGAGTTGTTTCGTCGTAGCCGCACGCTACCCTTTCGTTCAGCGCCGCCTCGTCAGAGGACAGCGAAGCACTACCTGATGGCTATGACGCGACAGAGTCAGGCAAATGAGACAGAACTCATTACACCGTTTGGTTGCCCCGTCAAAGTCGTATTGGGCGTCGTTTGCAGCTCGACGGCTCCTCGCACCGTCTGCAAACCGCCGCGAGCACAGAAAGCGGAGCTGCGGCATTTGGCACCACAAAAGGAAATGTAGACGACCGGCTGAAGTGCACGGGATGAAAGGAGGCATGTTAGGGTTGCCCTCCCCAGACCCCCGAGATGATCAACAGCTCGAACTTTCCTTTTTCAAGCAACTGTTTATGCTTATCTAGGAAAGTTATTTCGCGGAAGCGGCCGTGGCGTACGTGGGGGACGGCACCCGTGCTGTGACTGTGACATTCTTGTCTGTGTGCTTTTTCAGGATCACGAAGGGAGAAAGCAAGTTTAGAACCAGGGGGGCGACCAAAACAGAGGCCTCGTCAGGCTATGAGTTGTCGTGTATTGGGGGCTGTGAAGTGACCAGCTGTCCAGCATGACTGACTGGTGATTGCTGGCCCTGCGGACGACTCATCGCAGCCATTTCCATGTGCGCGAGATGACAGGGCGAGCGTCAGGCGCGATCTCGCATAGGAAAGGCAGTCTCTAGTTCCGAGTGCTGGGGTCGTCCTCCAGTTGCAGCGGAGCCGACGGGGCTGACGGGCAAGTGGCAGATGTGGATGCCGCTTTGGTAAACAGCGGTGAATTGCGACGCCCAATAGCAATATTCTTCCGCCCCCTTCGCAGCTCCACGCCGCATGAAACGAATCCAGGCGGTGACCCACCGCCATTTGTGCACTGTATCTTGCGGAAGCGGAAGATATAACGCGAGCTGTCACCTCGCTGCGCATCCCGCGCCCATCCAGACCATCTGATCTCCTGTGTCGAGACACAAGTCGCACTTTGCTTCTGACTCGGACTCCTGACCTCTGGGACACCTCCCCAAACATTAAAGGCAGACCTTGCCCCTTAGGTCTTGTTTCCACAAATCTCGAAAATCCCCAGACCGGCGACCCTCGACGCGAACCTCCACCCAATAGGAGCTAAATCGCGTAACCTTGTTTTCATCCATCCGACATCCCACCGTCATACATCACCGGCCGTTTTCGCCTCGGTCGACTTGCCGTGACGCTAAACTAACGCGAACACCACGATTCGAGCAAAACTGTTTACGGCCGACAAAGCCCGATAGCTGTGTATATACATACACCGACCCACCCCGTACGCTACCCAATCTCCAAAATGCATTTCGAAGCTTCACCAGGCTCGTCGCCATCCAAGTCGATACCCATCAGTATCTCACCCAGGAACATGGCTTCGCCCACAGGATCTCTTTACAGCAACTACTCCATGGAGTCGAACTCTCGCCGCGGCTCTTCATGTGCCTACCCTTCATGGCCTACTGGTCCTTCACTAGAGTATCGCAACCCATCATCGTACATCAGCGACGAGGACCTCTTCGGCGAAGATTTCGAGGACGAGTACTGCCCCATCCTCAAGAAGGCACCAGCGCCACCACGAGTTCCTCCTATGGCTCAGGCATTCCCAGTGCTCCCTCCTCTTTACGCTCAGAAGAAGCCCAAGACTCAGCGTAGGCGCAGCAGCGGAAAGCAGCGCCGCACCTCGACGCCTATGACTCCTATCAGCGAGTCGCCTGAGCAGGTCGAGTAAAGAACAACAGAGAAACGTCATCGCTACAATGTAAGTCGATTACCGCGACTTGTCGAATCGCAGTGCAGTGCTAACGTCAAGATACAGTCATTGTTGACACCTACGTCACTGTGTAGCGCGCGCCTTGTGCCGCGCCTCATTCACATATCCGTGGCCGAAAGCATCAGCCACAGCACAGCCATACCCCAACCGGCACATCCCTTTTGGGATTGCCGGTACTCATGAAGACTGATTGGTCTTCAAGTCGCTGCGAAAGCCTCATCACGTCTAGCGCACAGTATTGCGAGCATCAGACCTAATCACCTCAGTCTGACTCAGCCAATATCCTTAACGCTTATCAGTGTCTCGTGTCAACCTCATCACACGCCATCACCAACGACATGTGTTGAGAGAGCTCAGGGCATCGTCGTTGTGACATGCATGCAACGGCGCCGCGACACGCTTCGAGACTGCGCTCAACTGCGCAAGGCTCGTATGGGACCAAGCCTTCTGCGAGGACCGCATCCAGACCTGAAGATCTTGGGGTATGGGACTGCAGCCGCGTTCCGCACATGGAAGCAATCAGTCGAAAGTAAGGGATGGAAGTCCCAGGTCATTGGAGGAAAGCATTGTGATAGTTTTTGGGCATTTGCAGGCGTTGTGCATTTTCGCACCGGCATTGATACCCCCCGCTCCGCGCATTGGACGGACATGGCTGGGAACGAATGGCATTTCATGCACAGCGCTGTGATTGCATTTAGCGAGGCTTGTGAGGCTTGCCGGCGGCTTGGCTCACCTTACCATTTATGATACCCCAGTTTAGATACCCAGCATCTTATCGATACTTAACCTCAAAACTTTTCTCTGCTCCCTGGTGATGGTTTTCGTGACGGTGGTGCTGACCTTGAGCTAAGAAGCCCATCACACTTCGTCACACTTGACTTGATTGTTGAGATGTGTGGCGCGCTCCTTTAGATGCTGAAATTGATGAACTTTCTCCTTTTGCGCTTCATCGCAGTGACTCGCTCGGATTGTATGGTTTAGCATCAGTGACGGCAACATTCCATTGCCGAGATTTTGGAGCGTAAATTGTGCTCAGGATGAGAGTCTTGATACGTCGCCCAAGCAATCTACCTCTGGATATAGGTGCTTCAACACAATCCTCCAGACCACCCCTCTTCGAATCATTGCATGGAGAATCTTCCATGAAGGCTCATTTGGTAATATGGCGATAGCCAAAAATAAGCTTCGAAAACTGATTTTGGTAAGCGAACGGAAGCGGGGCTCTGTCCCGTACAGGCCTGCACTTGCATGTCGAGCTCACGCATCTGGCATGCACAGCAGATTCTGTGATACTGTTAATCAGAATCGCGGCCTAGCGATGATGAATCTGTCTCATGTTGAGGATGAGCCGGAACCACAAACCACACGATTTGCATAGTTCTTTCATCCCTCGCATCAACTCGACATGGCAACCGTGGGGATGGTCGCAGCGAGGGAACTTGGTGGCTGGGACAAAGGTGAGGCCCAACAGGGATGCCGCTCCTTAGTGCCAGCGCGTGCAGTGAACATTGTGAACGACACGCAGATACCTGTGTGCTGGGCTCCTTTGCATTTCTGCAGTTCTCGTGATGATGTTGGCGTGGCATTGACAGCAGAAGACACGTCAAGATGCAATTGATCAGATAAGGGCAAACTGCCATATTGCCTGCATGTTGAACCAGGTAAGTTCGCAGCCAATCCTAGTTCGTAATATTGTGTACCATGTACCTGAATTTCAAAAATGCGGCGTATCTGGTAGATCGACGAAGCTTTGACTACCGCAGCTGCCAGTGCGGGAAGATAGCATGCGGAGAAGAGACTCATGTGCGCCTTCGTGTGCCATGAGGAACACGCCGTCACCTCTGTGAATCGTTCAACAGGTGGTTCCTGGAGCTAGCACGGTATATGTGTGTGCCGACAGATTCGTGAGTGAGGGGCTGCAATACGTTGCGATACATGTTGCCGGGTGCAGCGTGAGGTCGGGTTGTCCGTTCAATGGGTACCAGGACATGGGGACGTTATGCTGCATCGGTGTGCCATGGACAGGGCTGATCCGTGGCATTGCATCGAACAGAACAGCCGTTGCTCAAAGGCACGATGATGGTGCCACAGACTTACATGGCCGCCTCCCGAGCGGCATGGGGATCGTTCCGAGACGGTGAATAGTGCCCGCCAGCCCTCGGCATGTTGGGCCGCAAGCTGCTAGCAGAGCGCGAAGGGCGATGCCGTTGCCGTTGCGCAGTCATCACCAGAGACTGGAGCAGAGGTATTGCGGTGCTTTGAGAATAATCAGTCTATATGGGACGAGTCGCTGGCGTTGCAGACCTGCGCATAGTCTGGGTGAAGCGTGGTTGATCCTTGCCAACGGGCCGTAGCTTCAATGCCGCTGCGCGCCACGATTGGGTCGCTGTGGGCGTCCAAGGTGTGATTCGGCTTGCACCGTCACCTTAGTGTACCCAATCATCTTCCTCCATCACTTGTTCCTCCTCACTTTTGGTCTTCCGCGACCTCGTTCCCTGCGTCGAGGAGCGTTTTGAGAGGCTGCCTTCCATGTCCATGCAGGCACCGCTGTTCTTGCGGCGCGAAACAGGACCATTGACGTGCTGTGTCACTTCGAAAGGCCAACTTGGCGACCAGCATAGCTCGCCATGCAGCATGACTCTTCTTGGTGTGTCGAGTCCCAGGTCTATTGCGAGCTTTCACGACGGCCAGCAAATGAGCAAGCTGGTCTACAGCCATTAGACGCCTCATGGTCCCCTGCCACGCTCTCGTTAAGCATCGCTGGCTCGACGAATCTAACCGTGCTCTTCGTCCTATTCTGAGCAAGATCAGTCGGTCCTGCGCTCTTAAGCGCCGAACCTTGATAGGCCCCAGGTGCCCACGCGCAACTCCTCACACCTCGTCCGCGCTTCTGCTGCTTTTCTCCTTCTTTTTCAATCCTGCTCTGACAGTCTGTCTTTTCAGCTGCATGTACTTGTTGTACCGCTTACACAATTTCCGAAACGGTCGAATGCAGTGCTTGTCTAACCGCCAACTTCGATCCTTGTAAGCTGTGAGGGGCTAAAGTATACCTCGAGACGCCGTGGAGCAAGTGTGAAAAGCGCACTGCTCTTTAGCGCGCACATTGCAGTGAGTTTGAAGCCCCTGGCAAGTCTTGCAGTCTCATCTCCGTCATTCTGGAAGTTCCGGTAGCCCTTAATCGATAGTATTCCCTTCGTGATGCGCCGCGCGTGTGTGCTTGGATCCAACCTCGACTGACAGCAACCGCCTCACAGGCCACCCACGATGTCCTTAGGCCATGCCCGCCAGCGTTCGAACTCGGCAAAGGGCTCCTCAATCCGATCAGACGTTAAGTTTCAGATACCCACACCGAGCATCACCCCACAAAACGACGAATTCGCTTTCCAGCCATGCGCCGCAACCGGGTCGTTCTTGCTGTACGCGCAGCAGAACATAATTTACTGCCTCCACCACGATACTCTGGCGATAGAAAGGCGATTCGAGAGACACAGAGAAGACGTTGCATGGATCTCGACAGACAACGTTAGCGAGCGCGGAGCTGGTCGATTGGTCTTGAGCTACGACACAGGCTCGACAGCAATAGTGTGGGATTTGTTGACTGGAGACGAAGTCGCACGATTTGCGTCGTATGAGCAAATAAGGGTGGCGACGTGGATGAGGAACGGAAATGTCGCGTTTGGTGAGTACCAAGGCGCTGGGTCGCGACTGCCCAAACTTGTACTGATGATGCAACAGGCAACGCGCAGGGCAACATCATTCTGTTTGAGCCTTCCACCTCTGAACATCTCTCAGCGAGAACGATTTTCGACCCAATCACTGCACTCGCCCCAGCTTCGGACTGCCGCACATTCGCAATTGGGTCCGTATCGCTCAGAAGTTGCACGAGCTTCACTAACAGTGTGCAGCTATCACAATGGCTCGATTCTTATTGCTACACTACAGCCATCATTCACGATTCTTCACACCCTCACAACTCCACGTATTCCCTCCCCTATTGCGGGGCTAGCTTGGCATGGATCTTCTTCAAAACAGAAGTCTGAGATGTTGGCCGCCCAAGCATCAGATGGTGACCTCAGAGTGTGGAGTGTGCCAAAGGGCTCACATGGCGGCGATGCACCTTGCGTAATTCGCGTGCTCAACAAGTCTGACCAAAGAGAGCTTGGCCCTTGCTGGTTCTCCTGGTCGAAAAACGGACGAATCGTACAATATACTGAGGGGTACGTACCGCTCCACCTGCTTATGCTTTGGTAGCAATCCTAACTGTGCTCAACAGCCAAACCTGCGCATGGGACGTCCGTACCAAAAGGGTCAGCTATGAAACTGTTCCTACCACTCAAGACGTCGCAGCTATTTGCAGCTATGGTGCTACAGCAACTCTATTCACGTTGGGCCGCAACTATAGTGTCCAGCAATACGACCTCAATCCTAGCGGTCAGCCGAGTATGGTCGCTAATGTCCAGCATGCGCCTGCAAACACGCCTCCGTCGCCACCGGTCTCCTTGGACGAGCAAAGGCAGATACACCTGCAACTGGAAGAGGATCCAGTGACAGCACATCCAGTGACAGCGCACCCCATCAAGACTGCGCCTCAAATGCTCCTTGCCTCGGAAGCGAGTGAAGATGAAGATGCTGTCATGTCGCCACTGCAGAAGATTGCGAACGAGTTGGTCGAGCTAGAGGAAGAGCGTCGGGACCGGGTTGGTCCTTTGAGCCCAGTGTCAAGTCGTGGATCGCAAAGCTCGCGATCTTCTGGTGGCAGCGGGCGCCAACCCCGTTACCGTTATGACAGGCCTTCTTGGGGCACAGCTCGCTCGTCAAGGAGCACAGCTTCCGGCACATCAGGTACAGTCTTCTCATCTGGAGAGTCATCGTTCGCAGCAGGCGCTTCACAAGCCAGCATGTCCATTCATTCCGGTACATCAACCGCAGCTTCTTCCCGTTATGGCTCGTCAGCGCTTCGCAAAGAGGTGATGCGTAGCCCTGACGAGTCGAAGAAGACCCAGAAAATGGACCTGTTCCCTTTCACCAAGGCCAGGTTAGCCGACGTGCCTTTCCGACCTACAGAGCTCGGTCCCGAGCGCACACCCAATGACTTGAGGAGAAACCTACTGAAGGTTGTGTTTGGATGGGAGAACGACATCGATGAGCTCATTCGTGATGAGCTTGCGCGCCACAGTCCTGGATCAGCTGCGGCTGTCTTACTTTCTAAGTGGCTAGGTGACCTGGGAGCCGATTTCATGGCTTCTATGGTGGGTTCCGAGTCAATGACTTCCTCCGACTGGATGTTACTCGCTCTGAGTAATATGGGTCAAGGATCGCAGAAGAAGGTCGGAGAGGCATTTGTGCAGCGACTGCTCGAAAAGGGTGATATTCATCCTGCGGTTGCTATTCTCCTTGGTTTGGGTGAACACAACGACGCCATTGAGGTCTATGTCTCTCAGAAACACTACATGGAAGCGGTCTTACTGACCTGCCTGACCTTCCCTGTTGACTGGCAGAGGCAGTCTCATCTAGTCAGGAAGTGGGGAGAGGCTGCGATCGCTAAAGGCAAGGCTGAGTTGGCAGTCAGGTGCTTTTCCTGCATGGGTCTGGAGACGACCGAGCCCTGGTTTTCTCCGCGAGCTCAAGACGCTGTTTTCTCTGCGCAGAAGCAAGCTCTCTTAGGCTCACAACTCAGTCCGCCATTGTCGCCACCCAGCGTGGGTAGCAGCAGAGTTGCCGCTAGGATGGCATCTCTCAAGCTGGTCACGGACTTTTCTCGTGGCCCGCAACCTAGGCAAATCGTTCAAGGAGAGGATGATGAGCGAACTCCTATGCACGCCGGCACCACACCTATCGCTGAGTCTGCAACGACTCCAGCAGTCGGCAGCCATGGCTGGATCGGCCGCAGTGTTACTCGAGACAGGTCTCTAGAGCCCTCTTCTGCGCGTACTGCTACTCCTGGAGCATATGGAAGGAAGCGAATGCCATCTCGCTCAGATGCTGGACGTTCAACGACCACCAACGAAAGCCTGGCATCTCTTGCAATCCCCGATCGTGGACAACGAGGAGAGTCAAAGCCACGAACGGCTGTCGATAACATTGGTCGCGAAGCCGAAACTCTCCCATTTTCGACAAGGCGAGCCACTTCCGGAGGCAATGCCAGTGACCTCATGCTTTCAGCAGTCACGCTTGCACCTGCTAAGCTGGACGATCACCTTCCCTCCCCGGCAGTTGGCGTGTTCGACGCCTACAAGGAGAGGAAGACGGTCTCTCGCACCAGTTCCCGTAGTCGAAACCAGCGAGATCTCCACCTGGCCATGGACACAACTGTCGTAGAGGCAGGCCCAGACACCCACTACACCAACAACCTCAGCCCACCACTGACAGGTGCGAGTATGAAGAGCGCCAAAGCACGTAGCATCGACCAGTACATTAGCAGCCTCGATGAAGCCACCCACTTCGCTCGCGAGCGTGCTGACTCCAGGACTGAAGAAAGGCCTGACTCACGTACAGCAAGGACCCGCAGTCGCACCCGCGATGAGTCTCAAGGCCGTGGACGATCTGATGTCCGTTATATTCGACCTGCCAAGCGCTCGCCATCCTCGCCCGTGCCCATGTCACATGAGGATGCTGGTGTGACCAGTATGACGGAAGCTGCGACGAACACAGATGCCTACGATGACGAGCGTTTCTACCGAGAGCTTGCTTCTCCAATCGCAACGGAATCAGTTGCGAGCACTCGCAGAGCACGTAGCCGTGCACGATACGGCACAAGTAAGACCAGAGCTTCTTCCAAGACTGCACAACGGACCGAGTCCCCTGAAGCCGCTGTGCGTACACGCAGTAGAGGTGCCAGCCGAGCTTCCAGCCGCCGTCCCACTGCCGACTCTGGTCGCAGTGGTATGCGTGGTGACCGTTCTCCTGAGTCGCCGCAGTCAATGCGGGCAGAGGATTTTGGCAGCAGTACAGACACTAGCTCCGCTCGTCCACGTCAACGCAGTAGCAGCCGTCAGCCTCGAGACCGCTCAATCAGCAGGAGACCTACGCCTGCTGTCCGAGGCCCTAGCCTGAATCGCAATCATGTACGCGCTGGCTCACCTGACTCGATCTCCTCTAGCCTTCAGGGCGCTTCTCGATCGCGTCCTCTTACTCGAACCAGGAAGGAACTCGCAGCCAAGGAGCTGGAAGCTCGTAGGCTGTCACTGGCTCGACGACCTTCAGCACCATCGATCCCTCATCCTGAGGAGTTCAAATTCAGGCCAATGTCCGGTGGACGCTCTAACACTGACGATATGTTGGGGTCAATCTCGATGTACCATGATCCTATCCAGCGAAGCCAAACGGCGGATCCGATCAATAAGCCAGTAAACAGGTTCTTGGCTAAGGGAACCTCTACCCCTTCTGTGCCCATTGGGCTTCCAGCTAACCCTCGAGCTATGAGGCACCCTCGATACATGTCCGCGGAACCAGAAGAGGAAAGCATCCCTGCTGTGCCTGTCATTCCACAAAATGTCTACGCGCAAGCACCGCAAGAGGAGAAGGAGGATGACATTGGTCCTCTGCTACCAGCGACCACGTTTCTTCCACCGACCACATTTGGACAGCCAACGAACCTACCCCGCTCAGCGTCGGCACCCCCACAGGAGATCCTTCTGCCCAATGCATTCCCTAGCGTAGGGAGGCGCCCGTCTCTGAGCGGATCCCGTGGCCACACGCGAATGAATTCACCACCAGAGATCTTGCCGCCTTCCAACTATAAGCGCATCAGTCCACCTCCATTCAGAAACAGCACTGACGGTACCATCAACGAGACCCAGGTGATCATCATCGAGGAGGGAGACGTTGCACCCCCCGTTCTGTCTCAGCTTCAACATTTGGGCGCTCCACCACCACCACCTCCGCCGCCACCTCCACCACCGTTCTCCTTTGGGACCAGCGGTACTCCCAACGGCGTCAGCATCGTGAACGTCGGCATGGAAGAACAGCCCCAGCGTGTTTCTCCCACCACTGCCTCCGCGACTGGGTCACCACATGCTCATCGACGAGGTCGCGGCAGCGTCAGCGAGAACCTTGGTTCGACCTTCAGGCGTGTCACCGACCGTATGCGCAGTACCAGCAGATCAGGCCACAGGTCTCCGCCAGCTATGCGCACAGATGGCGCCGCGCCTTACGAGAGCGTCCCAGACTACTCATACTCCCGCAACGCAGCGACACGCTCACCAGGCGAAGGCAACAACCTAGACTCGTACTTCAACAACATGCCACCGCCTCCACCACCACCTCCGGTCCAGCCATGGGAGCAAGTCATTCCGCCTACCGATGACCAATCTTTCTACAAGCACCCTAAGGAGATCCGCGCCAACATGCCACCAGAGACACTCCAAGCTGGTGTCTACAAGCCCGAGGCCACGCCCATGATCTAAGACTCTTATTCTCCAATCACCCAGCAACACTTAATTCTTGCATCAACAGATATTGAAACGACCTCACGACCACTATACCTTCGGCACAATCTCTTATGCCCATTCAGCCAGCATTATCATCAAGCGCAGCATCATTATCGTTCCAGTAGCATTAGCGGCCTTTTATTGTCTTTGAATTAAGACCTGGATTGGAGGGAAAGCACCTCCAAGCGCTTCGCGGCGGAAATTGTCGATACCCTTTCTTTCTCCTCTTCTTCTCGAGCTCGTCTCACCCTTTTGGTTTGCTGTTATTTTGTCCGCGTTTGCGATAGGAAAGGGAAGCATGTAGTACGGGCTATGATACAGGATAAAGGGATACGGGTCATAGGAGGATCAAGAGCCGGATACGTTTTCACGCTGTTCTAATGTACATTCTTGCCGACTATCCTTATCGTTTGCGGGATGTTCGTGATGGGGTTCGTGCTGCTTCTTGTTCGTGTTCTCTGCTTATGCCTGATTGTGTTCTTTGCCCAAAGCGACTTCACGATGATACTGGCGGATGCAAGAGATGAGATGGAGGGCCTCGCGGCCAAAAGTGCTTTGTCTTTTTCTTCTTGACTGTCCTTGACTATCTTTGCTCCACGGTTTTGACGATACAATGTACTAGTCGGTCAATGCAACCTCTACACACTCTCTGTCGTAACTCTTGCGAGCGTCGAACAGAGCGTCGAACAGAGCGTCGAACAGAGCGTCGAACATAGCGCTCCCTGTTGTACCCAACCAAAATACCCGCCGCCACGCTTTGTTGTTGACGGGTTCTGGGCGTCGCTATCGGGGCACTGCTCCCTTTTCCTGGGCTGAGGCTCGGTCCTTGCCCAAGACGTGATCAAAAGTCAGCGAGCTAGGGTTCTTCACCCGACCTCGATTCCCGCCAGAGCCCCAATGACTTCCTCCGCCACACCCCCCTTCTCGACCACCATCTTGGTCACCTGGCTGACCAGGCCCCTCTTCATACCACCTCGGGGCGGCGTCCATACACCACTCGTCGCCAGCATCTCGCGCATTGTGAGGGCCTGGGCACTGCTGTCCGGCGCGGTACCACCTGTCGCACTGTTCATGCTGTTCGGCACCGCAGGCGGCGTCAAATGGCTCGGCGGATCAATGGTGCGGATCGACACTATCTTGGCGCCCGCACCCGACCCACCCGAGGTCGTGCACGCGACAGCCAGCACGGCGTCAGCCACAGCAAGCTCTTCCTTTGCTGGGTCGAAGATTATGTTGGGGCCGACGGCTATGGCGAGGATGATGACGGGGGGCATGTCCCGCGCGGTGAGCGGTTTGGAGGAAGATCTGGGGTAGAGAGGCGATGCGGCGGCCCAGTCGTCGTCGAAGAGCGGGTCTTCGTCTTTTTCGGATTTGAGCGAGGGGAGATGGGTGCTTAGGAGGGCGAGGTGGGTGGCCATGGAGAGGAGACCGAGGGGGTAGGAGAGGGGCGGGGACAGGAGGAGGATCTGTGTTCCGTGTCAGCTGGGAGGGGGTGGAGGGGTGTATAGCGGGAGCGCACATCGATGTAGAGTTTCCAGTGGAAACGCGTGTTGATGTAGAGCCTGTCCTTGAGCTGTCCACCCGCGAGGAGACTGTCGCTGAGCATGGACGCAAGGAAGACAGGCAGCGCATCGTCGTCGCGGAACCCGGGGACTTGGACGCTCATCTCTATCCAGCCATTCCGGCCCTTGCCGTTCGCACTGCTGTCCTCGTCGCCGTTGTTCGTGACGACGTGTTCCTGCTCGCCCAGCACTGGCCGCTGCGGCGTCGTGTCCACCTCCGCTTTCACGCCGACGAGTGCCTCGGTGCCGTCCTCGAGGGCTATGCGGGCACTGCCGTTTGCGCTGGGGAGCACGTCGCACTCGGCGCGCATGGAGCGGAAGTCGCGCGGGCCTTTGGTGACATCGAGGCGGAGGGGGGGTGTCTGGCTGAGGGCGGATCGCAGGAAGGAGAGCTCGGCGGGCGAGAGGTTGACGAGGGCGGCCTGGGGCGGCATTGCGGCGGTCGTGGGTTGCTGCGGTCGCGGCGGGTGGGGGTGTTCGCAGCGATGTCACCGCGATGATGGAGCTCGAACTTTTGTCGCAGGGCGGGTGGGGCTGGCGAATCAGCGGCTGTGACGCGGCGGAGGGCGAGGTGAGCTGTCGCTTTGACGCTGGCGCGCCGGGGATTGCTGGGGCCACTACTACTACTACTACTGCTGCTGCTGCTGCTGCCGTCCTCCGCACCGCGCATCGCCGCCTCCTGCTCGTCGGGAGTGAGGCTCTCTGAGGCTACCGAGCCCCATGTCGCTGTAATCGGGTCTGTCACTGTAATCGGGTCTGTCACGTCCAAGCCGCACGTCAAGCCGCACGTCGCACGACGCCGCCACACCTCCGCCCCCTCCGCCCTCTCCGCCCTCACCCATGCCGTCCCCATCATGCTCCAAGCGCAGCAGCGGCGCCCACCTCGCCATCGACAAGCTCGACTACAACTCGCCGCGCCGCCCGCTGCTCGGAGGCTCCGACGCCTCGAGCTCCCACGACCCGAGCAACGACAACAGCTACGCCGGCAGCTTCTTCGAGCAGGTAGCCGAGGGCGTCATGGAGCGCGACCGCGACCGTCTGCAGCGCGTCGTCGTGCGCTGGCTGAGCTTCGTCTGGGCCATAGTCAACTGCCTCTGCGCCGGCAGCATCACCGCCTACTCGCTGTACGGCCACCTCTTCCAGAGCCGGCTGCACTACACACAGCTCCAGGTCAACATGGTCAGCATCGTCGCTGAGCTCGGCATGTACCTGCCTGTGCCGCTCTTTGGCTATCTGTGCGATCGCCTCGGGCCTGGGGCTCCCTCGGCGCTGTCGGGCGGCTTCTTCGGCTTCGGCTATCTGCTCGCTGCGTTTGCGTACAAGAGCGGGCCGCCGCCGTCTGCTGCGCCGTCTGCTGCTGCTGCTGCTGCTGGACATGGCTGGCCGTTTGCCGTCATGGTGCTGGCCTTCTTCGCCGTCGGCATGGGCACGAGCTGCATGTACCTGTCCGCCGTGACGACATGCGCGAAGAACTTTGGTCGCGGCAACGCAAAGGGCGTCGCCCTGGCTGTCCCCATTGCTGCCTTTGGCCTGAGCGGCATGTGGCAGAGCCAGGTCGGCGCGCACTTGCTCTACGAGAAGATGGCCAACGGCAGCAGAGGAGACGTCGACGTCTTCCGCTTCTTCCTCTTCCTCGCCATCCTGCTCCTCGCCGTCGGCCTCCTCGGCACCCTCACCCTGCGCATCGTTGACGAGGAGGAGCTCATCGACGACGCCGTCGAAGAACTCGAGCGCTCCGGCCTCCTCACACACGACGAGTTCTTCACCGCCGCCGCCCACAACCACGGCTACGGCACCCTCCCTCCCCAAGACCTCTCCGACTCCACCGTGGACTTCCTGCAATCCGAGGCCGCTGCCCTCAAAGCGCGCCACGAGGAAGAAGCTCGCAAGAAGACCTGGCTCCTCAACGAAGAAACGCGGCGCTACATGCTCGACCCGACAATGTGGTGGCTAGCAGCCGGTTTCTTCCTGGTCACTGGGCCGGGCGAAGCATTCATAAACAACCTAGGCACCATCATCAACACGCTCACACCCCCTCATGTCGACGTGAGCACAACGCCAGCCACACACGTCTCCATCGTCGCCATCACATCCACCCTCGCACGCCTCATCACCGGCACACTGAGCGACATCCTCGCCCCCGTCGCCCCCGTACGGTCGCACCTCCAAGGACCGGACAGCATCGCAAACTCCCTCTCCTCCCTGCCTCCCCAGCCAACCCGCCGCTTCACCGTAAGCCGGATCACCTTCCTGCTCACGTTCGCATTCCTCCTCTCGCTCGGGCAACTCCTGCTCGCCTCCGGCGCAATCCAAAACCACCCCAACCGCTTCGCCCTCGTCTCCTCGCTCATCGGGGCCGGCTACGGCGCCGTGTTCAGCCTGGCGCCCATCGTGGTCAGCGTCGTCTGGGGCGTCGAGAACTTTGGCACGAATTGGGGCATTTTGGCTATGACGCCCGCCGCGGGGGCGACGCTGTGGGGCGCCATTTACGCCTTTGTGTACCAGAGGGGTGCCGACAACATGAACGTTGGCGAGAAGGACGTCGATGATGTGCTGTGCTATGGCAAGAGCTGCTATGCGCCCACGTTCTGGGCGATGGCTGTTTGCGTCTGGCTTGCGATGGCGCTTTGGGTGTACGCTTGGAGGGGGCCTGGGGGGTGGAAGAGGAGGGGAGTCGCCGTTTGAGGGGTTGATGAGGGGTTGCTTGGTTTCCTTGTTCTGGTATGTTTGCGCACGATTTGGGTTTTGTTTGGTCTTGGTTTGGCATGGCATGGAAGCGTGCATTTGCTTCGTGGCGTCGGAACCTTGGGTTTGCATTCGCTCGCCTGGTGTATAGGCGCAGCTCGCGGCGTTGGACGGATACTTGCATTACATCCACCTTCAATGAGCATACATCATTACTATCCATACATCGTTACTATGAACTGCTGATGCTTCTTCTCTTCTCTTCTCATCGTGTCAGAGTTGTGAAGTGGAGTGTGTCTTCACTGATAACGCTACCTAGAACGTATCGCAACGCTGTTCGAAATGCTAACTCTATATTCCTGGGTATCTTTCATCGTCCTTCGTTCCCCATTCGTCTTCTGTCGACATTGGCTCTTCATGTGTCCTCCTTGACACGGGTCGTCATGTGCCTGAGACACCGCTGTGCTCCATCTCCCACGCCCTCAAAGCTTCGACGAGGAACGCAATCTCGCTCCTCGCCTCATCACAGCCCATGCGCTGCTCCTCATCCGCCAGCACCATTGCCCCGATAAGCTGCTGCACCTTGTCTCCATGCGGACCCACTTTCTCTGCGAACCCATCCGGAAACCCGCCCTTCTTGAGCCGAGACAGAGCATCGCTCCGCTCCATCCTCGTGCCGAATTTGTACACCATCTCCACCGCAATAACGCCCAGTGCAAAAACGTCGAGTTTCTCACTGTTACGTGTACTCGTCTCCGGGCGGTAGAACTCCGTGCCCACAGGTTTTGTGGCCGCGCCCGTCTCTCCCGTTGTGCACTTCTCGTCGAGCGCAGCTACGAGTCCAAAGTCGCCAATGCGGGGTACGACGTGCATACACTCGCGTTCAGGACACGGCTTGCACGTCGAGAGGTCGACGGAACCATAAGGCGAGCGGCGGCCAGTCGTGAGCGCAAGGAAGATGTTTGCTGGTTTAAGATCGCGGTGGACAACACCCTGGGCGTGGAGGTATTCAACGCCGGAAAGAATGTTGCTCAGAAGCTCCAGGGACACGCAAGCATGGAAACAGTGGGTAAGTCCGGGTTGGCTGGAAAAGGGTATCCGATCTGGCGAAAGAAAGGCGGCGAGGTTGGATTCGTAGAGGGACATTTGTACGTTTAGGGTCAAGACTGGGCCTGTGGGGCGGGTGCTAACGAGAGGTCCCGCCGGCATATCGCTGTGTGAGATCATGCTGTCAGACAGGTCAGTGGTTGGATCCTGCGAAGAGGGCATATGGCGTCGGGGGATCATTTCGATGTCTTCATCCTCGAAATCTTCGGATACGTCCTCTACAGCGCTCATGCGAGACCTTGTGGACGACACAGTGGCGATAGTAGCCTGGCTGGCCTGGCTGGTACGTCGGTCCCTCCGCTTGACGCTTAGCTTCTCCCGTAAGGAGAGACGGTCTGTGTTACTTCTTGGGTCATCCGCTTCGCCAGTGTTGCTTGCCTCAAAGACGATGTCCGCGCCAGAGTCAGCGGAGGACGCCTCGAACAGGATTCCGTCAAACTTTGACTGGAGATAGTCAAGGTCTGAGGGACTGGATGAGAAATTCGCTGGGTCTTCGAGCAGCCGGTTGTTCGGCAAGACGGTTGTTGTTGGTACAGATGGTGCTTCCGTCGGTGCTGCCGTGAATTCCAGCCATGCGTTGTGGTAACGAACAATGTTCGCGTGGTCGAACCTGGCTAAAGACCGCACTTCTTCCAACAGACTATTCAGTGCCTCAGGTCCATGTTGCTGCACCTTTGCTAGCTTGGCAGGTGGCACAATGATTCGTTTGACCGCATAGAATGAGCCATCGAGCTTGTGTTTGACTTTGAAGACTTTACCATATCCGCCTTTGCCAACAACTTCAAGCTCTGAGAAGTCTCGCACATAGCGATCGTTTTGCAGGTCAGGATATCCGCGCAGCCATGGATCCGGTGCAGGCAGGCCTGATAGCAATTCAATTCCTGGAAGTGGTGGCTGGGTGGCGGGCATAGTATTACCGTTTCTATGACGCATAATCAAGTTTTGGGTAACCTCTGGTGCTGCAATTGTGTTCAACTGCGCGGTTGTCGTCTGATGAATGGTTTCTTGCATTGTTGTGCGAAGGGTGCGAAACTCATCACCAGCATATCTGCTGTCAATGCCGTTCGGAAGCTGACGAGCAATTGCTTGATACGCTTCTCGACCTTGCCGCTGTGCCTCTGGGTCGGAAGGATCCTTGTGCAATTGTGCTGCCGCTGCTGTAATCGCATTCTGCTCAAGCATCGCGTGAAACCCTAGAGCTTGCATGTCCTGGGTCGAGAATCCTCTCAATCCTGCCAGAGATGGTCGTTGTGTATTGACGGGTGCTTCCGACGTGCTTGAATCCAAGGTGTTGACGCGGGTCACCACGCTATCCGGCTGCGATGGTCTCGGCTCTTCATCTTCGGTTTGATCATAAGACGCTTCCGAGGATGATGACGAGGTATCTCCGGGCCTACGAAACATGGACATGGCGATGTGTGGGAAAGAGGTCGTTGGGCCGATATGGGAAGGTGCACTTGGTCAAGGTTGCTTCTCATAGACCGGTCGATACAATTGACGCTCGACAGTCTCAGATAATATTATTCGATGCGATTGAGTGCAGTTGAGTATGGTTGCGTGGTCTGGTTGGATGTAGTGCTCGTTGTTGGTGTTGTTATGTGTCCTCTTATACGGCTGCAGCGACAGTGAGAACCTGCTCGTTGTCGGCGACCAGATGAGGAAGGGACTTCCATCTGTGAAGGCCCCTTGAGGGTCTTTAGAGACTCATGGAATTGGAAAGTCTCAGAATACAATGGAAAAGGAACGTAGCTCTTTCGGTCTTCAAGATGCGCCGGAAGGGCAAACAGCAATGTTCATCTGGGGTGACGTGGTTTAGCGAAGAACCTAGGCAGAAGTGGGGCAAGTCACCTCCATTCACTTCGCGTGCACGTGCGTAACGCGTCCGGATAAGAAGAACGACAACGATGTACGGCTTTCACCGGTGATACTGAAACATGCTTGGCACGAAGCGATTCTCAACTTTCAGTCTCCAATAACCTTTGCTTGGTCTCGTCGCGGGCCAGCCCAATGCCGCGACAGCTGCCTTGGAAGAGCAACGGTGGCGGAGGGAGTCGCACGCAAACAATAAAGCCATCTACCTGCCCACCGAAGACAACCAGGATACCAGATGACATGAATGATGATTTCCTCGATGGTACTGTGCTTGCTAGCACCAGCAAAGGCAAAAGCAAAGCAAAGGTTACCTCAGATTCAGACGACTCGCTGCCTGAGCCTCCCGCCGAACCATCGACACAGCGCACCAAAAGATCAAGGAATGGTGTTACGAAAGATCGAGCGCCCTCGTCTTCACCACCACCACCTCTGGCAGACTACGCACTCCCTTACTCTGAGCCAATGCGCAAAGGCATATCAGAATTTGACCTCCGAGATGACGAATGGATGATGGTCGAAGATGAGTTCTTGGAGACCGCAAAACTATTCACACGACATCTGCACATCGCAGAATACGACAGACTGAAAGAGAGCATTGAAGCGAAGAAGAAAGAGGCCGAAATTGCAAGACCCGTCATCGCAGGCTCGAAACGCTCAGTGGAGGGCGCAATGAAAGAGAGGGCAAAGGTGCAAGACAGCAAGCAGAAGAAGGCAATCCGTGACGTATTCGCCTCACAAGGAGACTCAATTGAAGACGATACAGCTTCATACTGGCCGAGATCAAGCAAAACCCTAGCGGCGATGCCGCAACCAGCTACCAACGGATCACAAGACACAGACAGCGACGACTTGGATGCACCGCATCCGCCGAAATCAAAAGCTCCAGCACCAACATCTTCCAGTACAGCTAGTTCACTCAGAGTCACAAGACCGCTACCTGCCTCTCCATACGTGTCCAAGCCATTAGCGTCGTCTTTCGCCAAGCCTGCTCTTCCCGCACCAACAGTGCCAGCAAGATCACGCGCCAGGCCCTCGAGAATGACACCATTTGACATGCTCGACGAGTACACTCCACCAACATTCGACACGAGCACACCGCCAGCGGCTGCCCCTCATGAGAGGCAGACGTTTATTTCGAGTAAACCACGCTCGCAGTCAACATCGTCCAGTCTCTCCTCTCCGCAGACATCACAAATAACGACCACAAAAGCCATTAAGCCTCGACGGTCCCTGGACCTGCTCGATGACTGGGCATCCTCGAAAGATAATGGTGGAATCAGTAGGGAGGTCGCTGATCGGATCGCGAAGAGGAAGGCCGAAAGGGCGGAAGAAGGTGAAGGAAAAGAGAAGAGGAAGGCCACTAATTTGGACGACATTCCTACGTTTCTATTTTGAGTTGTTTTGGATGTTTGGAGTATGGGAAATGATACCCCCGGCTGCGCTTATCTTTGGTTATGGGCCTAAAGAGTCACTAATAGTGAGTATCGATTTCACGTGTATACAGTTCTTGTGTTCTTCCATTGTATGTATGGGTATCTCTAAAGACAGAATAGATGCTCCTCGTCATGCCTCGCGGCTACGAGGAGCGATCTGAATCATAGCAATATACACCGCTGTGTAGCGAAAAAGTTTTGGTCTCCGATTCCGCGCCCTTTTGTTGGTTTCGGGCAGTTCCATCTCATGTCTAATTAGATTGTTTCTTTGTTTCTTGCTTGTATCTTAGACAACAGGCAAACCTCTTTGTTCCTGTTGCCTATAGATAGGCAGCTTCTGCTTACAGATAGATTCAATTCAATTCATCTCATTTTTGCACTCAGTGCTGGTTCAACACCTTTGCAAGGTACGTGCCAGGCCTCTAACCAAAAAGCTTGTCCAACGCTTTATTGAACCAGTTGGTCTCGGGCGTCGGCACGTAATTGCGATGGTACTCTTCAATTTCAGCCAAATCGGTGATAAGATCCGCCTCGTGCGCTTTGACGGTCTTGGTCTTCTTGACGAACTTCCATCCGAGGAAGATGACGGGGAAGAGGAACACCATCATGTATCTAGAAATTCGTTAATACACGGCCGGCAACAGCGGGCAGGAACACTTACGAGAAGAGGAAGTTTGGAACATCCCAATAACCCGGCAAGAACACCGTGTAGCCACCAACGAAGGTCATGATGAACGTTGCGGTGAGAGCGTAGTATGCAGCGTACGGCTGCAGAATACCCTTGTAGGGCAAGGTATTCCTGTCCAGTCCCTGCACCTTGCACGCCTTGTAGAAGCACAAGAACGTGTAGCACATGACGGAGAAGTTGATGAGCTGGGAGGCAGTCACCAAGCTGACGAACCAGCTGAGAACGACCGCAGAGTTCTCACCCAACTGCAAAAACGAGAGCAGAGAGATGGCGAGGACGACGGCAACGCAGAGGTAGGGAACACCCTGCTTAGTGCACTTGGTCAGGACCTTGGGTGCCTTGCCCTCGAGCGCGAGACCAAACAGAGAGCGCGATGCGCAGTAGACATAGGAGTTACCGGCGGAGAAGGCGGAAGCGAGGACACCAGCGTTGACGATGTGGGGAAGAACCTCAATCCTGAGCCTGTTCATGGCAACGACGTACGGCGAAGCAGCAGCTCCGGGCTTGCCATCAGCGAACGCAGCCTTCAGCTCAGGATCGTTGTATGGGACGTTGATTCCAACAGCCAGGGAACCAAGGACGAAGAAAGTTGTGAGACGGTAGAAGACGGCGTTGTAGGCGCGAGGCATGACCTTGCGGGGATTCTCGGTCTCTCCGGCAGCCATGGACACGTAGTCAGGACCAGCGATCGTAAACGAGGCTTGGATCAAGCACTGCAAGAAGCCAAGGAAACGCCCTAGATCGCCAGTGTAGTACAGCTGAGCGAAAGATCCGGGGTTCTTCCAGTACCTGAAGCCATATCGATCTTTTTCAGGGTTTCCGCCAAGCATGGAAATGAATGTGAAGATGAGGAGACCGATGATGAGCAGAACCTTGCCGACAGCAGCCCAGAACTCAGTTTCACCGTACCATTTCACAGCCATTAGGTTGATCACGCTACCGCCATGTTAGTCCCAGGCTCACGATTGACTTGCAGCCTCAACGGCATTTTGACATACCCATAGAGAACGATTACAATCGCAATGATAGCGCCAACAGGTACAGCGTTGCTCCAGAAATTGATGATGACATTGCAAGCCACAATTTCAAAGGGCACGAGAGCAGCTTCAAATACGAAGAAATTCCAGCCAGCAGCAACACCGAAAGCATCATCGACGAAGCGACCAGCAAATCGAATGAAAGGCGAGGAGATTGGGAGAAAGGTGACCATTTCTGCAATACCTGAGGCTGAGGTTAGTTCGTCTTCCGTGTTTGGACATTTGTGGAATGTGCTGCTTCGGGCGAACTGGAGATGCTTTGGCAATTGTCGCGATGGGGGGTGTCGCATAGGGAAAATCGAAATTGGGGAGTCTCACTGACGGTGACCGCTAAGATCACAGTACACCCTGCGAACTGTTAGCTAATGCTATAGACTTGGTTGTGTGAAGCGACTTACACAAAGAGAAGGCAAGGAACAGCGACGCAGGGCCGCCGTTCATCAGGCCTCGACCAATCTGGACATAGAGAGCAGTTCCGATAGTACCACCAATACCAATAAGCTGAATGTGTCGACTCTTGAGCTTTCGATGAGTGTCATCGTGGACTATTCTGACAGAGGCAACAGAGTCACTGCGGCGAGGCCCGAAGTTGTTCTCTTCATCAACAAACACACCCTGTATCTTCTTATCATCGGACCCATTTGGGAGGTAATCGATGCCGCTAGTGGCCATGGTGGGAGGAACTCGGGATTGTTGATCCGCGAATCTCAGTAAAGGCTTTTAAGTAGAAGACAGAAGTACTGCACAACGAACTCCATGTACCACTAGTGTGGGTAAGTGAGTAGATCGTGGGATGTTCGCGGTTGGTGTAACGTGAATGTAAGCAGCGGGCGAAAAGAAGAACGTGGCAGGTTGATGAAATACTCAGTAGCGCTAGTGTGGACTCCGTCTTGGAGGTGAAGGTTGATGGTCGCATGAGCCTCCGCGAAACCTCTGTGGACGGTAAAATGTGGCCCACCCTAGCGTCAGCCTAGAACTTACCCGGTCCTGCACGCCGTTTCCTGACATTTGGTGTAGCCCCAGATGTCGATTGTGCATTGCCAGTCTAACATGCACTGCGATCTGCTGATCACAATTGCTTTGTCCAGACTAGCAATCGTTCAACTCGCAGGGATGGTTGTGGTTCCGTCATCCAGCTGTGAACGTCACGGCTTGCCATGTGCGCAGCGGCACGCTTAGGTAAGGATGATCAAGATAGCAGCGTGGTGTTGCAGGGCCTGGTTCGAGAGAGCAGCCCGCTAGACCGGAAAGATGTCCTGCGTGGGGCAGCTTCAGAGCCAACCGAATTCGGGGTACGCTCTCTAGGTGCTATGTTGCTCTGCCGATTCTCTTTCATTGAGACCCCAGTACCTTTACGGCTTGTAAGAATCCAACTTCGTGGCGCCATAGCCCTCGGACACCCCGAATCATCACGGCTCGAATCTCGGAAATCCCTCCAACTCTTGACTTTGTCTTGGCCCTTGGAGCTTCTCCAATTGCAGCAGCTGTAGCGTGTCCTACGGGCTAAGGATGAGCTTGGCAGCTCTGGGCTTGGAGGTTGGCTTCAGGCTTCGTCCACTCTGCCTCCCGCCACAGGTTTATCTGGACATCGAATAGCCGGCCGTTAGCTCGCACACAGTTGGGGATCTCAGCTCTCGGGCGTAAAAATTGCAGCGCCCCATGTTCCCGAAATCCTGGATCCTCGTTCGACGACCCGAGACCTCAGCCTCGGTACGTAACGTGGTGTGTCCGCATTGTCGTATAGGCGCGACCACTCAAGCAGCACTGTTTTGTCACTGGGGTCCTAGAAATGCTATCAGGTCGAGAGTCGTTGGAGAACAGGCGGCCTTCGCACGGCTTTGGAAATCAGCCCAGCAGGCTGCCCTGGTGTTGTGATAGAGCCTGTCAGATTGATATCGAATGGGCGAACAAACCCCACGCTCCCCGCTGACAGGCGGCCTGAACCCTGACCTTCGGACATTTCGAAATATAAAACATCCTGCGGTCTGTGCGTGCTTTGATAGATATGTCTCCGGCGCAATATTTCACAGTCGACAAAGTCGATAGGACCTGTAAGGTACGTGGACGACCTCTGAGAGATTGAATGCAAGCTTGGTCGTTCGGCTTCGAGCGGTCTCCAGACAGGTGCTCTGTATGCAGCTGAGCCCTACTCTTTAGCTTGCCAGCTTAGGCAGGGATTCCAAGACGCTGGACAAGAGATCTGGAATATGGCGATATCCATAGGAGCAGCTGTACATTCGTGTACATTCGGCAGCTACAGAGGGTGACATCGCTGGACAGGAACTTGGGTGCGGACCAAGCGTAATAGGAGATGCCAAGCCATGGCGTGCTTGAAGCAGCTCGGTCTTGGGAAGTCTCATGCAACGATTCGTATCATCGCGGAAGTCGTAGTGCTATTGGTTGCAGCGCAGTATCGTTCTTGTCGGCGTCGGTGAGTACGTGCAAGGTACTGGTGAAGGCAGTCGCACTCCGGTCAACCCTCTATTTTCTTTAACCAGACTGTTCGCCTCGTAGAGATATAGATTGTGAGATGAAGGTGTTGTTGAGTTAATTGGACAAAGGTAAGGAATTGATGAGTGGCGCAATCGTGACTCAGCTGATTGTGGAAGGTAGGTGCGAGCGACGGCAAGGCGAGAGAGCTTTGTAATACAAGTAGTGCAGTCTGGTCAGGCAAAGCTGCACAGTCGCTCAAAGGTGTAAACGAAGATGTTGTGTTGAATGCATTTTAATAGACACCATGCCAAACGCCATGCTTGCTCTCAATTTCATCAATTAGATGCTCGAACAATCACATTCTATCGCCAAAAGATTTACACCTCCAACTCCCGGCTTGCTTGTTGTACAGATTAGGTATACAGGATATTAGAACTGATTAGGTATTAGGAAAGTCATATGTTTATGCGGCATTCATCTTTCGTCCAACATTCGAGCCATGCACCGTGGAAGAGTGTCCGCTAACTGGTTTGCGCAGTGGCATAGAGTTGGAACCTCTACGAGCAGAGCCCGAAGGCACCTTCGGAAGGCTCTCTGCGAGTCCGTTCATCTTGAATACTTGTGCGTCCGGCGCACGGTCAAGTTCCTGTTGGAGTTCGTGGAGTTTGTCCATCGTCGTGAGCTCTCCCATCCAGCTCTTGCCAGTCTTGTGGTCGAAGTGCATGGCCTGCACAGGCCCACCGTATCCGGTGAGGTCAGCTAGCGTTGGTGGGTGAATGATGATCGTCTCCTTGCGCTCGAAGCCTTCTTCAGTCATAAATGTACCCGCTTCAATGATCTCAGGCTCTGTACGGTACTTGGGCATCGTTGTCTGGCGTGAGTAAGGGCTCGAGTGTTCGCAAATTGACCACCAACGATTCTTGTCTGTACGGGCAGGCAACTCATCAGCGGAGATCTCGATAAGCCCCTCACCGTTCGGGTTTGGGATCCAGTGACGAGGCGGAAGAACCTCTGTCATCATTACGGGTTGTATACGATGGAAGTGCTCATAGTTATGGATCTCGCGGTAGATCTTGTGCTGAATGATCTCGTGCTGGTGTGGCTTGATCACCTCGTGTGTGACGGCTAGGTCGCAGTCAGCACATGTTTGGCGCAAGTAAATGCAACGCAGCAGAGGCATAAAAGACAGAAAGTACGTACCAGGCGCCCATGTGATATCTCCATCTGTGTCGACAGTATTCCTGAGATCCACGACACCTTCCTCACGCAGTTTCCTGGCCAACGCGGTTTCTTCGCCACCCGCTGTTCCACCCACGGTAGCATGGCGTACGCCAGACTGTGATCCTTGGACCTCGTGTGGTTCCTGTGCCGATCGTGACGCGTCGTTATCGCCGTCCGAGATGCGTGGCTCCCTCCTCTCCCACCCAGGTTCGACCCGGGCGGTCTTGGGAATGAGGCTCGACCTCTTCCACGAGCCTTTTTCGTGTGAGCTTGTCTCAGTATGCGGACGGATACCATCAACAAGACCACCATTGGTAGTGACATTATCACCAACAGAATGCTGTCCAACAGATCCACCAATTGGGACTGAGCTCAGGGTAGATCCACCTGAGCCAGCACCGACAGACTGTTTACACAAGTGTTGTTGACCGGATGTTGGGTTCGAAGCAGGAGCGCCTAAATGAAATTAGAATCTTATGTCATCTTCTGCTTACAAGAAGACTTGTGGATCGAAGTCTCGCGAGATGCGATTGTATCAGTACTCACCGGATGCAATCCCTGCTGCTCCGTTGTGTGCAGTACCAGCCGCAGCACGGCTTCCACTATCGATCGATGTACTATAACGCGCGATATTGCGATCGGCAACATCTTCCTCGTGTCGTGCCTCACTCTCTCCAGTGATGTGTCGCCTGTCCCCACTAAGGGTGATGTATTCGTCGCCATGGTCGTCGTTCACCGGTGAAAGGGCAGGTAGATAGGCCTTGTAATCGTTCTCTATAGCACCGCCGTTGGGATCGGAGGAAGACGCGAAGTCAATGGCTGCCATATGCCTCACGGACGCTTGACTTTGGCGACGGTCATCGTAAGCCGAACTGACTGGTCTGCTACGGCCTGTGTAGACGGAGCCAGTTGCGGATGAGTCGACTGAGATGCGACCATTTCGGTCTGAAGACACGCGGTGTCGATCTCCATATGGTGGACTTGCTTCGACGTGGTGGGTGTTGCTCTCCAAAGGCTCATGTTGACCTGAAGAACTTTTCGATTTACTGGACCTCCGAAACACAGACTTCAATTTTCGCTGCATGGTGTTTGCCTCTCACGATGATGCCCAGGTGAAATGATAGAACGCGCGAGATCTTGAAAAACAAAACTTAGGTATGGCGCTGATGTCGCAAGTACGTAAGGCAGGCGAGTCTCAATGAACCCAATTGCTGGATTCGTAAGGCTACAATATGGACCAGGGAAGCTATGACGCATACAACGTGCTTTCCAGAGTTCAGAAGACCATCGAATGAAGGAGCGAGGCGGCTGAAGTATGGAATAATTTGGTGGACCAAAAAGAACAGTCTAGAAGCCGTTCAATGACAGCGCGGTCAAACGTCAAATCGCTGCTATGAACCCTTTCGGTGACGTTGTGGCTCGTCAGAATGTACAACGATGTACAGCAGAGCGTGGCAAAGTTGAATTAGATCCGAAGGCGGAGTCTCCGAGAGATCCAGGCACTCCGGGCTGTCTGCTTCCATTGCTTCTTCCAGCATCCCACGGGGCTCCCTTGTTGAGGGCTCAGATGGGACTCAATTGAGGCTGCTAACTGATGCATGGCGCACTTAATGACGTAGCAGCATCGTGATGTTCAGTTCTTCTCCCACAACAATCGCTCAACGATCACAAGAAGCATATCAGGCCCACCTAGGTCCTGTGACGAAGCCCTAAGCATCGCGTGTTTGCAGTGGGCTTGGTGGACATGCAAGACGGGATGACGACAAGCAAGTGAGGTGGCCAACTGCGGACAGCTCCCGCCTGCTGATCGCAATAGCGTACCAAAGGACAGGGTGATCCTCAGTGCGTCAGTCTCGAATGTGGCCATGGCTCCGGTACAGAGAGCGAAACAGGATGAGACAGACACCAGTGTGCGGGAGACGCGTAGGGAGTGTGGGGACGAGCAACATCGAAAAGGTAATCGCCTTGCCATTCTGTCATGTTTTCGGCATGCGCACAGACACCATTCCTTAACCGATCAAGACCGATAGCATCACCCCAGCGCCACTCTAGCGCCACCCCAGCGCAGATCTTCCCGTCTCCTGTTCCCTTTTTGAGCACAATCTCATATACACAACTTTGGATGAGCTTGGGCAGCGTTGCGAGCAGAGGATTGCCAGTAACTGCGTAGTGCTGTGAAAGTTGCATGGAAGGTGGGCTAGTCAGCAGCAGCAGTCGCAGCGAATGGCCTAGGAAGGACTGGACCACAGTGCTCCACTCGCTTGAGAGCATGAGTTCTACGTCAAGCGTAACGCTTGCCGTACCGGCGTAAACAGTGGCTGATGAACTGATCTGAGGTACCCCTGACGTACATCAACAACAGGTCTTTGTGACCCGAACTCCTCGGAGCTACCGTCGCTGCCACACAGCGGGACCCGTCAAAATCGAGCCCGCCTTTATGGAGCCAATGAACATCGCCACACAGTGCATCGAACAGCTAGGTCGGACATTGCGATGGCCCTGAAATGACGTGCCGCGGATGCTTTCAAGTCCTGTCAATTACGTCGTTCTGCGCATGCTCCAACAGTGCAGGGGTATAAAGGGTTCAAGCAGCTACTGCTTAAGCTCATCATTCTACCATCATCAAACACCAATTCCCCGAGCCTCATAACTCTCAGAACTTCTTCACTCAACCTTCCACTACTTCCATATTAACCAACAACACACAAAACATCACAATGGACAAGGCCAAGGCAGCTATCACCGACTTCATGTCCAAGTCTGGACATCACGACACCACTGTCCACGAGTCCGTTGCCCCTGCTATTCAGCACGAGGTTGTTAAGCCCCACGTTCACGAGGAGGTTCAGACCGCTGTCGACAAAGAGGTTCACCAAGACCACTACCACCGCACTGTCCAGCCCGTCCAGGACCGCGAGGTCCTCCCTGAGACACACACTGCCAAGCTCGGCGCTGTTCAGCAGCGCGAGTTTGACCACCGTGATCACGACAGCACAAAGAGGAACCTCATCGACGAGCAGGCACGCTTCAAGGATGAGCGCCGTGTAGATGCTACCACCCACAGCCAGAGCGCTGCTGCTGCCATTGGTGGTGAACATGTTCACCATCACATCCACGAGACTATCCAGCCTGTGGTTCAGAGGGAGACCATCCAGCCCAACGTTGTTCACACTACCGTTCCTATCCACGAGATTCACCACAACAAGGCTACCCACCACAGCACCACTGCTCTGCCCGCTATGACCATGTCTGAGTTCACTGCCAAGGGTGGAGCTCTCACTGGCCGTGAGGAGCGCTACGACGCCTTTGAGGGTGTCCCCAAGAACATCGGTGCCGGCACTGCTGGTGGCTTCGGCGCCATCCGCGAGGGTGAGGGTCACCGTGACCACCACCACGTCGCTGGTGCTCCCCGCCACGGTGACTACGACAACACTGCCCGTCACGGCAACGACGCCACTGGCCTCAACCAGCGTGAGTTGAACGCTGCTCAAGGTGTCAACACTGGCTCCGGTCTCACTGGCACACACTCTCACCACCGTGAGGGAGGTGCCGCCGGCGCCCTCGCTGGTGCTGCCGCTGCTGGCGCTGCCGGCCACCACGGCCAGCAGCACAACGACTTCGCTCGCGACAACCGCACCCACACCACCAAGGATGGTCTCCCTGATGCCCTAACTGAGCACCGCTCAAGGGCCGATGCTCACAACACCCACACCCGTGGCTCCTCTTCTTCCTCCTCCGACAACGGTACCGGAGAGCACAAGAAGCCTGGTCTGATGGACAAGCTCAACCCCAAGGTTGACGCTGACGGCGATGGCAAGCGTGGTTTCATGAAATAGATGCACACTTCATGCATCTTAATTTCCTAATGTTTTAACGAGCCATGAGTATGTAGATACCATATCAATATTGTACAGTAATTCAAACACGTGAACAACAGTCTCTCCAAACTATGCCCAGCTCGTGTCTCATCTTTCTTTGTTGATCATAATTACCCCTCAATGACGTCTGGCCTGCTTTAGCTTCAGTAGCATGTACGTGCGGCATCTAAGGATCCACTGTTCTTCAGCCACAGCAGCCTCAAGCGGCTCGTACCATCAAAGTACCGACTGCCTCACGCGACTAGAAGACTTGGTAAATACGCTGTTGCGACCAGATATCAAGTTTCCCCATACTGACAGTGGCAAATGCTCAGATCTCAACCACCACATAATGACGCATCAAAGTACCCTCTGGGCGATGGGCTTCCACTCAGAAGTCGGTCTTTCGGTTGCGACAAGTACAACGCGACCTCCAGTCCAAGACAATCCCTCACTTCGCTCTACAAGGTCAATGCCTTCCTCCTGAGCGAGCTTGCTCGTCTCTTCGAGCCCTTTCGCATCGACTTGGGAGCAGTCATGACTGTATCAGCGGTCAACCATGACATCCTCAGTGATCGGTTGCATGGGACTTACTACAACAGGCTTACATGCGGGTTGTACGTCTCTTCCGCCCACTTCCTAGCCGTCTCCTCGTCCATATGATCGGCAACCTGTTTTCTGCAGACCTTCGCTAGCGCTTTCAATCCGGTGGTCTTTTGGCACTTAATGTAGAGTTTGCGGAAGTAGACATCCTCACTGTCTAGCTTTTCAAAATCAACCTGCACGTCACCACCAGCTTGGAGATCCAGAGAGTCGAGCCATTTCTGGGGCTCTGATCCATAGCTTGTTGGTGATACCAGGTCCGACGTCAGTGTAACGTGGGGAATGAAGAGGTCCGTCGAGCCAAAGCGTAATGCTGTCCGCTTGATCAGAGATGCAAGCACATCATTCAACGGATGCGTTTCCGGCGGAAGGAGCCATAGGGATGAGCCGGGCATGTTGCATGAGCAATCGCAAAAGTTGGGAAGATGTTGTCGAACTGTTTATTAAACACCAGTCGCTGCGTCATGGGTCGTTTAGCCGCACGTACTTGGCGCCATGCTCCCCGCGCAATCCTTCCGTCTCGGCATCGGCATCTCGACGCTTAGGTTCCCGCGACGCCTGCTTTCACATGTGAATAAATCCAAACCAAACATCCGCATGACAGCACATAACCGACCCGCGCAAATAACGCGACGACATGCCATCCAGTGGCGTCATCAGCCGATCCTCTAGACGCTGTCACGATGGCTGGCGCGTTGCTATGGAGCGTTTTTGGCTGCTTTGCTGAGATCGTCTTGTTCTGGCTACGGGTATGTTGCTCCTCGATACTGCTATAATGGCTCCTTGCAAGCTCCCCACTAACGCCTGATGCTAAAGCAACTCCCTGCATGGTGGATGAAGAAGAACCCAAGAGATCTGCTCCTCGAAACAATCGCAGAGGCACGCTGCTTCGAGGAGTGGGAGGCCGCGGCCTATCATTTGGACGAGCTCCAAGGCTACGATCTCTGGCGCCAGAATGCTACGAGCAAGTACTACAACTACCGCCTCATCCACCAGCGCCTCACGGGTATCATCGAGGCTCACGACGATGATGACATGCTGGGCCTGATCGGCCTGCTGCGCAGCGGTCTCGTTCGCAACCTCGGAAACATCACTGCACCACGCCTGTTCGACCGTGCTTACGGCGGAACGAAGCTCCTAATTGAGGACTATGTCACGCAAGTCTCGTATGCGATCGAATATCTCACGCAGTACCCGACTGCGGCAAGCTCGGATACCGGGTTGACGAACCAAGCGAAGTTGGATGTGTTGCACGATACAAGGCAGGCATTTGGGAGATCAGTGCTGGTGTTGCAAGGCGGACAGATCTTCGGTATTTGTCACCTGGGTGTTGTCAAGGCACTCCATTTGCGTGGCCTGCTTCCTCGCATCATTGCTGGGACTGCTACCGGTGCTATCATCGCAGCATTGGTTGGAGTACATACAGAAGATGAGCTGCTAGACTTCCTGAACGGGAAGAACATCGACCTGAGTGCTTTCACGAAGCACCCACGGAAGAAGGGTTCGAAAGGCAGTGGCTGGCTAGAGACACTCACGCGCCGCATCAGACGTTGGTGGCAGGAGGGACACTTCCTTGATGTTGGCGTGCTGGAGCAGCTGCTGAGGGCGAACGTCGGGGACCTGACCTTTCAAGAGGCATACACCAGGACGAAGAGGGTGCTGAACATCACCGTAACCACCAGTGGAGGTGGAGGCGTGCCAAACCTGCTGAACTACCTCACAGCACCAAACGTAGTATGCACCACTTCAAACGCATGCCAACACCCAACTGACACACCCAGCTCATCTGGTCCGCCGCCCTCGCCTCCAACGCAACCGCTTCTTCCACCCTCTACAACCCGGTCGTGCTCATGTGCAAAGACGACTCCGGCACCATCGCCCCCTGGTCCCCCGCCCACGAAACCACTTTCCGGCCGTGGACGCATGCCTCGTACACCGACCGACAATCACCTCTCCACCGCATTGCTGAGCTCTTCAACGTCAACCACTTCATCGTCTCGCAAGCGCGGCCGTACCTCGCGCCCTTCCTGCGGTCGGACCTGCACCACCCGAACCCGCGGCAAGACGGGCGCTGGAAGCTGTCCATGCCTCTCTTACGGCTCGTGGTGCTGGAAGTCCAGCACCGCTTACACCAACTCGACGACCTGGGCTATCTCTCACCCTCCATACGCCGATTTTTGCTCGACGAGAATATCCCCGGTGCTTCCTTGACGCTAGTTCCTGAACTCTCGCCGGGAGACTTTTTTAAACTGCTGGAGAACCCGACGAAGGAGGCGATTGACTATTGGGTTCTGAAGGGCGAGAGGAGTGTTTGGCCTGCTGTTACGGCGCTGAAGATTAGATGTGCGATTGAAGTTGAGTTGGATCGGGGGTATCAGCTTGTTAGGAGGCGGAAGCCGTTTGAGAGCGTGAGGAGTCGCGGGTTGAGGAAGAGTGGGAGTCGCGGGGAGGTGAGAGAGCGTGGGAGTCAGGAGTTTGGGGCGGGGAGGATGCAGAGAAGGGCTAGGGCGGAGAGCTTTGGGGGGTAGTGGATGCTGAGCGACGACTTATCCGTATGCATACAAGAATGTTGACATTACTTTCCATAAGGGGTCGCTTCAACGTCTCTGCATCGGCCCGCTGAACCCCTTCACCAACGCAAACCCTAATACGACACCCATACCAAAGACTACCAGTGTATTTGCCGACAAGCTCGGTCCCTTCTGGCCCTGATTCATTTTCCTCGCCTTCTCAGCATACTCTTTCTTCCTCGCCTCCACCTCATCCTCAACTCTCGGCTTCTCTTCCTTCGCCGCACCAATGCCCAAATACTCCCTCACCAGCAAATCATCGCTCTCACTCAAATCAACCCACTCCGCCTTACTATCTCCCTGATCCAGCGGACTCCTGATATTCAACCCCCCAAACACACCCTCCTTCCCTTCTTTTCTCGCTGGACTAATACCTTCAGGCATCCACTCTTCTAGCATAGAGGCAGGCAAACTCCGAAACATAAGACCCATCCACATCTCCAGCACATTCAACAGCAAGTCCGGATTATCCATGCCCAGCAGCGCATGTCCGCCCATATTCGGGCTTGGGAGAACGGCTAAGACGCCGATGGCGTTGTAGATGGAGGACTGCAGGGCGTGGTAGTGCAGGCTGGGATTGTCGCGCCGGTAGCGGAAGTTGAGGTGTTGGGCTATGCGGATGCGGAGGGAGGAGGTTTGCCCGATGTAGAGACGCATACGTTTGTCGAGCCCGAGGATGCCGTTGAGGTAGATGGCCGGGGAGGAGGTGCGCAGGTCGCCGGCTATGAGTTTGAGACTGTTTGGAAGTTAGAGTCGTGGAGGTCGTCGCGGTCTTGGGACGTACGCATCGAGGTTCCAGCGCCCATTTAGGTAGGACCAGACTTGTGGGCGAATGCAGCGGAAGCAGAAGTCATCGAGTCGGGGGTGGCGTTCTACCCATTTGCCATACCGAACGTAGTGTTTTGATTCCGGCTCTTTCAGTTTCGATAGTAGATGTCTCAATATCTCTTGTGCTTCAATCTGCGCTGGTAAGAGTTGGGAGGGTAAATCATTCATCCTGGAGGTCGTCGTTGATGCTGACGTTGATGAATTCAGTATCCACGTCTGCGACATGTGTGAACTTTGATGTGAGCTTTGAGCAGCTGCCATGTTGTATACGATTCCACCTCTTCAAGCTGTAGTCTCGAAAGTCGCAGGATGTTGGGTCAGGGTGCGCCTATTCCGGCTAGTGCGAAGGCAGTAAAACCTGTCTGAGCGTGTAGTTGTACGTCTGCTGCCTAGTCCAAGTGATTTCAAATGACGATGTCTCAAGTGACAGGCTGTCGAAGCTTTGTATGTCTAACGGCTAGTGATGTTGGTGTTCCTGAAATCGAGCACAGATGAGGCTCGAGAGCTTTAGCGGCTGGTGAAGTTGCCTGATAAGGCAGTAAAAGTACTTTGGTGTCGATTACGGGCGCCCCTCGGGATGGGTACCCATGCAATAAGCTGGATCCTTCAGGAACTGTCTTGAGCTGCCTTGGGTGCCATGGTTCCTGGACGAAGAAGGCCAGATGCTCAGACATTTGACCTCTCTGAGCAGCGCAGATGTTAGAACTTACAGATGCCACGTCGCCAGCAGAAGCACGTTCTGTAGTTGAGCTGGGAGTGAGCTGGTAAGCCACAAACACTTCCAGAGGTGATCAGGCGCTCTTGTGAGCAGCAGAGCTTGCTGAGCTAGCAGCCTTGCATCTTTGATGTCACATTCTTAAGCACTGTTGTTGTGAAATAAGATCATGGGTTCTGGAAGAAGTCAAAGGAAGGTGCAGCCCGATCTAATCTTATCTCATCGCCGCCCACCGCCGAACTGGCCACGACCCCTGCGACTAGAGGCCAGAGCAGCACATCAACGTTGCAAGCTACTAAGATAACACGCAACAGTCCACCTGTCCACCCTGCTTTTGTATTCCGTTCTGTTCAGTTCTCTTCTCAGTACCTTGACGCAACTGCTACGCCAGCAAAATGGCAAGTACCTCTCCGCACCCGTTGCGCAAATGCACCTGCCCGAGCTTCACCCGCTGACTTCATTGTAGGCGAACGTAATAGCGAACTCAGGCCACGATGATATGATTGTACGTTCACATCTTCACCTCGAATCTTCCTCGAAGCCGCACAATACTGCCGCCTCCGAATCTGCGAACCTAAAAGATACAACGCGCAATGGCCGCCAACAGAGTTGATTTGCTGTCAATAGAAGCTAATGAAGCTCAGCACGATGCCGTTCTGGACTACTATGGCAGGCGGTTAGCGACATGCTCTTCGGATAAGACAATCAAGATCTTCGAAGTTGAGGGCGAAACCCACAGGCTGGTCGAGACACTGAAGGGGTACGTCACCACAGAACTTCGGCGGGGCATGTTGTTGACAGCTTGACAGACACGAGGGCGCTGTATGGTGTGTAGCATGGGCGCACCCCAAGTATGGCAACATTCTCGCCTCTTCGTCGTACGATGGCAAGGTCCTCATCTGGCGCGAACAAGGCGGCGCCTGGCAAAAGATCTACGATGTCGCGCTCCACACCGCGTCTGTCAACCACGTCGCCTGGGCGCCCCACGAGGCCGGCTGCCTCCTCGCCTGCGCTTCCTCTGACGGCAACGTGTCGGTTCTCGAGTTCAAGGACAACAACTGGACACACCAGATCTTCCAAGCTTGCGGCTCCGGCGTGAACAGCGTTTCGTGGGCACCAGCTGTTGCACCCGGCCAGATTGTCAGTGCTAGCGGAAACCAGGCCGGCACCGCACGACGATTCGTCACCGGCGGCAGCGACTGCCAGGTCAAGCTTTGGGAGTTCAGTGCAGAGACAGGAAGCTGGCAAAACACACAAATCCTGCCTGGCCACACAGACTGGGTCCGCGACGTAGCATGGTCACCAACCGTCCTTTCCAAGTCGTACATTGCCTCTGCATCCCAAGACAAGACAGTTCGTATCTGGACATCCTCAGATCTGCGTATGTACAGGAGCTGCTATAGTAAACGCACCGAACTAACCATTTGTAGGCGACTGGAAATCTACCGTCCTTAACGTCGACGCTGCCGCATGGCGTGTGAGCTGGAGCCTCAGCGGCAATGTGCTCGCAGTCAGCACTGGCGACAACCGGGTTAGCTTGTGGAAGGAGAGGTTGAGCGGTGGATGGGACTGTGTCAAGACAATTGAGGAGTAAAAGAGATTCGAAGGCGGGAAGTTTCGAACATGCATCAAAAGCGCAGCACTATATGAGTGCTAGGTTGGCACGGCACGATTGCTAGCAGATATCAAGCAAGTCAGCAAGGCTCGAATGACAGGACACGACCACTTCAAGTCCCTCTATGTCTACTTGTTCACTGACAAGTCATTGAGACTCGACTGGACATGAACCTCAAACTTTGACTACTGCTTCGGTTCATCCAGAAGCAACAGAAACTGTTCCTTCAATTCCAATGCGCCAATTATCCAAACCCATACGCGACAAATCATACTGAATTCTTGATCGACGACTGTCAATTCAGAGAGACTCTTGACGGTTGCCTTTGAGGTATCTAGGTACTCACGATAACACGTGCTGAGTTGTGCAGATACACCGCCTCGCGCTTCCCAATGCAGAAGTGGGTCTTGTGCCATGTGAATCCTTCAGGATTACGGAACGAAAGTCGATTCGTTTGTAGCATCCACACACGACCATCTTGTATTCAGTGGTTGCGCTGAGCATTCAATTGACGCAGCAACCGACAACCCGACAGACAGCGCTAGTGAACAGCGACGCCCCGGACACCAAGCTGTCAGCGGCAAACCATAGACTCGTCCGTCTCCAGATCTAGCCCACCTGAACGTGGGGAGTTGATCAATGAGAACGGAAGTTGAGCCTTAGGTAGTGGGCTAGGAAATGACGACAGCGACAAGCGAGAGGCACTAACAGTTAACAGGTCAAGGGCGTGCCCCCCAACAACCTTCGAACACTGGATTTCTGCTGCACATGCACCTTTCCTTAGTGGCGGATCCCGGTACAGGTACGGGATACAGTCGAATAAATAACGTCAATTGCTTGAGTGTTGCAGGTTTCTCCACGCTCTTTCCCTCCCCCACATCAAATACCTAGACGATGTCTATCATCGACACTACCAAGGACCTGTCAGCACTCTTCTCGCAGCAGGTCAAAGTCACACCTGATGCCATTGCGTTAGAAGACGAGAAGAACACATATACATACCAACAACTCCACGACAAGGTCGCCGAGCTTGCTCTACAGCTCCGCGGTCATGGCGTGGGCCGTGACAGTTTAGTCGGTGTGCTACTACCGCGCTCCGCTGACTATGTTATCGCATGTCTGGCTGCGCTACGAGCGGGTGGAGCCTTCTTGGTGCTCGAATTAGCATATCCGCCAGATCTGCTTGCAGATGTGCTGGAGGATGCACGTCCCACGGCGGTGGTCACCATCAGCGCTGAAGTCGGAAAGATCTCATCAGGAACAACGCTGGTGGTGCTGGATGAGCAAGATTCGAAGTCAAACGGCCACGTGGACGAGTCAGAATTGCCGCCCCTGCCAGAAGAGACCGACTTGGACCGATTATGTTTCGTTGCCTATTCCAGCGGCACGACTGGCAAGCCCAAGGGCATTGCCAACCCACACAAAGCGGCCGTACTCTCATACAACCTCAGATTTGGCTTTTCAGATATCCAGCCTGGAGATCGAGTAGCCTGCAACGTGTTCTTTGTATGGGAGATCATAAGACCACTGTTGCGGGGAGCAACAGTTATTGCTGTACCTGACGAGGCCAGCTATGACCCCCGAATGCTCGTTGATCTTCTCAGCACAAAGAAGGTCACTGAGACACTCTTCACGCCTACTTTGTTCGCCGCTGTACTGGCCCGTCACCAAGCGCTGGAGACACGCCTTCCTAATTTGAAGACTGTATGGCTCAACGGTGAGGTAGTGACCACCGACCTTGCAAGGCGAGGAATCAAGGCTCTGCCAAACACCCGTCTCCTCAATGTCTACAGCGCCTGCGAAACACACGAAATTGCTTGTGGCGACATCAAGGAGATGCTTGGGCAGATCGAAAAGGACGCTCCGTACTGTCCAGTCGGCCCGCCTATCATCGACAAGAAGTATGTCTACATTCTCAACGAGAGTGGCCAGAAGGTGGATGAAGGAGAGAACGGCGAGCTTTTCATCGGCGGTCACCTGCTTGCGCGTGGATACCTCAACCTTCCAGAGGTCACTGCTAAGGCCTTCACACCGAACCCATTCAGCTCACAGAAGGGTGCCCGGATGTACAGGACCGGAGACAAGGCCAGAATACTACCAAGCGGGTTACTCGAGATTACTGGTCGTGTTGGCGCGATGATCAAAATCCGTGGATACTCGGTCGTTCCTGGCAAGGTCGAGAGCGAAATTCGCAACCACCTAGCTGTCAGTCACTGCGCTGTCATTGCTTACGGTGATGGTATTGATAGGCAACTCGTTGCGTACATCGTCCGCGACAAGGAGTCATCAGAAGAGCGCCCTGTAGTCGAGATTGATAAGGCAGGACGCAGCTCAACTGCGCGACGCATGCTGCAGGCGTACCTTGCCCACTATATGCTACCTGCTCTCTGGGTCGAATTGGAGACATTGCCTACCAACGATGTTTCTGGTAAGGTGAATGTCAAGGCTCTCCCTCCACCAAGGTCAAGTTCGCCAACCGGAAGCGCTCGCAAGTACGAGCAAAGTCCTATCTCTATCGAGCAGATCACAACAATCTGGGCGTCAATCCTCAACATCGATGCTAACTCCATCACGCCGGAGTACAACTTTTTCGATCTCGGAGGCCACTCACTTCTGCTTGCTGATCTTGCGGCACGTCTGTCGAACACTTTCGGTTTCCGAGTTCCAGTTGCGCGTCTTGCGACACCAGCAACCCTCAACGGCCACCTCGATACCGTCCGGAAGATCCGAGATGGCAACACCGCCGAGATTCAGGAGAACCTACCTGCCGTTCTCAAGGCCGATTCTGTTTTGGACAAAGATATTCAGCCTAAGGAGGCCAAGTTTGTCGCACTCAAGGATGCTAAGACAGTACTGCTGACTGGTGTTACTGGTTTCCTTGGTGCTTTCCTCCTTAAAGATCTGCTTGAGCACACATCTGCTACCATTATCTGTATGGTTCGATTTGCCGATGCTTCGCAGGATGACGTTCCAGCTGCCATAGCAAGGATCCGAAGCAATCTCCTTGACTTTGGCTTGTGGAGTGATTCCATCATGGAACGTGTCGAAATCCTGCCAGGTAACTTGTCCAGAAAGCGATTCGGTCTACCACCAGGCACCTTCCAGAAGCTCGCTGATCGACTCGATGTCATCATTCACGCTGCTGCCACTGTTAACTTAGTGTACCCATACGCTGCGTTGCAGAAGCCCAACGTTGGTGGTACAAGGGAAATTCTTCGCCTCGCCAGCGCCGGTGGTGTCACAGTCCAATATGTCTCCACAAACGGTGTCCTTCCTCCGGCGAAGGGCCGCGGGGGATGGTCCGAGGACAGCATGCTTGGTGTAGAAGACGTTCCTACCAAGCTTGCAGACGGTTATGGTCAGACTAAGTGGGTCGCTGAGCAGCTTGCTCTGGAGGCACAGAAGCGCGGCCTGCCATTGAAGATCCACCGTCTCGGTACCATCAGTGGACACAGCGAGACCGGTGCTGCTAACGCCTGGGATTTGTTGACAGCGTTGATCGTTGAGTCAATCAGAATCGGCCACTACCCAGACGTCAAGGGCTGGCGCGCTGAGATGACACCTGTCGACTTCGTCAGCAAAGCCATCCTTCACCTCAGTGATCAAATCGAGACCGATCAGACCATCTTCCACATCGGTGACCCAGATCCAGTCGACATCAGCCAGGTCTTCGAGGATGTCGAGAAGCTCGGCTATCCCACCAAGTCCCTAGCTTTCGATAAATGGGTCGCTCTATGGGACGAGAAGCGTGGATCCGCCAAGGGTGGTGTTGGTGCTTTCACCGTCGACATTCTCCGCAGCGGTATGCCAAGCATAGAGTTCCTTCGGGATGTTGTCGTCCTCGACAACGCAAAGACACGACCACTTCGTTCGGCAGTCGAGCGTCCGAAGGTCGACGAGGCACTTCTCGAGACCTACACACGACACTGGTACGCACGTGGTTGGCTAGCGCAACCGCCTCAGAGCCAGAATGCTGTAGGTGGAGCCGCCCGAACACTCCCACGCCGAGGACCCCTCTACGGCAAGGTTGCCATCGTCATGGGCGCATCTTCAGGCATCGGTGCCGCCACCGCCGCAGCACTCACAAGAGAAGGCTGCCACGTCGCTCTTGCCGCGCGCCGCATCGATGCTCTCGAGAGCCTCAAGAAGCGCCTCACCATCCGCGAGGGCAAGATAATTACCCAAAAGACCGACGTCACCGACAAGGCTCAAGTCGAAGCCCTTGTCGCCGCCGCAGAGAAGCAGCTCGGCCCCGTCGATATCTTCGTCAATGTCTCGGGTGTCATGTACTTCACCATGATGGCGAACGCACTCACAGACCAGTGGAATCAGACCGTCGATGTCAACTGCAAGGGTATTTGCAACACCATCGCCGCCGTCGTACCCTCGATGCTCAAGCGCGGCAAGGGCCACTTCGTCGCCATCTCCTCGGACGCTGGCCGCAAAGTATTCCCCGGCCTAGGTGTATACTCAGCATCCAAGTTCTTCGTCGAGGCAACATTGCAGGCTCTGCGTGTTGAGACTGCTGGCACTGGCTTGAGGGTTACGAGCGTGCAGCCGGGTAATGTTGCGACGGATTTGCTGGGCATGAGTACGGATAAGGAGGCGCTGAAGAAGTATGGTGAGCCGAGCGGTGCGAAGGTTCTAGATCCGGAGGATGTGGCGGGCAGTATTGTGTATGCGCTGAAGCAGCCGGAGCATGTTGCTGTTAATGAGGTTATGATCGAGCCGAGGGATGAGCCAATCTAGACGAGGATGACAGGATATAGAGTAGTCAAAGCATGTACCACAATAGTCATGTCACTAGGATATCATTAAGCATTATTGGTGCGATACCCTCTCTCAGCCACGCTTCTGCTGTGGTAGCTCATCATTCGCCGCTTTTCCAATCCTCTGTATGCTGTCTGCAAACCCTCTAAAGCCGTCGGCAGCAGTGTGTACTCTGTTCTGAGCCAGTTCTGCAGTCTCTCGCGCCCGCTGCGCTTCCCTCTCAATATCACGTTCTGCTTCGGCAATCCTCGTACCTCGCGCCTCGACCTCTTGCCCCAAATCTCGCCCAAGCTGTGCAACATTTGCAGCTTCAACGCCACGCTCGAACTCCCTACGTCCTTGGTCAAGATCACCACGCGCATGTTCAATTTCTCGTTCCGCTGCTTGCAGCCCTCTCTTCTCCATGTCTTGCTCCCAGTCTCTCCCAGTCTGCAATGCGTTCGCAGTGGTTGCTGTGACGCTCCTCTCAAACTCATTGCGGCGCTGAATCAAGTCTCCACAAGCGTGCTCAATCTCACGCTCAGCAGCTCTCATACCCTTCTCCCAATCCCTTCCACTCTGTATTGCATCCTGACCGACCTGGACTACCTTTCCCCTCGTAGCATCCAGCTCACTCTCAAGCCTCCTCAAGCGCTCTTCTTCCTTGTGCGCCAGGTTTTCTAGGAAGTCTGTGACTTTGTGTCCGTACTTCAACTCCAGCTCTTGCAGCTTGCTCTGTCCCTGACCATACGCGCCATGCATCATACTCTGCAGCTTTGGAATCTGAGGGTTGTTTGGTTGACCCCTGTTGCGCAGATCGCTGAGGCTGATGTACGCCTCCGGCGTGTTATTCTGGATATCGGCTTTCACTTCTTCGTACATGGCTTCGATGACCTGGACAACTTCTTGCACATCCAACCGGCAGTCTGGCCGCGAGAAATCGCGCTCGCGCTGCTCAATATACTCGCGGACCTTCTTCCACTCATTCTCATACCAGCGAATCCGATTCGGCAAGCCAGATCCCTTGAGGTATGTCAGGATCCCCGCAATCACAGTGTTGATGGCTCCAAACGCAGTGATAGAGACGTGGTTTGTGTTTGCGGCGCCCATGGCTGTTAGGGCGGCGGCGACGATTACTTGCAGGCCCAGACAGCTGTTGATCAGGATGGAGGCGAATTTAAAACCGCGTTTTGCTTCGGCTTCGCGGTGGCAGACACGGTTGTATATGCCGACGTTGGGTGCGGCGCGGCCATCGAAGTGTAGGCTGTTGTGGGATGCGCCGGAGAAGCCTTTGGTGCTGTGGATGCCGACCATGTGGCGGAAGTTGGCGAGTTGGTTGTTTTGATCGTTTTCTATTGCCTACAGCTAAAGTCAGAATCGTGAAATGCTGTAAGATGGAAGGGTAGAATACCATCGGATGTTTTACTGCCTGTGTGGGTGCACCGAATGCCATTGGCAGCGTGCTCCCCGAGAGGCCGTCTTCGACGTTATGCACACGATCGCGACCTTGTGGTCTCAGCGCTGAAGGGAGGTAGTTCATGATAGACCAAAGGAATTTGCGTCAATACGAAGAGGACAAGCAAGCCTCAAATCTCAGTCAACATGCAGGAGATCACCGCGATAGTATATATGTGACGAAAATGAACTTCAGCTCCCTACGCGCTCACCCGTATCCAAAATGACCGTCCATTTGAGGAATCCCATGTCCATCTCACTTTGGATGCGGCACCATCTGCAAGCCAGTCGCACGTCCCGAACGCCAGAACATCGTTAAGCGACTCTGTAGTCGAGCACACATCCTAGAAAATATCCAACGGGAGTGCAAGGAGGTCTATGAAGATCTTGGGTGTGTGGGTCCAAGCTGAGAAGGGTGTGAAGTTCTTCCAAATTGAGATGGGGAGCGGCCATGCAGGGCTCGAAAGGGGTCGGAGAGCGGCTCGTGCCCGGCCCGTCGAGGCTCAACTCGAGGAAGAGGTCGTGGCCAGAACACTACACTTCCTCATCTCTACCAGAAATTCCGCTTCTTTAGACTCGTTCGACTAATTTTTCGGTCAGCTCTTGTACACACCAACGCAACTGTTTCCCTCGGTCTTGCAAGTTGCCGCACGCGAACACGACCTTATGCATGTGTAGCCAGCCTTGTCGAGGCGCCTGGCCGCGGTTCAGCTGGCTCGGCGCGACGCCACGCTCGGAAGGGCCGCGATAGGGTCCTTAAGAGAGGGCTGACGTTCAGCATGGTGCGCTGCGTGATCTGCTGTAGATGAGAAAGAGAAGGGATTCGGGAATTGCCTGTACTTGGCGGGGTAGAGAGGGGGTTTATGGTATGATGAGCTTGCATTCGGCACAGCCTTACTGCATGGTCACTGCTCGTTGCCTGGAGTCTTTGGGGCATCGAGATCCATGTCGACATTCGCACCCTGATGTGCGCTTCGTGCTAGCAGTGGCATCCCTTCAAAGACAGGCACAGCAAACATTCGATTGAAGCAAGCGCACATAATGGTAAGATCGACAGCTTGATAACAACCTAAGAAAATTGATATCGAAACAATGAACCTGTACCGGATATTAGTGGCTCGCCTCCGACTTCATCATGTCTACTCCAAGCAACGAGGCTTGGGTTAAAGCAAAGATACCAATCGCTCCAGCACACACAGCCAATCATATCTTTGCATCTCTGGTTCAGAAACCAGCAGCCGAACCGGCCATGATAGAGAACAACACCACGACAATAAGAATCGCTACTACCGTCACTTTGCAAGTGGCCGTCTTGATAAGAATGGCGTGGAGAGGGCGATCGCAGGCTGCCTCTTTGGATGGCCACGTGAACTGTTCGTTCATGGAAGTGAAGCCGGACCCACGAAGCAGGAGAGGGTTCCTGAACGCTTCGGTGAGGTCTGGGCGGGGTGTTTTGGCCTCAATAATGATTTCACGGGGATAGTCTTGAGCTTCTAGATTTCCGATAGAGAGCTGTTTCGGTCAGGTCATGCAGTGTTTACGCAAACCGTGGGCAACCTACTGAGGAGATTGTAGCATCCTCCGGCTCAATACGCGTGTAAAACCAGGGTCGAACAGGCTCGGCCGCTTCGTACTCCTTTCTAGTGAGGTTCATGATAGTTGTGCATGTCTGCCTCTGTCTAATAGACAGCAAGTGCAGTTGTGTCTGCCCCTTGTGGAAATAGCAAGGAGCCACTTAGTCCCTTGTGCTAAGGTCTCAGCGCCGTAAGTACGACGAACGAGGCAGCACCGGTACAGGGAGTATCCGTTGTTGTTGTTGACATGCTAACAAATGTTGAAGACTGGAAAGATGTATGATAAGGCGAAGGCTGGAGTGATTCAATGACCCGTTCGAATCATGGTGTGGTCAACATCTATCTTCACCTATATGCAACATCCGTCAGGGTGCGAATCTCGTTGAATCAGACTCCCGGAGCGTCCATAGTGAAGTGCGAAAGGATGTGGCAGAGAGAAACTGTATAGGCGACAGGCTTTAGCATAAGAGACTATCGTGGAGCACGACAATGGACTCGCGACATGCCTACACTCCTACCAGAACGCCTTTTGTCTTCAGTACAAAGGTGCCAAAGATCGTGAAGCCTTTTGCTTCTAACAATGGTCGCACATGATCGAAAGCTACAGCAGCTACAAAACACAGTCTCGAGCAGTTCACGTCTCTTACTCTGAAGGGCACAGTCTACATACCGCAAGACACTACCTCGATGAGCTTCGTTGTGAATCACTCTCCGAATTTGAGGCGGTTCATGTATATGATGTGCCAGAGTGAGCGCATCAATTGTCCTCGTAAGGATTTGGAGGGTTTTGTTCAGGCGATTAGAATTTTGGCTGCGAGGTGTGAGAAGCTGGAGAGTCTGAGTTTGGTCATTGACGGCACGACAAAAACACTACATAAGGAAGAGACAGTGAACGAGGGGAATGGGGGTTGGGAAGGTATCGAGGCGTGATTTTGGGAAAGTGTCAATGAGAGGATGAACAGGTGGTGAGTTACTTGTTGACGAAGTGTGTGCTTGAGTTCGAGAGATAGATTTTGCCTCGGAAAGATGTATGTACAAGACCTCTTGATCGGGAAAGACTTCTAGGCCACCCTGTTAGTGACCTCGACGAAGTTTTGCCACTGTCTGTACGCCTCGCCGCTCGAGATAGCCCATTTCGCTCTTCGAACACCCTCTTTCCAGCGCCCGCCGCCAGGGCCGACTTCTTTGATGACATTGCCGTCGTCACCTTCGCCCATGTCGCTCGTATCTGCATCGCAGATACCGCTGATGACGAGCAGGGCAGCGGTGTTGATGTAGACGAAGTGCAAGATTGGGTCGTCGGGCGAGACTTCACCCGTCAAGATCTTCATCAGAATCTCAGCGTTCATCTCTGGCGATTGACCTGGCGATACTTCGCTCAATGGGTGTGTCGGTAGCCCGAAGTCCTCAGGGGAGAGCTTGAAGAAGTTGATATCGACTTCGCCTGAAGAGTTCTCTTCCAGGCGCCAGCAGTGTGTTGGTCCAGCGCAGGAGAGCTCATCTAGCTCCTCGTCACCGCACATGACTAGGGCTTTTCTTGCGCCAGATTGGCGCAGTGCTTCAGCAAAGTCAGGGGCGATTTCCCGGCGGGCTACACCAAGGACTCGTGCCTCGATCTGGTCGTGCAGGGGGTTTGCAAGGGGTCCTAGGAGGTTGAAGATTGTGCGCCAGCCGAGTTGCTTGCGGATCGAGGCAGCATGTCTCGCTCCGGGGTGGAAAATCGGCGCATATAGGAAGGCGTAGTTGGTTTCCGAGTAGACTTGGTTGATGGTTCTAGGTGCGACCGCTGTGATTATTGGGGCCTTTGGTGGGGCGCAAGCCAGAAGATCTGCCGATCCAGAGCGCGATGTTGAAGCTTTGTTGCCGTGCTTTGCGACCATGAGCAGGGCACTAGCGAGGATAGAAGATGTTGTTGAGATGTTGAAGGTGTTGTGCGAGTCACCTCCAGTGCCAACTATGTCGACCTGAGTAGATGATCAGTCAATGTCAAGAAGTGCTCGATGAATTTGAGTAACAAGACGAGGTTTTGAAATTCGACTGAGGTGGGAACTTGATGTTACATACCAGACCTCCATGGTAGTTGCCCTCCCTCCTTCCACGTTTCTGAAGTACTTGATTGAGCGACTCAAAATCGATCTTGGTCGAGAAGTCTCTCATAGCCTTTGAGCATTTGGCAAGTACATCAGCCTGTCTGTCTTCATCCGTGAAATGGAGACATGTCAAAAGAGCACCAATTTGGACCTCTGATAGGCTGTTTGTGAAAATCAAGGAGAGAGCAGCAGCGATCTCGTCTGCGGTAGGTTTTGTCGATGTTGATTCGTGCCAGAGTCGTTTGAGAAGTGGTGTGATCGAGACCTTGGGATCCTCATCGTTTGCTGTTGATACTGTGGACGCCATCTTTGTTATTGTATCGTCTCGATCCTTCCTGATGCTTTATCTAAGCAAATACTGCGAGGGTCCGCGGGGTAGATGGAGGGGTAGTTTTGCAGTGCAGTAGCGGCTGGTCGCGAAAGTCAATTGACCTTAGATAAGGTTCAATTGCTGTCCAAAAGCAGCTGAGCGCCCTTTCAAGTCCTTGGAGAGCTTCGCCGTGTTGACTCACTAATCCGGAGATTCCAATGAGTTCCGCAATGGACGCTCAATGTAGGGCGTAGCTAACCCAAGTCAAGCTAGCGCGCCGGGCGCGAGGCGAAATGATTCACCGTGCGCTAGTGCGCGTCTCAAATTTCGATACTACGCGATTGTCGCAAACGGCGTGTTCAAGGTCAAGACGTATCAGAGTATCCCCTCTGATAGACCTTGCAGCGATACGCCCCGCGACGCCGAATATCTCAAATGGGGAAGAAGAGGACCCATGCTGAGACTAAGGATGGCTTCACGAAGCCCCCTCCGGGCCAGGACCGGGTGAAGAACGACAGGAAGGATGCGCGCAAGGGTGGAGATGCCGGGAAGAAGCGCTCTGCGTTGGTAGGGATATGTTCGCGATATCTGAGAGATGACAGGCTAACATACGCGCCAGATATTCAAGGTGCAGCCAGAATGGCACACTGTCGAGCTGCCGCAGCTTCCTATTGCCGAGAACCCTACGATACCCCCGAAATACATCCTGGATGACCTTCACGCCTATGCCGACGAGCTTCTGGAAGCCGAGACGACCGAATATGCCGCCTCTCACATGTCTAAGGATGCATCGCACAAGTTCATGTCCACTATCATGGCATCCGGTACCATGGAGGACAAGGTCTCAGCCCTGACACTGTTAGTTCAGGAGTCGCCGCTGCACACCACCAAGGCTTTCGACCAGCTGCTTGGATTGTCGCGCAAGAAGAGTAGGAGTGCTGCCATGATGGCTTTGGCTGCGCTCAAGGATTTGCTGGGACAGGGTGTTCTGCTGCCGCCGGACAGGAAATTGAAGGCTTTCGCCCGACAGCCGGGCCTTCTGAGCGCGCTACAGGGAAAGAACATGCACTGGAAGTACGGCGAGAAGTTGCCCGGCGAACTGCAGAAGATCCACTTGATTGCATGGTCGTACGAGGACTGGCTGAAGAAGCAGTACTTTGAGATGCTGAAGATCATTGAAGGCTGGACCAATGACGAAGTCGAGTACTCGCGAAACCGCGCTGTGACCTTTGTCTGGGAGCTATTGAAGGAGAAGCCAGAACAGGAAGAGAACTTACTCAGGCTGCTCATCAACAAGCTCGGAGACAAGGAGAAGAAGGTCTCGTCACGAGCGTCGTACCTGCTTCTCCAGCTGCAGATCACCCACCCTTTGATGAAGAGCGTCATCATCAACTCCATCGAATCAGACCTCATCTTTCGCCCGAACCAGAGCGCACACGCCAAATACTACGCTGTCATCACCCTCAACCAGACCGTGCTCAGTGTGAAAGAGCAGGAAGTTGCCAACAAACTGCTGGAGATCTACTTCAGCATCTTCCTTGGCCTGCTCAAGAAACAGAAAGATCACGAGAAGGAAGAGAGGAAGATTGCAGTGTTGAACAAGAAGGGTGAAGTGCAAGGCGGTGGTGCCTTACCCGGAAAGATGGCGAAGAAGAAGGCCGAGAAGGAGGCCACGATGGCATTCAAGGTCGCGGACGAGTCGAGAGAGAAGTTGATCTCCGCCATCCTCACCGGTGTCAACCGTGCTTTCCCCTTCGCCAAGACCGACGATGCCAACTTCGAGGAGCAGCTCAACACCATCTACCAGGTCACCCACTCTTCAAACTTCAACACTGGCATCCAGGCCATGACTCTTATCCAACAAATCTCTATCGCTAAGAACATCTCCACCGACCGATTCTACCGGACACTGTATGAATCTCTTCTCGACCCTCGCCTTATTACGACTTCCAAGCACATCATGTACCTCAACCTTCTTTACCGGTCACTCAAAGCGGATACCAGCATCAAGCGCGTCAAGGCATTCGTCAAGCGCCTACTTCAGATCATTCACATGCACGAGCCTCCTTTCATTTGCGGTGTCCTTTACCTTATCAACGAACTTATCACGACCTTCCCCAGCATCAAGGCTATGTTGTCGACACCAGAAGACAATGTCGATGATGGTGAGGACGAGCACTTCGAGGACGTACCTGAGGAAGGCGAAGAGAAGGTGGATGAGAAGAAGCCCGTTAAGCCTGCTTACGACGCTCGGAAACGAGATCCTGAGCATGCTCAAGCAGATCTGTCATGTCTGTGGGAACTGCTGCCACTCCAAGCACATTACCACCCCTCAGTACATGTCCTGGCATCAAAGATCGTTCACCAGGAACTCATCAAGGAGAAGCCTGATCCAACGATCTACACTCTCATGAACTTCCTCGACAAGTTCTCCTTCCGCAATGCAAAGACCAAGGCACAAGGCGTACACGGCTCCTCCATCATGCAGCCTATGTCCGGCACCTCCAAGGCGGCCGACTACCTCATCACAGCCCGCGACGGCGACCGCACTCACGACCCTCTCAACTCGGAGTCCTTCTGGCGCAAGAAGGTCGACGACGTGCGCGACGACGAAGTCTTCTTTCACACCTACTTCGAAAAGGCCGGCAAAGCCAAGCAGGCCGACAAGAAGGCTAAGAAGAAGAGCAAGAAGGACGCGGACGACAGCGACGACGAGAGCGGTGAAGACGAGATCTGGAAAGCGCTCGTCAAGTCGCGACCAGAGGTCGAAGGCGATGGCGGCGACGACGACTTCGACGATATCGACATGGACGACATGATGAGCGACTCCGACGCCGAAGGCGGCGTCACCATGGACGATGGCGTCGAACTCAACCTCGGCAGCGATGACGATGGGGAAGAGGCTCCTGCTCCTGCCGATGACGACGAGGATGACTTCGAGAACTTCGACCTCGACGACGAAGACGGTTTCATGGACGACGAAGACGACATCCCCGTTGACCTCGACATGGGTGACGAAGAAGGTGACGACGGAAAAGACGGCCGGAAGAAGAAGAAGAGGAAGCTCAAGCAGCTCCCCACCTTTGCTTCCGCAGAAGACTACGCAAAACTTATTGAGGATGGTAGTGAGTGAGCCGAGCATATGGAGTAGATGTAATTACTGGTTATGTATAGGATACCTGTGGAGCCAGCCGGAAAGGGTGTTAGGCTATGATGACAGGCGCATCGGTACGTTCATGGAGTTTATTGCATGCTTCTGGGCGACTTCATGTAGATATCCTTTGCGATTTGTAATGGCAACCCTTGAAGATACACCTCTCACATTGCTCTGTATAGATTAAAGTCGCCGAGAATTCGGGCGCCCGTGACTATCAGAAGCGCATGTCCTCCATTCAATACTCACACATCCTTTCATGATATTACCATGTAGGCAGAAGAGCATCAAGGGTCAAGATCGAACACGGGCTACTGTCCTGTGCACCGATATATACATATGCGTTGTCTCAGATCCGGAAACCAAGAACAGACATTATCGAAAATCACAACCCACTCATAAGAAAATCCGTCCATATCTTATCAATCCCAGTGAAAATGTCAACGCAGAATGGATCTCCCTCTACAATTACTCACTCGTGCATGATTCTCCTCGCCTGACGATCAGACCGATCAGCATTCCTTACCATCAACATTACGATCAGTATCCATACTACACCACTACATCGCAAGCTGCGAGCTCTAGCGTAGCCGTAGCTACACTCCATACTACAGCACTAACACGTCACTTGAGGGGCAGTATCGATACTGTATGGAGGTAAGCGCGCAAGAAGAGCAAGAGAGATCAAGTGGACTCGAAGGCATGAGTGAAACGGGAGGGGCAACGGAAGGGGAAACGGAAGGAGTGACGATAGAAGACGGGGAACGGCAAAAGCAGCACGGAAACGGCAACTCCAACTGTTCCTCGCATACCAAGCCGCTCGATTCTTCCAGCACTATGCCTAGCATTGTAGTCTCCAAGTGCCAAGTAACAGATCTATGGAGCGCCTTGTAGATTTGCACAGGGATGAGATTCAGATTGTTTTATGGGTAGACTTCGTATGAGTACCTATGGTACGCTTAAGAGGTCCACGTTAAACGCGCTGAGCGCGTCTATTGGGAACGTAGCTTGAGGAGCTGGGATTCGATGATTCATCACTTGAGGGATGTTAACGGTAGTTCGATGTTGGGACGAGTTGTAGTTGTACAGTTGCGGTTATAGAGAAGCTAGCTGTCTTGGTTCAACTGTAGCATTAGGCGATGGGAGTATAATGATTGTCAAAACGTACGAACCCCTCTGAACTTGGAACAGTGATGCAATCAGTACATCTGCACCATGATATAGTCGTGCGGACAAGCTTGTGAGTGGCTATTACTAACGTTGGTGCCTTGCATGACGTCTAGCAAGCTGTCACAACTGTCAACTGGACAACCAACAGCCACTCGGAAGCCTTCGCTTCTTCATAATATAGAGGACTTCAGTAGCGAGCCAGATTCAGGGGGGTCCATACATTTTGGCAAGCACCGATAGTTGAAACGCCGGTCTGTCTCAACCAAACCGTACGGAGTGTGGACATTTGAAAGGTTGGTTCTACTACGATACAGGCTTGGTAAGAGGGCACTCCACCGGATCGAAATTGCTCCAATATTAGGAGGATTCGATGGTGAGGACACTCTTTACTTGGATAGTCGAAGATACGTTCGATCTGTGGCCAGTGAGTTGACTGAATGTGTATCTGAAAAGAAGAGTACAATTTGGAATGGTCTAGAGGCCCTTGCAAATGCTCTGCATGTTCTCGGGGTAGCAAAGATGGTGTGTGAGTCATTTGTGGATGGAAGAGCGCAAGTGATCGTCTTTCCAGAGTGAGTTTGTCTTGTGACACTGAGACTAGGCATTGCGAGTCGCGTGGAGTGCTTGCCGACATCTTCCTTGTTCTTGCCCTGTATGCTATGTTGGCTTCCTGAGTAGGTGCTTTGGAGGGAAGGACTCGAGTTGGACGATGACGACGAGAAATAACTTCTACAGTATCTTCAAATGAACGTTTATGGTTTGATTGACTTGACAGTGTACTCTTCAATCCTCAAGGTGAAAGAAAGAAGAATAGTGACTGCTTTGAGGCTGACTTACGTCTCAGCACTTCTACACTGAAATCTCGCCATACACATGTCCTTGGACATATACTTCGTCAATGTTGTACAACTTCATCAAGGTCACATCGATAATCTCAATGCCATCTCATTTCACCCACCAAACAAGGACAGCGTCCAGAAAAAGAAGCAGGATGCTTGCCTACCTTTCAACGGCGCGCTGTCAGATTCTCGGGGCATGTCAGACTCCCTGAACACCTGCCCTGCCTCCTGTCAAACTGACTTGGAGACAGCTCAGTGTGCATCTCGGGGTCTCCAGCCTCAACAAACCTTATGTCTATCACCCAGCATACCGACAGGCCGACCTCAAGGACGGTCAGGGATGAGTATCGCAACGATGTCGAGCGGCTGTGGAGGTTATTCCCCGTACCGTTTAGACAAATGAGAAGGATGGGAGAAGTATATGTGGCGGTAATGGTGACTATTGAGCCTTTGATATCTAGGCGGTTCAACCCTAGTGCTGCATAGGCGCGCATGAAGTGAGCCGCAAACGGCTCGGGGGGGGGGGGGGCTGGAGAGACTGAATGGGAGTACAAAGGGTGAAGGGTTCACCTTGCTTGTTGTTTTGATGAGGCTTGACGCCGACGGCATCTCGACTCGGGGTCAACACATGTTCCTGTTTGACAGTATGGGAACCCCTGTTTGTCGGTTGTGTTGACCGTTCAGGGCCAACTGAAGGTTTGAGTCGTGTAGGCTACTCGCAGAGGCTGACTGTCATCGGTAGAGTCGTACCAAACTTGCTTGTGAACTTACCCTGCGGGGCGTATGGGAAGCTGTTCCAGACTGGGTGTGGCTTCTTGGTCAGTATGATGTGCGAAGATCGTCGCTGAAGCCGTCATGCCATCGGTGAGGCTCATCTTCAAAATCAACTTGCAGATGCGATGAGCAGATCATCTTTGCAAAAGTCTACTTGAACACTGAGCACCCAGAGTATTTCCCAGATCGGGCACTTTGCATATAGGCTTTCGCCTTGTGCTCATTTCGGCACTTCAACAAGTGCATACTGACTGCTTTAGCGAGCGTTCACATAGGCGCGCTCCGATGCGCCTTGCAGAGCACTGTAACGCAAGATGGAGCAGCTTCCAGTGACATCGGACCATTGTACAAGGGCGCAAACGTTGAAAAACGGGTCGCGTTAGGAAGGATCGGATGCGCGAAGGATTCCCCGCCTTCTCGGTGTGCAGTGCCGTTCAATCGCAGGGTCCGGATAGCGACTTCAAGAATACCGCTTTGGGATAGGGACGTCAGCCAGCTCCACAATGTCGTTGGGAAAACGCATGACTAGCGCAAAGTCTGTGGGAAGGCCCAGAAAGGAGACGTTGAATATCACGGAATAATTCCCCGCATTGAACGAGCGTTGCTTTGAGAGAACAACGCAGCGTAGACAAGCATCGATATCCTATCGGAATAAGCACCGAGAGGCCTTTGTAAAGGATTGAGACCCTGGAAGATCCTCGAACTTGTCACCGGTCATCAGTGATGTATTCCTGGATTGTCTCCACGTGGAGTTTGATGAAAGAGTGGAACGGGGGATCGGGAGGTGCATCTGGCGCCTTATGCTCAAAGAGAGACGTGCAGCGAACGGTGGGCTCCCTGGTTCATGGCTTAGATAGCCGTTACCAAGTTCTAATGGAGATACTCGATAGAGATTAGTACTGTAGAGCTGGTGTTTGAGCTAGCCAATGTATGCCGCGGAGTGACTTGTGGTAAGATCCCTGAATCCTCCCTCGTTGAGGCAACGTGCGGCGGCTGAACGAACCTCTCTTTTGCATTCAGAACTTTTTGTCGTCTGTCTTGCTCAGCAGCTGAAGTTGATTCACGATGCTGAAAGGAGTGACTAAGGGAGTCTGGACTTTGACGAACAGCGCCCGATGAATTTCGGCTGTTTTTCACCTGGCAGTAGTCTCCACCATGATGTAAGAATGCTGTAAAATTTCAACAGCCGATGCTCCGCTACGGAACGAAGTGCAGGAGCTTTTATTGCGACGAGTAAACTCTTCGCGCCTGCCGTGTTTTGAAGTTAATCTCGAGCCCATTTGACATTTGTATTGCAAGGGTCCTGTGAGGGTCTTCTCTGTTGATGCCCTAATTCGTGATGCCGAAAAAGGGTCCGTGAGGTGCGGGGCAGTTCCTGAACGTGCAGCTGACGTGCTGTCTTTAGCGAAGACGGGACGACGTTGCGCGTCAAAATGGCTGATTGGACGGGCAAAGGTTCCCAGCAGAAATCAGTAACTCTTTCGCTTGACACAAACGTTAAACGGTTACAACGGGCAAACGACAAGACTAAGGGCCTCTGTCGGCCGGAGGTGTCGCAGACCCTGTTTGTTCAGGAATCAGGAATCAAGGGAACTGACTCTGCGCGCAAAAGACAGGATTTGGTCGCTGAATGCAGTGGAGCTATCGGCAAAACCACACGCGTACGATCTCACGATCCATGACATCATTTTGACACTGTGAATAGCTGCCATTTTGAGAGTCTGAAAACTCGGCCTGCCATGGACAGATGATTACTCCACATACAACGCTGTCAGATCAGGCAGTAAACGCGAAACTAAAGTTTGGCTAGAGATTGTATATAAACGCTATCCGAGCCGGCCGTTGTTGAGCACTGGGAGGAAACTCAAGGTGTCGGCTGCTGTGGCGGCGGCGCCGGTTGAGCCTGACCAACTGCTATACCGAAATCAGAAAGTAGTTCTTTTGCACGAGCGGGCGTTGCCAAGAGCCTGAGAGGTGCATATGCAGCTTCACGATAGCTGCCGAGCGGAATTTGAGCTACAAGGTCTCAGCGGCTGGGCAATCGACAATTAAGCCTGTGGCTAAGGCATATCGAAGAAATAAACTTCTGGTAGTGCAGACTCGCATTGCATGAGAGAGCGCCATTTGGCTGATGATTTCGTAGTGCAAGGTAAATCCACGACAGCGATGCTGCAGGGTAAGGACGCGTCGCGGAGGTGGAAGCCATACCGGCGGTCGACTTGTCACTTTGTACTTGTTCATATCTAGAGCAAGTTGGTAAGAGTGTCCATGATTAGGTGCTTACCAGACGCTTTGGGGATGGTCGTCTGCTACCGTCAATAGATTGTTACAAACCGCGCTATGCCAACGAAAGGCCGTGAGAAAGGTCGACATCGGTGAACTTGACACGACAAAAGGGGCCGATAGAGTGTGAGGGGTAAGAGGTTTCCGGCAAGGCAGCCGAGCACGACTCGTTGTACGCAGTGAAAGGATTTCACGATGCCTCCATTGACTTGAAGTTGGTGGACCACAATATTGGCAGCCCTGTGACTGGCGATGTTTCAAAGCAGGACGCAGTCAAGGGACTTCAAGGGCTCGCAGAGCCTCATCCATCGAGCCAATGACTGTACGATCAGCCGTTGTTACCAGATCCGCGTAACTGAGCTAGTGGATACTGTTGATTGTGTTTCGGCATCCTGCGCGATCACCAACAGCTGCGGGGTGATCAGATCATTTGGCGTTGGTATTTAGCATGGCGTGAGACGCTTGGTATTGCCCAATTTGTGCCTTTGCTTTTTGGAGCCTCTGAACAGGATTCTGTGCCTCTAAACGGCCCATCCCACTTGGCTCTTCGGCAACTGAGTCGGTCGCTGTGGCGACAGGAGATGACTGCCATGTTGAGCACAGTGTTGTTTGCTTTCCTTGATGGCTGGCTGTCATGCACCGGTGCGTTCGCACGGTGTTGATCAAACAGCACCGTCGCTGGCTTATAGGCGACATGGATAAGAGCGCTATCTGATGGGGGCTAACATTAAGGGCGGCCATTCAGCAGCAACCAGGAACATCTTCCTCAGCTCGTGATAGGGTGGATCCTCTGACATCATCCCTTGATCTCCCGCGGAGCTTTTCTATAAGTGAACATCGGACGCTTCGGGAACGCAGGGCACGACTCTTCTCGGCATGTTCCTGGCTATCATGCCTTGCAAGCACGCGCGATGTGAAGAAAAGGATAGATGAGGCAGCGAAAAGGACCGGTGTGGCTGCAAAGTGGGCAGAGCTACGGGGTCGCAGGGTCCGAAGAGAGTGACGATCGCAAAAGAAATCTCGATCTTCTAAGTCATCGTCTGTCGCAGCGTTTGAAGTCCGCGTGGAAGAGAGTTCTGGACCCTTCAGAACAGGCACCGCAACAAGGTTCATGTGGCTGAACAGGAGGCAGAGTGGAGCCAGGTGGGCCATGACGTCGATGCCGTTAGTCGTTTTCCCGATTGCCCCCCATATTCTCGATGGGCTAGCAGAGTGCACTGGCTAGCCTCTTGCCGTTCGCGGAGAGCAGCAACAAGGCTGCGACAGGGGTCCTTTCGCTGCAAGACCCTGATTTCGCATTACATCAGACATCGCAACGTTCACCTGTGTGCCTCCCTCGGGCAGCCTGCAGACGCCCTCGGTGTCACGACCCGCTTGTGATGCTCAGCGAGGCGTGCGGTGCCCTGGGCCTGGTGCGACTTCAGAATTACCACATTCTGCGCAACCACGATTACTTCGCATCTGCTGGCGGCGATGCGCCAAGACGAGTAACATGCTCTGCGCTGTGTTGCTCTGCTGCGACAACGAGCTTCGTACTATCAACGTGAACGGAGCGCCCTGCGTACGCCCAATCTGGCACAATGCTCGGGGCAGCGGGCGCGTGAACTGGCAGGAAGTCAGCGTCTATTTTCATTGGTGCGGTGCCAGTCGCGGGCAGACTGCGCTGCTGTTCCCTGAATGCTGTTACTCTCCCATCATGGATCTGAAAGTCCACCATTGCTAGTGCGGCCGATGTCCGTCTGGTGATATTGGATGCCAGCAGTCCTGGCCGTTACTCTTGGGCGCCGATATCCACTCTCACGCTGTGCCGCAAGGCGTTGCTGCGAGCGTATCGCTCCTCTCCGCGTGCTGAACTTTGTTGCGCGGTGTTGAATGCCGTGCCGTCTCTATGTTCTTAGACAAAACCAGGCGCTCCCTGGACATGCATGTCGCTCGCGGCGGGTCTCCTCGTCAGGCCCTGGGCGATCGCCGGGACCAGCATCCTTGCACGCTGTTGCTCCACGCTAGTGTTTAGCTCGGCCTGCATGTCGAGATGGGATTTTGCATCGACATTTTCAGTTCCGGCTGATCCTTGTTCTGGGAACCCTGCTCATACTAGGTCCAATCTGCTCTGCGTCCTATATCTGTCTCTGTTGTCCCGCGCCCTCACAGTGAACACCCAGTAAGCTCACTCTCAAAACACCATACAGTCTTCAATCCCCTCACTCTACCAAGGACCGCTCCATCCTGGCGTCATACAATCCAATATTGGTGTTCAGCCTCACTCACCACACGCTTTTTATTTGCTGCGCTCTATCGTGTAGTCATCTTCATCGTCGTTGAGCATCGCTACCATACCAATACGCCCTTTGCGCTCCTCACGTGTGACGCGAGATTACTACTGCAAATCTGGTCGCATTCCTTTCACTGGCGCGTTTTTGTGCCCTGCCTTCTATATAAGAAACATGGACGGCAAGAACTCTTCGGGACGCCGCGTGTCATTGTTAAACGACGGGCCTGAGGCACCAACTTTAGTTCGCCTCCCCTCTATTACTCCTTCTCTCCGCTCGCGCACGTCGAGCTACACCTCTTCACCAATTGGCTCGCCGCCAACGCCGCGATTAATTCGCAGCGATTCCTCGGATTCAGTCACAATGCAAACGCCCTCGCCCATTACCCCGGAGTTTGGACCCTTCGACGGCCTTGCGCAGGGTCTCTCTTCACCCAACTATGCGCAACAGCAGTATTTCGATATGCAGCAGAACGGCATGCAGCAAAATGGCCTCCAGCACAATGGAATGCCGCACAACGACATGAAGCCAGAGAACTTCAACGCCTACGGACCTCAGATCGTTGGGCAGCTTCCTTACCACACACAGCCGCCTCAGGTTTTCTACAGGCCAACCAACATCCCAGAGCAGGGCATTGCTCCTCCTGCACCTGCGCCTGCCAACCTACGGCCGAAGAAGAACAGCTACCCCTGCCCAATGGCCAAGCAGTACGGATGCACCGACTATTTCACCACCTCTGGACACGCCGCCCGCCACGCGAAGAAGCACACCGGCAAGAAGGACGCGTTCTGCCCAGAATGCAACAAGGCTTTTACGCGAAAGGACAACATGGAACAGCACCGACGCACCCACCAGAGCGGCCGCAGCTCAAAGGGCAGCGAACATGGAGTGAAGAAGTCGTCAAAGCCTGCAGCCAAGCGCCCAAGGCCATCTCCCCTTCAGTCCTCTGAGCCAAGTATGTCGCTCCCGAACCTCGATCCTCACCTTTCGCTGAGCCCAGATGCAACAGCCTTCATGGCACCTGCTGTGCAACATGTCGACCCGCTCTCGGACTACTCTCCCATTCAACAGCATCGATCTGCATACCCCGACCCTACCCAGTACTCGATGAGCCACGGTTACTCGATTGGGTCCTCTTCAGGTCTCGATGCACTTGCCATTGCGGCAAGCGGGGAGAAGCGCAAGTTCGAGTAACTTAGTGTTTGCATTCCGGTGTTTACGGTTACCGTTCCGCTTTCGTTTTTCTCTCCCTCGCCACATTTAGCACGGCGCAGGAGGCCTTTTGGAATTTCACGGCGTTCAAAACATTGTGAGCAAAAAATAGACGCAAACGCCGTCATGGCTACGAATGGAGTGAGGGGTCTGCTACGGTCGCCCCCACGGGCGCATCCACAGCACTGATATCCCATCATTTTTTCTTTTCTTCAACTTTCGGCCTCGGCTTATTACTTGGTCTCGACGAATGGAGTGAGGGGTCTGCTACGGTCGCCCCACGGGCGCATCCACAGCACTAATGTCCCATCATGTATTTTTCTTTTCTTCAACTTTCGGCCTCGGCTTATTACTTGGTCTCGTCGATGAGGAGAGGCATTTTCATGCGATCCGTTAATACGTGAAGCGGGTCTGCGAGCTCCGCCTGGTGGTGGTCGTCAGGATGACAGGAAACATGGATACCCCGCCCGTTGTTACAATAGGCACATAGTCTTTCGGCGTATATCGGTACATTAATACCACAGAGAGAATCAAAATATCTTCACAACCAATTCAAATAGTCCCAATTGCTGACTCACTTTCTGCCATGGTTTGCTTGTGCGCCTCGACTCTCCAGGGTCTTCTGCACCATGGAAATACGCCGCGGCCCCTTTCTTGGGCTCTGGGGATGCTAATTTCCCCATACAGTCTACACGTACGAATGACGACCGCGAACTCCACTAACCGTTTACCGCTGTCAGATGCAGTTCACGCTAAGTTCGAGGTTCTCGCACACAACCTTGGTACACGCCGCGAACTATTGGATGCCGGCTTTGACAGAACGCAGAGGGTTAACGATAACTTCCAGGGTCTACTGTCCCGAACTTTTAAGCCAACAACAACTCTCCACGATAACGTCTTCACTTCCCACTGAGCTGGCACAAAGAAAGTGCACAATAACAAGCACAACAACAACCCCAAGCGCAGTCCAAACCCTCTCCAGCGCCCTCTTCGAACCCAACATTCTGCATTCACGAACCTTACGTTGTGAAGTGGCTCGCGCCAGCTCTTGCCGCTGATGTGCAGACCCTGCAGACGGCAGTCCAGACCAACCACCCCAACGATCTACCGAGCTAGGAAGAGCTCCCGTTAGCATTGATTGGCTTCGGGGTCAAACGGCCGCTGCGACAATATACCACGCACCAAAAGCGTCTTGCAAGACGTACTTCTGATGTTTCTTTGAGCTCAAACTGTTGGGTGTTTAGTTGCCATTCCCGCAAAACGCACGCGTTTGCCCTTTGTACGGTACTTGAACGGGAGTGCTTTCCTGTCCTTGGACTGCCCCACGCCTAGTGTTGACGTCGAGGTGAGAAGTGCAACCGCAACCGGTATTTGCAGCAATCCACGGATTGCAACTCTTCGATTGACCTGCCTGCATAAACTCAATTACACATCCAAGAATCAAGATTACAGTATCGCGCAGCGGATCAGGCCATTTCTTGGATGTGAATTCTAGGTATGACCGCGTAGTGGCCGGGCACGCACATGCAAGAACAACACAGACCAAGCATTGGAGTACAGACCCCTAGGGGTTTACCTACAACAACAGGGTCTTCAGGTCGCACAGCATCTCGCTAAGGGGACAGCCATATCCCTGTCGCGGCACACCGGAAGCTGCTTTGTTCAGGCTTTAATTCTAATTTCCTTGCATCACGGCATTCATGAGAAGCGGCGATTTCCGCTATGCCTCAGGCCTTCAACCTGTCAGCGAACATCAGCTCAGTGGCTGGACAGGCACACAGCCAAGGTGATTTCAGCGTGTCGTCAAGCAATCCTTTCTACGCTGTGCTCTCTTTTTTGATTTTCTGACATTCAAGGCCATGCCCGTACCCGTTTGTTTCTATTCCAAACCTTGATCCACGCTTTGGTTGCGCAACGTGACAGCCATACCTCCCTCAACGACCAAACGCTCATCTACCATTGCAGTACCGCACACAACACGAGACAGCTCTGACCCACTCTCGTGGTCGTCTTTTGCTTCTTTTCGCCTGGCTGGACGTGACGAGTATGCCGTGCCACCTCGTCTCTGCCTCGTCTATCTACGTGCAGATCTCGAAATAGGTACGACAGAACATGGGCGTATGCGGGTAACTGCAACGATCGGAAGCGGGACGCAGGCCATTGTTTCAAGTTGGCAAGCGGCCACGTCAATGTCACTGCCGCTTCCCCGGGTCGTGGTCAGTATGGAGATTAGCGATGGGAAGGATCGGGTGCGGGTGCAGGTGCTGCTGCGGACGAAGGTTAGGATCCCATGTTGATCTCAGAGAATTCGATATCGTCGCAGAAATAAGCACACCACTTCGACTGACACTCATCGTCATCGTGAAGGCGTTGGAGAGCCGGTGCTAAGCTGCTTCGTGAGCCTGAAGCAGAACGCCAGACTCACTCTCAGACATCCTACGCGGATAAGCGAGTTGTGCAAAGAAGCCATGTGTGAGTGAGTACTGAATGCGGGTATCTATCGTACTATGTCGTGCCGCCTCACCCTACACCTGAAAACTCTTCAGACTACGCATGTTCTCCGCGCGCTAGCTTAGTACCGTGTAACAGCAGCCGCTCGCTAGTTGGTTTGTATACCACTACACTCATAAAACTCGAGAAGATAGTGGTGGAGGCTAGTACGGCTCCCCATGCGAACATCGAAACAAGATCAACGTAGAGACCTTGTTCTTAACAAAGCAACACTTTACGAACTCACAACTAGACAACGCAAGTATACATGAAGTGTATAGGGTATCTTCCCTCGTAGACACCACGAATTACGGCCCTGAACTACGACTGCACAATGCAATTAAACCCTCAACCCTCAAGCTCTGAACTGCACCAAAAATACCCCTATCCTCCCAAGCGGACGGATCGACATCGATCGAATAACGAACATATACCTGATTCTACACCTGCAGTCAATAGCTCATTCCCCACCCCTCCACGTCCCCACAGATCAACAATTATGACTCGTGGCACTGAACCATTCACCACCGACTCCAGAACACGAACGACCACCAGGCAACCTGTCATTTCCCAAAGTTCATATACAGGTCCCCACAGCGGTACCTCAGGTTGAGCCACGCGATGTCGTGCAGGGTTGACCGCTGTAACGTCTGTCGTTCCTGTCAAGGTACTTTGGTCCCTGTCAAGGGGATTTCGTCGTGCAACACCAGGTGGCGAGGGTGCGTGTATCAGCCTCGGTTGCACAGCAGAGAGGGTAGGTGAGGCCCAGACGCCCTTTGGTAAGCATCCCATGTGTTGAGAGGTAGGGCGCGCTGCGGGGGAGCTCGCTTCAAGAGAACACAGCAGGTCGTGAGTGCACAGAGGTAGGGTTCGCAGAACCGTGGCCCTTGCGTGGGCTGGCGCGACGCCGTGTAGCAGTCTGGGGGGGGGGGGGGGGGGAGGCGAGGAAGCGCGGTCAGGAAGTGGCGATGACGGCAATGAGTCTGTGCTATGAGTATGAGGCTGGTGTTGTCTAGAAACGACCATGAGGATTGCAGTGAAGCAACGGGTGCGGCTTTCATCAAAAGGGTTGCGTCCATCGTACGATCGACTTTGCGCTCGAACACTGCCATCAACACCAACACCAACATCACTCAACAAGCACAACCCAGGATATGAAAAAATATGACATAGCGCTGCACAGCGCTTGGTCTGACAACTACACATACCCATCCCTGCCTGCACTTATTCTCGTCCTGCATCTGATTTCTCTGCCCTGCATGCGCCCCGTACAACGCACAACGCGACCATGACCACTTCCCGGCGCCGTGATCGAGACAACTTCCCGGTCGAGGGAAAAGTCAAGCTAGAAGTAAGATCGGCCTGCGCGAGCTTTCGTGTTGGGCGTTGTCGACATGGTGAGGCGGAAAGGATGTGCTGAGGATGCGGGAGGGTGGGAAAGGGGACGAAGCTGACTTTGGCACGACGGGTGGGGGATGCAGGTATCCGTGTTTGAGTGGGTTCGAGCCACCGACCGAGATACGTATCATGCAGTGACTTCCGACGTGGACCAGGATGTGGGAAGCGAGATCGGTGGTTGTTGGGGGCGAGGCGGAAAGCTGGGGCTTTGGGGTTCGAGGGGCAGATCTCTTGGGTTGTCGTGAGTTTGGTAGTCTGTTGTCGTTGAAGATTGCTGGCTTTGGATCGATATCTCGATTGGGAGCGCTCAGGTGCTCAGGTGAACTTGGCCGTCTGCACGTACTTGGCAAAACTCATGTCTTCGTTTGAGGGTCCACCGCTATCCCTCAGTGCTTGTGCGTATCGCTGCTTGAGGTTGCTGTCTGGATCCATGGCATCTTCTTCCGAGTCGAAATCGTCGTCGAAGTCGTTGGCTGGGTGGTCGTCATCGTCGTCGTCCATATCTTCTGCGTCGCTCACTGTCTCAGGCTCTTCCTTTCGCGGCGCCTTCTTGGGCTTTGTGCCGGCACCACCAACTTTCATATCCTTCATAAGCTTGTCGAGTTCGCGCTGTCGGGTAGCCTGCTTCTCTTGCTCGCGCTCAGCTCTCCTTCGCTCCAGTTCTGGTTTGTAGTCGCGCTCGAACTCTGCCTTCTTCTCTTGGACGCCTTTGAAGAAGTCGTCCATGCCGTCACCTGTCATGGCACTGACTCCTACGACGCTCAAGTGCTTGTAAAACTCCTCGAGGACGAGGGACATACTGTTGAGCAGACTGCTCATGTAGCCGCTACCGCCAGTGACACCGTCGCCGCCAAAAGTGCCACCCTCTTCCTCATTTCGCAGCGCACTCTGGAAAGCCTCGAAGTCTGTCATCCACTCCTTCGCAAACTCAGCGTCCTGCGCGTCTGTCTTATTGAACACCAAGATCATGGGCAGCTTCGTCTTGTACAGAATCGAGCAGGCGTACAGCATGTTCGACATGAAGGTGCTGGTGCTTGTGGTTCTCGGGGTGTCGATGACGTATGCAATGACGGTAGGGAACGTGCTTGCTAAGCTCGACAGCAGGATCTCTCCGCTGGCTGACCAAACAAAGACTTCGATTTGGCCTGGTGTGTCGACCAGGATGTGCTTGACCTGCTGTTGCTGCGCCGGTGCCGCCTGCTTCTCCTTCCCACTGCTTGTCATGAACTCGACTGTTGTCTGCTCAGGCTCCTTCACTGGCTCTGGTGCCTGCGTCCTCTTCTCTAGCAGTCCAATCACCTGGTCAATCTTGGTGCTGAACAGGTTCAGACTTGTCAAGATACCGCCGTTCGGCCCAAGATTGAACTGCTTCATGACCTCCTTGTAGTTGACGCTGTCACGGATGTCGATGTTAGGCGTGAAGGGGACGTGGTGAACTGCAGGGTCGAGGTTGATGATGTACGGCGGGGATGGTGCGGTCTTCGACACGGAGGGCTCTTTCGAGGTTGGGTCTGGGTGCGTGTAGATGTGTGATACTAGGCGTTGCATGAAGGTCGTCTTTCCAGAGCCAGCCATGCCTACGCAGACTATAGCAACTGGAGGGCTCGAGGCCGCGGAGCTCTCGGGAGCTTGGGCGGAAGCCATGGTGGTGGTATCCGGGGGTGGACGTTGGCCGGAGTCGATACAGATATTCACAGTCCAATCACACGAGGTGCAACTGTATCTATAAGCGGCTGTAAAGGAGGGGAGTGTTGGTTGGTCCAAGTGGAGCGTGCCGTCGGTGTAAAGTTGCTGTCTCGAAATTCTTTGGCGGGGCGGGCCAACGACACGCTAGCAAGTCGCGCGCCGGTGATGTCAATCCCAAGCTTCCTAGACTCTCGTCACTCGTGCACCCTTTCACCACACCCACCAATTTCTACCCTTGCGCTTGTGCCGCACAGCTCGCACCTCAGCAATGGCCCTGGAGGACTTTGAGAAGGAGCTTGCCGCGACCAAGAGCAAAGAAGACAGAAAGAAGCGCGGCAGAAGTCGCAGTCGCGACCGGCACCACCGCTCAAGCAAACACCACTCTGCGCACCATCACCGTGACGATCGAGACAGGGATGGACACCACAGAGACAAACGATCGCGACACCACCGAGAGACCTCGGAAGAACGTTCGCGGCGTAAGCGCAAGGAGAGAGAGCGCGACGACAAGTTCGACGATCGACCACGCCGAAAGCACAAGGACCGGCGGAGTCGATCTCCCTCGAGCGACGATGAAGACCGTATGACTCGAAAGCGCAAGTCGCGCCGCTACGAAGAGGACGAGTCTTCTGGCGACGACGCGCCACAGGAGAAAGACTATGCGCCGCATGATGACGAGCTCTTGGATGAGCAACTCGAGGGGGCCGCGGGCGCAAACGTACAGCGAGACGACTGGATGCAAGCACCATCATCCATGGATGTGGACTATGTGCAGAGGAAGAAGAGGGAAGAAAAGACAACGTATGTTGCGGCGTCAGCAGAGAAGCAACACGCTTTGAAGATCCACAAAGCCGAATTGAACCACCACCTCGCCGACTTGAAGAACGACGAAACAACGACGACAGAGGAGCCAGCACAAAGGGAGGTTGACTATACGTTCGGCGACCCAGGGTCACAATGGCGCATGACAAAGCTCAAGGGCATCTACAGGGCAGCCAACGAGACGGGACGAAGCGTTGAAGATGTGGCTCTAGAGAAGTATTGCAATCTACGCGACTTTGACGAAGCTCGAGAGGAAGAGACAGAGCTAGACAGAAGAAACATGTACGGTAAGGACTATGTTGGGAAGGAGAAGCCTTCAGGAGAGCTGCACGAGGAGCGCAGACGGAAGGCAGGCCTCCACCATCCTTCTCCAGAGGATCACCAGATGGAAGACCTGCCTCAAGGCGAAACCGTACCAAATCCAAGGCCCACCACCAACACAGTTGCACTCAGCCAGACAGAGCTGAACAAGCTCAAGGCCCAGATGATGAAGGCAAAGATGAAGAAGTCGCCGGACGCAGCAAGGCTCGAGGGCGAATACAATGCAGCAATTGCAGGTTCGGCTGGCAGTACGGACCGCGATGTAGTCGTACTGAACGCCATGGACAATCGAATGCTGGCTGGAGGTCGACAGGGCGAGGTCATCTCACTTGAGAACAAGCGAGGCGTTGAGCGTGGCCTGGTCAAGGAGAACGAGGACATGAGTATCGAAGACATGGTGCGGCAGGAGCGACGCACGAAGGGTCAGAATGAGGGCCTTCTCCTTGCCGAAAAGATTGGCAAGGACGTCAAGTTTGATGTATGTGTCCCGATTCTTATTTTAGTCCGCAATGTACTGACTCCACGACAGAACGACCTCGACTACATGGACGAGAACGCCACAAGACTCGCTGCTCGCGCTCCTAAATCGTCCATCAACCTCCGCAACCAGGCAATCCAGGACTACCAGAAGACGAATCGTATCCTTGATTCTTGTCCGCTCTGTCACCACGAAGACAAATCGCCTCCTCAACCTCCAGTCGCTCCTGTCATCTCTCTTGGCACACGCACCTTCCTCACTCTTCCCACTGAGCCTGAAATCAGTAGCGGCGGCGCGGTCATAGTGCCCATTCAGCATCGTATCAACCTACTCGAGTGCGATGACGATGAATGGGAAGAGATTCGCAACTTCATGAAGTCTCTCACCCGCATGTACCACGACCAAGGCCGCGATGTCCTCTTTTACGAGAATGCTGCCAATCCTGGACGCAAACTACACGCCGCCATGAACGCAGTGCCAATCCCTTTCGAGCTAGGCGAGACAGCTCCCGCCTTTTTCCGCGAAGCCATCCTCACCTCGGATAATGAGTGGAGCCAGCACAAGCCCATCATCGACACACTCAAGGCCTCCAGATCAGGGCTAGGTAAGCAAGCTTTCCGCCGGAGCCTGGCGAAGGAGATGCCGTACTTCCACGTGTGGTTTGAGCTTGACGGAGGAATGGGTCACATCGTGGAGGATGAGCGCATATGGCCACGTGCCGACCTCTTCGCACGAGAGGTTCTTGGAGGAATGTTGGATGTGGACATTGAGGTCCAGAAGAGACAAGGACGGTGGGTGAAGGGTGATCGGAGGTCAGAGAGGTGGAGGAAAGGGTGGAGGAAGTTCGACTGGACTCGAGTGCTTACTGAAGGGTAGTCCCTCAGGACGTCTACAGTCACAAACACCCAGCTGAACGATGAATCAACAATAGCATCTGCATGGGCAGTCCATCCATATAGCTCATCGACTAAGGCCCCTCAGGAATGCTGTGTGCGTTGAGGTTTCAGATGGTGGCGCAACGTTGGATACGAGAGGAATTGTCACGCTTTGGAAATAAGCCTTGAGCGATCGTACCGTGTCGCACACGCCAAATACTTCCACACGCGGCCCAATCAACGATGACGTCTGGCGTTGCATGATAAGCGTCTTATCAACAACAAGACAATTTCGTTTCATAATTCTTGGAGTTCTATCCTCTAATTCATGCTCTGCTGAGGACAGGGTCCCGTGCCTGCGCCACAAAGGCTTTCATAGTCGTGTTTTGATTAGACGCACCCCACTGCTGCATAGATTCGCCCCACTACGCTTTCTTGCAACGACACCTGCTGCGTTCGGCCTCCCGTCATCCCGCCAGGCGTGCCCTTCACTGTCGACTCCTCCGCAGCGCCTCTCCGCGTCAGAAAAAGGGGCGAGGGTCCTGTCAGGCATCACTGCGGGCTTCTGGCATCAGGGACGACTTGACGACCCACATTTGGCGCCACAGCCACCTTCACGCGCCAGCACTAAGAGCGCAGTTCACGGCTAGGTTTTGACGACATCACGCTGTCTCCGCCCACTACCGTCATTGCTACCGGCAGCCCCCAGCAACACCGCCCATATTCTTTGCTCTGCGCTCCACGACGCGGCTCCTTCCGTGCACAGCGTCACACTGCACGACCGGCGCCTGTTTGGGCTCCGAGCACTCAACGACACGCCGGCCATCAACGCCAGGCACCACCACCGCCTCGCCGCACCCGTCGGCGGAGAGACGCAGCTCACGCCCTCCCCGCCGAAACTGCTGAACCGCCGCGGCCATGTCGAGCGTCGACGAGACCGTTGCCAACGTGCAGCGCAAGATTGACAGGGAGAAGGCCCTGATCAATGCTGCCAATGCCATGCGCCAGTCGACCAACAACCCGGCCGTGCTCTCGCGCCTGGACGGGCAGATCAAGGACGGCCGCCGCAACATCGAGTACTTCGAGTCGAAGCTGCGGGACTTGAGCGTGCAGCGCACTGCGGCAGGCGTGGAGAACATGAGCCTGCAGCAGCCAGGTGGGTCGGGCTCTCGAAAGGCGAACAACCCGCTGACTCCCCCCCCCAAAGATGGCTGGAACGGCTACATGTCGAATGAACAGGAGGGCTATGGCGGGCAACAGGGCCAGTATGGCGACCTCAGCGCCGGCAAAGGGCTCATGCCACCACGCGCCCCATATGCCCCGCCAGCACCCGGCGCGCCGAACAAGAGGCCCAACTACAGCAAGCTCGGTATGCATATCGTCTACAGTCTGCATGCTACCTACTGACACATTGCAGACCTCATCCGCTATGACACGCAGCACCTTGGACCCCGCATTCAGCTCATGTTGTCTCAGCTCGAGTTCAAGCTTAGTGTCGAGAAGCAGTACAAGGACGGAATCGAGAAGATGGTGCGCCTGTACCAGATGGAGGGTGACCGCAAGAGCAAGCAGGACGCAGAAGCCAAGCGCATTGAGAGTAACCAGAAGATCCAACTGCTAAAGCACTCCCTCAAGCGGTACGAGGATCTGCACGTGGACATCGATGGCGCAGACGACGGCGATGGTAAAGCTCTAGACCATCTGCACACAACTTTGACTGACATCCATTGTAGATGACAGCCTGAGCGTACCCAGCCAGAGGAAGCCGCTGAGCGGTCACCTCTCCCTAACAGTCCACGCGGTCGCCGATGTTGACCACGCAGCTACCGGTCGCTTTAGTCGAGGACCCGAAACCTTCATCAACATCAAGGTCGAAGACGCTATCAAGGGACGTACCAAGCCCTCCAGGAACGACCGCTGGATTGAAGAGAGGCACGAGTTTGACATTGATAAGGCCAACGAGATCGAGATCACAGTGTACGACAAGACTGGCGATCACGCACTGCCCATTGGTATGCTCTGGGTCCGTATATCAGATATTGCCGAGGAGATGCGCCGAAAGAAGATCGAAACAGAGTTGCAGACCTCTGGATGGGTTGCTGCAGACAAGACGGGAGGGCAGGCAGGCATTCAGCCAGACCTTCAATTCCAACCACCTCCAGGACAAAATCCTGCCGGCGGAGCAGGAGCAGGAGCAGGAGCAGGAGCAGGTGGCATGAGACCTGCAGGAGGCACGCAACCTCAGACAGGGCCCATTATGATCGACGACTGGTTTTCACTCGAGCCGGTTGGACGTATCCACCTTACAATGGCCTTCGCCAAACACACGCAGAACAAGACCCCATTCGATGTTGGTCTTGGCCGAAAGGGTGCTGTCCGTCAGCGCAAGGAAGATGTGGTCGAGCAGTACGGACACAAGTTTGTGCAACAGCAGTTCTACAACATCATGCGTTGCGCTCTATGCGGCGACTTTTTGAAGTATTCTGCTGGTATGCAGTGTACCGACTGCAACTACACTTGTCACAAGAAGTGTTACCCTAAGGTGGTCACCAAATGTATCACGCAGTCGAACGCCGAAACAGATCCGGACGAAGCCAAACTCAACCATCGCATCCCTCATCGCTTCGAGACCTTCTCAAACATGGGAGCCAATTGGTGCTGTCACTGCGGTTACGTACTGCCCCTCGGACGGAAACAGACCAAGAAGTGCGCAGGTACGTTGTTTTGCACACTCGTCATTTGCATATACTAACTAGTCGCAGAATGTGGTCTCACTTGTCACGCCCATTGCGTGCATTTTGTACCCGACTTTTGCGGCATGTCAATGGAAGTTGCTAACCAGATTCTTATGGAGATTAAGAGGACCAGAAGAGGGCAGTCGGCTTCAGGCTCGACCATGACAAATCGAACACTACGCCCATCGCAGCCAGCGAAACCCTTACCCCCAACACAGTCCCCTCAGCCTAGTCAAGAGCCGTCGTCGCAGACGGACAGATACTCCTATGGCAAGAACGAGAGCATTGCGCCGCCGGCCAACCAACGAACGCAGTCGTATGCGCCATCATCCCAGGCTTCTGGTGCGGCACGCACTTCCTATTCCTCAGGTGGCTCAACTGCGCCAACATCTCCAACCTCCTCACAGCGACCTTCTTCCGGGCGCACCCAATCTTCGCAGTCAGCGATTGCTGCCGCTGCCGCTGTTATGTCGAAACCCCCAGGAGGCAATGCGGCACCTGATTACCGACGCTCCCAGACAGACTATCAGCCCTCTGCAAAGCCTGGTGGATATCCGCAGGATCAGCGTACACCACAGCCACCACCGCAACAAGCTACATACAACCCACAACATTATGCAGATGTTGACAAGCGACAACAACCACCGTACTCTCCTCAGTCAGGAGGGCAGTACGGCAATAGCCAGTCATACGCACACCCTCAACCCCCGCAGCCTGCCCCTCAGCAGCCTCCACCTCCGACGAAGCAAGATCCTCGACAGCAGCAGCAGCAGCAGCAGCAGCCAGCATCAGCCTTAACTAAAGCTCCTGAGAACAAAGTGACACCACCGGCCAATACGCAAGGAACCGGGAGAAGGATAGGTCTGGATCACTTCAACTTCCTTGCAGTTCTTGGAAAGGGTAACTTCGGTAAGGTCATGCTTGCGGAGACCAAGAGTACAAAGCAGTTGTACGCCATTAAGGTCTTGAAGAAGGAGTTCATCATCGAGAACGACGAAGTTGAGAGCACTCGCTCGGAGAAGAGGGTGTTCCTGATTGCCAATAAGGAGCGACACCCTTTCTTACTCAACCTACACGCCTGTTTCCAAACCGAGACCAGAGTTTACTTCGTTATGGAGTACATCAGTGGTGGTGATCTGATGTTGCACATTCAGAGGGGCCAGTTTGGTACCAAGCGTGCTCAGTAAGTCAATTGGTTCCTCGACACTCTGTGAGTTGGTGCTAATCGTATTTTAGATTCTACGCAGCAGAAGTCTGTCTTGCGTTGAAGTACTTCCACGAGAACGGTGTTGTCTACCGTGATCTGAAGCTTGACAACATCCTGCTCACGCTGGACGGACACATCAAGATTGGCGATTACGGTCTGTGCAAGGAAGAGATGTGGTACGGTTCGACTACCAGCACCTTCTGTGGTACACCTGAGTTCATGGCGCCTGAAGTAAGTTTTCTCTTATACGGAACTTGGAGCCTTGTTACTGACAGGTGATAGATCTTGCTCGACAAGAAGTATGGCCGTGCTGTTGATTGGTGGGCATTCGGTGTCCTGATCTACCAGATGCTTCTCCAGCAGTCGCCATTCCGTGGTGAAGATGAGGATGAGATCTACGACGCCATCCTCGCCGACGAACCTCTCTACCCCATTCATATGCCCCGCGACTCCGTGTCGATCCTCCAGAAGCTGCTCACTCGCGAGCCTGAGCTGCGACTGGGATCAGGTCCTACTGACGCGCAGGAGATCATGTCCCACGCCTTCTTTAGGAACATTAACTGGGACGATATCTACCACAAGCGTGTAGCACCACCTTTCGTCCCGACGATCACCAGCGCTACGGACACCAGCAACTTCGACACAGAGTTTACAAGCGTAACTCCGGTCCTTACGCCTGTGCAGTCTGTTCTGTCGCAAGCAATGCAGGAAGAGTTCCGCGGCTTCTCCTACTCAGCCGATTTCAATTAAGGATGTTTGCTTTTCCTCGAATACCCTGGGCTCATTTGCAGTGCGTCACTTTCGCGACCAGTAAAGCAACACAAGAAGACATAGGATGAGTGTGATTTTCTAGCATTGGGGTGGCCTAGCATCATATGCCTTCTGGGCAAGTCGCGGTTGCCGTTTGAGGTGGATTTGCTGGGATTGTGAACCCTTCTTTCTCTTCGTCCTTCGAAAGCAACAATTGTAATGCATCATTAGCGGAACGAGTCTGGGGCAAGCGCACTACGAAGCAGGCCGGTGTTGTTGATGAGAAGGTGTTGGTCGGCCTTGGGAGCATGGTTGGTGCTGTGGAAGGTACACGTCGCAATGCATGATGATGCGGTGCACAAAAGACAGCAGGCGGTAGTTGAGGTGTTTGGAAATGATGATTCTCCACAAGTTACAGGATAGATGAAACAATCATTCGCGCGCCAGCTCTGAGACGTTCATCACGTTGATCAATTGTTCTGTTTTGGCGGCCGTTGTCTCTTTCCTTCATTCAATAATCTCAGTCTTGGCGCAACGCGCTCCTTCTCGCCCACTGTACTTTGTTTACTCTGCACCACCTCGCCAACACTCGCCAAACTATACCTTCTTTCAGCTTACCTGCATGCACCAACTACAATCCGTGAAACGACCGTTTAAGTCCACCCTCGGTTTACGTACCCACCTCGCATTTGACTAACCCGAGGAGCTCACAAAAGAACGCCACACATCCAAGGCATTCGCGCACTTAGCGCGCACCTCTCCTGTCACCTATCGTCTCGCTTCCCCGGTAGCCGAATCCCTCTGGCCTTACGAGTGGATGCCTCGCCTGCGTCTGAACCGGAACAAAGGCTAGGTGGGTCTTGCTAAGTAAGTGTAGTAGAGAGATGTAACACAGCTTGAATTGGTCCAGACATGACTGACGTACCACAGGCTATACTGTACCAGTGCGAACGACGAATAGTAAGATGGGACAGTGATCCTACGCAATGCAACAACATCTCGATTGCGACTCTGAGGAAGTTGCAACTTAAGTCAGGGTCGCAAATGCCGTTGCCAATGCCACACAACACCGGACACAATCCGCTTTGGGTTGCGTGCAGTGCATTACGTGCAGGTAAGCACATCGATCGACTGAGCATTGAAACAGGCCGTGTGCAACTCGCTGACCTATAGCAAACAGGCAAAGGATTTATCCTACAGCCATCTCACACCCTTTGGCGAGAGCCTCGAAAAACGAAACGCTCTACTGCAGACACTCAGATGGGCGCTCAGATGCCTGCGAGATAACTCATCTAATCGGCCTCGGGCACCGATGAGAGTCACCTTTCTTTTCACCATCGAAGATGACCTCATATGTCCGCGAAACTAGCTCTCACTGTGAGGTTGTAACGATTATGCACAGCCATCTTAATCGAGTAACGGACACGCACAGAATCTCGCGCGGATCCTGGCCCGATCATACCACCAACCTAACAGGCCCCGCATCAAGTCTGCGCTCAAAAGGAGGGACGCAAGGTGTGCTGGCGAGCATTTGCGGAATATTTGCTTCAGAATATTTCTTAAAACTTGGTCAGATGATCACTTCGATTGTTGTGGTCGGTGAAGCAAGATGCGGCTGACCTGGAAAGCGGATGATTTGATTGATTGCAACGACTGGACGCGCTACGTGCGCCATACAGCGGTGACACCTTGTCGCTGCACGCAATCGTACCCACGTGTCAACGCCTTTCCTCGAGAATGACAGATCGCAGTATCGGCACGTCAGAAACGTCCTCCTGACGGAGAGAAATTGCGGGACAGGGAAAATCCGGAGCAAGTGGTTCCTCTCTGGCCGGCTCGCATGTGGTGCCGCTAACCACGCTACCCTAGCTCCGGGGATGGGTTGAGTCCCAGAATCAAAGTGCTGTCTGCTTGTGCCTTGTCCCTGGACAGACAGGAGACGTTAGTCGACGCTGGCTTAGCGAGAGCAAAAGAAATGGTTTTCGACGTGCGTACGGCGGCACGGCAAATGACTGCGATTTATCGTTTCTTGCGGTAGAAAGATACCGGCGGCCCAAGCAGCTCGGGCGCCTGTTAATGCAAGGAGACCTAGTGCCAAAGCTCCAGCCTATCGACCGAAGGGAAGCGCAACGTTAATACCGAACGTCCACCCGGCAACATACCTTCCTAGTCCTCGCAGTAATTACATCCGTTCAAGCATCAGCACATACGCCGAACAGCATAGGGAGACGACGCAACACAGCGCGACCCTTGCATGTCTTCGCAAACCCTTCCCCACCCGCACGTTTCGGCACAGCTACCCGCCATCTCATGTTACAAAATCGCTGAGCATTAGGCGCGAGGCTGTTCGTCAAAGAAGAGGCGCGCAAACGTCTCGAACACCATCCAAGGATCGTCCTATCAGTCTGGCAACTCTTCCAAGAAACCGTCAAAATTAACGCCTTCACGGGTCCCAGCGCCCCAGGCGCGCGGTCGCCAAGGGCGAACGGTGCTGAGCGCCAGATTTTGACCACCGTGAATGCTCAGCAAATACCGCCGTCTCCTTCGGTACAGCAATCGCCAGTGACCCAAGCGACGCCGTCAACAGTGGGAGCTTCGGGTTCTCCATTGCAAACACCAGGGCCTCTCATTGCCAATGCTAATGGTAGTGCAGAGGCCACAGGTCGACGGCAAGAAACGACAAGGATGCGATCATCAATCGCTTGCTCCAGGTGCCGGCGCAGCAAAACCAAATGCGACAATAACGGCACTCGCGATAGTACTGGCGCTCTCGCTCCGTGCAAATCGTGCGTAGCGAGTAAGAAAATTTGCGACTATCCCGCGCCGCAGCCAGCGGCCAGTAATCATTCTCAGCGACGTGAAAGTACAGTGACGACGGCTGGCGAAGAGGTACGTGGAACGATCTCCGTTCTGTCTTGCTTCCGGCTCTTTCTGATCGTCCTCGGGTGATTACCAACCTGTCTCTTTTCAACCCATTGCGCTCGAGCAAGAGCAAGAGTATCCTCGCATTAAGGTTTACTTGCGTTCGATATGCGTGTATCGGCGCCACTGTGTCGCGACGAATTCGCTGACAGGAGGGTCCAGGCACCACCGAAGAAACGCAAACGACCCGTTATGCCTACAGCAGGCACTCCATCTCACAGTAAAGGCCGTCTAGGAACTCTGGAAGACGCTCTTGAATCGCCCCTGCTGACACCCAAAGTCTGGGATGAGCTGGTAGGTCTGTTTCTTGAACGCTCATTGCTAGGCTAATGTCCGCAAGTGGGCTATTCACGAGAAGCATTATGCAACGGAATTCTCATTTCTGCACAAAAGAACGTTCCTCGGTCCTCTCCAGAGACTACCACCAGTTTCATCGTCAGGAAAGTGGTCCGATTCTCAAGGCCAACGCGCCCATGATCCTGCCTTAGTCCTGGCGTTCTTGACACAGACTTCTCCATTCCACCCCGAGCTTGTAGCTCAAACTGACAACCCTTACGATACTGCCGAGTTCTACGCAGCAGCGACACGCAGGCACCTCAACTATGACTTCAGTTGGGTGGGCGAGACGGCTATGCAACAAATTCAGGCATTCCTCATGCTTGGTTTTCACGAGTGGACTGCCTGTCACGGCCGCAACGGTTATATGCTGATTCGGACGGCGGTAAACTTCGCACAAATGAACGACTACCAGTACGACGAGGACCTGGACAAGGGAGACGAGAAAGATGATGCAGCTTCCAAACGCGATCGCTTCATCAGGCAAGAATCACGGCGTCGTACTTTCTGGAGTTGTTTCATCCTTGACCGCTACTTGAGTGTCGGGCGGAGACGCCCCAAGATTCTACACATGGACGACCTGCGCGGCACAATCCAGATTCCTTGCAGCGACAAGAATTTTATTTCCGGGCGAGCCGTTAGGACTAAGTTTTTTGGAGAGACCGACCAGGAGTATGCAGATCGGCGCAAGAAGATGCACGACGAAGCTTTGCGACGCCACGGTGGGCAAAGACCTGAAAGAATTGAATGGGAAGACCGCGACGATGATGGTGTGCTCGGTCGATACATCTATGCTCTCGATCATTTCTCCGATGTGTCAAAATGGGCAAACAAAGGAGGGAGACGGTATGCAACCGATATGCCGGTTATCACTGCGAGACACCGCTAATTATGGCAGTTCGGAACCTCGAAACATTGGACCGTGGAATCCCGCAACAACGTACTACCACCTTGACAAACGACTCAGAGAAATCAAGGAGGATCTACCAGATGAGCTTCGGCTCACGTCCCTAAATACGGAAAACCACATCTACGGAGCGCCTTCTGGTACTTCAAGGACATATTTCATGATACACGCCATTCTCACGCTTTCCATAACGTACCTTGCTCCCGAGTACCTGGCAACATATCCTTTCCGATTGACGAAGCCACAAGGTCCAATGGACGAACCGCTGGTGACCGAAAAATTACCTGAAGATGAGCCCGATTACTGGGTTGAGAAGGCCAAAGAATGTTTTGAGTATGTGAGAGACTTCGTCAGCATACTTCAATCTTTCAAGGATAGAGGTCTTGTCGTGGAGTCTCCCTTTGTCGGACACGCAGTCTACAAGGCGGCGTGGTGCGGTGAGTAATCTCTGGAGCACCCAGAAACGACGAGACTGATTGCTATAGCTTCCTACTGCCATCATGTCCCTCGTATGGACCAATCCGCGCCGCGCGCATTAGACTCCCGGCTTGAGCCTAACGCATGGGACGTTACGAACCAGGTCTTGGACAGCATGAAAAAGAAGTTCAGAATAGCGAACATATGGTCCATCGACCTTGCGACGGTCGCGGCGACCTATACCGAGAAACGAAAAGCATGGAGGAACGCTGGAGGCTCTCCCCAGAGCACAGCCAGCGACAACGATGGCGGATTGAACGAATACTCGACGATCTTCGAAACGGTTCACAAGCAGTTTGGGAGCCTCCAGCATGACAAGAAAGACCTGACACATCCTAACGATAAGCCCTATAGCAGACTTGAGCACGAAGAAGACCCGGGAGATCCTGCAACGGCGCACAGTCCCGATGTCTCTTTCAAGACCGAGGGAGAAGAGCCTCGCAGAAGCAATTCGACCGCTACATCAATCAATTCCACGTTCACGCCTGTCAATCCGAATATCGCAATGACACCGGTACAAACGGAACAGGTGGTTGGCAACGCTGGTGCTCCAAATGGTACTCGATCGTCGTGCAGACCTCCTACAACCCAAGGGCCAAACCAGCCGCAACCATATCCAAACCAGCCACTTCAATACGGCCAGTCATCAAGCTACGGGTACCCTAGCAATACGCCTGCCTATCCTCCATCCACACCTCAATATGGTCTTCAAACACCCTACGCTCAAACCTCTGGTCCTAATCAAGGGCCAGGCAGCAGTTCGTACGACCCTCAAGCATTGATGAATCTGGAACGAGAGGGTAACAGATCCCTCATCAACCACGACTTAGCTTTCTTCGAGAACGACTCGTATCAATTTGGCCAACAGAGCTTTTTGGGTGCTGGTTACCCATATGATCAGGTACAACCTCAATCGCAATTTATGCAGGATCCCCAGGGTTCATACATGTACCCAAGCCAGTGGCCTGGTCAAGGATGAGTCTATGGCAATCAGGGATATTTCTCTATATACGGCATAATGTGGGATTTCATGGACCCTGGACATCGCATGGCAGTGATGTCTTTCTGCTTAGGCATACTTATACTACTTCTTGCATTCATTGTACCAACACCTTTCTTAGAGAGTTTCGGCTCCCTCGAGACATTTTGCTACGTCTTTCCATAGCATTTACTGAGCGATCCATTACAGCGTAGATGTCTGCATCGCACGTTCGTTGTCTTTCCCAGTTTATCGAAAGTTTCAGCTCACAGGAGGCCTCTCGTCCATTGTAAACACACCATTTCTAGGTCCGAGGCAAGAAGGCGTAGGATGCCTAGCATAGTGAAGACGCATTATAGAGGAGCATGGTAGCTGGGTTTGTGCTTGTGCGAGGTTGGGGTGGAGTTCTTGGGCGATGGGAAGGGTTATGATTGTGTTTTGTCTCTGGAACCGATGAGCGTGACCCTTGGTCTGTTCAAGTTTTGCAGAAGGCATAGTCAACTCCAACTTATCCCGCTTTGAAGACCTTACAGCCACGGACGATTCGAGCAAAGCAACGTCAAGATAACAGTGTGATTAAGCAATAGGACCGCCTCATGCACGCCTGTCCTTCAATAGCGACATTGGGCTGTCTTTGATAGCTGGAGTAGGCAGCAGCGGGGGTTGAACGATGCGTGCCAACAGATTTTGCATGCAGCTTCCTTCGTTTGCCGTGTGCGAGCCACCTGTGGGTGCGTTTCTGGGACGTGACGGGTGACATGGCACAGCCGCAAAGCGCGGCAAGGCTGAAACACCCAGGCCTTTCTGCCCGCTCACCACAGTCTGTAAGCGTGCTTCCTATTACCGTCTCTTCCTTTCGTCGCAATGTCCTTATTCAAACACAGACCGTTAAATCTTCACGACAAGGAGATTCTCCTCCTTCGCCTGGACGGAAATGAGGATGAGTCGTCACCTATATGCGTCACCCTCCAGCACGCAAAGCTGTGGGAGGTGGAATATAACGCGTTGTCGTACGAATGAGACCCAGACATAACCACCTACGATGCTACCATCAACGATGAGAACGGAGACACAGGCCGGTTCTTTGTGCGAGACAATCTATACGAGTTCTTCTTAGCAGCTCGTAAGTCAAATGACGCATGGACTACCGAATAAATCTGGATCGACCAGATATGCATCAACCAAGCTGACCATGAGGAGCGATGTTACCAGGCTGCTCAAATGACGGAGCTATTGTTTGTCTCTTCGGGCACGATCATATGGCCAGGAAGATTGCCTGCAGTCAAAGAAGGACTGCTCGATCTGGGTCGTTCTCAAAAGTTTGGCACCAGCAGGTTCAGTACAGAGGAACTGAAAGATATCCTTAGACGATTGCTTGAAGCTTCCTGAAGATGGACGGGCTCTACTCAAGAGGCTGTTAGGCACCTCGCTGCCCAGATTACTATTGAAAAATTACTGGAATAAGCTTTGGATCGTGCAAGGTATTGCGCGTGCTTCCGAGCCCACTCGTGTTCTTAACCACAGGCACATACCATCTGAATGACCTGGTGGCTGTGTTGGTCCTAATACCAAAAAACATCCAAGAGACAGAGAGAAACTTTTGATACGTTTGGGGGCGGCTACCACCAGATATTGCACCTCTACACCTTGCACAGATCCTTCCTGGGTTCTCTCCTGAACCGCTAATACGAAATCTTCACCTGGCCCGACGGGCTTGAAAGATCCGGAGGAACGTATTTGTCAAAGGAGAGAAAGTGAGCGGAACCGTGATGTATTGAGGTGGCTGCTATCTGGTTTGTATACTGTAGGCACTAAGGCCTAATCTGGAATGGTGCACAAGAGCTGGAGTGAAGGCGCCTGGCTGACAGTATTGTACGGAACCGCTCAACAGGATCTACGCACTAATGGGCTTAGTAGACAAACATTTATGGGTCCAGGTCGACTACAGGATAAGCCTGAGGAGTTGATGAGGGAGGTGATGCAGAAACAGATCGCTTACCGGCAGTCAGCGGATCCCCGGCACTTTTTGCTATGGCAGATCTTGGGACTCTGGTAACAATACTGCATCATGGGTCTCCAAAGCTAGACGAAAATAAGTTCGAAAGCGGCTGCGAATATCCGGATCTTGGGATGATTTGCATTCACAACATTGCCCTCGTTCTGGAAGACCTTGGCCTTTCTCAGTCATATTCGGTTCCCGTCAGCCATCGAACTTGATACGTTCGATGACGAGGCATTGGTCCAAGAGTCTGTATCTTTGCCACACTACAGTGCTTTCTTGAGGCTTCGATCATTTCTCGACCTGCTATAGAACTGGCGCGATGGGGTTTTCCCCTGTTCATTATGGATGCTCTGGTGCTTGAAAATTGAGCTCGTGAGGTGAGAATTGACAACCCTGGAAAAAGCAAACCTAGCGATTACTGGTTGATGTGATCAGTGTGGCACTTTCAACTACAAGCCCAAAGACTGGATTCCTTCCATCCTTGTTGCGGCGTACGTTTTGCTTACTTCCGCAGCCACCAATTCCGAAAACAACAACCCATCGTCAGACTAAACCATACGGCCGAACGCTCCAAAATCTATTGGTGTAACAGAAGGCAAGCTCTCAGAGTGCGTGCCCAATGACTATAGGGTGCGTAAGCCGCCCTTTTCGACGTGGAACTCCGCAACACCATCACAAACAACCAGAACGCCTATGTCCGGACCCAAGTGTAAACTACAAGCATTAAATATAAGTCAAAGAACTGCTGAAAGTAGTTCCAGAAGATATCAAGCACCGCAGTTACCTTAGGAAAACGATAACCAAGATCACTATCATCACAGTGGCGATGCCCGTCTACCCCATCTCCTCTAGCGCTCTCGACGCCATCGACAAAACCCACGACCCAAACAAACCAATCTTCATGCTAAACCTCTGGCGCTTCCGCCCCACCGCCCTCTATCCTCCTGAACACGCCCACCTCTCCCCTCCGCCCGCAGGGACACCTTGCACAGGCCGCGAAGCTACCGAGCGCTACCGCGCCGCCATTCAAGCCGTCCTGCCTCCCAATGCGTCTATCCACTTCGTCGGCAATTGCGAAGGCATGGTGGCGGGTCCAGAGGGGGAAACGTGGGATTGGGTTGCGCTTGTGAGGTATGAAAGTTTGAAGGGGTTTAGGGATATGGTGGAGAGCGTGAGGTATAAGGAAGAGGTGGAGCCGTTTCGAAATGCGGGGTTGGAAGAGTGGCGGTTGGTTGCATTGGAGGGGACGGGTGGGGTGGGTGTTGGTTTGGAAGGGCAGGAGAGTGGGTAGGCGTGGGGAGATGTGAGGAGGGGTGATTGAGGATGTGAGTGGAGAGTTTTGAATCGGATGTGCATGAGCTTGGGGGAATGAGAATATGTGGTTGGTTGTACTTGGTGAGTTATGCTAAGACGTCTGTCTGTGATAGTACATGGTAGAGGGTGATGAGTGTATGGAAGCAGTAGGGTGTCTTGTCATAATCGTTCATTACTTCATGCTAGTCATTCGCTATTTGGAAGGACTTAGTACCTTAGTACGCGCCTTCTCTAGCCTCATACTTCTGCCCCTCAACAACGCCTACTTCCAATCCACCCCAGACCTCACCATCGACAGCAAGTTCCAAACCTGCAATTTTTGTCGCGCCAGCATCGAGACCCCACAAGGAGACCGCGAGGTAGTTGGTGCCGCGGTAATTCAAGATACCTTCAGGCACAGGGAAGTTGGTCTGAGGACCAACATTGCTGACGTACTTGCCATACTGCCATCCGTTGACATACAGCTGTACTCTGTATGCCGCGACGCTCGACCCAGCACCGGTGCTGTTACTGCTCGTGCCATTGGTGAACGTAAAGCTGACAGGAATGTCCCAGCCAGTAGGCAGGTTGAGATCAAACTCGGTTGCGAAGAAACCGATACCAGGAGCAGCGATACCGTCCGTGACAGGGCCCTTGCTGGCCTTCCAGCCGACATCGGCGGACAGAGCACCAGGCTGGTGCAGACCACTGCGTTCGGCGAACAGACCACCCTCATTGAGCGGACCACGCGAGATGTCGACGTAATCCTCGCCACCGAGGTTGCCGGTGAGCTTCCAGGAGACGTCGGACTGGCTGTGGCCTGCGAGGTTATAGTTCAGGATACCGCGGGGGTTCTTGCCGGTTTCTGTGCCAATGGTCCAGGTCTGGTCAAGACCTTGATTGTCGATGACGACGGTGATAGTGTACTCCTTACCAGCGGTCAAGTTAGGCAGGGTGACGGTGGAGTTGCCGTTGGTAGCGGCGTCGTAGCCGCGCCATGATCCGAGGAATTGGTCGTCGATCCAGATGGTGGAGCCGAAGGCAGAGCCACCCTGAGTCCAGGCGTAGAAGGTTGTCTCGTTACCGGTGGCCTTGAAAGTACCGCGGTACAGCAGGGTACCGGTATGGAAGCCGTAGTCGGAGCTGTACAGGGAGACTGGAGTGGTGAGAGGTCGCAAAGAGTTGTATGTCTTCTTCAGGTCTGCGACCTTCCACTTGCTGTCGTCATAGTCGGCCTGGATCTCAGGCAGTGTGTCGATGTACTTCCACTCGAGCTCGTTGAGCTTGGGAACGCTGATGTCGGCCTTTGGCAGCTCGACGGTGCCGGTCATGGCGCCTGCCTTCGAAACTTGGACACTAACGTCCTTGCCATTGAAGGTAAGTGTAGTGACCGAGGAAGGTGCACCAATGACCTCGATGGGTGTGGTGGCGTTAAGGTCGCCAGTGACAGCCAGTGTGTCGCCGTTCACCTTGGCCGTGCGGGTCAAGTAGCCAGCCTTAAGGATGACTGCGCTCGAGGAGTCATGAGGCGCTTGGTCGACAGTCCAGTAGTTGTACGCTTCGTTGCGGTCGACGATGTAAACGTAGATGAAGTTGCTCTCCACACCGACTTTGGCGATTTTCCTTCCACCATCAACATTGAAGTTCAAAACAGTGTAGCCTCGTGTGGTAATGCTCTTGACATCGCCTTCGAGCACCTCCAAGCCAGTCACGGCAAGAGCCAGCTCATGAGTCTCACCAGGGCCTCCGTACACAACGAGCACTGTCTTGTCGTCGTACTTGTGCCATGTGAAGATTTCGGCAGTCGAGTAAACAAGTGTAGCACCACCGATGTCGTAGTTGCTGACATGGATCTTGGAATCGCGTCCGTTGAGGGTGAGCGAAGTACCGTTCACTTGTGGAACGGTAATGTTGCCGAAAGCAGTAGTGGGTATGTTGAGCTTGTAGGAGGTCGAGTCGAGAGTGTTGTACTTCGAGTGGCGGACAAAGTAGAAGCTGGTGGTGTTACTGACAGCAGGTGTGACAGTCAACGCCTGGGTGTTGGTCCAGGTAGTGTTGGAAGCGTTTCCTCGAGCTGCAGTCAAGTACGCGGGGCTGACCTTGAAGAAGTTGGCTTGCAACTTCTGTTCGGAGTACTTCTCGCGGTCCACTCGGCGATCCTCGCGGATGACAGCAGCGTAGTCGTAGGAAGTGTAGCCGCCGGGGTGTCCAAGGTTGCCCCAGTTCGTTCCGCCGTAGGTCATGTACAAGTTCAGAATGGTAACGCCGAAGCTGTACAAATTCTTGTAGAAGACACGTTCGAACTCAGCGTTGACAAGGACACCGCACTTGTCGAAGCCTGGTCCACCCCAAGGATCGAAACTACCAGCCTGAAACTCAACGATAGAGTATGGTGTATTAGGGCTCTGCTGCAGGTGCAGCTGGTGCCAGTTCGTGGGTAGGGCATTGTTCGGCCAGACGGTTGGATTGGCGCAATCGAAGCCAAGTGGGTAGCCGTCGTGGCCATAGATGTCAACAACTGCTGGGTAGCCAGGTGCGGTCTCGATTGGTGCGTTGTAACCCTTAGGCGAAGCGTCGTTGCTGATAAGAGGGACAACGATGCCGGCGTCGCGAAGCTGGTCCTCCACGTACTGGAAGTACTCAGGGTCCGGGAAGGGTTTGATTGCTGATGTGGCCTGAGTGTACTCATTCTCGGGCTGCACAAGAATGATCGGTCCGCCGTTCGTGATCTGCGCTGAAGCAATCTTTGCGCCGACGTTCTTCATGTAGTTGTCCGTTGCTGCAAGGAAGTCCGGGGCCCTCGTTCTCAGAGTGCCATTGACCCTCTGGATCCATCCTGGGAAACCTCCACCTGATGATTCAGCATTGATGTACGGACCAGGTCGAGCAATCAGATAGATGCCGGCCTCTTTGGCAGCATCGAAGAACGGCTGAAGGTCGAAGACACCTTCTTCGCGGTATTCACCGGGCTTGCCCTCGAGCAGAGCCCAGTCCACGTAAAAGGAGACACCGTTGTAGCCGAGTGCCTTGATCTTCTGGAAGAGATCGAGGTAAAGATCCGGTACAGGTAAACTGGTCGTAGTCAGCAACAAAACATCTTTGATCAACTGACGGTTACTTACCGGTAGGGGTGCACCTCACCAGAATAAAGGAAGATGCGCTCGCCATTCACGAAGATTGAGTCCTTATCCCAGGTCACAATATCCTGTAGAGCTTCCCTCTTGTATGGAGCAATCCATTGATCAGGTTGAAAAGCAACGGCTCTCGCCGCAGACTCAACAGCCAGGCACGAAAGCGCGACCGCGCCACCAAACTTCAGGATGCCCTTCATTTCTACTTCGAAGCGGACAGACGATTCAATCCACTGACCGGGCAAGCTTCACCTTTGTACACCTGCAGACTCGGCACCCTCACCGAGCCACCGCCCAATAGCATCCCATTCGTGCCTGACAATGACCGCACGCCCACCGGATTCGTCAGAATATCATCCGAGTCGCGGTCTTTCCCCCATCTTCCCCCAGTTTTCCGCTGCACGCAATGAACACTGCCTCGCTTCGCACAGCAACCCTCGCAGCACTAAACCCACAACAGCACGGACGGCACGATTCCACCAACATCGGCAGTTGGCGGCTCGCGCCAGCTCGCACCAGTTCTTCCGAGATTGTAGTTTATTATGACGCAGGCGGGGAATAGTGTTCACAAAACGGCTGAGCCGCGGCGGAATGCGGAATGTGGATGGACGATCAGCGGGGTGGCGCTGGGGTAAGTGCTTGTGCGATCTTGCGAGAGCTTGGAAAGTTAGGTGGTCCGCTCCTAGATGGGCAAGGCATCCGATGGAATACGAATCCCCACGAATCCCTTCGGCTTTTGGCCGAGGTAGGATCACGTTGTTGAAGGCAGGCACAATCGTGAGGTGACGGGATGTCAATTGTACCGGTCTGCCGAGCTTCTAGGGTTCGATGATGATTACCAGTGGAGAGGTCAGTGCTGCGCTAGCTCGATAAGGCTATCACCACACATGTGGAAGTGAAGTGAGGATGGACAGCAACACTTTGTGAAGCTATCGAGCTTTTCCACGTCGCTCAGAGCGGCATCAGCAGTGGAAGCTGCAGCAATCAGCAATTGCTGAACGATAGTAGGCCTTCCGGAACGGGCAATATACATCATCATCCCAAAATCAAAGGCCCTGAGTACCGTGAAGGCCTCCAGAGCTCATGGCTTTCACTCCTTTAATTCCCGCAATCAACACTTGCCTAAACAGGGAATATCTTGACATCTTCAAAATCCCTGGAGAAGTGAGAGAAAAGAGTCAAAATCGCCATTGCTGAATCCCTGAAGCACTGCTCCGCGCAGGTAAGTGCAGTGTTTCTGGTATCTCCACTGCCGGAACTCTCGAAATTCGAAATTGCCCAAAAGGGAAAGAGCTTCAGGTCTTCCTCAGTTTCCACTAGGAATGAGAGCCTTGTGAATGTTTTCAACTTCAAGTAGCGGCGGTCAATCTTCTGGATGTTTGCTACACGAAAGCATACTCTTATGTCAGACACTACATGGCCCTGAAACGCCACAGCAAGGATGGAAGCCGACCGTTTGTCACCTGTTCTGATCGCGGTCCGATGTGAAGAGCCACGACCTGACTTGTCTTTAGTGCCGTAGCCGTCAGTGTGGCTGCGTAACAGATAGAGCTCAGCATAATAGTTACCGCATAGGTGGCATTCAAACGGTCCACGGACGTCTCTTGCATATGGTGCGCTTGCTTGAGCGCAGCGTGGGGATCCGGCTCTTGATGTACGTAAAGGGGATGAACAGACTGTTTCTGGAACCGTTAACTATGGACATGGACGAGGGTAGACCTTCGCCTCAGGGTTGTCGCAATACTTTTGCAACCTTCTTTGCGTAGTGGTTAGCGGCATGATAGTTGACAAAGAGTTCACAACATTCCCATTGACAAGGAACATCGGCGGTCATCCTCTAGAGAAACCTCATCTACCGTCGAGGGGATGTTAGGGTTGCCATTGATATCCTTGTGCTTCTTTCTCAATGAGAGGAGACACCACGTTGTTTCTCAACATGGGCACGCGAGTACGGGCCTCTCTTGACAAATGGACAACACCACAGTGCAGGGTACAGGGAACGCTTGTAGTCTTCGTCTTGGACTTGGTCATCACTATTACCAAGAGCAGATCACCGAGACCATCGAGATCAACGTCCTCAAGGGCGTATCTAGGAAGGCTGATCGAGAACAGGGAGCAGTCTCAGAAGGGAGTCATTGCCGTTTTGTAGATATTTGTCTGTACGATCATGTTGGCAACTGATCGATGTGGTCGTCTTCGGCCTCGTCGGCGAGGAAGAGGCGGATGTTTTCTGAAACTGATGAAACTTTTTACGCACGGCTCCACTGAGGATCGCAGTGCTGTTCCGGGACAGCACGAGTGAAGCCGTGGAGCTGCTGTTCTGATACTCTGACTTGGAAGCGTGGGTGGAGTATCTGTTCCTGGTGGAAAACTAGAAGTCGAGGTGTGTTCACGCCGCGCAACAAGTAGTTCGGAATCTTGTTGCTGTGCACCGTCGGTGCCGGCTTCAGTGAGAGCATTGAAACTGCCACATGTCTGCTTATGGTGCGGGTGTGAGGTGGTTGGATTGTGCGGCGGTGGAAAGCCTGCCGAGCTGGCTGCGGGTAGCGCCTGCGTCAGAAGTTTTCTGCCGATGTCTTCGGCGTCTTCTTCACCTGCACTCTTTCGCGCGTTGTCTGCACAAATCTCTGTACACTCGCTCTCCTTGTTGCTGTACGGGCTGCTTGATGTGTTTGTGGATTGCGACATACGTGTGGGAAGACCCAGACGATTGCGATCACCAGCCAGGATGTCCAACCCCACCTTCAAAGCACCCCAGTTTATATTCCATACAATCTATACTGATTCCATCACAGCATCCAAAGGCACTTTGGGTAAGCAATCACCTCACAAAGAAGAACCACGAACAGTCGCTAACAGAAAATAGCGGAGTGGTTAACGCGTTGGCCTGCTATCTATCTCTCTGAGCTAGAAGTCAGCCAATTCCTTCGGGAGCGTGTGTTCGAATCACACAGGTGTCGCATCTATCTTTTTGGCCTATGCAAGCCGCTGCGCGAGACGATTTTCTTTTTGCCAACGCGCCAAAACACTAAACCACTCCGCTATTTTAATGTTAGCGACTGCTTGTGGTTCTTCTGTGTGAGGTGCGCGCCTAGCCAAAGGTCAGGCTGTGAAGCCTGTGCTGCGCATAGGCACTACGGCTGAGGGATTGCTTTTGGTGCTTCATGATAACACATCGATGGAAATGTTGTGCTCAATTGATGCTGTGCCTTGACACGCCAATCTTGGTATATTATACAGTATATCTCGATACAACCCTCCTCCACGGTTTGTCGCCCAGGGACTTACCGCCCAGGGTTCATACCAGGCATCAAGTCCGGCTTATCTAACCACATCCCCCTCAGCAAACACAACTGCCGCAACCCCTCCCACTCCTCACCCTCCTCGTCACCTCTCTTCCACACCTCCTTGAACCCCCAGGCGCACGCTATCCGATCCAGCGCCGCGCGCTCATCGGCCCTGACATAGCGGTCCAAGAGCGGCACACCGGGTCGCCAGACGACTCTGTCGTGGTCATCGTTGTAGGTCGTCAGCGCGACGAAGCCGAGTGTGCCGGTGCACATAACGTATGTAGACATGCCGGCGAAGGCATACATCTTGAATGTCCATGGGTCGATGTAGCCGCTGTATACACTCAATTCCTGCGCAATCATGTAGATGGCGAGCGGTGTCATTGCAGCGAGCACACCGGGAAGACCCATCTTGGTGAGCATGCGGTGCCGTGTCCAGGCCGGGGCGCGGTAGGTGTGGTCGATGACTGCGAGGGCGAGGGAGAGGTCCTTGGCTTCGATGGCGGCTGTGAGCGACTCGTCGGCGAGGTCGGCGGGGATAGCCTGCGATGCGGACTTGGGCGAGGGTTTGGAGAAGTTAGGTGGGGAGGAGCCTTCTTGTGGGACGGGCTTGTTGGCGTAGAGGTAGAGGATTTCAGGGATGGCGTGCGGGCGGTTGAGAAGGCGCTGCAGGCGGATATAGATCTTGAGGACGTTGGGCCCGATGAAGACGGTTGGGTGTTTCAAAAGGCCTTCGGCGAGCTTGGAGAGGTATGTTGGTGTGGGAAGCTCGTTCAGGCCGAGTGGTTTTGTGTACCTTCTCTTCTGTGTGGGCGTCTCTTCGTTGTTGAGTCCGGAGAGTATCGCGCCAGCTGAGCTCTGTCTGATTGTGGTCTTTGTGGGCGGTGGTTGCCGTGATCGAATTGCTATCGCAGACGCCGCGATCTCTTCTATGCCCTCCAGAATTCGGTATATGGTGTTTTCGCCCTCCACCTTGTTCGAATCGAAGATGTGCTTGATCTGCGCCTCCACCTCTGCCAGCCGTGTCTTCACCGCAGCAATTGAGTCAGAAGTCGACTGTGGGCTGACAGCAGCCTCTGGGAAGTCTGCCTGGTCGACATTGCGCCAGCTCGTCTGGATGCGGCGGGCGGGTATCCGGGGTATGGCAGCCTGCGTGCGCGCCGTTTGCCTCCGAATCGAGGCTGTCTTCAGGGTCGGCGCAGTCAGGAAGGCGCGCCGCGATACAGGCTGCAGCAGTATGTACTCACACAGTTGGCACACTGGCCGCGACTGCACGCGCAGTGGCAGGGCTCCGGGCTTCATGGTGGTTGGCGAGCTGTGGTGTGGACTGCGGCTAAGGTCCGAGAAGTGACGAAGCCGAAGCCTGCAGTCGTCACGCCAAGAGCTGGCATCCTCGACTGACGAATGTGCCTCGGAACCCAACCAAACGAACACGACACACTCACACACCGACACGCGGCTCCAGACAGCAGGAACCCGCCAAATTGCTTGCACTATCTATAGGGGAGAGACGGGAAGCTTTCTGCACAGCAAGAGGACACACACGACACAATGCCAGGCCCTCCCCCTCCCCCTCCGCCTATGCCGCCTATGGGACGGGGTGCTGGTGGACCTCCGCCGCCACCGCCAATGCCTGGAATGAAGGCGCCGGGAGGGAAGCCGGCTTCAGGCGCAGGTAGAGTACGTCTCAGTCTCGTTTGTACCCATGGCATGTGCCCGGATATGTCGGCATTAGCAGGACATGGAGCTTCAGCTAACATATGACAGGGAGCGCTGCTGGGTGACATCAACAAGGGAACGAAGCTGAGGAAAGTCGGCGCAGTGAACGATCGATCGGCGCCACAGGTTGGGAAGGTCAAAGATGCTGCGCCGGCGATTGGAGGAGCACCGCCAGTTCCAGGCATGGGAAGGCCACCTGCACCACCTGGAGGACTTGCGCCGCCCGTGCCAGGAGGGGGAAACAGAGCGAGGAGCAACAGTGATACTGGAGGAGACAGTGGAGTGGCTGCACCTCCTCAATTAGGCGGGCTATTCGCTGGGGGCATGCCAAAGTTGAGGAAATCTGGAGGTGTGAACACAGGTGCTGATACCAAGTCGCCATACATGTCAGACCCAGAGACACGAAGCTCAGCGCCTACACCACCACGAGCAGCAGCACCAAGGCCGCCAGGCGGCCCTCCACTTCCTCCTGGAGGTGCGCCTCCCGCGCCGCCCATGCCCGGCGCACGACCTCCACTCAGACCTGTTGGCTCTCTGGCCTCAAGTATAAGCGGAAAGCCGAAACCGCCTCCACCGATTGGAAAGAAGCCGCCGATACCACCTCCTTCGTCTCGCAAACCGTCTGGTATGGCTGCTCCACCGCCAGCATCGCCTGCTCGAGCCCCGCCCGTTCCAGGCAGCGCACCCCATGCCCCTCCACCACCTCCGCCGACCTCAACTCCATCAGCACCACCGCCTCCACCACCTGGCGCTGTGCCTCCCGCCCCCCCACCACCGCCGCCATCCGCAGCACCACGCGCTCCCTCACGATCGACACCCCCTCCTCCACCATCTGCGCCGCCAAGCAGACCACAAGAAGACGACGACGATTACGATCCCTACCGCTACGACAGCTCTCGATCTCGATCACCCTCGATACCTGCTCCTCCACCACCAACAAACGGCCACATCCCCTCCCTCGCAGAGCAAGCAGCACGAAACGCATTCGGCCAAGGTCGCGCTTCACCCGCAGCTCCTCCACCACCTCCACCTCCACCACCACCCCCCGGCGCAGCGCCCACCCCTCCACCACCGCCCGCGTCCGCACCTCTCCCTCCCCCGCCGCCGAGCGCCGCACCAAGTCGACCTACCTCGCAAGCGCCTTCTCGATCGATAATGGACGCAAGCATGTACACACTGTCGAATGGTGGATCGAACTTGAGGAGTCCAACGGGCACAATAAGCGGCGGCTCATCAGGCCAAAAAGGCAAGATTGTGCCCGTGCATGACCTCCGGTGGAGGTTCCAGTCTGAGAACTCGTTTCCAGCTCCAAGACCTTTTACAGGCGGGCCGAAGAGGTATAGGGCGGGCAGGGGGAGCAGTGTGCCGCTGGATTTGAGCGCGTATGAATAGGAAAATAGGCGCGGAGACAGGCGTGGAGAGAACGTCAGGATGAGGAGGAAGTGAAACGTAGGAAACTTAGTGGGGATGTTGGGACGTGGAAGATGTTGAGACGTTGAGCCGTTGTGAATATTGATGTCATTGTTAGGATAGATGGGCACAAGTGCAAGTGCGAGCTTGAAAGTACAGATTAGCCATGGCGTTAGAGGCGAGACAGGAATCGAAGAAGTGAACTATAACCAAGGTTCTTGTCCGTTGCTTTCCGCAAGGGTCACAGGCGAACAGAATGCTGGATGGCTACAACGACCATCGCAGATTCCCGTTGCACTTCACGAATCGACCGAGGAAGACGAGTACGGTCAAGACAGTAAGACGTGCGTTGCTGCATTGGGCTTTCTTGCGCCATGCTCTAATTGAAAAACGGGTATCTGTGATGATTGTACTGCCACAAGGGAACGGCTTCCCCGACCTCTGCCAGCAAAAATTGATAGCTGACTTGTTCGTGCACTCCCATCGTTCATTGACATTTGACCATCACTTTAACCGACTCTATATCTCTCCGTCCCTAGTGCTTATCTTGCCGAAGCACACTGTACGGTTTTGTCCGCACTGTCGGGTCTGTTCAGAGAAAGTAGCTCCTCCTTTTGCGATTGGTATCATTACAGACCTCTCACATAGTGTCACCGCTCTTGTGATTAGACCGTGTGCCACCTAAGTAGTGCGCTTTGAGCTGACTACGCTGTACTCTGTATCACATAGGCCTGTCTGCTTTCCAATCGGGTTTTAAACGTTATGGCGCCAAGATAATGCAACGGCTTTTGAGTTGTGTATGGAAGGAGAACATTTGGTCAAGTGTTTGGCGTCGGCATAGAGTAATCTGGCTGCTGCTGTTCGGGTGCAGTGCTACATACTGTCAGTTGGTCTGGTCTACAGCCTTAGTGCTGGAAGCACGACTTACGTTCCGGGCGTGTAAGCCATCCCAGTATCCATACTGCCGCCCATGTCCCACCAGCTCTCGTTCCAATTGCGGCCTATGAAGTCGTTCTCCATCGCACGCACGAAGCCGAGCGGATCTGGATCGCCGTCCATGGTCATGGGGAAGTCGGGGAATGTGTCGAAAGCGGATGGGTCAAGGTCAGACATGGCGATAGTAGCGTTGATGTCATTTGATTGCTGTTGCATGTTATTCGGGTCCGTAGGCAGTCCTTCGGACGTGGCCGGCCTTTTGTTGCGGCGACCGTCCTGTATGGTTCGCGACACCGTGTTGAGTGCTTTGATGGTTTTTGTGAAAGGCTTGAGGTCCGAGCGGATAGTCTTGCTTGTGTGCTCCATGGCGTCGGCGATGTGCTCAAGCTGGCACATATCTTCTTCGCATTCATCGGGATCGGTGCAGGCTATGATGTATTCGTAGAGCGTGAATACGGCACAGAACGGATAGAAGAGTATGAAACTGTGTCCATACATTAGTATGTCTTATAGCGATATCAGTGTCTGCAATGGAGCGACTTGACATGCTTTGCGACCAACTCGCAGAAGCTCGACAATGAGGGCTGAATGTGAAGATGAAGGCGGAGAACAGAACTTACTGAACGAAGTAGTTCGCGGGATCAGGTTTCTCCCGATCTTCTATACTGCCATCCTGTTCGAAATCCAGCAGAGTGCCGACAACCTTCCGTGCTGCGCGCACGGTCATTGCATCGAGGGTGTTAATGTTGTCAACCCTATTTGCAAGTCTCTTCAACCCGACAATGACAGCGCAGATGTTCATGATGTGGTCTGCGATAAGACAACGAATCGGAAGTCTAATAGTCGGATCTGCCAACATCGCCTCCATCTTCCATTCTGTCACCAAGGCTTCAAGTTTATTGCAGCAATCATTAGCTTCGTCAGTAACTTTCAATCCCTGATGGACGGCGTTGTCGATGTAGTTGATCAATTCCACCGCTCTAGCTGGGAACGCCAATAGTTAGCAGAGTTACTGAGCTGCGCTTGACAGTTGGCCCACACTTACCTGTATAACTTGTCCAGACACATGCTAGCATGACTTGAGTGGCATTGGGGTGCAGATTCCTTGGGGTTAGAACATTCGGTGGCCTTACCTTCTTCGAGGTCCATCGTAACTGGTGCCATGTCAGTCAAAGCTTGTGAAAGGTCAAGGACGATGAAGAACATGCGATAAGGACATATCTAACTTTCCAATATCATATCTTGGAGACGTCTAGATCACTTGGAGGTCGTAGACTTACGACTGTGGGTTTTCCGTAGAATAGACGGAACAGGCAATCAGTTGATAGAACGTGCCAGTAAAGATACCGGTTTGACTCCCTCTTCTCTTCTTCCTCAACCGTCCTGGGGGGAGTGACATCCATATTGTCGATACCCTTGCTTTTCAAATAGTGGCATGCTTTGAGATGAAACTTCCACGAAAGCTGGTAGTCCAGGTTGTTGATCGCAACCCACGCGCTCACCGCTGCTGTGTACCCATCCATATCTGTTTCAGTGGGTGCGTCCAACCAAGCGGGAACATGTTCGAGCGCTTTCAGGTATGCGGCCTGAGTAAGTGCGTGCCCAGGACCACGTATTTGGTTCAGGCCATAGTGTATTGCTGCGAAGTACATCACGTGTACGCCTGGGTCGACGATGATGTATGGCGAGCCGATGATATTTGGGAGCGACCGTAGAAGGTCAATATCAAGAGCGGTCGCGAAGATGTCTGGTACTACCAGCGTGTTCATCATCTCAATAAATGCCTCGATACACTGTCTCGCTTCGTCAGGTGTGACTGTCAGACTGACCTTTGGATGGGTCAGATCAGCTCGAAGTCTGAGTTTCCCAAGATCCTCCAGAGCATCACTTAGTGCTGACATATCAGTGTCGATCTGTGGTGTCGGTGTGCTGATTGGGGTGGCTTGAGATTGCAACTGTCTCTTTGTAGCGTTTGCCATACGATATATCCAAGAGTCTTCGGCACTCTCGGGTACCTGCAATGCGACGATTGGTGATGAATTGATAGTTGGGTCTTGATCTGTCATGTCTAATGTGGAGGTAGTCAATAAAGTTGAAGCTGATGGTGATCGCTGCAGTGCAGGCTCAACACAATGGCCAGCATTGCTGAGTTGTTTTTCGAGCAGCACAAGTCTCTGATTCAGAGACGTGACCGCAACTCTCTGTTGTGCAAGCCGAGGTCGTTGACGTCGTCCTACGTACTGACACTCAGCTTTTGCTGTGACGCACTGATGGCAGATGGGATCAGCTTTGTCGCACTTGATCTACAGCTTGTCAGTATCAAGCACCGATATTCGTCGAATTGGTGACAGTGTCTGTTAGTTGCGTTGGGCATTTGCCGTATTTTGAAAATTATCAAGTTGCAGCTAAGCTTCACAGTGTGCGAGAGTGGTCGTTCATGGAGACGCACCTTCTTGCGCTTGCAGCGCAGACACTAGCACGTATCAGTACGGAGCTCTGGAGATATACATAGATACGAAATGCCTACAGCGAGCTTCATTGTAATCACCCTGGTAGACGCTGTTTCTGTTCCTGTCGTGATGCGCCGCTTTCTCTATTTCCGGCGTCCGGATCTCTGAATGTATCTGCGGCTCCAGATGTGGACCATGGCGCTGATTAGTAGTGACAGGTTGTCAGAGCCTAATTTCAGCCAAGATCTTGCCCAGATGTGTAGTGATAGTTCAGTCACTGATGACCGATCATCGTGGTATGTTGAGGAGAGAAAAAGAAGGTTGATGCCGCGGAGCCGCGGCGCTCTCGGGCAGCGACTAGATGAGCCAATCAAGTTCAACTTTCAAGGCCGGAGTGGAGTTTCTTGGCATCGGATAATCTTCGTTCGCACTTTCGGTTTCCACTAGGACTCTCCGGAAAGCTCAACTTCCGCGAGATGGAAGCAACGACCCACCCGAAATACAGCACAACGAGCGCCACAGGAGTCATGGAAAGGCTTGGTTTCGCTTAGGCTGCCGGGAAGTGGACATCTGCGAGATTACGGAGCCCGTGATTGTAATTTTCCACCTGGTCCTACGTATTGCATTCTGCAAAATGAACAATCCTTGATATATGTACACACTGTGCGCCTACTTTATACAATCACATTCCTTGTAGCGTTCTGTTCGTCACTATGTCGGCTCCACAGGCCTTTACACAACAAGCGGGCGGCACCGATGTTGCACTCGCAGAGAAGCAGAAGCTCGAATCTAGCTCAAGCTCAGGTAACAGCACAACACCAACCGTCGATCGAGATACACAGCAGCAACATGAAATTCTCGAACTTGTTCGCAAATACACATCACAATCGACACAGCACAATCATAGAACGCCTTTCGAGGCTGCGGAAGGCAGCCGATTAGATCCCCAGAGCGATCGATTCCGAGCACGAGACTGGGCTAAGTCTTTCTACGAGCTGCGCTACAACAGCGATGAAGCTGTCGCTCGTGTAGCAGGTTTTGTTTTCGAAGGTCTCAATGTTTGGGGAAGAGGATCACCAACTGACTTCCAGTCAACCGTTGGCAACACCATTTTGAAGGTCCCAGCGCTGTTCGGCAGGGGCAGCCAAAAGATCGAAATCCTTTGCGATCTGGATGGTCTTTTGCTTCCTGGTGAACAGCTTTGTGTGCTCGGACCTCCTGGGTAAGCATAGTCTGTCTCTCTTTCTCCAATAACTGACACTCGTAGTTCTGGATGCTCCACTCTGCTGAAGACTATTGCGGGTGAGACACATGGCTTTCAGGTCAGCCCAGAGTCCTATTTGAACTACCAGGGTGTTCCAGCCGCTGATATGAACACCGCTTTTCGTGGCGAAGCCGTCTACACAGCTGAGGTCGATGCCCACTTCCCTCAACTCAGCGTTGGAGACACACTGTATTTCGCAGCGCTTGCTCGAGCACCTCGAAATATTCCAGGTGGAGTGAGTAGAGAACGGTATGCAGCGCACTTGCGCGACGTATGTATTCTCCCTCCTGATGACCAGACACACTTACTAAAGCGTTTGAAGGTTGTTATGGCCATGTTCGGCATCAGTCACACTGTCAACACCCGTGTTGGTAACGACTTCGTTCGAGGAGTCAGTGGTGGTGAGCGCAAGAGAGTGACGATCGCTGAAGCCACACTGAGCTTTGCGCCCCTGCAGTGCTGGGATAACTCGACGAGAGGTACATGTATAGCCTTTAAGACGATGGTCAAGCTAACAATCAATAGGACTCGATTCAGCAAACGCAGTAGAATTCTGCAAAACACTCCGCACGCAATGCGATGTGTTTGGGACGTCAGCTTGTGTAGCCATTTATCAGGCGCCACAAGCCGCCTACGATGTGTTCGACAAGGTCACGGTGTTGTATGAAGGTTATTATCCAGAAGACAAGACTTCTAAAGGTTCGCCTGGCTGATGGTTTTCTCAGGTCGACAAATCTACTTTGGTCCGGCACGTGAGGCACGTGAATACTTTCAACACCTGGGTTTCGAGTGTCCAGAATCACAGACAACCCCTGATTTTCTCACCTCAATGACGTCGCCCTCTGAACGTTGCATCAAGCCTGGATACGAGAATGCGACTCCTCGGACTTCTGACGACTTTGCACGCTGCTGGAAGGAAAGCGCCCAAAGGAAAATGCTCTTGCGCAACATCGAAGAGTACAAGCAGAACTATCCGCTCAAGGGTCCCGGTCACGAGCAGTTTGCGACGTCTAGAAGTCTGGAGAAATCACGAAAGCAACGCACCAAGTCGCCATACACGCAATCGTACTGGAGGCAGATCCGTCTCTGCATGTGGAGAGAGCTGCAGCGGCTCAAAGGTGACCCAAGCGTGCCTATAACCATGATCATCGTCAACTTTTTCGAGGCTCTGATCATCGCCTCCATCTTCTATAACTTGCCAGGGACCACATCTTCTTTCTTTATGAGAGGCGGTGTCTTGTTCATGATGGTCCTGCTGAACGCATTCGGTAGCATGCTGGAGATCATGAGTCTCTATGCGAAGCGCCAGATTGTGGAAAAGGCAAGTCATGACTTGGAGGGCGCACGCTAGCAGCAGGCTGACTTGACTAACAGCACAATCGCTATGCGCTTTACCATCCAAGCGCAGAAGCAATGGCCTCGATGATCATGGACATGCCATACAAGATCATGAACTCACTCGTCGTCAACTGTACTCTCTACTTTATGGCTAACTTGCGCCGAGAAGCTGGAGCGTTCTTCTTCTTTTACCTTATCGCCTTCACCATGACTCTCTCGATGAGCATGTTTTTTCGCTTGTTTGCAAGTATGACAAAGACGATCGCGCAGGCCCTCGCGCCCAGCTCGATTATCTTGTTGTGCCTGGTGATGTATACTGGATTTGCGATACCCGTCAAGTACATGAGAGGGTATGTATATCACCGATGTTGACTATGTTGTACTGACTCTCTTCAGATGGGCAAGCTGGATTCGATGGATAAACCCAGTGTCGTACGGTTTCGAAAGTGTGATGGTCAATGAGTTTCATGACCGACGATTTGCCTGCGCAGCCTTCATTCCTTCTGGGCCTGGATACGAGAATGTCGCTGCTCACCAGCGAGCGTGTGCGGTACAAGGCTCCGAACCTGGACTTGATTTTGTCGGTGGTACTGCCTATGTCGAAACGGCGTTCTCGTACCGGTGGAACAACCGCTGGAGGAACTATGGGATCATTGTGGCTCTTACCATCTTTTTGTTCGTCGCTCATCTCGTCATGACAGAGCTTGTGGCATCAGAGCGTTCGAAGGGCGAGGTTCTAGTCTTCCGCCGCTCAAAGATGGCAAAAGCCGCACGCCGCCAAGGAACAGATGAAGAGACTGGCAATGGCTCTGCCCATCAAGGTGAGAAGTTTGGCAACAGCGGCACATCGACACCAAACGTTCAGAAGCAGCAGTCCGTCTTCCACTGGGAGGGCGTTAACTACGAAGTCCAGATCAAGAGCGAAACTCGCAAGATTCTGGATTCAGTCGACGGATGGGTCAGACCAGGCACGCTCACAGCGCTCATGGTAAGTAAATTCGATCAAGGCGATGACCGGTCTAACGCGCCAATAGGGAGTGTCGGGTGCTGGCAAGACCACATTGCTTGACGTCCTAGCGAGTCGCACGACCATGGGCGTCATCTCCGGAAGTATCTTCGTGGACGGACGGGAACGCGATGAAAGCTTTCAACGGAAAACAGGATACGCAATGCAGCAAGATCTGCACCTTGATACTTCGACTGTCCGCGAAGCCCTTGAATTCTCAGCCATACTACGACAACCGACCGAGTACTCTCGTGACGAAAGAGTGGCGTATGTGGATCATGTCATCGACTTACTCGATATGCAGGAGTATGCAGATGCTGTCGTTGGAATCCCTGGGTCAGGTCTCAATGTTGAGCGTAAGCGTGCTGGTTTTGTCCTCTAAGAAAACCCAATACTGATGCTAGACAGAACGCAAGCGCTTGACCATTGGGGTTGAGCTTGCTGCCCGACCAAAGCTTCTTCTCTTCCTCGACGAACCTACCTCCGGACTGGACAGCCAGACCTCTTGGTCCATCTGCGATTTAATGGAAAAGCTTACACGGAACGGTCAAGCGATCTTGTGCACGGTTCACCAGCCATCCTCACTTCTATTCCAGCGTTTCGATCGTATCCTCCTACTTGCCAAAGGTGGACGAACAGTCTACTTCGGTGATATCGGCCGTGATTCCAAGGTGCTCCTGGATTACTTCGTGCGTAACGGCGGACCCGAGTGCGCTCCTGGACAAAACCCCGCCGAGTACATGCTCGAGGCGATCGGGGCAGCCCCTGGAGCTCAGACATCGATCGACTGGCCTCAAGTATGGAAGGACAGCCAAGAGTACAAAGAAGTACAGGCCGAGCTCTCGAGGCTGCGAGAACTTGTCAACGGCCCGTCGGCTGTTATGGACTCATCCAAAGGAAGTCATCAAGCCTTCGCTGCATCCTTCACGACTCAACTTTCTGCTGTTGGCATGCGTGTTGCTCAACAGTACTGGCGTACTCCTTCGTACATCTACTCCAAAGCCATTCTCACCGTGGGCTGTTCGCTTCTCATTGGCTTCTCCTTCTTCAACGGCGACAATACCCAACAAGGTCTTCAAAACCAGATGTTCGGCGTCTTCATCTTTTTGTTCGTGGTCATCCAGCTCATCTACCAAATCATGCCCATGTTTGTAACTCAGCGGACGCTGTATGAAGCCCGTGAACGACAGTCGAAGACATACGCATGGCAGACATTCGTGTTGTCCAACATCGTCATCGAGATGGCTTGGAACGCGGTAAGTTTATTTACTCTTATCCGCAACTACTGATTGCTAATCCTTTCTGACAGTTCATGGCCATCTTCTGCTTCCTCGTCTGGTTCTATCCGGTGGGCTTGTACCGGAATATGCAACCCACAGACTCTGTCGACATTCGCTCCTTCCACACACTGCTCCTGGTCCTCGTCACCTTCCTCTTCGCATCGGCCTTAGCACACATGTTGATTGCCGGCAGCCCCAGTGAGGAAGTGGCAGGTGCTTTTGCGACCCTCCTATCGATCATGCTTTATGCTTTCTGTGGTATCCTTGCAGGGCCAAACGCTCTTCCTCAGTTCTGGATCTTCATGTATCGAGTCAATCCTTTCACCTATCTGGTGTCCAGCTTTATGGCAACAACACTCGGACAAGCACCCGCCTATTGCGCAAACACCGAGTTTCAGCACTTTGCGCCTGCCAATGGGACCTGTCTCGAGTACATGCAAGAATACATGTCAATGGCGGGAGGCTACCTCCGCGATGGGCAGGCGACGGACCAATGCCAATACTGCCAACTCGACAACACCGATCAATTCCTCCGCCGCATCAATGCCAATTGGGATACGCGCTGGAGAGATTTCGGTCTGCTTTGGGTATACGTCGCATTCAATGTAGCAGCTGCGATGTGCCTCTACTGGCTGTGTCGCGTGCCCAAGGGCAAGAAAGCAAAGAAATGAGCGATGAAGCGCCCCCCGGAGATGCAGGTGTCATATCGTGGTGCACCGATTTTTTATTTCAATTGTGTCAGGATTAATATCCAGGCGGTAATAGACTTTTTAGACTTCCTTGGCCCTAGATTTAGTGTGTAGTTTAATGGTAATAGCCAGACTTAGCTCTCCGCCTAACCGGCAAAGCTATCTGCTGTGATGTCACTTCCCCAGTTACATCACGAAAAACGCATCACGGAATGCCATCATCAAGAAAAACCAGACCTTTATAGACATCTGAGGTCCCAAGGACCGATTTCTTATCTTTTGGGTCTCTTTGGGGAAGTGCATACCCCTACCAAGCCCACCATGCCGCAAGCCAATGGGAATGTGAGCCCAGAGCGGTTCATCGAACCACAGCGGCATCGCCAATCTGCAGTGCAGATCGCGATAAAGAACTTCTCCCCAGTATGGTATGTTATCTCTCATGTCGGCAAATCTTGTCCACACAGTTCTTGAAGCTCGTGTCGTCTTTCCCTGTCTCCAGACGTCATCCTACTTCCTGAGCGTATTCGATGAGCCTTGACGCGACAATGCGACACCATCCAGCCCATACTGGGCGCCGCATTGGCAATGCTTGACGGAGCTTCGCGCCAGCACCACAACAGTGACCACAAAACTAACATGACTTCTCAGGTTCCTAATATCCATGGACACAGGCATCATCTCGATAATCATGAACATCCTCCCCTGGCAATTCTCCGGCCTCGGCATCCTCTCCACAATAATGTTCGTCTTCAACATCATCCTCTTCACCACCTTCGCCCTGCTTTCCATCGTTCGCCTCGTCAACTTCCCGCGCCACGTAAAATCCGAGTCTCTCAACCAAGTCGAAGAAATCTCCTACCAAGGCACCCCCGCAATCGCATACCTGACTCTCGTCGCACAAGTAACCCTCACCTGCTCCACGGCCTGGGGCTTCCGGCTTACGATTCTCGCGTACGTGCTGTGGTGGATCGGGCTGGTGTGGTGCGTGTTTCTGTGTTCCGCATCGGTCATCGTGCTCGCGAAGCGCAGCATAACAAATGACCGGAGTCTGTCGCCTGCGATTTTCTTGCCGCTGATTGCGGTCATGACGTTGGGTACAACGGGAGGCATTGTGGCCAGATACTCGGTGGGCATGTCTGCAAGACTCGCTATCCCGATCATCGTCACTAGCTACATGGCTATCGGATACGCGTTTTTCTTGTCGCTGTTGTACTATGCTATCTACGCCCACCGATTGCTTGCTGTGGGACCGCCAATGAAAGGTAAGCTGCCGAGTTTGTGTGTTACGATCGGGCCGTTGGGGCAGTTTGCTACGGCGATTCAGCTGTTGAGTACGGCGGCGAACACAAGGGGTCTGTTTGGGGACTATAATCGCGGCACCTGGCTTACGGCGAGCTCGGCGAGCAGTGTATCAGCAACGAGTGAGCTGATTGCGTTGATGGTTATTGGGTTTGGATTCTTGTGGATTACGGTTGCGTGGTATTTGATTCTCGAGGCGGCGGTACAGAGGAAGATGCCGTACAGTTTGACTTGGTGGAGCATGATCTTCCCAATGGGTAAGCCATTCATCCTCTTTCATTGGCGAGGGTATTGTGCTGACTTTTCTCTAGGCGTCTACACAACAGCATTGATCAACCTGTCCATCGCGCTGAACTCCGATGCTTTCCGCGGATTCTCCGCAACACTGCTAATCCTCCTTGTCCTCCTATACTTCATGAACTGGGGCTTCACTATATGGAGACTCGTTACTGGAGTTGCACTAGGCATCCCACAGCAAAGGGAAGAGGAAGATGAAGAGGCAAAGAAGAAGGCTAAGGAAGAGCATGAGAGGTTGTATGGATTGAATCAAAGACAGGAGGAACGTGAGCAAGAAGAGAACCAGCAGAATGGCGAGAGTGCCTAGATTGCTTGTTACTTCTACCTTGAAACTTACTCTTCCCACATACGTAACATCAATCGGTCGAATATGCCAACAAGTGCATATCCGATTAGCCTCAAAGCGCGTACTAACCTCGCGACACACCACCTTCAACCCTCCATGTCAGTTGCTCGAGTAACTCCGGCGACTGCCCGATGGCTCTGACCACCAACCGGCTCACCGCATTCTGGGCAACGGGCGAGTTGCATTGGCATACCACACTCGCCAATAGCGAACTACAACAGTTAATGGAGACCCTCAAAAAAATTTGCGAAGACTTACTGGATGTCCGTTGATACAGTTGTACCAGTGACCAGTGTGCGTAGCAATACCTCCGCGGCCGCCGACCATCGCTCGCTTGATGGCCTCGATCTCCTCCTTCGTCACTTCCTCGTAGAACTCGCGACCTAACATTTGAAGAGTACGTTCGATACTCTGCTTGAGTAGATCTCGGTTCTGGAAAGCGTTCTCGCAGAGCTTGTCCGCTTCCTCAAGCAAAGTCTTGGCCGATTCGCGATATTGGGCAACCTTTGGGCGATCAGCTTCCTTGATGGCGCCAAATGATCCAAGTAGGAAGGCTGTGTGAGCGTAGTGAAGCGTAGTTTCAACTGCAAGCTTAGGCGAGTTGGCATTCCTGCAGTCCTTAATGAGTCCCAAACAGTCATGTAGGAAAAAACCACTCCGAGTGATCGGCGATCCGCCTGGAAATTCGAGGTCGATGGCGCCAGATCGAGATTTGTAGCTGCGAAGAAGTTCGAACTTGTCACTCAGCATCAGCTGGCGTACCTTGAGGTGATAGAGTCTACCACCAAGAGTGATGCGCTGGTCGCGATCTTGCTTCTTATTTGCGCTGGTTGAACCAAGACTCATTTGTGTCATCGAATCGCTGAGATAGTTGCTGGGATCGATTTGTTTGCTGGCAGCATGAACGATGGCCTCGTGTAGCTTGTGTGATGGTTTGTTTCGCTCATCCATCTTACGCAAGAACAGCCTGGCATCTTTCTCCAGATCGCTAGCCTTGACATATCGACTGCTGATCTTCCTTGCAACACCTTTCGTGGCCTCATCGGTCCAACGTGTGTCCGTACCAGGCAATAGTCTAGAGCGTGTCGACTCCAAACTCTCTTGAACGCTTTGCAACCTCTTCGAAAGCTCCTGAAGCTCTTGTTGCCCACTAACAATGAAACGCTTTGACATCTCATCGATAACTGCACGGTTGACAACCCTGTTGTATCGCTGGGTGGCATATTGGCGAACAGGCTCTCGGCAAGTCGGACACTGAGGAATCGAAGCTGCCAGCTGCTCGGTTTCCTTCAAAGTAGTGTACTCTCCGGTCTTCGCATCGATCTCGTACACGTCCTTCATTCCAATGATACCGTCGAGCGTCTCAACGGTGAAGAAGTGCCTGCGTTTGCAGCCCAGTACAACGATGGGCGAATCATCCAGGTCGACGTCCTTATATGGCAGCATCATAACGAGATCGGGTTGCTCCTCTGCTCGCATCCCACATTGCTGGCAGATATCGAGTGGGCACTCCTCGCCACAAAGTCCAGGGCACCGGTGCCCACATGGAAGCAGTTTCGTGCATCGTACATCGCACGGCAGCCTGTTGCAGGGAGCTGAGCACGGCATTGTACAATCGCCTTGATGTTCACAGGACCAGGTGCATTGTTCAATGCATGGTGCGCAAGGTTCGTGGCACTTCTGCTTGCAACGTGAGTGCTTGCATTGCACCTGAACATGTTAGCAAATGATCACTACAATGGATAGCTAACAACACTGACCTCGCAAGACTGTTGGCAAAGACCGCAGTCGCTTCCTCCATGACAAGTTCGCTTGCAGTTGTGGTTGCAAGTCCCATGCTTGCGACCGCAGGTCTTGATGCACTCAGGATGATTTGTAGTGCTCTGACCCTCGGCATTTTTCTGTTTGCAGCGGACGCAATTTCCTGGGCATTGATGACCGCATGAGAGAATCTCAGTGCAGGGCCATGAGCAATTGAATTTCTCATGGTTGACATCCAGTGAGCATTTGACCTCGACTGTATGCTTGCATCCTGGGACTTCTTTCTGTACAAGAACATCGCAAGTAATGCTGTCTCGGTTGAGGGTTTGGTAACACGGTACCCGATCCTTCGTGTGACCGCAGGGAAGTTGTACGTTGTCTATCGGGACCATGCACAGTCCGCAGTCTTCACCGCATGTAGACTTCTGGCAAGGATGCTCGCATGGACTGTGTCGGCGCTGACATGGCATCTCACATTGCCAGACCGCATGCATCGCTTCCGAGTGGCACGCTGCTTGGCAACTATGGCCACAGTTCAGCCTATCGGAACATGCTTCTTTGCATCCACCCTCTGGGCTGGCGGTCGCAAAGTCTTCAGGTTCACGAATCTCGATGACTTTGTCGACATGACGCGGACAGCATAGTGCGAGAGTTTGACCAATCGAGTTTTTGGCTCCGAGCATGTTGATCACTTTCTGCCACATGTCGACGCTGGAATATGTCTCTGTGTTGCCGATCAAATACATCCCGTGTTGAGCTCGGCTCAGTAAGACGTTGATGCGATTCGAGGTCTTTAGAAATCCGACGTTTCTCTCCTTGTTGCTGCGAACTAATGAGACAATGATGATCTTAGCTTCTTCACCCTGGAAGTTGTCGACGGTCGCCACCCTGAGAAGCTCGCTCAATTGTTTCTTCTGCAGTGGCTTGCGCCTGTGGTCTTGTGTAGCGACAGACGGTTGGGGCACAGTGTCAGTCGCGCTGAATCCGTCCTTTTCCAGAGCTTCCTGGTCGCGATCACTCAGTAGGATCTCGTAATCGCTACGCAAAGCTGCACGCAGCTTCTGTAGCTGCCCGGTATACGGAGTTAGTACTGCGATCTCACTGCTGCTGTATGTACCTTGTCGGATAATGTGGCGGACAAGTGCATGCACCATGTCGATCTCCCATTCGTTAGACCTCGACTTGCTGTGATACACCACACTGTCTTTCTCGTCTTCCAGGTGCCCATGGTCAAGCCAGTAGACATTCATCCGCATACCTACAACGTTCGGTAAGGTGATGGTCGATGAATGGTCGATCAGCTTTGGATAGATTGTCTCGCGAATAAGTGTGGAGACGTCGGGTCGCATGCGGCGCTGGATTTCCAGTTGCGCAACTGGCATTAGCGGTCTGCTACGCTCTCCGACTGCCAGTCGCTCAAACTGGCTCTTGTCGAGAGCATGTAAGGCACCTTGTTTACTCTCGAGGGACAGATCTTGGAAATTGTTGATCGTTGGGCGCAGCTGCTCATGATCTCCGATTTGAATGCAATGCTCAACAGTTGGCAGTAAAGCAGAAAGCATATGTGGTTCCATGACCTCTCCAGCTTCTTCACAAACGATGACTTTGGAGCTTACGTGCTTCAACACAGAGATCCTCTTTGCTAGTCCGGAAGTCGTCACACCGATGACATCTGCACCTGCCAATACTCGTCGGTCAGCCTCATCGTGGACTTTGTTTAGGATGGTGTGACATTTGTCTGCATCATCGACGTTCCTGGACAGCTCGGCCACAGCATCGACTCGTACTTCGGCAAGCCAGTGCTCTACCAAGGCGCAGCGCTCAACTGGGTTCAGAGAATGCACGCTGAGTGATGCCTTCCGAATGATGCGTGCGAGCTCTGAGGCTGTGATCTGGACTTGAGTACTGATTGCTGGCCTCGCGGGTCTCCAGGCGTCGAATGGATGTCGGCCGGCCACCTTGAAGCCGTTGTCATCAATTTGGCGGAACTGATGATGTATTTCACGGTATTTTCCAGAGATGTGATCATTTAAGCCTTTCCAGTCCGCATTCTTGCTTGAAGCATGCAGTCGCCCGAGGATCTTATTGACATCTTCTTTGTGCTCTTCCAGGCTCTTGTACATCATTGCCGACTGGTATGCCTCCATCTTGGTCTTCCCTTCGGATCTCGTGATATCACGAAGGTTGTGACCCTCGAGTAGCTCCGATTTGCTCTGACCACCGACACGAATGACTTTTGTGATGCCAACTTTGATCAAATGTTCGAGGAACTGGTCTAGAGCGTGATTTGTGTAGCACCTATGCAACCGTTAGTAAAACATCTTGAAAGAAGGCTTGGTGTAAGTAGTTGGAGAAAGATGTGACTTACACCACAATGATCGGCCCAAGAGAAGCTCTATTCTTGATCTCCAAGAGTATTCTCATGACTTGCAGGCCAATGTAGGATTTACCCGTGCCCGGCGGACCTTGGATGAAGGCGAACTCGCGTGTCAGAGCTGCAACCAGCGCTCTGCATTGTCCGTCATCGAGTGCTGTCCTCGTCGCGATATTCTCGATGAGTGGTGCATCTGAGCATGATGCGGTAGCTTCAATGCCAAAGGCATTGTCGGCGGTTTGTGCCTCTGCCTTTAGGATGGTCGCAAGAGGGAACTTGAAGCCGGGCTGTCTGGCGTAAACTGGCGGAGGGATGTCCTGAAAGACCTTCAGATGCAGTGGTCCATCATGTCGATCCGGTAGTAGCCACTGAGAGAATCTCAAACGACTCAATCGCTGCATTTCTTGCAAGTTCGCAAGGATCGGTACAAAGGTTGCCGGTAATATATTGGGAAACTCCAAGAGGACACCTTGTACGTTGCTGCAGCTTGCACCGATCATTGTTTCAAGCGTGTCATGACTCTGTGTCGTTAACTTTGTGGTGATCGTGGCCACAAAATCTCGGTATGCTAAACCATATTCTTGAGCGGGATTGGTGCTTTTCTGTGTGACCGTGAAAAAGAGGTGTTGCACGACTGAGTCCCGGATGAAGATGTACGAGAGGAGTGTGCCCTCTTCCATTCTCCTGGAGTCCTCCCACCAAGCGCGCCTCTCACCAGGTGATCGCCTGCGCGCACCATGAGGTTGAGGAAATGAGATATGCGCCTGAAGTCCACGACGTGTGTCGAAGCTGACATATTTGACTTGAGCGTTAGGATAATAGTAGGCTCGCATGCCTTGAAGATGAAATTTCGGATCGAAAAGTATGGTAGGGTCATCGGTAGCTGCGTGTAACAAGCCAGAAAGAGCTTTCTTCAACTCACCGAACACATCGTGGCGATAGAGGCGGAAGTTCGTGTCGATATGTCTTTTGACCTTGTTCGTCAGGAAATGTGGCTGATCGGGATCGGTCGACGGCAGAAACTCTTTCGCATCGCTCATCAACTCGTTGCGGGTGGGGAAGACTGTGATGTCGGCAATGTCCCTCTTGTCGTTGTCGTGTCGATCTGTGGGAATGACAAGGTCTCTTGGGTACAAGGATGCCGCGAAGACACGCCGTTCTTCCTCTTCCGTCGAATTGTCATCAGTGACCAAACCTCTAGCTCGGTCGATCATACCTTGGATGTCTGCGACCCGCTTCTTGACGACTGTAGAGGTGACAGAGGGCTGACTTGCCGGGATGATCTCTGCTGCGCTGTCCACAGCATTGACAAGCTGGTCCAGATCATTGTTGAGTCTCGCTCGTTGATTGCGATACAGCAACTCATAGAGGGCTACAGCAAGGCAAGTCAGAGCACTCTCCGCAACGGTCTGGGAGACTGAGATGTGCTCATCAGTGCGGACAGTAACCAACGCTTCGCAGAGATGTTGAAAGAACCCGATAGCTCGAGCTCCATTGTCGCCGCCTGCGATGAAGTTGTAGATACCGTTGACATACTCGTCCACTGCGAGGCAGTCTACCAGGGATGGATGCGTGATGACTTCTAGGAAGTTCTTCGCCACCTCAACATAGTCCACCATGCCGCTGGCTGTGGCACGCTTCATCACAAGAGCTTTGACGTGCGCGCGACCGTTACACCTGTGTTCGTCGCTATCAAGATCGCGAGGTAGCTGTTGCTTCCAATCGCGATCATCTTCGTGGAGGACGTTTAGGGCACCTTCCCAAACGCGCCGCATGGTGTAGGTATCGGACGGCGCGTACGCTTGACCGAGGTACTTCTTCCAGCCGTTGTACTGGGTTCGCGCCTGCTGTTGCTCCTCTGTCTCTTCAGCTCTCACTTTTCGCTGACTATCGTTGCTAGTACCATCGCTAACATCGTGTGAATAGCGGCAGTTTTTTCGTGTGCAGCTGCCGTTCTGAAAGCCAAAGCAAACCCTGTTCGCTGGTCTGTTGTTGCTGGCTTGCTCACGTCCGCCTCGATCATTACGCTCTCGTCCAGTACCACGGCCGCGACCACGTCCTCTACCATTTCCGCGGCCAGAGTCGCCGCCTTGCCAAATCATTGGTAGAGTGTGTTTGGCTTGTGTGATTGAAGGATTCTATAGAGACGATGGTCAGTACACTTCACTATAGTAACAACTTCAGAAGTACCCTTGTTGTTTCGCTGAATTTGATGAGTGGGTCGTTTGGTTAAGTGTGGATGACGGGCGAGGTGGAGGAAAGTGGACAAAAAAGTTTTCGTGGATGTAGGGACACCGGTGAAGTGAAGACAACGTCCCAAACAGGCAGCGATAGCAAACGGGCAGAAACAGGTTGTGCGCTGCAAGCTGCCGCACGCTAACGCCGTTCACTTTCATCGCTTTGTTGCTTTGATGGCGCGTCCCCAGGCTGTTCCTGATAGCGCAAGACATATTGATGGCCGTGATGACAAACACCTGCAGATACCTGTAGAACAACGGTCGATACGCTGATTTGGGATGTCACTGATGTGTTAAATTTCGTCATTTCGAGGTTGTGGCGCCACATGTACGGTGATGCATTCGGTGATCGAAGTGAGCTCGATAGCGAGACTGAGAATGCGTGACGTGTCGCTCATACTGGTGACGGATGCCTGCAGGTGTCGGAGGAAAGGGTCATACATATGCGACTGCACTCACAAGAAATAGCGTAGCTCCTGCGCAGTTGTAGGTCTAGATGTTCAAGGATTAGCCGCCGTGGGTGAGGCTGAATTGGAGACTTACCTGACAATCGTTGGAACGGTCCGCTACGCTCTTGCCTCCGAATGTACCACAACGGTGCAACTACTAGTGTGGCACGGCGACTACCTTAAATAGTGCAGGGTACGAACAATAGACAATGGTGAGAAGGTGATGCAATACAATGATCTTGATAAGAGAAGTGCTAGAAGAACAACACAACAACATCGCAATTGAAAGAAGAACGACCATACATTTACCCACAATTATTCCTCCTCTTACCAGGCCTTTACCCGTCTAACGCCCGATCTAACTCACACGCGAAACAAATCTATATCGTAGCGGTTCCTTCACCGCGGGACATACTTGTGTCTAGACAAGCATCGCAGCGATACCTACCGCACCAGCAAGCGCCGCACCCTTCCCAGCCAAGAAGCCACTAGCAGCACCAGTGAACTCCGCAAGCGGAGCAGACAGACTCGCGGTCGCTGTGCCAGTCGCACTAGCAGTAGTGGTAGCAGTCGCGACTGCAGCTACAGTCTTCAGCAACTCCGGGGTGGTCGTGTACGTCATGAGATCACCTCCAAAAGCGAGCGAGGCGCTTGCAAGAGCAAGACTTGAGACCGCAGACGCATTGGGGAAAGCAACGCGCTCGGGTGCGGGCGCAGATGGCTTCAAAGAGGCACGATCGAACTCTCCCGGAGCAAGGACGCTGAAAGGTGAGTTAGCATTCGCAAGCCGTAGCAGCTAGGGTTGGCTTACCTGTCAATAACATGGGCGACACCGTTATACAAGATGGTGTTAGGAAATATGATCCTCGCGTTGTTGACCCAAGCCGAACCATCAGGCAAGACGGTAAAAGTCAGGTTAGCGCCCTGAAGAGACGGAACCGTAACATTTCCCAAAGATGGCGAGAAGATAACGTTGTTGGGAATGATGTGGCAAGCAAGGACATCCTGAAGCGTTTCAACGTCTGCAGACTCGAGCACGGAGCCAATAGATGCGAAGGCTCCATTGGTGGGAACAAAGATGGTATAGTCCGAGAGGTTGAGGGCTTGAGAATCTCCACTCGTCAACCCAAATTCAATGCTCAGTTTGGCGGTTTCCAGTGCAGCGTTCAGGGCGGTGTAGCCCGCGCGGTAGGTGAAAAGCTGGAATGGGGCGCCGAATGAGAGGACGGTGTCGATTTTGTGGATTGTGATGCCTTCGCCCAGCTTGATGTTCTGTTTCTGGTTCAGTATATATTGTGAATTGTTTGCATAGGTTGAAGAAACACATACAGCTTCGGTAACGGTAGAGATGGTCTGCTCTCCAGAGAGAACGCACACATCATCTCCATTCTTTACAAGGCCGTTGTATGCGCCGCCAGTGAAATTGGAGAAGGGCTGTCGGTTATCGATGTATGAGATGTCGAGCAAGGTCTGGGCGAATGTGGGAATATCGGTGATGACGTTCGAAGGGTAGACTCCCTTGAAGACGTGGTTCGCAAGAAGAGCTCCAATGGCGATGGTGTTGTTGCGGAACTCAATGGCTTCGCCTTCGGGGATATTCCGAGGCACATTGGCGAAGGCTTGGTTTGTTGGCGCAAAGATCGTGATGTTGGAAGATGACGCAAGAGTATCCGCGAGGCCATCCACAAGACCGACAAGCTCGAGCAGAGTACTGAGGTCGGATTGAGATTGGAGAAGCGCAGCAATGTCGCCCTGGGCCAGGCAGGAGCCAGCCATGAAGATGGAAAACCAAAGTGATGTACGCATGTTGAAGCTGGAGGTTTTCGGAAACGCTGCGGCGAGTGCGAAGACAGCTGTTGCTAGGAGAAAGAAGGCTGAAGCGTGCGATGTGAAGCTATAGTGTAACGCTCTCATAAGTAGATGGTCGATGTGCTTTTTGTACTCGACTTCAACCAGGGCTCTCCAGTCTCCCACCGGTCAAGAACAGCGTGCTGACAATCATGACGAGTATACAAGACGCTTTCGTCGCGGTTCGAGTTCCACGATCGTGGCAAAGCTAATTGATCTGGCGTTTAGGCCTCCAAAACTTGTTGTTGATCGATGTACCGTGAGGTCTTACGCGCCATGTTGCCCAGAGGCGCACAGCCATGCCTAGACATACACATAGCCGTGCACCAATCGTTGAAGGCCTCGTCGAAAGCGAGACGGTCAAAATTTACCGTCTCCACTCAGAACCGCAAGGCTGAGATTGAGCGAATTCCAATCGAGCAACCGAAGGTTAGCATTGTCTACGCCAAGTATACATTCTGCGCACAGACACCTGTATTCATCTCCAAGCATTTGGTAGTGGTCTGTAGGCACAAGTGAACCTGTACTTCCTTCTGGTTCATTGGTCATGATACAAAGCCAATCGAGAAGCTGTAGCTGCGATGAAAGCATGGTGCGCCGGCGATGAAGAGTGTTGGTTTGAGGGAGTCGTGATGGTGGATGTTTGGAAAGGATCGGGCCTTCGGGTTGTCGGACTTTGCAGCCTTGCCAACCCGAACCGAAGGATGCAACACGAGCATCCGTCATCAGCTGCATTTGCAGGAGTGGAGACGGCCAAAAATTGCCGAAACCTTGCTCATACGTTGTAGTGATTTAGACTCACGTTTTCCCATCATTTGTAACCACACCATTGTATTGCTGATCAACACCGATTTCAATTCATTACTACATCTCCCGCGCTGTACGCCTCGTACCGCTGCAGAATTGCAGTGTAGTCATTGTACCATTGCTCCAGCCATGACGTTGCGTCGAACATGCGAGTCGTATAACAGCTCATGGTAGGATCGAGAGTCCTCATTTGCGTCGTCAAACGCCGCAGCTTTGCACCGCACTCCTCGATGTGGAATTGGTCCTTCGCTAGACATTGTCCGTAGGTATTTGTTGGGTCGGTCGAGGCGACCAAGAGGTTAACCAGCACGAAAAGAGAATATAGCACGGTCGGCGCAAAGCAAAAGGTTGGAAGGCTGAGAACCAGAGCAGGATCCATATCTGCGGTGGTGTCGATGACGGCGTGACAGTGTTGGACGAGAGAAGCGAGCGCTTCTTGAAGCGGAAAGATGATGTGAGTTGGCTTTGGGAAGTCCTTGACTACGATGCGTCCCGGGATGAATGGTGCTGCAAAAGATGCCTTATTCGTAGGTGTGTGCAGCACGACTTCGTAGATGTGGGCCATCGCTACATGGTACCAGACCTTGAGCGTTCGCGACGATGCAAGGCTGGGTGGAATTCGAGCCGCCCATGCATCAACGTCAGCCTTCAGCCTCTCGACGGTAGCGTAAGTACTGCGGTCGTTGCCGTCGACGAATATTGCTGATTGGCAAAGGTATAGGAGGCTGGAGACATCATCAATTAGACGGGTGATGCGAACAATCTGACAAAGCAAGATGTCTGGCATATCCCCTCTGGTCTCCAGATCTATGAGGCACTCCTGATGGTGAGCATCCCAAGGGACGGCGATTGACCGACGCGTACTGATGGACGATGTTGAAAGTGCCACGAAACAGGCAAGCCAGGTACGCCGCGCCTCGAGCGAGTTCGGATCCTCATGCATTGAGAAATATGCCACTGGAGAAGGCTGTAGCGAGGAACCGGCGATTCCAAGGTCGATGGCCATGTCAGTTGCTAGCTGAATGAGCTGGTAGCAACTACCCTGTTGGCCTTTCTGAGATATCTTGTTCCAGAAGGAAGCTACGAGCAGCGCCTGCACCAGCTCGAGGGACCTTTGTCCTCGACCGATTACCTCGTTGCCAAGAATGTACATTGCTTCTCGCACAAGCTCATCGTGCACTTCTAACTCAGTGCCTTGGGTTTGTTGCGTGACGGAGTAGACCAGTACAGAGAGCAGTAGGATTGGAGATTTGGCTCGAATATCGTTCAAGCTCATGGGTAGGCGGACCACTGGCCACGCGGCCCCTGCATGGCTCGCAAAGGAGTAGAGCAGTTCTTGTTGTTTGCTCGGTGGGATGCGAACGTCCAAGAATGACAGAACGGCGTCGTCGTAGTTCTCTTGCAAGCTAATGGGCGACTGGCCTGGCGTGACGCTGCTACTCCGCTCTCGCAACGCCTTCTTAAGTTCCTGGATCTGTGCTTCAAGCTCCTGGATACGGTCGCGCTGAAGACGTGGTGCTGCTGGGACGCACTCCAAGTTGTTGCGGCTGCACCGCTCGCATGTACCGCCAAGGGATGTATTGACATCGCACTTGATCTTGAGACGATGGCACTCTTCACAAGCACGAGCACGCTTTCTCGTACTGCCCGTTCGATCTAGAGAGGACATAGGTATTGGATGTGAGGATGAGAGGATTCTTCCTTTATGTTCACGTCTTCTGTAGTGCAGCCATCTAGTGGGGATACTGGTGATGACAATGGACACTAAGAAGTTGAGGCGCAGCAGCATCGGCAGTGGCACCTGCCTAATCTGAGTGATCGTTGACGTTTTGGGCCAAGAGCGAAGGCGGGGAAACAACCATCCGGACCATCTTACTAGTTTTACGTTGTACGCTCGCTTTATCTTTACACGTCTGATGTCGGACGGTGCCTCGAAGGTATCACCCAAGAAGTGCTGCAGCACAGGGCTTCAGGTAAATTGAACGGGTTCATCAACGCGCCCGTCGATGAGGCGGAAGAATTTGTCCACTATAAGGATGGAAGCCCTCTCAACCCTGAGGCTTTTGCAGTTGTGGGTGGTACAGCTGCAGCGGTGTAGTACACAACAGTCAAGGTGGGCGATACTGGAGCAAACATACGAAACAAGCGAGCGACCGACGAGAGCCGACAGGCTGCGTTACGAAGATTGAGTGTACCGATATGTTGACTAGCGGTAGCGACGGAGGTGTTCTTGTATTGTGTTTCTACAGACGGTACGCGGCAACGTCGTAACATTCCTTGGAAATATCTTTATTCTTCTGTAACATCAGCGAAATCGAGACCTGACGCTTTCGTCCTGCTACACTGCAAATTCTTAACAGTCCACTCAGGTTGAGAGGAACTCAACGACTTTGTATCCGGAGAATCGGCACTCGGGTCATGATGGTATGGTGCAGGTTGCGCACCAGATCTGTCGATGCTCGAGCCACAAGGCGTGTGTAGTGGTCTGACCGGATTTCTAGGACCGCGCCATGAACTTGATAGGTTGGGTTGGTGTCTAATACTGTTCATACTGTTGCTCGGATTAGCGACTTGCAGTATTTTCTGAAAACAGGTAACATACCATCCAGATAGTCAGCAGCGATCAACAGCTCTAAGCATAGCTCAGGTGGAATATCCATATCTGAGACATCCTTGCTGTCTGCATGCTTCTGGTTGTAGTAGAGATACTCGCACACTTTCTCGAGAACGACACCGCTTCTAGTCGTCAGCTATTGGTCTTTGGCAGAGTGCTGCGGTCGCGCGTGTCGGCGTGGGAAGGGGCGGCAAGGGTGGCGTACTTGATTGTGGGGAAGTCCATGCGGTTTCGTGTCGTTTCTTGGAAGCCAGCTGCAAAGCATATCAGCCTCTAACTACATATCTCGAGGTCGATGTACTCACACTCAGGGTTCATCGCTCTCTTAATCGTGCCTGCAATGCACGCCGCTGAGCGAAGAAGTTTGAACTCGTAGCCATCGTTCGACACCAGTGTCACGTACTCGCTAGTCTTCTCGCTGCTCATTGTGGCAATATGCTTTGCTTTTTGGAGACTGGGATTGTTTGTTGACGCTCAGGATTTGGAAGGGGAAAGATGAAGTTCGTCTGTGAGGCGCAACTTCCACAAACACGAGATCGCGCCATCACGTGCCAAATGTTGCGTCATTGGCCAACACTGTCCTGATATCTTTCCCCCAACCCTCTGCAGCCCTCTTCGACATCAACACACCATCCGGATAATTCATCCTCTTGCGCCTAACCGGCACATCTTTGGTGTGGGATTTGCTGAAGCAAGAGATGGCATGGACCTGCCTTTTTGAGCTATAAGCTACCCCGCCGCACCCCGCGGGCATGCCTGTCGGACCTGACATCGGAGGGCGCACGCGATAGCAAGGCTGGAGACGCGTTTGACGCCAACATGCTGCTCTTCAAATACCGGAGCTCACCGCGCATTCGAGCCCAATCTCTCGAGAATTGGTAAAGCTTGAAAATGAGGTGGAACAAAGCATCTTTGCTGGCTTTGCCTGCCCTTGCCTCGGCACACGGCGCTCACCACCTTCACCAGGAGGCATTCTCGCAAGAGCGTCTTGATGAATTGGAGCAGAAATGGGGAACTGACGTGAGTCTTCCACACATTCCATATGGATAGCAACTGACAAGTGCAAGTGGGGTTTCAGCGGCATCTCGACCTTCGCCCATCTGCCTCATACACGGTGCTTGACCCATCCTGAGAAAGCCTATGATATTGCCATCCTCGGCGCTCCCTTCGATACCGCGGTTTCCTACCGACCGGGAGCTCGATTCGGTCCTCGAGCAATCCGTTCTGGCTCAGCACGTCAAACGTCCTTCAGAGGGTACAATGCACGCGCAGGCCTCAACCCGTTCACATCATGGGCGAACATCGTGGATTGCGGAGACATTCCAATAACGCCATTTGACAACGCTCTCGCTTTACGGCAGATGAGCGAGGCCTACTTGGAGCTTGCAGGACGTGGACCCACGGAGAAGAGCAGTGAAAGTGGAGTCAAGTACTTCAGCAAGCCTAAGGTTATCACACTGGGAGGTGACCACAGCGTTGCGCTGCCTGCTCTCAGGGCTTTGAACAAGGCGTACGGCCATCCCATCACAGTTGTGCATTTTGACGCGCATTTGGACACATGGCACCCCGCCAAGTACCCCTCGGCTTGGATCGACCCTGAGGATCCAACTACACAATCCTTCTTGAACCACGGCAGCATGTTCTGGCTTGCTTCAACCGAAGGCCTTATCGCCAACGGCTCGAGCGTGCACGCTGGGCTCAGGACTAGGTTGTCTGGTGATGATGCAACCGACTACGAAGACGACACACAACAGGGGTGGATGCGCATTTCCACCGATGACATTGACGACATTGGAACAAAGGGCATCATCGAATCCATTATGGGCCGCGTTGGTACAGAGACACCGGTCTACCTCAGCATTGACATTGATGTTATCGACCCTGGTCTGGCACCCGCTACAGGTACACCAGAGCCTGGAGGTTGGTCTACCAGGGAGCTGATCAGGATCCTGAGAGGCATTGAGGGCTTGAACGTGGTCGGCGCAGATGTTGTCGAGGTCAGCCCGGCGTATGACAGCTCCGCGGAGATCACCAGTGTTGCTGCTGCGCAAGTTGTCTACGAAATCTTGACGAGCATTGTCCGCAAAGGTCTGACTGAGCAAGCCAAGATTGGAAGCAACAAGAGCAGCGAAAAGGATGAGCTATGAGATACTGCAGGTGGTTGATGTTGTGGGAGGTCAAGGGTCGAAGCGATTTTCACCGTATGCATGTGGCGCTAGGAAGCCAAGCACGCACTGTATGAACTTGGACATCCTCGGAGGGGTGCATATACACGTGAAAAGTGCTCCATCATTAATATATGACTGAATGAGATCATGCACAAAACGAGTTGCTTCCTTTCTGCCAAGCTAAAAAAAAGACCCTACGTCATGACTTGCGCATCGCCAGCACCATATCAAACAACCTCCATGCTCTCACAACCGTGATTCAACTTCCTCAAACACACAACTATCAAACAGCACACAGCCATGGAACACTACGCACCCCATCCAAGCTCTCAATTCGAGGGCTTCTACTCCAAATTCGACCTGGAGAGCGGCGCTCACATCGCCCTCATCATCTGCTCAGTCCCCAAAGCAAAAACACGCCCACATATGGTCTCATTCACATACTACCCCAAGACCAGCTCTCCAATATTCCAACGCGAAGAATTCGTGGACAGTATCGAACGAAATACTACAGACCCAAAGACCAATGCCTTCGAGCTCCGCATCCCAGGAATAGGCTACATGGCCACCCACGCCAACGGGACAACATCCTACCGTCTGAACGCACCCGAATGGACCTTCGAAGCAGACAGCACCTCAGTCACCCAGTGGCGAATAGATAAATCCACGCCCGAGGGCTGGATGATCAATCTCCCGTTCCCGCTGCACTGGCACGTGCACAGCACTTGCTCGCCGTGCACATTCTCTCTCTCAATTCCTCCGCTCGGCGACCAGCATCCTGAAGTAGATCGAAAGGGCAGGGGACATATACATCAAGAGAAGAACTGGGCGAATAGTTTTCCAGACGCGCATATGTGGGTTCAGGCCTTTGATGTGCAGGAAATGAAGGGTGTGTGTCTTGCGGGCGGGAAGATTATGGGACAGACGGCGTATATGCTGGGGTATCGGTCGAACGACCTCGTTCTAGACTTCGTTCCCCCGTTTTCGGTGTCGTATCTTAATATACCGTGGTTGAGTCCGTTTATGAGCGTGGATATTAATTGGGAGGAGCGAAGTTTCAGTATATCAGTGAGCGATTACGTCAACAAGCTCGAACTCAAGGCGCAGGCGCCGAAAGGAACGGGTTGGTTCGGGCTGGCAAGTCCTTTCCCAGATGGCCATCGTCCGAATTTCTGTCAAGAAAGCTTTATCGCGACGATAGATGTCAAGATCTACGAGAGTGAGGGGTGGTTGCCGTGGCAGGGGTGGAGGCAGATCAAGGAAGAGAGGTTCGAGAATGCGAGTTTGGAGTTTGCTGGAGGGTATTACCCTGAGAGGGGGGAGTCGAAGGAGGAGTAGATGGTGTGATGAATGGTTCCTTTGAACAAGGCTACTTCTACGCACACGACACTACAGGGTATCCTAGAAATCAACTACGCACCTCCACCACCATGCATAAGCTTCTTCTCTTTAACACTCTTCTGCTTCTGTCCCAGACTTACAAGGAACGCCATACAACTCGTCGCAATCGCCAGCACAAATGCCGTCACAATCGCGTTATTGTACCCATACAACACCCCCGACAATTGTTCTGGCGGAACGAGCTTTCCGAGGTTTGTTGCTCCCACCTGCGCAACAACCTGCGAATCGAAGTTTGAGTATTTCGGGATCTCCTTTCCCAGCGTATTCACAAAGATATCCTGGGCGATGAATACCGAGAGTGCGCCGCCGAGACTATTAGAAAACAAAACACAAGCATTGGCCGTCGGCATGTCTTTTACGCTTGAGACGACTTGCACTGCGATGAAAGGGATCTGGACTCCTGCGCCGGCACCAACACCCGCAAGAATCTGATAGCCAATTCAATGGCTATTAGAGGAATCGACCTCCAACGTATACAGCATACCCGCACCGATCGCGAACACCGCACTGCCAAACCACATAAAAAGTACGTACCATCCCACAACGGTGATGGCCGCACCAATGACGATGGAAGAGACGGTGATGCTGACGAGGTAGGCGATGGTGCGGATTCCGGATTCTTCGGCGGTGGTGCCTTTGATGGCTTGGAACTAGAACGGGAGGTAGAAGATGTGCCTGGCTTGGTCAGCTCATGGACCGTCGATTCGAAGGGTACAAAGGAAGAGTGAGAACTTACGTGTACAGCGCCATTGACAGTAGCGCAGAGAACACACAACTGACTAGAATAGTGCGCTGCTTGAATACTCTCTCTGGGATCGTTGCTTTGTCTCTCTGATAGAACTGAATCGCAATGAACACAGTGATGATCAATCCGAAGCCCAATAATGTTCCCCGCGTCTTCGAGTTGCTCCATGTATACGTGAAGCCACCCCATTGCAACGCCAGCAGCAGACTGACAATCGCACAGATCAGGAATACCACTCCCGCCAAGTCTATGTTCTTCAACCGCTCCTTAATCGGAATGTGACTATACTTTATCTCCGAGTACCAAAAAAAAGTACACCACCGTCAACGAGATCCCTCCGAACAGCAGGTTAATCCAGAAACACCATCGCCACGACCATCTGTCTGTGAACGCGCCGCCGAGAATAGGCCTGACGACGCTGGCGATATTGAATATGAAAGACAGCGCTGCGATGTATATAGCGAATTCCCTCAGCGGGGCCGAGAACCCAATAATCGTCATGTCGCCTGAATACGAAGGAGCTAGTATTTATTGAGTTGACCCGTGAGCGCGCAGACCCAAACATGACAATCGTTCACCACACTCATAGTAATTCCCACCAAAACAACAAGCACATGCCATTTGGGGATAATATGACATGGTGAAGCTTTTGAATTACATACATTTGAGCTGTCCTGACTCTTTTTTGGTGTTGTAGCTACCCATGGAAGTTGTTTTTGCCCCCTGCACATATAATCCGTCTTACCTGCTCAGGAATCTGCATCACCCACCGATTGATTGTTTCAATAGGCAGGGCTTCCCATTGCTTCACCCACTGATCCTCACACTCCTTGGCATCACAAGAAGGAGTGAATTCATGAGTCACATGCCGTCGAATCCATGGCCAGGCATGCTCAATTGCGTTGACCTCGGGTGAGTGGCCTGGCCACCACAGTCTTTCAATATCCTCAATAATAAGGTAATCGTTAGAAATACGTGACTTGTGAGCAGGAGCCCCATCCTGTTGTAGTATACAAGGTATCCCCTTCTTTTTGAGTGAATTGATCCATGGGACAACCTTCTTGAGGGCACCTTCACGATGTCGGTATCCATCGACTCCTCCATGTGCACGCTCCCCACGCTTGTAATCCATCTTTGATGGCACATACTGCTTCTTCCTGGTGTTGTATCGACGATTGATATCAGCCTCTTCAAGGTGGTTAAGGGCTCTGCGTGCCTGGATTTGAAGCTTGTTGTCACGTGTTTTCTGGTCCTGATTCAACCTCTTGATGTGGGCTGCTGCCAATTCCTTCTCTGCCTTTGTTTCTGGGTAATATACATGACAAGGACCTTTGTGATTGTACCGAAATGAGGCATAGAACTGTAGGCAACAGTTCTTGGTGTTGCGATTGTGTTTGACATTGTTGTCCCACTTCTCTTCAGCAGTGCACCATGTCCTTATCATGCCTCGTTCTTCACCAATTCGAGCTGGTGTTTCATCGGTAAACACCACCTTAGTAAAGTCGTAGCCAAGGTTATCATACTCCTTGTGAAGATCAGGGTTATGGGCAAGTGCCCACTCTAATCGCTCCTCCTCTTGTTCAGTTGTGAGGCTTGGTTTCCACCCAGGCTTCCTCCGAGCATACCCAGCCTCATACATCACATTCTGGAAGGTTTCAATGCTCATTTTGGGTATAACCTCATTGAAATCACCTCTTCTGACTGCCTGCCAAGGCTCCTTCTCGCGGTTCTCCTGGGAGGAGGTGACAATCCTAATGATGTGATCCTTCTGATCCTGGGATAGGAGCGTTGGCCGACCACGACCCAGTTCGTTGTTGTACAAAATTGAGTCCCACAAGAAGCCGTCTATGTTCGCACGCTTCTTTTCTACCCTATTTATCAGGTTTGACAATGCAGTCGTGGTGCGGCCCATGGCGTTGGCCAGGTCTCCAACAGAGGCATAGCCACCCCGCAATCCTGTGATAGCCCCCACTGCAAACGCGCGCTCAACCACAGTTAATTCAGTGCGCCCAGTCTTGGGAGGCTTCACAACCTTGTTCTCCTTGTACTTGAAGTTTTTGCGACGTGAAATAGGCATGTTTAATAGGTGTGGGGGGCTGCAATAGTATAGAATCTATAGTGTTGGGCATGCGTGATGGGGGCGCACACGGGCCAAAAGTGTCAACTCAATAAATACTAGCTCCTTCGTACAGCGCTGCAGCGCCAGCACCAGCAATTGCGCGCCCAATGATGAACATTGGTGAGCTGGTTCCTGCGGCGCATATCACGCTGCCAACCTCGAAGATCACAAGAGCAATGAGGTACGTGTACTTGACATCGAAGTACGTATACATTTTCCCAAACGAGGGCTGCAGTGGCGTAGTAGTGAGCAGGTACAGTCGGAGGACAAAAGTCTTGTCGCCCGATGCACTTGGACCACCACAACTACTTTTGAGTGAATGTTCACACACTATTATCTCAACAACCACACGGTGAAATTTGAATCTGATTAAAGCGCTGGATTGCGCATGATCTCAATATTTAGTCTGATACCCCTGTGCACGCATACAGGCACTGAGTCGTCGTGGCATTGAGTAGATAAGCTTCTTGATCAGAGTATCAGGTATGGCCCACCACGCCTCTCTTAACCCTTCACAAAAGCAATCCCACTCCTCCTGGGTATCCCCGAGTGTATCAAATTCAGGGTGAAGCTCATGGAGCTTCCGTTTGAGAGCCCACCACATGTGCTCGATTGGATTGAGGTCAGGTGAGTATGGTGGGAAATCCATAGTCCATACCCCATGAGTCTCTAACCAAATCCTTGTCTTTTTGGCCTTGTGGATAGGTGCGTTATTGTGCATGAATATATCCATAGGGTTATAGTGAGGTTGGAGTCCATCACTGAGAGTTGAGATGTATGAGTCGGCAGTATAGCCTCTGCGTTGTGAGGTAGTATCCCGTTCCATGATGACCAGAGGACTACGCCTAACCCTACCCCCCCTAGTCACCCATATGCTTGCCCACACCATCTGCTGCCTAGCACGAGAAGACTCCTTCTCTGTCACCTTATTGTGATCATATTTCTCATCTGGGTACTGAAAACTCCACTCCTGGTTGGCACCAGAACCTCTTGCAACGCTGCACTCATCACTGAACTTCACTACTACCCGCTTCCAGTTGAGATGTGAGTGCTCACGTGCAAACCTGAGCCTGAGTAGAGCTGTGGCCCGGTTGATCTTAGGCCTCCGCTTTGATCTGAAGTTGCGTAGGTCTAGTGAGAAGAGCGTGCGATAGACTGTCTTCTTAGAGACTAGAGGGTGTAGGTTGCTGTCAGGCCACAGGCCAGCCTCCTCTAGTAGTGTACGGTATTGGATTTTGGGAGATCTTCTGGCAATGCGAAGGAGGAGACGACGCTGGCGACGCGTTAGACTAGCTGGGCGACCACTGCGAGGTCTGCTGGCGTTGGTGTTGAGCTCGTTGTAACGTGAGACGGTTCTCTGGATTGTCCGACGCGAGCAGCAGAGAGTCTTAGCAACTTCATTGGTCTGCGCACCATTCTCTAGAGCAGTAATAGCATAATCGCGTTGACGCTCTGATAATTCACCACCAGGCAATCGATCGGCAGAAATCTTAGCACCAAAAGCTCTCATATTGGGTGTGTAGATGGGGTGGGAAGTTGGGTTGTTGCTGATGCAATCACGGTGTTGGGGTGAGGCCTGTGCTCATGCGACCAGACTTTAGTCTTAGTACTGTAGGAGGAGCCATACCAACCGACGTCTTCGAGGCTGTTGGAGACGGACGTTATCTTTGGGGTGGCGGTTGCGATGATGGTGTTGTCGAGGGCGATGACGAAGGTTATTAGACACAGGCCGAAAGAGAGGGTCCAGAGTTTGAGGCCGGAAAACTATTTGGATTCGTCTTCGGGTTCTTCATCGTCTGCGGGGGCGCCGGTTATGTCTTTTGTTGTGGTGCCCTTTTCCTTGGGTTCGTCCACAGTTGACCCTTTCTCGTCTCTGGTGTTGTCTGGCGACGCATCGTTGCTCTTTCTTAAGTCGTTGCCGACTTCCTTCTCTTCAGCTCTTCTTTTGTCGTCTGTAGCCACATTCTTGCTGCTCTTCGTTTCTGGAACACCTATTTTCTCACTCGCAGTGCCAAGGACTTCTTTGTCGTTCAGTCCACCGCCCTTCCGTGTTTCGTCGACGTTGGTGTCGGAGTGCTGCATCTTGCCGCGTAGTTGAAACGATGCACCAGGCGGAAGGTGCCGGCGGGCCGCTGTGGAGCTGACGGGGCCCACAAAAGAATGCTGAAAGCTTGACAAGTCTTCTTCTTCTCACTGCGATTCTCTTGCAGATCTTGAAACGTCCTTTGTCCTTCGAGAATGCGTGTACGAAAGCTCTTAGAGCTGAAAACGCGAGCGACGCGACTGTTTTTATGTACACGACCCCGGTGAGCGGCTGGCTGATCTCACACCACCTGCCGCTTCAAACTGCTCTGGAAAGCTGTAGCTTCTTGACTGTTGATGATCGACTCGTCAAGCCGTTAACTCACTGCACATCGAATTGAAGCTGCTGACTTCAGAAGGGTCACGTCCAACTCTGTTTCAACTTGTTACTGTTCCGAGACCCAAGGGCGAACGCTCAGACATTTGAGTCTCCCCAACAACTTGATGATCTGCCTCTTTCGTGATGAGATCGAAGGTCATGCTCGCCTAGATGCATCGTACCGACGGTTCACTGGGGCGCTCTTAGCATCCTTGAATGGTCTGAGGAATATCAATGCGAGGCACGTGCTCTCTTACTCGACCTTCAACCATACCCAGGTGCTCAGATGCTGAAAAGCGAGTCGACTTCTACTTCGACCAGCTCTGCACCGACTTAATCTAACACTACTGATCCGATAAAACATACGAATTCTCGTATGTCAGATCTGATAACCCTTGAACTGCCTCGTCTTCACGTTCCTTTCGAATATGATGTTTAGCTCTTCATAGGTTCGGCCATTCATCTCTGGTACTCGCAAAAACCACCAGATCAGACATGGTACAGAAAGACCGTCAAAGAAGAAGCTCAACTTCCCTCCTAAGTTTGCCTCATCATTCCGGATGAGGCAAAGAATGGCAACAGTCATGATGATGCCGACCAGAGTTTGCACTGCGGTAGCTACTGCGATTGTCTTGGAACGCACTCGTATTGCGCTGACTTCACAGAAGATGGCGGAAGCCATAAGACCGACGCTGCAATTGTAGATCGAGTTACAGACCAACAGCCTGCCAGTGTTAGCTTGACGAGTGAGAGTTGGGCAGGCAGACTTACATAGCGGACTTTGCCCATACAGCTCCTTGTGTTGGTACGAAATCCAAAATGCCTACCAGGAACATAACGATAGTAAGCATAGCAAGACAAGCGCCGAATAGCACTCGCCATAGTTGATCAGGTACACACTACACAAGACCTGAGTCGTGTACACCCCGACTGCGATCTCAGTCCGTCGCCAATTGATCTTTCTGAACACATCGTAGAACGTACTTCCAGCCTCCATATCCCTCTCCAGCGTATCAGTCTCTACAATCTGCGCCACTGAAGCCTTGACGTTGACCTTCTGGCTCGACAACCTCGCAAGCGACTCGGGCGCAAACCACATCCCCGCCAAAACAACCAACAACCAGAACCACTGCAGCGAGAACGGAATCGAATAAGTCCAGTAACTGTTCATATGCTGCGTCGCAGCCGTAACCCCATTTCCTAGCAACTGCCCTGTAACAAAACACAGATTGGCATAACTCGTGTTCACACTCCTCATCGCCAACGGACTCGCCTCCGACGCATACGCCGGCACCATAACCACAAACGCCTCCGAGTACAAGGTCTGCTAGCAGTTCGCCCGCTAGTAGAACAGGCAGCGAGCGAGCGAAGAGGTGGATAAAGACGAGTCCCATGACGGCGAACACACAGGCGTTGAATGTCTTCTTGCGCCCGTAGTTCCATGGGATAGCCTGCTGCGAACACGCCGAGGCCAATTTGTCAGGCCGCAGAGATGATATATCCATCTCCGAACTTCTATCCAAACTGCTTCTGAAATATGGGCATTGCGTAGAGATTGCCGAGGAGTTAGGGGTCGAATGCTGTTCCTTGAGGTCAGAAAATGTTAGATTGTAGAGGGAGAGTTACCCAACATGATGACACCCAAACTGAAATAGCAACTCCATCCTGTAGCCCTGGGATACAACTTGACCGCATTCTAGAAAGTGAGGGTATGTTCGACTTCAATTGCTTCGCGAATTTCTTCTGCTGCAACCGACAAATATCTGACCTCGATGGGCGTTTCCACATCTTTGCTCAGAGCAGCCATGGTGAGATACTCAATATTCGACGAAGCCGAAGTCTCCAGTAAAGCCACATGCGAAGCCTGTGAAACTTGGTGTGAGCTCGGCATCTTATGTGTGTATGAGTGCCTGTAAGGAAGCGATCGTCGTTATCAGGCGTACCCCTCACCCCATGCTACAGATAGCGGTGCGGGGCTGGCACAACGGTAAATGTGCAGGCACCAGTGCGATTTCTGCAATGTATCTGGATAGCGATATGCGAAGGAGCAGGATTCATGTTCTTACCAGCGATTGTGCTGATAGTCAGAAGGGAGATGAGGAATGCCGGAATGTGCAATGTCTGAGACTGAAGACATAGATAGGTCGAGGCGAGGCGATGAAAGTGGCTAGAGGCAATGCTAGAGCAAGTTGATGTAGATATAGTTGATCACGACAACAAGACAAGAAGCTCAGGATCAAAAACAACCTCATATCAACGCCGCTACTATCCCAAATACCGTAGGCTTACGGCACCAATCATATAATCGCACACCAGGTATTTTTACAACTCTTCAACATTGCCCGTCTAACACATCTTGTGCGGAGACCTCACTACTGCCTGTCAGTTTCTAATCAACATTAACAGTATCAACTCGACATACCCTCTTCGGTGGGCAGATAGCACAGTTGGTCTCCACCTTGATAGTCGCCATAATAATTCCCTCGTGTCCACGACCACATTTCTGCTGGATCATCTGACCTTTGGGGCAGAACTTCTGCAGAATGCACTCGGTATGGCCGCACTTGTGAGAGTAGGCGTGATAGTAGCACATCGTGGATGCTGTGGCTGCGGTCTCGATGTTGCTGCGGAGTGGCGCTGCGCCGCGTGTAGGCTGACGTGGACGTGGAGGTAGGAAGGCGAGGCAGAGAAGTATGGGGTACCTTGCGGGTGCTGAGAGATTGATGGGATTAGGTTCTTGGTTTGTGAAGAGTGTGTTCGAGACAGGAAAGGACTGTGTGAATCTTAGGTTGGTTGTTGGAGATGGTGAGTTGGCTGGTGATGTTCTTCCAGTAGCCACTTGGACATATTATATATATTTCTGTGCACAGCTTCAGCCAGGGCATGATGGTCGTGCATTGCTTGAGATGGGAAGCGATTTGTTGACCTGCATGGAGTGAAGCAAATGAGCCCGAGCTTAGCCTAAGCATGCGTAACTGAAGCCACGAGCAATCCGTAAAGGCAAATGTGGGATGCAACAATCGAAGCCGGATCACAAACGGTGACTGAATGAGGCTGATGTAATGGTCGCACAATATGCGTGTCTAGAGGAGCGACTTCGATGGAGTGCGGGTCTCCAGAGCTTGCCGTCGACAAAGAGACGAGCTAGAGTGATCGAACTTGTTAAAGCAATTGCGGAAACGCTTTCAAGTGCTTGGGGTAGCTAGTTTCGTCCACTCAACAGGGTGGTGTTGGGCTATAGGGTCGAGAATTATTCTGTTTGAGCTGCTCGTGTAACACGATTGTCTTGCTTACGCGGGTGCCCGCGTCCCTCAGTCTTCATGTGGAATGGTCGTGGTACCAACTCTGCCAAGATATCGGTTTGAGCAAGCTGCGGAAGCGGTTTGCTTCCTTTGCTGCGTCGTGTTCATTGCGGATGTGCTGATATTTCCGTCGTTGAAACTGTCTTACCGTCGGCACGCTGCAGTATGGGCACACAAACTTGACTGAGAGGGAATTGAGCATACGCCTCGAGCGTAACAGACTGTTTCGAATACTCAGGCCTTCTTTGGTCTCGAAGACATCAACGCAAACACCGCGCAAAGCGAACAGACTATGTATATCGCCACTACTGAAACTGCTTGCCTATCAGGGAACGTCGGGGCTGACCAAGATTTGCAGGGTTGGCAATGGCGCTGCAAAGATACCAACCAGCCTCGCCTCGGATTGCTTGGTCATCTGGAACAGGTTTGTTGCCAGAAGTTGGCTGGATAGGCGTCGGTATGACCTAGACGCAGACTGACAGCCCGGCAGCTACGGGAGGCTCAAGTGGTTGTGTGACACTGGTGTCGAGACTCGTGCGGTGGCGCTCGTATGCCCAGTAGATCTCGAGGAGGCTGGGTTAATGACAAACGGTAATGATCGAGTTCCCACTACGGCGTTCGCCAGCATTTTCGTAAATTCTGGCCAATCACAGCACACCCTCACCGCCATTTTTGGTGGGCACCATCAATGCAGACGCAGCGAGGACCAGCAGATGACGAGACGATAGCTGAAAGTCGTCAGTCTGAGCTACTGTCTGTTGCTTCGGCCTTGATTGATGAAGAGGCAGGTGCAATCAAGTGCAAACGAGTCGGTTTGCTGGTGGATGTCACCGCGCCCAGAGAGGTTTGGCAGATGCAGAAGCTCCACTTCACTGTGGACTTCACGGTCTTAGGACTGTCGCTATAGTCAATATCTGTCTTCATCCGATGCATTGTCAGCTGGAATCCTGGTGGCCCACCGTGGCGTTGGAAAGCGCTGAAGCTTGAGATGGTGACAGCTTCGACGTGTGCTGGCCGCCTGTGGCTGATGGAGTGCTGTCCGTCGAGCAGCAAAGGACGGCTCCGCGGTTGACGAAGAAGAGGAGATGCCACACTCCATGATGCCATACAACGATGCGCTGGCTGCCGTTTGCCGTTTATATGAGGCGTGCTTGTTGGTGAGGTATAACAGCCCTGCAAACAGACGTTGGCAAGATGCTGGAGAAAGCGGCCACATCTCGCAGACGTCGTTAATCCGGACGATGGCGATTCGACAGCTCTTGTCGTCCGTGCCAGCTGTCAAGATGCGAACTATAATCGGCATGGAGACGATGCAGGAGACAGGTGTAGTTAGCGGAGGATTTGGACAACGCATCGCTCGCCTCTGCAGGTTGACGCAGAGCTGCACCTGCATACCCACAGGACCGGGATCATATTGCGGGTTAATTCTAGCAGCGACATCCACTGCGTCCGCCTCGCCATTTCTCGCTTTCCTACGGTCGTTGTCGTGGTTGTTGTTGCAGACACTGCTACCGTTCGCTCCTGCCCTCTCGAACTCAGGCGGAAAGCACCCCGCACCCATCCTCGCGCAAATCTGGAGTGTGTGCGGCCCATTTCGTCTCGGTCCGTCCAAGAGAACCGCATTGACCTCCGGCTACACCGCCTGAGAGAGTTGTCGCAGCTTTAAACAACGTCGCGTCACCTCGCGCGAGGAGGAATTGGAGCTGGAGAAGTCGTGATGCGCTGTCCGCCGCCTCCATCTGACTTTCCAGCCACCGTGTATCTCACTCTCCTTGCCTGATGACAACTAGCCCGTCGCAACAAAGTTCCCGCGCCGCCTCATCCAATCGACGCTGTAATTGGCCCATCTCTCATCCCAGTCATCGAATGAAAGTAGGGCTGTGGTCCTAAGCAACGACACCGTCTCGACTTGTCCATTTAGAGGTATCTAGATATCTGCAGGCTGTGCCACGCCATGTGGGCAGTTGGGCTCCTTCAATGCATTGCTGACAGCTTTGCAGACATATACCCAACATACTCTGGCATTTATTCACCCATCTTGTACACCACCTCCACCGTCTCTGGTCGCAACTTTGTCCCAATATCTGTATATCGTACCATCATCGTTCCCATCATCATTGCCTAATATAGCAATTCGCCGAGTGGCGCCTATTCAACTGGACCATTCCATCAACATCAATTTCCGAAGGCGCTCATCACGGGAGTTGCAATTCACTGGACATAGCCCTACGCACGGTCACCCAGTCGCCTTTCGAAACATATCCATTGGCTAGCACTGGTTGCTAGGTTTCAAGTCCTCATCTCCTCGGCGGCATCATTGCACGGCGTCATCGGTCAGCTCGGGCCGGGCTGCTCTGTGTCTACTTTCGAGATACAGTGCAACGGTCCGGGTTGGCTGTTGTTCAGGGTGAGTGAATGCAGTGTTCTGGCAACATCTATCCCAGCAAGCACCGATACTCTTCTATCACAAAGGCCATTATCACGCAAACATCATCATCACAACAATCATCCCCCCTATCACCCCCATTCACCGCAATATCAACCCAGTACAGCGTCAAGCTTACAGTATACAACAGTTAGGCGCATCAGAAGATGGCATCTCTAGACTTCGACCAGAAGTCCCTGGGGCGGATAGCCAGGCAAACAGAAGACTCCAACCCATACCTGTCAGGCGCGCTCTACCAGATCCTTGGCCTCTCAGTCCTGCTCTCGCGAAGGCTCATTCGCGCTAGAAAGCTTCGCAAACTCGATACAAGCAGAGACACACCGTCACTCGCAGCATATCAACACATCCTATGGATTTCCAGAGAGGGGTTGTCGATATTGGAGCTGTACGTGCTACCATACGCGCAAGACAATCAGCATGGACCAGAGTGCAGGGTACTGAGCGTCAAGCTGCGAGCAAGCTTCTACCATATCTTTTGCCTATTCCACAATCAGCCACCTGTTACCACAACGAACATGGAGTCGACAGAGTCAAGGGCAGCCGGCGCACCGCTGTCTCCACGATCTGGAAATGGTCGCAAGACGGAGCATGGGTTGTCACCACCTTCGAAACGAAACGGCAAACAGCCAGCGCTTCGCGAACCCATCGACTCGATTGTCTCAGAGACGTCGTTTGTTACCAACCCCTATGCAGCAGGTGGACCAGTCGGGACACCTTCTCCAGGACCACCACTCAACGCGCCGCCTGGACTCAATCCTATCCCGATACCACAACCGTCTTCCTTCCTTTTGCCGCCGTTAAACTTCGTACCGCTGGCTACTGGGTACTTCACTACTGCGACTCAGTACGCCACATCATTCCTGCCGGGGTCACATCCTCTCCGATTGTCTGTAGCTCTCGAACACAGTGCTTTTCTATGGGACTGCATACATGACCATGAAGGATCGCGACGCGTCGCACGTCGCGCCATCAAGGACGTTTATCGTGCACAAGAAGCAATGGATGATAGCGAGTTCGAGGACGCTGCAGAGCTTGTTGGTGTCCTGGGGCGCATGATGAAGCGCAAGAGCTTCGAAACAACGCCACGAATGGGCAGTGTGGGTAGCCCTGAGCCGACCGCACCAAGTGGTGCTCAGATTCGTACTGATCACAGTCGAGGTGATACACACCGTGGTATCCCCGTGATTGCCCCTCTCCAATACTCTCAGAACTCCAGAAGGGCAGCCGAAGGCCCACCGATTACCGTATCTGCTCCGCAAAGCCCCCCGAAAGATCCTACACGCAGCCGAACCAACAGCACCTCCTCAAAGCACAAGCACACCGGCAGCCATGAGAACACCCCGCGTTCGAATACAAACCGGCTGTCTAGAGGAAGCCACGAGACAACACCACGTGCGAAGCATGTCAGCATGGAGAGTAGTGGTAGTGTGACGCCAAGAGCGCCGCAAGACAAAGGTGGTCGGTCTCCTGCGACACCATCAACTGTCCGCAGCGTCCATCAGCACACCAGTAGCGGTGGCTCACATAAAGCGGATTCAGAGTTCAGGAATTCGCCACCAATTCCAGAGAGTGCAGCTGTCACAGCAGCCTACCAAAACATGAAAACCTCACCAACCGCCCGTCAATCGCCGCCGTTGCGTCGTTCTCCACGATCATCCCCGAATCTCGACGCGCGCAACAGGGAACCGAGCTGACTCGTAGCGGCGGGCCAGGAGAAAGCAAGGAAGATGGATGTCCAGTGGCTCCCGAACGGAGAAGCAGATATTCGTTTTCTGCCCCCTTCCGCAAACTCAACTCCTGTAGACACCCGCCCGCCGATACAAGAAGCACTCAGGCTACTCTGATCTCCCATACCCGTCCACACGTGGTCTCAAATCGACATAAACCGCACCCAAGCTCTCCACAAAGGAGAGCATCTTGACGCACACCCCATCCATATTGCTCACACTGTACAGTACCTGACCATACTTGACGGACGTCTGCTGCTGCACTCAAATTCAAGAGCAGCTCCATGTCTACTTGCCAAAAGCAATCATTGCTTCCACATTTGGAATTTCACGGCGCACTTGGATGGATCTACACGTTCTTCACATTTTGCCTTTTGAGATACCACTCTGTTGGTTAAGTTTCAGGTGGACGGTTTTGCTTAGTACGGTCTCACGCGCTACGACGTGACGATCTTGGTACGAATAATGCACCTTGTCTACATTTCTATCCTTCCACAATACTTGCCATATACGCTAAGTCCACCGATGCCCGTATCCCTTTAAGTTTTGTTCGCGAACGATGTATATTCCGCCTCAAACTCAAACATCTCGCGACCCTTCGGCCTGTAATCCCAGCGAGAGAATGCTGAACAATGTCTCTATGCACTCTCCTCTCTCAGCCATATCGTCCATGCCCTCACGCCATGCTTCTGGACGGCGGTCGTGGACGGAAACTAGGGCTCGTCCGAGTGCTTGTTTTCCCTCGGAACGATCGTGGACCCGGGAGGTAGTCGGTGCGGTCTGGGCGGGTGGTGAGGATGATGTGGTTCTGAGACTGGCATCCTGGATCCTGGAGGCAGTCGATCCATCGTCCTGTACCCTGAAGGTAAGCGGCATATCCTCCATTGACGGTGATGGCGGATGAGCAGAGTCGTGTCTCTTGCCCTGATATCCAGCTTTATGGGCAGGGCTGGAGGTAGTCGGCACATTTCCGATGTCACTGTCGCAACATTCGGGGGCGAATGCGTACTCGGGCCACGCCCATAGCAATTTCACGGGCTCGTTGGTTGCAGCCTTTCCCACCCGCGGGTACCACAATAATGGGATGCTCCGATGATTAATATGATCAAGTGCCTCCAGGGTCGCGCGAGATGTGACGACGGCTGGGATGGCGTGGAGGAATGGCGTAGAGTCTGAGGGTGGGTATGTAGTGAAGTCCATGTTGGATGATGGCTTGAAGATCTGTTCGAGTTTGGAGATGTGTCTTAAGGATTATTTTGGAGTTAAAATATGATGGTCTATGATGAAAAGAGATTGAGTTTAGAGCGAGGTTAGGAGCGAATGCAAATATACCACGATATCAACTGTGTGGTTGAGGTAAGCTTCTGAACCATAGTTGAGAGTCCTTGGCAGTGAATTATGTTGCAAAGGGCACATTTCTTATTGGTCCCTTTTTCTTTCAACCAGAGGGGATCGGTGGTATCAGGGTACAAGTTTACAAATATCTATATTGTGCCTCGTTGTGATGGTTCACTGAGCAGCGAGCCTATGGGATTTGTCGATGGTGGAGAAGGACCGTGGATACATCCAGGCTCATGTGCAGAATTCATCCGAGTACTCGAGAATGTTGGACCTTGCTGAACATCGGTTCGATTATGGTTATTCTTCGAAGTCCAGTCTTTTGAGGTATCGGTATCATAGATACCCGCAGGGATATGAATAAAAGGCACTGCAGAGCAAGATCGTAAAGCATCCCAGACATAACTTCGCCAAACTTCAATATTCCAAGAAAATCTTGACGACCTCCCGGCTCCCTCAAGATCCAAAAACCACGATGGAGCAGGTTCCCAATCCCCGCAGCCGTGACCTGCTCCAGACTGCATCGGATGCCTCTACGGTGCCTTCATCGTCCTCAGAGTCGCAATGGTCAGCATCTTCCGAGGGCTCACGTCCAACCCAGACAACGGTGAATGCATCCACGGTGCCTTCTGAATCACCACGATCACAATGTTTGAGATCCCCAGATGATCCCTTCACAATCTCTCCAAAGACGCCAGTATCAAAAGTCGCAGAAATGCGCGCAAGCATGCGTGCAATCCAGCAATCCAGCAAGCATCTCAAGCTGCTCTGCATCCCCCTTCGACGTCGCCAAACCCCGAGCACATAACGTCTTTGAGATTATCGCGCCCGCCCAAGTGCTCTTGACCATGGTGGAGAGTCGGTTCGAGTAGCCCCAGCAGCGCGATCACTCCCGTCGATGTCCGGTCAGGAAACGGATGTAGGCGCCAGTGCTGCACTGGGGCGGCTTCCGATCTGCGGGGGAAAATGGAGTCGCCGGATCACACCTAAGGCTTACGATATACTTACCTCGCAGCTTGCCTTCGCCGCCAGCGCCGACGATACTTCTGCAGGGTATGTTCCTCCAGTCTGGTGATTTGCAGTACGAGCATGCTCGAAGAGTCACTGTTAGTGATGATCTGTAACGGTTCACAAACGATACATTAAAGTTACAGATTAGGGCGGACAGGAAGGGAGTAGACGATGCTGAAGGCCTTCAGATTACGAAGGAGGTTGAAGTAGCCGAGATACGGGTTGACGAGGAGATGAGTGAGAAGAAGACGGAGAAAAGGAGGATGGAGAAATAAAAGAGTTCACAGACATTTGTTCTATGAATGGCCTTGTTTTCCCATTGTTTAACTATGGAGTCTTGCGTCGACATCTTGACTGCCTCCTGGGTCATCATTGGGGGTTTTGAGGTATGGAAGGTTAGAATTGCGATTTTGCAATTGAGTGAGCCATAAGTGCGCTCCACAAGGCTGTAGGTTTCAAGTATCGGAAAGCTGTTTTGTAAGACTGTACGACAGCTGCTAAAGCTTTTTGCGAGATTATGACATTCAAAGTTGGAGGATTGCCTCGAGAGATCTTTCAAAGATAAAAGAACTTCTTCGTACACGAGTGTGCCATGGCAATGTGATTATGCATTAATTTTACTACAGTAGAGGGATACATTGCACATGATGAGTGAAGTAAGACAAAACGCCGCCAGCCCTTCAACGGCGTGGAAGCGACAAAAGAAAAGGGTATCAAGTAACTATCATTCCTCGATGGCGTCGAGAGGAACGAGCGGATCGGGGCTGGAATTCAACATTTGACGCTCACGTCGACAAGACTCACAAACTGCCAAGGTAGATGTGTTACCCTGTATGACTAGCAGGGCCTTGCACTGTTGGCATAAGACACGCTATGATGAAATGGAGTCTTTCGGAGGAACGAAACACGAGATAACGTAGTCGTTATCGTAGTTCCAGTACCCGTTGCTTTCAAGAATCTCGTGATCTGCGTACACACGTCCGTTGTACACGAGTAGGAACTTCTGGTCATCGTCCAACTGGTTTTGTCAGCACTCTCTTGTTCTACCTGGTTGTTTGTTCGTGTGGGTAGTCGATATATCGTGATGATTAGGTTTGCTGCGTATAGACGTACCTGTGCTTGCGTCTTAAGCTTCCCACGAATGGACGCAATGTGCTCTCGTCTCCGCACTGTGACCAGGAAATCTTGCGACCTCTCGCTGACTCGTGCGCGCACGACGAACTCACGATCTGGCTCCGAGTCTTCGGTTTCAGTGGCATCGTTGGTCTTGTCCTCAGTCGCCGGAACCTCCTCCTCTTCCACAATACCAGCGGGCTCGATGACTAGCCACTCAGGCACCTTATACTCGTTGCCCCTATCATCGTAGACCTTGCTCCAAAGCTGGCCAGTCGGGCAGGTACATCCTTGAGCATCAAGCAAGCCTTGTGCAGTTGCAACATCACCCTCGTGCAGGGCCTCTGTCGCAGCGCGAAGACCTTGCCACACCTGTGTGTCGCCTGTAACTCGTGTATCCCACCAGTCTCTGCGCTCCTTCTCGAGTCGCGCTCGTGTCCAGGCCTGATTTGACGAATCTGTAAGCGGCTTAACGCGGCGTCTGCTCTTAGCGGTCGTGGGCGAGGCAAGTGTGTTAGGGAGTATGGAGCGCTGTTCATCAGGGATGGGCATGAGAGGTTGGTTCAGGCGAACGCTTGATGGGAATAGAGCGCTTGAAGGGGAAGGCGCCGCTGGTGGAGGGCGCCCTAGAAACGATCCTCGAGAGGAAGGCACAGATGTGCGTCGTGAGGACGGCGCATTGAGGTTGCGCGACGAGGCATCGAGATGAGCGACGTTAGGAGGATCCTGTGCGCCGTCGTTGTTGGCCGGTGAGGCGGCCGGGCGAGAATTGCAGCAGCCCTGGGAGGAAGTCAGACATATTATAAGAGGATCGAGGTCTGTTGTAGGACATGTCGCGTGCTCACGAGGAGTGACAGACCATGGTCAGCTCAAGTGCCCCTCAGCCCTGTCTGAGTGCTATGCGCTCACTAGCGATGTCGAGAACGAAAGTGATGCTGAGACAAAAATGACAAGAAAAGATGATTGAAAGTGATAATGGAGCGATCGCATGGGCACAAGCTGTTCACGGCGACAGTCTTGGAGGTCGAAGTGGCTGCGCGGCGGGGGAGGCGCTCTGGGGCATCGAGGTGCGCCTTCCTTCGAGATGAGCAACCGCAGGTGCCTCACTGTATTTGTACTCGCTGCCGCAGTTGTGCCTTGCCTACCCATGAATTGATGGAAGCAAGTTGACCATTCGGGCCTTGCCACAATGTGCACAAGGAAACCTAGACCGCTCTGATTATTTGAGTTGGTGTCTGCGGCAGGGCGGGATAGGCTAATCGACGGCCTCCCAGGTACTGCACGTCATGCACATTATCGACATGCACATGCGCCATTTGACAACGGCAGCACATTTCACCACGTCGTGCCTCTCCGTTGTTGAATCTTGTTCCATCTCAACTTGCACCACTGTCATTTCGAAGAATATGTGCACTTGCGCATGCAGCCTTGTATGGTATGTGCAGCTCTGAACTCTATCGCCCACAACTCCGGCGGTGCAGTGAAAGGCACAAGGACTGCTCAATTGACCATTGTAGATGTCATGATCTGCATGTGCAGGGTTGTTATGGTCGACTCATTATTAAGTTGCTCGTCATCAGGTCACTCAATGTCACGCCATGTGTAGCACCTTGTCAAAACCATCCATTGTTAACCACGAGTCTATTAGAGATTATTGTGCGAGAGGTGCCCGAGTGACCGCTTGTGTACATTCCTGATAAGGCTGTACGCAGGGTATCAGGGGGTATTGTGCGATAAACCGACAGAAACGACAGCCAAACGACCAAAACCCGGACATTGGTATCAAAAACGAGAGAAACAGTGCAGAGTGGTATCAATCTAGACAAAAGTGCGCATAAACACAGAAAAGGCCAAAAGAGACATCTCCAACATGCCAATGCCGCACATTTCGTGACCGAGGGGAATGAGCGACGAAGAGTTGGTCCAAATACAGAACAGATCAGTTGCGAAAGGGTATATGTGATCCAGATCCTGCGCCTGAATCCGTAACGGAGATCCAAACAAGGAAATGGGGGTATCGGTGTCGTGGCCGTGCGGTTAAACAAGGGACTTGCGGTATCTTTGCTTTTCCGTCATTCCATCATGACTGTCATCGAGAAAGGTTGGGTCTTCCCACCACACCTTACGCAGTTGTAGCGACAGGTGCGCTGCTTTTCGAAGCCTCACCAACGTTGACGGACTCAGAGGTGACATCACCAATGGTGGACTGCTGAGCAGGGACAACGGTTGTCTCCTCCTTCTTCTCAGCGACGGTGGGAACCTCGACCTTATCGGCGGGCTCAGCAGACTCCTGCACGGTGGCAGGAGTGGCGTTCTCCTTCTTCTCCTTGGGCTCCTTCTTGCCTCCGGCCTTGGAGACAGTGCGGGCGAGGGAGCCGAAGATGCTGCTCCTCTTCTCCTTCTTGGGGACGGCAGGAGTCTCCTCCTTCTTCTCCTCAACAGGAGCGGCGGTGGTCTCGGCGATAGGAACAGCGGGCTCGACACCGTTAGCAACGACTGGAGCGGGTGTCTCTTCGACCTTGGGTGCCTGCTCGGTCTGGGAGAGGGTAGGAGCAGTCTCAACGGCGGGAGACTTAGCCTTCTCCTTGTTGCCAAAGAACTTGCCGAAAGAGAAGTGCTCCTTCTCCTTGACGGGGGTCACGGGCTTAGCAGCCTCGGTCTTGGGGGCATCGAGCTTGGCCTCAGTGAGAGGAGCCTCGGTGGTCTCAGCTGCGGGAGCAACAACGGGTGTCTCCTCAACAGGCTTCTGAGCCTCAGGGACAACGATGGTGTCCTTGGTAGCCTCCTTGGGGGCAGCAACGGGGATGAGATCGGCCTCCTTCTTCTCGTGAGAAGGACTCTTGACCTTCTCGAAGAAGGAACCGAAGATGGAACCACGCTTGGTGGGCTTGGGCTTCTCAACGGTCTTCTCGTCCTTCTCAACGGGAGCAGGAGCGACGACGGGAACAGCAGTCTCGGTCTCAACAGGGGCCGGGGCGGCGGTCTCAGCAACAACGGGAGTGGGAGTAGGCTCAGCCTTCAGCTCATCGCCGGTCTTGGGGATGTCAGAAGTGATGACGGGAGCAGTGGTGGAAGTCTCGCCGATCTGGGGAGCAGCAGACTCCTTCTTGACTTCAGGCTCAGCAACGTGCTCATCGGCCTTGTCCTTCTTGCCGAGGAGACCACCGAAGATGCTGGCGCGTTTGCGAGAAACGGAGCGGCTCTTGCTCTTGGCAGCCTTCTTCTTGTTCTTCTTTTCAGCATCTGAGGAAGAGCTGCTGGAGGAGGATCCAGCACGGGCGGGGCCAGTGGCCTCGGTAACTGGAGCCTCGGTTTCGGCAGGCCTGGTAGCGTCGACGCTCTTCTTGGGGGCGGCGGCGGCAGCAGTGGTAGCGCCCGCTAGTGTGGTGGGCTTGCCTACGCATGATGTCAGCATGCTGCAGTGGGTCTAGCCAGATCACCAAAAAAGTGTCCGCGACACGACGCGTCGAAGAAAAGCAAAATATCAAACTTACCAAGCTTGGTCTTCTCCTCCTTGTAAGCCTCGCTGGACTCGATGCCCTCTTTAGCCTCCTTAGCCTCGACGATGGCCTTCTCGACGGCAACGAACCAGCCATCGCGCTCAGTCAGGGTCTGAGCCTCGAAGGTGTGCTTGTGGCCGTGGATCTTGAATGCGAAAGCAATGGTTCCGTCCTTGACAAGGTCGGTAGCATACGCCTACATATTGTTAGCTCACCTCTCGCAGAAAAGGTTGCAAGCCAATGCGCACCAAGTTCAAGACACCGGCAGGGCTCTCTTTCTTGTCGGCGTGCTTGACGAAGAAGAAGAGACCCTTTCCGGTCTGGCTGGACCACGCAGCGGTGGGGTGCGCAACCTCAGGCTTCTCGCCGCGCAGGTACTCAGCAAGGCTGGAAGCAGGGACGGGCTCCTCGCCGAACCAGAAGTACTTCTTAGCGAAGCGGAAAGCGCTGTATCATGGTTAGCATGTCGCTGACACATGTCGCACACGTGCTACTTACTTCTTCAGGCCAGGGGCCTTGTAGCCCAGAGCACCGCTGTAGATGGGCTCGACGACCTTCTCCTCAGCCTTCTCCTCCTCCTTCTTCTCCTCAACGGGAGCAGCGACGGCGGCGTCGCCCTCGACTTTGGGTGTCTCCTCGACCTTGGGCGCCTCGGCCGCAGGGACAATGGTCTTCTCGCCGGCGACCTCTGAGACGGCAACGGGTGTAAATTCAACAGGTGCAGGAGCGGCCTCAGGGGCAACAATGGGCTTTTGTGCTTCGGCAGACATCTTGGGTATATTGGGCGTGGAGGGAGTGTGGGGAGGGTGTGCGTGAGGCGGGCGTGGGAAAAAGACAAGGTAGGGAAGGAGCACGCTTGGTGTTTTGATTACAAAGTTTAGTGGAAGGAAGGGAAGCTTGCTCTGGCAGGTACGGCGAGAGGCAAAGCAGGCTCGACCTTGTGTGAAAAGTCTGAAGCACAGCGGTGTGAGGAGAGGGAATAAGGAAAAGCTCAACAAATGGCCAAGGGCTGCGAGATTCTTAAGGTGAGGGCACGTTGCTAGGGGTTCGATTTGATGTGCAGGGATCCCGGCACACGAAATTGGTCTCGCGGCAGCACGCCCACTAGAGGACCCGCCTCGCTCTAGTCGCACCAGGCTTGGTCGAATAGCACGATTCACCAGCGTTATGCACACCTCACCTCCTGAAACAAAAAGCTGTGCATGCCGGCATCAGCCTGAACGTGGACGCTGGAGGTGAGCTGTGCGGCGTCATCTTCAAAGGCCACGGTAGTGTGCGGCTTTGACCTGCACGTGTTGTGATAAGCATCTTGCTGGGTGGTGAGATCTTGCGACATTCATCGTGGAACAAGGTCGCATGATCAGACTGCCCCTCCTTTCACGACCCTTCCTCGGTGCGATTGACTAACCTCTGGAAGATCTTGACGAAGCAGCATGGAAGCCACGGCATTGCTGCCGTCCAGTGCTTTGGGTCGAAGACGTGATTGATCACGGTGTGGCCAGGAGGGTCTGCCTCTCACATCGAGGTACAGATATCACGGTGCACATGGCCACGATCGACAACGGTATCTTGCAATAGGAAGCTGCAGTATCACTGCCCTCGCTGTTGCGTCTCAACGTACCTGCCAACTGCAGGCGGCTCAACGGCCGCGAACCTGTAACTCTATGCCCGCCACCTCTCTTTCCTCGTGTAACAACACCACAGCTTTTGTCCCAACTATCACGAACTCTTAACCTTTGCACAACTCCAGCCTTCACGCCATGCTAAGATTGTCTGAGCACGCAAAGCTAGATAGCGGCTAGCGTCCGCCCCAACGAATCGCATGTTGCGCTCACCGCCCGAGCGCCGATCCCCCGTTGGTGCTGGAAACTCGAACCCTTGTTCACAGAGAATGCTGACGCCCGAAAAGTCATCTCACATGTTACAAAGCCAGAGCCCAGCTTGTAAGGCTCTCGAAGCTGGCAAGATGATGAAGTTCACATTCGCTCAGGCCAAGATACTCCATACCCTCAGAGCTGCATCAGACAGCCACATCCAACTCTACCAAGCCACCACCGTTGGGTAACTTTGGCGAACGTCCGTATGCATGCGTGACACAATCTGCATGATTACGAAAAGAACAGGCTGTTAAATTGACGATCGCGACCAGGCTTTCCCAAATGAGCACCGCGGCAGCGCAGGCGCCGAAATAAAATCTTGCAGACTACGGAATGACTCTGAGTAGATCAGCCGAACCAGATGGTGCCGGCCTATTATTGAATGGTCAAGGCTCACGTGAAAAGGAGAGTTTATCGTCCTCAACATCCACGGAACGGAAACCGATGTTACGTTTCAGGATGCAGTCGCCCAACTAATCTATGTTGGGGTGCCAACGCCGCAACATCGATCTTTCAAAGTTGGCTCCGAAAGTTGGATGCAGAGTCCAACGCAGAAAAGAATATCCACGCAAACATGTGCAGCATTCTTTCATCTCTCATCTCAAACGGTTGTTGCGGCGCGCACAGAGCATACCGCGTACGATATCCTCCATTGATGATCTGCCCGCAATCTTGTCGGCCGTACCAATCCTCACTCGACTCACCGCCACACGCTCAAATTTGCGACTTGAGGCGCGTACCGACTTTTTGTGAGCGGGCCTGTGCTATCTTACGATTCATTGTAATTTGACAATCTGCGAATCCATTCAGTCTACGAGAAACCCTGGATCGCAATCAACTTCTCACAAACACCAGGATTTTCAGATCGGCATGCAAGACATTGCGAATCGTCGTCGAAGACTGGAGATGAAAGGCCGTGGATCCTAGTCCTGAATCTTCGACGTCCAGGGTTGTATTGCCAAGCGGCAAGCGGTTCGCAACAAGCCACACTCCACTTCGCGAGTCAAAACGATAAACTGTGCGACTGGGTTTACGACATGCGGCTCTGCGCAGGTCGAGAGCAAGCGAAAAGTCAAGCGATTCGGTGTCGCATACCGAGACTGAAGTTTCGAATCAACCTCTGACAAACAAACGTCAACGTTGACAGCAACATGTCTTCACCCGCATAGACACTCCCGCAGGCTCCCCTGCAACTTCGATGAACAACACATCATCAACCCCACGCACCGTCGAATCTTGACTCGAAAAGTGAACATCAACATCAGACCAAGTCTGGGAGTCGAAATAAGCTCAAGACACTGGCGTTGACTCCCGCTGCAGGGCAGGATGCGTGCAAACCAGCGCGATGCGTCTTGGTGGAGACGCGCGAGGAGGGCCTTCCTCTTCTAGTCCAGTGCGCGCGTGGCTGAGAAACACAACGTCACCACATCAACACCAAGTGAGACCGACAACACCAAGGACTGACACCGACTGAGAGCAGAAAAGGAGCTCACTGTGAGCATGGAACGAGCAGCGATTTCTAGGATTCACGATTCCAATCCGACATCATCACCATCATAGCAGCCAAACGCAGACGAACTCGCTCTTCTACAGACTGCCAAAGAGTTCTACTACTTTGAAGCATCGCCACCGATCCGCAATATCTCTCAGAAGTCGAAGCACAGACACCTACCCAAAACCATCCACCCCAGCCTACACACCCAGGGTACCCGTGAATCTCACCTTCCAACACTTAGCCCCCTGACCCCAACCTTAACATCGCCATCAACTTCGAAATGCACACATGAACGCTCGACGTCATGCGGGGAAGTAAGCACTGACAGCACATGTTCTCAACACCCTCGATCCTTGAATGTCCACGCAGGCTGCGCAGGCACGGATGCTGCCGGAGAGGCGCATGAACGAGCTTATCGTCATTGTAATATGGGGTGTTGACACATTCTTAGGCACTAATCGAAGGCCTGCAATTGTTACCGGATCCTCAAGTTGTATTGTAGAGCAACGCGCCACTCCATACCATGGTTGGCGACCAATACAGCCCATTTCGACTGCACGCAAATCAACATCGATTTAGCATTTACCAGTCTTGATAACTAACACTACAGATATAGATCTTCATGCGTGACGAGCGCACCATACTCGTCTGTAATGCTTCCTCCTACTCCACTTGACACCATAAAATCTATATCGTGTTCAAGCATGGCATGACACTCTTGGAGCTGAGTCCTTTGACCGCTCAGGGCCTCGAACACATTTATCACTTCCTCCAGCTCTCACATTACCCTAGAAGTAAGTACAGACTGTCCGCTGTCTGGCACACCCCCTAGAGTCTTGGCGTGTCCCATATGGACGATCCGCAAAGACGAGTATCTTGGAGAACCACGGTATTGACTTTTGAGACTGGAACGAGTCTTGAGAAAGAACGAACGAAGCCATATTTCGAACAGTATGCTGTCAAAGCGAAGATCAAACCATTCCTCGACGACGAACTGACACAGCAGTAGCCGGACTTGAAGTCAAGATTGAAAACCAGGTGCAGAGACCTTTTGGTGGTTGATCACCAGCCACACCCATAATGCCTGAGTCACTCTGTCGACTTCCTTCACCGCACCGTTCGCCACTTCTTGCGTGACAGTTACCGCAGGGAGCTAGAGAAGCTCGTAAAGGGTACGTTCGATCCTATGGTCAGCTTGTGCAACTTCTATCTTGTCTTGCCGAAAGGAGCGCACATCCAAGAGTTCCGTAAGCCTGAATCCCTCAAAGTCATTATAGGACTCACAGATAAACTGCTCTACTATGCTCGTGAATTGGAAAGACGATCTGGTGATTCTGAGGTATCGCATCTCAAACCCATCCTCGACGAGCTTGACAGGACCAACACAGCTTTCGAGCGGCGGAAGGGAGTCACTAATTACTGGATAAACGCTAGAGATCTGCCACTGGCTCAAGGGTTCGACGTTTGCAAAGAAGGTGATAATTGTAACTTTCTGGATCTCATTGTGCAAGCACGTCTGGTGGGCTACATGCATGCCAAACTGTAAGCAAACCCGCATTGTATTCAAAAAAAAAAAAAAAACACCGACCCTTACTGGACTACGCCTTGCGTCCACTTCAGATAACCCAATCGCCATGCCATATCACTCTGTCAGGGATGATCCAAGTGTCGACGTAGATATGATCACAATACTCCTAGAGTATGGCGCAAACCCGAATCAGCCAGTCTATCTTAACAACAAAGAAACGGTCTGGGGGTTATTTCTCATTTCTATCAACGAGGCTGGCCCGATTAACACATCCGCGAGCCTCAAAGAGTCCTGGTTGCAGGCTTGTGAGCTCTGATCCGCGCTGGAGATCGACCGGATTACACCTTTAACCAATACTCCCGGACTGTATCTGAAGCGCTCGATTACGTATTCATCAAATCTGAGGTAGCGGAATTGCACAAAGAGATCGCGGAGAAAGGAGGGCACAGCAGCCTGATGGTCGCTGGTGGATGTTCAACTTCTCATAGCTGGTACCGGGACTGGAATACTATGACTGAAGGTGTACGACTAGCGGTAGCGGTGCAGAGCAGAGTGTCTTGCGACGGGTATCTATCTACATTTATCGATCATAACCGATCCTTGAAATCTTCCCACTTGATATTATATCCGCCACCCTCCCTTTTCTCGGATTTTCCACGCCGTTCGAACTCGGTAACCGGTACAAGTGGTATAGTCTTTGCCTTGCTTGCGGTCTTCCTTGTGGGGCGCGTAATTAAGGACTCTGGGGGTACAAAGGGTACAGCTGAATCTTCAAACATGAGCGGCTTGTCCTGGTCATATATATACTTGAACGGCTGCTTCAAGTTCCGCGAAAATAGCCCATCCTTCATTCCCGGAAACCTTTTCGGCTTGTTGAACTTCGCCACCTCCTTCTCGATCATCACCCGCGTGATACCTGAGCGAACAACCTTACTCAAACTGTCCACCTCAAGCTTCTTGTAGCGCACTTGCCACGAACAAACATCCTTAGGGTAACCAAACTGTCTCATACTGACGTTCAGCGTTGGGAATCCAATAAGAGTCTCTTTCTTGGTGACCATGTCGCGCCGAAACAAGGCTGGGAGTGTAAAGCGGATATCTGCAGGCTTAAGCACTGACAGTGCAAGGGGAATGAATCGCTCAGGGCCGCCGCGCTTTGCGATCTGCAAAGAGGGGATGCGGGCAAGGTCGTTTTTGGTAAAGTGGCGCAATACTAGAGCATCCGTGCTATAGTTCCAAATGCTTATCCACCAACGTCCGTCGAAGAGCTGGTATTCATCGTGGTGCCTGCTTACCGGTGTACCCGGAGGAATTTGCGTGAGCGGGTGAACGTGCGAGGGCGGGTAATGAATGATTCTCGAGGTGACGCCGGGTCTGTGGTTTTCTAAAGGCTGGCGCGTAAGGAGCCATTCGCGGTCGTTAAGGCGTCCCGGGCCAATGAATTCTTCAATGGCTCGTGGACTCAGTTTGAACCAGGAAGACGCTTTATCCCACTTGCGCCACCATATGCCGTAGATACAAAAATTGGTCCTGTTTCCAGCAGACTCAGCCTGGGAAGGATCAGTCTCTTCGAATTCGCGGAACTCAGGCCAGATATTTGCAATTGTAGCTGCGAGTTCGCCCAGTGGAGGAGTTTCCCTTGGCGAAACCAACTGACCAGCTTGTGCGAGGAGGTAAATCGCATTGTTCTTGGCTTTGTTCCAGTCGGACTGAGTTAATGTCTGAATTGGCTTGTCGACAGATTGACACAGGAAAGAAGGGTCGGCATGCCGCATTGCCGGGAAAGAAGGGACATCCTCAGTAGGCCACTCATCAAGGAGGTCTTGAAAGGGAGGGAACTGGATAAGCAAAGAGCCCACTTCAATATCCAGGTCTTTACGACAATTGCTTAATAGTTGATTCGCCCGGGACTTGTGCCAGTTGACACGTTTTTGCATATGAATGGACACGTCCACAAGCGACTCGATGCTCAGAGCAGCTGGCAGCTTATGGTTTTTCAACACATGACGGATTGCGTTGCGCGACGTATACGTCTGCAGATGGTTCGTCTTGTCTTCAGCCCAGGCGACGCCATGCTGTTCGCACGTAGCAATAAGCCGCGATTTGTCGAAGCTAAGCAGAGGTCGGAAGATGCGTATACCGCCGGTCTCGGTTGGGAAAGGTATATTTGAATTGTGGGCTGCCAGCCTGCTATGCGACACGCCGTGTATGCCAGAGCATTCAGGGATCCATTCGATAGGCTGCATAGCTTGCAGGCCAGAACGCAGGCGGTTGTTCGCAAGGCGCATCAAGACCGTCTCGGCCTGGTCATCTGCATGATGTGCAACTAACAATTTGCGAATCCCTGCCGCGCGACAGGCCCGACCAAGTGCCTGGTACCGTAGAGTGCGTGCCTCCGTCTCGAAGCGCTTGCCATCGAGTGGGTCGAAATCGGCGGGCCAGGTGAGAGGCAGAACGGCGGCTTCCATGCCGACTGCTAGGGGTTAGCATTAATTGCAGAGGCTGGACTGCATGGAAAGCCCCCTACACTTGGCACGACACTGCTCAGCAACCCATTCTGCTTCTTCGGTGCTCTCTGGGCGCACCTTGTGATCCACGATAAAGGCATGGCTGAGGATGTTGGCCTTCCATGAGTCTCTAGCATTTGCAAATAAAGAGGCAAGTGCCATGGAATCCACACCTCCACTGATAGCGAAGCCTGGGTCCATTAGTGATTTGACCACACCGATAGAATGGCACAACCTACCCAGCTTGTCAGGATTGCCGCCCCCAAAATACCCTTGAGAGGGTTTGAGAGAGCCATAAATGTCCTTTAAGGCATCATTGAACTCTTCAATCGTAATGGGCAAGCTCGTCTGCGAGCTATACCACCTGGTGTTGCGCCATGCTGCAGCAGAGGAACACTTCCTCACCCTGAGGACATTGCTTCTCCACATATACGCCGTGACATGTGCGTACAGTTGTCACAGCAAAAAAGAACGCAAGAACAGAAAAAGGCGCAGGTAGAAGGAGACTGGCTGAATGTGGTAGTGCACGAAGCTCGACGCGTTGTTCCTCGGCCAAGCAGCTGCCGTGCACGGACATTCGAGAATCTTCGCAGAGCTCCTCCGAAAGTCCGCATCTTTTCAGCTTTCACCCCCAGAACATAACATTCACTTCTCGAGATACCCCGTCTTTCATCCCATCTCTTCTAATCACCATGGTACGTCATCTCTCCTATCGTTCACATCCGCCATGGGCACCAATATCCATCCTCAACCCTCAATGGGGTCCCAAACAGCACCTCCCCAAACATCACGAACCAGCTAACATCAATCCATAGTCTGCCCTCAAGTCCATCCGCTCCCTCGCGCCCCTCCTCGACCGCGTGCTCGTGCAGCGCCTCAAGCCCGAGGCCAAGACGGCAACCGGCATCTTCCTGCCCGAGACGGCCGTCAAGGAGCTGAACGAGGCCAAGGTGCTTGCCGTCGGTCCCGGCGCATTCGACAAGTCTGGCAACCGCGTTGCTGTCAGCGTGCAGCCCGGCGACAAGGTCCTGATCCCCCAGTTCGGCGGTAGCCCGATTAAGGTCGGCGAGGAGGAGTACAGCTTGTTTAGGGATCACGAGTAAGTCCACCGGAGGGATGTGATGGAGCAGTTACTGACTTGCGACAGGCTCCTTGCCAAGATCAACGAGTAAACGTATCGCCGCAATGAGCGAATGTACACTCGGTCGAACGTCGAGTTGAATGTATACCTAATGTATCAACATCGCCCATCACAAAAGATACGCTCGCATCACCAGCCGGCGTTTTGGCATATACCTGAAAGTTTTGGGCACTTGTATTGACAGCGACATGTGTAATTACAATTGAAGGACTGGGGAGGATGTGATACGAAGTAAAGAGAAGAAATCCAAGATCTCCGCTATATTGCGACAACCACAACCATCTGAAGAAACGTATTAGCATTATTCGTTGGTCTGTCTTTGACGGAGAACGGACTGACCAGCTGATAGTGTAGGCCAGGACATGACCTTCAACTTCCTTCCAGACCTTAGGGCTTACCATCCGGAGCTCCCTCCACCAGCACCCCACTGCCTTCCGCCACCTTGTCCCTGGTTCTGACCATGATCATAGGAGTACCCACCACTGCCTCCATGCTGCTGTGCCGGATTGCCATAGTTCTCATACCCCTGCTGGTACCCAGTCGGCACACTATAACTCGGCTCATGCACCTGCCCATTCGCAAACTGCGCCTCGCCCCATCCATACCCGCCCGTCGGCTGCGCATTCGCGTGCTCAGCAGGTGCCTGGTATGGCTGACTGCCGTCGTAGCTGGACTGGTAGGGCTGGAAATTTCCCCACGGAGACGGCTGCGGGGAGGGAGAAGGCTGGTACGCAGAACCAACGGAGGGATTCGAAAAGTCGCCCTCAGGACCCTCGCGCTTGCCGAAGCTGGAGAATGCGTTGCCCAGCCCACCGGGGAGTTGCGAGGTCAGGCTGCCGAGGAGGCCGCCGCCGGAGGAAGATGAGGGTTGCTGGTGGCTGGCGCCGAAGTTGTAGTTACTTCCTGCACCGTGACTGTGTCCACCATGGCCCTGGAACTGCTGCAGACCCGCAGCGCCATGGCCGGCGTGGTCGTCGCCACCCTTGTGGTTCTTGCCTGCCTTTACGGACTCGGAACTGAGGAGGTCGTTGAGGTCTTTGCCGTGGTAGGCGTGCGCCCAGTCCTTGACGACCTTGAACATGTTGTTGTGCACCTCTGACCGCGAGTCGCGCAGCGCAGGGTGGTGGAAGACGCTCACGCAGTCGTTGAGGACTTGGTCGACGGGTACGTCGGGGTGGTCGAATGCGTACATGACGCGTGGGACTACGTATTGCAGGATCTGGACTGCGACTTGGCCGGCAGGCTCGTTGAGGATGTTGGAGAAGTGGTCCTTTGAGAGCATAGAGTGCGTAGGGTCGGTAGATGCGGGGTTGTTCCAGACATCGAATTGATGTTTGGCGGCCGCCTCGACGACGGCGGAAGATCCGCTCTTCAGCTGCGAAGAGGCGGTCTTGATGATGGGGAGGACGAAGGGCGCGAGGAGAGAGAGCACGAACAGAGTAACGCGCTCTGTGATGGACTCGATCAGCTTCTCGAGTCCTGGGATCTTGGAAACAATCTCCGAGATGCTGCGAACGACCCTATCCCTGAAGACCAGGATGGGATAGATCTTCGGGATGACCGTTGCTGGATCAGTGTTGGTGCCTGGGATATTTGGACCAGGAGGCCCTCCAACGGAACCTGGAGGCGCGTCGAAAGTGGGTGCTACTCCAAACTGATCTTGTCCACCAGCACGCGAACTGTAGCTGTCGTAACCGCCAGAACGGTACCCATGGCCAGCGTTTGCCGCAGCCTGAGCGTCAGAGGAAGCTTGCAGCGCCTGTGCTTCCTGAATAAGGCCACTTGTACCCGGAACCTTGGAAAGGACATCAGTGAGGCCGCCCAGAGCACCAGAACCGCCTCCCTTTGTGTTACTCGTCAAGGCATCTGAGAGCGTGGTGTCCATCTGATCGATCTCTGCAGAGCTGATGTGATCTGTGGCCTCACCGAGCACCGAATGAAAGAAATCGACTCCACCGAATGTACCAGTAATGAGCGGGAAGACGTGCTTACCACGGAGATTGATACCAGCTTGGGTGCCAACGTGTGGGAACACATTGTTGTACCCAAGTTCACGCAGGACGAGCTCCGTGTAGTTTGTGTGGGCTCCGTAGTCCTCAAGACAGTGGAGTCCTTGGCCCAAACAACGCAGAGCTTCACAAAGATCTTCTTCCCGTCCGCGTTGACCTGAAGGCCCGTGGGTGTACAGCCTACCAAAGTGGATTGCTCGAGAAAACGAGTATCTCACATAGCCTGCTGACGTTGCCCATCCACCTTGCTCATTGGCAATGTAGTTCTTCATTCCTGTGTTAGGGTCAACAGCAAGCTCAGCTTCCGAGACTGGGCCCCGCAGTCGAGGATCGAACTTCCGGGCATCTTGGTTGTCGGCGTAGTCCTTAGGGTTGTCGATATGCTCTTCAGGCCTGTATGTTCCCAGGCGCTCGGCGGTGACCTCAAATTCTCCAGTAGCATAGCCAAAGGACATGAACGAAAGTATCCACACAAGCACGCGGATAGTCTCGCCCTTGGCAGTCGTCAGTCTCCGGATATGCGGCACACATTGCTTTCAGGAACTTACCTGGACTTTGCTCAGTGTTGCAGTGTCAACAGCCTATACTGTTCAGCATCTTCAAATTTCATCTCTTTTAGTCAACATACCTGTGAATAGTCTCGTAGCCAGTTGCCAAAGTATACACGCTGTAGGTAATGCATCAGCCACAGGTACTGACTTGCCGATCGCCGGCCAAGCATACCTTGATCATCATGGACTTCCATTTGTGACCGCGAATGCAGGCGACAGTCGCAAGCATGTCTTCGATATCGCCATGTCGCCAGTTTTTCCCTTCGATCTTGGAGATGGACGCGATATTTCCAGCGCCAAAGGCATCTGCTTTCATAGGGAGCAGGACGAGAATCGCAATCGCGACGAGCAACAAATACTTTGCAGAGCCAGCCATTGTTGCGAAATGCTGGAAGATAGAGTAAAGTGGGAGAGTAGAGTAGTAGTCAGATCTTGAACGGGATCTATCGCGCCGTCAGCTGTCTAGTTGTGATTACGTTACGCCACATCAACAAACCAGGAAAGAGGGTTTATCCACATTTATTCTGCAGCCACTTCCTTCTGTATACGCTTCTGCACTCCCATGGTTCTTGTGAGGCTGAAGAACTATGCGTATCCCTCTAGTGCCCGATTAAACCGCTTCTTGCGAGGCTGCGCCGCATATGTTGCGTGTGCCACACCTGCCCCGCTTTGGTGACGATGGAGGGGTTGAAAGCGAAACATTGCAGGGGAGCATTGCAGCTGAACACCAACCCTGAACCTTCAGCCTTGCTTACGCTTACCAGGAACATCCGTCCAATGCGAGATGCAGCACAACGTAACTCACGTGCCAGGGATGCTGTTGCCTGGCTTGTATCGTGGTTCAATTCCAGAGCCTGAGCGCACAATGCAATATGTCTTCATAGTGATCCCTCACATCGTGTTGTGAGAACGTGAGTGACACCATCGCTGAAAACTGCAGTCAAAGATGGCAGACATCAGTGAAACTTTGGGGACGCAAGGCAACACCGAAGCAAATTTCAGCAAGTCATTCTTCGAGCTTCCTATTCGGCAACGCCCAACACAAGCTATCGACGCCTTGAAGGAAACAAAAAATACAAAACTGGCAGGTTTAGTCCTCGAAGACACCGATCTCCAAGAATCATGGCACTTGTTGCATCCAACAGATCGAGTCACCACAGGCTACACAGCACCGAGTTCCTCACAACGTGAGGATCAGTTCGCCCTATCTGACATGGCATTCGAAAGACTGGCCTGTGGAGACTCCGAGTTGCTAGAAGCATATCTGGACGCCGGTGCGCTTATCGAACACAAAAACCGCGATGGACTTACGTTACTTGTCATGGCGATCAAAGACTCGAACATCGCCATGACTAGGCTTCTGCTAAAGAAGGGAGCCGACGCTCAGCACCGTACTCAGGGAAAGCCACCTCTGTTCCATGCCATTCAAAGTCAAGAACATGGTCCCAAGCTCATTCGACTTCTCCTCGATCATGGTGCAAACATCAACACTACCTGCGGAACACAACACATGAACGCGTTGCACTGGGCTGCTGCTGCCGGTATGGTGGATGCAGCAGACTACCTCATATCCAGAGGCGTTGATATCGAAGCCACTTGCGCAGGAGCACATACAGCTTTGCATGTAGCTGCCGGCACGGGACACCTGACTGTTGCGAAGTTGCTCTTGGCCCAAGGTGCTGAGTTGTCGAAAAGGGGTGAACTAGGAGGCAACGCGTTGACATTTGCGGCTTGTAGGGGACACACGGATATCGTCAAGCTGTGCCTAGAGGAAGGCCAGTCTGCTGACGAATGCGATGGAACAGGTCTTAGTGAGTGCGGACTCGTAGCGATCGTTGCTGCCTGGACTTACGGTGTCAGCCGCGCTGATGAGCGCCTGTGAACTCGGGCATCTTCACATTGTGGAGTGCCTGCTAGAGAAGGGCGCCGACGTCAACCGAGCAAACGCACAGTTGAGCACACCAGCTCTTGAAGCAGCTGTGAAAGGTTATGTCGACATTCTTCAGGCTCTGACAACAGCAGGTGCCAACTTGGACTCCCGAAACACCGATGGCGAGAACGTGCTCGAGGTAGCAATGTCAAAAGGGCACACAGGTGCTGTCCGTCTGCTTCTAGAGACCCTAGGCGGCTCCGACTACCCAGTCAAAAGCGTTTCCCTCGAAATTGCGTCAGCAAGGAAAATTGAAACCATGAGATCATTGATGAAAACCGCATCTTTGATGCATGCGCATATAGGACCAAAAACCGAAATGCAAAAAGAACGCGCTTGGGTGAAGTGGGTTCTTGAGAATGGAGGTGATCTCGTCCGACCACAGACCATATTCAACATGATGATTATCGCAGTGTCAGAAGCGGATGCCGACCTTGTCGAAACGCTACTATACAACGGTGCTGACCCTAATATGTCCTTGAGCACCGCTGTCGTCAACCGGAATCTCGACATCGTCCAATTACTCCTCAACCACGGCGCGGGTACTGCAGTATCAGCTCGCTGCATCAAACGTCTAGATGGTCGTCCAGACAGCGTCCTCTTCGACGCACTACTAAATATGTCCTGCCAAAAGGACACCTGCCTTACGATCCTGAAGCTGCTGCTTGACAGCGGTCGATTTAACGTCCTCGAAGGACCTTCTTCCAATCAAACCGCGTTCTGGCGAGTCCTCGAATCCGACGAATGGGATCCCGTACTCCGAGACCAAGTTGCTTTTATGATGTTGGACTCAGTGACTGATGTCAACTATCCTTGCAATGGTGACGGCGGGACGCTGATGCATCATGTCGTTCGATATGGCCGCGAAGACATGGTGGATCTTCTTCTAAAAAAGGGAGCCAACATCAACGCCCGAGACAACGAAGGGCGCACGCCGTTCATACTGGCTTGTGATTACCAGCACAGGATGATCCTCTTCCTTGTGAAGAGAGGTGCAGACCCTGGCCTCCCATATGAAGATGACAGAGGGCCGCTGCACGCAGCCGCGACCATTGGAAATGTTAAGGCACTGGGAGTCCTATTGACACTCGGATCCGTGGCCCAAAACTTCGATCAGAAATCTAAAGACGGTTGGACTCCTCTTGCATGCGCTTTAGCCGCCGATCAAGAGGAGGCAGCATTGTTTTTGATTGAATACGGTGCTAATCTGAAGCACACTGTCACCGTGAATGGGCGCACTATGCTGCATCTAGCGGCAGCTTTCTGCCATGAGCGGGTGTTTGAGAAAATCATGGCTCTTGACGATGTAAACATCGACACGAGAGATAGCATGAAGGATGGTACGGCTTTGTTATTGGTATGCACTCTTCAAGGAACAAGCTCTATCTCGAATGATACGCTAACGTCACAGCAGACTTGTAGTGGCACACGCTACAAAACGGCTTCGAGCAAGATTGTTCGCGCTCTACTCTCAGCAGGTACAGACATCGAAGCACCAGGCAGCCACCTCGACCGACCGCTCCACGTCGCCATCATGACCTGCAACACCGCCATCGCGAAGATCCTCATCGAACACGGTGCAGACATCACCGCCACTGGATCCAAAGGTCGGACGCCCTTGCACTTGGCCGCAGAGTACAAGAATCCGGACATCATGCACCTCCTTCTGCAGAAGGGCGCCGCGATCGAAGCCGTCGACGAAGACGGCTGGACGCCGTTACATCTGTGCACTGAGTCTCTTTCAGCTCAGATGTTGATTGATCACGGTGCGAACATAGACCTCGCCGATAGAAATGGACTCATCTCTTTGCATCACGCGGTCCTCTTCGGGGATGTGGAGCTTTTCACGACACTACACGAGAACGGCGCCTCGACCCAGATCAGGGCAACGAGTGATGGAAGGAACGCAATCGATATGATCGAAGACTTTGTGGATGAAAGAACGAGGAACGAGTTTCTGGCAGCTGTCAAGGGAGCGTCGATGCGATACAAAAGGACCGCACAGGAGAGTGAGAACAGGGAGTGCAGATGATCTGTCGATTGAACTTAACAAGACATCTCATAACCGACTAGAAACGCGAATCTATCGATGTGTCAATCTTAGCTTGTGCGTAGTTACCCCCGAAGCCGTGTAGTGAGAGTAGACAGCAACAAGGCAAACGAAAGCCGCACCTGAACAAGACCGTTCTCGCACGCATGAACGTAGGGACATTTACAGACTCATACATCGAAAAACACTACTTGGACATAATTCAATCAATTGGCAAGATTCTCAACAAACTTACGTCAAGGTGAGCGAGGCCTAAGATGCCTCATTTGAAGGAAATCGCAGCGTTGGAACTTCGGACCCAGCGCGGGATTCTATCGTGAGTTTGATACTGGGGTTTCCCCTGGCTTTACCGGTATCATTTTGCTTCCTCATTCGCTCGGTTCCTTTCACTTTGGGGGCGAGACACCGCAGCTATTCAGCCTTGTTGCACGATGATCAGGAGTCTAGCTTTGTATTGTATATCAAGGTTGCTGAACTGCCTTAGTGATCTTAACTGTAGTTCTGGATTTTCCGCACGTGTTCAAATATATTGTGCAGCCTTATGTTCGTGTATCTGTTACAGGGTATCATATAATCACTACGCTCTCCACTCATTTATTACAACCGCCTCCATCTCTTCAATCTCCCCAGCTGACTTAAAACTTAATAGGATGATTCTCCCTCACCGTCTTTCCGTACTTAAATAGCAGCGCCGGCACAGGAATGAATGCAATCGCAATAAACCCCAACATACTATTCCCCCACCCAAGACCCAGCGTCTCGTACATGTTAGGTCCCGCGAGAGGGAGTAGAGCGCCGAAGAGGCAGCGTAGACATGTCATGCCTGCGATTGCTGAGGCTGCGTATTGCGGAAAGCAGTCGATCATGTAGGTTTGCAGGGGCGCGAAGATGCCCATAACGCCGAAGCCGAAAGGGACGAGGGAGATGATGGGGACTGGGGATATCTAGTTAGTTGATGGAAGGGAAAGAAGGGAAGGAAGGGGACAGAGGAGTGCTTACCGATCCAGTGCACTTTGTAGTACGCAGTCCATCCGTACCAGAAGAAACTCACGGGGATCAAGAGCCCAAAGAAAACGCAGAGTGGGAGACGCATTTCCGGCTCGTAGACGCCCTTGTTGCGTTTTGCTAGCTTGATGATGGTTGCGTCTGAGGTCTTTGCGACGAAGCCGATGCCCAGGAAGTTCCCGATTCCGATGCCTAGGTACGCGAGCCCGGTCATGTCGGGCTCCCAGCCGTACGTCTGTAAGAAGACCGGGGTGAGGGTTGTAAATAAGAGGAAGAGCAGGCCGAACAGGAAGGACATGTACAGCGAGCAGAGGAGCACGATGGGTTGAGTGACCAGCATTTTGAGCGGGCGAGTGATGCCGTTGAGGAGGATGGCTTTCGATGTGAGTGCGGCGGCGGGTTTGGACGCGTTCAATACGTTCTGCAGCTCTGGGCGCTGGAGTTCGGTTCTTAGACGGGTAGTTTTGCGGTTCAGGAGTACGACGTGGTTGGTTTCTCTGTTGTAGAAGAAGAGGCCTGCGGTTAGGAGGACGGAGACGATGAGTACGACCCACATATCCCACCTCCATCCGGCTCTCTGCGCGATGAAGCCGCCGCAAATGGGACCCAGGATCGGACCGAAGAGGATGCCCATGCTGTACATGGCGACCGCTTTTCCGCGCTGCGAGGCAACGAATAAGTCGGCTATGACACCGGTGCCGATTGTGAGACACGCACTGCCGCCCAATCCAGCAAAGAAACGCATAGCGATCAGACCGCCAAGGTTGGGCGCGAGGGCGCAGCCGAGCGTGAAGGCGCAAAAGAAAACGTTGCTGATGTTGAGGATTATGCAGCGGCCGTAGATTTCGGAGAGAGGAGAGAGGAAGAGTGGTCCGACCTAGTAGGTTTGATCAGCAATCGATACTTCCCAATGGTCGTACATGGAGAAGGAGAATACGTACAGCGAAACCCAGGATATACACACTGACAGCAAAACTGCCCAGCAATTGAGATGAGTTGTGGAAGTCTGCATTGATGAAGGGGATACCAGGCGCGACGATGGAGGACGCGAGAGGCGAGAGGAACGTGATGGCCGACACCAGGAAGAGAATGAATAGCTTGCTTTTGTGAGGGAAGTTCCGTGGGTTAAGGGGATCGTCTTGTGAGGCCCAACCTACGAGGCCCTTGTCGAAATCTGTCAACGGGTATTTCTCGACTGGGAGGTCGTCCTTCTTAGTGGATTTGCGGGACAGGTGTTTTTCTAGCTCCGCACCGATCTCGTTATCTTCGGCGGCTTCTTCTTGGTTCTGCGATGATAATTAGGAAGTGATACTCCAGGGGTTGATGAATGCATGCCTGCTGGTCGACTGCTACTTCTTTCTCTGGTGATGCCTCGCCCTTCTCAAGGTCTTGGACGTCTGTCTGTGAGCTGTGGCTCGATAGGAGCTCTTTATGATTTGGTATCGACATGTTGGTGAGTGCAATGGCTTAACGCTGTGTTGTTCGCTCGCAGTATGGTGGTGTGATCCCGAAGTCGATCTGCAAGTTCTTGTTGGATACTTCTGCACAGTGCTGGATCCGAGTCACTCATATACTCTGAATATCGTAAGGCAACCAAACGCAGCAGGTGGAGTGGATACTAAACAGCATGAACTGGCAGCTGCGTCTCTATGACCGATTAACGCCGACACACGAAGGTGGTCTATACCGTTTGCGGACGCTGTGGCTGCTCCCTGAGTTCGGGAATCGGAGACTACGAAGGCGCGAAGGTGCGACTAGGTCCCGAGAGCGCGGGCTCGGTGCCTTTCACCCTTCACTTTCGCAACCGAGACCATGTCGTGTTGTCGCATGACAACAGGGTAGACAAGTTGCGGTGGTCGAGGCTTGGTAAACACGGATGGAGACTTTTCGTTTTTGTTGGGTGACCTGAAGACTGACCAGTATCACCGGTGCGGCCGCACGGCGGTAGCAGCGCCTTACAGTCGTTGATGAGTCACATTTCGTCCGGTAGGACAAATGTTAGGCTTTCCGAGCATTGCGGCTCTTCTGGACTGCTGTGTCTGATCCTCAATCCTGTGTACTCGGTGTGACATTACGCCGCCGCTCTGTGCTGCCCCAGCCTTGTGCTGTAGACGTGTGACATGTCTCGGGTGAGGCTTCACTCTTACTTTCCATCTCTTTCTCATCCCTAACACACTGGACTGGTTGTTGAAACAAATACAGCATTTGTACAGACAAGAAGACTGACCTACCATACCATAGTCACTAATTCGAAGGCTACATCCTTTCTGTATTGCACGCACGATCACCAACACGGTAGAACTTTCCTACAAAAGACATGTGGAGTTGTTGGTCCTTCGTTACGCTTCTCGCAGAATCGCATAGTCTCTGGTGACGAAGCATGAGATCGAGTGGTGATAACCAGGGGAGACAGAAGGTACTTGTAGCTATATCGGCTCTCCACTTGGTGGCCGAGGGCTTCCGTGCCGCGGTACTACAAGTTCTCCAATCATCACCACAATGAAAGCGCAAAATAAATTGAAGTCGTCTAATTCATACGTTCATTTGTAGTTGATACTTTTGTTGTTACGCAACATTACCCTCCTGCTTGAAAATACAAGCTGCGCACGCGCTGTAGGGGTACTACGAAAACGTGAGAATGTTAAAGTCTCCGAAAAGTATATCAGAAAACCGCCAGCGCCTGCGAAACCCATATGACCCACCCAATAATCGTTTCATAATGCCTACCCATTTTATATTCACGGAACGCCTCACAGCGCTCACCTCGTCTACATGATGCAGATCGTAGCAGCCTACCCACTGAGCAGATCTTTTACACTCATACCTCGAGCACCATTCCCTGTCCAGCTCCTACGGTCCGCTGAGTTCAACATCATTAGGGCCTCAGTAGCGATCTGATCTTCACGGTCTGCCTGGGGTCCCAGCGCAGGCGAAGTCAGTGCGAAAGGGGCTGCGCCGTGTGCTGAGCCAGGAGCTGACACGGGTCCGGTGCTCGGGGGTCCGGTGCGAAAAGGGTTGCTGAACATTGCGGCCGAAGGGGTCTGCGATGCTTGAGCACTGAATGCGGGCGAAGCAGTGAGAGAGGGTGATGCAATAGATGTCAAGGAGTAGCGATGAGGGTCTGAGGGCTGGAGTGCCGGTGAAGGATGGGCGGAGTAGTAGTTGCGGTCCTGAGGGAGCATAGCAGGGGAGGTCGTTGTGGAGTGCGAGTACACGCTCCCCCTATCGGAAGGGTGGATGGTTGGTGAGGTGGTAGCGAAGTGGTAGGTAGACTTCGGAATGGGGTTAGTCACATGAGTTGGTGATACCACATCCTTCATCTCCTCGTCCTCATCTTCTTCGTCCTCTTCATCATCTTCTTCCAGAACTCGTCTGAGTGGGGGTGGGGCGAGGTCTGACGCAGCAGATGAGGGCGAATCGTGTCGTGCCTGGTTGGCTGTCTTCAGGTCGGCAACGCATTGTTCGAGGTAGCGCATATACTCAATCGAAGCCTTCGCAGTGTTAGGAACATAGTGTGGGGAAGGATGTGGAGAAACCAACTTGCAAGATCGCCAACTTGTGCATTTCCTGATCCCTGCATGCGGGGATCATATCCTTTAGTACACCAAACTCCTCGTTCATCTTAGACCTCCTCCTCCGCTCAATCAGGCTGTGTGCTGTCTTCCGTGCAATCTTGCGCCCTGCAGCTGTGGTGTTGCTTGCCTGTTTCCTCTTGGCTCCACCAGCTTTCTCGGCTGGAGCTTTCGCATCTTGCTTCTCGGGCTGTGCTTTAGATTGTTCCTGCGCATCCTTGGGCTTCATTTGTATGATCTTGCGAGACCTTGTTGGTGGGGGTGGAAGGGAGTAGTCATCTTTGGTGATGACGCCCTGTTGGGAGGCCGTGCTCAAGCGCTTGCGACTTTGGCTGGGTTTCGAGGTAGCAACGGGAGAAGCGGGCGAGGGTGGTCGATATGACGAGTCTGAAGCGGTTTCAGATGGTCCAGATGAGCTGGCAACGCTACCTCTGCCGTTCAAAGCTGCTGGAGGCAGAGAAAAGCCGCCTTCTAGCTGCGGAGCATTTGCACTGCTCTTGCCGGTGATATCGGTGGAGGGCTGCGGCGTCGGTGGGAAGCTTGGGCGAGGCATTATAGTTCTTGAAGTGCTCATAGAAGAAGCTCTAGTCGTTGTCCAGCTTCTGCAAAAAGAAAAGAGCTGAAGAAGAGAGGGGGCAGAGACTGGAGGCACGATCAGAGGGCAACATTATCACGGACAAGGTGTCGCGTGGGCTCTTGTCGCAATAGAGGAAGTCGAGCACACGCGTGCCAGGTCTCAGGGCTGTGATTGGCTCACTCCACACATGTCGCCCGATTGCGCCTCGAATGAGAGCGCAAATGACGGAAGCGTGGGCGCTGCGAACACCACGCTGGCTCAAGCGTTCGAGGGGCTGAGCGGGTGGGCAAGCATTGAACAGTTTCATGCCACCTTCCTGCACCTATTCGTAGAGCACGTGCGTGGTTTTGTGTTCGTTCGGCGGCATTTCTCACTATCAAGAAGGGTCGAGGCTATTGGAACGTAAGTGCTAAGATCATGCTAAATGGCGCTGCCGCGGTAGTCGGCCAGCGATTGCGAAGGAGGAAGGTGGAGCCGTGCGTGAATTGCAGCAGTGCGAACAGGACTTTGTTAGTGTGGTGTTGATGGAGAAAGTGGGTCTCGTTCCATGCTGACGTAATCCCCCAGTATCTGGGGAAGCTGCGAAGCATCGACGATCTATTGGGGAGTAAAAGACATCATCGAGGCTGTCTGGAGCACTTCAACGGTTTCTAGGGGAGCTTTGATGTCATTCACACTAGACTTCGCAAACTGGTCGCGTGCCCCTCGAATGCTCAGCTACAAAAAGCACAAACTTGGAAATTGACGTAAGACAGGGGCACTTTTCATCATATATCGCGCAGCAGAACGCGTCTCAGATGCTTGATGAAGTCTTGATGGACAAAATGACCTAGGTTGTGTGCACGACGAATCTCACATCTGTCCACATGCCCCCCTTTTCTTTCCACCTTGCTACTCAACCTTTCCAAAAATCCTCTCCAACAACTCGTGCGCAAACAACTCAATCCCCGGGCTCTTCGTACACCAACTAACCCTATTCCCCCTCCTAATATCCCCCCACCATCCCGCATCCCCCACAACCTCATCATCCAACTCACCCTTCCTCTCCGTCACCGGCCTGCCCCGACGATCAACAATACAGCATCCCCTAGTCCACTGACCCGCCGTCTCCACTCTGACATCCTCGGTCTTGAACTGCCAGCCTGGGTGCGAGGGCGAGAGCGCGTACCATATGCACAGCGGGTCGTGCAGCTGCAGGCCGAGCTTTGAAGCATCTTGGTTGGGGTTGAGGGAGAGGAGTTTCTTGAAGGTGGTCAGGAGGAAGAGGGTCGACCAGTCTGCAAGGGGAGAGTTGATCAGGGGCTCTGAGGTAGTGTGTTTAGTGTACAGTGACTGCGGAAGCATGTGCTGCTCCGTTGTGTCTGGGTGGGGTTAGCCCATTGTCGTCAGTGTCGAGATAGAATGGCGTGAGTGTGTACCAAGTGGGAACAGCTTCAACTTCAGCTGCCGTGACAGCTTCTCAGGGTATGGCGGTAGCTGGCCTTTCCCGCGCAGTGCCGGAGGCATGGTCGTTCTTGGGTTGGGATTCGTCAACGCAAAGACACGAGCGCTAGCTACACTGTCTGCATACGTGTTGAACTCGGCTCCTGGCGTCATCTGGTTTCTTTCGTTCAGCTTTCTGCGCAAAGGAGTATCCGGTTGCTTTGTGAGACCGAAGTTCGGGACAGGTATGTTCATGACCTCTGGCGAATACAAGCGGGCCAGAGGCGGGGACTACAAACGCAGCTTCGGGACCGCATTGCAGGAAGTCGACAGGAGAACATGAAAGGTGACTTACGTTTCCGGGTGCATCAATTGCACCGCCCATGACAACGACTTCTTTCACTCTCAGGAAGGTCTCAGGGTCCTTAGCCGCTGCCAGAGCAAGATTTGTAAGAGGGCCAACAGCCACGACAGTGATTGTGTCTGGCTCATTGTCTCTCAGCAGCTCAAGCATCTGCTCATGAGCTGGCTTCAAAGAAGGTTCGAAAAGCGAATGTTGATCCCTGACGGCTTGTAGCTCAGCCGCATCTTCAGGCGACAAACTTTCTGGAGTAGGCTTGAAAAGAGACTTCCACGTCTCAGCCGGAGTAAGATGAGGGTGGCTGTTGTGAACACCACCAAGACCATCAACTCCATGGAAAAAGTCTGCGACCATCATGTGCTCAGCCAGAGGCTCGGTAGCGCCCACAGCGACGATGGGTTTGCGCACATCTAGTGTTTCGAATCCTTTTGGTCTGCCTTGACTTTCCCTCCATGCTCTTTCTTTTCCGATGTAGTGGAACAGCGTGACCACGTTTCTCAGGCAGCTGTCAAGCTGTTAGTAAAATTTTTTTTTTTTACCGAGCAGATACCTCTTCGCTGCGTCTATGTGGTCTCGAGTAAAGAACGACTCGAAAAATGGGTGTACACGTGCCTCTGAACGTCAACATTTCCGAACGTCAAACTCAGCATAAGGATATCCAACTCTTCAGGCTTCGCGGAAAAGGCAAGAAGCATAGCAATGACATCGTCAACGCCCTGTTCCGTTATCAGTCAGAAATTCCCCTGATTTTACTGTAGCTACCCCGCTATAGCACTTACAGGGTCCGTATCTATGATAATTTTGTTTGGCGCCATCTTGTCTACCGTCTATATGAGAGAAAATCAAAAAAGGAATGTTGTGATCGTTGCACAAGGGAGAAGCTGCAAATCGTTGATTATACTGAGGCACGTGGGAGGCTACTACCGGCAACTGATTAGCTAATGAATCGGAGGTTGACTCAAGGTCAAACCGCGTGAGGCAGGTGAACGGTGCAGGATGGTCGGGGAGTTCCGATCTCCGCATTGTGGAGCTAATGACGTCCCGAGGCAGGGTCTGAGGCTTGAGAAAAGGTGTCCACAAAGCGAGCGACTTTTGTTACTGTTACTAAAGTATTGATGTGCGCTGGTTCGTTTCATTGATGAACTTTGTTGACATTGCTGGAATGCTGTAAAACTGGGCATGATGATCCAAAGTCGCAATTGCCCTTCCAATTGCTAAACAAACGCTACGCCGGGTTCATAATCTACATGTTCGGTGACCTACGGACCCCACTCATGCGCTCAAATGCTTTTGACCGTAATCTTCCCTCCAGCGTCTGGCCCATGAGCGCTGGAACATCTTCGTATGCGTCGTTGTACTAAGCTTGATATAGTGTATAGCCTGGCTGGCAGCCGAATGCTGAGGTATGAAGATAGTGTATATGCCGGAAAGCCGTACCGACTAATAAACCTTCTTCTTCTCGTCGACGGAGAACTGACCGGGGCCCATATTGACAAGGAGGAGGAGGCCGCCGCTGCGACTTTGTTAGCCTTTGGTAGCTGCAATATGGATATGTGGAACTTACACAATCGAAAGTATCTGGAAGAAATCATATTTCGCGAAATCCTTGTGGGGGTGGTGTGGGTGCAGAGTCCACCAGTTGTTGACGTAGAGGTTGAAAATGCTGAGAATGAGCACCAACATGACCGCGGAGAACTTGGCCTTGAAGCCAACAACAACCATAATGCAGGCAATGAGGCCGAGCAAGCTGGCCACGATCCTCCAAAAGCCCCAGTCGCCACGGAAAACGAAACCGACGAAGAGGAAGATAAGCAGAACACGTCCAGCAAGCTGGAAGTACATCTTCTTATCCTTCTCATCGAGCTGGGGAAGACCGGCTGGGGCGAACTTCTTGCGGACCCAGGAGTCGGACAGAACCATCATGAGACCGCCCATAACCGAAAGGTTGCGGAGGAAGAAGTTCAGGTCGAAGACCAGGCCGTATCCGATACCCTGCATAACCACCACGCTCATGAGACCAGCTACAGCGTATTCTGAGTGCTTTCGTGCGATGACCATGATCGAGCATACAGTCATTGCAACTACGTTGATGATGAGGAATGCGTGAGTGAAACCATTCCAGACTATACGCAAATGTTGTCAGCAGCTGCTCATTAAGTGCGGTGGAGTTTATAGGGTCTCGTACTCTTTCGGTAGTCGTGGAGGTATGTGAGCTGATCGCTCCATTGTGTCAAGATGCGCAGCGCGTCCTCGAGGAAAGTGACAACGATCAAGAAGCGGCCGACAGCTGGGAGGTACCTATTCAGAACCACGTTAGCTCTATTGTCACGAGTAGAGCTCAATGCTGCCGCAATTTTGCACCTTGAGCTCTCAGAGCTTCAGAAAAACTCACGGCTTGATTGGGTCGGACAGCGTGTCCAAAAAGTCCTCAATCTTGTTCGTCTGCTCCCTGAGTTGGTCGAGCGGACTCGGGTCGTTCGTGGTGCCATCGTTCCGTCCAGCGTTACCGAAGGGGCTCTGATTTCCCAGATGATAGCCCGCTGTGCCCCGTATTTGCGCCATAACTGCGGTCGAAAGCAAAAGAGAGGAGCAGGTTGAGAATGCAAGGAGTGGCGCTGCGTGGGCGGATATGGATGTTGTGAAGCTCTTCCGTGAGAGGACAGGTGTCGATGCCAAGAGGGGCTAGTACTCTCACCCTAGATCTGCACCCAGAAGCTTGGTGAGACAATCCTCTGTATGTAAGTTGTTATTCTGGAGCCATTCCGTAGCTGCACGTCCCTTATTTGCGGACTTCCGTAGCTAACACACAGTTTCGAGTTTTGGAAACGTGTGCAGCCGTTCTTGCTGAAACGCGAATTGATGCTGTTCAATACCTTTCGAGGTCCACAATTTTGGAGTTTAGGAATGAAAGCACCTTTCACAACACAAAGGACCTGGTTCGTCCAAATAAGCTTACAAGTGACTGCATATCAATCACTACTCTGAATGTGCTGATTGTGTAGCTGAAGCTGTGATCATGCGGTCAATGATGTCAGCGAGATATTTTGGGCAGGTGCTTTGAACGCAATACGAAGCACAGCTCGAAAAACCTCCGTATGCCACCAAATATACATTTAGAACACGATATTGATGATTTACTTCCATTGATAGCCAATCTACCATAAAGCAAGATGGCTTATCCTAGACTGAACAAGAGAAAAAATACATAATGTAGATAAACCTAGTAGCCTATCACTGCAAGGTATCGAAATGGACCGAGACTCCAATGCCACTTTTCGTGCCGCAAAGGCAACCGAAACCTCGCTGTTGATATCTCACAAATGCTTTACAAAACGTGTGACCTTTCCTCAGCTATACCCTCGTACTCGCAGTAGTGCGTGAGTCCGTCCTGGGACGGTATGGAGGCATTGGTCTTTCATAGCGGCAAATGCCGCGTTGAGAAGGTGTCAGGACGTCGAGATCGTCCGATCTGCCCACGGTATTGTGGGGATCTGGTGTGAAGCTTGAACTCACATAACAGGCCAGTCGGAGTCCTTCTCGGTAGTGGTGAAGGGCTCAGAGAGGATGCCGTAGCGCGAGCTCGAGATGGGCGCGCGGTTCTCAGTCTTCTTGACCTGAGGAACCTGAGCAGGCTTGACAGGTTGCACAGGGGCAGCGCTGGGAGTGTTGCTCTCCTCGGCGACCTGAGCGGCCTTCTGCTTCTTGCCTCCCTTAGGGATGGTGGTCCAGGCAGAGTCATCCTCCATAGCCAATCTCAGCTGCTCTTCCTCAGAAGGCAGACCATTGTAGCTGCCACTGTTCGAGACGGTATCGGGGGTGTTGATAGTTCCGTTGGTGGCGCTGGAGCTGGCAGTGGAGGCGACATCGAAGGTGTCGAGAAGCTGGCCGGTGGAAGCGGAAGCAGGGGCTTGAACAGCACCGCCAGAAGACTGGCCGGCCCAAGGGTTGTTGGAAGGCAGCTTAGCAGCGATACCATTCTTTGCGGGCTCTCCACGAGCCTCGCGAGCAGTGCGGCGCTGCTTCTCGAGCAGAACCTGACGCGCCTTCTCATCCTCCTCACGCTGAGCCTTCTCAGCCTCCTTCTTCTGGCGATTCTGACGCTGCTTCTTGGTCTCCTGGGGAGTCTCAACCTTCTGTACATTGGGTTTGGAGGCCTTTGCGGGCTTGTCGGAGGACTTGATGCTCAGAACATTAGCGACGGAAACGGAGGAAGGAAGCATGTCAGAAACATCCTTGCCGCTCGGGGCCGTGGGTGCAGCGCGGACGGGCGATGAAGCGGACGAGGAGTCGTTACTGGCATCAGCGCCAGCGGAGGGAGCTGCGTTAAACTCGGCCTTGGCCTTGTTGCCAGCCTCTTGAACAGCATCCTGAATTGACTTCTTGCGAGGAGCCTTGGCCTTAGCCTGCTTCTTAGCCTGCTTCGCAGCTGCCTTTGGCTTGCTGTCTGAATCGCTCCAATCCACCTGCTTGGAGCTGGTGGTCGTTGTGCGTGCCGTAGATCGGCCTCTGGTGTCGGCGGTGAGCTTCGGGGCGTAATAGAAGTAGCCTGCGGCCAGGATGGCCAAGAAGGTGGCCCAGCTCATCCACGACTGCATCTTGTCGAGGGGATGCGATCAGGCAGGTGTAGTGGAGGGTCGAGGCAGCTACCTCTGATGAAGGTCAGTGCGACAACTGAAGGCGCACTTGAGCTGTAGCAATGATGTGTCCAGTTGTTCGACGAGGGAGCTTGCTAAAGGTCGGTCACCCCTTATGTAAGGTAGATGAACCTAAGCTATCGGCAAGGGAGTTCTCAATTGACGGTGATGTGCGAGCACCTCGTTGGTTGCACAGCCCACAACTGCAGAGCCGGCGGGAAAGGGATTGGCAAGGTGGCCGTCTGCTTCGGGAAGCTGCTGGTACTCCCTAGTGACGGAAGGTGTAGAAGATAAGATGAGGAGTCAATCTGGTTTATGTGGACAGCCCAGATATCTGCCGCGAAAGAAAGACAGATCGATATGTGAGAGAGTAGTGATGTTGTGGAGGGAAGGTGCTCGGAGGTGATGTTGAGTGTGGTGCTTGCCCGTTTGGTAAGGCGCTATTGCGGAGAACGGGGCAAGTGTTCACGAGCTGCATGAGCCTCGATGATTGATTCACTCTTCCAAAGACCTCAAGAATGCATCCTGGATGGGCATACGCGTCTTCATTGGCTTCACGCGATACAAAATATGGCAGTTGTTCACTACTTCTGCAGATTCCCAGCGGTCGCAGCTGTTGCTATGCGGAAGCATCTCAGGGACCTTCGCGCACGGTGGCGAAGAGGCCACCGTGGACCTTGCGTGTCACCGCCGGCAGCTCCAGCTCGTTCACCGCGGACACATTGACCACCTTTCAATCCATCACCAATTCGAACAATTGACACGGTTTATCTCCGTGCCCTCTCGACTCATGTCACCAATCCACACCATGTCCAATTGACAGTAAGATTGACAAGCTTAAGTTGCGCTCAACAGCCTTGTGCTGCACACAATTCATTCTTCAAGCCACTGTTCGCACCGTTTGTGCGGTATGGTCGTCTCCCAAGGTTACAATGTCTCAAGGAAATAGTGGACAAGCCTTGGTCTTCCCTGGCGCTCTCCTCCCTTTCCAGTCGACCGCTTCCTGTTCAGACTTCAGGGGGTTCTTCGACTATTGGCTCTCATTGAACCTTTTGTAATATTTCCATGCTGACCAGAGAGCACTCGAGGGTGTGCACGTTGCATCAACTGCCCCAAGTGCTTTTACCCGGGTCAGAATCACAGCAAAACGGTTAGAAGGACGTTTGATTGTCACGGATGTACCGCGAAATCAGTCGTTGGACATTTCCGGCCATGCCCAGAAAAGACCCAAACACTGAAAGAAGCAATATCACTTCATGCTTCGTTGAAGCGCGTCCCTTCCGATACGTAAGCAGCGAATGCGAGTTGCTGACGCATTGAATAGCAATGCCATGGACATTATGAAGGTGATGGATATCTTAAGTAATAAAGCTAAGGGAAACAGCAACAGCATGACTTCATACCTGTCATGATTTCGTATACGCTCAGCCCAAAAGACGCCTGCAAATGCTTTGACTAGTTTCTTAACACCAAACATTGCGCCAGGGAAACCCAACAAAACTCCCTAAGCTAACAAAACTCCGGTAGTCAACACCTCCTCTTCAACATCAGCAAACCCTCCCCAGCATCATCCTCCGCCTTCCTCTTCCCCTTTGGACTGCCCTCACTCCCCTCACTCCCACTCCTACTCATCGGCGGCGTAACCTGCCCGGTAACCTGCCCGGTAACCTGCCCAACCCCCGCCAACCCCGCCTGACTCTGATACAGATTCTGATGGCACTGTGCCAGCCCCGGGACACCCTCCCTCTGCCGACTATGCTGCAGATTCATCTGCGCCTGTTTCTGGGCCTGCACTTGCGCCAGCCCTTGAGCTAGCTTCGGCTGCTGCAGAACCTGTGCTTGCAGCGCTGCGTTGCGCTGCGCGAGTTGCATTTGGCGTGCGATGTCGCCAAGCCCGGGGCCGACGATGTTGCGGTCTCCGATTATGGTGGCGCCGCAGTTGACGGTGATGTTCACGTTCAATCCACCTTTCTTCCGCCTCTCCGTCCGGCTTGACGATAGACTCGTGACTGGAGCTTGGGGCGGCGATGTAGGTGTCGGCGGCGCCGTGGGATCTGAAGGCACAGGATCGCCAGATAGCATTGTAGCGACGAGATTCGCTATCCGCACACTGTCCATCTGCGCGATGGAGATAATATTCCCGTTTCCGCGAATCTGCGTTGCGGCGTTGATTGTGATTTCTGGTGTCTCGTCTTCGCTGTCTTCGCTGTCTTCTTCTGTCTCGGGATCGTATGGTGAGGACATGTTGGGTGTGTTGGTTGCTTCGGGATTGACGACCATGTGGTAGGCTGGCGGTGCTGGCATATCACTCTCCTCACTATGCTCTTGACTTGGATTCGTGTGTGCTGGATTCCGGTACGATGATAAGATGGCTTGTACTTTTGCGTTCTGCAATGCGGGATTCCTCCATGGATCCATTCTTTGATATATTATAAGGCGGCTGCGCTGTCGATCAGGTGCCTGGCAGGCTGTGGGGTATCGTGATGATGAGGTGTGGCGTGATGGTGGGTTGAGCTTCCTCTTTTCCCCCTTGAAGCTGGTTACACGAGCGAGTGACCACGAAAACTGGACGAGACCTTTACCGGGACGTTCTCGATGTTCCTAAAAAATTGTTCCAGGTGGACTGACTCCTTACGTAGATAGTTTGGGAATCTGTGAGCGACGGCCGCGTCCGGGTGTCTTCACGGGAGTTGTTGTAAAAGTCGAATGTTCGTGGTTCTGCGCCGGCAGTTGCTTCGGGCTTCATGCAAAAGTTATCTTAAACACACCATCAGCATACCACACTTAATATATACCGGCCATACCATTGGCGGTCATTGCCATACAAATACAATAGCATCTCCGACAACAGCGCCCTCACGCACCCACACAGCGCCACACCTGCCCGTCCCACTCACCGTCCACTCCTCATGTGCTTGGTATTGACCAGCCCATGAAGCACGCACACAATAGCACTCTTACACGGTTTGCTATTGTGATCAATAAGGCAGCCGGGCGCTAGTCCGCTTCAACCCACCCGTACGACATGGGTGTCCTACACACGTGAAGCACTTCCGCCGCATGACATTGGCTTACGAGCAAGATCTGATGAGTGATTGCTGATGTTCGGAGGAAATTCCGGGATTATTACTCTACAATGAGTTGAGGTTGCTGTTGTATGGGTTGAGGTGGTGCACGCAGTGGAGCTAATGTGTTGCTATTGTTCTTTGTTATTCAGCACTGCGACATCCTCATCAAAATTATTTTGTGTCCATGGCTGAATGTTGTGCGACGCGTTATTTTGCGCACATCGTCTCCTCAATCATACCTGGAGAGTCACAGCAATGCCTCCTTTCCGCTATAAATCAGGAGGATTGAATCCTTCCATGTAATTACTCCAGACCGTGATGGGTACATGAATCAGGCAGGTCTAGTCTCTCTACGGTAGTCAATTATGTGGAGTCGTTAATCGGGCGCATATCACCGATCCATGGATGGCAGTGGAATCAATGTGGGTATGATCTTGCAAGTATTGATTTTTCCTATTATTCGTAGGAATTATGGCTATTGTGAGCTCGAAAAGTAAAGACAGCCGTGCAGCACTCATGGTTCGCAGGCTTGACAAGCAGAGTCGCTGGCTGATGCGGTGACGTGCATTGGTTGTGTGTCTACCTAGCCAATCGCAGCATTGCATGTGCGATGCTGCCGCTGGTGTGCTCAGATGGCGGAATCTGTTAGTATTGTTGTAGTAGCAGATGGCTTCGTACTGTGCGACAGCCAGTAGGAGAGCGCTCTGTTGCCGGCGATCGAAGCCGAGTCGGATGGCGTGAGAGTGCCGAATAATGTGCAGGTATTGCTGCCTATCGAGACACTCGGTTCGTCCTCCGTCCTTCAAGAAACATTGTGCTCCCCTCCTCCGTTCCATTCCTCGGGTCGTGGTGCTTGACACGCATTCTATCAAACATCCAGGACGCCGCGCTGGTAAATGCTTCAAAGACAAAACATACAAGTCCGGCTCACAGTCGGTTACATTGTGGTAGATGCAGGACCATCCCATGCAGACAAGGCTTCGACGATGGACAGGGCTCTACCGCTGCGGCCGGTACTGTGGGACTTCGTGATACGGGCGATCGTTAAAGAACAGGTTCTCCGACCACGGTGGGAGCTTCTTGTCCCGTTCGTACAGGTAGCCACAGTTATGGCAGAGGGTGCGCGGGCCCCGTGGACCGTCGCGGACAGCCCAGACGGCGGTACCCCAAACGTAGCAGTGTGCGCAACGCCATGTTTGTCGCTCCCTTTACACACATTGTTAGCTGAGCGAATGATGATGATGATGGAAATCAATACGTACCCTTCCTGTAAGCCACCGCCCTCCCCGCCATAGCCGGAGCCTGCGCCAGGTGTGTCTCGGCCCACAGGACTAAGACTCCTGAACCTCCTCTTCTTCTTGCTTCGCTCACCACGGCCCATGTTTTCTTGTTGTTCGATGTTGCTAAAGAACTCGTTCTGCGGTGTGCCTGACATGTTCGCTGTTGAAGAGAAGCGCGCTGTCTCTCTTCGCAGCCTTCTGATTTGCCTTTCGCGATCACCCTCACGCTTCTCGATTTCTTCTTGCGACAGCATCTCGACCTTTGGCTCCCACTCGTCGCAGAGATGCTCGTGGTCATATCTCCAGCCTGCACCAATTGAGGGCTCAACAGCGTCGTTGTCGATCTCTCCGTCACCAACAAGCCCACCATTCTCACAAGCTTCCTTCTTCAACCGCAATACAGCCTCATAGATGGCATGGGTCATTGAGGACACCCACTCGCCAGACAAACCAAGATCAGCACATGTGACTTGCGCGAACATCTCCGCAAAACCTGGAGGGTGCAGCAAAGACCATTCGAACTTGTCGGTGTACAGGCGGTTCATTAAATTGATGTTCAGCGTGACTATGCAGCGATATGTGTCATCTGGGTTGTGAAGCTCTTCGGACGGTAATGCTGTGGCAGAAGCGGTGATGCCATTTAGTATCGCGGTAGGTGCAGGTGTGTTTGCACCATTTGTCTGGGCAGCGCCGTTTGTGACAGGTGTGGAGGCGCCATTTGTTGGCTGTAATGCCGGCGTAGAAGTCCCGTCGCGAGTCGCAGGAAGCAGTGTTGGCTTTGCCGTAGTGCCTTGGACAGATGGCGCAGCTGTTGAGTGGAAGAGCGGATGCAGAGCAACTCCAGCATACTCTTCCAATTGCTGCCGTATTTGACCTGCAATGTTGTAGATGATCTGAGGCTTGCGGTCTGTGGGCAGATCGAGCTCGTCAACGAACTGCTTTGCAAACTGGTCTGGCGTCATGAGAGCCTCGTGCAAGTTCCATAGGAACGAGTCCTTCAGTCTGTATGCAGGCGTGACGTCCGGCTGCTTGTACGCTGGCAGGCTCTCGTTGATGCCGAAGTCGCGCGCATTCGAGGGAGTGGGTAAGGGCGCTTCTGGTCGGAATGGCTGGACGTCCATGTCTATCCGTATGGGAATGAGGGTGACAGGGAGGGCAGACTGCACCTGCACCTGCTTCTCCGTTCTACACTCAATTAGTCGCTGTCTCGACGTCTCCACTCAACATATGCACTCACAATGTGCGCTTGGGTCTTCCCATCCAGTCTCTCCATATGCCCTGTTGCTCGATAGGTGCTGTGAGCTCTTGCCCTAGTGCTGCTATTTGCGCTGTCTGGTCCAGGTTCATGGTGGCATCCCTTTGCAGGCTGCGCAGACCAGTCGCACGCCTCGGACGGTCGCTGTCCTCGAAGTCATCGTCGTCGTATGCGTCCTCGGCATAGCTGAGCACAGCGGTTCCACGCTTCGTCACGCGCGGTGCAGGGAGGGTGTTCGACGGCGGTACGATTGGGGACATGAGCGAATTGCCATGGGAGCGCAATCGCGGCGCATAGCTCGACATGAACGCCTGCGGCGGCGCCGTCTTTCCCGTGGTGGTGAACATGGCTGCTGGCGAGCGCGACGAGAGGTATGCGAAAGGTGAGGAAGCTCAAAAGAGCTGGCGAGCAGCAGACGCGTCGCAAACGCTGTGCGTGGTGACTGGTCGCGCCTCGCGGTGCGAACCCCGTCAGAAAAGAGGTCGAAATGCAGATTGACGTGTTTCCCCCCCTTGCCTGATAGCCTGGTCCGAGTTCTGAGTGCTGAGGTTCGTTTTGCGTGCCTCGCGATCAGCATGATGCCCTGGCGCGGTTCGCGGGTTGCAGCTGCTAAGTCAGCAAATGGCGCTAATGCCGGATTAAGCCTAGAACCAACTGGCACCAACCGTCGCCTCCTACATCAAGTCACTACGATAAAGGCCAGGATTCTACCACGATGCCCTGAACTCACACTTCCCTAGCACGTAGAGTCTCACATGGCTAATTTTGCGGTGATGACCGCAAAAGCGAAAGCTATAAAGCCCGATAGTAATCCCCGCTGACGGACATCAAGGCGCAGCCTTGCCTTCACCTCCGGCAAGAACGAGTTCGACATACCTTGTTTCGTGGCCTCAAGACTCCGCTTACCACTCGCCGTTGAATCATAGGCAATATGGTAAAGCACACACAGTATGAATTGAGATCCTTGTTGATGGGTCACGGTAGGTCTTTGCATCTTCGGTGTCTGCAAGTCTCTGTCACTAGCTGCTTTGCACTCATGCCTACATCTCGGCATCTACGCATGTTCCCTGGTCATATCGGACTTACATCGTGATAGGCCACAGTCCTACGCCTCCCCAGGCAGGTTTACGGAACACGAGATGCTGGAGTCCGCTTCCTCGCGATTGGCTCACAGCTAGGTCCTTCAATCTAATTCGCTGTTGCTGGGCCTCCACAATGCACTGCGGGTACTCCCATTCACCTTGTCTTCACGGTGTCCGTCTATTGTCTCATCGTGAAGCTACTGCGCAATAGGCAAGCTACCATGCCGCCGCACAACGTCAGCGGAGTTCCTTCGTCGCTACACAACGTGCTCTAAACTCTGCATCCCCAAAAACTACTTAAACAACCTCAACATTCTTCCCTCAGAGATCATCGAAGCTCCGAGAAAGCAACAACAACCACATTCATTCAATAACAATCTTCAGACTGGTTCTGAACATTCACACTCCTTCAACTTTCAATTTTCAAACAACTACGCTTTTGACAAGCCATACATTCAGCTTTCGATCACTTCCGCTCTTTTCAAAAACATTACATTCTCAACCAAATCAGCAACAATGTCTTCCACTATGACCAAGACCACTCTCTTCGCCGCCGTGCTAGCCATGGCTTCCACCGCCTCCGCTCACATGTTCATTGAGAGCCCTGTCCCCTTCTCTGGTGTCATGAAGGACCCGCTGCAGGCTGATGGCTCGAACTTTCCCTGCCAGGGTAGTGGCTACCAGATCACAACTATGAACGAGTGGGCCGTCGGCTCTGACGTCACTGTTTCGTTCCCTTCAGACCAGACAGCTACTCACGGCGGCGGATCCTGCCAGATCTCTGTCTCTAAGGACGAGAAACCTACTGCTTCGTCCAAATGGAAGGTCATCCACTCTATCTTGGGTGGCTGCCCTACAACTGGCGCTGGCAACTCGGGCGAGCTCGGTAAATTCGGCTTCAAGGTTCCCTCTGAGCTCCCGGAAGGCCAGCTGACCATGGCTTGGACCTGGTTCAACAAAGTCGGCCAACGTGAGATGTACATGAACTGCGCTCCCATCAAGGTCTCAGGTGGTACTGGTAAGGGTTTCGACGACCTACCAGACATGGCTATCGCAAACATCAACGCCCCTGGTGCATGCAAGACATCTGAGGGGTTTGACTACACCTTCGCCAACCCTGGTGAATCTGTCGTCAAGCTTGGCACCGGCCCCTTCAAGGAGCTTTGCGGTGGTGCTGCCTCTGAGGGCGGTAATACTACCCCTTCTGCTTCATCTGGCAACTCTGGCAACCCTGACACTGCACCCGCTCCCGCTTCTCCCAAAGAGCCAGCAACAACTCCCGCGCCCACCACTCCTCAGGCTCTTCAGGCTCCCTCTACCGGTGGCTCTACCTGCCCCAAGGACGACGCTATCCTCTGCAACGGCGAGTCCCAGTTCGGCGTCTGCTCCAACGGCCAGGTTATTTACCAGCCTGTAGCCGCTGGCACCAAGTGCTCGAACGGCAAGATCGCTCGTCGCGACCTCCACCGTAACGCGCGCACTGCTATCCCTGCCATCTGAGTCTTTGAGAAGGGGTAGGCTGTTGTACGGATATGGGATGATAATATGCGGGACTGGGTGGGAGTTGCATCGCAGGCGTTTAGCATTTGGGTTGGCATTTGGGTTGGCATCTGGTTCTCATTTGTTTCTTATTTGGTTTTCTTTTCGGATTGTATCGTCGGCCTGGCCACTACCTTCTGCCTGGTGCAGTGGATATGGCGGAGTTGGGCGTTTGGGACGTTTAGATAGCATTTAGATGTACGCTTCGAGCGTTCAATGCATTTGATGGAAATAAACCTACTTGACTTGGCATCAGACAGTGCACTAAGACAGTGCACTAATCCCAGTATCGTTGGTACAAACAGCATACTAACAAGGCACGAGAAATGACCCTTTCCTCCCGCTACTTCTGTGGTGTGATGTTCGCATGCGTTCAGGGTCAGGTTGCCAGTGAAAGTAGGTTCAACCTCTCGATTCACTTCCAGAGACTTTTCAGCCGCAATTCTGGCCCGCACCCGTAAAATCCTCGTCACAGCTACTCAAACTTACCACAAACACGATCAGATCTACTCTTAACACCATGTCATCCGACAACGCCCGCATCGCCGTACTCGAAGCGCCACTCGCGCAGTCGCAGTCCGTTCTGGCTGAGAAAACCGCAAACATCAAGCGACTGCAGAAAAGACTCGCAACCCCCATCAAGCATCCATCACGATCACAACACTACAGACTTCATCAAGCTCGCTGAGTTTGTTGGCACGTGGCGCAAGGAGCCTTTATCCCTTTCACTTGCGGATATCAGTGCTGAGCTCGACGAGGTTATGGAAGACCTCGCGATGATTGTGGCGGCGCACCTCGAGCATGATCTTGAGTATGATCCGGGTTTTGAGACTGAACTGATGGAGGATGCAGCTTTGGATTTGGGTATGATGCCAGATGAAGAAAGTTGGATGTAAAAATGTCATATTTGAGACACTGTAACCCCAAGATATTAACGAAGGCGGCACATTAATAGTGCGAATTATATCTTACTGATATCGAAGCATATCCTACATATATCACTACCCTCAACACGTAATATCCATTTTTTGTATCGATAAGAGAAGCCAGGTGCGCTAAATCACTATCGACTGTGGAAGATAAGAGAAAGTTGGGCCATGGTGCCTGCTCCGTAATGATCGAGATGTGACAGATGCATGTGGCTGGGCTCAAGGTATGAAGGTGTACCTTTACAGATCCATCTCACATTGGCTGTATCCCACATCGGAGTACATAATGCTCATGATGTTGTACGAGGTCAAAATCCATCTTTAGATTCTGCCCCAAATCTCCAACATGGACGATGAGGTTGCGTGTTTGGCATGCCGTCCTAGGGGAGTAGTGGTATGTCTAAACCCTTTCTCTGTCCTGTTCGATAGTTAGTTTACCACCGGACTTCTTTGACTAGTACTTCTGCCAATCGGGCACTCTCACGCTGCCTCGATAGGTGAATTTAGCTTTCCCCGCATTACTGTCAGCGTATTCCCGTACGGACAAGTGACTTTGATGTTATTCTTCATTCTTCATATTTGAAAGGTGCTTTACTAGGCATGTAGAAGTCGTGCAATGTGCTGCCAATACTCTCACCGAGACAGATAGCATGGCAGTACGAGAGTGTCTCTCTAGCGACTGTATGCAGATATCGAGCCGGACGAGCAGGCGGATCTCGAACGGATCTTGTCGAGTCTCAACCGCCGACGATAGGATAGTGTGCACTGGATATCATGCGCATACTTGATGCTGCCAATTCGGAATGCATACTTTAAAAGTTGCTATACTTACAACCTTTTGACAACGATTGAGGCTGTTATGTCATCGGGGTGAAGTGAACGGTGAGAGAGGTGCGGGAAGACTCCGCTGCCCCACATCAGCTTTGAAGAGCTCCAACCACACGTCATTCGCGACTTCTGCAACTTTTGCCTGACTCTTTTCGTCATAACAACTACACCTCAACAACTATCCGAAACGCACGAAGCTATCACGATGTCTGCTGAAGCGACTCCGATCACAGCTGCACGGTTCGCCGCCGCTCTCACCGAGCTGCCTATATCCTCGTTATACGCAAAGCACGCCGAGCTCATCAACAGTATCACGCATCTCGAATCGAGCAACAAGCAGCTAGAAGATTATGCCCGCGAAAACGATGATCGCGACTGCTATGAAGCGCTGCTCGAGAATCGACAAGTTATGAAGAAATTCAACGAGCGCATGGACCTAATTAGGAAAGAAGTCGAAGAGGTGCGCGGCCTACCTTGGAGGCCTAGAGATGAAGGCGAGGTCAGAAAAGAGGAAGGCGCTATTGGCTTGAACGGAACAGCGCCAACACAGAATGGAACAAGCACGACTGCATCAAGTGGTCCTCAGGCAGCCCAAGAGCAGACAAACGGCACTTCGGCGCAGACCGGGGAGGTTGAGGAGGGTGTATACCTATGAACAAAGCAGATCCTTTGCTTCCAAGTAATACCAGCAGCACACGAGAATTGCGTCTTAGAGTTGCAAGACAATGATGTCTACGTGTAGACCAGGCATGGTCAACGTAGGATTGTGCGCTTGACCACGGTCTGCCAGGCTACACAAAGCTTTTCCGATTGGGATAGTTCGCCGGAATCGACAGGTCTACTATCCCGACATCCTCAGGCGAAATGGGATCGATCACAGCATAGTCTTATCGAATTACCCGGGACATAGCTACAAAGAATTGTGGGATGTTGCTATGACCAGATTGTTGCGTCGTTCAAGCAAAACAGCTCGTTCACCACCATTTCTGGATATACCTTACTTACTGCGGCTTGACCCACTCACGCAACCATGGTTGGGACAACGATTATGTGCCCCTATTCGCCGAACCTATTAACCACGGAACGTAGAAAATGAGAGCGAAAGATATATTAGGCTCGAAATTACTGGTATAGCGGTAGTACAAATGCGAACACATTCACTACCTACTCTGGAAAATCCACGACCTAAACCTAGTTTTCATATGTCTAGTCTACGACCAACTGCTCCCATCTCAAAGTCCTTTAAGTTACCATGTCAACCTCTTTGTGAACAAAAGGTATTCGACGGAAATGCTACACAACGGACAAACCGATTTATGGTGGAGAAGGTATTCCGATTCAGACCAAAAGCCGACCGTTCGGACCAACTAAGTCTGGCCCTCAACCACTAGCGAAGAGCGTAGTTTCTGATACTGAGGGCAAGGCAGTCACGAAAGCTATCGAGAATGAGGTGCATCGAACTTCGTTGTGGAACTGGGAGTGGAATAGCGTCCATAGCGGTGACAATGACACTGGCTTCTTTACCACCCTATGGCACATCATGCACCACAAAGACATAGGACCTGAGTTCACGACAAACAAGTTTGGCAAATTCCCCGAGGGTTTGCGATGGCGACTGCGTGCTCAAGAACACTTCTTCGATCTTGACGATCTTCTCCGGCAGGGACTGGTTAGCAAGGATGCGCTTCGAACAGGCATGGATATCTCTCACCTTGTAGGGAGTGTTGAAGAGATAATCGGATGTTTGGAGACTGGCGCAGTCTGTGGGCTTCAATTTGTGAGGTTCTTCAAGCAGTCGAGGCTTGGCCACGGCAACTTCGACACGCCAGTTACTTGGCTCGCAATTCTCATCCTTCGATCTGACCTAGAATCGACTAAGAAAAGATTGTGAGGCGCCTTGAGAGTACTCAATTGCTGGGTAAGCTTAGGATTGATTTTGGCGGATACATACGTCCGTCAGAAGTGCGCAATGCGCCTGACGCAAATGAGACGGAAGATATGTATAAGATGAGGCCACACGGGTTTGGTTGCTTCCTGCCTAATGGCATTGATCTGCAGATATGGGCTGCGGAGGCAAACCGTACCATGAGCGTATCTTGTATCTGTATGAAATTGTCTACGGCGAGGGCGCCTGGGGATACGCGTCGAGGTTTCTACATCTGCTGGACGTCTATGCAGCAAATCTAGCGGAAACGATTCAACCAACACCGCTTCCAGGGCCGTCCGATAACATTTTTCACTAGACTTGATAGCTTTCATATCGATGTTCAGTGGAACCGACTTGGGTGCCTATGATTCGGATAGTTCCATCGACCCTTTGGACTTGAATCTACTTGGTATACACGATGATCAAGACTAGGGATGTTGCGCTATCTCCATCTCAATTATTCGTACCACGAGCAGGAAACGGGAAGCTCTTACTATAGCTATCAATTCACACAATTGCGCCCTCATTACACACCACGACTTTCCTGTCGTCGTCCGCACTTTCCACACGTGGCAAGACCACTCACACGCCGCTTCATAGTCAACAGCGGCAGACGTCGCCTACGAGAAGCTCGAGCAAGTCTTCAAAGGTCCTAAATTTAGTACCATTCTTTTGTCCCCGATTTCGTCTTCGACTGTCACGCAAAACTTGTCTACTTGCGGCATGGTCAGGAACTTGCCAACCGCCAAAGCATACCTTTTTACGACGAGGCAGTGACATCGCTCCCTCACCGGCGGTAATCACGACGCAGCTTTCCTCACCCTTATTGGCCCTTCACCTCACGAACCGGCGACTACCCTTCACCAAGCCCAACTCGAGCCCAAGAAAAGCAAATTCCACCACATCCAGCCTGGCGCTCATCGCCTGGCTGCACCTGTGTATTGGATCTTGCCAAAGTATTTGTACTTAATCTACATAAACCAATTGCAATGCTCGGTGTAATCCTTCACAGCTAGGCTGCCGCATTGGGCGACTAGGCAAGGACTAGAATGCTTGGCTTAGGAATCCTACCAGATATGCTGGGGGGTATGCAGGTGCATGCAGGGGTCGTGGTCCACGCGCGCTGTTTTTGGTAAGAGCGTGGACGGCGCATGGGCGTGGGGTGCGGAGATTAATGTTGCTGCACACGTGGTGCTGTTCATCAAAGGATTGAATTCAATTGAGGTAGCTCAATTGTTAGCCAAGTGACAGGCCTGTTTGATACATGCCTTTGAAAAACTTGATCACAACACGTGCAAGTGCGTAGGGTACGCGACGAAAGGAACGACGCAGAGTGGGTTTACCCGCGCGAGGCTGCGGTCAAAACGCGGACCCCTCAGAAGAAAGCAAGCAGAAGTCGGAAATCAGGTGATCTCTAGCGACGAGAGACAACAAAGTGCAAGATCCCACAAGCCATCCGTCATGCCATCAATACTGCAAGTGTTACCGGCTTACACCCAGCACGTTCTCCTACACCCTCTCATCCTTCCACAATCAACTCCTCTTTCCCCTTCCATCACTCACAATCAATATCGATGTGAGTAAGCACCGCCTCGCACAAATCCCCGCACACATCACACAAAACCGGTCACCTTCCGCATCGTCATGCCCACCTGCTGCACGGTAAGCACGTACCTATCGAAAGTCTCAGCCACCCCGGTGCGGCCCTCTAATTTTACTATTGGCGCACGATCCCCTGCGGTGCGACCAGCAGGCAGGGATGTGGCTGAAGCCACCCGCGTGAGCCGAGCTTGGGTATTCCCTTGTGAAGTGTGAACGGGCAAGCTGGAGGGGATTAGTGCCTGAGGGACGACGATGCGGGCTGATGATGGAGTTTGAGGGTAAGATGGGATATATGTGACGAAATGGTTGATGTTCAGCGATCGTTACTGTGAAGGAATGCGCTGTCTTCAACCTGGGGGCTGATGTCGATCACCAGGCACCTCCATGCTCCAACGCCCTCTCCACGCCCCAGTCGATCCAGATGCTCGATTCTCAGGCAAAGATCTGAACCCTAAGCGCCTATCCCCAGAATGTCTTAAGAAAATCTGAAACAGTAGCAACGAGATCGTTGAGTCTGCCTCGAGCTAGTTGAGGTGTACTAGGAACGCATGTACAATGAAGTTTTGGTTATGCCCTGATCCCAACACTTGATTGCGGGCCACTTGGATCTGCCGAGCAAGCGGAGGCTGGATCCAGTGAAGATGTGGCGCGAGCTGTTGGTTGTGGGTCTGGAGAACTGGGATTGATTGATTGATCGGTTTAACGTCCTATGTGAGTCTGTGACTATGGAAAACGAGAGGAGCAACTGAGGATTGAGTTCTGTGGATGTCGTTGAGCTGTGTGTTAGGAGGTGCAATCTATGGTGGATGCCTGACTGAAGGGACGGGTAAGCAGATCTCCAAGCCATGTGTGCGATCTCATGGAGTAACCATGATGGTTGAGTGCGAGTGAGAGTAACGTATCTTGCTTGATTTGTAAAACCAGACGCGCCCAATGTATTGCGAGTGTGGTATGTTGAAGGTATGTACATGGATGTCAGAAATGCTCAACTCGAGACGCCAGATATGATTGATAGTAAGAGATGAATGCTTCATGCGTACAGAAACCCCAACAAGCCTCCTGGTGTCCGTCTTGGATATGCATGCAATAGCCAGGTCTACAATACAAACGAGAGCAACATTGCTCGATCGCGGGAAGAGAAAAAGAAACGCAAGAAGAGAGAATATGCTTAGTGAGGGTATCGAAGCGCTGAAATGCAGCAGATTTTGGCAAAGGAGAGGTTTTACAATGTGTTGACGCGCATGCGGTTCTGCGTACGAGAAGCGACCTGACGCTTCACATCGACTGGTGCAGTGCGCATGGTAACTCTGAAAGTATCACGCACGCGTGTGCGGAGCAATGACTCTAAAGATGTGTAGACACCGGAGTCAATGCCATCATTGGAATTCTTGCCGTAGCACTCGGAAAACATGTTGATGAGCTTCTCCACCTTTTTAAGCTCATTGAGGATGATCTGTGTTCTGAAGGTCTCTTCGTCCTCGACCTCGAGTTTGAAATCGCCCAGGAGGATGGGAGTGTGTGTGAAAGCTTCCATGCGAGAGTTGATAGGGGAGACAATGTCTTGAGCGACGCCAGCGATGGCTTGGTACCAAGACAGGATCTTGGTGATGGAGAAGGCGATAGTGGTGGAGAAGTGTGGGTTCGCCGAGCAAGGGCAGCCGAGGAGAGCTGAAAGACTCTCGACTGCAGCCTTGTTGGCCGACAGGACGGCGTCAAGGGTAGGAAGACCGTCAGCAGTGCCGTTGAAGTCATCGAAGACAGGCTGAGACGATGGTGGCGAATAGAGGCTGTTCAGAATCTGAAATGCGAACTGGGTGCAGTCGTGATTCTGAACTGGAGCAGGAAGGGCTGGACTAGGCTGGGGCGCCGCGATCAAGGGCGGAGATAGCGTGAATGTCTCAGGCTCGAATATGGGAAGACTCTGTTGATCTTGTAGGCCGAAGAGAAGTGGACTGGCCATTGGTGGCGAAATCATGCCGTTGTCTATGGGGGCGAGAAAGTCTGGCTGGCTTTGCAGGCTTGTGGAGCGAACATGCCCAGCACCATTGTATGGCGAGAGAGGAGCGAACTGGGGCATAGAGACCATCATATCCGTTGAGTGCTGAAATATTATTGGATCCTCGTTCGACCAGCTGGCTTCTGAGTATGGAGGAGACTGGTTGCCATCGAAATTGTTCGTAAAAGGATCTTGGAACTGGAAGTTAGGCGTCGAGGGGCGGAGATAGAACGGGTCTACCACAGGCTCCGGTGAGCTTTCCACAGTGTATGAGGCAATTCGGGGAGCAATCTCGGGTCTGGATCCAAAAGGTCCACATGAGCTAGCTCTTGTGATGTCGCGAATAATGCTGCCGTCAGGGTTCCTGTTCTTGCGCGGCTTGCCTAATCTACATCTGCATGTGAGCTGATTGGACCATAATGTGTGTCACTCGGGGAGGGGAACATACCTCATCGAAGGAGAGTAGTTGCAACAGATGCTCATGTTGCCACAGCGTTGGCAGGTAGGTCGAACCTTGTCGCACTTGACCTTCGCACGAGAGCAAGCATCACAGGATGCTCGCATCTTTCTGGGCTTAGGTTGACCTTTGGGACCGGTAGGAACTGCTGTGACTAGAGGAAGAGAGAGCATGTTGTCTGTTGGAGGGGAAGGAGACGATTGAGGTGTGTAGATCTGAGGGACAGTCTGGAACATCTTGAGTAGTTGTTTGGTTGGCTTTAGGTGAAGAGGTACCGTTATGAGAGGAGTGGTATGTTATATATGGGTGGTGTGGAAATGGTACAGCTGCATGTAGCTAGGATCAGTAGGGTAACCATCTTGGAATGCACCCAAAGTGCATGTGCAGGCTGCATATTCCGGAGCAGAGTGGGTGAGCGTCAATGCTGACGCTTGGTGAACAAGGGGCAGGGTACGCTGCAGCTACCGCGACAGGGATGTCAAACGGGGCTGAGAGCTTGCAGCAATATTATTTCCACTTTAGACATAGTGTAGTCATGAACTCTGCAGGTCACGCTGAGCGCACTCGCACCTGCCGATATCCAGGTTCGGGCCGGTTTGGTCGTGCCTACACAGATCCACACCTGCCGTCTTCTGGCCTAAGGATCCTTCGCTGCTGGAGTGCTGCCTCATGAAATTGCCCAGCATTGGGTTTCGCGCGATTGCCGGCCTCGAAAGTCGAAACACCCCAAATCCGGCGAGGCATACCTGTGGAACCAATGTACCAAGGTCATGGTGACCTTCAGCGAGGCTGCGCAGTCTAAAGTTTGACCGTTCCCGCCGCGGCACTGGTGTGCGAGAAGAAGGTGTTGATTGCCGTCTTCGGGTTGCACATGGTCTGTCTTCATCGCAGTACTTCGTTAATCCAGAGCGTGACAGGCCGATCATCCTGTAAGCCCTTGACTGATGCAGAAAATTGCACTCCTGCAGTTATGGTCCGATGACTGGAGCAGATCCATAGTGTCGGCGGTATGAACTGCTTCTAGCGTTGACTGGTTCGAATGGAGAAATGCCCACACCAAAATAAACGGCGCCTTGCTAGCCTTCCCGTTCGAACGGCGATAGTCTTTGAAATGGTCTTTGACATCATGGCCGCTGGATGGCAGTTATGGCGTCTAAAGTTGCTCTAACTGCATGTGAGGGCAGCGCTTGCAAGCGTTCCAGGGCTGGGTGCTACAAGGCACGGCGGTGACAGACGAGCGCGCGCCGTTACTGCGGTGTGAGATACCGCCAAATCTTATTGGCGTTGGTCCTAATGAAGCCGCTGAAGTTACACAAGCTGTCAGCTTTGCGCATCTCTGATCAATGCTCGTTCGTGGGTGTCGAAACTACGATCTGATCGAAGTCGGCGCAACGGCACGGAGTATTACCTGTACCTGCACTCGATTCTGTAACCTGTCTTAGAAGGCCTAGCGAAGCCAACATGTCGATGTGCTGCTGGGGTTTGTGTAATCACTCCGTCGCGAAATAGACACTATCGTGGACCCAGAATACGTGTGGGCTTTTGCTCAGCCTCGCTCCAAAGCCTGCGGTACGTCCTTCGCGACTTCAACCACGCGACAGCTGAAAATAGCATCATACGGCATGATGTACTCAAGCTTTCGAGTTTCGTGTTTGATGGCGTTGAAGCCGATGAGGCTGATGCGATCGATGCAGGAACAGAGTTGCTTCCTGTTGAGTGGGCGGAGAGTGGATTCCTTCAGGTACGGCGCGCGCAGTCACCTCTCTTCCGCACAGGTATCGCGCTCGTTGCCGCGAAGCTTAGCGGCAAAAGCGTCTGCGCATACAGGTTGTGGCCACATCGGCTCGTACAGATCGGTCCCTTTCTTTGGCTACCAAAAACGAGAGCCAGCCATTCAGCGTAAGGAAGACAACTTGCTACAAGATACTGGCACCCTAGGGGTGCACGACCCGACGTGGCCACCCCCTGTAGGATCTCTGCACAGTCCGAGTATTGGTTGGTTTGCTGATCTGTCGCTTGTCAGTTCATGCTGCTGTTCCCGACCTCCCCAAAGCGGCAGCGCAAGTTTCTCCGCAACATCCTCATCTCATACGAGTGCAATCTTCGACACTCCACAGACACAAAAGTTGAAGTTTTCGGTGTCTTTTTTCCAACTTCTGATGTTGCACATGACCTGCATAGACGTCTTGCCGTCAGAGGACGTAGAATGAGCTTTGGGTGAAACATCTTACCCTAGTCTATACCGTCCTAGCCTCGCGAGAACTATGTAGGCTTGTGCTTTGAGGAGTTAGTAGGATGCCTCAAGAGCCTCGTGTCTGGTTCGATGATGCTGTCCTCCAACATACGGCGGCCTTGCCTAGGTTCGGTGACCGACAGCCACAGACTGCCATCGCCGCTCAGAGGCCACAATTGGGTCGACAACGGCCAGATTTTCAGCTCCGTATAGCTTCTGCCTCTGTGGATTGGTCGAGGACGATTGCGGCCAGAAGCTTTTCGTCGACAAGTATGGCTACCCCCCAAACCACCTTCAAGTCAGATTTGCCGCCCTCAGGTCAAGTCTGGAGCATACTCTGCCGCACGTAAGCGACCACGACTTTTCTACCAAAGTGTTCCTTCTCGTAACATGAAACGCAGGCTCAGTAGTCTAACGACTCCAGGATCAGACGGTCGCATGCTTTAGGGGGCCATCTGATGTTGGATCCAGGGGATAGTAGGCCCACGAGCTCAACCTCTAGAACCCCGAAGGCAGTCTGACACATGGATGCCACTGGATTGCGGGAGGCTGAAACGCATTCGGGTGCCTGAGCTTTGGAACCAGAGTCGCTGCTGTCCGGATCTCCTAACCCCGCCGTTCATATCCATCCAGATCAATCGACTCTGTCACCCCATCTCCAGCACCGTTTCGAAGAAACAAGTTTCATACTTTTTCCTGTGTCACCACGAGAAGCATCCGTATCCGGCCTTTCGCTGAGCAGCGCTTTAGCAGATGATGATGCGCATGCTTCGAGGGTCAACTTGCTGTTGAGTCTCAAGGGAAATTGTAAAGAGAGATGGTAGTGTGAGCAGATCGGGGAAATCCTAGAGAGCACTCATAGTAGAGGCCGGCCACTGGGAAGTATATCAGCAAAGATCTCAAACACAAAGGGCATCCCTTCATCAACGGCATGCAGCCAGACGTCTGCCGGCGCTTAGCACAGATCAGCTACGCAAGACGCGAAAAGATTGATGTGAGGAGAGAAGTGGTTTCCGGGGGTCTGTTAATAGCAGACTGACGAAAACTGAAAAGCTGATTGCCATTGCAGATGCATCTCGTCGTGTCGCAACTTCTGCACTGTGCAAACTGTCAGGCACTGTCATGAGCTGTCAGATTCGGCACGATCCGATGTGCGTCATACGTCATCGTAAATATTTGCGAAAGCAAAGCAATGGATGTTCGTAGAAAGCGCAATGATATTGTCAGTGAAAAGAGAAGAAGCAAAGATGTCGAAAGCGACGACAACATGTGCAGCACAAAACCGCGCGTCTGAGTGAGCATCAGCACTACATTCTTCTCAAGACATGCTCGATGCCGTGGACAAATCTAATTTTGACACATGAAACACGTTGTTGGTTTGGAGTTCTACGGAGCCAATGAGGTATTGCTGACATCTGCAGCTTACGAGCTCCGCACGCTTCAAAACCCACGAATCCGCCAATGAACATCACCGTTATGCCGGCTTCGCACCTATGAGGGCGAGTTCGTAGTCGTTGAGATGGTGAGAATGTCCGACAGTGTTGCTCTTGGATTCTTGTAGACGTCGGCCTCGAGGAAGGCTCGTGCGATTTGTTCCTTTGACGATGTCAGAAAGATTCAAGACTGCAGCACAACGCACTTACGGCTCCTTCGAGTTCCGCGGCTTCATCCTCTGGCATTTGGCAGCATGCAGCAACCAGATCCTTGCCTTTCATGGCCAGGAGGATCAAGTCCTCTGCGCGGCGGACGATCTCTTCTGGCACTCCATTCATGGCAGCACAGCTGGTATATGTCAGTAAAAGAGAATATCGAGAGTGAGATAGCTTACCATGTGCCGAAGCTTGAGGTGCTTCGTCCCTCGCGGAAGCTATGATTTTGTCAGCGTTGTGTGTAGGATCGAGTTACTAATCATCGTACTTGTATAGATACGTTATTTGGTCATCAACCTGTGACTTGTCGGCATCGACCTGGACCTCGAGATGTCCAAAGGCGAGTGCGGGTCTGGGTTTTAGCAAACCCATCTCAAAGATTTCTGTCACACTTTAGCAGGCAGCTGAACAAGGCTCGCTGGGCTTACCGTGAAAGTGAGTTGCCCCAATCACCTTCGGTCGCTCGTTACGTAGGCTGAGCAGATACTCCATGACCGCGCATGCCAGTCCCGCTCCGTCACTTGCGTCTGTTCCCTTGCCAAACTCATCTATGATGAGTAGACTTCTGCGTGTTGCCAGATTCAGTGCAAGTGAGATCTGTTGAAGGTCGATCATAAATGCGCTTTGGGCGCGAGAGACAGTTTCGCGCGTGGTGACTCGGGATAATATCTTGTCGGTCAGCCCGATCTTAGCGCTCTCCGCAGGCACAAAGCATCCAACGTGTGCCATGAAGACGATGAGAGCCACCTGCTTCAAGTACACGCTCTTGCCGGAGTAGTTGGGTCCTGTCAAGACCAGCATACTGGGCCCGCCTTCTTGGGACACAGAGCTACCCTGCAAACAGCTGGAGGAACCACGGCACTGGTCAGCGTCAGATCCGTTATCTCCTGCTCCAGCAACAATGAAGGTGTCATTCGGAACGAAGGATGACACTGTACGTTCCTGGAGTATATGACTGCACTGAACTTAGCATACAGAGTGCTTCAATTGGCTACATGTACTTACCGACCCTGTTTTATCTGGATGGTGTTCTCGAGAGTGATACGTGGCCGCACAAGATTATAGGTCTTTGCACCTTGCGCAAGAGCTAACAGACTAGAAAATCGATCAGCCCAAACCTTATGAAAGTGAACATGTCACACACGTATCAAGCTCACCGCATACATCTGAGCAAGTGGTGAACAACTCCTCATACTGCAATACAAACTGCGCAAGCTCGTGGCTGATCTCGATCTCACGATCCGATATTATGCCGTACACATCTCCAAAGTGATCGTCCATCTCTCTCACCTCAGCAGTCTTGAAATAGACTTGGCCTCTATGTTTTCAGTCAGCATGTTCGTCTATCGAAATAAATCGCGGTGTACCGACTCGGCGGAGAACATCATCTCCCAAGGGCTGTCGAAATTACCATCATATACGGCAATTCCGGTGGCAGGGTCCATTGGTACGATGACGAGAAAGCCGATCTGTGGAAAGTAAATGACGTTGAGGGAAGCACGTATATCGGGTGGCATGCCTTCAGAAAGCTTGCCCGCGACTTGGTTAAGGATATCCTCGAGCCCATCAAGTGTTCGTTTCATGTGGTCCAGCTCTTCATCGATGCCTGATAGAATCACCGTTCGTCGTTCCTCAGCTGATTTCTCGAAGTCCACAGTCTCGCTGATCTTTCGTCCGACCTGTGCCAGATGGTAGCCTTCGAACTTTTCGAAAACCTGAGTGACGTTAGTACTGAACCCAAGCTAATGTCCACCTGCTAACCTTGGTCCTAATTGCTAGATTGTCACCGCCTAGAACATCCTGTAACGCATCTTTAATCTTAAGGGCGTGGAACGCGAACTATAGCAGTAGTGTTAATGGGCTGATTCGGTTTCGTGCACCTCGTACTCACCCCTCTCACAGAAGTCCAAACGCTTCTCGACAGACCGTTCCTTCCTGGTACGGAACCACCGACACCTTTTCTTAGATTGATCATCATCATGCGCATATTTCCAATGTTCTTCATATTTTGGACCAGAGCATCGAGTGCAGAAGCATTTTCGGAGCGAGAGAAGGTGCTTACAGCATCTAAACGCTCATTGATGACTTCGATGTTGAGGCTTGGACGGAGGAAACACTGACGAAGTAAAAACCTCCCTTGTAGCGTTCGTGCGAGATGGTGGAACAGACCGTACACCGACAGTCCTTCTTTCGCTCCAGAGTTGGCGTTTGGTCCTCTGTTGTGCGAATGTGGATGTGCCTCTGCACCAATGACGCCGAGCGAATGCAGCGTGTCTGCATTAATGAACATGGTCTCCCGCAGGCTGAACATCTCAAGCATTGTGATGCGAAACATCATGTATGCGGCATCATCGCCAGGTAAGTATGCCGCGGCACGTCTTCGCTGTAAATATGAGAGAAGTGCTCCAGCACATCCAACCTGGATTTGAGTTTAGTGACTCCGGGACATAGCACACTCACATCACTCACCGTTACGCGACTTTCCATGTCGATCCAGCCTGCAAGTCGAAGCAACTGGCCTTGCTGCCCAAGCGCGCCTTCATCATCGTATCCACCTAAGTGGTCTCCTGGTATGTTGAAGCTCACTTGGGTGCCGTCATCTTCGCCCAACCTCAAGATCATGAGCTTATTTTTTGCTGCATCGTAGTAAAACTCGCTCGGGGGACGAACATCCAGCAAGAAGGGCAGACGAAATTGATCATTGTTGCCACTGACCGACTCACCACTCTTGGCTTCAGGATCGAAACGATTGATCACTGCATCGTCGATCTTTGTCGAAACAAGAATGACTGTAGGGTCAATGAAAGTCTTCACTATAGTACGTTAATGTGACACTTGCTATTTGGGTTGAGACCAAACCTACGCGTGTCAACAATGTCATCATCGCCAATCTGTATGTCCTCCATGAAGTACAGCTTTTCCTCTCTGGCAACGTAGTAACAGCAGCCGACTGTGCCGCGAGGTGTCATGTCAACAGCCATAATGACTTCACCAAGTGTGTCGTCGTTGACGTCGTCATGCTTTGCTGCTAGGTCACCCTGCTGCGCGTGTGAAGGCGTGATCCGGGAACTGGTTTGCACAACTGACGATCTACGAGTCTGCTGGTGATGCCATGAGGGGTTTGCGCTTATGACTGATGCTGAGCGCGCCGTCGGGCGACGCGGAGTGGTCGAGCTTTGGCTATTGCCAGTACGACTAGTCCGTGATGAAGCAGAACTGCGGCTGCCTTTGTGTCGAAATGGTATTCTGGACGGCGGCATGTTGAAGTCAGTGCGAATCAGCACCAGGCACTGTATGCTTAGTTCGTGTTGAATGTGTCACTTGTGGTGAAAGATGTGACGAGTGGGTTAGTTGAAAGAGGAAGTCACGACAGAGCGCACGCGAAGACGCGTTCCTGCCGTCATCGAAACGCACAACGAACCAAACAACAACCATACAAGAGACAAGATCATGCGACTATAAAATGAAGATGCATTGGTATGCTGGACAGAGAAGAAATCTACCTACAAAATACAGTGATGTTATATATTGTACAAGAAAGAGTACAGAGCAGTTGTTCTGGTACGGTCGTGTCGTCGTAAATGCCTGTCCGAATCAGGATGCTGCAGCCACGGTGAGGCCAGACCCATCCTCGCGAATGGTGACTTTGGCAACGTTGCCGCTCCGAATCTCTCCTCGGATGATCCTATCTGCCAGACCATTGCCAACTTCCTTAGCAATCAGTCTGTTCAGTGGGCGCGCACCATATCTTGGGTCATAGCCACGGTCGCATAGCCACTGCTTGACTTCGTCTGAGCAATCGAGCACAATGCGACGGTCGTCAAGTCGCAGCTGAAGCTCCTTCAGCCTAATGTCCACTATGTCGCGCAGCGCTTCGCGGGACAATCGTCGGAAGATGATGAACTCATCGAGTCGGTTGATGAACTCTGGTGCGTAGTGGGACTGGGTTACTGCCATGACCGCATCGCGAACCTCGGGTGAGATCTCGCTTGTGTCCTTGCCAGCCGAGTCGACAACATTGTCTCCGACGATGATATCTGCGCCAAGGTTGGAGGTCATGACGATGATAGTGTTTCGGAAGTCAATCTTGTGGCCTTGTGCGTCCGTCAAGAAGCCTTCGTCGAGTACCTGGAGAAGCAGTGTCGAGATATCCTTGTGGGCCTTTTCGAACTCGTCGAACAACAAAACGGCGTATGGCTTTCGTCGTACTGCCTCTGTGAGCTGGCCAGCGTCTTCATATCCAACGTATCCTGTTTACAAGTTAGCTAAAGACCTCCTGACATCGTTTTGAAAAGAGATTCAGGACTTACCAGCTGGCGAGCCAATTAGACGGGAAACGGTATGCTTTTCGCTGAACTCGCTCATGTCGAAACGAAGTACGGCTTGAGGCGTGCTGAATAAATACTCCGCCAGTCTCTTGCAAACCTCAGTCTTACCCACGCCGGTAGGACCCAACATCATGAAAGAAGCGATGGGCCTGTTCTCTCCTGACAGACCTGCCCTTTGCATCCGGATTGCGTTGGCCACAGCCGTGAGCGCCTCGTCCTGTCCCTTCACGTACTGGCGAAGGGTGTCTTCCATGTGGACGAGCTTCTCCATATCACCAGCATTGAGCTTGGATAGCGGGATGCCGGTGGTTCGTGAGACGACGGAGGCGATGTCGTCAGCGGTGACAGAGTCGTGCAGCAGCGAGTCAGGTCGACCGCCGGCGGCTACTTCGTCGTCCTTCGGCAGTTTCTGTTCGAGCTCAGGAATCGTGCTGTATTGCAGCTGTCCTGCCTTGGCAAAGTTACCCTCGCGACGGGCTTGCTCGAGTTCGACCTTGGCCTTCTCGAGGTTCTCCTGAGCGTTCTTGATCGCGTCAAGCTCAGCACGCTCCTTCTCCCATTTCTCAGTAAGCACCTTTACCTCCGCTTGCTTCTGCTTCAATGTCTCCTCCAGGCGTTCACGTCGCTCCTTGCTGGTGATGTCTGTCTCTTTGCGGAGCGATTCCAGCTCAATCTGGATCGTCATGATCTGGCGGTCGAGCTCTTGAATTGCGTCCGGTTTGCTTTCTTGCTGCAGACGAAGAGCACTTGCTGCTTCGTCCACCAAGTCGATAGCTTTGTCAGGCAAGAATCGATCCGTGATGTATCGGTTACTGTACGTTGCAGCGGCGACCAGGGCCGGGTCTGTGATTCTGACTCCATGGTGTACTTCGTAGCGCTCCTTGATACCACGCAAAATAGAGATGGTGTCTTGTACGGTAGGCTCGCCCACTAAGATAGGCTGGAACCGTCGTGCCAATGCCGCGTCTTTTTCAATTTGTCGATACTCATTGAGAGTCGTAGCGCCGCATAGCTGGAGCTCGCCGCGGGAAAGCGCTGGCTTCAGCAGGTTACTGGCATCAATACTGCCTTCAGCCTTGCCCAGACCGAGCAGTGTGTGCAGCTCGTCGACGAACAGAATAACGCCCTTCTGCGCCTCTTCCACCTCCTTCAATACTCTCTTCAATCGCTCTTCGAAGTCACCTCGGAACTTCGCGCCGGCGATGAGGGAGCCAAGATCGAGGCTTATGACACGCTTGTCTTTGATCGACTCAGGCACATCTCCTTTGACGATGCGCTGAGCTAACCCTTCCATAATGGCTGTCTTGCCCGTACCAGCTTGTCCAATCACGACAGGGTTGTTCTTGGTTCGTCTCGAGAGGATCTGAATCGTCCGTTGTATTTCGCCGTCTCGACCAATGACTGGGTCGAGCTTTCCGCTGCGTGCTCGCTCGGTCAGATCCACACCAAATTCTTCGAGTGCGGCCTTCTGCTCCTCATTGCCAAGGTCTCTACGGTGAGTCCCACCTGGAGGGTGTGACCGACCACTTGCATAACTTCTGACTGCAACGGCGGGCCGTATCAGATTGGATGACTGTGTTAATCGCGTCGTTGGCAGATGACATAGTGGCAAAGGGCGGATCGATGGTCGAGGGACGGCAGCAATGCGCCTCGCAGCGACATGGGCTCTATTGGTCAGCATGATGGTGTACAATAATGAATACAAATGTACGAAAAGTCGAGGGAAGTTAGATGGCGGAAGAACGCATGATTATATTCTCGATAGATCGCGCGTGGTCACGGCTTGAGCTCGAAGCTCCGCGATCGTTCGACGAAATTCTATGAGGGCGTGCGGCGCTTCTGGATGGACCCGGAGCACAACACCAGTACCAGCTATCGGAGGACAGTCAGAGCAACCAAGAACAAAGTACAATGCGTCAAATCTTGAGGTTGACTCGAATGTTGACTAAGGTAGGTGCGCCCGACTCGCTCGAGGAAAGAACGAAAGCACGTGCATCTAGACTAGACCCCTCCTTGGCACACTAGCGCCCAATTTCTCTTGCACCAAAAACTCTGTGCTGCTGTCCCTTCTTTCTCCCACCACATCGACGCGACTGCATATCCTCTTTTCCACAGCTTCTTTCCAATCGCAAACATGGGCTTCACCGATTTCGTTTCAGACGCAGGTCTCACCCTCCTGAACAACTGGGTCAAGACCCGCAGCTACATCGTTGGGTAAGTTGCTACCCCACCATGGTCCCTTTCTGTGTTGTTTTTGCTGCACCACCACAACCCCTCCTTTCTTTTATGATGAGAACATTTGGTCCGTGTTAATGAGGCGGCTTAAGACCCCGCTACCTGAATACAAAACCACAGCGCTTGTCGCAACTCTGATTTACCCCTTATTACTACTACTTCTCATCGACCTACTTGGCAGAGTCACAGTCTGACGATCAGTAGCTACACCCCGTCGCAGGCCGACGTCAAGGTCTTCCAGCAGATCAAGCAGATCCCTGCCCCCGAGAAGTTCCCTTACGCCTGGAGGTGGTACAACCACATCCTCACCTTCGAGGGCGAGTTCGAGACCCTCCCCGGTGACCCAACCAAGGAGGCCACCGCCTATGGCCCCGAGTCTAGCGAGCTCACCCTCAACCCCGCCAAGGCACCTGAGAAGGAGGCCGAGGCTGAGGACGATGACGATGTCGACCTGTTCGGCTCTGACGACGAGGTTGATGAGGAGGCCGAGAAGCTCAAGGCCGAGCGTCTTGCCGAGTACAACAAGAAGAAGGCTGGCAAGGTAAAGCCTGCTGCCAAGTCCATCGTCACCCTCGACGTTAAGCCCTGGGGTAAGTCATAGTGTCTACATTGATATAAGCAGACACTAACAGTAAACAGACGACGAGACAAACATGGATGAGCTCAAGGCTAACGTCCTGTCCATCGAGAAGGACGGTCTTGTCTGGGGTGCCTCCAAGCTTGTTGCTGTTGGTTTCGGTATCAAGAAGCTCCAGATCAACTTGGTCGTTGAGGACGACAAGGTCTCTCTTGACGAGCTCCAGCAGCAGATCGAGGAGTTCGAGGACCACGTCCAGTCCACCGACGTTGTTGCCATGCAGAAGTTGTAGTCGAAAGCCTAATGTTATGATGTTTACGATGGGAAGGTTGGGCCTGGTTACGGATTGACGTCTTTATGAGCACCGCTAGGCGACAAAACAAAATCACGACTTGGCGACATGCCAGTCTTCTCTGCAAAGCAGAGACACCCACCACATCAAGATTCCCATTACTGCCATGACGTCCTTTACTCTGCATTCTGAGCATTGAACAGCATTCGCAAAGGTTCTCTTATGTTTGCGATGCGCTCTTGGTTATAGTGTGGACGCAACATCTCGAAGTTGATCAAGCCTGAAGATGTAAGCTTTGTTCGACATCTTACAGACTACAGTGGCAAACGCTGCGCATACGCTTAGGTTTGCTAGACGAGATGTGTAATGCGACCGGTGTAGAGGCTCGTACGAAAGTAGAGGCCAATGCTGAATAAGACTTTAGCTTCGCCACAACATCAGTGCCGAGGACACGAATACGTTCAACTGCACCATAAATTAGCACCAAACACGTGCTCGCGATGGAAGTACCACAATAGTTTCGTGTTTTGAAACAGCGTGGCCGTTGAAGTGTGCATTGACAGCACGCCGTTCGAACGCCGTTAATGTCACCGCGCATGAACCTTGACAAAACACCAACGTTCTGCAAACGGTCATGCAGCGCATCAAGAGACGCTTGCATTTCCGCGAACTCAATTTAGGAGAAATGAGATTGCTCATCAATCCGGTATTAGTGGAGCCTGCAATTCTCGAGCTCGCTCCCTATCACGCCCCACGGAAGCAGTCATCCATTCCGTTCCGACCGAGCTAAGCTTAATCCTTATCAAAAAGCTTAACCTTGCCCTACGTCACTGCAGGCGCATTCGCTTTTGTTCTCTTGAAATAACATCACCATTCGCTCAGAACATTCGAGACCAACAATTCATTTCTATCGTTTCCCATAAGATCCTATCACTGCCACTTCTCTGTTTCCAATCTTAGAATTTTGTACGATCGCCTCCTGGAAGTTAGAGCTGACCCACCATCGCATTTTCTTGGTGCCCGAACAGAAGCGCGGACACCCGCTAGCTCTGGACTTTACCGGACTCAAGGGGTGGTCAGAAGGTTATATTACTATCTGCGCCCTTGCACCCTGCGGTCTTGATCGTTATCTATCGATCATCCTGAAGATCAGTCGCTCGAGCGTACCGATTGCGACGCATAACAATCAACATGGTCGAGTCTAACGTTGACAAGTACATCGAGAACGCAGAGAAGGATGCCAGCCCAGATCGTTTCGGACCTCCAGTCGTGGATCCAGAGAAGGAAGAAAGACATGAACAGATTGCGCGAACATCCACAGTATCAAGCTCCTCCACATCATCCTCGGAAGCGTCAGACATCGAGCGCGAGGCTGCCATGTCTCGCGTACCCACACAACGCGACACTGGTACAGAACTTGAGCGCCACGAGACAGCCTTGAGCCGAATTCACACTCAGCGCAGCCAACACTCTGGAACAGTAGGTGCCAGCTTACGAAGTAGGATGAGTAGGAAACCGTTGCCAGCCTTTGGAGCAGGGAAGCCGTACCCACCACCACTACCGGAGCGCGAGGCGTATGTTGTGGAATTCGATGGGCATGACGATCCTTTGCATGCCCAGAACTGGCCGTTGAAGAAGAAGCTTGTGACCGCTGCTATGCTCGGCTTCACAACCCTTACGGCTGCGTTCGGTTCGAGTATTATCTCGAGTGCGACGGGGGCTATTGCGCAGATCTATGGTGTCGGATCCGTTGTTGCGACACTTGCGACCTCGCTCTACGTTCTTGGGTTTGCAACAGGTCCTATCCTATGGTGAGCACACCCGTCAACACAAATGTAGCGTTATACTGATATCGTACAGGGCGCCTTTCTCTGAGCTGAAGGGTCGACGACTACCGCTCGTTATTGCCTCTTTTGGTTTCTCCATCTTCAACATCTCAGTCGCAGTATCCAAGGATCTACAGACTCTACTAATCTGTCGATTTTTCAGTGGCTTTTTTGGAGCTTGTCCTCTCACTTGTGTCGCCGCCGTCTTCTCTGACATGTTCGACAATCGCACTCGTGGAATGGCCATCACTATCTTCTCCATGACTGTCTTCACCGGCCCGCTTATGGCACCCTTTATCGGTGGCTTCATCGTCATGTCTGACCTCGGCTACCGCTGGACAGAGTACATTGTATCCTTTATGGGTTTCTTCTGCTTTGCCTGCAACCTGCTTTTCCTTTCCGAGTCCTACCCACCCCAGATCCTCGTCAGCAAAGCTGCTGAGCTGCGTCGCCGGACTAAGAATTGGGGCATCCACGCCAAACAAGAGGAAATCGAGATTGACTTCATGGAGCTCATCGAGAAGAACTTCTCCAGGCCGCTCAAGATGTTGGTCACTGAGCGCATTGTGCTGCTTCTGAGCATCTATATGGCTTTCATCTACGGACTGCTTTACCTCTTCCTTACGGCCTACCCATTGGTATTCCAGGGTGTCCACGGTATGAACCTCGGTGTTGGAGGCCTTCCGTTCTTTGGTATGATTATTGGTCAGCTGCTTGCTGGTACTCTGATATTCGCGCGCCAGCCAGGATACCAAAAGAAGCTCGCTGCAAACAATAACATTCCCATCCCTGAGTGGCGTCTGCCGGAAGTTATCGTTGGAGGTGCGTGCTTTGCGGTTGGTCTTTTCTGGTTTGGTTGGACAGGATACAACCCTAACATTCACTGGATCGGTACATATTCCAGCTCATTTGTGCCACCTGTTTACTGACCATATCCAGTCCCCACCATTTCTGGTATACTCACCGGTTTCGGCCTCCTCGCTATCTTTCTCCAAGCGCTCAACTACCTCGTCGATGCATACCTCATGTTCGCTGCGTCTGCCATCGCCGCCAACACGTTCCTGCGTAGCTTGTGTGGAGCTGCATTCCCTCTCTTCGCACGCCAGATGTTCGAGGGTATGGGCATTCAGTGGGCCTCCACTATGCTCGGCATTCTCGCCGTATTGTTGATTCCTGTACCTGTGTGGTTCTACTTCAGAGGTGCAAAGATCAGGGAGAAAAGCGCTTATGCGCCAACCTTCCCCAAGCCGGCTGCGGCGGAGGTAGAGGAGTTATCCCAAGAGTAAGGGTTCGAAACAGGAGAAACATTGGAAAGAGAGGTAGGATATATCACAGCCTTGAACTGTTAGTTCAATTGATACCACATCTACTTCGTAGATGACTTTGTTAGTAGTAACCATAATTGTTCGAGTTACTCCTTCGCGTTTCTCTGCCCGTTAGGGCTCTGTAAGCAGCGCGCCTTAGCATTGACTCAATGCTCTTCAGATGACTGTGAATACGGTGACGTGAATACGGTGACGTGAATACCCTCCGCTATCCGTCATCAACGTTACTCAGGCCGCGCCCTGCGGATTGCGGACATCGGAGAGTTTCCAGGGAGTGGTCGATGAAGGGCCAATGACTTCGAGGCCGTTAGCGGCAGGCAAAAAGCCGAAGCGGTCACTGTCGGTTGATGAACCCTGCAACATTTCGAGGACAGTCAACTCCACCGACGCTCTTAATCCCTACACTTCCGTCTCCAGTCCTGCAACACTCACATCACCATGTTGCAGCAACGGTCCTCTCGATTGCTTTCCTCGCTCTCCAATTGCGCCTTCCGCTCGACAGCTGCACCGCTCAGCGCATCGCTGCGATGTCGGACTCAGCGACCGTACAGCATTCATGCTGATGCCTCCGTCGGCAACAAGATTCAGGATGTTGACCCGACAAAACTCAGCATCACAAGGACGACTTCGCCGAAGGACTTGTTGCCCCCGGAGGACCTTATCTTTGGCCGCAACTTCACAGGTAGAAGCTCCAGCTGCGTCATAGCTGTATAGGTAGCTAATCGAGTATCACAGATCACATGCTCTCGCTCGAATGGACAGCTTCAGAAGGATGGCTACCAGCGCGCATCACACCGTACCAGAACCTGAGTCTCGACCCGGCGACCTGCGTGTTCCACTATGCATTCGAGTGCTTCGAGGGCATGAAGGCCTACAAGGACAAGAGCGGTAACATCAGACTGTTCAGGCCGGACAAGAACATGGCTCGTCTCAACAAGTCTTCAGCACGTATTGCGCTGCCAAACTTCGACCCAGATGCGATGATCGATCTCATTGGCAAGTTCGTCAAGGAGGATGCACGCTTCATCCCTGAGTAAGCTACGATGATGGATGTCGAGATTAGAGAAAAGCTGACAGCACTGCAGCACACGCGGATACTCGCTCTACCTGCGCCCGACCATGATTGGAACCCAGCGCACTCTCGGTGTCGGCCCTCCCGCATCCGCGCTCCTTTACGTTATCGCATCGCCCGTCGGCCCCTACTACCCCACAGGCTTCAAGGCTGTGTCGCTCGAGGCAACCGATTACGCTGTGCGCGCATGGCCTGGCGGTGTTGGAGACAAGAAGCTTGGTGCCAACTACGCGCCCTGCATTGTCCCACAGATGCAGGCCGCCAGCCGTGGCTTCCACCAGAACCTCTGGTTGTTCGGCGAGGAGGAGTACGTCACCGAAGTCGGCACCATGAACCTTTTCGCCGCGATCAAGAACAAGGAGACTGGCCAGCCTGAGCTGCTGACTGCACCGCTCGACGGAACGATCCTTGAGGGTGTCACACGAGACTCGATTCTGGGTCTTGCGAGGGAGCGCCTCGAGCCCAAGGGCTGGAAGGTCCTCGAGAAGAAGTTCACAATGAAGGACATCGCTGATGCGACCGACGAGGGCCGCATGATGGAGATCTTCGGCGCTGGCACTGCTGCGATTGTCAGCCCTGTGCGCAAGATCAGCTGGAAGGGCCGTCTCGTTGACTGCGGTCTTGAGGACCATGTTGAGGCTGGACCGATTGCGCTCCAGATGAAGGAATGGATGGAGGCTATTCAGTACGGCGACGAGGACCACCCCTGGAGGTAAGATGATACCCTCATGCGTGATAGTGTGCACTGCTAACTCTGCAACAGCTACAAGGTCGTCTAATCGACATGCTGTTATCCATCTCAAGTTACTCCCTGGCGGCCATTTGCAAAAGCTATGTTAACTTATGATGATGTGGACCATCTGGCAAACGGCGGACGCGTCTGTTTTGTGTATACATCATGTAGAGCTGTGTATAGGCGGTGTTCTTCACAACGGCCTGGCGATTGTTTTGATTACAGCATGCAACTGGGAACGCTTATTATCTTTGCCCTATGGCGTCACGCCAATAGCGTTGTTGTGAGGTGACTGACTCTTGGCTTGGCCTGCCCTTGCATAAGCGGGCCAGCTGCCAACCACCCGCTTTGGGAGCTCTGAATCCGGACCACACAACTCTCTGCTCACCCAATTGCCCGCCAACCGCACAGCCGCCGCCCGTCAAACCCTCCGTGAGACAACACACACGTCAACGCGACCACACACCTCGCGATGCTGGCCCGCGGCGCGCTCTGCCGCTTGGCGGCCGAGGTGCCCAAACAAGCTACACACGACCTGCCCAAGCTCGCGACTCTTGTCCACACTGCCCGCACCGGCTATGCTCTGCCTCTCCGCACTCTGTCGCACGTGTCCCAGATCCAGATCCGCTCATATGTCACCACCAAGGCCGCAAAGGAGCCCACCGAGACGGTCAAGAAGGCCGTCAAGGCGAAGGCAGCCGCGGGCAAGTCTGTGAAGAAGACGACCACCACGAAGAAGGCTGCACCAAAGAAGGCCAAGAAGGAGGCTGCCCCCAAGAAGCCAGTCAAGAAGGCGAAGAAGGTGCTCACAGACGAAGAGAAGGAGAAGAAGGTCATCTCCAGACTGAGGGAGCTTGCGCTGAGGGAGCCCGTCTCCCGAAACTCGCTTTCAGCTTTCAACGTCTATCTTGCAGAGAGCCTGAAGGGCCTCAAGAAGCAGGCCCGGGACGAGTTGGGTGAGAACGCAACAGCATGGAAGAACATCACGCCCACTGAGCACGAGGTACCCCTCGTTCCCCCACATCCACCAACATCACCTACTGACGCCCTACACAGAAATGGAACCACTTAGCCGCTGAGCGCAACGAAGCCCGCGCTGCCGAGTACAAGGCCTGGGTTGAGTCGCACACGCCCGACCAGATCCGCATTGCCAACAACGCGCGCAATCTGCTCAGGAGGAAGCTCGCAGGCAAGCTCAAGGGCAACGCCAAACCTGGCCACACTCAGCTCATTGTGGACGAGCGCCAGGTGAAGCGCGCGCAAACTGCTTGGTCCTTCTTCTTCGCTGAACGCCAAGCGAGCTCGGATTTCAAGAGCATTGCCATTGCCGAGAGGGCTAAGCTAATTGCTGGCGAGTGGAAGGCGCTGAGTGCCGATGAGAAGAGGGTATGTTATCTCCATCTATGTGTTGATGTAGTGGGCATATGCTAATACAGACACCAGCGATTCGAAGACCAGGCTGCGGCCGAGAAGCAGAGGTACCTCCGTGAGCAAGCTGCTCAAGCTAAGGCGTGAGCCGTAAGGCGTAAAGCTGTTCTAGCAGCACCGACTTGATACGTTCTTTGCACGGCTTTTCCTTGGTTCCTTGATATCTTTGGATCGGTGGTTGGACGGGTTGGACGGATTGAGCTGGCGCTCACATGTGACATTATCGATGTACTTTGGCCTAGACGGCGGTTCAGTCATCTTTCTATGGTCCTCTGGCGCATCTGGTCTGGCAATCAGAGCGTAATTGTTCCTGTCTCGCATGACGTCTGTAAGGATATGGTACTGTAGCTCTGCTTGTATTCCCCAATTGTTCTCAATGCTCGTTCGAACCTGGTGCATTTGTATTGACTTACTCAGGATACCCTTCTTCTAAGGCTATTTCTCTACCAATATTTCTAGTCGCTATTGCTGCACCTTGGACGGCGCACCTCTGTTCATGCTATTTTGGCTAGCGTTGCGTACGCGATCTGCGCCTATCACATCGGATACTCGACGCCTCCCCACGCTTCCTTATCTCTCCAAATCAAAACCTCAGCATTCTGGACCATTACCATGAGCTTCCCCAGGTCAAATCCTAGCAGAGTCTTGCTCCGCGGTTGATAAGCGAAACCTAGAGAGATACGGCAGCGTTACTGTGCATACGTGTGGCTTTCTATCCTCGAGACCATATCTACTGAACAGGTCGCAGCCATGTTCGGGGCATCCTTCACGCTACCTGACCGCAGCATAGCCTTGAACCATGCCTTCGGATCTAGAGGCTGGGAACGAACGAACTCCACTTTTGCACAACCCTCGATTATCTCAACGACAGCATGAGCAACATCTAGAGACAGCCTCTGCAATATCCTCGACTCTGTCTAAAGAGGAACAGCAACTGGTCGACAGCACAGTCGGCGAGCGCCTGCCGTACAACGACTACACCACAATTGACTGGCTCCATGATCTTGTATGGTTCTTGCCGGTCAGATTGTCTCGAATAGCCGCGTGCTGACTCAAACAGGTCCAAGATTCATATCGCTTCCGCCACATCAACTCCCTCCCTGGACTGCGCTACAAGTTTCTCTCGCTTTTTGATGCGTACTCAGGATGGATCGCTGTGGTCATCATTGGCGCTCTAACGGCTGGTGTTGCTTTTCTGGTCGACATCGCTGTAGCTACGGTCGCGGATTGGAAGATGGGTTACTGCAGCACCAACGCCTGGAAGAGTCGGGAGAACTGTTGTCGGCAAAGCACATTAGTTACTTCAACGTCAAGAATCCGTCTGCTTACCGGAAGTGGTAGCGCTGAGTCCGATTGCGATGAGTGGCACGCCTGGTCGGACAACTACGCCAGGAGCTTTGCAATCTACGTTGCACTGGCGCTCGTCTTTGGCACCATCAGCTCGAGCGCAACGTTACTGACAAGGAGTCAGCTACCCTCCGCAGAAGATTCCAGTGAGCGACCTTGCTCTCCACCGATAGCGAAGCCAGACGGTTCTCACGTCCCGACCAGTGTACGAATTCCTGCACCCTCACCGAACTCAGGAGGCGGAAAGGTCATGTACATGGCCGCTGGTAGCGGGATACCCGAGATCAAGACCATCCTGAGCGGCTTCTCTATTCCATCGTTCCTGTCGCTTCGGGTCCTTATCGTCAAAGCCTTTGGTGCGGTCTTCGCTGTGAGCACGGGAATGTGTCTTGGAAAAGAAGGACCGTTCGTACACATATCAACGTGTCTTTCTTATCTGGTGGGTATGCGCTTCCCAAAATACAAAGACAACGGGAGGAAGATGCGCGAGCTGCTGAGTGCAGGGTGTTCTAGCGGCTTGAGTGTAGCCTTTGGCGCCCCGATTGGAGGCGTCTTGTTCAGCTATGAAGAGGTATTGTACTCTCCAGAGTGCCTTTTTTTTTCATCCATCACTGATGATCTTTAGATCAGCACCTACTTCCCGCGTAAAGTCTTGTGGCGGGCGTTTCTCTGCAGTCTGACTGCGGCCATTGTTCTCAAACAACTCAACCCAACCGGCACAGGCAAGCTTGTCCTCTTCGAGACCAAGTACGGCACCGAGTACGAGTCGGTGCACTACCTCGTCTTCACACTGCTCGGTGTCGCGGGCGGCGTCTTCGGCGGTCTCTTCTGCAAGCTCAACTTCATCTGGAGCCGGTACTTCCGGCGCATACCCCTGATCAAGGAGAATCCGGTCTTCGAAGTCGGCATCGTCGTGCTAGCAACCGCTCTTCTCCAGTTTCCCAACCCACTTACCCGCGAGCCGGGCGATATCATCATCAAAACCGTCCTCGTCGACTGCAAAGACTCCGCATCCGCCCACTCCTTCATCTGCATCCACGAATCGCACACAGCCACAACTAACTGGGCCTACGTAGGCTGGCTACTCCACGGCACCCTCACCAAACTCGTCCTCACAATCATCACATTCGGCTGCAAAGTCCCCTCGGGCGTCATCATCCCCGCTCTCGACGCCGGCGCACTGTTTGGCCGCCTGGTAGGCTATCTGTTACCGTACACGCCCAACGACGTCTCACCGGGTATCTTCGCGCTCGTCGGCGCAGCAGCCTTCTTGGCGGGTGTGAGTCGCATGACGATCAGCCTCGCGGTCATCATGTTCGAGCTCACGGGCCAGCTGGAGTACGTAGTGCCGAGCATGTTGGCCATTCTCGTGGCGAAATGGGTCGCGGACGCCATCAGTGCGGAAGGCGTGTACGATCTTGCGCAGACGGTGCTGGGACATCCGTTCCTAGACCCTGACGTGGCGCTGCAGAGAGTGCGTAAGAAGGGGATGAGGGTCGGCGTGTTGGTTCCGCCGAGGAAGACGATGGAGGATGTCACTGTCCACGTCCCGGCCGAAAACACAGTGTCCCGCTCGCTCTTGCGGCAGAAGTTGGACCGGCTACAGAAGCGCGGACTCATCGACGCCGGCCTCGTCCTCGTACAAACCCACTCCCCCTCCACTGTCCCCGTCCTACAGGGCTACATCTCCCAGTCCGAACTCACTTTCGGCCTCGAGAACCTCGCGCCCTCCATACCATCGTCTCACTCTCAGCAAGACTTCAATGTCCGCCTGCTCGGCCACGCCGTAGACGAAGTACCGCCAGATAGTGTCGAGGTCGATCTGAGTCCGTTCGTGGACCGCACGCCGTTAACGATTTGCAGCGAGGCGCCGCTGGAGTATGCGGTGGAGATGTTTGCAAAGCTCGGGTTGCGGTACTTGTGTGTTACTGAGGAGGGGACGGGAGCGCTGGTCGGGGTGGTGATCAAGAAACGGTTGGTTGGCTTTGTTGAGGGGCTAAAGGAGGGAGTAGGTGGATAAGAAGCTCATCCTGGAGAGCTATCTGGAGAGCTATCGACAGTACAAACAACGAGCATGGAGACAGACGGGAACATCGAGTTACCCTAACATGTACATGATGCGATTCATTGCTATGAACATACATGACTATCAAGTACTTACCCCATCCTGCAATACCATGACCGGGAACAACAAGTTGGACGTTCTGCCGTATGTCTGAATGGGCCGCTGTATGTTCGCCGAGCTGTCAATGAGGAGCACCGAGGACCTGGGACTGGGCGGTGGTGATCAGAGGTATTGCTGACGGGGTATAGGGTAGTACTTACGATTTCCACATCTGCCGCGGTAGCTTGTTGCAAACCCTTGAGCCCTTCGGTTCAACTTCTCCACCATCCACCCTTCATACCAAGAGACCAGAACTATACCTATGCAACGTGTCCAATGTAGAGACAGATAGAGAGCCAGATAGAGAGCGCGCAACGGACCTACAGGCCTCAGACAACGTTGTACCGCCCCGTCGGTCCCCTCACAGCAGACGCATCCTCGGCCGCAATCGTGCCCTCGCGCAGCAGTCGCGTGAGTTCCATCATGGCCTGCGTAACGACATTCTCCGTATCGCCCTCGACCAGGATATACAGCTTGGGCAAATCCAGCTCTCCCGGCTCCTTGCCGGGGCCGTAAAACGTGCCCTTGGTCGTAATACTGACACCCGTGTTCTCCAGGATCTTGGCGACGTTGGTGCGGTTCGTGACCGCCCAGCGCGCCTTTTGCGGGAAATCGTTGATCTCGATGGTGCTGTGGTACAAGCCGGCGTCCGGGCCCTTGTTGTCGATGGGCTGGCCGGCGTGGATCATGCCCTTCTTGCTCAGACGGCCGTCGACCTTGTTTGCAGCCGCGAGCGCGCGTTCCTTTGCGCTCATGGGCTTGCCGGAGCTGGACGCGTCCGGGCGTTCGGTTTTCTGGACCACGATCTTGGAGTTCAGGAGTTTCATCCAGACGGGCTGGTCTTCTTCGGCCTTGGCGGCGGACGCGTCGGAAGCCTTGACGATGCCCGGGCCGGCGACTTCGGGCTTCTTGAGCGCGGGGAGTTCGGATTCTTCGTCAGAGTCTTCCTCGCCTTCGACCTTGTGGGCGCGTTTCTCGCGCTTCTTTTCGAGCGCGCGGGCGGCGTCGAGGCGGTCGAGGCCTTTGCCGCCGAAGCCGCCGAAGAATTTCTCTGTGCCCGCTTTGGCTTTTTCGAGGAAGGTGTCTGCCATTTTCTGGACTTCTTCGGGGACAGCGGTGTCGCTCTCCTTGAGGGCCTTTACGATGTGGACAGCGAAGCGCTCTTGGCCTGGGTTCTCGAGCAGAGTGATGGCCGTGCCCTTGTTGCCTGCGCGACCTGTGCGGCCGCAGCGGTGGACGTAGTCTTCCAAGTGTGTTGGGCAGTCAAAGTTGAAGACCATAGCCAAGCCTGGTACGTCGAGACCACGAGCAGCGACAGAGGTGGCGATGAGAACGGAGAGGACACCCTGCTTGAAGTCGTTGATGGCTTCGTTGCGATCTTGTTGATCCTTGGCGCCATGAATCGTGTTGACTGAGGAGTATTTAGCCTTGATCAGCTTCGAAAGGAGATCCTCGGCCGTCTCTTGCTTTTCAGTGAAGATGAGCACTTGCGCGTTCTCGTCCTCGGCGAACAGCTGTCCAAGATGCAGAAGCAGCTTCATAATCTTCTTTTCATACGAGGGTTGCACGAGCGAGATGATTTGCATAATCTCAGGCGCGACCTTACTGCGACCACCGATGATGACTTCGGCGGGCTTGTTGAGCGCCTTTCGCGCCAAGGCAGCCATGTTCTTCGGGAACGTAGCAGAGAAGAGGATGGTTTGGCGATCAGGGCGAACGTTTGCAAGGATCTTCATAACCTGCGGCTCGAAGCCCATATCGAACATACGGTCAGCCTCATCAAGGATAACGTACGTTATACGCCTAAAGCTAAGGACTCGACCTGAGTTGCTCTGCAGCAGATCAATGAGACGTCCAGGAGTAGCACAGAGGACGTGAATGCCACCGCGCTTGATCATAGCAATCTGATCGGAGATGGGCTCTCCGCCATACGCACACTCAATCTTGATGCCGGAGGCCTTGAGGAACGGCTTCAGCTCGTTCTTGATTTGCAGGGACAGCTCTCGTGTGGGCGCTAGGATCAACCCAATAGGACCGTCAGAGGGCTTCAGTGGGCGCTGATCTAAGATGTGACGGATCATCGGGATGCCGAAACCAAGCGTCTTGCCGGAACCTGTCTTGGCGACACCGATAAGATCACGACCTGATTCAGCGATGGGAATGGCTTGTGCTTGGATGGAAGTCGGCCTGTCGTAGCGCACCTTCTGGAAGACGTCCATGGTGGCCTGGAGCAGACCCATCTGCGCCCACTTGGTGACGGGACGAGGCACGTCGTCGGGCTTCACCTTGATGCCGTCCATTTCGTGTCTGAGATCGGCGACTTCTTCTGGCGTCATGGCAGAGACTTCGGAGGGCTCAGTGTAGAAGTTTTTACGGAATGGCTCGTACTCAACTTTGTCGTGGTCGATGACGGGCGCTTCCTTCTTCTTCTTCTTGTGTGCGCTCATGGCGAGCAGATCTTGGGCTTCGACCGACGTTTGCTCGGGCTCGAGGTCGTCGTTGAACATGGCTGTGCCCTGGGGAGCTGACCGACTTGGCGCAGGCTCGGCCAGGTCAGCCATGAAGGCATCGAGAGGATCGATCTCGTCTTCTTCAGCGCCTGCAGTTTCGTCAACCTCCATCTTGTCAACGGTCTCCTCGGCCGCCGGCGCTTCTTCCATGGTGGAGTCCTCGTTGGCAGCAATCTCGGCGCGGCGCTTCTCAAGCTGAGCCTGTAGCTGGGCGTTGTTCTCCTCGTCGTCACTGCCCATATCGTCCAAGGCAGTTCCGTCTTCTTCTTCGTCGGCGTCCGGGAGCGCGTCAGCATGGTCAATGGGTGCAAAGGCTGGGAGCGCTTGGAACTTTCGCTTGCCGGTGTCGGAGTCGTCTTCGAGGAAGGCCTTCTTCGTTGTCTCTGTCTCGTCTAGCGCGTTCTTGGTCTTCAGCCCGAAGGCGCCAATGTTACCGTTCGTCTTGCCTTGCTGGGCAACGGCAGGTTCTGCGCTGGTTAACACTGGATGGGAGAGAGAGCCATGGAGCAAAGACTCACTGGTAGTGACGGGCCTGCCGGCGGGCTTGGCTGCGAGCGGTCGTGCAGCTGCCGACTCGTCGAGCTTGAAAGTGGACTTCTCGGGTTGCTTCTGCTTGAGTTTCTCAGTAGCGCTCTTCACGGGTGCTTTGGCCTTGGCAGGTTCTTCTGTGCTCTCGCTCGCCAGCGGTGCTGCAGTTGTTGCCGCTGTTGCCGTTGTTGGCGTTGCTGCCGTTGCTGCCGTTGTTGGCGCTGCAGCAGTGGCAGTGGGCGTCGAGGGTGCAGTGATGGCGGGTGAGGCCACAGCGCTGGGCGGGTCGCCCCCCTTCTCCTTTGCCAGACGCTCCGCGTTGCGCTTCTTCCACTCTGCCAGCTTGGCTGCGCGCGCCGCCTGCTTGTCTTCCTGCTGCTTCTCTGGCTCCTTCTTCTCGTCACGGGAGACGGAGCTCAGCCTGTCGGCGCGTCGGCCCTCTGGTGCTGGGGTGGCCGTCGACGACCCGGGCCGGCGTGATGTGGAGCGCCGCCGTCGGTCGTCGCGGTCTCTGTCTCCGCGGGTGCGGCTGCGGCTCCTGTCATCGCGCCGGTATCGATCGTCGCGGCGGTCTCGTGACCTGTCCCGGCGGCCTGCTGGCGAGCGTGAGCGGCGGCGGTCCCTTCGGTCGTGGCGGCGGTCGCGCCCTCCTCTGTCCCGGTCCCGGTCGCCGTAGCGGTCGTCGCGCCTGCTGCTGCCGGCGTAGCGGTCGCTGTAGCGGTCCCGTGACCGGTCGCGTCGCGCTGGCGACCTCGATCTGTCGCGGCGGGGCGGAGAGTAGCGACCGCGGTCGTACCTTGATGAATCAGCGTGGCGCGTCGCCATGGCGGCTCGAGGCACAGTACTGTCTATTATGCGGAGTGGTGTGTGTGTGTGTGTGTGTGTGTGTGTGCGTGTGTGTGTGTGTGTCCCGCAGTGTGTGCTCCGGCGTGCGGTCGGGCGAGTGGACTGTGGCGTCGGCGTGCGGAGGTGACGGCGGGGATGCAGTTCGAGGTTTTGTTGCAGGTCGGGGACAGACAGCCGCCAGCTACCAGCCGCGCTAGTCCTCCGCCCCTGCTAGCGCTGGGACCCGCCAGAACTTTTGGCGCGCAAAAAAGTTCTGGGAAGCGCAGTGAGCTCGTGGAGCACGACACAACCACGCTTGCCGCCAAAATGCCTGCCAATCCGCGCAAGAGAAAAGCGGTGGCCAAGGAGGCGCCGCCGCCGCCCGAGAGCGAGTCCGAGAACGAACTGGGCGACGGGCTTCTCGACGGCATTCTGTCGCATTCCGAAGACGAGGAAGACGGCAGCGGAGAGGAAGACGAGGAGGACGAGGAGGACGAGGAGGACGACACCGACGCCAGCAGCATCATCGAGGGTCTGTCCGACGAGGACGAAGAGGACGACGACGGCGACGAGGACGACATCCGCGAGCAAATGCGCAACCTCAACACTTCGGACGCACCGCTCAGGCGAAAGGGCGGGCAGCAGACGCATGAGATGGTCCTGGACGCGGCTGCCGGTCCCGAGCTGGACGCAGACGACGAGCACCTCAAGCCCAACTACACAGTCCACACGGACGCCAACGGCAACACGCGCTACATGTACAAGGAGATCGACCCCGTCTACGAATCCGACGACTCCGACGCCGAGCAGACCAACACGATCGGCAACATCGACCTCTCCTACTACGACGAGTACCCGCACATTGGCTACGACATCAACGGCAAGAGGATCATGCGCCCCGCAAAGGGTGAGGCGTTGGACGCTCTGCTCGACAGCATCGACATTCCCAAGGGCTGGACTGGTCTGACCGACCCCACAACGGGCAAGCCGCTGAACCTGAGCGACGAGGAGCTGAGCGTGCTGAAGAAGCTCACACGGAACGAGGTCATCGAGGACGGTTACGACCCCTACCCCGACATGATCGCGTACTTCTCGGGCGTCAACCAGGAGATCATGCCGCTGAGCGCGGCACCGGAGCCAAAGCGTCGCTTCATCCCCTCCAAGCACGAGGCAAAGCGCGTCATGAAGCTCGTCAAGGCGATCAGGGAGGGCCGCATTGCGCCACACAAGCCACCCGAGGAGGAGGAAGACGAGGACCAGTTCTCCTTCGACGTCTGGGCAGACGAGAAGCCCCGCGACGCCAGCTCAATGCACATCGCCGCGCCCAAGCTGCCGCCGCCCGGCTACGAAGCATCCTACCACCCACCGCCCGAGTACCTCCCCGACAAGGCCGAGCAGGACGCTTGGCTGGATCAGGACGAAGAAGACAGGGAGAGGGAATTCCTGCCCAAGAACTACGAAGCCCTGCGCAAGGTCCCCGGCTACGAGACCTTCGTCAAAGAGCGCTTCGAGCGCAGCTTGGATCTCTACCTCGCGCCCCGCATACGCAGAAACAGGCTGAACATCGACCCCGAATCGCTGCTCCCCAAGCTGCCCGACCCCGAAGACCTCAAGCCCTTCCCCACAACCTGCGCCGCCATCTTCCGCGGGCAGGAGGGCCGCGTGCGCTCCGTCTCCGTCGATCCACTCGGCATCTTCGTCGCGTCCGGCGGCGACGACGGCTACGTGCGCATCTGGGAGATCCTGACCGGGCGACAGGTGTGGAACGCGCGCCTCTCGTCCGAAGAAGCCGTCGACGCCGTATCCTGGCGGCCCGTGAAGGAAGCCTCGATCCTCGCGGCCGCAGCAGGCGAGCACGTCTACCTGATCATCCCCTTCCAGATCCTGTCTCCGGACGTCGAGCAGCACTCGCGCGACATCCTCGACGCGGGCTGGGGCTACGCATCGTCCAAATCAACCGCCGCCACCGCCACCGCCGCCGCCACCGCCACCGCCGCCGCCGTCGCCGTCGGCGAGGCACCCAAGACACCGCCCGGCATCTGGGCGCGGCCGGAGAAGAAAATGGAAAACAAGGGAGTGTTGATCCAAATCGAAGTGCGCTCTGCCATAAAAACCCTCTCCTGGCACCGCCGCGGCGACTACTTCACCACCGTCTCTCCCCGCGGGCAATCCAGCTCCGTCGCCATCCACACCGTCTCCAAGCACCTCACCCAACTGCCCTTCCGGCGCCTCAAAGGCATCGCGCAAACCGCGCAGTTCCACCCCAGCAAAGCCATATTCTTCGTCGCAACGCGCAACACCATCCGGTCCTACGATCTCGCCAAACAAGAACTCGTCAAGATCCTGCAACCAGGCGCCAAATGGATATCCAGCATCGACGTGCACCCCGGCGGCGACAACCTGCTCGTTGGAACCTACGACAAGCGCTTGTTGTGGCACGATCTGGATCTGTCCACCAAGCCCTACAAAACGCTACGCTTCCATCAAGCCGCTATTCGCGCTGTCGCCTACCACAAGGGCGGCTACCCGCTCTTCGCCGACGCGAGTGACGACGGCAGTCTGCAGATTTTCCACGGCAAGGTCGTCGGCGACCTGATGGAGAACGCGACGATTGTGCCGCTGAAGGTGTTGCGCGGCCACAAGGTGAAGCAGAGGCTGGGTGTTATGGGGGTGGAGTGGCACCCGCGGGAGCCGTGGTGCGTGAGTGCTGGTGCTGACGGCACGATTCGGTTATGGAATTAGATGGGTGTGGGTTAGGGGGTGATATACCAAAAGCATCATGGGCATTGGTGGCGTTTTGGGAGTCGTAGAAAATGCACGATTTTTGAACTTGTGAATTGTGGTCTGGAGCAAATGGTGCCCGAGGTTTGCCATGTATGATGTACGTGTCTTTAGTGGCTGACCCAGAGTCGACTGTGCTGATGCTTGGAATCAGGGCCGTGTTGCTTAGACTGAGCCTCTTGTTACTTTGTGCACTTTGACACCGTCTCTACCCAGAACCCAAGACCTGCTCAACACCCCATGCCCAACACGTCTGACCGCGATCGTCCAGGCCCGGACTTCTGGTGGTCCATCGATTGTACAATCACTTTGGAGCTTTCAAGAGGGGGTGAGGGTCCGAGCCGGCAAGCATGATATTGGAGATGAAATTCATGGCTGAGATCTTCTCTGCTTGGATTGGCTCTAACTCCCGATGATATACTGCCTGCCCTGACATGACAAGTGCGCTTATTATGTTGACTGAATGTGTGATCTGCTCTGACTCGGTGTTCGGTACCTAGAAAGGTGGACTGAGGACCACCCGGTCCCATGCTCTTGGTCCTCATATCGATCCATTGATGGTCTACTGTACTATTCCGAGATCAGTGAAGTGTCCCAGTTGGCACATATCGAATCGAAATTCAGATGTACGGTTAACATCTCTCCTGCTTCAGCTGGCCCCCGGGCGCTTGTTGTGGTGGTCTAGTGGCTACTGGGAACTGACTCGTTACTTCGATACCAGGTAGGATAGATCGCAAGGAGTGCCAAACCCCAGCGATCGGACCGAAATGATGGCACTTACCGGCTGTTCGTAGGGTTTCCGACATTCGATATCCCTAGGGCCTTGAAGTGAGGTGTACACCAACACACCGCTGTAGCTCTGACTGACTTTCGAACCCAGGCGTCATCTTGGACGGGAATGTATTCGAATCTGTGCTTCTCGTTGCTGGCAGCAAGCCTCGAGCGTAATATGCAGGTGGATGACTTTCCCAATCGTCACCACGATAGCCAATAGATTGTCCACCAACACATTGCTGCAGTTTGGGACCAAGTCTCCAAATCCGTGTGTATCGTCTTGTCGAGGGTATGCGCGTGGTCCTCTCGTCCAAAGTACCGGGACCGTGCGTTCATTGATATACTCCGGAGGGTAGCAGTGTCGCCCTTCAACGCTGGGGAACCTGCGTTCGTCCTCTAGTAGGCTACGTTCCCGCTTGTCATGGTTGAGATCGGCATGGCTGAAACGAAAGCATGCACCTAGCCATCGCGCCCCATGCAGGCCGACAGGGGAGATCCCTTAGTGTTGGGTCGGGCTTCGAGAAGGGTTTGAGAATACGGGGCCCAGAAGGGTTTGAGAATACGGGGCCCTGAAGGATTTGTGGAGGACCTCGTGGGGACCCGCTAATCCTTGCCTTAGGCGGAGATTATATCGAAATGCCCGAAATAGTGCGTTGTGGCCTGATGTTCGTTGATATGACGTAAGGTGTTGTGAATGAGAATGTGAGCGTGCAGATTTGAGATTGCCTGTTACATCCTTACCGCTGTGCGTGCAATTCAGCTCAATCGCTGGAGATAGCCCTGCTGGATCAGTCTCTCAACGTCGCCGTGACGCACGTAGAATTGACTGTTCTTCGTCAAAGTGATGGATCTGCCATTGGATCAGCTTGTTGTTTCAACACGATTCTGCATCCACTAGTGTCCACAGTGGGATAAACTTACCCATACTCCGTCTGGATTTCACCAGCATCCTTCAGCACTCGCACGTCGATGAATAGATCTTTCGGTGGCTCCAGGCTCCCGGTCAGATCAATGTCTGTCCATTGACCCTTGTACGCAGCCAGCAGGTCACTGTACTGTCGCACATATTCCTCTTCTTCCGGCGACAGACTGCTTTCTGCGCCAGCCGCACCACCCTCTCCAGCGCTATTGCCGTTGGCTTTCTGAGCCTGCTGTTCGAGTACGTCCACTCCATTCCAGCAGTACTCTTCCAGCTTGTCACTGCGTACTTTATGATACGCCAACAGGCATCGTTTGTTACGCCGCATACACAGATGGTTGACGAGTAAAGCGCATGCTGTCTCCGGGGAAGAGGCTGGGTTGAAGGAACCTGAGTATGGTGCGAGGAGCGAGGCTACGTCTTTATCCAGATCTCTGACCTCTCGTATGACGGATCTAATGAGTTCTGATTGGTAGGGTGGCAGGTGTGGAAGTGCGAGTGTGCGTTTGGCGTTTTGAACCTGTGTAGATGCATCAGTGAAGTGAACAACACGACCCTTCGAGATGACAGGCCATGCTGAAGCTGCATTTGATATTGTGTACAGCTCATGTGAACAGTCCCTTTTTGTGATAGTTCATGTGACCGAAAGAGGTCCAGGAGGGTGTACAAATCATTGTACAGTGCGTGATCCGGTGGAGTGTGGATCGAGATGGGATGAAGTCAGAGTTCACAGGGTACACTCACCAGCTTATTGGCCGTTTCGCCGTACATCGTGAATGAATTGAGAGCTCTGGGAGCAGTTCAATCTCGTGAATGAAGGTGTGAGGTGTGGAGTGCAAGACGTCAGAGTGTTTGTTGTCGTGACCCCGCCAGAATCTCGAGCGGCAATCGCGTCCGCGACGCGAAGATGTAGGTGGGGCAGGTCCCTGCACTCGAGTCTTTCAGTCGCAACTGCTCCATCACTCCATCACTCCGACACCCAACAGCCGCCCACGTCATTCATCTCATCAGTCCAGACCGATCACCTTACTATTGGGCTTGCTCCAGACGGTCGACGAGATTCACCTAAAGTCACACGAGAAGACGTTGTCAAAGTAAAGACATCTATTTGATCGAAATCTCTCTACGAAGACACGAATATCTATGGAAGCTATTCTACAAAGCAACAAATGACGCCGTAAATGCATATAAAATTGTTAGGTTTTGGTCCACCAACGCCGTGCTGAACCGAGAACCAACAATGGGTATCCGTCATGCAAGCCACAATCATGCGTATGCGATCATATCTATCTGAGAACATCATCTCTCATCCGGTCAATTAATGCTCTCCCACCCACTTATCGAACTCGGACTCCTGGTCAAGCGAAGACATGGTTGGATCGGACTGCCACGAGGAGTTGTAGCTATCGTGAGCGTGTTCAATCTCCAGCAGCCTGTTGATCTCCTTCTGGTCGTAGTTCTCATCGATCACGTTCGAGTAGCCATTGCGATAGTTTTGCTGGAGAACAGCAGGCTCTACCTCAGAGCGGTGGCTACCGTCGTACGCCAGCAGCAATGGGTCAACCTGGGCTTCGTCAAACGGCGTTGCGACTTGAGGCTGTAGCTGGTTCATCAGATCGCTCGCATCACCACCAGGCAGACCTAGCAGCTGATTCGACGAGAACTGCAGAGCTGGTTCTGGTGCCGCAGCTGGCATACCGACTCTACGCATGCGGAGGTCTTCGCTGTAGTGTGCACCCATGTGCACGTTGTGGTACACAGCAGTCTGGTAGTACTGGTTGTACATGTCGTGGTGTATCGGCATGGGCATCGGTCGTCCTTCGTTTGTCATTTCCCAGGAAGATCTCATCATACCGTTGGCGTTGGGCCCGAACGACCGCCCGATGTACTCTGGGGGTCCAAGGTTGGGTGGGTAGCTGATTGATCGCTGGAACCGCTTTGCTTGCCTGGATCGTCTGCCTTCAGGAGCCCATTCAGCATCCTCGAGATCACTTGGCTCCTCGTCCGACCACTCGTCTTTGCGCTTTCGTGGAGGTGCGGCCGCCTTGCTGGGGGAGAACTTGTATGTTGGATGCGCGTTCTGATGGTTGATCCGTTCGATCTTTGCATACTCATTGAAACGGTCGCGAACCTCTGGTGGCTCCAAAGGCCAGCTCTCTCCTGCGACCGACGACACGACTTGATGATTGTTCTGCAAGCACCACGCTTTGGCTCGCTCTGCGTACGCTGATCGGTACAGCATGAATGAGTTCATCGGCCGGGTGATGTATCCATTTCTCTTCTCAGCTTCTTTGCGCCTGACATCTGCTGATCGGTTGACCCACGCCTCCATGTCCTTAACAGGAATGTGGTGCTGGTTCTCCGTCAATATGCTCAAGGGCGCGGTCAGCTTGGGCGTCTTTGCTTTCTCGCCTTTGGCTGCCTTTGCCTTCCTGGCTTTCGGTGTTGGCTTCGGTTGAGGGCTGTCATGCCTCCGAGGGGGACTTGCAGTTGCCTTCGACCGTACACTGCGAGAGGATCGTGCCGCGTAGTCGTCATCGTTTGTCGACCTCGGTGTCGGCGGCGAGAAGACACCTTGGCTGCCCTACTATACGTTAGCTGTTGAATACGGCATACTGTAAGGCTCAACGTACCGGACGACCATTAACTTGGCTATTGTCGTAGTACTCCGGAGCACCATAACCGTCCTTGGATCTGGTCAGCATCTTTGCCTGTACTAAGGTAAAACTGTACCTACATAATGGATCCCTAAACCGACTCCTTCTCCGGCGTGGCTGCCGACATGTGACGTACACGAAGGGATCCCTTCGTGACCGACCACCCCGGGAACGCCATAGCTCGCCTCATCGTAGGGGTACCCGCGATCTGCGTTGTATTGCGCAACCCGGTGAAGACCCGATTGGAAATCTCCCACAAGTGTTGGTGGAGTGGGAGGGTGTCGCTGGGCAAGAGTATCTCCCCTCATGGCTGGAGTCTCAGTGCACGACTGAGCCAAGACTGGGCGTGACGGCGGAAATCACAAGATCTTGAAGATCAAAGAATTACGATATGCGGACTTAGAGCCAAATTGACGGCGACGGCAATGAGCCGCACAAGAGGAAGCAAGTCTGCAATAACAGTGCCGATTTGAGTCCAGCTTGGTGCCTGCGAGACTTGCTGAGACGGATGCTGACCAAGACAATGCAAGTCGAGAGGCTGTTGTGCGTTGTCCAAAAGATGCACAGCTTGGATGAAAGTGTATCAGATATGTCCTGGGATTGTGTTAGTTTTGGCACGGGCTGTGTTGATATGTTCGGTTTGCTCGCGCAACCGTGCATCAGACATGTCGGGGAGCGCACCTCTTACGGATATCTGCTTTTCACCGGCCAGAACTTCTGAGCGCACACACAGTTCGTTTGGTTCGTTTTGCGATACTGAATTGCAGGCAGACAAGTGGATTGTCTAAGGTTTGGTGTTTTGATTCGGTCCTTTGTCGTGGAGAGTAGCTTGGGGACGCGTGAAGGCAACTCGACTATGAGCAATTCTCTATCCAGTGTTCAGGTACCAAAGGGTATTTGTAGCAACTACTAAGCTTCGAGGTCAACTGCTCACAGTATAGAGGAGTCTATCCAGTCGTCTGAGAACGGACAAAGGACTGCCGGATTGGTGTTGGCGTCGCGAGCTTGCCACGTTGGGAACCTTGCGCTGCTTTTGAGTGGAAACATCACCGGCGATCGAGTGTTCATAAGGATATGACACTCGGACCAGAGACCCACTCGTTTCAAAGTCGAAAATACCTGTTGCTGGTGGCTTGCAGTCGAAAACGGCTGCCAGCCCTTCGACAGCAGAAGCCATGGCTTGCGACTAAACCCACTTTGGCCGCCCTTCCTCTGTCGCCTTCTGTCCGGCTAGTCTGGACAGGGTTGGCCAGCAGTGGCTTGCAGCAGTCATGTGCATCTGTCGCCCACGTAGTAAGCCAGATGTTCTTCGGTACCCTCAGCCGTTACTGCGGTTCCTTGGGGTAGGGATCTGCGCCGCCAGATTCACGACCACATTCCTCGCCAGTAGCATCCGTGAGGCTGGCATTACACCCTTGCTCAGAACCACCAATAACAAATCCTCTCCGCGGCCACTCCTCGATCAGAAGTAAATTTGGGTAGTATTTGTTCGCGATGACCCAATTGAACTAAACCAGCAACGGGCGGTTGCAGTCCTGCATGTCGGTTCCCTGAGATCTGCACGAATTTCGCAAGGCTGACCATGATCAACCCATACAACACATCACCACACATCAGGATTCTAATTAGAAATCCCGGTCGTCAGTGGCAAGCCGTGCAGCCGGTGGAAAGCGTTTGCATTCTGCAATTTTGCTTCCATCAACACAGTATAACTGATACCGCAAAGGCCATCACTACTACCGAGAGACTGGATGCGATACAGCTAAGTGGCGATTCTTGAGTCAGTTTGATTTGAGGGACAAACTCGTTAATCTTCTCCGGCCAGAGCTCTAGGTCTGGTCAGTGTTCGTAGCTTGGGATAATCAGGCCTTCGGCAAGCCCGTCACGGTAGACTAGAAACTGGCGACGTCTTGCTACAGGCCGCGGACCCGACAGGCGTCAGAGCAGATATTTTACACGACGCATGCGGCGAAGTTCGGTTGCTGCCGGCCGATCATTCCAACTTGCGTGCTGGTATCTGTTCTTACTGTGGAATATACGTCATTACCGCTTGGGCATGACAACCAAACACAGACCCACCCTGTGTGACCGAGTTTAACCCAACATCAAAGAGGATGAATGATTGGGTCGAACAAGCGAGCATTATGTGAACATGCTTTCCCCTGTATTGTTTATTTTGAGTCTTTGAATCAGGGGGCTTGTAGCGTTTGGCGTGGAAAGTACGTTGGCCGGACGCCTCAACCCGGGGGGCAAACGCCTTACATGCGGCTCTTCGTCTGGTACCTCAGGATCTCATTTCAACCGGAAGGCTTCGGTTAAAAGTAGCTTGCATGGAGCAAGCATGTGAGGGCTCTTGCCAGAGTGGCCCAAGTGGCCTATAGGCGTATAGCGGCTCAACATCGACAACGCGATTCTGTTTGTGCAATTGATGGCATCGCGCTGTTGCTCTCTGCAGTCACAGAGCCATTCCCTATACCGCTGATTCTGGCAGATCCTCTGTAGTTTGCCCTTGGCCTGGTAACACAGATTTCGATGCCAATAACTGAATATCATGATACCTCTCAGGAGTAAACTCGCCAGCACTCTACAGAGGCTCCCTATCTCCAACTTGGCACGACCGGTGTCAGAGTCGTCCGCGCCTCTGGCAGTTGCTTATCGTCGCCGTGGTCAGCAAGGTAGGCGACTTGGTCTTGTCGAGAAGCTTGCCTTTCCCGCCCCACGAGCATTACGCGCATGAGCTTGGATGCTAGCTCTGAACTTTCGCGGGGGAGAAGGGAAAGGTTAGACGACATACCCCACATCGGCGACTCTCTCAACCATGGAACAGCGACCTGGCTCGGATATGCCGTGTGTCGATGTCACAGGATCAACACCAGCGTCACCATCGTCATTGACGCTGACTATTACGAACACTTACGATTCACCACTGATAGGAACATCATTTCAATTGAATATGCACAGTTGCGACTTCTACTGCATCAGCTGCAGCGACATCTGAACAACCTCGTCGCCACCTCTGCGTTATGGTACGCTACTCGGTGGGCGCACAGTAGCACAACGGTCAACTTCGGACCGTGCGACACTCCTGTTGGTAGGGGATGAAGTTTGCCATAGATCGTGGGGTCAGTGGGCTCGATAGCTCATGCACGCATGGTCTGATGTTCATGAGTAACTTTGGTACCTGCGGATCTGATGACAGTGCCAAGTTCGGCTACGCGACAAGCTGGTTGACACAACGATATCAAAGCTGATCTCATGAAAAGTACACGCGGCAGCGTAGCTGGGGCTTATGACTGCTAGAAAGGTATTTAGAAAAGACAATGGTCGAACCACAGGTGACTTGCTTTCGCGATACTTGACTAACTCGGCAAAGCGTACCCGCGCTACTGATCGGCTGCTGCCACCTTCCATCATGATGTATTTGGTGATACAACACATGAAGACTAACTTCTCGCAGAGTGTAGTTTTGTGGTAAGCTGTGCTATAGGAGCACATAAGCCGGTGTAGACGACAAGAGCTCAGTGAAGTCCTTGAACCGATCGCTCGGTCGCGCTTTAAGATCGAGGCGTGCCTTCCTCCTGCGCTTTCCCTCCGATCAGCTAGTAGCCAATGGGGTCGACTCCATAAAACAGTAGCACAAACTCAATCAATCGTTCCACAGCTTCTCGATATCCTCAGGGTAAAACCCAAGTTCATGCGAGTCATCCCTTCATACAACCCACTAACCCCTCCTGGCATCGCCTCAAGCCCACACTGAGAGCCTCAACCCCATACCCCAGAGCTTCTCAACCCACTGAGAAACTCTACGCATGGTGGCTTGTCGTTCTATTCACTTCATTGTCCTCCCACATGGCACATGCTGGCCCTTCCTGCCCGTTGAAAGTGAGGTTCCTGCGTAAAGCAGCATCGTGACTTCTAGTCCACAACCAGCTAGTCGCATAGCACGACCCACGCTGTAGGGTCACACAGCGTTGCCCCAATTGAGCAGTCCACGACGTGGCTGCAAACATCTCAATCTTGTATGCCTTTGATACTCAATCGGCCCTTTTGCTTGTGGCGCATATACATAACTCTGTGTCCCGCGACCGGCAATGTAGGCCTTGAAACATCTATTCTGAACGCAAACGTATGTGTCTTAGGCGGATATCGAGCGCTGAGAACCGCAAGGAGCGTGTGAAAGGGAAAAGGTGGACAAAGAATTCCGGGCTTTGAGATGGGGATGAGCATGTAAAGGGAGGACAATGGGCACAGAGAGGTGGTCTGTGCGCAGAGGGGCTTTGTTGGGGGTGTTGGCGTGTCGATGAGGGAAGGTTTTTGTCTTGCGGGAGAGGTGTTGGATGCGGCTGGGTAGCAGATGGTGCGACATGGAAACAATGGGCGCGGGGATTGGGGATGGGTGTGGACAGCGACTAGTGCAGATGCTCCGAGCGCAAGGCTGCAAACGCACAATCTGTAGGCCCTGAGACACCCAAACCGCCGGTACAATCTTCGACTGCAGTCGAGCCATCATGGAATAAGATGGGATGCAAGCAGACCGTCTTGATTCCTTACTAGCGCAGTCCCTACCCGGTACCACGTCCACAGATCAGAAGATGCACGCAGCCAACGATTCTAGACGCCGGAACAGACTCGAATGCTGGTGCACCGCAAGTACCTACGGTTCTCAATCGCGACAACGACGACGACATGACGAAACCTGCAACTGTGAGCGCATCGAGTAGTCACGCGGATCACAGAAACGCACAAACACATGATCGCAGCGTTGAAGGAGCGAAAGTGAGCCTGAGCAAATCTCAAAAGAAGATGAGGAACAAGCAGGCAAACATTCCTCAAGGCGACGGGCGAAAAGTCGACGACAGCACGGAAGAAGTGCTCGACACTTACACTTCACCCAGGCGTTCACCGCGCTCGCTCTGAGTCAAGTTTCGCCAATCCGACAAAAGCATCTCTCGGGTGGCAGACTGACAAAGCACAAGTTTCACCATCTTCAACCCCGCATTGGAGACCTGCCGGGTCTCCGGCGGTGTCAATGCCGGGTAGCGCACATCAGAATACTAGTGTTGTGTCGCTTAATCGTGTGAACAGTCAGATCGAGAGATCGAAGCGAACTGATAGCTGTCGTAGCCCTCGTTATGGATCAACGAGGAGATCTTCGCTGGCCTCTGAGCACGAGTTGCTGCAGGATGAGACACGTCTGAGAGTGGAGAACACGTAGACTGTGGGCCTAATACAATCGGTCACGGTACAGGTACTACCAAGCTGCCATCTGAGCTTGGTGGAACTCCTTCAAAGATCCACTTTGAAGACAGTATTCTGAAGAGTCTGATGAACCAGAACATACCGATCTATTAGAGGAAGATCTTCACCTGCAAAATGGGCTTCAACGAGCAGACGAAGACCATTACCACCTACACGTAGAGGTGCAAGGATTGAGAGCCGACGTAGATCACTTTTGTAGTGCATGGTTGAAAGCTTGCGCAGCTGCAGCAGTGACTTCCGAAGACGTGGCACACTTTCATTTCCTTGCGACTGATTCTGATGTAAACATAGACAGCAGAGCTGCTGCACATCAGAAGCTTGTAGCCAACGAGCTTTGTCGCTGGATCATTGACTCGCGGAAAACGATCGAGAGCCTGCAGCTCGAGTCCAAACAGAAAGACGAAGCGAGGGCGACATATCGAGGAGAATCAGCAGCAAAGCACAACACCTTGTTAGATGGCGCGGGCTCCCACCATGGTTCTCCCAACTGGTGAGGTTTTTACGAGAAGGAACAACAGCGGTTCGAGTCGCTCAAGGAGCAGAACAAGTGGTTGAGACCTGAGGCTGAGCGCATGTATCAGCCAGATCTGGAGCATAAACACAAAGAATGCCAGGCGAGTCTCATCGAAGTTCGAGACCGAAACGCAATTCTGGTAGAGAAGCAAAAAGCTGAAGAAGAGGCTTCCTCCTGGTAGGATGAGGTCAAGAAGCACAAGGAAGAGCTCGCCCTTCGGTCAACACATTTCGACGAGCAAACCCAGATTCAGAATGAGGAGATTTTAGGTGCTGTGAAGGAGTACCGCGGCAAAGTCGAAGACAGTAAATACTGGGACAAAGATGGACTGATCATGAAGAACGAACGACTCGAGCGTGAGCAGGCTGTGCTGACCGAAGAGCTGGAGTACGTCAAGTGCAGCAACGCCAGCAAGGATGATGCAATCGAGCAACTCGTCAGAAGGCATCAACAAGATCAAAAAAGAAATCGAAGAAGTTCGCAAAGGTTGACAATCGTGTACCTCGGAGGTCCATGAGCAGGCCATCGAGAGAAGATGTTGAGGAGCTGCGGGAAAGGGTGCGAAAGCAAAGGGAGGAGGAAGCTGCGGAGGAGGCGATGAAGGATGAAGGAGAAGGTGCGCCGGCCGAGAGTATAAGGCCTAGATCTGCCAGCGAAGTCAAACCCGCAAGATTTCAATAAGCAGCGTTGGTTCTTGCGGTGGAATGGAGATGAATATTCGGACAAATTGACGGAGGCGGAGAAAGAGCTATCAAAGCAGTTGTGAAATGTAGGAGCTGTTCAAAGACGTCAATGCCGAACCGTCTGTCATAAAAAAAATGAGTTAGTGTGATTCAAATGTTACTTATATGCTGGAATTCATCTGTTCTTGGATTGAGAGCTGTGACGGGCTCCAAAGTGACAGTGACGTCATCCAATCGCCCTCAAATTTGGACTCTGAAGGAACCACATCTTCATTCGAACACCACATACGGCTTCGCGTACGCCAACTCCACGACCCTTGCACCAGTCTCATTCTCCACTGTTCTTGTTGCTGCTGTCGTATCTACCCTGAACGGCGCGACCAGAGCCTCGTCGTGCAGGCACCAAATTACCTTCTTAGGCCCGCCCAGCCATTTCAGTTGCAATGCCGCAAAATGCGCCGCTGAGCCGTTGAAGGGCCTGCCGTTCAAGTTGGCTCGACCTGCAATTCCAAGGACGACTACATCTGGCTTAGGCTCCAGCGTTCATGCCTTCGTATGCTCCAAGATGGCTGTTGAACTGGATCGCCTTGTCGCCGACCAGGACATTGTACATGAGCTGGCCGCCAACGCAATTGCCCATCACGTTCTTCTTCCGTCACCCATGAAATCGATGAGCACTTAGGTCTTCTCATCAATATGATCCGGAGAAAATATCGCTTTCAATCGCATCAGCCCGTACTTCATGCCCCTGGTGATGTCGGCCGTACACGCAAATGGACTAGCTGATCCGTGGTACTCCTTCCCGGTATCAAAGATGTCCGGGAGATCTGCATGGGAGCTTCCAGGCATGAAGCAATGTAATGATGGCCAGACATGGACCGCAAGAGCTGTAGGATCCGGATGTGGGAGAGCTGGGGCACCAGGTGCTCCAGGGGCAAGCGCACAGTCGCCTTTCAACGCCGTGTCTCGAGTAGCTCGAGTGAACAGAGGAAGTTTCCCCCCTCCAGACACAGGCTGAAGTTGCGTCTCCGGTACACCAGCCTGGCGAAAGAGATTGATAGCCTTGCAGTTCGCGATCACTTTTGCTCCCGTTCTGCGCGCAAGGTGACCGGCGCCGGTAAGACTATACGCACATGGTCAGAATGCCTCTTAGCTCTCTCACGGCGTGTCAACATACTGTTCGAAATGCGCATGCGAGATGAAGATATAGTCTGCTCCGTTGACATCTTCTAATTCTCGGTGCCACTGCATCAAAGCCGGCTTGTCAGCCATGTGTCGTGGAAGATGGTGACTCCATTCGCACGAAGACGAAAGGTAGCGGTTCCTGATAGCCGTCAGAACCGCCTATTCCAATCGCAAACTGGGACTACATGCCGAAGAACTCCAATGTTGCATCAGACATAATGAACAGAGTCAATGAAAGGACAATAAACGTGAGTCTAAGCGTTCACAATAAGCGGTACGTGCAACTCTTTTACATTTGATGCTAAACAATAATAGCTGCATGTTGTACGTATCGAACATACCGATGTATTCGACTGAGTTCGTTGCACTAGCCCGCTACCCGAATCGACAATGATTCGGCCGAGCCCCAATTCCGAAGATTATCTCGAAAAAGAGCAACACCACAACGCATCGAAGTAAATGATACACCAGGACAGACATGATCTTTGCCGAAATTGTTTCATTCTTCCTGCTCGGCAGCCGTGGACACTGGATCCGCCTCACAATAAGTGTAAGAGCGACGTGTCTTGAAAGGATCATTCGTACATCAACCGCGACAATAAGTCCTCGTGCTCTTGCCGTGCCCGAACAAGAGCCCTAGACATGAGGTCCCCGCGATTCAAGATCGAGTATCGCCAGTCAAGGACTCGTCCGACGAATCACCCGACCCACGTACATAAGCTTCAACGTCCAGCTTCTTCTCAGGATCAAACTCCCCTACACAATTCACAAACCGCCCCTCTCGCGAATCCAATGGCGCCTCTCAACATTATCATAGTAGGCGGTAGCCTCTCCGGCGCTCTTCTTGTGAACGGGCTCCTGTCCAACAACACCTCTTTCACTGTCTACGAACGCGACGCGGCAGACCCCAAACGAGAAGGCTACCAAATTCAACTCGGCGACTCCGCTATCACTGGCTTCAAAGCATGTCTTCCTAAAGACTGTATGGACCTTATCACAAGGAAATTCGGCCAATCAAGCGGCTCAACAGCCACTGCTCCAGCCATCTACAACACTCGATAGGAGGAAGCAATCAACATGGCAGTGATGCCAACGTATGCGAAGAGCGCCGCGATCAACCGAGTGGCGCTGAGAGATTTGCTCATGGAACCGGTCAAGAAGGCTGGAAGGATAAAGTACGAGAAGGCGTTCGAGCGATACAGCGTCATCCAAGATGACCACAGCCATGAGAAGGTGCGAGTCCACTTCAAAGATGGGACAAGCGATGTCTGCGATATTCTCATCGGGGCCGACGGCAGAGGCTCGAAGACCAACGCCCAGCTCGGCGCAAGAAACCTTGTAACTATGAACACGCACTTCAGCTTCGTCTCGAAAGGCAATTTACAGCCCGACCGACTCAAGCAGCTTCCACAACGACTGCTGCAGGGCCTTGTTGTCGTTTTCAAAGGGCAATTTAAGCTTGTCCTACGCACTGTACCTACTTCGCAGCGACGGTCCCGACGTCAACGACCCCAGCCGAGAAGGGAAACGTGATAGCGGAGTTGAGTACGACGAGCGGCCTGCGAGCTTCTACTCGGGCATACACATTCCTAAGACAGAGATACCGTATTCTTCGCAAAGGATATCCCAGACACACATCAGTTTGTGCTCGACAAGACACGAGTGAGGCTAGGCAAAAGAGCTGCAGGATCCGATACGCAGTGGCAGTAATGACGCAAATGTGAGTGTCTAGGCCCTCCAGTTTCGCGCCTCTAAGCCGCGCAAGAAGGGCTGGCGAGCGAAACTGAAGACAGGAGTCGGCTATGCGCAGAGCGACGGAGTGGGCAGCTCACAAGTCTGGCTCTTGGGCGACGCAGTGCATGCAACGCAACTGAATCGATATATGCCTTGTCATCTTCATTTTCATCCACGTCACCTTCATATTTGGCTTCACGCCGTCTCCTAACAGCTCACTACAATGGCCAAGACGGCAATCAATCCTTGCACGACACGGCTGATATTCTCCCTGAGATCCTTGCCCTCAACGATATCGCACGGTCACTGGATGACAAGACCGCTCTCACCGAAGCACAGATCGAGCAAGCTTGTCGGCGATATGAGGAAGCCATGACTGACCGTGCGTTTCTATGGGTTCGCAAAAGCGGCGGAACAACATTCCACATCTGGACTTTGATGGTATGTTGGGTACAGTCGCAAAGCTTGTGAGCTGGCCGATACTGCCGGTGGTGAGAGTGGTTTATCACGCATGTGGGTTCGGAGTGTGGATGAGACGCCACGGACTTGCTTTGGTCTGTGTTGCGTGTTTCCAGAAACAGGATCGACGAATAGATGCGCTCTTCCATGAAATCACCATCTGCTTCCTCTCCATGCACCTCAAATCCTTAGTCCCTGTTTCCGTCATCCCATATCCAGAACGAGCTTCCACGCCCTTCCATGGCCCTCCTGCATATGCACTCCACTAAGATCACGCCGCTGTCACCGTGGTAAAGCTGAGCCACCGCCATATGCGTGCATTGCGTATTCTGCCGTCCTTCACTCCATGTGCCTCAACATGTTGTGCTCCAGCCCCTGTTGAGAAATCTGCAGACTCAGACGAGTCGTGACAGCGTCTGTGCTGCGAAGCTCAAGCAGCAAGCACAAAGGCTTGGTATTGTCCACTTAGGTGGAGGCAGTGAACTGGACATCTGACAACATCCACAAGGTCTAGCGCAGTAGATGAGCTAGATGAACACGAAGTAGCCAGCGAGGGTTTCTATCTCCGAAGACATTCTCTACCGTGATCACTCAAATCGAGGCAGTGTACCGCGACGTGCCTGGCGAACTGGGATTAGGCCCGAACTTGTGATGCTTGCATGCCTTCAAGCACCTCAACCGAGAATATGAATATCCCTCGGCTGAGCTTGTACGAACATAAACATGGGGATTTGGGCCGACTGATCACTGACAGGGAATCAGCCAAAAGCTTGATTCCGTCCCGGCACTTACCATCCTTCGTGGCAGATGAAGGAACACATCTGCAACTTTCGGCTATACTTGTTTGACAACTGTCAAAAAAGATCTAGATCTCGCGTAGATCTGTACCGAGAACCACCAATCCTGTCCCAAAACGGATGATCCTCGTCAGTTGTGGGGAATGGATACGTCACGTGATGCATACGTGGACGGCTTACTCACCTTGCGCAAAAATGTTTCATGTCAAAAAGTCTTACTTTAGCGTTGTACGGACGCAACAAAAAGGTAACTAATGCTATGGGGGTATCCTAATTAGGTAAGAGCGCGACTGCGCCTACTTCCTATCCTAAATCGTCGCAAGAAGTAGGTACGTGCAAAGGCCGCAACCACATTGATGCAAGCCACAACGCCATTCACTCCACTAAGGCATGGCCGAGATGGGTTGCGTCGTCAGTTGATGCGTGGAGAAGACTTCGTAAGCTCTTTTTGAGTGGTGCTGGAACGGAACAGCAATGTTGTCAACAATTCGTCAGGACTCTAGGACTAGCAGGCGACGGTGAAGCAGGTATATAAGACAAGCAGCACCTCAGGCAAATACTCATCATCCAGCATCAATCATCTCTTCTTCTCTTGTCTCTTCTATCTTCTTCACCACACTCACTTAAGAACCACTTTCGTTCAAAACTTCTTACCAACCATCAACATGTACTTCTCTACTGCCGTCATCGCTGCCTTCGCGGCCACCTATGTCTCTGCCTCTCCTCTCATGGTCCGCGGTAACACCTGCGGTGCCGCTCCCGCTAGCAGCAAAACCAGCAACCAGCCCATCTCGCAGCCATCCGGCATCCAGACCTCAGCTGCCTGCCAGACCCAGTGCAAGGCTAACAGCTCCTGCACGTCCTTCTGCTTTGGCCTGGTCGACAACACCATCCAGTGCAAGCTCTACTCTTGCGCCGCCTCTGCTGTCCCCAAGCAATCCAGCGCCAACCTCGTAGTCTACGACAAGGCTTGCTCCGCTGTTCCCAGCGTTGTTCCTACCTCCAGCAACCCTACTGGCAAGAAGGTTGACAACAGCCAAACCCAGAGCAACTCCGATTCTGGCTCTAAGACCTCTGAGCAGAAGGCTCAGGAGTCCAAGAAGGCCGCCGCCTCCAAGACCTCTGAGCAAAAGGCCCAGGAGTCCAAGAAGGTCGACGCCTCCAAGACCTCTGAGCAGAAGGCCCAGGAGTCCAAGAAGGCC